TAGTATTTAGTATAGTACTAAAAATATACTTACTAGTAAACTATAAACTATAAATATAGCTACTATACGCGTTAATATTTTTAGTTTTAGCTTTTTTTTATAATAACTTATTTAAGTATTAATATATTTACTATACTCTTTAAAATAAATAAGTATAAATTATTAATAAATAAAATAATTATTTAAAACTTAGTTAGTAAAATAAATATAAAAGGCTAAGTAACTTTTATAAAAAATAAAAGTAAGTAGTTAATACTTTTTTAAAAACTATTTTTACGTGTAGAGCGCGCGTAAAAAAAGCATATTTATAAGTTTCTTTTTTTTTTTTTTACTTAAGTATTTTAAGTTATTAATTTAAAAAAAAAGTAATAATACTTAAAAGAAAATTAGAGTTTTATCTTACTTATATGCTTTTTACTTTTTTTTAATACTTACTTTTACTTGCATTTCTTTTTTCTCTATTTTTATTTATAAAAATTAATATAACTAGCATTTTTTACCTAGTAAGTAATTCTAAATTATATTAATTACTAATAATACTAAGCCTTTGCAAGAGCTATTTATAAAAGTAAAGTAATAGTTTTTAATTTATATAGTTTATAATTAGCTTTTATCTTTAATTTATTGCTTTATATTGCCTTTTACAGCGTACTATCTTTTATTTATTTATTACTTTTTTCTTTTAATATCTAGTGTTTATTTTAGTTAATTTTACTTTTACTTGCTTTTTAGTTTTACTTAGTTTTTTAACATTTTTTTCTTTTTATACTTTTACTTTTAATATTTTGAAGTTTACCTAGCTTAGGCTGCTACTACTATTATATTTAAAGCTAGTTTTAGTAGCTTATATTTTTTATTTATATGCGTAATTTTTAAAACTTTTTTTTATTACTATAGCCTTTTTTTTATTATTACTTTTTACTAGAATACCTACTTTAGTAAATAAAAAATTTAAAGTATTTTTTTTACACTATTTAAGTATAATAAGCTTACTTAAGTCTAACTTTATAAGTATATATAAAGCAGCTTATTCTTTATTAAGTGTAAAGTAAAGTTATTTCATACTAGTTTACTAACTCAGTTTTATATAATAGCTATTATTTTTAAAAATTTAATTCTAGTTATATTAAGTGAGTATAGTTAATTAATAATAATAATGCTTTTAGTTTTTTAGTTTTTAGTTATTATAAGTACTAAGTAAAAGAAAATATAAGTAACTTTAACTTTAATAGTATTAGCTATTTTCATAATTATTTAATAATTCTTAAGCAGTTTTATTATAGTATAGCAAGTAGTATTTTATTTTTTATAAAGTATTACAGTTTAAAGTTTTTAAGTAGTTATAAGTAGTATTAAAATTTTAAGTAACTTACTAAAAAAGTCTTTGTAAGTCTTATACTTAAGTATATATATAAAAAATAATAGTATTATTATAATTTTTAAAATAAAGTTTTTTATTATTAAATAAATAATAGTTATAGTTTTTATTACTATTTGAGTAGTTCTAGTAAATAATAGTTATAGTATAAAAAAAAAACTTTTATAGTAAAAAAAAATTTAGTTTTTAGTACTAGTACTTAATTAAAACTAGTTTTAAGCTATTTAAATTTAGACTAGCTAGTGCTAAAAGGTGCTCTTTAATTTTTTTAAGTAAAAGTAAATTATTTAGTTCTTTTAGTTATTACTTACTATTTTAGTATTTTTATTATTATAAACTTATTGCTGTGTGTAAAATTACCTAAACTTTTACTTAAAAAATAAAAAAAATAAAAAAGATTAGTAGAAGCTAAAAAACATTTAATAATAATAAAAGAAAATAAGAAACATAAAGTAAAAATAGTAAAATAAAAGCTAAAAAACTAAAAGCTGTAGTTAAATATTAAATAAAAACTATTAAATAAGAAGTATTAAATAAGAAATGTTAAAAAAAGCTAAGTTTAAACTAAATATTATAATTAATATTACTTTACTACTCTTAATTAATTAGACCTGCTTAAGTAGTTTAGTAAATTAAATTAATAAGCTTAAAAAAAAAGTTTTTTCTATATTTTACTAGGAATAAATAAAAATAAAGTATTAAAAAAAAAGTACATAAATAATTTATAACTTAGTATTACTAGTTTAAGAAAAAAATTAAAATTAAATAAGTACTATATATTAGTAGTTATTACTTAAGTTTAAAAGGTAGCTAGCTACTTTATATACTTTTTTAAGTTTTAAAGTATAGCTTAAAACTAGTCTATTATTTTTACTATAATAAAGTAGTTATTATTATTAAGTTTTTTTAATTAAAAGTTATAGTATTTTCTATACTTAAGAAGGCTATAAGACAATTTAATAAAAAGTAGGCAGAAATAAAAAAGTTTAAAAAAAAAGTTTAACTTTTAGGACTAGAGGCTAGAAATGTAATACTTAATTATTATTATTATTCTACTACTATTTTACTTTTTAAATATGAAATAGTTTATAAAATATTATTTTTATTATTATTACTATTTTAATTTTTAAAAGTAGTATAGTTTATAATATTTATTAAATAAAATAGTAAAACTTTTAATCATTAAATTTTAAGTTCAAAAATAATAAATACATTTTTATTCTATTTATTTATATGCTTTATTTTTATTTTTTTTTAAAATAGAGTTAAGGTAATCTTATATATAGTAAAAAGTTATAGTAATAAATAAACTAAAAAAAATAAGCAATAACTAAAGAAACTTACTTTTTTTATTCTTTTTAAGTTAAAGTTAAGGTAATTCTACACACAGTAATAAGTAATAATAATAAATAAACTAAAATAATAAGCAATTACTAAAAAAATAAATAAAAAGACTTATAATTTTTACTTTTACTTAAAAAAGAATTAAAAACTACTTTTTAGTGCTAGTTTAGACTAAAATAGCTTAAAACTAGGCCTAATTAAGTACTAGTACTAAAAACTAGCTTTATTTTTACTACAAAAGTCTTCTTTAAAACTATAACTATTATTTACTAAAAAGTAACTTAAAATATAGATATTAATTGTTCTAATATTTATATGCTTTAATTAATAATTAATATTATTAATTTATTTAAGCTGTTTATTAGCGTAGTAAAAAATTTTACTTTTTAAATAAGTTATATAGTTATACTTTTTTTAGCTTTTCTTTTCCCTTAACTATTATACTTTTAAAAGCTTTTTTAATGTTTTTTTTTTTACTTCAAATTTATTTTTTAAATAGTAATACTTTTTTAAAACTTCTTTTAAAGTTTTCTTTTCTAGTACTCTAGTTTAATATTAATAAAGTAAGTATAAATAAAGTTATTATTTTAATAAATAATAAAGTATTCTATATATATATATATATAAAGTTAAAAGTAAGTAAAAAAGTATTTTATAAGTAAAGATTTAGTCTTTTTAGTTATTAGTTATTATTTTTATTATTATAAACTTTTTACTGTGTGTAGAATTACTTAAACTCTAACTTAAAAAAAACAAGTAAAGATAAAAATTATAAGTCTTTTTAGTAATTACTTATTATTTTAGTAAATTTTTTATTTTTAAATATTACTATATGTAGAAATACCTTAGTTCTTTTAGTTATTGCTTGTTTTTTTAAGTTTTTTTTATTATAACTTATTACTGTGTGTAAGATTATTTTAACTCTATTTTAAAACATAAAAAAAAATAAAAAAATAAAGTAAAATTACTTAAACTCTAACTTAAAAAATAAAAATAAAATAAAAAAAGTATTATATATACTTACGTAGTTACATAAAATGTATGTTGCAGTAAAAGGCTTATTTAGAAACTAAAATAATATAAAATACTAGATAAAATTATATAAATATTATATAACTTAGAATTTTAAAAATAAGTGCTTAGAAATATGTCTCTCTAAGCGTTCTATATATAAATAATGTTTTCTATATATAATATAACAGATTACACTTTATTTTCTACTCTTTTAAATAGTAATTTACAAGCTCTACAATAATATATATATATATAAAGCTTTTTTTTAAATATAAGCTTACTTAAAAAGTAGTTTAAATTAAAATTAAATTTACTAATGTAGCTAAAATAAGTAAAAAAAGTACTATTTATTACTTAAATAAATAAAAAGTATTAGCTAATAGTAAAGGCACTAAATATAGAAAAACTAAGCTAAATAATATTTTTTAAGTTAGAATTTAGGTAATTCTACATACAGTAATAGTTTATAATAAAAATTTTTTTAGAATAATAAGCAATTACTAAAAAGTAAGTAAAGTAAAACTAGTAAAATGTTATTAAACTAAGTAAAAGTAAAGTTAACTTAAATACTAAGTAAATATTAAATAATAAAAAAGCATTAAATAAATAAAAATATTATTATAAAGTATAATATTACTATAAAATACTTTACTTAAATAGCTAGTACTTATATAAGCTTAGTTTAATTAGTAATTAATATTTAAAAGTAACTTACTAGCATAATATTTAATTTTTTTTATTTTAAGTTAGAGTTAAGGTAATCTTACACACAGTAATAAGTAATAATAATAAATAAACTAAAATAATAAGTAATAACTAAAAGAACTTATATATAAGTATAGTTATTTATTTTTAAGCAGGTTTTCTGCAGTGCGCAAATTTGCCTTATAAAAGTATTTTTTATATTATATATTAAACTTAGCACTCTAGAGATAGGTTTAAGTTAAGCTTAGAATGTATCCTTTATTTAAGTATAAAACTTACAAACATTTAAATCTATATATTCTCTTTTTTACCCCAAGCTGTTGTAATTACGTCTCTCAACGTCAATGGCTTAATCATTGGATAATCCTCATTTCTCAAGCCCACATCTGAAACATCCATGATTCCACGCACGCTCATGAGGCCAAACTCAACTACTAAGTCTCTTACACCGTCCTCATCCAGCCTGTATTGTAGTGGGGCTGGCCCAAGCACTGTAGCCTCTCTCTTCTCCAGGCCTTGTTTCGTGTCGTATGTGACATGCCACTTTGCCTCTACTCCCACAGCACAAAACATTAGCCAAAATAATCACAAGAAACCACGTGTTTATGCCTACAGAGATTGACCAGAGCAACATGAAAAACAAGGAAAAGAAAGGAAGAGCAAAACTAACCGGTAACCTCCTCCGCAAGCTTCACAGCCTCGCCCCACGTCATCCGATCACCAGCAAACGCGCTTATCTCGGGCCACTCTTTCCCGTCTTCCGCTTCATCAACTAGCGCCGCCACATATCTCCCCACGTCTCTAGAGTGCAGAAATGTGATTGAATCTGTGCCATCCCCGGGGATAGCGGCCCTGCGGTTCTCGAAATCGAGTACGTACTTGAATCCAGAGAGGTTGGAAGGGAAATGGGGGGTTCCCAGGAAATCAGTCAGCCAACCGAACATGACGCGCGTGAACTGCATGTTGGAGGCGCGGAGGGCGGAGACGGCAGACAGCCACCAGGCTGCGGCAGGGTGGAAAGATAGCATTCTGCGTTTAAATAGGTTAGAGAGAGTAAGACAGTATGAGAGAGTAGGATAGCATAAGGAATATTTTTCTTACTCGGGCGTGTAGTTTACACCGAACTCGCTGGGCATGAATCGTTCGACCGAGGACGTCTGCGCAGCGGCTTCGATGAGGTTGAGTTGGGCTTGATTACTTTGCTCCGAAGCCATGATTATGGCTGAGATCACAATCTCCACTTGCTCATCTGTGAAAAGTGTTCGCAAGGAAGCTGGGTTGGAGTAATCTGCCGCCAGAACAGGGACATCAAGATCCTTGACTGGTGAAGCCTGCAATTCCAAGTTAGTCAATGAGTAGCTTCATGTCATGAGAATAGAAGAAAGGGTGACTGTGATCAGAATGATTGCTGGAAGAATATCAAAATTACGTACCTTCCGACTCAGAATGATCACTTTGTGCCTCTTTTGTTTGACGAGCTCCTGCACAATGGTCTTCCCGAAGCCGCCTGTTCCTCCGGCTACTGCTACAGTGACCATTCTGATGCCCCTGTAGTATAGCAGAATTTGATGCGTATGTCGATGTCTGGAGTGGAATGTAAAAGCAAGTAACAGTGGGAACGTCTCCTTGGGATCTGATATAGCAATGGTTTAGCTGATGTCTGCTACATATATGCACCTCTGATGGGCATTCATCTCACGCTTTAAATAGTTCCCTTTGTGTGTTGGGAGTCCGCATGCTTGCCATTATCACTAATTTGGTGTCGCAGCCCAGACCGCGTAAACTGAGATTTGTAATATCGCAACAGTGCCACGAAATCTGCGCCCTTGCCATGGCGCGATTGTATCTAAATTATAAAGCGCTGAAGGCAAAGCATGTTCCCCGCATTCCTCATTGGAATTTGCGCCCTTCAGTGATGTCCTTTGCTTATACAATCAGGTCTTGGGTGGTTAGCTTGAAAAGGGAATCTAATTTCTTAGGACCTCTGGGCATCGTCATTTTCCAATTGACTTTTGCTCCAGCAGTACCATTGTTAGACGCATTTGGCATCCTTGCTGCGTTCTCGCACGATTCCACTAAGCTAGAGCTCCAGAGTTCCGATCCTACTCCCAGCACTTCCACCTTCGCCCCAAGGCCCCTCATTGACTCTCCTCACTACCATTGCCAGCACGTCCTGCCTTCCACCTTCCTTTTCCAGTCTCCGACCTAGCGCTTTCAAAACTTCAAACTTTGCCATCGCGACTTGATACGCAGCATTCTGTGCATCGCTTGCACCACCGACGACATTCGAGAACGTGGCTGCCGGTTTCATGAGTAGGGGAAGTACGCCGCCGCTTCTTGTTGGATCAAGGATCAAGTCAAGCCCAGTTTTAGGGAAGTCTTGAAGGGAGGTCAAAGTTGCTGCACTCTCGCCGTAGGTATGTGTAGGCGCAGCAGTTGACCATTCTGCTGTTATAATGGCGCGTATCACAGTCAAAGCGGCTAGAGCATTTTCTGTCATCGCGATGGTCTCGGCATGCCTGACGAGGTCAGAGAAAAGATTGGAATGTTTCTGGTAGAATAGACACGTGATGGCACGAGCGAAGTAGGCTTCAACTTCTGTCCGTTTAAGGTCCTCGCCCAAGATTTCGGTTTGCGGAAATGTGATTTCATGCTGGTGTTTGTTAATTGGAGTGACCTTCGGAAGTATGTGGTGAGCATATACCTTCAGTGGGCCGTGGAATATGGCAGCAAGCGTCTTTAATATGTCTGGGTTTGATCTCTGAATAGGTAAATCGAGTATCACACAGTCGTCCCAGACAAAATAGTGGTCGTTACGTGGCATGAGGCTGGCACGCGGCATCGAAGCCAGAATGCTGAGATCATGAGGCTCACACCTTCGGATATTGCAATTAAGAAAGTTCCGAAGCACTGTCAATTCTGGACTGTGTTCGAGATCATCGGGGTAATGACTGACGTAATTGCTAATGTACTGCGCCGTCCGTGGACTCAAGAAGGTTTGTTCGATACTGGGTTCGTTGGTAGTGTGAGTATCGATGATTTTCCGGTGGATGCCATATTCTTTCAAAAACTCCAGTGACACACTAGAAGTTGGACGATCAGAGGTTTTGATAGCAGTGATGAGATCGCTATAAAAATTGATGAGAGTCATGTGCATGAGCACATCGTCTTCGCCATCCACCATCGTCAATGCAGCATAGTGGAGCAAGCCTTGACCCTCAGATATTCCCACCTCGCGCTCAACTTCAGCTCCCCGTCCAGTACTGATAGTATTCCACTCTAGGGCGCCGACTTTAGGTAACCACTCCAGGAGCCTTGCTTGCGAGATAGTTTTATCGCGCTTACTGAGATGAGGCAACGGCGAGTTGTCCAATTCTTTCAAGGATGTATAGTGAAAATAGAGGGAGAAAATGTCGCGATCGTTGAACAGTCTCCGCCACATGGGACCAGAACCGTACTTATGCAAAGAAGTTTCCAAAGATGCCGCGACTGGCTCATTCCTGGAAACCCTGAGTAAAGTAGTGAGCAGATTTTCCGCCTGTGTGGCTACCCCCGCATCTGAAGTGCAAAGCCACAGGCGCACGATTGATGCTACAACCGTAGGTCTGTTAGCCAGTACCTGAGCGTCATTACCACTCGCAGTCGCTTTCTCCAGTAGAGTCAAGATGAGACCGTGCACAGCAACTGCTTGAAGATCCAAGCCATCCTCGAATGGAATCGATTTGATATCTTCGAACCGATAAGGCTCTGTCAACTTTATGACGATATGTACTAACAACGTCGGATCCTGTTGTAAATTTGGCAGTAGATCTGCGATTTGAGTGAATAAAGGACTTGATTCTTGCCATAAGTGCGACCGGTACTCCGGTGTGCTCGTGAACAGTTCACATCTCTCAATGAGTTCTTGGTCCAGCGGGGTTTGTGGATCATCGCCCACTTTATGTAGGTGTGTTGATAGCTCATTCAGCACATCCATGCTTGGCGAGATGATTGGGGAATGTTCAAAATGTAGGGGAATGTCGTAATGCAGGTTGCGTATATGTAAGGGTGGAGTAGAGGCCGCTTTCTACCACGAAGGGAGAGTAATAATTCGCTAGACTGAAGGGGGACTAATGGCTTGGCGAACGTCCACATCTACCACGTTCTCATAATCTGTTGCACTTAGATGTACCTCTTATCACTCAAGTCTGATCTGATGATTGGGAAGATCCAATATCATTTTTCGATGGCAGTAATGCATATATTTTATATATGTACGCTACCTACTCATCCCATACAACTGCGCTGACGCCATCCTCATTCTCGGGCGTACCTGTTGCACCGATTCTGAGGTTGGCGACGAGCGCACCAAGCTTACCTGTCGTTGTGTCTCTCTTTACGATGGCCACATTAGCCGTTGTTTGACCTCCTATAGCGACATAGTCCCCGGCCTTGTTGATGTCAAACGTTCGGGGATACCAGCTACGCGCAGAGGTGACGTCGGTCCATGTTAGAGTGCCATCTGTAGCAATGGTATACTGCGTAATGGAATCTTCTTGTGCACCATACTTTTTGTCGTTTCGGTTGGCAATATACACGAAGTTATCCTTGGTCTTCACTTCAGCAACCTTGGTTCCTTTGGGAGCCGCTCCATCATTCTGGTATGGATTAAGAGTTTGTTTCAAGGCCAGAGCCAGGCAGCCGCCTCCAGAGGGATACGAGACGGCATATCCAGAAATAGAGTTTCCTAGTTCATTGGCTACGAAAAGCATCTGATTCGAAGCCGCACGTCGAGCACGGGAAGTGCTGCCAGCCGGCGACCAGAACGTCCCGTGCCTAGGGCCTGCACCCGCTGGAGCTTTGCCACCTCCACATTCGGTGAGCTTTCCGGAATTCTTTTCAATCGAGAAGATTCTGATCAAATCAGCTCCAAGATCAGGAACTAGAAGAAATGCTCCTGTTGGATCCGTGAAAGCGTGATGGGGGTGTGGGACGTCTTGTCGAGAATTTGGTCCCTTGTTTGCCATGGTGAACTTCAGTGTCTGAAGCGGCTGTCCATTGTCCAGGGGCAGCTTAAAGGTGGTCAATGTCGAAGCGTCACTTTGAAGGTCAGTTGAGTTACTGAGCTGAATGTACATCGTGTTTCTTACTAGTGAGCGTTCACGATGAACCCTTTGCCATCCGAGCCACCGTACAGGGCTGTTGCAACAGCGGATTTCGGAGTTGTCGCTTTCCCAGTCTGCGTCAATGCTCCATTGGATCCAACAGAGAAAGATACCAAAGTTCCGCTGTTAGAGTAGAAGTTCTCGTCTGGAAGGTACAATGCCTTGTTTGCTTTGTCGTATGTGATCCAACTGGGCATTCGATTGTTCGTGCTTGATTGGGTAGTCACCTTCAAGGAAGAGCCATCGAATGTAAGCCAGTTCGCCGTTCCACTGTAATGCGTGGCCCAGAGGTTTGCGGCATTGGCGAAACCTCCAAGCACAGGGAGAAAGATCAAAGAGGACAGCATTTTAGATATCGCATGAACCAAGAGCACTTAGTTCTGGGCGACGCTCTTGGTTTGTATGCGGTTTGCATTTCTTCTCCCCTTCTCTATAATATCGCCGGTGGGCACGGGGGCTAATTTCCATCATTAGCTTCACTTTAGTCTAAACCTCTAGTGAGAAGCGGCAAGGAAAGCTTGAGTTGTTCACTCACGGTGATCATCATCTAGATTGAAATGTACACGGCGTATACTGACCGGGTAAATTGGGAAAATCAGCTTGATTGGAGCAATATCTGCACGTTTCCTTCTGGCCAAGCCTTTTCATCTATACATCGGCTACCGGGACCCCAAACAATTAATCCGGCACTCTGGCTCGGTGGATCGGAATCTCCTTTGACATGTTTACCCACCCTGAATTTATTGCCCTTCCCAGTTCTGCCCATCTCTGGAAAAGCTTGGTATGATGTTGTTCCCGGATCACCTCTTTTCGTTTCTTTTCCCGCCTAGCCGTCCTGCATCACTAGCACGTGGAATACGAAATTGTTTGGACGATTTGAATACGAACGCCTCTGCTCATACAACCAATCCCCGTCGATCAAGGTATCTTGCGTATATGATATCGGCTACATGAGCCGCGTATACAATGGGCAAGATTGGACGTGCAGACTTCTGGGCCTACGCGGGCTCCTTCATGTATCGACAAAATCCTTGAACGTCATACATATGGGATGGACTCACGCTCACACCATTGAATTGAAGATCCAATCTAGGCACTACCGGTGTACTTGCCGCCGCAAAGCATCCCTCGTTCCGCTGAATCGGGCTCTTATCTACACCTTGTAATCGCCTCTTTTATCCTGCACCATTCCCAGGTCCGGTAGGCAAGCCACACGTATATATGAGGGTGCCTCTTACCCATATATGAATTCTAAACCTCAGGCGATCCTTTCTCAAGTCGCACAGCTTATCTGAGAGCTCAATATGGTGCAAATCAAGAGTGCCATCGCCTCCTTCGGTATTTTATTTGCGTACAGTACAATCGCTACACCACTGTCGAAACGTGCAGCCCTCGACGATTGTCTGAAAACAGCTGCGGTTCCTGCCCTGGAGTTTCAGTCTAAAGATTATAATCAATCTGTCAAGCCTTTCAACCTTCGTGTCAACTTTAAGCCCGTCGCCTACTCCGTCCCTACCACAGTAAAACACATCCAGGATGCAGTTTCCTGCGGTGCAAAAAATGGAATTCAAGTCACTCCAAAGTCTGGGGGACATAGCTACGGGTCTCATGGCCTGGGTGGAGAAGATGGCCATTTAATCGTCGACATGCGCAATTTCGCCAACGTTACGCTGAACCTCGCTGAGCAGACGGCTCTCATTGGAACAGGAGGAAGACTGGGAGATGTGGCTACAGCTTTATATAGCCAGGGAAAGCAGGCCATTGTACATGGAACCTGTCCGGGGTGAGTTACACTTCCGCAAAGATACCTCATATCTAACGATGGTCAGAGTGGGTGTTGGAGGTCTTAGTCTCCACGGAGGCTATGGCATGATGTCTCGCGGCAGAGGCCTGACTCTCGACAACATACTTGAAGTTGAATTAGTACTCGCAAACAGCAGCGTTGTAACAGCATCCGCAACCAAGAATCCCGATCTGTTCTACGCCCTGCGCGGTGCGGGAGCCGCTTTCGGTATCGTGACAAACTTCAAGTTCAAAACCTTCACACCGCCTGAAAACAACATTGTCTTCAACTACAACGTCCGACCCGGCACGTCCGAAAATCTTGCCAACATGGTCACCGTCTTGCAAAACTTCGCCGTCAATGAACAACCCGCCGAGCTCAACATGCGTCTGACTATCTCGCCAGGAAGCTCCCTCGGCGGCGTATACTATGGCAGCCGCGAAGACTATAACAAGCTCATGGGCCCCTTACTCACCAAACTTGGCATCACTGGCGGTCAAGTTTCGAACAACACATGGATCAGCACCCTCTCCGCCTTCGCATACGGACCTCTCCAACAAGCCAAACCCTACGACACACACGAGAACTTCTTTGCCAAATCCCTGATGCCATCCTGGCTCAGCGCCCCCGCCATCAACGCGCTTGCCAACTATTGGAACACGACCGCTCGCACAAACACGCGCGCTTGGTACCTCATGATCGACCTGCATGGTGGAAAGTCCTCCGCCATCTCCAAGGTCGGGGCAGACAGCACCGCATATGCGCATCGCAACGCCACTTTCAAAATGCAGTTCTACGACCGCAGTTTCTTTGGTGACTATAACCCTAGTTGGTTCAGCTTCTTGAATGGCTGGATCGGGAATATCACTGCTGCTAGCCCTGGAGAGAATTTCGGCATGTATATCAACTACGCGGATACGAGCTTGGACAAGGCCGACGCGCATAAGCGGTATTGGTTGGGCCACTATGATCGCTTAGTAGGAATCAAGAAAGCAGTAGACCCCAAGGGAGTCTTCGAGGGTCCGCAGTTGGTAGGGTCGTAGATCATAGTCTTGATATAATAGATGGTAGATGGATTTCCCGCGTGGGTGGAGATAGAGTAGTTCATTTGCGTCACAATTTTTGAAGTAATCGCCACTGGTAGTATGGAATTACATATGTATACAGGCAGGTCCATCAGTTCTGGATCAGCCATTCAACGATTGCGCTGACCATATAAAACGATGGTGCTCGAAACCAATGATTTGTGCTGTTCGCAGCCAAAGTATAATTTTGAGATGTGGGTATCGGAAATATAAAACGCCTGGAAATGCAGTATCGAGATCCTTATGCCCCTACCAACGAAGAATTATCTGCGACATGAGTTTCCTCAGTCATAATCTCCATAAGCGTCCCCATCGTCCCCTTCGTCGTCATCGCCATTATCGAAGTATTGTTCGGCGTTGTAATCGTCGCCGGATTCCTCTGAATCACTAGAAGCAGCCGACCAGTTATCGTCCTCATCGACCGCATCCGGTTTGCCCTCGTTATCGTTGTCGTCCGCATCTTCGTCCGCGTCCTCGTCTTCATCTTCATCGCCCCGCTCTTCCGCTTCTCGCATGCGCTCTTGCTCCTGTTTTATCATCTGCTCCACATACGACTTCGCGTCCATTCTCGTAACTGAGAGCAGTTGCTGGTTGCTCTTCCCGCCGCCAGGAGCTAGCAGGTCATGTAGTTCCGGAGGAAACAGCTCCACCACATATGGTCTGGTATCTAGCTTGGGAATCCTTCTCCGTTTCTTCGCGTACTTGGCCGAATACGTTTGGTTGTCTAGGAACGAGTTGAACAGTGTGTCTTCCGTCGGTCCGCGATCGTCTGCTTTCCTCTTGAGACCGTTCTTCATTCCGTCATTGAGAATAGTGTAAAAGGGACCCTCGTGGATGCGCGTGCGTATGCCCAAATGATTTTGAACGGTAATTTCCTCATCTCTGGATGCCGGTGGGGGCTGGGGAGGGTGATGGGTTTTGGGGAAAGGCTCGATAGGGCCCCGTGGGATGTCCAGCTCCGAGATATCCCAGTCCAACTCTGTGCCTGCAATATTGAGTTTTCTGCCGCCACCGAACCCGCCACGAGCGCCGCCGCCTCCATGACCTCCTCTTGACATGGCGGTGCTTTTGTTGTGTGCTGACGAGGTGGAGGATCTTTTGTTGGTGATCTGCGTTGTGATTGTTAGGAATTTGTGGTGGAGTAGTCCAGGCATTCGTCTGATTGGCTCGGGAGCTTCTAGCCCGGCCCTTTTGTTGATCCGCGCCGAGTAGCTCTTTCTTTCCTTTCATGTAAACACCGAGAGGGATAATGTTAAACCAATGACAATGAAGACATTTAGTATTATTCTACGATCAAATTACTAATCTCACGACCAAAGAGCATCATGTATAAGCATATCTCGAAAGTCAAAGTTTTAATGATCATCAAGTACACATTACAGTACATGCCATATCAGTTGATCATTTAAATTATATATCAAGTTCCTTCAAGACCTCCCCTTTATCGCTACAATGGTTACCAGAAGTTCACCTCCCAGTTCGAAGTGTCGTGTCGTAAATTATCCACCACAGCATTAACACAGCGAAAGAAACCCGCGATATGAAACGCTCGATCTGTAGCGTCATGGCAGACCCAGCCGGTTTCTATCCATCGCGGGAGCAGTCTTCCAGCTGCCGGCCCACTCCGCCTCCCCCCTACGCACCAGTTACGACATTCCATCTTGAACTGAGGATCTGTAGCTCCACGTTATGGACCAGCCCTTCTCCTTGGAGCTCCGGCCTCATCTCTTGGTTCCGGGGTAATTCTTATTGCCCAACATCATGAACCAACTATTTGCATTCCCTATCAAATGCGTTTCAATGACAAAGATCGATTGAATTTTTGTATTAGCCGTTCAAAGTGCAATCTGATGTTTCGAAAAGGTCCCAAGACCCATTCAATTTGGTTCTGAACCAATCTCTTGAACGTGGTTTTACGAAGCAATGAACTTCTCAAAGCAACTGTAGGTCATGTGCCGATGAATTAAGGAATACATGCATTATTCAGTCAGTTTTGCCAAAAGCTTGATTTCACTTGATTGTGGGGGTGAGGCCGGGTGGCGGTTCTGGGGTTATGTTGTGGCGCAGGCAGTAACTGAAGAGACAGAACGTAATAATCAACACCTTGCTTTTACGAGACGATTGTACACGAGGAACAATAATAGAGTGAAAATGATTATGTGCGGTAACTTGAGAGTACTACCGTAGAGAACGCCCAGGGAGCGGTACCAATACATAGTGTGACCGATATGACACGGCCAAAGACCCATTTCCTTTCCTTGAACGCCCTCAACGCCCTTCGTGATACGTCGGACTAGGGAGAGTCGTCCGCAAGTGGAATCATATCTATCCATCCGAATGCAGCCCTTGACGCCCGAATACAAGAGGAGGAAAAGCAGCTCGTCTTATTTGACTGGGCTGCTACGTGGAAGTTGTGCCATCCCCAACAATCCTCGCAACAAGGATATAAGCTAGAATACCTCCAATTATCAGCCTCCACTTGTTCCTTCCGAACCAAGTCTGCCCCGCTGCATCTTCTGTCATCTGTTTGCCCTGCATGGCGACTCCCACCACCGTTGCACTGCCGTTCGGCCGCTTTCTTAGCCCGGCCATATCGGGCGAGCAGTGCGGCTTCTCCGGTTCCCTGGAGATAGGCATTCCTGTGCGTAGATCGATGCGTTTCTCCTTGATATACTTCATGTTCTCCTCGTCAAGCTCTGGCCACTCAGCGCGGAACTTGGCACCACCGTCACCCGCTTTGATAGCACCCACGCCACGGGCGTTTGACCCTAGGTGTGTTTGACCCAAGACCTGTTGTGAGCCTCCGCCAGTGCTGTTCCACCACCGCGTCCGTTGCGCGAAAAGCTTGCGTTCAGCATCGCTCGCGCGCACACTCCCTGTAGTCATCTCCTCGCTGGTCATGAAGCTCAACAGGCCAGTCAAAATTGTGCTGACTTCCCATGCTGGATTGAAACTTTTTGGGTGAAAATCGCTGATGCTGAGGCAGAGACGGACAGAGGACTGGAAGCGTCCTGACGGCGTGTGCATGCGGATAGCCGGCGGGGCGAAGGGGTAGTCGGGGGGAAACATGAGGGTGCCCCAGTATTGACCGCCTTCGTAAGGAGTTTCGGGCGGACCGGTCAAGATGTAGTGCCACTCGAGGATGTTCTTTTCGGAAGGGTGGGCGACGATGTAGGGTGGAGGGGATTTGGAGATGGTAGCATATTCGCGAGTGAGGCGTTTGGTCGCCGCTGGCGTGGCCATTGCAAGCGGATGTGATGGAAGAAGGAATTTGTGAGGTATCAAGAGTGAGAGTGTAACGTTGATCACTTATGTGCAGGATCGGCAGACGATGGTGATGCAACCGATTGGCTTTAGGACTCGGGAGGAGACTGACAGCTGGCGGGAACGAATGAGCGGATCCAAGGCAGTGCGCCGCTCTTTCAAGTATGGCACAGGTGTGACCCGTGGAGCGGGAGGGTGTTGGGGGTCGTGGGGATTGTCGAGGTGAGCGTCAGATGGATGAGAAAGAAAGATTAGGTTGCGATGCGATGCAGTGAACCAGGGTCTGCCGTCATTCCAGCAGGGCTTAGCAGGCGATGTGAAGGTGGCGGCGGGCTGTTGCTTATCTCCGGCTCCTTCTATCGCATTAAAGCAGCCCCGATGGAGGAAGGCACGTGATCATCTCCAGCAACATTAGATCCTCGGAAGCTTTCATACGCCGCCAAGCATCACGCTTCACAGCACCAACAGCTCAATGGCGTCACCAATAGAAGACGATGTAAGTTACAGAAAGCATGGAGAAGCCTTTCAAAGCTAATTGGAATGCCAGGTCTTCGAGAAGCTGAAGAACAAGACAAATCCCGACGCCCACAAGCGGAATCAGGACGACCTCAATGCGCGAGCCTATGCACAACAAAACAAGGCACAGGAGAGGCTGGCAGAGCTGGTGAGTAGACACTTAGACTCTGTGTACAGATTAATGGGGGTGTTCTAACCCCCGAGAAGCTTGACGACAACAACACCCTACCCGTGACAGTCTCCTCGGTCCGCATCCTCAACGCCAATCGCACCCGACGAGCTTTTCTCGAGCGCGTAGTCAACCCCATTCTGAGCGCCAACCATGAAGAAGGGTATACGCTGCAGGATTGCCTAAGTGAAGTTGGAAAGGCTACAGAAAAGCTTAATCGCTTTGGTATAGCACATGGGCACTACAATCGCTGATCAACATCTGACGTATGCAGGCATTTTCAAGCAACCCATCAACGTCTTCCTCGACCGACCCGATCCAACATTGGCTTCGTCCTCCCCGACCGATGTGGATGTTTATATTCACGCTACCGAGCGCGGCAACTATACCATAAAGACAGGAACCGAGGCTGGAGCTTCAGAAGCCGACGCATACATCCATGCTGAACTCCGCAATCTTTTCGGTGGCGCTGAGACCCTCAATGCACACGGCTCGCTAGGAACACGCACACGATCTGCTTACTCGCTTGCTTTTGATACCCCCATTCTTAGCAACCCCGATTTTAAGTTCCAGGTCAATGGATTTGCAAGTTCAACATTGAAAAGCTGGGCAAGCCACGAGGAAGTGCTACGCGGAGGAACCTCCAAGCTGCTATGGCGTTCAGCTAAAGGACACCAACACGAATTCGGATACTCTGGAATTTGGAGACAGGTCACTGGCCTCGCAGAAAATGCATCCCCCACCATACGTGCTGACGCCGGCGATTCCTTCAAGTCAAGCCTGACACATACCTGGATTAACGACAGACGTGACTACCCTCTTCTGCCCAGCAAAGGTTATCTCATGAAGACTGTTTCCGAGCTCGCCGGCTACGGACCCCTCAGCGGCGACGCCTCGTTTTTCAAGTCGGAAGCCGAGTCACAGTTTACTCTACCCTTTGGCGATACTGGAATCACATTGACCGCTGGTCTCCGCGGAGGTCTCCTCTACCCGCTCGCACAACGCGGAAGCACTACGCCGCAACAATCCCGTATCAACGACCGATTCCAGCTCGGTGGCCCCACGAGCGTCCGCGGTTTCCGCCTCGCAGGCCTTGGACCCCATGACGGTCCTGATGCTGTAGGCGGCGATGTCTTCGCTGCGGGTGGCGCCTCGCTCCTGTTCCCCGTACCCAGAGTCGGTAAGGAAACCCCACTCCGTCTACAAGCTTTTGTCAACGGTGGGCGTCTGCTATCACTCAAGAACCAAGGCAAAGAAGGCGCCGCTATGGATAGCGCAGCAGTACAGGAAAGCGTCAAGAAGACTGTGGGCAGCTTGACGGATGGATTGCCGAGCACAGCTGCTGGATTTGGTATAGTCTATGCGCACCCTATCGCGAGGTTCGAGATCAACTTCAGCTTGCCTTTGGTCATTAGAGCAAGGGAGGAAGCACGGAAGGGCCTGAGCTTCGGCGTTGGCGTCGAGTTCTTGTAGTGTAGATATATGTCAGGGGTTTGTTCATCAGGAGTGATTGTCGTCTTCAACGAGAGAAGGACGCTGGTGCGTTTGTACAAGTAAAGTAGAGTTTATTTTTGCTAGCAGGCGGGAAAACATAGATGCATACATATATCCATACATGTACGCTTCCACAAGTCTTGTGGAATGAAACATTTTCAACTCGGACTGAAACGTTTTTGTAAGTTGTGTCGTTACGCTATATGCATAATGCAGTATATGCAGCGCAACGCTTCACTGATTGTTTCCGTGCCTAGTACTTGGGTTCATCTCGAGCTAACAACCACTCTTCTCCAACCTCTTGCCACATACCATTTCATACATTTCATATCATCAAAACCCCCTCCCTTATCTCCACCCCCCTACACTACATCCCTCCTCCCAGTCTTCAACCAACCAAGAAGAAGAAAATAATCACCGCAACCCTAGCACAACACGCCTCCACCAAACCGTCTCGGCATCCAAATACCAAGGCGCAACGCTCTCGAAAAAAGCCTCGGGCGAAGGAATAGCTCGCGGGTCGAGATAGGACAGCGCGATGATGAAGACGTCGCAGGTCGTTAGGCTCGTGCGGGCAAAGGCCGAGGCGGTGATGTGGTGCGGCATTTGCGGGTTGTCTGTCGTGGCTGTTTGGTAAAGATCGGGGAATAGGTGAGCTTATATAGTAGAGGTGTATGGATATCTAGGATTGGAAGTACCCGATCAGTATAATCTACATGAACGAATCTCAATGAGCTGTGACGTGGTTGGTTTGCTGCTCTGCCTAATGTTACAGTGTGTGACAATTTCATATTCGGGGGCTACGTACGATGCGGTGTAGAGTATAATTTGTTATGTGGTGGTGAGGATGGTTGGGTGATTTCGTTGGAAGCGTAGGTCGTTCTTGGAGGGCGTGATCATTCCTCCTCTCCTTCTTCTTCTTCTTGGTCAAAAGGTAATTTGACGTTGAAGACGAGGCTGGAGAGAGCTGTAGTATTATCCAGTGTTTATTCGTGTCCTGGGAGACAAAAGATGTTCAAATCGATATCGAGTGTCGGTATTCAGATAGTGATGCTGATAGGGATATCAGCGGGAACGAAAGCGAGCGGGTGAGCCGGGACCAGGATGTCCTTGGTACCGGGATGGACTTTGAATTCATCGATAAGGAGGGTGAGGGAAAAAACAAAGAAGCAAGGTTGAATCGTGGTCCGAAGGCGGTAAAGGTATATCAATTTTGATCGCCAAAACTGAATCCACGAGAACGACAGCAGCAAGAAGAGGGCAGTGCGGTGTAGTACACCGCTTTCGAAAATCGATCGTCGGGCGCAACGCCTTATCGATGGTTCATCCCTGCTATGATCTGTTCTCGCTCACGAATGTTTGGATCAAAATAGATCTTGTATGGCACTATAGCGATCTGAGAGAGGCAAAAGTTTGGGAGGCCTGCTTTGCAACGTGGGAGCAATCAGTGTGTGGGGCCATGCGTAGAGCGGGTCTCTTGCGCAACACGTATCTCTACTTCTCACAGCCCGAACCGTTGAGAGTTACGAGAGCGGGTGGCAACAGTAAGCTCAAGCCTGAGTATGCACCGGGTAAGCGTGTCTGGGAAGAGTGCCAGTGTCGCGGTAGATGGAGCAGCGAAGTGAGAACTGCACATCGCTATTCTTCATTCAGGCAGGTCGGTGCTTTTGAGAGATTATCAAGATTCATTTGTACATGTATCCCTTATACCGATCGTAGCTTTCCACATTCCTTTCTCCTGGTTTGGCGGGTTCTGCAATGTGGATCAGCAGGCGTCCTTTCCTGCGGGACGATTCGTTTGCGCGCCAATGAGCATGGCCTAACTGGGAACAGGTATGTAGACAGAAAATGATGTGCTACGCATGGTAGCAGTTCCTTGACGGCATCGGCTTGCTCCGATTGTCAAATGGCAAACCGTTAGTCAGACTTGGTCGCATGGGGACGGGTGAAGTTATTGGAGCGGCGTAGGTGGTCAGCAGGACACTACCGTCTCGCTTCGTGGTGACGTGCAGCAAATGGTGGTGAGTGGCTGGGCATGGTGCCCTGCGTAGCTAAACAACGATTGATTAGTTTTTGCTGGATGGAGGTGATTGTCTGGCAAGTGGCAAAGGCACCATGCAGGGAAGAGGGATGCAAAGCAGTTGAAAGTGGCCGAAATCAGGACAAAAAACCTGCTAAGAATCACACTGGCGCACATGCTGCTGGTCTCCTATTGTACATGATGAACAACGGTGCGAGGCTGTTTGTATATTACACTACATGTGGACTTCAAGATTGATTCCGTCAAGTGTGTCAAAACGTGATAAACGTGACTTGGGCGAAGTTTGGTTCCACGACTATTTGCAAAGCACACGTGTGATTCCAGGGGCAGATATATATATGTAGTCTTGAGATGTGAACAGATAATAAACCATCATGTTACATGAACGGAGCTCCCAGCATCCATCTGGACTGAGCGTGGAGGCAGTCAAGAAAGGCGCGAACGGGTATGTTTGAACAGGAGGTGATCCGGTCGAACTGGTCATCACACAGTTCTTAGGCCGGACATGGCCATGTAGAGGTTGTATTGAAATGTGACGTCCTGTGTGAAGCTGCTCATACTGATACAGCATATCAGCGTAACTTGGGGCAACATATTTGTACATGGAACAATTCGTAGTACACTGAGGAATCAGTAGGTCATAAGAAAAGGCTGTAGCTCTCCAGTCTGCTACATAAATACCCTTCTCTCGACAATCCTGAAAGACGAGGAGAAAAAAGGCAAGAAGGCAAGAAGAGAGGGCGGAGAACGAATCCATTGTGGGATTCTGGTCAAAAGTCCGAGCAATCGCAACCAGTGGTGCACAATCGATCAATCCAATGTGTACCTGGCCTGGATACACTGGCAAGTAGTACTGTGCTCGGGTGCGATGCCCAAAGAGGTATTCTACACGTTGGGGCTGCGGGAGTCGTATAGACTTGTGATTGTGGCTTGCTTGGATCGCCTTCTGATCCTCGATAGTGTAGTGCAGCATGTCGGAGACGTGAGAGCAAACGCATGGGGATGGGGGGCCGTGTTTCTGTTCATGGTCACGATCGGCGAAGGAGGAGAAGGACCAACAGTGAACGGACAGGGGCACGCACGCGACTACCCGACCGAGTGAAGTAGCCGAGCTCCAGCGAGGTAACCGTACCGTTGGTCTACAGCGGGTATTGATGCTAAAGAATGCCACCCACCAACGTTATGCTCCAATCATCAATCCAAAACGCTGCAGAACAAGCATGACGATCTCGAGGTTCAGTTGCCTCAATATCATCATCGTATGCATTACGGCCACCGAACATGAGGAGATTGATGGTCTGTTGACCAATAGCCACTCACGCCTGCTGGATACTCGTCTTCACAGCACCCTCCATCTTCGTGGTGGTGAGGAGTTGGTCGCTCAGATCTGCTAACCAAGTTGGATAGTATATACCTTATGCATACAGAAATGTTATCGAGTAGCAAATAGCATCAGAGCACGTATACCCGGCATGTTGGTTCTCAACAGGTGCCATGATTCCAGTCCTGCTGCTGGGCGCTCCAGCTTCAGACATACCATGGTCAGTTGAAACCTCGTATGCAGACTCGCCTGATACCAGCCACCAAAGCTTCAAATCAGTGTCCACAAGACAGGACGTCAGTGCACCGAAGGCCGTTCGATGCTTGTTCCGGCGCCGCAATTGGCAGACAAGGATTCATGCCAATACGCTATACCAGGCACCTACCCTTGACCCTGGTCCTACCCCAGAATCCCACGATGCTGCTTCACTTGGCTGATTGCGGGGTTCCGTCCCTCTGTCACGTCAGTGAATGCGGCTTGGTGTACACAGAAGCAGGGGGGCGCCTCGACGTTCGTTTCCCTCGCAAACGCTCTGACGCCGTCTCTATAAGAGCGTGTGCTGCCCACCCTCCTATCCACTTCCTGTGCTTCGCCCTGTCCGTTCACCCACGACCACCGCAGTACCACGGCTAGCAAAATGAAGGTAAACTCAATCAAATGCTTGGACGTATTCTTTAAAAAGTCTGACTCTTACTTTTAGACCTTTTACAACGTCTATGCCATCTGCGCCTTCGCCGCCATTGGCGGTGGGCTGTTTGGTTTCGATATTTCGTCCATGTCCGGTGTCCTGGGAACCAACGCGTACAAGAACTACTTCAATTACCGTACGTGCGCATTGAATAATGCCTCGATTCTCAGGGAGAGAATCACGCTGACCTACCTGCAGCTTCCGGTACTCGTCAAGGTGGAATCACTGCCTCGATGCCTGCTGGCTCTCTGGTTGGAGCTCTGGCCTCTTCCTTTATTGCAGATCGCCTCTCTCGGCGGAGTGCTATCCAGATCGCTGCTGCAATCTGGATTGTTGGCTCCATCTTCCAAGCTGCATCTAACGGTGTCGCTCTCTTGTGCTTTGGTCGTGTTGTGTCTGGTATCTCTATTGGCATCGCCTCCGCCATGGTGCCTGTCTATCAGTCCGAGATTGCCCCCAAAGAGATTCGTGGTCGTGTTGTTTCACTTCAACAATGGGCAATCACTTGGTAAGTTTCACTTTATTTTTTCACTTTGCTTCTCGCTTTACTCTTTGCCAACGCTCTTCAATCTCCATATTCCCTAACACCATTTTAGGGGAATCTTGATCCAATACTTCATCCAATACGGTTCGTCTTTCGTCGGTGGCGGCCCAAAAGCCCCCAATCAAGGCACTGCGGCGTTCCGAATCCCTTGGGGCATCCAGGCTATCCCCGGTGTCATTCTGCTAGTTGGACTGTTCTTCTTCCCATACTCCCCCCGATGGCTTGCTTCCAAAGACCGCTGGGAAGAGGCACTCACCGTGCTTGCCCACCTTCACGGCGGTGGCGACTTGAATCACCCCAAGGTCCTTGCCGAGTACAAGGAGATCGAAGATGCTTTGCGGTTCGAACGCGAAGTTGCCGAGACATCCTTCGCAGCCCTGGCCAAACCACGCATCCTCAAGCGCGTCCTTCTTGGAATGTCTATCCAGATGTGGTCGCAGCTCTGCGGAATGAATATAATGATGTACTATGTTGTTTTCATCATGCGCGGGGCCGGTATTGCAGATGAGCTTCTCACTGCCTCCGTTCAGTACATCATAAATGTTGCTTTGACGCTCCCCGCGATCATTTGGTTGGATAAAGTGGGACGTAGACCGGCTCTTTTGGTTGGCTCCGCGTTGATGATGAGCTTTCTCTTCATATCCGGTGCTCTCCAGGGTGCATATGGCCATAAGAATCCTGATAAGACCGATAAAGATATTTCCTGGGTAATTGGAAAAGAGCACGCATCGGTCTCCAAGGCTATAGTTGCTTGCTCATATCTCTTTGTGGCTTCTTTCGCGACGACTTGGGGCCCAACCTCTTGGACATATCCCTCTGAGATATTCCCTTCAAAAGTTCGTGCGAAGGCTGTGTCACTTTCCACTGCGGTACGCATCCCCCGAAACTCCCCTATACGTTCTCAACTAATAAAAATTGATTCTATAGGCCAACTGGACCTGGAACTGCATTCTAGCGTTTGCTGTTCCCCCACTTTTGTGGAGCATCAATTGGAAGATGTACATGATCTTCGGTGCATTCAATGGCGCTGCTCTTGTCCACGTAAGTCTCTGTGACCTTCAGTTCTTCACATAGCACTAATCGACTCAGATGTTTTTAACCGCTCCTGAGACCAAAGGAAAGACCCTCGAGGAGATGGACGATGTCTTCGATAGCGGTATTCCCGCCTGGAAGACTCGCGCCACCACCTCACGTCTTGACCAGCTTACTCACGACATCGAGACTGGCGAGGTCAAGGTTTCACACGGTAATACGACGACCGTGACTAAGGGTTAGGTTGCTTCATCTCTGTGAAGCCGATATTGTGGAAAATCTTGTCACTTCTGGTGTGTTCTCATAAATTGATGTTGGAAGGTTACATTGGATTTGGAATTAGCCAGAGTACAACGACGAGATAGCAGAATACCCTCATTCAACGAGTTTCTTGATTAGTGAGTGGAAAGGTTCCATGTTATACCCCTCTTTACCTTCCACGTGTGGACTATAGTGGCTATACTAGCTATCAGGCGAGCCGAGACTTTTATCGACTGGGTCAATTGAAACAATCTATTCTAAAAACCAAGTGAAAGACCAGGCTTTTATATAATTTTCTCTATTTCGTGTGTTAATAGTAAGTATGTCTTCTGATTTTGAATCCATCTACTCTGTCTCTCTTTCCTGCCATCTGTCTCTGTCCGTAAAACTAAACATTAATTTTCAATTTATATGAAGTTGAAACACGCCCCATATCCATATCTCATGACGCTTTTCCAGGAGAGAATTTTACTACAGAAGTTCGCAAGTGCTAAGTCATTGGAGGAAGCGCGTGTTAACAGGTATGATTCATAAGTTGGTGTCTGGATGATTCTAGATACAGCAATAGTTATCACGATAAAAGGACCACAAAAGGGGGATTGTCAGAAAGTTAATATATTTTTTTTCCCTAGGATGGAGCTTAGGTAATCCTACACCCAGCGAAAGGGTTACAGCGATAATAGACTAAAATAACGAGAGATGACTAAAAAGACATGCGAATTTTGCCTTTACACAAGCTTATTGCAATAAGCAAAAGCAGGGATTGGGGGGCACCCCTCTGATAAGTTATAAATCTGTATTCTATGCAATCTGTGAGTAGACAGCCTTTGTGTAGATCTCTCATAATGAGATAATACACCTAGGTTTTTGCTTTATGCTTTGCAGTGTTAGATATATGGGCTTATAATATCAGCTTGCCTGTAAAAGCCCAAGCCGTCGCTGTTGCTCTTGTGTTTTCTGGATGTCGAAATTGCGGTTAGCTGGCTCAGACACAGCCCGCAATGAAAACAATTCGTCATTTTAAGACTCTAGTTATTCCGATGAGAATTTACGCCCGGTACATGAAACGGTGCCTTGGGGTAAGATGGATTTCTAGAACCGGAAACCCCTCGTATGACTGGACAACAGAAGGCGCATGCTCTAATGGTTTATAACGAGCATTTCCGACGTTATTTCATCCGGAAGTGTGATTAGAAACAAGTAAAAATACTACTAAGTTCTTGTGATCGGATCCTGCCAAGATATCACCAAGCCATGTTCGTCTGGTTGGGCGTGATCTTACTATAGGCTCGCCCGCTTATAAATTACGCCCTGTCTATTTTAGACGTTGAAGGGCGATGAAGAGGAGTGCGACGAACGCCCCATGTGCCCATTGACCTTAGAAGGATTTGAAGATCACCGAATGGCGGGATGACATGATGCGAACTTGGAGTTGGGCGACATTCAAATAGATCGAGAAGCTGCGCTTTTGTTTCCATAGCACCGAACTCACATTCTTTAAACTAATTACAGCCCTACATTCTTTACACCAGCTTTGAGCTTACGTTCTTTCATTTACATTACAGTCATTCGTTTTTTCATCATGAAGCTATCGTTTTTGCTACCTTTGTTTGCTTCCTTAGTCTTTGCCGAGAACGACAACGACGCAAAAACTGTCGCAGACCTTGGAAGAATTGGGAGATTTGGCTATTACAAAGAAAATCGGAGAAATGCAATCTCGGAAGCATGCGATTTATACTGCAAGAATCATCCAAACTCTCACGCGAGTGGATGTGATTTGTCGAAGTGTAATGTTCAACTAGACGGTTCGGTTTCGGAAATATCATGGACGCAGACGACACATGATGCTGCGGAGATAACTGCAACGTCAAACATAAGCCCGGCATTGGAGAAGAGGAAGGGTCCCAAGTCCAAGCCACCAAAAACCCAATCATCAGACACCGCAACGCAGACTAGGCCGACGGAGACTGCAACAGAATCAGAGCCAGAAGAAACTTCCGGGTCGGAGCCTGAGGAGAGCGAAGATCCAGCAGCCGAAGAGGGTGAAACCGAAGACGAAGACTGTGAGACTGAGGAAGACGATGAGACTGAGGAGGAAGGTGAGACTGAGGAAGAAGGTGAGACTGAGGAGGAAGGTGAGACTGAGGAGGAAGGTGAGACTGAGGAAGAAGGTGAGACTGAGGAGGAAGGTGAGACTGAAGAAGTGGACGAGACCGAGGAGGAAGGTGAGACTGGAGAAGTGGACGAGACCGAGGAGGACGGTGAAATTGAGGAGGACGGTGAAATTGAGGAGGACGGTGAAATTAAAGAAGATGGCGAGACTGAGGAGGACGGCGAGATTGAAGAAGATAGTGAAATCGGAGAAATGGACGAGACTGAAGAAATGGACGAGACTGAGGTGAACGATGAGATCGAGGAAGATGATCAAATAGAGGAAGATGGCGAGATCGAGGAAGACGGTGAGACTGGAGAAGTGGAAGAGACCGAAGGAATTGCCGATGAGGAGACCGAGACTGTTGAAGAAGACGGGTCTGAGGGTGACGAAACCGAAGGCGAGGAGACTGATGAGCCAGTTAGCGAAGAACCGTCTAATGAAGAAGAGCCAACCGAAGATCCAACTTCTGAAGATCTACCTGAAGAGGACGACCCGACCGAAGAACCGTCTAATGAAGAAGAGCCAACCGAAGATCCAACTTCTGAAGATCTACCTGAAGAGGACGACCCGACCGAAGAACTGTCTGAAGAGGGTGTCCCGACTGAGACCGAAGAGCCAGATTCTGACGAGCCGATTGAAGAGCCGACTGAGATCGAAGAGCCAAATTCTGACGAGCCGACTGACGAGCCGACTGAAGAGCTAACTGAAGAGGACGAGCCGACTGAAGAGGAAGAGCCGACTGAAGAGGAAGAGCCAGCTGAAGAGGACGAGCCGACCGAGACCGAAGAGCCAGATTCTGACGAGCCGGCTGACGAGCCGACTGACGAGCCAACTGACGAGCCGACTGACGAGCCAACTGAAGAGCCAACTGAAGAGCCAACTGAAGAGCCAACTGAAGAGCCAACTGAAGAGCCAGCTGAAGAGGACGAGCCGACCGAGACCGAAGATCCAGATTCTGAAGAACCGTCTGACGATGATATCCCAGCTGATGAAATCGAAGATCCATCTATTGAGGATGAACCGGCGGATGTCCCAGAAGAAGAGACTGAAGAGCCAAACACTGAAGATCCATCTATTGAAGACGAACCAACGGATGAGACTGAAGAGCCAACCACCGAAGACCCTTCCGAGGAGGATATTCCAGCCGATGAGACTGAGGAGCCAACTGAAGAGGAAATCCCAGCTGATGAGACTGAGGAGCCAACTGAAGAGGATACCCCAGCTGATGAGATTGAAGAGCCATCCGCCGAAGATCCATCTGAAGAGGGTGAAACGACTGAAGACCCATCTAATGAGGAGGACCCAACCGAAGAGACCGAAGAGTCAGCTTCCGAGAATTCGTCTACTGAGAGCGAACCGACTGAAACTGCCAGTGGGACGGCCTCGACGACATCTAACGTTCCCACCACACTGATCAAGACAACAACGTCCAAGCCTACGACGGCATCGGCTCCTACGTCTAAGACTACATCAGCATCAGCTTCTGTGACGTCTGGATCTACAATCACATCGGCTTCCGAACCGACCTCACAGCCTACAAAGCAAGCGGGCACTGCTAAATCGTCGAATAAAGGCAAGTCTCATAAGAAGAACACCTAACGCGACTCAAGGGTAAAGTTGCAAGACAATGAACGACAAATGCTAGTTTGTGCTTGAAGTTTTACCGCCGATAAATTTCCGCATCATTGGTACCGTATATCAGGTCTTGGTAATCCCGATGTCCTTGGGATCCTCGACTCTTAAGGCTTCTACGCCGCTTACTGTGCAGCCTTTTACTTCCATACATTCTTTGAATTATTTTTTAGCTTTGTAGTTCTTTTTCTTTTCTCCGTCGATTCATATCTCGTATTCGACTTTATAGATAATACAATTCATTTTCGGTGCTCCACTGTTTCCAGTTCAGCCAGGCTCACACCCCATTTATCTTGACCTATTAGTGCTAGTGGCCTGATCTCATGCAAGAGAGTGAAAAGACTGAACAGAATACAATGAATGACTGAAACAGTAGGCACATGGTTATTCACACGAAAGCGAGCTGTTTAGTTACCGGTTCCCAATGTTAACATTGACTCATTGACTTATGGTCCCCATAACGACATGTAGAACTGCGAGATAGCAAAGTATGGAGAAGGTCAAAATCATTAGGTATCGTTACAATGATCATAATCGCAACCATGCAACAGTATGTAGATCATCTCTCATGCCCTCTCATCTCTACCTACACTCTTCACCCAACAACGACGTCCAAAACTCTTCGCTCTACTTTCCTAACCTCAACCCACCCATCCTCCTCTAGCCGAACAATAGTTCCGTCCACGCATATTCTCCTCCACCGCCCTTCGCCCTCTTTCCCTTCAAACGCGATCCTCAGCCCTTCCAGACTCTCGTACCGCACCAACGGATCATCGACATGCTTCCCGCCTTGATATGCCAACCCCATAATCCTCATCGCCTCGTCGCCAGTCGTAGGGCCGAACTGTACCAGATGCAAACTTCCGTCCAACGGTTTTGAAGCAGGGGAGATACAAAGTGGCTTTTCGAGGTTAGACACCATAGTCGCGAGAACATACATATGTTCTTGTGCGGCATCATCCATCAACGGAGTCCATTCACTATTTTGAAGGATAGAGACAGTGGCGCGGTAGGTGTGCGGAGCGGAACCGTCAGAGGGGTATAGCGCTTCTTTGGCGGCCATTTGGAAGCGCTGGACGCCGAATTTGCGGTACTCGGCGGTGTCGCTGTCGGCGACGAGCGAGGCATGCATGCCCCAGCTACATACGACGGCGCCATGGAGGGTGGGGAGGTGTGTAATGGGATGTTTTGGGAGGGCCTGTTCGCTGCGGGCTTCATCTACGAGTATGCGGGCACCTGATGAGAAGGAAGCTGTGAAAATTGGGAGAGGCTTGGTGTGCGTGCTGGCTAGATTGCGGAGACCCCATGTTGAGTCGGTAGTGGTGGCATTGATGGAATGGTAAAGGGCATTTGCAGTGCCTAGGGGAATGAGCACTACTTGAGGGGTTTTGTGAGTTTTGGAAGTGGGACTGGAGAGGAGGGAATTGAGAAGGTCGATGATGCCACCGTCGCCGGAGAGGAGTATGATGCGGACAGAAGTACCGGCGTTTGCGGTGGGAAGAAATACGTCGGAGGCGAGTTCTTTGATCGTCTCTGGTGACTTGGTGTGGTGGAGAATGAAGTTCAGATGACCCTTGGGGTAGAGGGTTTCCAGGACGGGCTGTACGACTTGTGCGTAGAAGGATGTGGCCTTGTTTGTGCCTGAGGCGGTAGAGACAATGATGTGCGTCTCTGTGTCACTTGTATCAGGGGGTTGGGCGGTGTGGGGAGCGTCTCCCTGGGCAATTGTCAACTTTGGTGTAGCAGATGTGTCGTCCCCCTCGTGTTCAAGGTATATGATGGTCGAACTCCCGTGCTGATTGGCAATGGATGCGACCAGGTCCTTGCTCTTGATGGTCTGAGGCTCACCAGCCTCGTTTTTGAAATGGAAATTCTCCGAATCAGCCATGGCGCAAATCGTGTTGAACTCGTTTAGGTGGTTTCAACGTCGAAGCATACATGAATAGCTGACATGTTTCGACACGAGCACGATTGGTCCGTTTGTTCAGAGGGAAAATGCCCCACTACATGTAAACGCAACCGCCGTGTATGCGAGCTGTCAACAATAAACAGGGCCCAAGACATGTGCTCAATACAACGTCTTGTTTGATTCTTCCTGCCTGCCTCGCACCAGCTGCTCGTACGGGACTCGCGCTGACACACCAAGCAGCAATTCACCCATCAGCAAGCAAGCTACACACCAACTAACCAACCCGTGTACGGCTGAGCGCTTTACGTCATCCTGTGAATCCGCTTAGCTTCTTTCCCAGCTCAGCCGGAGCCCAAGGCCCTCCGCCAACTCTCTCACCACATTGGAACCCCCAGAATACGACCTTCGAGGCACTTTTGGTCGTTGCTCTGTCCTGTCGTCTAGTCTACGCCCTGTTAGCCTGGACGCCCTCTTATTTGGTTTTGCGCGCCCGAGCATTTCGTTGTCGCTTCAGCTCGCGGGTTCAGCCTCTTGTCCCCTCCTGCTCCGCCCGCTGACACCTGACAACTGGTCTGCGCTGCCCTCATTGACCACCACCCGGCATCCATCTGTACACACAAACCGAGCCCGCAATTTATCCGAAGGCATTCTGGTGCTGTCAGCATAACCTCTCCTCAACCCATCTCCCTCACCTCCACAGCGCAAACCCTCCGAAAGTCCCCAATTCCAACCGGGAACAGAGAGCATCAGGAAAAGAACTCCTTCCCCTACAAAAACAGAAGACGCCCTCTTTGGTAGAGGAACGCACTCTACCCAATCGCCCAAAATGAACGGCTTCGTAGTCTTCATCATAATTCTCATCATCGTCGTCCCCCTCGGTTACGGAGGCTGGGTCTTCTATTCGCGCAACCGCGCCGCGAAACTCGGTCTTCCACCACCGTCCCTCAACCCTTTCGCGCGCAATACATCGTCGGCGCAATCGTCAAACTATCCCGGCCCCGCCCCCGTCGGCATCAAAGGTTGGTTCGACGCGCAGATCTACAAGTTCAAAAACCGCAACAATCGCACGGCAGCCGGATCATACGAGCCTTCCGCAGGAGGCGCGGGAGGCTACAGCGGCCGCGGCGCAGGGAGTCGGTTAGACCCCGACGAAGCGTGGGATGCGCGCGTCGGTAACGAGGCGTACTACGAAGAACAGGAATTGGGACTCCACGAACCGGCCGGTGGACGTGGAGGTCGCTCCCAGACCGCGAATCCGTTCGAAAGCGAGCCATTCGGCAACGAGCACCGCGAGAGAGGGAGGAGTCGCACCCGCGAGTATGATGATGGGCAACAATTCCAGCAGCAGCAGCATATGCAAAATCCGTTTGGGGATGACAATGCCGCGAGTCTGAGAGGTGTCAGCCCGAGGCCGATGGATCATGGCGTTGACACGAGTTATGGGGGTGCTGCGAGCGCCGGTGGTGCCGCAGCACCGGTACAGCAGAAGAAGCCGAAGAAGGCGGGAAGTGTGGACAGCGAGAGTTTAAACGACACAAGAAGAAGTCTGTTCAGGGAGGATATCTGAGTGCGAGGGTATATCCATTGGGGAGTTTGTCTGTGTGATTTTTTCTTCTCTTCTTTTTGTGGTCTTCTGGGGCAGAGGCAGACAAACATTACTGCTTGTATGAAAATGACATGTGTATTTTTCAGGATAGGGGAGTGCGGTCGTGATTGCTGTATTCAAGATGTGTTCGCTTCATGGTCAGTGGGAAATGTTCTTTCCTGGCGTTATTTGGCCTTTCTCTTCTTTACATCCGCCCAGCTAGGCACACATACCCGGTCCTAGGAAGGAGCAGCCTGGAAGGAACAAGACTTTTCGTGTACATCTTCCATCACCGCATAGGTAGACTTTCTCAAATGCCATAATGTGTCTAACCTATACATACATGTACATATACTCTATGTAAGATCCATTTCATTCCTTATTGAGCACGTCGAACACGTTGAAACTTTGCCGACCATTGACTTCTTTCTTTCGCCTGCCCTTTCGTTCCGCTTCACGCTGCTTTTTTCTCATCTTCTTGCTCGATGTCTTCTCATTCGGAATCTCCAACTGGTGCACGGCGTACAAGTCCGGAAGAAACCTCCGCAGCGCTTCTGCGTTGGCGGTCACCGCTTTCTCCTGGCCAGGCACCAAGAATAGGTTTTCGATAGAAGGCATCGTCTTGAACCATTCGCGGAGACTCTCGAGGGCTTGATAAGCATAAGGCGTTGAGCTCGAAGATTGAGCGTTGAGGCAGAACGAGACACATTGCTTCAGTATACGCAGGGAGTATAAGACGGCGTGGTAACGAGCAGCGAGGTGAACAAAGTCCCATGTTTTATCGAAATCGCCAATCACAACCCGCAGCAGCAACGATACTTTGGGAGGCGAGGGAGTCATTGCTAGGAGAAGATCAGATGCTATGAGTTGCCAGGTCAGTTCTGTGGGTGTGCGATTGGCCTGTAGCCGGTCCAAGGAGACTCTCATAATAGAGTCGAATCCCGTGGCAGCCGCCAACATGTCTGGATGATTGAGTAAGCTGAGCGGCTGGATGGCAGCTATTTGTGCTTTGCGTACGTATTCCCTCAAAACATGAGCGGATCCATGCAATCCCTGTGTGAGGTCACTTTCCAAGAGATTACCATGAACGAGTACCGAGTATGCAAGGATGCGTAGGTCTTGGCCAAAATTCCAAGCAGATGCACTGTTGGGATCTTCCACAAGGAGTGGGAGGTAGACAACTGGTGAAGAGTCACCGTTCTGCAACCGATGAACCAGCTCGGATATCCTGACATCCAGATGCTGGGGTATGCTTGATAATCTATCAAATATTGCAGGAATTTCACGTAATATGGGGTACGGCTCAGATGTGCCAGGTCTCTCGTACCGCCTGCTAAAGTCGATATAATCTTTGGATTCGACGTCGACCTTCTTGGCCTGTTCCACCAAGGCGTTGAACGTCTGGTGTTTGTCCAGTACGAGGCAGTAAGCAAATGGTACGAGACTGGACCGACTCATAGACTGCGCCATCTGCGCTGGAGAGTAGCCTTTGAACTCTGGCTCGGACATGAGTTCGATGTCATTAAAGAACATGATGCGAGTTTCGGTAGGGTACTCATACAGTAGCATGTCAGAGTCGCTACTGAATATAATAGAACAAGGATGTGCATATGCGCAAGATGCGCAGGACTCATCAGCCTCACCCGCCACGACCCAGGTGACTTGAGCAAATCGACCATGGTTCAAAGATTCCCTCAAAGCTGGAGCAAGAAATGAATAGGAAACTGAGCCCAGAGGAGAGGGCACAGGACATGCGGTAGCTGCATAGTAGCTCCTCAGAAGCTTCACTCGCTGGTTATTCTGGTTGAGTCTGGAAATCCGTTCATCTGTCTTTGCGAGCGGGAGGGCGCCATCGAATAATATGGCAGATCTGGAAGATGCAGCGTTAGTTGCAGAGAATCAAACGCATGATCGAAGGTGCATTATGCAGACGTTGCGCGTACTTGGTGCAGACTGCATCACAGCCGCGCGACTGCATGCAGCACATTACTTGGCCTCGCCAGCTTTATATTTGCAAGACTGATGTCCAAAGAGACAAGAAACGCAGCAAAGCTGATGCGGTGTGAGCAATCCCAACAAGAGCGTGTAATACCACATCCCGGTAGTATAGTGGCCATTGGGGTGGTGCGTGACTGGTATTGCCGGCATGGAGAAAAGACGGGATTAAAAAGCGACGATACGGATGAGTTGGTCACTCACACTTTGATATTGAGTGCTTCTAGAGCATTTAGCCAAGCAAAGGCCAATCGATTGATGTCTGCGTAGGATGGGATACGCGGTTGGTGGTCAATCTCCAGAAGAGCAAGCCTATGGGCATGGTATGCTAAGGATGGGCCATCGATGATGGCTTGGTAACCGGACAGGTCTTCATGTCGGTATCGGGTAGCATGGGGTTCCAGGCAGCGAGTCAGACCGGCAATGCCCATAGTAGATGGCAACGGCAGCACGCTACTCGAGAAGTAGATGAGGCGCGAGGATCAGTGGGGTGACCAAGGAGGCGACGAATCGGATCGAAGTGATGAGCGCAATGAAGAAATGTTGAAGCGAGCTGCAGTGTATATACCATGTATGCGGATAGGTATGCGAAAATAACCAGGTGGCTTGTTGAGGCTGGGTGTCGTGGTGATATGCCAACGGTGCTTGGGTGGTGGAGTGCAGATGGTGAATCAATTTGGGGGTGGTGCAGTTCGCGTTGGGATGCAGTGCATGATGAGCTTGATGGATGTCGTAGGGGAGAGAGAGGGAGGGAGAGGGAGAGAATTGTTGAAGCCGAAGGCATTTGTTGTTTTTCTGTCCACAGGCAGGCAGGCGACGAGAATGAGGGAGAAAGGCGTCAAGATTAGCGGCTCGCAGTGTGGGACAGTGGCGAATCAGGCGCAGAGGAAGAGCGAGTGGGACGAGGCCAGTGCGTGCGTCATCCCGCAATGGCAGTAGCAGGTGGGGGAAAGTCGATTGCAAGTCAACGCATAACAGCGGCCAGCTCCCCTTCTTCCACCCTCTGCACCACACCGCCTCTCCTCCATCTCCCCCGAATTGCACGCTCCAATCCCACAATGAGCACTCGAACCGTCTCCCTCAAGCCTTTTACCGACCAAAAGCCCGGAACGTAAGTGTCTCGCAATCAATCTCTCGCCTGTCCTGCCTGCAGAGCTGTATATATTCCCACCACGCTTAACCGCCTCTGTAATTACATCAATCTTCCACTCGGCAGCCCAACGATGGATACATATTGCATTTCCCCAGATATCCCCCCAATGTTCCCCCCAGAAGACTATGGCTGACTCGTGGTTCCGCACCAGCTCCGGCCTACGAAAGAAGGTCAAGGTCTTCCAGCAGGAGAACTACTCCGAGGCTTTCGTGGCCAGCATCCTCCAGTCCATCCCTGAAGGTGTACAAGGCTCTTTCCTTGTTGTTGGTGGCGATGGACGCTATTGGAACCCTGAAGTCACTCAGCTCATCGCCAAGATCGGTGCAGCATACGGTGTCAAGAAGCTGTTGATCGGCCAGAATGGCATTCTCAGTACCCCTGCCGCTAGCAACATCATCAGGATACGGAAGGCAACTGGTGGTATCTTGCTCACTGCCAGCCACAACCCTGGAGGTACCGCAAGCCACTCATTTACTTCTCCAATACAAAACACTGACACATACCAGGTCCTGACGAGGATTTTGGTATGAAGTACAATCTTTCCAACGGTGCCCCTGCTCCCGAGAGCGTCACCAACAAGATCTTCGAGGCCTCAAAGAACCTCACGTCGTACAAGATTGCAGACATCCCCGATGTCGATTTGTCCACCATCGGCACCCAGACTTATGGTCCTCTCGAAGTGGAAATTGTCCACTCCACCGAGGACTACATGACCATGTTAAGAGAAATCTTCGACTTTGATCTCATCAAGTCGTTCCTTAAGAAACACCCCGACTTCAAAGTCCTGTTCGATGGCCTGAGCGGTGTCACGGGCTCCTACGGTATCGACATCTTCGAGAAGGAGTTCGGTATCCCCAACAGCACCCAGAACTGCATCCCCAAGCCCGACTTTGGTGGACACCACCCCGATCCCAACTTGGTGTACGCAAAGTCTCTTGTTGATGCTGTCGACAAGAACGGCATCCACTTCGGCGCTGCAAGTGATGGTGACGGCGACCGGAACATGATTTACGGAGCCAACTCTTTTGTGTCACCCGGAGACAGTCTGGCTATCATCGCACACCATGCAGAGCTCATCCCTTGGTTCAAGAAACAAGGCATTTACGGTCTAGCCCGAAGCATGCCCACCTCTGGTGCTATTGACTTGGTTGCGAAGAAGAAGGGTGTGCAGTCTTACGAGGTGCCGACTGGCTGGAAGTTCTTCTGTGGTCTATTCGATGCAGACAAGATGAACATCTGCGGTGAGGAGAGCTTTGGAACGGGAAGCAACCACATCCGTGAGAAGGATGGCCTCTGGGCCGTCGTGGCCTGGCTCAACATCCTTGCGGGTGTTGGCGAGCAAACTGGCACCACGCCTAGCATTGCATCCATTCAGAAAGACTTCTGGAAAACATACGGCCGTACCTTCTTCACCCGATACGATTACGAAGGCTGTGAGACTGAGGGTGCTAACAAGGTGGTTGCCCACGTCAAGGAGCTTATCACTACCAAGAAGGATGAATTTGTTGGCTCGACCGTATCCGGCCGCAAGGTTCTCGAAGCTGACGACTTCTCCTACACTGATCTCGACGGAAGTGTAAGCAAGAACCAGGGCATCTACGTCAAATTCGACGACGGTAGCCGAATCGTCGTTCGCTTGTCAGGTACAGGCAGCAGCGGCGCTACAATCCGTCTCTACGTCGAGAAGTACGAGAACGATGAGTCCAAGTATGACTTGGATGCGCAGGAGTATCTCAAGGACAACGTCAAGCTGGCGACGGATCTGCTCCAGCTCCAGGAGCACATTGGTCGCACTGAGCCCGACGTCAAGACCTAAATGCGAACAAAGTGCGAACGCAAGAACGGATTGGGATACATTAATGGCAACACATTTGACGAGACATGAAAAGAACGAATTGATTGATTGCGTGGCAGGCCCAAAGCGAAAAAGCAAGCATGTAGCTCAATAATCATAGACTTTGCTTCTCCCATTGTAGTTCCAATATGTGTCTTCCACGCTTTCTTAGCAACATGTGAATGCGACGGGCGACATCGCTATGCTGACCCTGTCTACAATCTGGCATAACACGGTACAGAATGAGAGTATTGTGAAGAATGGCTGTTGTTTGTGAGTTGTCTGTCCTACTTTTCACAAGATACACATGATCTAGCTACTCCATGCATGGAGTGCCTCTTGTATGCCGGGGTCTACATTACCAAGGATGACCATTGAATAATAGAAAGTTTAGGTTCAGTAAGTACTACGGGTATTACGGGTGTACAAAGAAGATCCCCAGAGCCACACTCACCTTGCCATGTTGCTGCTGCTGCTGCGATTCAACAATCCAGTTGTCACTGTCAACACCGGTCTAGCCTCTTTGAACACGTAACCAACTTCCTCACGATCCAAACTGATTATATCCCATCCCACATGTGTAGAGTTACTCATCCGCACGAGGGAAAAAAAGGGGGAAATATCTAGGTATCCAGTGACGAAACAGAATCTAATCCTCCACGCCGCTCATCCACCCTCAAAACCTACGAAGCTGGCGCAGCAGCCTCCTCGTAGATCGGTGGCGTGACATCGGGATGGTACGGGCTCTTCGCCTCCTTGGCCTTTGCATCGTCAAAGAGCCAAATGCCATTCGTTTGGCTTTCGTTCAGTGACTCGCCGAGCTGCGCCGCAAGTTTCTCCACGACGGGGGATTTGTCAGTGCGCGAAAAGAAGCGGCGCTGCCACTCGCGGCCTTCTTCCTTTTCCTGCTTGCGCATGTTGCGCTGGCGGTTCTCGATAATGGATTTCTGGTATGATGTCGTATCCATGTCGCCCGCGACGATGGCGTCTGCGACTTTTTTCCACGCTCGGCGCGTTTCGAAGTCGTCTTGCTGCTCGATGGGGGAGACGGTTAGGGGCGTGGTTTTGGTTTTGGCGTGATCAAAACTGTCAATGACCTATTTTGCATGTTGGTCAACGTTTGATTCTTTTTTGGGGAATAGCTCCTAGGCATGACCGCGCGCGCTAGACAATCCCGAGCTTGGGGTTGTACGTACCTCTTTGCCTTTGCCATCTTTGATGGTGAACGCGCCGTTCCATTGGCCATCAACTGTGTAGATTGACTCCTTCTTTTTGTCTTGATGGTATAGCGCTGCGGTGAAGGAATTTGACTTGCCGCTGAGCCATCCGCGACCACTGTAGTCGATCTTCGCAGCGTAGCCACTCGATGACTGTATGTAAGTTTGGCTGTTCAACTCTACGAAGGGAGATCCGCTGATCAGTCCTTCAATGTGGAGGGAAGGAAGAGTGATGAAGTAATCCTCGTCGTACTCGTCGATGTGCAACAAGGCATGCCCGATTTGCTATAACGGTCAGCGAGTCGCAGCAGACTTTATGATACTGATGCTAACTTTGACGTTGATGGTGCGCGAGAATGAGGCTTTCTGGGCGTTATAACCTTGTAACCGCACACCGGCTTTGTCATTCCAGATGGAGTATGCTGTGACCGGAGGATGGTGACTGGAGCCGTTATCAGCCCATGCCCAGAACTGCGAGTGTATTCACCATACCTAACTTGTTCGCTCACAAGGTTTGTTTCACCGGCTTCATCCACCCATTTCCCTAAGAATAACTCTCCGAGGAACGGGTTCAAGGGCTTCTTCTCACTACCCAGCTTCTCGCTTCGGCTGGCATATTGCTGCTTCAGGGTGCTCAGAAACCACTTGAGGACGAGCAAGCATCGCTTCGCAGGGTCTTTCTCGGCGGCGGGGGCAACAAACAGAGAGGGGTGCTCTGTCCAGTACGATGAGAATTCGGTAAGGGAGGTGGTGGAGAGAATGAATGCGGGCGCGGTCATAGAAGAGAGATCGCCGTTGAAAGATGCAATAGACTGCGCGTATCCGTGTGAGCCATTCGTTCAATTCTCTAAATCGTCGAGGATGATTCACGCCACATGTCAATTTGGGGCGTCCTCAACCCCAGGAATTAATGCCCGCCACTTACCTTGAGGAAGCTAGTCCAACTGCCCTTTGACTTGGCCGGCACCGCAGAGCCTTCTTTGGCACTTGAACTCATTTTTTCGGAGATTTTGGGCTAAACTATCGCAAAGCGCCAAAGCAGGAGGATCGAGGAACGAGGAACGGGAGAAGGGTTGGGATGGATGTCGAAGGTGGGGAAATATTAGGGGTCAGTGCAGATGGTTGCGCGTGGTGCGCGGGCGTGGCTTAGCACAGACGTCATGCAGATTTCAACCCCAGGAACGATCGCGCGGATGATGGCAAGGGTGGAACGAAAATGCACTCCAGTCAAGGCCGCAGATGTATTGACGTCGGTCGCGTGAATACCTCGACTGTCATTATTACTCGGAGCATCCAACATTGTCTTCTCAACCAGGGAACAATGTCACGCGCCCTTGGGAAATCAAATTGATCTGTCTAAGACAAGCAATGCACATTTTGGTGCCTGACAAGATCTGTGGCGGTGCTGTGGCTACCTGTACGTTTTTGTAGACTCCCACCATGATTTCCCTTTGCATGCACTCACCCAATCATCAAATCTTCCTCCTAACCAACCCCCTAAAGAAATCAAAACTATTACTATCACTCTGCAACGCCACCATCCTGCCCGTCGGTCGATCCTGCCACCCCAACTCCTCAGCCAGAAGCAATCCCCAATCCCGCGTAATTCCCTTGATCCTCGCACGCATCCCACTCGCCTCATCCGTCTCCAAGTCCACAATCTGCCCACTATGCAACCAACACGCATAGTACTCCTCCTCCATTTCTTTGCTCCACCCTAACCGGCAGAAATCGCGGTAGAGCTCCTCGAAGCACGCTAGGATAGACGCCAGCAATTTCTCGTGCGTAAGCGGCTTGAGCGTGGATTCACTTTCCGTAGCAACTGACGAAGACGAAAGGCTAGGAAGCAAGCTGTTGAGGCTGGTGGTTGGGAGCGGATTATCGAGGTTGAGGCCGATGCCGCAAACGACGTTGTACTCTGCGCCGCTGTAGCTCGAGTTGACGAGGATTCCGCCAATCTTGACGAGCGGGTTGGCGGGGGAGCCTGGGAGTTGGGCGTAGATATCGTTTGGCCATTTTAATTTGACGGGGAGGGCGGCGTACCCGGGGGCGTAGGATTGGATGCCGCGGACGATGGCGAGTGCGGCGATGTATTGGATGAAGATAATTGGTGCGGACTCTGTGAGCGTGAAGGGGTGGTGGACTACAGTACTGAACATGAGAGCTCCTGGGGGCGCTACCCAGACGTTTGTGCCGCGTCCTCGGCCGGCGATTTGCGTCGTTGCGGTGAAAGTGAAGCCTGTGGGGAGGTTGCGGAGCAGCGAAGGGTTTTTCTCTAGGAGAGTGTTAGTTGATGTCACGACGTCGCCGTAGAGAAGCTGGGTTCCGAATTTCGGGGCGTGGTTTTGGCTCTTGGAGTGGTGGTGTTTGAGGTTGGCGTAGTAGGCTTCATGGTGGAAGGATGGCGTTTCGCGGGTTGAAGGGAGTTCGGTGGGATGGGGGACTATGGATTTGACGAGTTTGTCGTAGTCGAGGATTTGGTCGGGGCTCGTGGCGGTTGTGGTGTATTCTATGCTGTCCCGGATCTTGTCTTCGTCGGTCTTGGGTTTGGAGTTTTGATCATCCTTCAAAGTAGCAAGATCTTGTTCATCTGTCGTGCTCGAGAATACTGTGGGCAACGCGCTGCTGACTGCGTCTACTGCTTTCTTCAACCCCTGGATTCCCCATACGCTGCCCTCTTTTTCCACGCGAAATACGTCGTTCACGCCTTTGATGTAATCCTCACCATCGACTACAGAGATGATTTCATTCCACGAGGCGATGAGTTGGGAGACGTCTGTGGGCGAGTGAGACGAGAGATGAAGACGGGAGAGAGACGGTACCGCTTGTTCCTCCTCATTCACTTTCAAGCCTAGCTTTGCGAGAACGAGGCGCATGAATGCCACACGGCTAGCATCCGTGGAGGAAATAGCATCAATGATAGAGGAGTAGGCAGGTATTTTGGGTATTGTGGTGAGGTTTTGAGGAGCGAACCTAGTCGATATTAGACATTGGGGTGTGATGAAGAATGACAGATAGCTTACTCAGGATGAGGCCCTGTAAGAACGGCGTGGCCCTCACCTATCTTTCGATAGATAATTGCTGCTTTGCAGCCTCCTGGGTCAACATGTAGATCTTCAGTATACTCGGCCAAGACTTGAACACCCCGTGTTTCCAGTTTCTTCGCGTCTACGAACACCCCGCCCCCATTGTAGTAAGTCTTGAAAGTCTCTGCCATGTCTTCTTTCGCGCTATCGAAGCATTTCTTGTTGATCTTCACATCCGCGGCTCTGGCTCCAGCTTCGCTATGGTACACAAATCCATCGAAAGCAAGTCCCCTGCAGATTCCAGGGAAGAAGCCCAACTCTCTATCACCAACGACTCTCATGACGGGATCATCGATCTCAAACTCACACTTTTGGCTCCCATAATAGCCTCCCGCGCAAAAGCCTAAGTAAGAGCCTCCAGCATTGACATAGCGACTGATGCGGCGGTTGCCTTCACCATTGAGAGTCCGACAGTAGCCAAGGTCCGCGCCGCCAGGAAATACAAGCAGTGCACAAGAAGAAATCCACGGCTCTTTGATAATGATTTCGCCGGTGACAGGGATAACTGCATAGGTAGGAGAGAGCAAGCGACGGAGCGTGTAGAGACAGTGGCGAACAGATTCGGTAGTACTTCCATTACCTTCATCTAATCAGCACCATTGTTTCATTGTTACAGAAAGAAGAATGGGAACTGGATTTTACCCGAATATACCAAAATGTTCATTTTCTTCGTCGCCATTGTGACGGGAGAATATGGTTGCTATGACCCTTCGGAGCTGGGGTTTCTCCGGGGAACCAGTTTGGGATATCTGAGCAAAGAGTGCTCACACCACTCAATAACTTCTTCTCTCTGTACTCCCTAATATGTCAAACAACGCAGAGAAGACAACTGCGGCTGCAGCTGTAGAGGACGACGATGAACCTGATGAGTGGTGCGTTCAATTGATCGTGGTTTCCCCGCAACTTCACGCAATGGCGGAACGGCTGATTACGACTGTCTAGGGATAAGAGGATCTTCAGCACAGGCTGCGCAGGTTCGTCAACCGAATCTACCTCGAGTATAGCCAAACTGATACCGAGATAGATGAGAATGCAAAGTTGACAGATTGCTATTACGAGAAGAAAGACTGGAGGGCGTGCAAGCAAGAGGTGCGTGGTAATTTTAGGTTTTGAGCTTCGAGCTTGAAGCTATCACATCCGAAAAGATGCCGAGGCTTGAGCTTTGCGACGGCTTTCTACCATTATCTTCCTTCATGTACTGACGCTTCGCTGAAGATGGAGACGTTTAGAGCTTGCTGGAAGAAGCAGGGGAACGAAAAGAGAACCGACTCTAAAGATGTATGATTCCCGCTGTGATTGTGGCCTATCAACCGCCTCTATCATGCCCGAATGCTACATCGCAACCTGTACAAAACGTATGCATCAATACCATAAGGGAAGATTTAAAGCTTGCAATGTGCTACCAATAAACTTAATGGAGAAGTGCCTTTGTTCAAAAAAGACTGGTCTGAACAGATACATAAAATAAAAACGTCCGGCATATGATTGGTCGGTCATTTTGAATATTTGAAAGCCAGGCTAGTGAAACCGTGCCTGCGCGTCGAACCTCATTGCCATCTAACACTCGCATTTCCCCCCTACATCCTGTGCAACAATGGCAATCCCACGTACCGGCAGTGGGCTATCCCATCTAATAGCCTCCTCGTCTACTCGATTAAGCATACGCCGGTCTTTCACCTCATCATCAAGCCTAGCTGCCTTTGTAAACAGCAACGCGCGCTCCGCCGCAGCACCATCATCCGCCGCCACCACTGCTACCACCGCAGCTCCAAAACCCACAATCAATGCCGCAGCCCGGCCAGCGAGCGCCACTCCTTCTACTACGGCAGCAAAGCCTCCCGTCGCATCCACTCAACAACGAACTGTAACCCCTTCTTTCCCAGCCAAAGAACCCCCCGTGCCAACCACCCGCACCAACACCCTCGACTCCTCCACCGCCGCGGCGCGCAAACAACGCTCGCTCACAGAGGGCCTTGCGGACCATCTCCCCGAGCAGCAGGGCGTACCGGCCATCGACTGGACCCGGTCGTATCACGGGCTCGGTGGCGGAGCGTTCACGACGGAGCAGCAGGAGGTCTTGCTCGCACCTATCCAACAAGATGATGTCGAGGTGAAACCCGATGGCCTTCTTTATCTGCCCGAGATCAAGTACCGACGGATTTTGAACAAGGCGTTTGGGCCTGGTGGGTGGGGATTAGCGCCTCGCGGAGAGAGTATCGTAACTGGGAAGCTGGTCACCAGGGAGTACGGGCTTATCGTTCAGGGGAGGTATGAGTTATTTTTTGTTTTTTGGGAGATATTCTGGGAAGTGAAAATGGTACTGACTCGATGTTATCTAGGCTCATTTCTATTGCTCGTGGCGAGCAACAGTATTTTGATCCGGACGGTATCCCGACTGCCACTGAAGGCTGCAAATCGAACGCGCTGATGCGCTGCTGTAAGGATCTGGGAATCGCCTCGGAACTCTGGGATCCACGGTTCATCAGGCAGTTTACAAAGGATATGACCAAGGAGGTGTGGGTCGAGCACGTCACGACAAAGAAGAAGAAGAAGGTCGTTTTAAGGAAAGATGATTCGGTAAGATACCCGTTTAAAGAGACCAGATAGGGAACTGCGCCATGCCGCAGTGCTTTCGAATGTCTAGACATAACCGGGAAGGCGTGTACATATAGTTGTAAGATATTGAACTAAGATAGAGTCGAATACGTGGATAATGGCTAAATTATAGCTCGTACTCTAAATATCCCTTCATCCAATATATGACAGAGAAGGCCTCTTCTCTATTTTCATACCCAATAATTACTTAACACCTAAACGCCATCAATTATCTGATGAGGACTCCTAAAAGCCCGGCCCAGTTAACGATCTCCGAGATCAAACCCAGAAGAGCGTGCGCGGGTGCTATCTCTCCCATAAGCAAGAGGATCATCCTGGGGAGGGAGAGGCTGTCCGCCTTCGGGAGGGGCTCCGCGTTGCCAGTTCCACGGCATCCAGCTGCTGCTAGATCTCCTGTCCAAGGCTGGGGGGGTCATAGGGTAAGGTGGACGATCCCGCAGCACCTCATCATGCTCGATGCTATCAAACTCGGCTTCACTGCGGCTCTTTGAGAGACCTCCGCCCTCGTAATACCTGCTTCCGCCCTCTCTAGCCGCCCTCACGTTGTCTGCCTCGCGGTCGAACGCTTGGAGCAAAGTCTGAAGCCTTTCTCGCTGCGAGGAGACGTAGTGGAGTCTATCATCGTTGTTTCGGATATTATCGGGGATAATGTTCGTGCCGCGACTCAGCTCGGAAGCCTGTGCATCTTTATTGCCCGCGTACAAGGCACTTGCGCCGCTGAGAGCCTGATTCACCAATCCAAGGATAGGATCGCTGCTTCTCGCGTTCGGCATGTTGAACCTTGACATGAAGTTCTGGGCGTAACTCTGACCCTGTGTAGGTGGCGGAGCAGCCTGCCTAGGCGCGAAGCCAAGTGCGTTGACTTTGACCCACTCGATGGCTTGCTCCAGATACGATAGTCCAGCACTCTTTGCCCGGGCATGCGTATCGGTAATGAAGTCATCAATCTCACGCTCGTGGTGGTACAAGACCGGCTCGAGGTATTCCTGGTACAGGAACGTCGCGCCTTGGGAACCGGGGAGAATCAGGTACAGGTGAATACAGAAGCGCATCCAGGACCAGAACGGCACCCAGCTAAGAATGAAGTCGAATGTGTTCTCTACGAGATGGAGCAGCGAAAGCATCATGAAGTAAATGAGCCATGGTGCGAGGAGAGCTGGATCGGAGGTGTGGAGAGCTTTGTAGGATGCGAAGACAGGAAACAGAACAGTGGTGGCGACGCTGGATGGCTGTCAGTTATATTTCGGGTCAAGGATATTGTAGTTTTGGGTGTTGAAGAGCTGTACGTCACACTGTGCTGAGAGGTATGCGGACAGCCTAAGTGCACGATAGCGGGGGCGGGGCTCACTCACGTTAAACCGTCGGCAATGAAGCCAAACATGATTCCGGTTTAGCTCCTCGTGATTTTCAACGTACTTGTGGTGGTGTGAGAGAGAAACGAGTAGGTTGAGTGTATGAGGAAAAGTTGTGCACAAAACATGAAGCTCGAGGAGCTCTCACTCTCGGGACCGGCACCGGTGATGATGTAGGTGTGGGGTTACTAAGCGCCGCCTTTGTCCTCCTCCGCAATCAGCTCTGCGGCCTGCAACTGCAACAATAACTACCGGACTTTTCACATACTAAACTCATCGACTTTCCGGAAACGTAACATGATGGCTCACTTGACCGCGGGTTTAATCTAAGCAGTTTCACGCTGAAAATCGTTTCTTCGTGTAGCCATGGCCTCGTGAGCAAGGCGGCCTAACGAAAGTGAAAGTGACCGGTGCGCTACTTTAGTTACTTTTTCTGAATTGAGTTCATGCATTTTGCATGCCTCTCATAATCATTACATAAATTTCGATTAAGAGAAGTTCATTGCACCCCAAATTGCGTCATTCTTCCTTCATTCTCTCTACTACTACCTCCCGTGGCTACTAAGCTTTCAATGTTGATCTTCTTCCAAGGACCGCACCTTCGCCCTAAACCCTGGCTCAACGAAGAGCTCGCAGACATGATGTAACTCTGAGGTTTCTATCCATGAGCTAATTTCGTTTTGGATTTTGATTTGATTCAAATCTGGAAAATGGCCCATCCCTTGTTCCAAGTACTGCAATCTCTGCCCCGCTGAGAATTCTTAAAACATGTGCGCTCAGTATTCAGACCACAAGTCCTGAGCCATTAACATGATAATAATCTTGGTCGTACTGATCGAATGAGAGGCCAGGATAGAAACCACTATACACTGGCTTCATGTTTCGAGCTTCTTCGAGAACCTCAGCAGCCAAATGTTCTCGATTGCTGACATGAGACTGTCAAACTCGCATTGCTCACGGTTCAGATCAAACTTGTTGTAACACCTGTAGCTCTCTCTAATCTAAGTTTGATTGATCCCAAAGAATGTACATGTAAGAAAGATATCGCGACCTTGGCAGCTTCCAGCCACGACACTGAAATAGCGAAGATTGCTCCAGTGGTTGTGAATCTGATCAACTTATAGCCCTACTGACAGGAAAACATAGGCTGTGAGCATCAGTCCGCTCAGTCCGAAGTGCCGGAGTCATTTAAGAGCTTGATTGGACTTGAAAATCTGGCAGACATATGCGCGGTCTTACTTATCACGGTGTGGGGGTTTCTTGCATTGATCATAATAAGCTGCAACGGTTTGTGTTCTGCCTTAGCTTGTGTGCGTCTATGGTGGATTATTCTGTAAAGGATAGGCTCTTTGCGATGGAGTGCCAATGTTCTACATACTGCTGCCAAAGAGTATGATTCGTTGACTTTATTGATGCAATTAGACGATTTGCGATTTTCGACTATTTTTTTCGTTCCAGTCCGATTGATTCAACATTGATGTATGCGGTCCATCCGATTGCATATTTTTGCTCGTAGAAAGCGACAATTTGTTTCGTTGTTGTTGTTCTGCTTGAACCATGATTCTGTTAGACAGTGAACCGTACTCACCCAGTTAACTTAATAAAGTTAACATTCAAAGCAGATAGAGTGAGAATTTCTGTAGCTTCTTGATGATACACGCTATGGTTCATGCCGAGTATCTCACACTGACACTGGTACTCAATTTGCGAATGTATGATTTGGCATTGACTCAAATTCGTTATTCTGAAAGTAGATCCCGGTGCCCCAACAAACCCCTCTGGCTTATAATCCAGTGGCACTCATTCCAACTTGTATGCATCTTCTCGAGACATTGTATGCTGACGCCAAAGTACAGGTCTTTCTCGTATCCAAGCATCAAACGTGCGAGCAACCTCATTTATATCCCGAAATGATATTGAAGGGATAGATCCGATAGGAAACTGTGCATCTTGGTTTCATCTTACCGGACATTGCTCCGACCTGTCCAGAAACATCGGTGGAGCAGGTATCCAAGCTGGAAAAGAAGGGAGAGACCGAGGTCTCCTTGAATGGTGCGGTGTGGCAGTCGTAGTGCATTCGCCTGTGGATCACCAGCACGTGGACATGGCCTCATGTACCACGACAGTCTTCAACTTCCCAGGATCCAGAAATATCTCTTCATCTCGTGCCAGCTTCGCGGCGGCTTCGGTAGAGTATATCGCTTTGTAGAATTTGCGGAACGTATCCTCGTCATCCCAAGTCAACTCGGCTATACCGTCGAAATCAAAGTCTTCTGGCGAGCCTCGAAGAACAAGAGGAGGATTGTCTTTGTTGGCTGGACCCCCAAAACCTTTGCGTTCGATACGGGCGAGATATTGGCGCCTATGCTGGCGTGGGAAAGAGTCTCCGGTCAAAGATTGGAGAAGTGGAATGTGATGGTTTTCCCAATAATCTTTGAATTCATCTGGAGTGATAGTAGGCTTGCGGGTGACGAAAATAACGATTGAATATGTCATGACGAGAACGATTTGGAGAAGTCGAGGGTTGTCAGGAGGAGAAAAACATGGGATGAATGATCAAGAAGAAGAAAAGGATGAAGGGCACATGGTTGAGCAACTACTTTGGTTAGCCAGCCACGCGAGTGGCTCCGGACAGGTTTGGCAGTCTACATGGTTTGACGGTTTACATGACAAAAAGGATGGCTATTGCTTCATGGTCGTTGTACCGGAGGGCGAGCCGGAGGCTGTCGATTCGTGCTTGCGACGCAATGCCCGAAACCATGTCGCTTCGGGGTCGGGGACGAAGGATGAAAGATTGGAAGGTTCGCTATAGTTACCCTAGACCACTAGAACTGACGGAGCGTTAGAACAAGTGAGTGCGCTAGAAGGCGGGAAGAGGAATTGGAGGCCGAGCGATGCATCAAGGGACCGAGCCACATGTCTGATGATGGGCAGGCTGAATGGTCTGTGTGATGGATGTGGGTAGACTGGAATCTTGCGTCTCCGTCCTCCGAGCCCATCCATTGCGACCGTTTATCGATAAGCGCATGCCAAGACTTGCCGCCGAAAGCGCCCACCACAAGCGAAAGTGGCAGAATTGGCCCGCTTTCGAAAATCGAGTGACCCTGCGACGACCACGACGACGACGACGACGACGACAACTCGAGACAAGACCCTCACTCACTTACGCACGAACGCCCACCTGTCTGCCCACGCCCTTCGGCCGGACCAACTGCGAAGATGAGCGCGAGATACCAGAATGGCGAGGCGTCGGACGCTGAAGAGGACGCCATGGTGAACGACTATCGCGAGCAGGTGCAATATGATGGCATGGAGGACTTGGACCGTGTACCGTCCATCGCCGGCAGCCAGGACATTCACGCCCAGTTGCAGGCTGCCGCGACCCCTCTGGAGTTCCAGGCGACTCTGGAGACCAAGTTTGCTAGCTACGACAACTACTGCAACCTGTTCCACTTCATCTTGAACTCGGAGGGTCCGGTGGATCTCGAGGTTCCAAGCGTAAGGGAGGCTCTTCTGGGAAATCACGGGCATGGCTAACTTGCAGAGCAGTCTTCATGGGCCTGGGACGTTATCGACGAGTTCATCTATCAGTTCAACAGCTTCTGCGGTTACCGACAAAAGGTTGCGCTAAAGAACGACAACGCCGAGGAGATCCAGCTACTTCGGGAAAACCCAAACACCTGGGGATGCTACAGTGTACTCAATGTTTTGTACTCCCTGATCCAGCGATCCCAGATCAGCGAACAGCTCTCGGCGATAAAGCGGGGCGAAGACCCTAAAGCGTATGCGGGAGAATATGGCCAACGACCATTGTACCAAATGCTCGGATACTTCTCCATCGTCGGTCTGTTGCGGGTACACTGCTTGCTCGGTGACTTTAGCCTCGCCCTCAAAACCCTCGACGATATGGAGTTGAACAAAAAGTCCATGTTTGCCCGTGTCATGGCCGCCCATTTCACCACCTATTACTATGTAGGTTTCTCCTACATGATGATGCGACGCTACGCCGATGCCATCCGCATGTTCAGTCACATTCTGGTTTATGTTTCACGGACGAAGAATTTCCAAAAGAACGCCCAATATGACTCCATCACCAAGAAGAATGACCAGATGTACGCTCTGATTGCCATCTGTGTTGCCTTCCACCCCACGCGGCTGGATGACACTATTCACACCGCCCTTCGTGAGAAGTACGGTGAGCAGTTCAACAGGCTTCAACGCGGTGGTCCCGATTCTCTACCTCTCTTCGAGGAGCTCTTCAGGACCGCCTGCCCTAAATTCATCAACCCCACCCCTCCTGATTTCGACAACCCGGAGGTCAACGTGGACCCTGTGGAGCACCACCTCCGCATTTTCATGGACGAGGTCAAGAACAACATGATGTCCCCAACGGTCAAGAGTTATCTCAAGCTGTACACCACCATGGACTTGAAGAAACTGGCTGGATTCTTGGAAGTAGATCCCGAGAAGTTGAGGTGTTGGTTGCTTGTCAACAAGCAGAGGAACAGGCAAATCAGGTGGAGCGAGGGTGGACTTCTCGCAGGTGATGTTGTGCACAGTAGCGACTTGGACTACGCAATGGAAGGAGTAAGTCATCCACTTCATTTGAGACTGGAAAAGATGAAATCGCTAACAGCCAGCAGGATCTCATCCACGTTGCCGAAGCCAAGGTTGGACGCAAACTTGTAGACTGGTATCTCCGCAACCTCGCGAGAACGTATTAGAAAAGGTAAGTAGTGTGGCCACACGGCCTATGATCATTATCACGACTAGAGCATTGCGGCTTGGAGTTGAAGGGGCTTTTGGAAAGGAACGGAATTCAATAGGCTAAAAAAGCATTACTGGGGAGGGTATCTTTAGGAAGGCGATGTAGGGAACGAAAGACGCGATAGAACTCAGGGTGCAAGCGATAAGCCCCTGGAAGCTGTTCTCCGAACAGTGCAACTGTGGGCTGCAGGCTCTCAGATGAAGAGTATACAAATATGTACGTACGTATGTAGTGGAGAAGCCACGAGTCGAAATCAAACAGCAGCCAAACATGCCATTGGCCACCGTCCCTTGCTATCTGTGTAGTGTATGGACAAAGTCGTCGCCATGAAGAGGTTTATCGGGCATTGTGGAAATGAATGCATCAAGTTGACGAGGTTGACGGCTGACGTGAGGTTGTGAGTGGACGACCTTGTCTTTGAAGGGGCAGCCCTGTCTTTTACCCAGAACAACACCTGGCGCACTGTCCATCCGAGTCGGCAACAGTCAAGAGTCCGGGCAGCATCGCCGGGGCGAGCAGAATCATTGTGGTGGACTCCATCATGGTATCGCAAATGGCCATGGCCACGAAGCGATCAGCGGTTGCCTTTGGTCGCTGGACGACACCCGTGGTTGCTGCTCACTCGAACCAAGGGCCAGCCAGTCATAGAACAAACATGCACGCTTCTACCTGACACTCAAAGACTCGTCGGCCGCCCGTCGCGCCCTCCTTTGCTACTACTCACAGTACAATCGACATTTGACTGGACTCCCCACCCGTGCCTCCTCCCTCTGCGAGCTATCTACACTTACACATATACTATCATCGCACCATGCCCGACCTCAACTCTGTACCACCGTCTCCTAGACACCCCACTTCCACCTCCAACCCTACCGCAACGAGCGCTTCACATCATTCTTCTACAGCGGCATCGAGGCGCACTTCGCAAATCTGTAAGTATCAGGCACGTCCATCGCCTGGATTCACGCGTTGTGAGCATAGCCTGTCGATGACTTTAAGTTATCGATCGCGTACACGGCCCCACATGCACCCCCCCAGCTTCCGCAGCTACTCACTACTTACTCAACATTCACACGTCGCTATCCCATTCACTTCAAAGACTACACATGTTCATTCCACGACTTGTTACTAATCGATCAACATCTGTAGACCCAATGAGCCCGCCTCCGCTTCCCCTCGCATCCCCGGGAGGGACTGTCCCGCCATCCACGACTCAGCACTCGCACGCGTTTCCTCCGCTGAGCCCAAGCATGGCAGGGTCTGTCCCCAGCGTGGACGCTTCTGGTGTTCCGATGCGACATCCACGACCGCTCACTGCAGCCGAACTCCATCTAGAGCTTGAGAAGGAACAGGAGGCTGTTGTCAACCGTCTCACGCGGGAGTTGTCTGCCCTCCGTGCCCACACAGCTTCCGTAGCATCTACCGCCTCTAGTGCTGCCTCGAATGTTCATGTCGAGCACGATATCACCGGACCGACGCACCCCACATCTGCGCGTAGGCACCGCAGCTCCTCCAGTGTCTCGCGCAATAGCATCAGCGCACCGCCTCCATATGGCATTCCGCATACGTCGGCCACAACCACCATCCCACACCACCGCTACTCGATATCTTCGCAAAATGCAACCAACGATGCCTCTGCTGCTCAACAAGCAAGAAGTGCGAGTGTAGTCAGCACCCCAAGGTATGAGGAGGTTGCGCATTACAGGCAGGAGCTGGAAGAGGCGAAGCGGGAAAATGAGTCGTTGAAGAGGCGCATTCGAGAATTGGAGCGCACGATTCGTGGAGGCAACGACCTTGATGCCCGCCGAGGTCGTAGGGGTGCATCGACATCTGATGGTTCAGCGCTGAGCAACGGTGATAGCGGGAGCATTGCTCCATCAGCCAGCGACGAAAAACCCACACTGCAAGCGTAAACGCCTCTAATCCGATTCAAAGGCTTTTGTGTATACCAATGGCACACGACAGCCGCGGGTACAATGTTATAATCTGGGGTGAGATGTAGAGACTTCAGGGACAGTGGCCGCGGATATCACCGATGCCCGCGTTACGCGTACGCGAGCACCAAGCAGAACAAACTCCAGCGTGGACAGGCAGGTTTCATGGCAGGTGATTGATGTCCGTATGGTTTGACGAGTGATGAAGCAATGGATTCCCTTATCTCATACACAATATGCCCACTCAATTAATTCCCCAATGACAATTAGATGTTTATATGCGCATCCCACCATGTGCCCGCCAATGATGTATTGGGGCTTTGGCGTGAACCTGCGTCGATCTTCACAGATAAGCCCTGGTTGATCAGTGACGTTTTTTCCTTTTTTACCTCCCTGACGCAGATCTCGTTCGTGTGAGCTTTGCTGCAACCACCCCTTCACGGATACGAAGTCCCGATCCATCAACAGATGTGATGACCCCATTGCACGTTGTTGTCGACTGCCCATGGAAACAGGCGCATTGCGGGTCTTGCAAAAAGTAATCGATAAGCGTTCCGAGCTGGAAAGCTTGGCGGATGTCGGAGATTATCCACCTTTCCCACGTTTTCCTACGTCATAGCCACGGGAAATTGCGGCCATGAGCCGGCGGCGGGCGCCAGAAGCCAAAGACTGAGGTTCCCTCGGACGATTGTGGGAGCGGTGATCAGAGAAGAGCGTGGCATGTATCGTGTCTTATCTGAACGCGTTGATGGTGGACGGCTGGTGCGGCTGGTCAATCAATGTCTTTCGGGGACCGTTCACTCTTCGTATTCACAAGCCATTGGTCATACGATGATTACGGCTCCCTTAAAACATCGCAGTAAGGAGCATCGGACTTTGACCATAAGTACTGACAGGGGTCCACTCTTTCTAGCGTTGCCGCTCTTCCTTCCATTATCACATCAACGCGAGATCCATATTTCTTTGGTGATATTTTCTCTTTCTCTACGACATATACATAGGTACACAGCAAAGCTCCTTTTGAAACATTCACCCGCCATAACCTGACACCTTCAACATTCCTTCGTTGTCATACACACAAAAGGAATTGTCTGTCTGTCATTGCTTGGAAAGGGGGCAAGTAAACTGTGGGGGCAGAAGAAAAGAACAAAAGGCAGATCGCAAGACGTCCATATACACGAGATAAATCCCAGATGGCCACTGAACCAATACCCACGAGTGCAGGTGAAACGCAGAACTATTGTACGATTTCCTACTCTCGTCTCACCCTATCCTCTTCTCTTATCGCAACCCCGGATTCGATACAAAAAAAGATTAAAAAACTAACCATGCACACTCAAAAGCATCCATCATTGAGCCACCCACCCAACACCCCTCTCCGCCAATCACAGGTGTCCCAAGCCCAATTGTGGAAGCAACCGAAAAAGGCATGATGGGCGAAAACTTGTTGAATCATCAATACAACTCTCCTACTACCACTACTTCCAACACCACAGCAAGTTCCGGATCCGCGTCTACTTCTACGCTGAATTCACCGAGTCTAACGCCGACGCCAACACCCGGAGGAACGGGAGGTCAACGTCATTTGCATGGGGAAAGGAAAGGAGAGGCAGGTTACGTACTACCGGGGACTACGCCTTCAAGGGCGGAAGACGCGTTGTTGGTGGGGAGGGAACGGGAGAGGCAGAGGGGAAATGGTGACGTTGGTGGTGGTAGGGATGAGTCCTTGAGTATGAGAGGAGTGGATGAGAAAGGCAATAAGAGGATTAGGTGGAAGGGTCTTGATGCTTGAATTTCGGAGAAGGCTCGAGTAGAGTGAATGGAGTATATCTTCAGGCTTACTTGCGCATTTCAGATTGCTGTCGGTTATAGAGGTGGATCTAGGTTCGGGTGGATTTTATCTTTTTCCATGAAATGCCATGTTGTAATAAGAAATCTCGATCATCGTTTCTCATACTTGGTTGCTGAACGGAAAGAATTCTGACAGTGGACATCAGTGGGAGAGTACCAGAAAGCGTGGAGTCGTAGTCGATTTTAGGCTGCCCTTGAATGGCTTCTCTCCCCACATGTGCACATGTGGCTGAAGGGAACATCAATCAACATCCAACTGTACCACATCATTCCATGTCCTTATCCAGCCTACGACAGCCTTCCGAACTTCAGACCCAATTAATATGTGGCAGCCACACGGTTGACCTTGATGGCGTAACAAACCAGCACGGCTCCGGCAGACCTTCTCGCTCTACATACCGAGTCTAGGCGCAAACCCGCTGCGATGTCCCCGGGGGCCATTCGCAGCAATATATATTGTCTTTGATATCATCCACGTTTGCGACCAGGATGAATACGCCGGTACCAACTGCGCTGTGCAACAGTCTGCATGGTTATCTCCTTCTAATCTTGGAAGCGAAACGCTCATCCGGCTAAGATCTTCGTCGACTTTTGGCCGCGCAAAAGCAAGGCACACCTTTTGAATATCCCCCACAATGCCATGACCACCGTATAGATGAGCCCACGGCCCTTTTGCTGTTCCTTCGATCGACCCTCCGCATTTATTCCGCAAATGAGATGCTGCGGAGCGTGTTGTTCGTGCTTTTGTACACTCGGATGAGCAGTCCTTGAAACGTCGCCTTATCGAAGCATTGGCAAAAGTTGCAACGGCCTCGCTGATGCACGAATAAGACCAAAGCGCTTGAGTATGTGAACGGATATATCATCAGAGCGGGGAAAGTCAGGAATTCCGAACCGTTCCTTGCCCTGATTACCCCAGACACAACCCGAATCGAATCACGCACTAGGTCCGGGGGGACTTGTATAGTAGGACCGCTGGCTAATTAACTTACCCTCTTCACTCGCTTCAAATTTACCTTCTGCTTCCTCCTTCTCTTTTCAAACTCCAAAAAGACGAAACATCACGAGGTGTCGTCCAGCTTCGATGATCTCGGCACTTTCTGCTCCACTAACAGGGTATGGCTAATTATATTGTTACCTTCTGCTATTTGGAATCCGGGGTGCATTCATCAGTCGTATATATATACAACATGTTTTCCTTTTCGGGTTGGTACTGGATGCAGGCTGGCAATCTAAACCTCGCGGAAGAGCTGGGACACGGCGAATTTGATTCGACCCCACAACCGTCCTTCTTATTTTCTTCTAGACCTAGCGCAGCACTCAAAGTACAAGGTTAGGGAACGGGAGATGTTATATTGCTGATGGAAGGCCTTGCATTTCTCTTTTGACCCGTTTGTGTCTGTTCCTCCTCTTCTGTAAGTTTCAACGGGAAATTTGTTCGACCATCACCAGAATAGTGGAAATAGTCGCTCTCGCCTCCGCTCCGCTGTTGGACCTCTCTCATAGCAATCGACTGATAAATCAGCATGGCAAAGACTTTCGCTCTAGTTGCGGCAGCGGCGTCGCTGATACATTCCGTCACCGCTCAATGTACGACCGCTCCAAACCAGACATACGACTATATTGTGATTGGATCGGGAGCTGGTGGTATTCCTGTCGCCGACCGCTTGAGCGAGGCCGGCCACTCTGTGCTTTTACTAGAGAAGGGCCCGCCGTCCAGCGGAAGATGGAACGGCACAATGAAGCCCGCGTGGTTGGAAGGCACAAATCTTACGCGGTTTGATGTGCCAGGCTTGTTCAATCAGATCTGGAGGGATTCGAACGGAGTCGCGTGTGAGGATACAGGTGTCATGGCCGGCTGGTGAGTTTTTTATATCTTGTAGAAACCTCAGTTTCTGGCTCTTATGGTTGATATTGAGCAAAGCTAATTATGAGTTTACAGTGTCCTGGGTGGAGGCGTAGCCGTAAACTCGGCGCTGTGGTGGAAGCCTCCAACTAGAGATTGGGATGTGAATTTCCCCGAAGGATGGAAAAGCGCCGACATGAAGAGCTCAGTCGACAAAGTGTTTCAACGAATCCCGGGAGTGAGTATGCTCGTCTATGAGGTTGTAACAATCCTCCAGACTGACCTGGTGATGTAGACCGATACTCCTTCGCAAGATGGGATACGCTACAACCAAGAGGGCTTTGAACGAATCAGTGAGGGACTCGACGCAGCAGGGTTCAAGCAGGTTAAGCCCAACGAGCAGTCTGAAGAGAAGAACATGACTTATGGTCATTCCACATTCTTCATTGAGAATGCCGAGAGACAAGGCCCGCTGCGCACATATCTCGAAACCGCTGCTGCACGTTCCCAATTCTCACTTTGGACCAACACCATGGCTAGAAGAGTTGTCAGAACTGGAGGGCGTGCCACTGGCGTTGAGCTGCAATGCAGAAATGGCGCTGGATTCAATGGAACCGTCAACGTTACACCTGGAACTGGTCGCGTTATCGTATCTGCTGGTACTATGGGCTCTGCTAAAGTGCTCTTCCGAAGTGAGCGCATACATACAGATTTGAAATCGAATCACCATTGACTAATTTCTGTTACAGGTGGCATCGGTCCTACAGATATGTTGAATGTGGTCAAGAAGTCTCCCATCGACAACGAAACCATGATCTCGGAGGATCAGTGGATCAACCTACCCGTAGGATATAACTTGAACGACCACGTGGGAGTATGTACTTTTTCTTAAGATATCACACTCAAGCCTATGAGGGCATCTAGTCGGAGGTGTACTCACAATCCTACAGACAGACATCCAGGTGGCTCACCCAGACATCCGATTCTACGACTTCTATAAAGCATACAACACCCCTATCCAAACCGACGTCGATGCCTACCTGGGTAAGTGACCATTCCAAAAACTCATTTGTAAGAACTCTTTCTAATATGGTCATGAAACACAGCGAACCGCACTGGCATGCTCACAACAGTCGCACCCAATCTCGGTCCCATTGTAAGAGAAGCCCCAAGCCTTATATAATGCTTCATCAACTTCAGCTTATTGACGCCCTTGATTTAGATTTGGACAGAAGTTACCCCTTCAGACGGCCGAACACGCTCTATCCAGTGGCAAGCCCGCGTCGAAGGCCGCACAAACAGTACAGTTCTCCTCTGTTTTCTTTCTTCCAGCAGTCCATCTTGCCTCACCTGTCTCCACGTTTTGTTCTTTCACTGTGATTCTTATATATAGGACGTATATGAACTAACCTCATGAGCAGCATCGATGACAATAACGCAATACTTGGGCACGGGCTCCATCAGCCGCGGCCGACTAGACATTACGCCCCAACTCAACACCCGTGTAGTCACAGTGCCATACTTACGCAATGCAACCGACAAAGAAGCCGTCATCATGGGCATCGAGCACATGCGCGGTGTGCTCAACGGCGTGGCGAACCTGACATGGGTGACTCCAACAGCTGAGCAGAACACGACTACGTTTGTCAACAGTGTAAGCTACATGCGCTCCCCTTTCCTCACTTTGTAACCAGATGAATCCTCATTTCATCACCGGCTCACTGATCACATGACTCTGACTGACTGACTGACTGACTGACTGTACGAATGAAGATCCCCGCGGCGCTCGCATCCCGCAACTCCAACCACTGGGTTGGAAGTTGCACCATTGGCCCCGCAAACGACGGCACTGCAGTGGTGGACCTCGATACCAAAGTGTACGGCATGGATAATCTGTTTGTAGTGGATGCGTCGATTTTCCCGGGAATCACAACAGGGAATCCATCTGCTGCTATTGTGTCGGTGGCGGAGAAGGCTGCGGCGAGAATTCTTGCATTGAAGGGGACCGAGAGTGAGGATGGGGATGTGTAGATGAGTCCGGGTGAAGATGTTATTGCCATCATCAATGAGTGCTTCCAAGGGTTTGTAGTTTCGTATGGGAAGGCTTGATAATACCAGTAACATCAATGATATACACAACCATGCGTACTTTGAAATTCTCACTGGTTTGGAACATTTTAACATCAGGCTGTAGAAGTGGTAGTGCTATGCTCTGGACATATCAACACATTCACTCGTGAGCTCGCGAGTAGGACATGGCTAGCACGTTTTACAAATGTCTTTACGTTGTGTTTATATTTGGTTGGCATAGCCGTCCAGAACAAAAAATAAATCCCAAACCTCGCCGTAAACGCCTGAAATGCTGGAGAACCGACTCAACTTTCCCCTTCAGCTGCTGTGTGCCATAATTCCCGCGTGCTTTTTTCCCCTTCTTCCCCGTTTCTACCGCGTGTACATGTTTCGACAAGCGACCACTCAGGTTCCTCGGTCTATTTTGCGTACCGTTTGACCCAATCCTTGGCCGACTTTTCAAACTCCTTGCGGTTCTCCTTGTACTCGTTGGCGATGCTGGGTTCGATGGCGTCATCGATGTTGGGCTCGATGAGCAGGGTCTGGATGAGGCGGAGAACGGCGACGACCTTGTTCGGCGGCTTCCACTCATCAGGGCGCAAGAGACCGAGACACATGGAGCCCTTGTCGTCGTTGGAGACGTTGGGGTGGTAGATCTTGGTCTTGAAAGCGACGACTGGGGGCTTGAAGGGGTACTCGTTGGGGAAGTTGATCTCCAGCTTGAAGTGACCGCCCTGAGGAGAAATGACATGTTAACTCGGTGGAAAAAAGGAGGTGATATTGGTGGGTGGATACATACGGCGTAGTAAGATTGATCGGGACCATCGAGGAGAACCTCCCACTTTGTCATGTTCTGCTCGTCGAAGTTGATCTTCATACCGGGAGGGGTGTCGGCAAGACACTCGCCGTATTCCTGCAGTGGTATTAGCGAAGTCTGGGTTGGCGGTTGAGACGATTGAGCAAAACTGACCCTCATGATGCGCTTCTTTGCACCAGCGCTCATATTTGCGAGGTTTGAGAGAAAGTGATTGGGATGGTTGGCCGGCAGTGGGGGTGCGGGGTTGAGTCGCGGGGCGGCTGTCGATGTATTTGTACGTCGAGTAGACGCTGAAGTGAATGCTCGGCCGAACTTGTCGGCGGGTTGTGAGGCGGAGGTTTGGTGGAAAGAAAGGTGAGTGAGCGAAGGAAAGCAGAGGCAGCGAGGTGGTTTGGTGGGGAAAGATGACGAGGAGTCAAGCAAGCTCGTCTTCTAAGCAGAGGGAAAGGAAGCTGGGGCCTAGTCCCTGTTATTATTAGAGGCTTCAGCCAATAGAAGAGCAGCGAGCTGCTGCTTAGAAGATGGCACGCGGCCGCTAGAGGCAGGATTGACCAGTTTGCCCTCTCTGAGCTATGTTACTCTCCAAAGTTTTTTTTCGCCTCCAAGGGGTGTTCGATGGATCAATCAATCAGTCAGTCAAGCAACCCGTGGTGGAGGCAGAAGAGCATTGTCCCGAAGCGGGTGGGCGTGATCGATGTGGCCAATCAGGGCTTTCCATGGTAACCACCAATGAGAAAGACGCACCCAGGTATTTTCCTAGCGCCTGGCATTGCTTCCACCACCACCACCCCCCAAACCAAGACGATTGAACCAGCTATTCCTCCGATTGCAGACCCCAATCCTCTCTCCATGTGTGATGGCTATCGGAGTTGGTCCGTCGTTCTTGAGCTCTGAGTCACACCTGTGCGCCAGAGGCCGCCCGTGTTCCCCCCCTCAGCCAAAAGCCAATGGCCCGGCACAGACCAGGTGGTACGTACATACATGTGTCCATCTTGACATCAAGTTGGATATACCTGCAGCAAACCAGCCTGCACCGAGAGAACACATGAAGCAGGAACAGCATGCAGTTCTGATCTCTCTTCGCAATTGACCGTGCTTCATCATGATGGATGACATCAGTCCATGCGCTGTCGCTTAGCAACAAGTGCTGATCAAGAACCCCAGGCCAGCCAGACAGCCGGCCAGGTACACACAACTGCCATGCTCTGCCAAATGATATCAAGCAACATGGCGTGGCGCCGGCGTCGAAGCTCGCAACAGCCCGCCATTGACGAATAACGTGCCTCCATGTAGGACATCGATACGAGCACCGCCGCCCGCACGGTCCCCCCTACATGCATTATGCTTTGATGGTAAACAGGCTGCAGCATCCCTGATGTTTGGGAGCCTTTGCTTGGCACTGTCTCTATAAAACCATGTCCGCCCCCCCACTCCACCTCGTCTGCACGCCTCTCGACAATCTCCCCAGAGCCCGACAACTAGCGTGTGCTTATCCTCACCCCCGTGAAGATATCCCACACAAAGCCTTCCTGGTTCAAGTACTTTCTCTCGCAAAGTCGTGAATTCCCACCAGGAGGCTTCCCGAGCTCTCCAGCCCCCACCACGCGTCAAACTAACCTGTCCACTCTTTTGCCGTCCCTCTGTCGCTCGCTCCGTCTCTCGTTGTTGAACTGCTCCTCCTCTTCGCCCGCCATGTTCGGAAAACGCTCTTTTGCCAGCTCAAAGGACCGTTCGGGCAAGATAACCAAGAATCCCAAGAGGTCGTTCCGCGAGTCCCACCACCACAAGCAGAAGCATGCGATCGATAAGATGGAATCTGTGCGCTACGATAGTCCCATGGTCGAGCCCGTCTCCCCGAGTCTGACTTCGGCCATCGTGACCATAGTTGTTGGCACCGACCAGCGACTGTTCGCCGCACACGAAGACGTCCTCTCCCACTCCCCTTACTTTGCCCAAGTATTGCGGGGCCAGTTCTTCGAATCCACCACCCGACGCATTGACTTGCCGACGGAGGAGCCTGAAATCTTTTCCTGCATTCTTGAGTATCTCTACAAAGGTGACTACTACCCGCGCTTGGTCCACGACAAGCGCCGCCAGACCTGGATGCTCGAGGGTGCAGTGAGCAGCCCGGACCCAAACAAAGGCGACCGCGTAGCCGCCGTCGAACCCACCTTTCATCACTCTGGTGTCAACGATGTCATTCTCCGCGACACAGCCGTGTACTGCGCCGCTGATCGGTACGGCCTCGAAGAGCTCAAGAAGCTCTCTTTGCGTAAGCAAGGCCTGCAGAGCGGGATCGAGGTCGGCACCATCCTCCGCAGCGCCCGCTATGCCTACGAGAACACGCCAGACAGTGATTCGAGGCTACGCGCTCACTACCTCGCACTCATCATCCGCAGCCGGAAAACCTTTAAGCGTAGCGGAACCATGCAGATGGAGATGGAGCTTGGGGGGAAATTGTTCTTTGACTTGTTCGTGGCCATGTGTAACCATGTCGATGATATTGTGGATGCAAGGTAAGCTCTTGCCATGTGAAGATCCCGTGACCTCTGTCTATTCTTGCTCTCTCTCTCTCTCGTGTTCTCTTGCATATCAACATGACCGTTCATTTCTTGATCCTCATCAATCGTACAAACCACTGATGATTGTTCTTGCAGCAATGCTCGCACTCCCAGGACCATCTAAAAGTTACATGTGTCCCATCACACGACTTGTCTTTGGACACGCAAACTCACACACACAAACACATCCACGGCCACATTTGTATCCCTACTCGCGCGTCACCCCAAATTGACCCCGCGCACCACGGACCAGAAAACCCTCACAAAAAAAACTTTTTTCCCATGGAATCGGATTGACTCCCCTCCCGCGTTATGGTTTTTTTGATAACTGACAAATTATGTCTCGGCGTTTGACACGGCGTGCCAATGAGACTGGTGTTCATTTCTGGCACACACAACGGTTTTTCTCTGGTTGCTACCCCCCTATCATGTCTACTTTTTCGTACTCCTCCTCTCCATCCCCCCTTTCCCCCCGTGCCTGTTGTAGGTTTGCTTACCCCCTAATTCTCGCCCACCTTTCCCCCCCTTATCCCTTCCTTTTATATCGACCGCGCCTCCTCCGCAAATTCCCCTCTTGGCGTCCTTTTTGCTACTTTACCCCACAACCCCCCTCTCCTGAATTGCATCCTCCTCGGTTTCCCTGTGGGGACTTTGGAACGTTGCGACAATGGAGAGAGTACATGGCAGACATTGCCGAAACTGTGTTTCCTTTGTTCTGGCCCTGTCCTCTTGAACTCCCGGTTCTCGAGGAAGGGTTTTGGTGTTGGAGAATCAGGGAACCCGATGGATCAGAGGTGGGGACAGAGTGGAAGCGAAAGAGGCAGCTTTATTGTCTGTAGTATTTCCCTGCTCACCCACCGATTCTCGGATGTTTCCCCTGTCTTTTTTTTAGTTTGTCGAGAAGGATAGGAAAGGGGAATTTGTAAACATTTCTTCTTTTGTTTTCTTTGTACGAAAGAGAGAGAAGGGAGAAGAGAGAAAGGGAATTTGTTGCTGGAGAGATAGTTGGTTGGGTCGAGATGAAAGAGCTCTATTCTTTCCAATACACCCCATCTGAAGGTATTTTAATTCTTTGAAATCCTTTCTATTTCAGTCCTTACCTTTTCATTTTATTGACATGGTTTCCTCTTCTCCATTTCTTTTGCCCTCTCTTTCTTCCGTTCTTCTTTCTTCTCCTTCCCTCATTCTTCTTGGCGGAATGTGAGGATCTTGGGACATCCCTGCATCAAGGACGTGAGCGTAAGCAGAAGGTCTAGGATTGAACTACACCTTCCTCCTAGAGAGGAGGCAAGTTCTCTTCCCATAATGATCTTCTTTCTCCACCTCGCTTTCCTACAAATGCAGGGTCCTCATTCTTCTCCAAATTCAAAAAGGAGAAGGGGGGGAGAGAGGAATGAATGGGGGAAGAGCCAAGCAAAGCAACAGTGCAAAGAAATGCGCTTGGAACCTCGTGGTTTGATGATGGCTGTTTGCAGGATTGGTGGTACTTTAGCGACGATAGTGAGATAAACACGAAATGAAACGAAACCGGTCGTCGCTACTATTTGTTTGCTACTGATCCTCGTGCTCGCACCAACCTTGATCTTCATAGCGAAAGACATGGGTACACGGAGAAGTAGCAAGGTATCCGAAAAAATAAAAAAACTTCGGATTCTCATCATAGAGTATATAGTCTTAAGCACAAGCCATGCACACTAATACCTGTTATCCAACAACTATTTTGGTCATGCAAACCGCTCCCTCCCCCCTCTTTCCCTTGCAACCGTGAAACAGCCAAGCTTTTTGAAGATGCCAAAAATATCACCAACAATCAAGCAGAATCCAAGCCGAGGCATACATACATACATACGACGCGATATCTCCTGATAGATGCTAAGCCAAAAACAAGCAAGAAGGAAGAAGCGTAGAGAGGGATCCAGGGATTGGTGTGATTCGCGGCACTCACTAAAAAGCAACACAGCGGAACAATCGGGACACGGGCGCTACAAAACAAAACAAGCTGCTCCCAACCTTGACCAAGCAGCACCGAGTATCATAAAGTTAAAAAAAAAAAGCAAGCGCATACGCTGGTAGCGAGAGATTTGACATTAACACGACATGAGAAGAAAAGCAAGCAAAACGAACAGAAAAAAATGACGACAGACGTCGGGCCCCCTCCAACATTACCCAGGTCGTGAAGTGACAGCAAAAGCATAAATGGCGCCAAATAAGGAAAGTGACAATGAGGAAGATTCACCTCCCCTCGGAACGAACCCCAGAAAGCAAGGTATGCAACAACAGAGCTACCGGGAAATGCATATAGCGCGTGACAGCAAGGTGCTTGTGTCCATGTGACACGATTATCTTTTCGTAGAATCGGCAAGGTAGTAGTGACTACATGGCCATCCAAATAAGAAAAGACGACTTGCATGTAAGATAAATGAAATTGAGACATAAGGAAAGCCATGTGACATATGGCTGATGGGATATGGCGGAGTCGCGGTTGCGAGGCTGCGGCCTCTGTGTGCGGCCTGAGGAGCTTTCAGCTGTATCAATAAGTACAAATACATGGTTAATATATGTCGCGTGTTTTGAGCAGAGGCTTCAAAGCATGCGCTTCCTCTTGCGTGCATCATCCGGGTCGTCTTCGTCAGCCCGCTCTTGAGTGTCAGCAGGATTGAGAAGCGAATGCACGTTGGAAGCCATGCTGGAGCGGCGCGTAGGTGGGCCAGGTGTATCTATACCCTTGAAAGGGTAGCGAGCGCCAGGAAGAGACCAGCCGCTGTCCGCACTCAAGTTGGAAGGCGTGGTATCACTCGTCAGAGGTGGAGTGTTCTGCCGAGAAGACTGTTGACGAGGACCGCGGGGAAGCTGGTATGATTCCAAAGCATCACGGAGCTGTTGGTCACCTCCTCCGATAGGCGGTCGATGGGGAGAAGACGGCCATTGAGTTGAATTTTGGCCAGATGCATAAGGGGATTGTGCGGGTGGTTGCGGTTGCCATCCGTGTGTGCGTATATCTGCCGAGGTATGTCGCCTATAGAGGTTATAGGGTGGGGATGATGCATTGGGTCCTAAATTGCTACCTAACGTTCCACCGGGATGCTGGACAGCGGGCGGAGGAGGCGGTGGGGGTGGCTGGTGGCTCACTGGGGTTCTGGCTGAAGATGGGGAGTAATTACCCGTACCTATTGAGCCGTAACGTCGCGGAGAAATCGCAATATGGGCCGGAACCGGAGCTTTAAATTGACCTTGGCGAGGCAGCACGCCAGCCAACGACCCTCGACGCGATTCGGATCCGTTGTCTTGTGGCATTTGTCGCGGGGAAAGCGGGGGTTGGTTTACATGGTCTACCTGCATGAAGAAGGGCTGTCGAGCGGACATGGGCTCCTCTGAAGCCTCGATCCCGCGCAGCATCTCGGTCTGGCGCGCAATATCTCGTTGCATTGCGGAGACTAGAAAGACTGTGAGCTTGCAATCCGAATAAAGTATAGGCAAAAGTACACACCATCCTTGTGGATCTGCGTTTCGGGGTCTGGGACCAGGGTCAGGATGTAATTTGTGAGCTCGTGATTCCACTGTACCGTCCATTAGCGAGAATGGAGTCAAAACTCCACGAATCGACTGACCTGGTGACATCGAGTGATGCCCTCCATGAGAAGCAGATTTCTTTGATTGAGGTAGGCACATCCGTCCTCGGACCTTTGCATGCGGGCATGCATATCATACAAACTATGCTCCAGGACACTAAGTCGTGATTCGACAGGGTCAGGCATCGGCTCTACAGGCGCTCCAGCAGGCGGACCGGTGGGAACCTTGGGCGTCGAAAAGGAATCTCGATGGATGAGGGCATGCCTGGACGCCCGGCGCTTGATTTCTCGCAAGCCCACGAGATCACCCCGCTTGAAACTGCCGTTCCCATGCTTGAATTCCCACAAGGGCGAGTCAGGTGATGCGGTATGAAAAACGTCGCTCACTTTTGGGTGGCATCATTGTCAGCGCATTGCGTCGCTCAGGCGAGTATGCAGAGGGTGTAGCGTACCTTTGTGGAAGCCATACATGTTCAATTGGCGGACAAAGGATGAGATGTTGGTGTGTTTGAAGTAGGAGCTAGAAGCGCGGTTAGATAGATTAAAAAGAGGGCCATAGCTCCCGATCCACGTACGACAGCACTTTGGAGAATTCGCTCGAAGGGGACATGACAAAACTCTCGTTGGTACTCGACCATGAAATGAGATGTTGTATATTCTGATCTTCCAACATGCTGTAATTGCATTAGCCGGTGCGCATTTGAGCTGCATGAATTTCCTTGGTGCACCCACTTGTACAATTTGTGAATGAAGGCCGTCTGGACGACCTTGGGCTGCTGGGCGGCGGCGGCAGCACCCACAGGCGCAACGGGCGCATTGGACGTGCCATTGGCAATTGGGCCCCTGTTATCCGCTTCTCCGTTTCCAGATTGGTCGTTATTCAAGCCGTTGCGCTCGTTTGCGGGGCTGTTGATGACGGGCGGGCCCATGATGGGAACGGTAGGGTGGGAAATATCCATTGGATCTCGGGGCGGCGTGAGGTTGGATGAGGCTGACGAAGGTAGAATGGGAATGGATTTGTGAAGGCCCTGGTGATGAGGATCGGCGGCGAAAGGACTGCGACGAGCTTCGGCGACTGAGGCCATGACTGCGTGACGGGCGGTGGATGGGTAGGCAAGCTGGCAAGCAAGCAAGCAGGCGCAAGAAGCAAGTGAGTGGTGGTGGGCGAAGGTCAGCGAGGATGCCGTGGGCAGCGGACAGTACCCCACTCCAGGTGGCCGACGGTCGCAATGAGTGGCGGGGTGGTGGTGGTGGTTATGATGAGGTTGTATAGGATATATGTAGTGCAAGAGGCTGGATCTTAGGGTGTGGAGTTGAGGATTAAGCAGGACATAGCACTGGGCGCATGGAAGGATGCAAGAGCGGAGAGCATTCGGGTAGACTCGAATCGGATGGTCGCCTTTACGTGAGCAGTGGCTAGGCAGCTAGTTGGGATGGTAGCGTGGAGTTGGCGGCGACGGGGCGGGCAAGTGGCAGCAGCAGAAGAAGGTGTCGCGTCGCCACTTGCGAGGGAGGTTTGGAGGCAGGCGGAGGTTGGTTAGTTGAGGAGGAGGAGGAGGAGGAGGAGGAGGAGCGTTGGACTGGCGGGCGTTGCAGGCGTTGCAGGCTGGGGGGGTTTAGGGGGTAAAAGAGCAAGTCAGGCAACGGACAGTGTGATGTTCCAGAAGAGCGCTGTGTTGGGGGCAGACTGGCTGGCTGGCGGGCGGCGATGGAGGTGCCAGTGGGAAGGAAGCAGCCGGCAGTGGGTCCAAGCTGGTGCTGCTGCTGCCCTTCTCTGGTCGGAAAAGGAAGCTGCCGCCGCACGGTTGGAACGTCGAGGGAAGGAGCTTTGGGGTGCTGGGGGCAGGGCAGGGCCAGTGTCAGTCAAGTGCGAAAGAGGGCTGGATGTGTGTGTGTGTGTGTGCTTGTTTGGACCATTAATCCGTGCTCAAGTATATGCTGGGTAGGGACGAGGGACGAGGGGTGGTGATGATAGGCGAGAGGCATGCTATGCGACGGATAGGGAACCTGGCCATGTATGTACATATGTATGTAGGTATGTACATAGGGTACAGCACATGATGACTTACTGGGCTTGTTTGCCGGCGGTGCGGGCTGGATAATATCTGGCGTCGCAGCCAAAAAAAAGTGCCGATGCAAGATCAGATGGGCAAGATGCGAAGCGAGGAAGAAGTAGTGAAGAACAGGGCAAAGGAAGAAGGGGGAAAAAGCAACATAAGACGGCAAAGGTGGATGGGTGGATGGATGGGGGTTGTTTTAGAGGGTGCAGTAGGCACTGTAGGTAATACAGCCAACATGTTGCGAATGCATGCATCTATGCGTCTTGTGGCCGGGCCTTGGCGCCATCGACATGTTTGGGGCCGCCCGTCGCGTGTAACATGAATCTTTCCAACGTCGCCCTCTTCACTTGCTCGTTGATCGCACCACGCCAGCTGGTGATATGTACGTGTTCCTTGGTACTATTCAGTCATCTCAATCACCACGGCACTCAAGCCACTTGCTTGGTTATTCCTTTACTTACCCCCACCCCCACACAGACCATGCCATCCTCGTCCTCTTGCGCAATCGTCGCAGACAGACCGGCGGGCTGCTTCTGGCAACTTCCCGAGAGTGCGATATGCGCTGCCGAGTCGAGTCAAACGGAGCCACCAACCAACAACAAGGGACGGGGCGTGCCACCGAGTCAACTACTAGTCCACCCTGATCATCTAGTGTGCCATCAGAAAGATGAAAACGCCGGCTAGGGGACCTCACCGTCTGCATACTTTGGTCAGTAGGTTGGTATTGATGGATAACAAAGATACCTACCCAAGTAGGTACATATGTACACATGTACACATGGATCCATGCACCCAATTACCTGGCCGTTGTCATTGCCATTGTCATTGCGTGCATTGCCGGCCGTTTTTGCCTGTATCATCCATGTTTCTGATTCCATGGGTCGTGGCCATGGCCTGCAAAACATTTCAAATCCTCAGGCTCTGCCTCTTGGCCGCCCACTGTAGCAGGTACGTGTACATTGCCATGTACCATGATGCAGCGCAAGCAGCCATTTCACATGTGCAACTATCCCATCACCACTCCAACAATCCAGCCACAAGTGCTTGTACATATGCTTTTCCCGTTACTCTGGCCATCATCATCATCATCATCATCATCGTCAATCATCAGCAACAGCGCCCTGCTCCCCCGTGCCTGAATCGATGGAATCAATTGTAATGTGTCAAACTCGAGTCGTCTCTGCTACGGTGCCATCTGACGCACAGGAGTTGGTTGAACATGTTCGAGTACACATGCTCGTCTGCCGTGACACAGGCACAGTGTGACAAAAAAGGCGCTACGCCATGCCCGGCTGCCAAGTGGATCCCCCAAATCGATCGCCTGTCCACTGTCCAGCCTGTCGGGCCGAAGCCACCGCCTGCCCCGTGCTCCAAGCCATCTCGACGCCGCACCTGGACAGACGGGTCCAAAATCCCAACTGCACTTGGTACCTTCATTGCACCCGTCAGCCACATGTCGTCCAATCCACCAGACCTCACTTCTGCTCTGCGCGTCTTGAGCCTCCCTGATGGCGACCCGTCGCACGCTGAATTGCGGGCTGCCTTTGACGCTTTGCCTCGCAACGCCCGCAGACAAGCTCTCCTGCTTCTCTTCTCCCAACTCGACAACCATGAATGGAGAGCTGCTCATAGCACGCTCTCCACCAAGCGCTTCCAATACGACATCATCGGACAGCTTCCTCCCGAGCTGCTCATCCAAGTCTTTTCTCATACGCACCCAACTCTTCCGTTTGCGCTCCAACGAGTTGGTTACTCTGTTCAAAGCTAGCTGTCTATATATGCAGAAAGGGAAGCTGACAGCTTCAAGGTATCCAGAAAGTGGCGAGAAAAGCTTCGAAGCCCTGCTATCCTGAAACCTGTATTGCAATCTGTTCATGGCCGTACCATCAACCTGGAAAACTACGACGATTGTCTGCGAAAAGCATTGAATATTCATAGTTTCCACCAAGGAAAGCCTCGTGCCATCACAACCATCCATCCATCTCGTGATTTTGACCTTCCCCTTCGCAAAGAAATTCTCGTCGAAGATTTCCTAGTGGGTGTAGACAAGACAGAGAGAGCAATGATATCTCACAACCTGAGAACGAGCAAATCATGGCACATGTTTGGTGCTGGAAGAGAAAAGATCTGCAAAATCGCCGCTTCGACCGAACTGGTGGCATTCGTCACCACGTCCAACATTTGCCATGTTGCTGATCTTGCTGGTATCAACAAAAAATATTTCAAATTGTTCGGCGGTATGTTCGAGGCAATAGACTGCCACGGTAGTACTGTGGCATGTGCTGGTGTGTTTGCGGAACATGTGGACGTGTACATTTGGGATTTCAACTATCAACATGGAAAATCTCTGAACCTTGGTCGCAACCAGGCTCCTTTCACCACATGGAAGCAGGGGTATGTTCCTTGTCTACTGTATTTCCCCTTTCCCTCTTGATGTGATGCTGACCGCGGCAGCTGCCCTACTCCACCAATTGCACTGGTCTTGGCTTCCGACTGCCAGTCAGTATCCATCTACACAAGTCAGCGATGTCGGTCAATATCTTGTCCTGTGTGTATTGACAGTAACGATGCCACGGAATGCTCCATATATATGGGAAGATTCACGTTTGAAGGTCAGCTTACTTACCATGATGATATGGAGCTAAGCGTCGACGACGACCGCCTGCCCGTCGGGATCAGCTTCAATTCATTGTCTCTCCATGACCGAAACGGTGAAATCGCTCTCGCAATCGTCGGCATATCAAAGGTATCAGATGTGCCACATGATGGACACGAACCAATCGATTATGAGTTTGATCTTTGTCTCCACAGAGATCATTCATTTCTTAACACGGGACTTCACTATATGACTCGAGGGATTAGAGAGTCGCCAGCAACAATAAAGTCGACGATTAAACGGTTCTGTGGGCAATTATATGAAATGAGCACATACAAACTGGGTGATGAACGGCGCCCTGGTGAATATATGGTCGCCAAACTAGAGTCACGGTGCGATCTAATCCACCGGGCGTGGTGCGCGATATCTATTGTTCTAGACGCTCGCGTGTCCATGATAGGTTGCCAACAATTTGCTGATGATGAAACAGGGTCCATCTTCTAGCCAAACCGGTGATACTCGGAACTGCTTCCAACGTTGTGGTCCCATTATTATTGCTCACTAACGATCAGTTTGCCGTGTGGCGGTACACAGAATATCTTGTTGACGGGGATCAAACAGTGGTTCGCGTGTTATGCTTCTAAGACAAAGCAAGGGCGCGGGCTATCGCTCATCTTTCATCGGTAGCAGTATATCACAAAAACAAATGCGATGGAGAGTGTCTCCAGCTTTTCGTGCATGCTCAAAGCAGTTTTCGAAATTGCGTAGTCTTCACTGTAGCTTACAATGCATGTCTCGACACGAATCCCGGTATTGCCAAAATGAGCCACCATCGCAGCTCAAACATGGAAATCATGACCACATCATGCTTGAATTCCTAGTCACCCGAGGACTATGTATATACGTGCATTTCTTTTCTGCGAGGCTGCATGTCAACCTACTTTCAAACATTTGAAGAATTCAAACATCACGTATAACACGTGCCCTAGACCACGCACCGTTGTCCGCAGGGATACTACCCCGCCAACGCTAACCCGATGGAACAAGCGCGGGGCTCACGCTGGCAACCGCGGCGGTCTCCGAAACATTTATTCGTTCCTTTGGAACCGCAACAAGAGATTTTTTTTTCTGTACCCATCTCTCAACCCTCACTTGATTCTCAACCTTCTCAAATACAAAACCTCAAGGACTCCAAACGACTTCAACCGATTTGAAAATTCGTGTACCGTCAAACATCATGGTTGAGAAAATCTACGTTACATACAACCAGGTACGTCGCATGTGTCATCCGGTCTTCAACCGCATTTTCGTCGAGAATTATTCCTGAAACGCTTGTGCACCTCTCGCGCATGCATTTCTCTTCCGTTGCGCGCCCGCGACTGGCTGGCCGTCGGTTCTATTCCGAGTACTTCACATGACATTCGCCACATGGACTAGGCGCGGGAGGTTTGGTACTGCAAGTTGTTTTGAACAACCGCATTGGCGGCGGCCAGGGTCAGTGTCTCGATATTAGACATTCTTCCTCAGCCTATATCATATGCGCTGCCGGTACCAACCAACACCCCTTTATCCTCTTGTCTTCTGGCTCATTTACTTTACCCCACTATACAATCACCGCGACCAGGATAAACAGACCAGAATACTGACTGCGGATGAATAGGTACACAAGCTGTGTCAGGAGTCTGCGGAGCGCATCCTCAATGAGTTCCACCCACAGCTCATGGTAGCCATTGGTGGCGGCGGTTACGTTCCAGCACGCATCTTGCGGTAAGCCCGTCACTTACCCCTCTTAATCGCACTCCCGGGAATGGAACCAGAAACGCTGATCACAGCTTCTCAACAGATCTTTCCTCAAGAAGCCTGGATCCCCCAACATCCCCATCCAAGCTATTGGCCTCTCACTCTACGAAGCCCTCGGCACCGACCCCGTTGAGCAACCCGGCACAAAAGTAACCCGCACACAATGGCTCGACCTTTCCTCCCTCGAGATGGCCAACCTGATCGGCAAGAACATCCTCATCGTCGATGAAGTCGACGACACGCGGACCACCCTCGAGTACGCCGTCCGCGAACTCGAGAAGGACGTCATCGAGGCTCAGAAGAAGACCGGCCGCGAGGGCGAAAAGACCACCTTCAGCATCTTTGTGCTCCACAACAAGGACAAGACGAAGAAGGGAAAGCTGCCCGAGGATATCGTTCAGGGTCGCTACGAGGCTGCGCGCACGGTCGGCGATGAGTGGATTTGCTATCCTTGGGAGGCCATGGATATCGATGAGCATGATCGTCTTTCCCGCGAGGCCGAGAGCAAGCAGTGAATCTACTGATTCCATTTGATCTGGTCTGTAGAAATCAGATCACCGGACTGTTTGTTTGCTTTTTTTCTACGTTGCATTTCCATCATGAACGGGAGACATCAAAAAATCACGAGAGCGGGTCGATGGGGAAAATGGGGAAAATCTTATTAGCATTCTTCAATAAGCTAACGAGGAATCTATGATGCTTCCGACTTGAATATTATTGGGAGGGGTTATGTGTTTCTGCTTCAACAGTTTAGATTCATCACAGATATGCGCTTTTGAAGATGAATCGCGGATATTTTAGCATAGCAATCATCACTGTCAGATGGTTTGATCTGCCTACAATGAAATATAATATGCATCTTGAACTGATGATAGTCCGATTTACATGACACGCTTTACATATCCTGCCGTGGCTTTACCTACTAACATCTTATGCCTTGATACCCGGTCACGAAGCCTCGCAACTTCATCGTGTTGTACGTTTGTTTTTCCTGTATGCTAGAGAACATAACTTAAGATCCTATAGAAACCCATGCAAAATCTACTGAGAGACGTGTTGTAATACTGTGTATCCCTAACCGCTACAGATACATTGAGCAAAATACGAGAAGATTGCAAGAAAATTGAAATACTGGATAGTGCATTGTAGTTTTAAAGAAATCATGAAGCACTTTCACTGGAAAGGATGGCTGAAAGGGCATCCCGCGGTACAACAACACCACACAAATTACTCTTAAACCCTATAGACTATCGGTCAATGGCTGTTTTCAACAAGCACTCAATTCATGCCACCACCTTGTAAACCCTACATACAACATGGATTACAGCCCTTCTACAGACCCTAGAACCATCACACCGCCCTGAACTTGTATACTTGAACATCACAAAACACATCAATACACACACAAACACACTATGCACAGGTCAATCAAAGGTGACATTCACTACCTCAAACTACTCCAGAAATGCTGATCCCAGAGAGAAAAACAAACCCCCATGATGATTCCAGAAAACTACTCTAGACGTGCTTCAGAACAGGGAAAACAGAGCTGCGGTCAACGCAATACCCAGCGAGGCGGGTCTCAACTTGTTACCGCCAGCTCCATTCGGGTGTTTGCCCCCAAGACCATCGGTGGTTGCACCGGGGTACAACGGGTCCGTCTCCGAGGAGATGGTGATAGTGACGGTGGTGTCGGGTTCCTCGGGCTCGGGCTCAGGCGTTGGGCCCGCACTCGCGGACGAAGACGGGCTCGTGAGCTCATAGGTAATTGTGGTCGTGGATACCACCATCACGGTGCTGATGGCACGGCGGGGATGGGTGTGGAAAGCTGGAGCCGTGGCTTTGGCAGTCCAATTGATGGAGGAGGGAGATGAAGTGTACGTATCCAGAGGGCCTGGCAGCACTTTTGTGGAAGTCATGGATGCGAAGTTTGAGGCCGCTACCTTGTTAGTCCAAGATGACACGCTCCAGTGAAAGGATGTGAGAGGCCGGATGGGGTCGGCGGTGTTGTTGTTATGGTAGGTTGAGAAGACAAACACGGGAGGGTCATTGACCGTGGAATCCTCGGATGGCGTAGATACACCGGTGGTATGGGGCGGATACGAGGACCAAGGCAAGAGCGAAGACAGTGAAGAGGGATGCTGGACACTGAGGGTCTTGGTCAAGAAAATTGTGGAGTTCAGAAGCATTGTGGTAGTTGTCGTAGGCTCGATGCTTTTGTTATGGTTAGTACGAAGTTTTCATGCAATCATCTGTAGAAAGCTTACCTAGGGCCGGCACACACTGTAGTATACGCGGTGACCGTCTTGACCGTGGTTGGACACTTCTCGGAAGGGCACAGGTAGGTGACCTGAGTTGACTTTCCTCCCATGGTAGCGTCTCCAGTGCACAGCTGAGGAAGTGTAGGACATGTCGACTGAGTCTGCTGCGAGATGGAAGCACCTGTATTGTCATGAGGTGGCTCCACAGCAACAACGGCTACTACACGCGTTAGTCCTATCGATATCGCCAAGAGATTATCGGACTTACCAGCAGCAAGCATCCACATGACGGTCTTGACGATGAACATCTTGACGGTTTGATTGAGAAAGTATCCTATTTGTTGTCAATACGCCACTGGCTTTTATCTCGCAAACAGTGCTGGCAGACAGCTCCTTTTTCGATGCGTGAAGAGACAGAATCGGCTTATGTCCCTGTAGTTGTTTGTTAACCTATGACGCATCTCAGAGAGAGTTATGGATGTAGACTTACCAGCTCCGATGCTACATCCAACCATGGCCAAGCATAGACGCGTTACATAGCAGAGCAGTGAGAAGCCGGCAAGCAGTGGCCGTTCTCGAACATGCGTCTCCAAGTTACTCGCCTCGAACAGGTCATTGGGATGTCCATGCGAGACCGACCTCTTCATGAAAGCAGGAAAAAAAAACAGCAAAGACGCGCAAAACAGGTGGCCTGGCAAGCCCGCAAGGAGGTAGAGTAGTACTAACCTTTTAGAAGAGTTGTCTCTGGAGGCTTCGCAGGTTTGCAGAGATCTCTTTGATCGATTGGCGTAGGGCAGCGAGAGGGAGCGAGGGAGAGCGTGGACGGTCCTGTGTGTCTATATGGGTAGTGGTAGCTGTCGGCGCTAGTCCTATTTTGGAAAGGTGGCTAGCGAGGAGAGTATTCAGTGCCTCTATTCATGATGAACAGGAAAGTGAACAGGAAAGTGAACCCGCTATTCACCCAGTCATTTGGAATGAAAGTGAATTCAGCGTTAGTTACCGAGGGATCAGAGCCATTCGGGTTATCCTCATGTGCACCGTGCCAAAGAATATGCGACCTGAAATTCGGCGCTCAAACTGAACGAATGAGCAAATGTCAACTAGTTGCTTGTTAGATTCGGAAGCCGTCAAAGAGGTATACTGAGAGACAAAACCGCGAAAAACTCAAAGTGGATGGATTGTTTTACATGAATGATCATATTAAAAGTTTACATGGAGGATTGAATCAGAGGAAGTATCGGGGTACTCGAGTGCAATGAGAAAATTGCATAGCGAGAAAATATGCATGCCCATGCACCACTGAAACTGGAGAGTTAAAAGAATCGGTCGAGCGCCCCGGTGTAGTACTCCCCACAATATATCCATTTGTCTGTACCCTCAATGTTTCGTATGGAGTGCCGCAATATCGAATGTTTCGATGGTTTAGCCTTCTACGTATGATTTAGCACAAAGAACGTGTTACTCTCTATTAGTGCTATACATACTTGAAACGCAGAGCTGAATTGAACGTACGAAGACCATTTTCGTTTCGGTAAGTGACTTTGACGACCGAGTGTTCAGCTTTTAGTCGCCGTACATTTCTAACAAATGTCCCAGCATTTTGCGTTGTAGCTGAAGCACCTGATGATTCGTAATTGTTTTCGTCGGTTCCTGGCCAGCGTTGGAATCCTCGTCGAGCAATTGCACATCATTGTCTGAAATCAGAACTGGTCGCACGCCAAAAAAAGGAACTCCATGTTGTGCAAGTGTCTTCGACTGTGAATCTACCATAGCGCCGCAGGCTCGATATATCTTGAGATCATATTGTGACAACTCTTCTTGTTCGCGCTCTGGCGTACGGTGAGGTTCCATATCGCCCAAGATGTTGGTTAAGGACAGGGCCGCTAGTTGAGTTTTTTCGTTTTCCCGTTTGAGCTCCTGCTCTTGAATGAACCGCTGCCGGCCGTTCGCCCAATCTTTGAAATTTCGCTGTTCGTCCCTGATCAACTTGCGCACTAGATCCCCGAGGTCCGGCTTTTGCATCGCGAGCTTGGTGACATAGCGAAGGCCATGTTTCCATTCGGTGATCGTAGCTGGGTCAATTGATACAGACGACGGGCGATGTTGTGCGTTAGATGATGGATGGGTAGGAAGCGTTGATCGGCCTCCAAGCCTTGGATCCCGTGACTGCTCGCGTTTTTGTTTTTTGTATTGTTGACTAGAATCGGTGGGATTGTGCTTGAGGGGTTCTTGATGCAAGCTTTGCAATTGTGAAGGATCGACAAGCTGAGTGGGTTGGGGGGTGGCGTTTTCTGCTTCAGCAAAACTAGCAAGTGTAGCTAGAATCTGTTGCAGATCTGGAGTCTCCATGTTAGTGTCCGCCATGGCTGTTGTGAGGCTAGTATTGAAGTGATTGTGCGGTTGACAGAGTCTGTTAGTTAGAAAGAGAAGAAGTGGTGGTGACGTGGATTGGTTCACAAGCTCTAGCCACCAGCACGCTGTTTGCTCGGGTGTACAGTGTGAACCTCCCAAAGGGACATTACTGGAAAGGTAAGTAAGTATTGAAAGGTTGAGCGATAGAAGGCAAGCAGAACCAACTGTCTTTCCCAGAGAAATGTGTATTTCGATGGTGCAGTCCAGTTGTTATTATCTGACAAGGTTCATTGACTTGGTAGCCAAGGTGAAGGAGTATGGATGGCGTTACAAGGTTGAGGAGGTGGAGCAAAGTAAACCCGATGCCGAGCAAGCGGCAAGTCCCGCCTCGACCCAACTTTTGCCAAATCATACGACTCTCATTTGGCATCACGTACCATCCTCGCCCTTTCTCGCATTCAATCCAAACAATGTCGAAAACACCGAAGGATTCGACACGCTTCACTGCGACGGGCGTTTGGGCGCATACAAGACCTGGCGGCCGGGCGACGACGCTCCAATTCGCGGACCCAGCACCCAAGAATGAAACGCCACAGCAGAAAGTCAAGCGATTGAGAGAAGCAGCAAATCGAGCGAAGCTGGCACAGGTTACGAAATGGGATTACATGTATCTTTATGGACGAACGGCTGCGGATGCACTGCACAGAGCCGCAGTTTATGGCATAGTCTTCGCTACCGGTACGAATCGACCCGCAATCGCAGTGCCATTGGAATCTGTGACCGCACCGTGATCATCTGAAGCAACTTGACTAATTGATCAATACAGGCTGTGTGGGTGTGCTTGCAGTTTTTTCAATAGGAGACATGGTTGTTTACAATCGCCGGAAACGTGCCATCTTTTTCGAGGACCAGGAACGGGAACAGGCCAAGATTCTGGCGACCGCACGTCAAAGCGTTTTGCAAGGCACCGCAACGCCCGCGCAAACCGCGCTTGTCGAGGGCATTGCGGAAGAGGAGCTATTGATGGAACAGAAGAAGGCAGAGCGCAAGACTCCATCGAGATTGCTGTGGTGGCTGCATGGTGAATGGAAGGAGGAGAATGTTTTGACAGAGCAGAGAAAACTTGCGGCCGCGGAGTTCAAACAAGAGGAGGCACAGAGCACCAACCAAGGCATGGGCATCACTCAAGCAGTCCAGGAGGCCCGATCGAACACACCTGAGGCCGTTGTCGGTGGACCTCTCGATCAGCAAGCTCAGAAGGCTGCCAAATTTGCGGACAATGCAGCAAAAGGTGTTAGCAGTAGCTGGTTTGGCTGGGGATCAGGTGGATCCAAAAAGGAGTGAGAAGCTGGGAGAAGGCCGCAACGGCCAGTGTATTATATTTGCTTGAGGCAAACCAACCCTCCTTGCTTGTACAAAGCTGTGCTATTATTACTGTATCACATCACGGAGTTGAGGGTCAGTTGTCAACCGGAGATGAGTGGGTATCTTTTGGCATTTGCTATTATAATCATTGCATAAGTGACCATCTGGTCTCGTTCCAAAATCATAGAAATCATAGATGCGCCTATTGCTCACCCTGGTTGGATACGGGTATATACGTCCCTCGGTCTCGAGCTCTCTGGGATTTGTTAGTCGCTGTTAGATCTTCTGAAAAGAGCTCCTCGCAACGTGGATGCGGTGTACCTCTGCCCACGTATCAACCCACGGCCTTACACCTGCGTAGCTCAATAATCCAACTGTCGAGAGAATGAATATCCATACCACAGCTTGATCTTTGGCTGAGTCTCTTTCTGCTTGCCGTCAGTATCACCGTTCTTCCCGCCTTGATATCATATCGTTGGGCATACGGAAACATGTTGTAACCACATTCTCTTCTTTCTCTCCTTTACAGAACGAATAGCTCAGGCAAAACGATCGGTTGCAGTCATTGCATGTCTTTTTCGAGGCGCGCTCGCGGAGATCGGGCGATTTCGGTGGGGGTTTCTTCAATTCGACAGGAGCATCGAGAGCGATGATGCTACTATTGCCAAAGCAGGTGCATTTGCAGAAAGATGCTGGTGCTACGGTAGAGGTTGATTAGCTTGCGCAGTGAAAGATATCCGAGAGAAGCCGCCTTACTTGCTGCAGACGAAAAGGAAAGAAGCGAGAGAAGCGCGAAAAGAAACAGTAGCCACGGAGCTCGTTGCTTCATGATTGACAGAAAGATTTGTGAGGGGGAGATGTTGGAACAGCGTATGTTAGAGTCGTTGATGCTCATAGACGGACCTCCGCCGCCGCAGGCCAGGTGCTGCTTGCTGCTTTGGCCGCTAGACGGGCCGAGAGCGCGAGAGCGAGCGCGTGGGTACGTACACAAGCGCCGAGCTTTTCCTTCGCTTTCTTCCCCTCCATCCTTCGTCCCGTTGCGCCCATCCTCTACATCGCAAGAACATATCATTGTTCGCGGATCCCTCAGCATGCGTCGCTGACTTCAACAAACTATTCATACAAGTCATCTTTCTCCCGAGAGTGGGCCTGTTTGCGCGCTTTGCAAGCTCCAGCAAACTTTTGCGACCCGATGCCTACAACTCTAGCCAACATCTCCAACAACGACCCAGGAGCCACTTCAACCTCGCCGACCTCGAAAGGCTCAGTCGCTCAGAGTGACAGCGACGAGAAAAAGACAGTCAGACTACACATTACTCCGTTCAACCCGGCGCTGTCGAAAATTTATCTACCACCATCTCTGCTCCCACTCGCGCAAAACATCTCATACCACTCGGTCGAGACTTTTCCCGAGAAAGGCTTTGGTTACGTAGAGCTTCCCGTCATGGAGGCGCAAAAGTTGAAGAAGAAGCTTAATGGCTCTACACTAAAGGGATCAAAGGTGCGGATAGAAGATGCAAAGCCAGAGAAGCGCAAAGTCAGCGAAGATGTGTCGGAAGTGAAGGATGAAGAAGAGAGACCGAAGAAGCGCTCTAAGAAGGCGAAGAAAGAGAATGGTGTCCTGGATGGTACCGAGTTACCAGACGACAGAAAAGTCAAGCGCGGGTGGACGGAGCCACCGACCAAGAACAAGAAGGAGAAGAGGGAGAAGAAGAGCAAAGACAAGGAGAAAGGGAAAGAGAAGAAACCGCGCAAGGAATCAAAGTATACCAAAGACCCCGAGTTGCTGTTCAAAGCGAAGCTCACCCCCGTAGCCGCAGCCGAGGTCTCCGCGAAAGAAAAAAAGGACAAGAAGAAGGAGAAAAAGAAGTCCAAAGCAGCGAAAGAGGTTGTGGTTCACGAGTTTGAGAAGAATATCAAGCAACCTAGTTTTCTGAAGCAAACCGCCGTCTCTACTGAGAAGAAACCAGCAGTGGAATATATCAATGGCCAAGGGTGGGTGGATGAGGACGGCAACGTCGTGGAAGCCGAGATAGGGAAGGTAAGGAACAGAAGACTATTGGAACTGGTCGATCCTATGCCAGCAAAGTCTACGAGCGAAAAGCAGCAATCCAGTACCCCGTCTCCCAAGTCGTCACCGGCGCCTCGCTCATCCAAGAAGGAAAAGAAGCCGATAACAAAGGCAGCGTCTCCACTTGGGGCGTCTGAACCCGAAGACGAAGCTTCGTCGGTGGTTTCGTCATTGTCCTCTGAAGAAGAATCCGATTCTGATTCCGACTCTGAAGCTGACCCTGAAGTTGAGGCCAACAACTCGGCTTCGTCACCGGCCCAAGCGTCCAAGGGCAACACGCCCGAGATATCACTCACACCCTCTTCCCCGGTGACGAAAGAAGTACATCCACTGGAAGCCATTTTCAAACGCGCAAAGCCATCACTATCGTTGGGCTTGGACGCGACATCGACCCCTGGCAAAGGCTTAGCGCCTATCAACACGTCGTTTTCGTTTTTCGAGAATAACAACAGCACCAGCCCCACGGGTGAGTCGATGGAGGTGGATGGCGACACGGCCGAAAATCTACCCGCGACCCCGTACACGCAACGCGACCTCGAATGGCGCGGGCTGCGCAGTGCAGCGCCCACACCCGATACAGCGGCGGTGGGGCGGCGGTTCTCTTTCCCCTGGCGCAATGGCAGCCAGGAAGTGGACGAGGACGAGGACGAGGACGAAGAGGAAGAAGAAAGCGACAACGAGGGGAAGCTGGAAGCGGTCAAGGAGCTTTCGAGCAATACCAAGGCCAACGCCTCCACGGCAAGCCATCTACCCCTGGTGGCTGAAGAGAATGAGGACGAGGACGCCGTGGCGGTCGCTGGGGGAGGGGCGGGCGGGCGCAAAGCCAGCGAGGACGAAGCGGAGGTACCCGAGAGCGAGTTCAAGAAGTGGTTCTGGGAAAACCAGGGGAGTGTCAATCGGGCGTGGAAGAAGGGCAGAAGGGGCACGATGAAATCCAAGAGGTTGACTGATAATAAGAAGGCTGTGGGTGGTGGAAGGCGGGCGGATTAAGTGGCTTAGATTAGAGAAGGGGGGCCTCCTGCTCTGGGAGGTAACGTGAAGCAATCATCTATCTATGTGTTTTTCTCTCCATGTTCTTCAAGTGAGTAGCAGCAGCTATCTATTGGATGCGATGGATGTGTTGGTGGTTGTCGCTGTTTTGTACAACGGGATTTGTGGCGGGATGCCCAGTGATGCTGTTAGACAGGACCAAGGCCTGGTCTGGTCCACAGGCCCTGTCAGTGGGTACTCGATGGGCAAGCTCGATTCCCCGAGACGAAGATCGACACAGATGCTAACAGGGATTTTGGATCTTGAAGGGAGCGAGGACGACGACGATTTTGACGCCAGAAGAAAAAAGAAGAAAAGGAAGAGCAGGGGCCAGCGCCAAACGGCGCTTTGCGTGTTTCCCAAACAATTGAATAGAGTGATGAGAAAAAGAAAGTCAGCAAGGTGAGGAAGGGATTCGATACGGTAGGCTCGAGAGAGAAAGCAAGGAGTTGTTTGATGGTTCAAGGTTGTGTGCTTTGGTATACAGGATGATGAATGAATAACGTGGAGACCGGCGGCAAAGCCGAAAGGAATGGATTTTGTACGGGATCTACTATGCAGCAGACAGAGAATGCTTGATTGTGACGTGCGATTTGTTTTTCCCAGCTTGGTAGATGGTCAGGCTCGGAGAAGAGGTCAGCAAGGTCCAAGCTCGACGACCAATGCGCGTTTATGATTATTTCTTTAACATTGCAGGATGGGAGGGAAATCAAAAGGAACAGGACGTGTTGGGCATCCCCAGACACAATGGCCGGGAGGCGACTGGACCAGAGTTGTGGGCCCTGCTCGCGTGTCCGTTGACACAATTTCGCAGAGCGAGTCATTCCGTGACATGGTACTGGGAAGCCAGGATTACGATCTGTGCGAGGAGGTAAGGGTGATGTAATGGTTAATCTGGGTTGCTAAGGGGAGGAAATGATGCGCGGGAGGCCTGGTGGATCGAGATGGCGGAAGCAGGATGGGGGAGCATAATAGTTGTGTAGGATGAGTATGAAGATGGGTGAGTAGCCATGTTAGAGATGTGTAGATATGGGAAAGTGTGTGCGAGCCCCTGGATCAGAAGGGGGAGAAATGGTGGTCCACGAATAAGGAGTCGGTATGGAGGGTGTTGGGTGTGACTGTATCAGACGAGGTACATGAGTACAAGTACTTATGCATTCGGTTGGGGATGCGGACGGAGAGGCGGATGACGAGAGATGATGATGGCGACGAGTGGTGGTTGTATAGCGAGCTGATTTGATTAGTAGTGGGTGGCTCGGGTCATGGTGGTCTGGATAATCATCATGACTTGTGCTCGGACGACGCAGTAGAGAGTCTTGGGGGCAGAGAGGGAGAGAGAGAGAGAGAGAGAGAGAGGGAGGAAGATGGATGCAAGCCAGGTTCAAGGGACAAGACGTTAGCGGGCTCACCCGACCCATAACCCGCTACCTTGGCGCGGCGACCGCTCGTTAGCTGACCGTTTCGAGTAGCTGGTCCGTGATGTGCTGTATGAGTAGTATGTAGGCAGAGGCCGAAGACGAAGCAGGCGGGAAAAGCAATTGAAATGAAGTAGTAGACACAGTCCAAGCTCCTCAAGTGCTCCTCCGCCCACGATTCGAGCGAAGCAGGCTTTGCTTCCATGTCTGTCGGTGCAAATCAAGACGGCCTGTCTCCAGGTCCCATCCTAGCTCAATCGTCGCCATAACCCATAACACCATATACGCTTTGTTGTGCTTGGTTTTGTTGTTGTTGTTGCTGCTGCTGCTGCTGGTTTTTTTTTTCTCCGCCGTCTGCCTCCCAACTTCCACCACTGCCCGTGTATAAACCACCGCTTTCGGTCATCCATCCATCTTCTACCTGTATCCTATCAATTGATCCTGCTGGCTGCAAACCCCTCTTGGCCCTGCCTTCCTGCCAGCTGGTGCGTCTCTACCGCGGCAACCTGTCTGTCTGTGTCTGTCGAGCCCTGACGGCGTCCTCTCGTTTCTGGCTTGCTCGCCTGCCATTGCTGTTCTTTTCTGTCATTCGTTTCACCTACCTACCCACCGCCCTACCGTCTAATCCACACACTCGTTCCCTCATCATTTCACCTCTACCATTGGCCGCGCCCTCTCTCGTAACCTCGCTGCTTGCCCCGGCCCCGGCCCGCCACCGCCGCACCACCAACCCCCATCCGCCCACCTCGTCTCCCTCTCTCCCTCTATACTTTCTTTTGTGCGTTGCCTTCCACCCCAACGCCTGATCCCCCTCGAGTCGGTCCTTTTTGCCGTACACGATAATCCAATTCGCATCCCTCAGACCGCGCAGCTGAGCGAATGCATCGGGTCTGACCCTGATACTTATAGCTCCGTTGGCTCGCGCCCTAACCGTCCGTGTCTCTTCGCGATGCCAATGGAAACCAAAGGCACAAACACAATCTCTTCCCCGGCCGAATGAGCCCCTCCCGAGCCCTTTCGCTCCCCGACACACACTCCAAACCCAGGCCTCCGCCTCACCATGCCCGGAAGACCTCCACATCCCACCCTGCCTAGCGCTCCTTCCCACCTCGATACCAACATAACACCCGTATCAGCAACAACAACAACAACAATCACCACGCCCACCTCCGCTGTCGAACCGCCCCTCTCCGCTCGATCGCAATACCTTCCCTACCGCCCTCCAAACAGCGATTACACCCCTCCCGCCTCTCCTCAGCCTGTAAACCCATATGCTGCATCTGCCGCACGCAAAGGCTTTGGCTCCGGGAGACTGAAGCAGCCGGCAAAGTTGAATATGGAAACCGCCCTACCCCCGGCCTATGAACGGCCTGTTTACAGCCCATCTCCCTCCTCTAGTCCACCTTTGCCTCCCCTGCCGTCGCCCAAGTTTGCTCTGAGACAGAGGACGCCTTCGCTTCTCCGCCATGCTGCTACATCTTCGCCTCTCAATAGCGGGTACCCTCGAGCGGAACAAGTCATGGGCTCTCCTACGTTTGGCCCCATGCAGATGCGTCACCCAAGCGGTGCAGGCCCCACCAGCGATCCACGGGCTATATTCAATGCTCTGGGGAGTAATCCTGTCAACCGCACCAGCGCAACGTGGGAATCGACCCCCGAAGACACCCCCGAGCCCCCCATGCAGGACCATCATCACCAGCAAAGAACGCGTGGAATGACGAGTGCATCTCAGCGCAATTACGCTGCTGCCAACCCACACCCGCCGTTGCGTTCAACCACGTCCATACCCGACTTTGGGCCTGCTCGCTCAGGCGACCGATCGAACCTTTCGGGAGCATACCGACCTAATCGAGGTGGTCCCAATTGGTCACACAATGATCACTATCCTCCGCGGTACTTTCGAGGCGAAGAGCCTCGAGCGAGTTTCCGCTCCGGCTTCACCAACAACTCCTCGATTTTCATGGAAGCAAGTGGCACCGAGCGGAGCAGTATGGCCACTGGCCGAAGTTCAGTCAGTGATGCTCCCGAGAGCACGTATTCGAGGGATCGATCCGAAGAGCGGGATCTGTCCAGCGACACGCTTCCCACTACCGTATCTCCAGATGAAGAAGATGTCATGAGCACGGTCGAGGATGTCATTGATGCTTATTTTGATGATATCGACACCGAGGAGCAGCACAAGCGCTACAGCGATGTGCGTGATGATCGCTCATCCGGTTACTCCCAGGGAGACGATGCAAGATATTATCATGCCATTAGTGCACCAAGTCAAACACATTTCGGCGGCCAAGATCCCGACACCCCGGCTCACAGTTTCCATGAAGAGAACGATACTGCGGCCGGAGACACGTTGCACGTTTCACCTCTTGACATGGCCGACCGTTCTCCCACCACCCCAGGCCCACCTCACCCCTTGGAGCCACAGGACATTGATGACATTAATAGACAGCCCCCGATCCCGTCGAGCATGTACGAAGCTGACACTGACCCGAAGACGTTTGATCACCTTCAAATCCAACCGAATCAAAGTGCCTTACAACGCTCCAGCGAGGAAATCCCCCGACCACCATCCATGGTGTCTACAAAGCGAACATCTGTATACGGCCTTCCAGGTAAAAATGTAAAAACTGCAAGAAGGATCAGTCAGCATATTAGCAAGCCTCCAATGGTCCGACAAAATAACGGTGACGTACACAAGATGCAGGAAATGCACAAAGAAATAAGCTCCCTTCCAGAGTTACCGAAACAGAAATCGAGGATTTCGCGCCAGGACTGGGGTGACATCCAGGCGTACGCGAATCGCAATTCCAAAGGCGCCGCTACGATGTTGAAGATCACCATTCCCGAGGAGGTGACGTCCCCAATCAAACCCTCGGTAAATCTTCCCGAAGTCGATGAAGACGAGGCCTTTCCACGCCGTGCTTCGACCAGTGTATATGATCGCCGCAGTACTCTGTTCAATCTCGGAGACATCCAAGCGGTTTCATCCCCTACCAATAAATCGAATACCTCTGGAAATGTGCTCTCGCCGCGAGACAGACCTACTATGGCGAGTCTCAGAAGGGCTGTGAGCAGCACCGAACGCGACCGTTACGGATTCAAGAAGGCCACGCACAATATTAGTGTTCAGGAATACAACGCTTGGGCAAGCAAATACGACGAGCATATATCTCGCCGGAGGAACAAGTGGGTGGCGCTGATGACGAAGCAAGGTCTACCAACCACGAATCCCACCCGATTCCCAGATCAATGCGACAGGGTGAAGCGATATGCAAGAAAAGGATATCCTCCGGAGTGGCGGGGTGCGATGTGGTGGTACTATTCGGGAGGACAATACAAGCTCCAGCAGCCAGAAATGGCTGGTCTCTACGGTTCGCTAGTTGAGCGTATCAACAAGGGCGAGCTCAACAAAGATGATCGCGAAGCCATCGAGCGCGATCTTGATAGAACGTTTCCGGATAACATACACTTCCGACCCGAACCTACCGAGGAAGAGCTTGCGGGAGGGACCCCACTGGAGCCACCGCTCATCAAAGATCTCAGAGAGGTCCTCTCTTGCTTCGCGTTGAACAACCCCGGAATTGGTTACTGCCAGTCTTTGAATTTTCTGGCGGGGCTTTTGCTCCTCTTTCTGAAACAGGATAGAGAGAAGGCATTTGTGTTGTTGACTATCATCACGCAAAATCATCTCCCTGGTGCACATGCGAGGAGTCTGGCCAATACCGAGGTCAACGTGTTGATGATGTTGATACGCGACTATCTTCCCAAGGTATGGGCTTCGATCAACGATACCGACCTGGTAAACAGTGGACCCGGCTCCCAGGCCCATCCCGATTCCAAATTCCAACGCCAACCTACCGTTGCCTTGTCTTGCACATCCTGGTTCATGAGCATTTTTGTGGGAGTTCTTCCCATCGAAACGGTCCTCCGAGTTTGGGATGCCTTTCTCTACGAAGGCCCTCGCGCACTCTATCGATATGCCCTGTCCATCTTCAAGCTTGGCGAAGCAGAGATCCGCAAATATCGGCCGGGCGACGGCGAGCTCTTCATGACAGTGCAGAATCTTCCCAGACGTTGCCTCGATCCAAATGTGCTCCACGACCTCGCATTCGTCAAGAAGGGCTTCGGTAGTCTGACGCAGAACGTCATCGACCAGAAACGCCTCTTCTGGCGCGATCAGAGCGAACGTGCCAAACGAGCCGTGTCGCAGAGGACGAAGCCAGGCATGATTCCCGAAGATGCAAGCAACCGCGGGGGCATGGGGGGCTTGAAAAGGCGAGCATCGCGTCGATTCCTGAAGAAGAAAAACACGGGGTTCTGAGCGCGTCTTAATTTCTTCTTTTGCATTTTTTTCCTTTTGTTCCATCTTTTTTCTTCTCCGACCTCTCTGAAGCGAGATATTAGATATTTAGACGAAAAAGATACCATGCCATGCATAGACAGAATGCATGTACTGCTTGCTCGCCCGCACGGGGGCCACCTGCATGTTGGAAAGGGATTACACAAAAAGCTGCGACAAAAAGGCGGATGGGATGCATTTTTTCGTTCTTTTCCTGTACACTATTCGCATATACCCCTTTTTGTAGGTTAATGATGTATGAATTCACGGTCTCGACTTCGAGGGAATGTTTTACAATTGTTCAAACAGGGGTTGAATTCGGGTGATGTCTACATGTGTATTCTCTATTGTTGATATGCTAGATGTCTAGTCTTGGGTCTTGAAGCATACAGTTGATGTTGATAGACTCTGAGTGAGCTCACCAGTTGGGAGCAATCCGAGGACAAAAAAGCTGGGAAATCAGAAAGCCGACACCGGAAGATTGACCGCCATGCAGAACGAGAACATTATTTTCCCACGACAATCTCACGAAGTCGAGTTCTCATCAACCTCAAACCTCCCCTGGACATGCCCCCAAAATTCTTCCACAATCCCATCCTGCCCTTCTCCAGCCCTGACCGCCAAATACCGCCTCCCCTCCACCTTGGGCTTCCAATTCCCCGGGTTAGCATCAACGACCTTTCCACCAGCCTCGCCCAGAATTACCCACCCGGCACAGACATCCCACGCCCAGCACCCGGCCTCCCAATACACATCGACACTCCCCTTGGCGACCTCGCACAGATTCAACGCCGCAGACCCATAACTCCTCAACCCGTGCACAAACGCACCGCCCACCGCACTATCAGCCGCCAACCTCGTAAACGTTTCCGATTTCACCTTGAAATCATTCGCCCTGCGATCGCTGCCCCATTCCACGGCCACAAGACACGATCCCAACCCTTCAAACGCAGCCGGTGGCGTAAGCGGGAGCTTCTCCCTCACGCCCGGCGCGAGCGCAGATTCAACATAGCTCCCTTGCCCTTTGATCCCCGTGTACAGCATGCGCGTGAAAGGGTTGTAGATGACGCCTATGGTAGGGACGCGGTCCACGGCTAGGCCGAGCGAGATGGCGACAGTGGAGGCGCGGTGGACAAAGTTTGTGGTGCCGTCGATGGGATCGAGGATGAATGTCGGTGAGGTTGTCAAAGCGTCCCCCGGCTTGTGTGTTTCCTCGCCCATGAAGGAGAATGTTGGGTATGCTTTTGAGAGCTGCGAGGAGATTTGCGCTTCGACGGCTTGGTCGGTTTCAGTGACGAGGTCGACGGCTGAGGGAAGGTGGGTTAGCCAGTAAGTAATTGATTCTGTTTATGGGACGAGATATATGCAATTGAGAGGTAATGGAAGGGGGAAGAGGAAAGGTTACAATTCTTCTTGTTGCCGGCGGCGTCGGTGGTGGGTCTTGCGCTGGTAATTGTGTCGGCGGCTTCTTTTGCCACTTTGACCATGAAGTCGTGGATTTCTTGGAGGTTGAGGTCGGCCATGGCGAGGTCAGATGCAATTGAGATGGTTGGGAGTGATTTGAAGTGGAATGGAAAGGATGAGGGGAGAGAGAGGTGGGAGTGTTGAAGGTTGAGGGTTGTTAGTGAGTTGAAGTTCACGTCGGTGCCCCGCGGCGGGGTAGCAAGGCATGTCTGTAGGCTATCGAGATAGGCAGGAGAGGAAGGTGATTTTGTTGGAAGGAGGATTCATGTCTAGACATGTCTGATTCTGCATTCGCACAGTAGGATACTAGTTCGAGTCTGGTATGTGAGTTGAGTTGGTGGCGAGGGACTGCGTGTAGATTGGATGAAGAAGTTTCGATTGCATACATGCGCATGTAGATGACCACGGAGATGCGAGATGGGATGGTAAGCCACTAAGCCCCGCAGACGGATGTTATGTATGCAGGGTTCCGTGGCGTGCGTGCCTGACTCGTGGGCATGACGGCCAGCTACATACATGCAATAACATAACACTGCAAACGAGCTCTACCTCGGCACTTTGCCCTTCGGTCAACAGCCTCGAATAACCAGCTCATCTGTATCTGTCCTCTGTTGCAGCCTTGTCACCTCACCTCAGCAATGGCAGACTCAATCAAAGCGCACTTGTCGGCAACCCCTTGGTGCCACCATCTTATTTCTTCAGAGCAATGGGTTCCAGCCGAAACAGCGTCCCGAAAGCCCAAGCCAACGGGCGAAGACAGTTTCTTTGCCGAAACGCTTTCAACACCTCGGACTATCCGTGCCATGCTCACCCTGCGGCCTACAGCCGAGTTGGATAATGCCGACGTGTTCGGTGACATGGTCTATGGCGAGGTGCGCACCATCATGGAACTGGGCAACGGGCTGGACGGACATCCGCGGGTTGCTCACGGCGGGTTTGCGACGACATTGCTGGACGAGGTCATGGGTGTGTTGATTACCTTGAATAGCGAAGCCATAGTCACCAAGAAGAGGGAGAGAGGGCTTCCTGGCCCGCATCAGCCCATGACGTGTTTTACAGCATGTGCGTAAACCAGTCAAACATGCATGCTTTGCGAAGCCATGTTTGAAATGGCCTGTCGTTGGTGGGCTAACGTATACCTGTACAGATCTGAACACCATTTACAAAAAGCCTTTACCAACGCCGGGACTTGTGCTCTGCTCCGCAAGGCTCGACCGCGTGGTTCGTAACAAGATTTACGTATCTGCTACACTGGAGAATGGCAGCGGGACTGTCTTCACCGCGGGTGAAGGCATGTTTGTGTCTGTTACCAAGGAGCAAAGAGACGGGAAATTGTAAAAGGGAAAGGGGCAAAGCTGAGCACAAGGATCAGCCATAAAAAAGGAGGGAAACGAAGGCAACATAAGGGATGAGTTGCCTTTTGCACTTGGACATGTGCTCGGATTCCAGAGCTACAGGGTAAGTTGTGTAGCTTAAACCTACTCTACAAACTTTTAACTTTGAACCAAGGATGCCCACTGTTCCGCGTGCGCGTGCTGCTCAACGTCCCAATTCGGGTACATGTACATAGAACATGTACTTAGTCTCCTTGCAGATCTACCGTGCCGCCTGGTTGCACGGCAGGCATGGAAAAGTTGAGGAAGGTAGTACTGTATGTGCATATGTAGCAAACACTGAATCTTTCACCTTATCAAGGGAATGTACCTCAGTTGAATAGCTACCTCTGGGCCGCTGGCTCAACAGGTTTCGTTTGGACTGTCAGAGTGGGAGTGGAAATGCTGTTGGGTAGCAGTGATGCTCCCTGGGTAAAATGGTCAAGTCCACACATTTACCTGCAGGGAGACAGTGCCGATCGGTCGATGCGTGTCTTGCAGCTGACGGACAGCCACGAACAACATGTGTTCCTTCGTACAGCAGCCAGCCTGACTAGACGCCGGGCATCATGTCATTTTCTAGTCTTGTCAAAGTTCTTGACGGAATTATCTGTGGGCTGTTTGCTCCGCATGGTCCGATGACAATCCTTTGAGGTCTTCCCATTACGTACCGCGATGATGTTGAAGCCCAACAATCTGCTTGCTGTCCAGTTAGAAGTCTCGAAACTGCTGGATTGTTTTTACAAAAAAAAATCTTTCTTTCCATGGTCAGGGCCAGGGTAATGTGTAGGAGGAGCGCTAACTTGAAGCCGACTGTCATTGGACGAAAACAGCAGGTGAATTCTCGGAACATGCTACTGGCCGTCAGATACTACATCGCAATCTCTTATACATCGGCATTTCAATCTATCGGGCGAATTCTTGCATCGCGCATGCTTACGTTGCATTTCGTATGAGTTTGCAGATCTCCAAAGGACAGGCTGGCTGCCGATTACCTGCGTACATGGACAGCAGACATCTGGCGCCTCTCCTGACGACCAGGTACATGAACGATAACCTTCAACCAAGTGTCCGCACCCGCTTCATCACACTCAACTTTCCAATCACCAGTCACATGTCAGGGGCAGGCCCCCCTTTGCCCCAGCGCTCCCCGGACTTGCGATCGCTTGTTCAACTACCGCGTCAGCGAATCTGCTTCCTCGCTTCACATCCCCCACAGTAGAGGTAACCGGATAAAGCAACTCTCAAGCCGGCCCACAACCTTGTCGCCGCGATCGTCCTACCCGCGGTTTTTTCACGAGGCCTTGCAACTCTCCGTGACTTTGAGTCAACGGTCAACGAATGTAACTCGACCAGCATGTGAGCACTATAGCGCCTGCGATCCGAAACAGGAAAGTCATAGGACATTAGGAGATGGATGCAACGAGACTCAAGCTAAGCTTCACACTACCCCGCAAAAAGACTGCTTACTGTCTTCCCTGTGCTGCGTAGTTTATACATTGTAGCGGTACGGCCCTTGGCTGTCTCTTCAGTTTTCCTGGCCAAGGCCCGTCTGTCGTCGCCTGCACCTATGTGAATATGTACATACGAACCAAGACCCGTCAGTCGCCTTTAGTTGCATGAACATTCACGTCGCGCCACATGATGAACCAGAACTGTCCAAGACAAACAGGAGGGTCGAGCCGTACCGGTGACTTTCGGTTGATCTATTCCAGCCATACATGCCCTTGCTGGCCGTGTGGAGTCGCAGTATTTCACCTTGGCCCCTTTCATCTCGGCTGTGTAGAGTTACCTACCTTTACTGTATATGCGCCACTGCCAAGTTAGAAGCCGATCGTGGAGGATATGCCTGTTTGGTTCTCATCCCTGGTAGTCAGTGGACAGGTTAATCTCGCCATGTCACTCTCTGGCGAGCCTGGTCTACTCAGTTGGCATCTAACTCGTAGGGGGCTGCCTGCCTGCAAGGACGCTGCCACACATCAACTACACATTTTCTGGTTCATATGACCGCTAATTTCTTGTTCCATGCTAAGGGGCAAGCATGCCAGTCACAGGGGCGCCCGTGGTTCCGTGGTCACTGGGCTTGGACATCGTAATGATTGGCTGACCTGGCTGCGGTTCGTAGTTTCCCTGTGAATGGGAATCACACACATCGCGACTACCAAATCGTGTATATATGCCTCTTCTTCCTTTGCTATAGAACAAATGTTATCGAGTCCTTCAGCCCCGCTGCTCTGCAACTGATTTGGTCTCCTTGGTGTGCGGCATACTTAATATATCCACGCTTTTAATTCGACATCTCTTACATCAGTACATCCACTTCGAGTGAGTACCAAGCCCAGTCCTTTCACCGAATAACAATGAGCTGACCAAACACGACAGTGCGTTTCTCCTCGCTTGCCGCCTGCCTGTTGGCTGTGGGCACTCAGGCAGTTGTCTTGCGTATGTTTCCTACTGGATTCGTACATGTCATCGTGAAACTAACAGTCTGGTAGCATCTCGGCTCTCCCACGAAAGCAGTCCGGCTGATCGTAGAGACTCTGCAAGCTCAGTCATCGAAGCACGTCAAGCGTCCGGCTACTGGTATGAGGACATACAGAAGCAAGGCCGAGCTGCCTTCAATCCTTCTCCCAACGACTACAAAGTCTATCGCAACGTCAAGGACTATGGCGCCAGAGGTAGGAGATCTACTCGCTATATCATCATCATCGACTAACAAAGGCTAGGTGACGGTGTCACGGACGATTCCGCAGCTATCAACGCTGCCATCGCAGACGGCAACAGATGTGGCCCCTATGTTTGCGATTCTGCCACAGACTCCCCTGCCATTGTCTACTTCCCGAGTGGAACTTACTTGATTAAACAACGGCCCATCATCATGTATTACCTGACGCAACTCATCGGAAACCCCAACTCGAGGCCAGTCATCAAAGCCGATGCTTCTCTCGACGCTCTTTCGGTAATCGACTCAAGTCCGTACAGCGACCAGAATGGAGAGCCAGGTTGGATCTCTACCAATACCTTCGCCCGCCAGGTCCGCAACTTTGTGATTGATCTGACTGCCAGACCTGTGACCGGCCGCGCTTCAGGCATTCACTGGCCAGCTTCGCAAGCCACCACACTTCAAAACATCAAAGTCATCATGACCGAGTCGCCAGACTCCATTCATGAGGGTATCTTTGTCGAGAACGGCTCAGGTGGTCACATGGCCGATCTCGAAATTGTGGGTGGACACTATGGTCTTAACGTTGGCAACCAGCAATTCACCATCAAAAACGTCAAAATCTCCAATGCCGTAGTTGGCATCCACCAAATCTGGAGCTGGGGCTTCCTCTACCAAAACATCAACATTGACAACTGCCAAACTGCTTTTTCTATGGAATCAATAAACCCAGATTCAAACTTCCTCGATGTGGCCTCTGTGGTTATCATCGATAGCAAAATCTCGAACAGCCCGACTTTTGTCAACACCAACTGGTCGAGGGACTCTCAGAAGACTGGCGCCAACCAACTCATTATCGAAAATGTTGTGCTGGAGAATGTCCCTGTCGCGGTTAAAGGTGCGGGCGGTGCCACTGCGCTTGCAGGCGGATCTTCCACAATAGCAGCTTGGGGTCAGGGTATAAGGTACACACCTAACGGCCCGGAGAAGTTCCAAAGCGCGATTACGCCTGTGAATCGCCCCGCCGGCCTTCTTGATGGCAACAAGTACTACTCGAAAACAAAGCCACAGTACGAGTCATTGGGCGTGGATGCTTTCATCAGTGCTCGCTCGGAAGGTGCAACCGGTGACGGAACCACTGATGACACGACAGCACTCCAGAACGCCATCAACTTGGCTGCCTCTAGCAATCGCATTCTGTTCTTGGATTGTGGTGTGTACAAAGTAACCAACACAATCAATGTACCACCAGGTGCTCGAATTGCAGGCGAAGCTTACCCTGTCATCATGGCCAGCGGTAGTACATGGTCTAGCAACACCAGACCGGTTGCCGTTCTTGAAGTTGGCAAAGCTGGTGACAGTGGACGTGTCGAGCTCTCGGATTTCATCGTTGCTACTTCTGGACCAACACCCGGTGCTGTTTTGATCGAATACAACTTGAACAGCGAAAGGGGATCTGGGCTGTGGGATGTTCACACGCGCATTGGAGGAGCCAAGGGTACCGGGCTCCAAGTCGCCCAGTGCCCTCTGGGTTCTCTTAACGATGCATGCATGGCTGCTTACATGAACGTTCACGTCACCCCGTCTGGTACTGGTGCCTACATGGAGAACAACTGGTTTTGGGTATGTTTCCATATAACTTGTTCGACATGGGCGATTGCTAACCTCCCTTGATAGACTGCTGATCACGACCTTGATGATTTCAACAGCACCCGTATCTCTGTATATGTTGGTCGCGGGCTCCTCGTGGAAGCCTCCAACGTATGGTTGTACGCCAACGGTGCTGAGCACCAAGCTCTTTACCAGTACCAATTCGCAAACGCCAAAGATGTTTTTGGTGGATTCCTCCAGTCTGAAACTCCATACTGGCAGCCGACACCCGACGCAAGGACTCAACCTTACCCGTTGAATGCGGATCTGAATGATCCTGACTACAATTCACTCTGCCCTGCTGGTCAGACCTGCGACGCATTTGGTCTCCGCATCCTGAACTCTGAGAACATCCTTCTTTACGGAGCCGGTTTCTACTCTTTCTACAGGAGCGATGATGTCAGCTGCAGCAGCCCTACTGCACCCAACGACAAACGTGATTGTCAGAACCAAATCGTCAGCATCGAGGGACCAAACACAAGCGGTGTCACCATCTATGCGCTCAACGAAGTCGGAACAATCAACATGCTTACGATCGACAAAGAAGATAAGGCTCTTTGGTCTGACACCGTGAGCGGATATTCCAACACCATCGGTCTCGTCCAGTACAAGGTATAGCGACCGAATACCACCATCGTGGCCGTTGAATGACGCCTCACCCGTGCACTTTTGATCATTTTCCGTTTTTTATTTTTCTTTTGTACATATTTTGAGTTTCAGCAGCCTTCGATGGAAGGCTATGATACGATACCCGGTTCTCCGTTGGTTATGTCACTCATGCAATATTTGGATATGTTGACTGCGAATGAGATTATTAGGACGAAATTGGCATTTCCCATCTCTGCGCGGACTATCCGCTTCTTCTTATTTGTGGACAAAGCATACTGCATATATACGTACTGTCGCTCTACCAAAGTGCCCTGAGAATCACAGCGCACCAATAGAAAGATTTTGAAAATTGCCATTAGAAGATAGATGAAGCGGATGAGAGAGATAGTGTGACTTCATTCCATTCTGATAAACAGTTGTATAGAGCGAATTGCACCAAAGCAAAGCAATTGTATCCAGCATAAACGCATGATACGCACAAAGAAAAAAAAAGGGGGGAGGGAACGCGAGATAGAGGGGATGAAGAGGGGGCGAATAACTCGTCAAGAGATTGCCAATACATTCACTCGTAAAGTATAAATCATCACAGTCCCCCCCTCCTTTCGTTTCTACAACCGTGCCGGAATCATGTCAAAAATATCGATACCCGACGAGGATGATCAGCAGAAGACCGCCATTGCATAACTGAACTGCGGGAAGGAGATGGAGATCATCAAGAGAAAGGAGATGACAATAGACAGATGGGAACGATGAAGAAATGAAGATACGCGCATGTGTACCTGTGTGGGTGTGCGTGCGCAGATGCGTGCGTGAATTTAAGGTTCGGGCTGGCTTGCTGCTAAAGCATGTCTTTGCTTCTTCTCTCTATCTTCTTCTTGTTTTGTTTACGGTTCTAGCAGGTTTGAGGGGGAATTTAAGGTTTTTTTTCTAGAGGAAGTTTGACATGGAGACGGAGGGATCGTTCGTGCGTGTGTTTGTGCGCGCGTGTTATGTATGTGGGTTCGCTCATAGAAAATGGCCGTCGTGCGTCACTTGCCGGCTAGCCATGTGAACACTAGAAACGTGAGACAACGGAGAAGAAAAAGAGAGGGAAGAGGGAAGTATTACTCAGATGAAAGCTAGTCATATTCATCTCTTGCATCGTTGTAAAAATTAGTCCACAGTTACTCTTAGTCGGTTTCACAAGCGTCAATGGCCGTGGTTGAAATATTGGTCATGGAGATACGTAGAGTCAGTAATTGGGAATAGGTGCATTCAATATGATGAATTGATTTTTTTTCTCGTTTTTGGTATTATAGGGTATAAAGATATCTAAAGGGAGGAAAAGAAAAAGAAAGTTATGGTGACAAGGTGTTCAACAACAAGTGAGAATGGAAGCAAAGAGAAAGAAATGAGAGAAAACAAATGAAAATAGAGAGCGCGCAGAGGCTGTCTTGTCAAGAAAGAAACGAACGAATGCCCACCTAAACTCCTTCGATCTCTGTTTGTACAAAAGCCACTTCATAATATACCGCATGTGATTACCGTCGTATTCGGGCCCATGGATGTAGAGCCTCGCTTCATATAGGAAAGAACATAGGGAATGAAAAGGCTATTTGAAACGCCAGCGCTGGTTATAGAAGTGCGATTAACACGCGAATTATATCTTCGTTTCGTACCACATTTCACCACACAATTAGAGCAACATCCATTCACTCCACGACGCGATTGCTGGATCGACCGTCTGACCCCTTATCACTTTCGCTCAAGCTGCGCGATCTCGATGGCGCTTCACCAAGTTCAAAAGTAGGGATCTCCATTGCTTCGGTCTGGAAGTTTGGCACGGAACGTCCTGGGGCGGGAAGTGAAGATGAGGAATAGGCCGGGAAGTGGAGTGGGGTTCTTGGTCGTGTTGAGTATGAAGATGGGCGCGCTGAGTATGAAGATGGCCGGCTAACGATTTGATACCGTGTTCTGTCAACAATGACAAAATCGGGAGATGCACGGCGGGGAGGTTCGCTGGAGCTGTGGAGGTGCTGTGGTCGGCGACTGCTGTGGTAATAGTCTCCTCTTGTAAGATCAGAGGATGCGGAGGCTCGTTGGTGGTGTCCTTTTGTCGAGGATTCGGGTGCCCAACTGACATGTGTTGGTCTTGAAGAGAACGCGCTTCCATTGATGTCGTTGTTGACTAGTTTGGTGAAGTCGGAACCCAGAGAGGATGTGTGCCTGTGCCTGTGATGTGCAGAGCTTCGCTTGCCAATGGGTCCAGAGGAAGAAGGATTTTTACCGTGACCAAAGGAAAAGTTTAGGTTCAGGCTCGGATCATAGCTGGCCCTCTGAGGCGTGTAGTCGCGAGTATAAACGGGTGGCGGTTGGGCAAGCTCGATGCTTGTTCCTTCGAGTTTCTTGAAAGTCTCGCTTATGACTTCATCTCTGTCTAGAGCGGTCGTCATAGTTACGCTGCGTCTAGTTCGGGACGATCCGACAGGTGAGGTGCTGCGGTAGCTCTGCTTCACTTTATGCCCAAAGGTGGTCTGAGAGTCCCTGGGGGAGACGGTTACCTGGGAATCTCGGAGGGGCCATTCGGTGTTAGGAAGTGGAGGCATTTGTTCAGTGGTCGGCACATCCCAGAGTGAGTTGGCCATTGATGATTCAGATTGCATCAAACTACTCGTGGAAGGGGCCCGGGACATCTTCTTTGTCTTCCAGGTTCCACTTTTGCGATCAACCTCCAGTACAGTTGAAGGAAAGCGCAACGAGTTGGCCAGTGTCCGAGAATCATCGAAGAGGGAACCCTCGTACTCTTCGACAGTCAAGTTGGACCCAGCAGAACGGATGCTGTGTCTCCTGGATGATTGCCGTTTCAATTTATGATCATCGCCAATGAGCTGGATGCTGTACGCGCTCTTACGCTTGTAATCGCCTGGCTCGGTGCAGCCATTGGGGACGTGGAAACGTAGGTCAACGCGTGTAATGGCGTAGATAAAGACCACAAGAAGTTCCGTCGTGAAGTTAAAGGTATAGAAACAAGCCTTATGAAAATACCAAGGTTCCGGGATATGTCGACCCTCGGGATCACGTAGAGGTGTAGCAGGCAGCCATGCAATGACAGCCCGGAAAATGGAACCACTTGATAGGATGAGCGTTGCAGTCAACAGGATTGATATGTTGTTTCGCAGACGACCAGCACCGAATTTGTCTGTTCCGTGCCTTGGGAGCGCAAGCGAGAATAAGATCAATACTACCGGAGCGAAACAGAATACTGCAAAATACGTTTGCCCGGCGAGATACAGACGGCGGTCGATTGCACGAATGCGCTTGTCGAGGGTGAGAAATGGTTGTATGGCACCCACCACTACCATTAGCAAACAGATAAGAACTGCCGCAATTGCCGCTACATGGATGACCTTGTATGCTGCTGACCAGCCGAGTCGTGGGTGTTGCGCTCGTATAACTCGTTGAACAAAAAACCAGTTGATGACGAAGATCAAAATCGTGCCGGCGTAAACGCAGACTGTTGCTACGATCCCCAATTTGATACTAAATGGATGCTGAGACCAGGCAATGCGAAGAGAGGCCGTTATAACTCTGATAACACAGAACGCTTTTCCACTGTTAGCATACGATAGAAGTAGGACGGAAGCCAGAAGTTCCCCTCGCAGCGCTTGGCATGTACTCACCAGCTAAAGGCCCGTTGAAGATGAATTTGTGCTCCCTTTTTTTGTTCTTTTTCAGGATGACGATATGTGTGATCGCGAAAATGCTGAAAAAGAGGAGGAACAGGACCGATACAACAACATCTGGAATAGTAGTAGGGACGCCGCCCAGGCTCGCATTATCAGGCGGGTACGGCGGCCCTTTTGCCTGTGGGACAATTAGCAGAGATCTCTCATGTGATCTGATGGAGAGCGACTTACAGATTGTGCTGATCCGCCGGGCGAAGACGACATGCTGTAGGATCAGTAGAGATTGAAAGGTGAAAACGAGAGACTGGTCAAAGACCTTAGATGAGAGGATGTGACATATATCAGTGATCTATTGTGTCCCCAATCCTAAAATGCCAATTCCAACTAGTGGGACCGGAACAGGGCGTGCCTTGTAAACGGGACTGGTGCCAGGGAAAGATATGCATAGCCGGCATGAATGACGAAGACTGTATAAAATCGGTGAGAGACCAATGATGGCAAGATTGACTAGCCAGCACGGTTAATGAGGAAGAATACTGGTCTCGCCTTACTGTATTGAGGTTTCGGCTTCAGCCACCGTACATACATCACAACTGTACGCGATTTAAGTCTTCCAAAACCGGAAGCCTGGTAGAATCAATAAGCCTTGTTTAGATTTCGATTCGACTTTCTCTCTCTCTCCGTGCGTGAATGTCCTAATTTTCAGCCCCGGAGATTCAAATGCCGTTGTGTTCATAAGATCTGGGATGCCCTCACACCATGGCTTCATTGGTTTCGGGAAAACGGTAGTACCTGGGAGGAATACGTGGTTGATGGCATGATGGCAATGAGGACCACGGTAGGTATGAAGGCCACGAGTGCTGACGTTTGGATGTACCCGTACCTGAGCATCGGCTCTCCTCACAAAAGCCCGACAGCTGGCTCGTACAAGGATACTTGGAAAGACGAAGGTCGGTGCGTCCGGAGGGAGAGCATTGAGAGCATTGGTGTCTGAATGGACCAAGGATGGCCATCGGGGGACGGCGCTGTGACGATTCTAGTCGGCGTTTGCTGCCACGAATATACCGACACTACATCAGCCAACGAAACAGAGGAGGCAGTCTTGCCAATTGCGATTTTCGCATGCGAACCATGGAACAGACTTTCAAACGTCGAAGACGGTAATTGTGGCTTTTGGACCTCATTTGCATGTGGCGAAGTCCGTTTTTGATTGTACTCAGTTGTCAAAACCTTGGCCACTTCCTCATTTCGCTTTCCCAGTGGCAACAAACTTTCCAACTGCATTTGCTCCACCCAACATAGAAGAGACTTCGGTCAATAGATTACGGATCAGCACATTGTGCATGATAAATGGGCGTATTGTCGCCCATATACCTTACAAACTGGAGCTGGCATCGTGATAAATCAGACTTGACCTTCTGAAGTGATCAAGTCATGGTAGAAAAATGTGAATAGGAAAAATGGACCAGCCCCGGGTCAACTCAGCGCATTTTCCAAACGTACACAAGTCGTTGGAGTTGTCAGAGTCTTCGGGCAGTTTATTGTCTGCGTCTACATACCTGACACCCCTTCCAACCGCACCGGAGCGTTCCCGCCCGTGTAAGAAGTCCTCTCTTCTCTCAGATCTCAGCAGATCTTCCCAAATCTAGGATGGGTCAAGACGCAAGAGTGCCTACCCTGGACCGTTTGCCACGCAAGCCATGAAACCAATGCTGAGCTGAGGCGCAAGGATTTGAGCGACAAAAAATCTAGGATAGGCATAAGAGGAAAGATAGAGTACACTATAAAGGTTGAACTAGAGAGGACATTTGTGGACGAGTCGGAGAGGGCGGAAGAGACGTACGTAGCACGGACCATGCGTTCGCGTCTCATCAGTCGTTCCGAGCCGCGGTCGGCCACAGATCCGTCGCCATCCATCGACATTCTCAATGTATACACCGAACGATCATGCAAGAACCTGACAATCAGCGCACACGAATACGCTCGCGCTCAAAATCGCCATCTGGTCAGACGAACCATCGGGATCGTCGACATCATCGCCATCGCCATTCTCGCCGCTCTCGCTCACGTTCTCCGCGACCCAACGACGAGAAACATGACAGGCACAAGCATAAGCGACATCGCTCGCGGACTCCTCTGCCGCGACCAGTAGCTCTACCCTATAATGCGAAAGAGTTGTCGAGGCGTCACTATGATGAATACAAACCGCTATTCCAGTCCTATCTCGATATCCAGAAAAACATCATCTTGGACGATCTCGACGAAAGAGAGGCGAAGGGGCGATGGAAGAGCTTTGTTGGGCGTTGGTATGTTCACCAACTCTACTTTCAGACGAGGCCTTCTGACTAACACAATTGAGGAATCGTGGAGACTTGGCCCGCAGTTGGTATGATCCCTCCATGCTGAAATCGGCAAAAGAAACGGTCCAGTCTTTCCAGGCCCAGTCAAACCGACGTGCATCCCCCGATTACAAACCTCTCCAGTACGCAGAAGCGAACAGTGAGGAAGACGATTTTGGTCCAGCACCTCCTCCTGGTGGCACGCGACATAGTGGGCATGGGCCAACCATACCCCGGCTCGATGACCTGGCACTCAGAAATGAGCTTCTGGATGAGGATCGAGCGCGTGAGCAAGCAGACTACGTGGATGACATCCGTTTCCAACGCAAACAAGATCGCAAGGCTCAGAAAGATCGACTTGAAGAACTGGTTCCTCGAGCAGATCCCGGGTCGCGTGAGCGTCAACTGGAGAAAAAACGGGAGACAACAGGCACACTAAGAGAATTTCGGGACGCCAAAGAGGGCGGTGATGTAGAGATTGGGGATGCAGATCTGATGGGCGACGACGGCTTCGAAGGACACAAGAAGCGGAAATCTGAGTTCGAGAGGAAGAAGAGTGAAAGGGAAATCAGGAGGGAGGAGATAGCGCGGGCGAAAGCCGAAGAGCGAGACGAGAGATTGGCGGAGCGACGGGCAAAGGAGGCACAGACAATGGAGCTCCTCAGGAGTATGGCGAGAGAGCGATTTGGAGGAAGCTGAATTGGAATAGGAAGATGGCTCCACCTTAGTTGTCTATCATAATAAATAATGCCTGCAAAGGGCATCAAAGTTGAACAAAGATTTTCCACCCATCCGTGCATGCCTGATTGAGGCACGAGGTATCCCAAACGCCAATGTGATGTCCATCTCCCAGAAAACTTCTAGCCATGTACAAGATGAATGCCGTCGTCGCGATCAGTTCGATGTCTACTCATCATCCAGGATGGAGTTGGCCAAGGCCCCGAAGAAGGGGACTTCATATCGGTCCAAGTTCTCGGCTGTGGCTTTGTCAACTCCAGTATGGCGGCAGCGGGATATATGTTGAACTTACCATCTTTGTAGGCGCGCATGGTCATGAAACCGATCAATGCCACATCGCCCGCGAACAGAAACCAGGATATTATGCTAGACCAGGAGAAGATGATGTGTACCACGAAGATGAAAGCGAACAGCAAACTCGACTGCCAGGCGTGGAATCTACGCGCAGTCAGCATCATGATGGCGGAATTTGTTCCCTCTGTGACAAGAGAAAACACCTACCTCACGTAATCGCTCTTGTGTTCCAGCATCAACAGCAGCACAGGTCCTGCAGGCGGGAGCAGCAGATATGCCAGACAAGCCTCGTAATCCATCCTCAAGCCCAACCGCGTCTCAAACATGTCGACATCCTCCCTAGGACCTCCAAAGCCACCCGGGGCATTCCAAGCCACGCGCTCTCGATCCGGCTGATCGTTGCCGCCAAAGTAATCGCGCTGCTGGTATGGAGCATTGGTGGGCGAAGTCACGGCGGCGGTGCCGATGTTGCGTGTGCGGTCGAACGAGGTGCGCGGAGAGGCCAGCCGGGGAGAATTGAGGGCAGGGGGAGAGAGGGCGCGCGTGGTCTCTGGAATATCTTGGTAAGGAGCGAAGTTGGCCATGATTGTTCTTGGGGTATCGTGATGTGTTGTGATGGGGTGATCTGCTCGGAGCTCAACACACGGGCTAGTTCCAAGGGGGAATCCGGGAGAAGGGTGGGGGTGGATCCAAGACTTGGGGAAGAGGAGGTCGAGTGATGGTCTCGCGGGTGGTACCTAATAGGGCTGAAAGTGACGCATTCTTGGAGACAGGGGTCCAGAAGCTCTTCGGTTGGCATCCTTGCACCACTTTGAACAACCACTTTCAATTCGTGACCTTGCCCACAAAGTACCTGCGTCACTGGCACATGGTCTGAGGGAGCCACTACGAGCCATCACCTGCTCTCAGCGGGCGTACTTGAATTTCAACCCTCAGATGCTTCAATAACAAGACATTCAGCATGCTTGCACCCTCGTCGAAAAACTCGGCAATCACCTGGACCGATGATACGCGTTAACCTACATACATTGTCACAATCTACGCTGGTAAATCCTTCCTGGGCTTCGGCCTTGTATGGTACCACGTTCACTAGAGCACAGGCGCACTAGCCAACTGCATACAAATTCAATCGATACCCTATCTCGCTTTCCTTTTGCACCACATTGACTCTTTCCTCTATTCCTTTGCTCTGATCAACTCAAACTCATCTCCAACCACGACATCGTGTTCGCATCACCACCTCACAGTCTGATATCTCGACTTGTCTGAACATGTGCATAGCTATCATCTCAACCGAGCATCCCGACTACCCGTTCATATTGCTAAACAATAGAGATGTAACTGCAGCTCCTTCACCACCTGTATATGCACCTTCATTGACTAACAGAACCACAGGAATTTCTTCACAGGCCAACGCAAGAAGCAGCTTGGTGGCCAGCCCCAGACGACCAAGTGCTAGGCGGTTACGACCTCCACCGACCCGCACATGGAACATGGCTCGGAATAACCCGCCAAGGGCGGATCGCCGTCCTCACCAATTACCGAGAGGACACGCAGGAGATGGCCATTGGCGCTCGTAGCAGAGGGCTTATCCCAAACGCCTGGCTCAAATCGGATCCAAAGGCCCACGAGACATCCGAACAGTTTGCTAAGCGGATGCTTGAAGAGGAGGGCGTGAAAGGCGTAGGAGGATTCAGTCTGCTTTATGGTTTCGTACAAGATGTAGTCAAAAGAGAAGACGGGGATGGTCTGGGTATTGTGTCAAACCGCACACCAGACGTGGACGGCATCATCCATGTAGCGAAGAATCCTGGCGAGACGCACGCGCTCAGCAACACAGCATATGGTGACCAGTCATGGCCAAAAGTGGTCAACGGTGAGAAATGGACAAAAGAAGCGATAGACCAAAGCGTCGAGAAGAAGGAAACGCGGGAGCAGCTCGTGCAACGATTACTGGGGGTCCTGAGCATCGATACAATGCCCAAGCAGAAGGAGAATGAAGAGTGGGATATGTACATGAACCAGCTCCGGCACAGCATCTTTATCCCTTCAATTGGCCGAGACCATTTGGAAGAGCTCAAAATGCCCGCTCATGAGATCGGAGATGTGGTCAAGCAGAAAGCGGCGAGTGCGACGGACGGTGTGTATGGTACGCAGAAGAATATCGTCATCATGGCGAATAAGCAGGGTCAAGTGTTCTACTTTGAGCGGACACTCTACGATAGGGATGCGCAGCCGATTGAGAAGGGCAAAGGTGACCGAACTTTCGAATACCACATTGAAGGATGGTAATCAGTGCTAAAGAATCATGAGCATCGCGATAGTATTGCTCAATCCTGTTCATGCTACACTACAGGACATGATGTAGAATCATAGAATCGAGAGACGCCGTAAACATCGTGATTCGGTCGCTGTTTATGTCTAGCCTGTTGCATACTACGGTAGACCGTAGTCTACTGCACTGCCGAGGTATCTGGCAGCTGGTGGTGTTGTTTAGATTCAAAGGGAGATAGACTACATATATCATTGGATCCAACCACATCTAAAGGAAAGAGAGACAGAATCACCTCGGATCAAATTTAAAGATCATGGTGTAGTGCTCATAAGCTTCAAGTGATGGCGGATTTGTGGCTTGGAGTAGATGCACAATGACCGCGAGAGTTGCTCAGCACGAGCAACTGGATCCAGGCTTGGCGGGCGCTGTTGTTCCGCCGGCCGGGTGACGTCTTCTCAGGAAGATCGTGCTTTGCAGTGCCACGAGTGCGAAACCCTGAACCTCATCGCCTACTTTTTTGCCCCGACAGTCGTCACCATGATCCTATAGCGATATCGTCCCCTGCCACCCTTTCTACCTCTTCCACACACACCCCCACACAAAGCCATTAATATGGCTTCTCTTCCACCTCAGCGACCGGCTTCGTCGCAGCGAAGACCAGCCTCTCCACCTGCTGACTCCTCACATCGACCCGAACAAATACAACGCACAAACAGTCTTTCTACCTCTGTCGACTCCCAAACACTCCTACTCAACTCGCCACCCTCATATTCTTCTCCCAATCCTGTAAATGCCGCCCAGGATAAGACACACACACAAGCGCCCTCCTCCCAACCACCGCAATCGGATGATGACGAACCCCGTCGGTGTTGGATCTGCTTCACGGATGAGACTGAAGATGAGGATGATACTTCCGAGTGGCGATCGCCTTGCCCTTGTGTCTTAGTAGCACACGAGAGATGCCTGCTAGATTGGGTCGCAGATATGGAACAGCCAAGCGCAAGGCGGCGTGCGGGGGAGAATGCGGGAAAGATCTTGTGTCCTCAGTGCAAGAACGAGATACGGCTTGAGCGACCGCGGAGCCTCGCGGTGGACGCTGTGAGGCTTGCGGATAGACTTTCTAACAATCTTTTGTTCCCTGGCCTAATCTTCGTGGTCGGAGCCGCAACCTACACGGGTTTAGCACTAGCCGGCGAGCATACAATTTACCAAATCTTTGGTCCCGAGGATGGCGCGCATATACTCGCGCCGCTGTACCAACCGCCAGCTCCGGAGGATTCCTCCGCCTTGACGCGAGTGATCAATCATGTGCGCCATAACTGGAGGCTGGATGTCGGTCTCCCAGTCATACCGGCTGTTCTTATTGCGAGCAGGACCACCATTGCTGATTCCGTGCTGCCTTTTCTACCTCTTGTATTCTTCGCAAGCTCCAGTGCTGGCGGAGACGATTTGCTCCAGCTCTCGTGGCCGCCGAGCGCTGCCTTCACTGTGGCTGCACTCCCTTATCTGCGCGGTATATATAATACGTACTACCAGCGCGTATGGGCTCCGCATGAACAGCGCTGGCTGAAGGAGGTCCAGCCTCGTGCAGGCACAGAGGATGAACAAGCAGCGAATCACGAACATGACCACAACGATGCCATCCTCGATGCCCTTGCCGATGGTGAAGACGATGACGATGACGCCGACGAAGGAGATAACGTTGACATGAACTTTGAAATCGACTTTGAAATCCTAGGCGACTGGAACAATAATGGTGGAGACCACCCACCAGCACCACCACCAGCAGATCTCCCAGCTGCCCAGCCCCCTGTCGGACAGCATGGCCCGGAGCATCACCCCGTGGAAAACAACGACAACAACGATGCCGATCAAGAAGCTGCGGCACCCGCTCCGCAAATCCCCCTCAACCCTAACAACGAACCTCGCCAACCCAATCACGAACCCCGCCGCCAACGCGTCCGCCGCGAGCGCGTCATCGGTTTCTCGCCCCTCAGTCTCGCCGACACCGTTCTAGGCGCTCTCCTCTTCCCATCCATAGCAGCCGCCGTTGGCGAAGCCCTCAAACACGCCCTTCCTAAATCCTGGGTCACGCCCCCTTCATTTGGTAAACCCACCGGCTTTTTGCAGAATCGCTGGGGTAGGAGTATTCTGGGTGGATGTTTGTTCGTCGGGGTCAAGGATGCGGTCATGCTCTATGTGAGATGGAGGATTTTGCAAAATCATCGACAGAGGAGGGTATTGGATTATGATGGTGGGAAGGGAAAGGGGAAAGGGAAAGGAGGGAAGCAGGCTGTCAGGGTGTAGTCTCCTTTTTTTAGGGACACGATTGATGTTTTGGATGGAGTATTCATGGCTTTTGTGCGCAGCAAGTCCTATCGTGACGGGATTTTATAGCGGGTTTGATGCAGTAGCAACGGGGCCTGGCGAACGCCTTAGCTCGTCTCGCAAGCGCACTGGGGTGGGTTCGGGAGCCGATATTCACGAATTATAGCACAATCAAGATATTAATACTCATCCTCTTTCGATATATGGTGTGGGGAACCCGTGTTTTGGAAAGGGACTATTGATGAGGCCGTGAAGACATAGTATAGCTGCCATAATGAAAATGTCGACATAAAGATCGGAGAAAGCAAGAGTAGAACTAAATTCAAATGATTCAACGTTAATTCGTACGTATATAACCCTATCCACTGACCATATCCATAAAAACAAAGTACCTTATGTAGACTGGAATGACGAAGTCACCCAATCGCCAACAACCTGCATCACCATAGAACCATGCCACGTTGGAAAAGAAGAAGAAGAAAAGCGCCTCACTCACCACCAAACCCCCACACCAGAATCTCCTTCTAGCCCAGAAGTTCCGTCGACCTATCCCCTCTCCTTTTCCCACCTTCTTTGGGTGGTCCCTCACTCACGTCCTCGACATGTCTAGAAGGGGGATGACTTCCCAAGGCCGCCTTCTTCCCCGGACTCTGCGCCAACAAAGCATTGATCTCAAGCTCACTTTTCTGTCTCGGAACCAAGATTGGGACAGACATAGCCTGCCTGATCTCGGCGGGCGTCATCTCCTTCCGAGGAGCTGGGGTCGGACTAGCAGTCTGAGGCTGCTCCTTCACTCCGTCCAAAGCGGAGGGTTTAGAGAGTGGCGAAGGGCTGACGGGTGTCTTCCTTAGGCTCCAGAAGTGCTTGCGGCGCGAGGATGACGTGGCAGGCGTGGCGTCTGTTGCGCGGGGAGAAATGAGACGTAGGGGTGATCTATCTTCTGCATCGCTATTGTTGGTATTCTTGCGGGTTGGTGTTTTGGCTGTGACTTCCTCGTTGAGGTTGGGGATTTTTCCGGTGTCATCTTTTGGAGTGCTTTTCTTGGGTTTCCAGCGTCGAAGGCGGATCTTCATCCGGGCTGGTTTGGGTTCGTCACCGGGGGGGGTTTGGGTACTGCTGGAGCTGATGGGTTGTACCATCGTTGCTGGCTGCCGTAGAAGGTGCATGTCAGCGGAATCTCTCCTGAGGAGTAGCTATATAACAAACCTCGCTGAATGTTGGGGGTGCTTTGTCTACTGGGAACAATCTGCAATTCGATGAACCCACCTTCTTTCCGGGACAGAAGTTTTGCTTTGGGTGATAAGGCAAAGAAGGTTGCCATTGCAAGTGGGAGGATCGGGTGAAAAGAAATACGTGGCTGGATCAGTAGGGAGGAGGCAAGTGCAGTACAAAGAAGGCACTGAGCAAGCTTCCAAAGAGTGCGAAGTTGGTAAGAGCATTGCTGAACCCACTTCCTAATCATGGTGTCTCTTCGATCCCGATCTTTCTGGATACGGCATGAAAATACCGACACCAACTCTTCTTTTGGAACAAGTGTAAACCGTACTCTTTTCATGCCAGAAAATTGAAGTGGATCTACATATAGGCAGGTGTTCTGACAGTAAACTTATTGCTCAAAGCATACAAAGATGCATCGTCATTCAAGAAGTTTATGCAGTAAGCGTGAAAGCTAGCGGTCTCTGTGTCCTGTTACTTGTAGATTTATAATCTGACGGAAATAACCAGGAGGGACTCGGCATAGAGCCACAGTAGGCCAGCTAGAAAGTCGATATTGACCTAGATGATACTTATCCGGATGGTTCTGTCGACGAATGTTGTGCTCAGACCAATGTATGAGGACATTGCTCTACAAGAGATAAACTTCCTTACGAAGATGGCTTCGAGTTATCTGCCGCTGAGCAGTCCATTAGCTATAGCTAAAAGTCAAGGAACAGGTTCCATGTCATTCGCGTGTGTTCTGATGCTGTTTACCATGGAATGAGGGTTTAGTTCGACAGAGTGTATAGTATGGCAATTTGCAAAGCTAAACGCGCAAATACACCCAGAATTTCACTGTGTACAAGCACGGTATATCCGTAGTTATGTGGGAAAGACTGAAACTTTTCAAGGGCAGATATGATTTTGTGGTCTCTTGAATCATGGGAAGAGCATACTAACGTATATTGTGGAGCAGGACGCGGACGATCGGGTTGCTCTTGCAGCCACATCAAATCCTAGTCAAATTCTCGCCATCTCGCAGCTAGCTTGAAATATGCTATCAAGTAAACATCGCGATGTGATAAGGTCGACTTGCCTGATAGGCACTCAATTGTAGAGTGACAATCCTTCAAGAGCCGCAATCTGCGCAGCGGCGTTCCTGATATCCAGCAAGCGGCTGATCTCGTCCTGCTTGAAGTTGTACATCTTGACTAAGGCATGATCATACTGAGTCTTGAGGTCCTCATTAGTGCTCTTGTCGCGGGTGTCGTTTTCCCGATCCTGCTCAGCTCTCATCTTGCTCGCCAGATCCAGTCGCGAGTCGTCCCACCTCATTGTTTCTTGCAAAGAACGGCACAATTGGTCCAATTCCCGAACCCTCCGAAATCCACCATACCGTTTGTTTTCTTGAATCTTAGCCTCGGTCTGGTCGTGCTCTTTGCTTGCGATGTCAAGGTAATACGAGTTGTGCTCCTCTTCTCCACGTTCGCAAAGGGCCATAATCGATCTGAGCAGATCACGGATCATTAATCGGCCATTCTCGTCAAGCATACTCTAGTCCAAGAAGTCAGCGTTTGCCAATTTTTGATTGTCTTTATCAGAGGGTACAATGCAGACGTGCTCGTCATAACACACCTTCTCTTGCACTTTGGCTTGCTGCTTGAGGACTTCAAGCTGAGCATTTCGCTTTTGCGACTCCGAGATTGAACCCTCAAATATCTCGTCTGACCCCTCTTTCATTTTTTGGAGCAGCTCAGCCTCAGCTGCATTGCCCTTGATAATGATATCAAGCAGTGCTGTCTGAGACACCATCTTGATGAACAGTAGAAAGAGCGTGTGGCGCCTACCTTTCTTGTCGTAGGCGCAAACAGACGGTCCTGATAAGTGTGTGCGCAAAGAAATGAAGGAAGCCACGCTGAGGACGATCTTGAGGTATGTGTGTGGTGGAGGTCAAAGCGGGGGTGAACGCGTGGGCAGAGTTGAGCACGCTGGCGTGCCTTCTTCATTTGACAGAGGAAGGCACGCCACGTCATAGTTTGTTTACCTATCTGCTTACATAGGTACCCGTTCCTACCCTATAAGCTAAAGTATAATTCTGGGAACTACCGATACGAGCTGCCCCACGATAGAGAGAGAGTGCTCGCTCGTAGCATCCCCTCCTGTGCCTTTATGGGTCGCTGTATCCAAGTCAACGCATTGCAATGATACGCATATCATAGCTTGAGGTTGCGAATGCATTCTGGAGCATTGTAATCTTCCACGAGATCCTTCAGCAACTTTTTCAATCGCTCTGCCCGAAGCTCTGCATCGACACACTCATCCAGCTCCTTCGTCTGTTCAGAAGTGACTAGTCCCGTAGCCTCCATTAGAGTCTTGAAACACTCCACAGCATCTGTATGTGCCTCTACAGCACTTTTGAACACCTCCCGGATATTTCGACTCGTTCCATCACACCTTTCGGCAAGCACTTGAAGCCCGTGTTTCATCTCTTTGGTATGTTCCAAAGTTTTGGTCTTGTCGATGGTGAGGATCTTCATCATTTGTGCGCGCGTCTTGGGATCCGGAACCGTATCGGAACGAATCAGATCCCTGAGCTCCTCCATACGTGCCAGATGCTGATGGTGGGCACCGACCTCTGACCGAGTATCGAAACTCTTGTCCAGCTTCCTCGTGTCTTGCTCCGCTAGGGCTTGGACGTATACATCCTCTATCATTCTGGTGAAGCATTTGATGTATTCTCTGGCTCCTTGAACACTTTCCGAGAGTATAGCTTGATAGCCAGTCTCCTTTTCCTCCTGGTCTTCGGGAGGCGGTGGCGGTGGTTGTGCAAACAATGCTTCGTCTCGACGTAACTCTGCAAGTAGCTCGTCCACTGTCTTGCCGCTGAAATCCTCAACCGTGACTTTCTTCAGCAACGCTTCCGTCTCCTCGTTGAGCTCGATTTCGTGCTTCATTTCGAGATTGATAAATTCCATGAGCTCATTGATCTCCCGAGAGAGTCTATCCTCGGGCTTTGAACTACGTCAGCCAGTGCTTTTTCATCAGAGGGTTAAGTGGCGTACCTTCATTTCGTTCTCCGAATCGAGAAAGGAAGGCACATTGTCGGGAGGCATGTTGTTCCAGAGGTTGAGAGCGTGTGAGGCTGTGTACAGTGCTGGGTGGGGGTAGTGATGGAAGGTTGGTGCCGGCGAAGTGCTAGTTTTGTATTGCCCCATTGGCAAACAGAGGTAGGCGGGGCTACACAAAAACAGACAGACAAACAAACAAAGACAGTTCTATGTCTATCGGGAATAGTCACTGCATTTTCCGAATCGCAATAGGCATGTGCATCCCAATCCATGTGAATTAATTACGTGCCCGATCGCCCGATCGAATATTTCAGCGGTAAAGAGAGTAAGAAGAGTAGAACAAAAGGTATCTCGCAAGTAAAGTCCCCAAACCCTAGAAAAGTATCAAGAAACAAAAGAAGGGAAAATCAAGAAAAAAGAGAGAAATGTGCTTATATACAACAACTGCCAGTGCGACCCCAGCCAGTTCATAGCTTACTCCAGTTCCTCGTGATCATGACCACCATTCCAGTGACGATCTTGATAGCAACTTTCAGCACAAAGACAGCTGTCTTGAAGGCAAATGTAAGCACGCTGATGACCGTCCGCGCTACGAACGGCAACTTGTCCTCGTCTGCCTTCTTCTTTTGTGCCTTCTTCTCCTTGGCGCTGAGCTTTGGTTTGGCCTTCGTCTGACCATACCAGTCCCCAAGCTCAATGTCCTTGTCGAAGGAGTCGCTTTTGGTAGAAGTGCTCGCCGAACTCTTCATCGACCACTTGCGCAGTGTGGATGGAGGAACGGGCGGTTTTGCCTTGCCGCCGAAGGCATTGAAACCGTCTTTAAAGGCTGCCTTGAAGGCTTTTGCGTCGGACTCTGGCTGGGGCTCAAGTCCAAGACTCGGCGGGGGTGGTTCAAAATTTTCCTGGCTGGCTTGCCTGCTACTCTTCTTGCCACGCGAGGCTTCTGCGACAGCAACGGCGAGAAGAGCTGATGCCGCGACGTCGACGAGGAAAGGATTGCCGAAGCGCGTTAGAGCACCAAGATTGAGGATCAGTGCGTCGTTGGTGAAATCAAGGCGAGCAAGCACACTATCGTCAGCCGTGGCATCGGTCGTAGTGGGCAGCTGAGCTACAGACATCTCGGATGGCGTTATGGAGATGGGACGGGAATCGGCGTGAACACTGTCCAGTCGAGGTGGTGGTTGGAGTGGTGAGAAAGCATTCGCTCGTGGTGAAGATGGAGAGAGAATGTAAGGATTGAGAATAGTGATAGAAGCGGGTTTCTGACGAAGCGTTGGGGTTGAAGGCATGTTATGTCCGTATATCTGGGTTACCGGACGTGTTGATGGACTATTGATTGTGGAACAATCGCCTTCCAACTTGATAGGGAAAGTCCCTAGGGTGGGATGGTGAAGCTGGTATGATCCTTCTGACGGCATGTGTTTAGCCCATGGGTTGGCTTGTTGATTGGGATCGTCTCGTGTCCAAGTGAGTGCACAGCACTCGCGTTGCGCTGCACCTCCAAGAACATCTTCGGCTAGACGCTGGGCAGCTGGTGAGGTAGCTCCTGGGTCTGATACAGCAATGTGCGATGCTGCTGGAGAGTTGGCTGCGGCATCTAGAGCCTGGAGCGCTGCCAATTTAGGGAAGATGCTCGTGAGTAGGGTCACTGACTCCTGCTGATGAGGATCGAACTTTGTAATATCCATCGAAGGAGGCGTCATAAGATCGAGCTGAGCGATTGGTAGAACCCTGGGCTGAGTAGGATGGTGCCTCTGGATTGCTAGCTCATTCATGATGCTTGGGATCTCATGATCTCCCGCCAGATTTGATTGAGCTAGACTGTAGAACGGAAGTGATGGTGTGGTGCCAAATGTTATCGTAGGATTTGCTACTGTTGCTCTATGCATTCGCAAGGTATACATCTGCACTGCTGGGTCCCCTTGCCCGTTTGCAGCCAACCATAGATTGTCTAGAAGGTTTGAGGGCGTGAAGAATGGCTTGGGAGGCGGGCTTGTGCTACCATTTTGGGCGACATTCCCATGGGGAACGTAGAATTCTGGTGAGTATGGAGACCGGCTGATCTGGGTTCTCGGGATGTGAGTAGGCGAAGCCTGTGTCGGCTTGTATGCCTGATGGGAAAGAGCTTTTGTAGGGTCATATACAGGGAATATAGACCTCATTGGAACCTGTTCCTGTGGTGTTGCACTTCGAAACTGCGTCGCACTGCTGTTCGCTCGGACCAAAGTTGGACTGGTAGAGAAAGCCGGTGATACAGTACGGTTTGGCTCCGGGGTAGAGCGTGGTGAGGACTTGGCTGGACGAGAATCACCAAACAGAGAAGGGGATCGGGCTCTGGCATTTGAGGGATTATCTGAAGGAGGTTGTCGTTGCCTTGGAGGAGTACCGAAAATTGGTCTTTCAGGAGGCGGAGGTATCCGTGTAGTGCTGGGTTGAGACATGTGTGCCTGTGGCGGTGGTGCTATAGAGCTTGCAGGCGAGACAGGAACCGAATTGACTTGGATGATCAACTGGTGCAAGTCTGGTTGGGTCTTTGTGCCTTGATTGTCGTTCATGGTCTCTGCTGGAGGCTCTGGAGTACGACTCTTGCCACGAGTTCTCTTGTTTGGACTCGTCTGTCTCGGAGGGCGAGGCGGTGGAGGAAATAGTTGTAGTGCTGGGCCCGCCATGTTTGGATTTGTTGATGAAGCTGTTGAGTTGTCTAAAAATACAGACAAAGTCCGGCTTCCAGAGGATCCGAAGAAAGGACCGACATTCAGTTGGCAAGCTGCAAATGCATGTTGGATGCTGTGGGGTATGGTAGAGTTTTAGATGGTTTGTGCTCCTTAGCTGCCCGACTTCTCGGGGAGGGACACTGTACATGCAGCAAAGCAATAGCGGCTTGGTAAGAGGTTCGCTGCAGCAAACGGCCCCGTTTGGGTCTCGTGGTGGTCGGCACACTCCAATCAAAACGCATATAGGCCTCGGCGCTTTCATGACCTGATAAGTGGCGGTTATATTCTGGGTGGTTGGCTGGACGTCCTGTAAGCGCCAGCTCTTGCAGCTCGCTACACCATCAACCATGCGCAACCAAACCCTGCATGTCGCAACGATTCGTCAGGCACTATGTGTTGTCGCATACGCACAGAGCACGCATGTACGTGACAAGCAATCCAGCGGCCCGCTGCCATTAGCTGGGCTTCTATTTCGAGCGCTTCGTAGATGATGTTTGCGGGTCGCCCAGGGCCAACATTCCGCCTGCATGCTGACCCCATGCAACATGTTTGGAGCAATGAGGAGTACTGTTTCGTAGCCAACTGCTTGTACACATAACGGATTTCCTGCACTCAGGAAGCAGTAATCCGGAAGGGCAGGTTTCCGGACGAAGACTGCAGAGATCCCTATTTCTAGTTGATCCAGAACGAGCGCATGTTGGTCTGCTTCAGCAACACGCGATGATCAGTGGGAAGAGGCTTGGTAAGTTGAGATGATATGGAATACCTCTGCTCGGTTTTCGTCACAGCAAGAGGAGGTTGGAAATCGATGCAGTCAACTCAAATGTGAGCGGCTGTTGGAATGTGACGGGCGTTCAGTTAGCCGCCAGCACCAGAGTGGCTAGGCCACAAGCAGTTAGTCGCCAGGCGATCATCCTACAGGACGCGGGCAGGTCGATTGTACATACATGTTCAAATCCATCGAATCAAGACTTCGTTTGTTTCTCCTAAATCGATCGATGTAATGGGTAAAGTTAAAGGTAACTTGATTTGCATGGGAAGAGTATCGGACAAGTCCATTTCGAGTTGCTCTCACTGTATGCTACCATCTTCTATGTTGTACTCGAAAGAACCTCGGGAGATAACTATACTGTTCTCGAATGTTTCAAGAAAAGAACGACTGCATATACCTCATTTTGCTCCCTGAATAATTCAATTCATGGTTTCGAGTTAGGTATGAACGTGCACCATGCTCCCGTTTCAGCGCTAAGTGCTGCTTAGCATGATGGTGGGGGTAAAGGATACACGTGGGGATACGCTATGCCCAAGACAGTTTATCGATAACCTTAATTATCCCACCTAAAAAGTTTCGTCATTAGCAGCGTGAAAACCTCACAAAGTCCATTCAATATGCCGACCGAACTAGAAGAGGTGGGTGAGCATGATGCCTCAGAACGCATGATCCGAAACTGATTTCTATGCCTAGCTGGTCGAGTTCCTGCACCATGGGAACACGCAAATCAGACAAGTCGGTACGAACTTCCTGCCCTCCAACCCACAGACGTGTGACTGACTTTCGCGAAAGCTGCTGAACACCTCGTGGGGTATTCACAGGCAGACTTGGCCTTGTTCAAACGAAATCAGCTTGAGCCGGTTAAGGACTTGAAGCTATTGATCAAAGACTATGCGCCCATCGCCAAGAATGCCCTTACGATGCTCATCAACATCTCTGATGATGCTGAAGTGCTGAAAGATATCTCCCAGGACGATGCATTCCTGGAAACGCTTCTGTCACGAATAACCGTATGTCAGTTGCCCATCAGCAAAGGACCCTCGGCATAACTGACCAGGCCGCAGAATAAGAAAGAATCAAACGCCAATGAGATCGCTATGCTGCTTGCCAACATGGCGAAGCATGACTCGATGCAGCGCGTCCTGGAATTAAAACGTGACGTACCGAAAGAGCTGTCGTCCTCAAAGTGGGCTATGGACCAACTGCTGGATTGCTTTGTCAAAGGCGCCGAAGGTGGATATAACAAGGATGCCGACTTCAACTATTTGTCATACTTCTTCGCAGACCTGGGCAAGGTGAGCTTGTCTCTATTCGCTGGTTGATACCTCATAGGCTGACTGGCACATTAGTTCCCAAAAGGTCGTGAATACTTGACTTCCCCTCAAGAGCACGACTCTAGCATTATTCCCTTGACTAAATTGCAAGTCTTCACGTCGCATTCATCACATATTCGCCGCCTTGGAGTAGCATCTGCTATCAAGAACGCGACATTCAACACCCAGTCGCACCCTACATTACTTTCCAATTTGTCGCCAGATCCAAGCCTTCCTCCGCCTTCCATTGGCGCAAATCTCCTCCCCTATCTCCTGCTTCCGCTCATGGGACCTGAAGAATACGCAGACGAAGATACCGAGGGTATGCTTGATGAGTTACAGCTTCTTGAGCCGGACAAGGAACGGGAGAGCGATGCGGAAATCATCAAGACACATTTGGAGACGTTGTTGCTGCTGAGCACAACAAAAGAAGGGAGGGATGTGATGCGGCAGGTGAAGGTCTACCCGATTGTCAGGGAATGCCATCTTCACACAGAAGATGAAGGAGTTCGAGAGGCTTGTGACAGAGTTGTTCAAGTTGTCATGCGCAAAGAAGAGGGCGAAGAAGATGAAGCGCCCAGTGGGGGTGGGGCAGTAGAAAATGACTCTGGGAAGATGGTGGCACTTCGGCAGGAAGACGAGGACGAGGACTTCCAGCTTGTCGATGTATAGAGGTCCGGCCTATAGGACCCATTTGCGATGATGAATAACCTAGCTCAGTCTTCCATAAAATGATCCACGTGAGCGGACCGCACACCAAGGACTTTATACGATGCGATCACACATGATGTGATGATGCTCAGTTTTGATGCTTTAGTTGGCTCGAGGAAATGAAATAAAAGGCTGCCCACATACCAGATCACGGAATGTATCGCACATTTTGCAGTGACACTCAACACCGCATGCGGTTTACACATGTTAGAATAAAATAGAAGAACATTGAGATCATTTCGAGATACTTTGTTGTAGAAAAGAGATGAGTTGAATTCGCAATCTTTTGGAGAGCATTTGATTGATGCTACCTCCTTGTTCAAGTCTAGTCCCTCACATCGGATAAGCATTTCGGCCCCTTCTTTCCCGACGACAATTAGTGTTTTCGTCATGAGCTCGCAGCGCCTTTTCCGACGATGATAACAAACCTTAATCTTACCATCCGTACGTGTATTCATCCTTCGTCACGCTGTTTCGTGTCTCCATCGTTCTTACACCAAATTTGCAACTCATGGGGTGCACCGTTAATACTATCTATTCATGACGTCGACCTTCGAAGCCAAATCGCCCAATGAGCAGGAGCTAAAAGATAGCACCGCGACCTCAGCTTCTCTCCACAATTCCCCGCCATCGGCATCGATATCACCCCCACCGCCTTCGCAATTCAGCCCTCCATCACGGGCCCAAAAATTATACAACTTCGTAACATGGACACCGCCACATTGCCGGTGGGACCCCACCAAACCGCCCCAGTTTTCAATGGCATTGAATGTCCTGTTTGCTTTTGCTGCGGGCTTCACCGTCGCCAATCTGTATTACACGCATCCCATTTTGAACATTCTGGCTGAGGATTTTGGTGTCAATTATGAAAATGTGGCACAAATCCCAACGGTGATGCAGGCGGGTTATGCAGCAGGGTTGTTGTTCCTATGTCCATTGGGGGATCTCTTACCGAGACGCCCCTTTGTTGTCGGTCTGGTGGGGTTCACAGCGACTGTTTGGTGAGGTTTTCCCATAATTACTGTAGTGAGCAGAGATGAGATGGAAAAAGGATTGACATGATTCAATCCCAATCCAGAGGTTGAATTGAGGACCAGCTAACATAGAACACTACAGGCTCGGGCTATGCCTCACCAACGACCTCGCTGTGTTCACTGCGCTTTCCTTCATTGTCGCTGTCACAACAGTAACGCCTCAGCTCATGCTCCCTCTGGTAGGAGATCTAGCTCCACCAAATCGCCGCGCAGCAGCTCTATCCATTGTAGTGTCCGGTCTTCAGCTCGGAATCCTCATCGCGCGTGTGCTATCAGGAACCATGACCAACTTTGTGACTTGGCGAGCTATCTACTGGATGTCCTTCGGCCTCCAATACGCCATATTCCTTCTCCTCTGGCTCTTCATGCCAGACTACCCATCCACCAACACCAACCTAAATTACTTCCGCCTCCTATGGAGCATCGTGCAGATGATGCGTCGCCACGCTGTGCTGGTCCAAGCCTGCCTGGCCGCATTCTTCACGAGCGCTACCTTCACTGCCTTCTGGACCACACTTACTTTCCTTCTCGCAGGCGCCCCTTACCACTACACGCCGCTGACCATCGGGCTCTTCGGCCTCATCGGCATCGCCGGCATGTGCGTTGGCCCCATCTACGCTCGCAACGTAACGGACAAGTTTCATCCGCATCTTTCCGTTCTCGTGGGCTTGTTCTGCTGCCTCGTGGGGATCTGTCTGGGGACATATATCGGCCCGTTCAACGTCTCTGGCCCCGTGCTACAAGCTTTCCTTGCGGACTTTGGCATGCAGACGGCGGCCATAGCGAACAGGGCGGCCATTTACGCCGTGGAGCCGAAGCGACGGAATGGAGTTAACACCGCTTTCATGGTGTTTACTTTCTGCGGTCAGCTCCTTGGTACTTCGGCAGGAAATCATATCTATGCAAGGGCGGGTTGGATTGGCTCTGGGAGTGCGAGTGTGGGGCTCGTTGGGCTCGCTATTTTGGCCATGGTGGCGAGGGGTCCTTGGGAGACTGGTTGGGTTGGGTGGAAAGGTGGATGGAGTTTTAGGAAAAGAGAAGACGTTGCGCCAGTGTAACCTGGGTGTAATCATTTGAAGAAAGACAGTATGCTGGCCAGGATTAGATAGACTAGAATTGATTCTGCCAACATCTCAATAAAGGTAGGTAGTGGCCATTGTCACTGCAAGCTTCATATGCGTCGTCATTTTCTGCGCATGCGAGCGCCTAGAACATCACATACAAACGCAGGATTGGAGTATGATATGGTGGAGAATCGGTTTTTTGGGGGTATCTAAGTACATTAAAACAGTGACTCCAGCAATGAAGGAAACCCAGAGCTCCATCAACTAAGAATATAGCTCAGTGAATCCAGAATATGAAAGCCGAGCCGATACCCAAACCCCTAAGCCTGGTAAATATATGTACAAAAGACCTAACTAACGGCTGCAATGATAGCGATTTCAAGCCTCGGAAAACACATGGCGAATAGCACCCGCGTAATGGTCGGCGGAGGCTTCTTGTCTGAGTGTACTTGAACCGCGCTTCTTCGAATTCTGCAGGCACTTGGCAAGTACCATGAATTTGACAGTGCTTCTGTAGCCGCCCTAGGTCTATACATCATCAAGAATCGCTTGCATCAACTGTCGGTAGGTGACGTAGAGCTCGAACGTCGGATGTACGCTGTCTTGCACGCGCTCCTAAGGGCCTGCGGGAGCTTCTTTCATTGGTGTGAGCCAACGACGCTTCATGTCGAATTTAGCCACCACCTTGACACTCTTGATGAATTCGGCAGTGTTCGCTTGGCCAACTCTGCTCTTGAACATCTTGATGAATTCTCCCATTCCAATGCCTTCTTTGGGAAGAGCATTGTAGATCTCAAGCGCCGTAGGGAAACCGCCCGGGGCGGAGGGACCCAAGACTGGAGAAGCGCGGCCAGATACGTGAGCTGGAGAAGCTCGGCCAGAGACGTGGGCAGGTGAAGCGCGGCCAGAGACATGAGCAGGAGAGGCTCGACCAGATACGTCGATCTTTTGTTTCTTGGCCTCAACACTGTGTTCACGCGAGGTCGGCGACTCGGGTCGCTTTCTCTTGACGACCGGCTGCGGAGTTGCACGATCCAGCTTGGCTGGTCTGTCTTTCTCTTTCTCCCTTTCTTTTTCTTTCTCGGTCTCCTTTTCCTTTTCCTTGTCCTCACCCTCGACGGTCGCAGCCTTTTTCTCACTATCAGATTCCTCGGAGTCGCTGGAGCTCTCGTAAGGATTATCATCACCATCGTCTTCATAGTCGATATTCTTCTCGCGCTTGACTAGACTCTTACGAAGAGCTTTCTCCAGCTGCCTCCCGCGCTCCTGCAACTCTTTCTCGAGCTTTTCCTGCTGGTCAACATCTTTCTCGTCCTGCGCGTCGAATGCTGCAGCAGCAAGCTGGTCGCGCTTCACCTTCTCAGCGGCTTCTTTCACATCGACCTCTTCGCCCTCAAACAGGCCGTTCAGACCTTCTTCATCGTCTGCGAAATCTTCCTCCACATTGAAGTCGATGTCGTCTCCGTCTGCCTCGGGCTTGATGTATTCCCCGTTCTCGATCTTTTCTTGGATCAAGCGCTTGTTGTCAGAGCCATCACCGATACGTGATCGAATTCCAGTAAGACCCCTGTCCTTCTTTGCCTGTTCCTCTGCTTTGATGTTCCGGGCCTTGTCTTCTAGTTTCCGGAAATAAGTGGAGGCTTTGTGCTTCACTAAGTCGGGATCTTCGGTTGACTTGGCTTTTGTCTTGGCTTGGAATCGATACCATTTCTCCAATGGAATCATCTTGATACTCGAGTCGGGCTGTGCAGATAGCATGACATGCGCATCTGATAGCGTTGACTCGTAGACTCCGGTCCATGTCTGCTTGTTGTCGAAATCTTCCAGATGCCAAGGAAGAGTCTCTTCGTACCGGAGTGCCGAGCGCTTCCTAGCTTCTGGCGTATCATCGGGACGATATTTTTGTTCAGTCTTTTTCTGGAAAGCTTGCTGCTTCTTGACACCGGTTGGAGCAATCTGGGCTTGATTCTCTTCCCTAACCTTGCGCCTCTCTTCCCGAAGTATCTCCAGCCGCTCGCGCTCCTTGCTCTCTTCGATATCCTCCTTCGTGTCTTCGTCTTCGGAGAAATGTGCACCAGCACCGCTCGGAGGAGCGCGTGGATCCCGGCGGTGGAGGCGGACAGGCGGGGTGAAATGCCTCTCATCCCGAGGGTTAATGTGGTGTCGGGATCGAAGCCTCATGACGTGATGGCGCAGGCCGACGAGGTCTTTACGCGAGACAACAAGGGGATACGAGCGGGCGCCTTGGGAAAGAGACTCATTGCGGAATTCCTCGGCGGTCTTGGGTTTGTCGGAGTTTTGACCGATGGCACTCGGAGCATTATACTGCCGCTTCGTCTTGTTGAGGGTGACGAGAGACGTGACGGGGCGGCTGATGGTCTTGAGCGGCCTCCGAGGAGCACGTAGCGGATCAGCTCCAGCACGCGGCCTTCTCCGAGGCGGAGCGTTGGCTGTAGGAGCACCGTTGGGTGTAGCACCGTTGGGTGCGGAGCCCGCAGGCAAGGCAGCGAAGTTGTGTTGGTTGTTCATGTTGAGAGGCGCAACAGCGTTGCTCCGCTTGGACGGAGAGATGGCCGCCTCTGCGCAGGTATGTCTGTGAGAATAGTGATTGTGGAAGTTCGGAGGGAAGATGGAGAAGTCGCCTTTGTGCGCGAGGAAGAAGTCGAAGGTGATGCTGGCGATGTAGGTTCTTTGTCGGTAGGGTGGTTGCTGAGAACGGCGGGCACGTCTTACATGCGGTTATGCTTGGCAGCTACGGTCTCTTAGCGCCGGATAATTGTTGACGCGAGCCGATGGCCTTGTGCAACGCGACGAGGCAGATCAAGATAAAACTAATCTGCAACAGTATACGACTCCTAGCTTACATATTCAAATGATTTATTTCGCTATACCAATGTACTATGAGGGGCAAGGTCTGCCGTTTCGCGTGAACGGTGAATGCTTTGCCATCTATTATTTATCAATCTGCCTGCGTTACTCGAATGTGCAATAACCCGCACACAAACGAAGAGACAACTGTTCTTATTGCAATTGATTGATTGCTATCGATGATTGCTCGATGTGTGGTGCGCGGATGGATCAATCGAGTGATAGGAACAACTACGTTTACACTAGTATGATTCATTAGACAGCCAACAGAGGATGAGCAATACTACATATGGGTAGTGAATAAGTACATATGTAGATCTAGTTCAACACCAAAGCTTTGGAACTATAGTATTAGCCGTCTTATATGGACTGGATCAGTATCACAGAGTACTATGCAATGTAAAGCAACGATTGCTTCCAGTGGATGTTAGCGATACATATGTATGTATGCCGTACTGTAAGAAGCTGAACAACAAGGCGGCTCATGTGTGCAGGAAACACAGAGGCTTTGGAAACGAAGAAAGAAAAACAGTTCTCCCAAATGCCGTCACCTTGCCTTCTTGATGGTATGTATGCAAAGGTCAGGCTTTGATTGGTCGTACGGCTAGTGCTCGCGATTGCCCGCTAGTGGGGTTAGCGGGAACCTGCCATTGACCACTTCACAGCAACAAACACCAACCGATTCGTCCATTAGTTGCCTGTTCATCGCTTGCATCATTGGTTCAAGCCTGGCGGCTCAAGACCCGGGGTTGTTCCCAACATTGAACTTCGCAACTTCCGCCGCTGCTCATCCACATTCCGGCCTCAAAATCGGTCACTACCATTGCAAATAGCTGTACTGGAGCCATGGCGGACCTGGAGAACAACAACCTGGAAACCCAGCTCCGGTCAATGATTCTGAACAATGTCACACTGACCGAAAGCCAAACCAACACTGGCGGTACTACTCACGAATCCAACCAGCATCCCGGTCGAGGCAGAGGTCATGGTCGTGGTCGTGGTCGTGGCCGTGGAGCCTATCGTGGCCAAGCAGCCCGAGTTGGCGAACACAACACTGGTCCTGCAACACCTGCCCATGAGAATCCTGAATCGTTCGCTCCCAGAGGCGGAAGAGGTCGCGGCTGGAGGAATGGCCCAGGGCTACGAAATGATAACAACCCATCTGCCCGACCTCAAACCACCGGTCCTTCAGCGACAGGAGGCCCTGCACAACACCCACCCAGGATACTCGTGCGACCAACAAACACATCCGCACCGTCGCATGCTTCATCTAGGCCTTCTTTTCCGCCCCGTCAACAAAACCCAAATCACGTACCAGAGAATCCGGCTCTCCAGGCTGACCACCTGGAGCGTCTTGCATCTGAAGAGATTCCTAAAGCGGAGATTTCGCCCCTTGAACTTGAAGAGAAGGAGGCGTTCAGAAGGGAACTGGAGTCAATCTTGCTCAAGGCTCTTACTGACTCCTACTCTGGCAATGATATTGCAAACATCAACTTGGTCGGCTTTGGCAGTCTCTCATCGGGTTTTGCTACTGCAGGGTCCGATATAGATCTTGCTCTGGTACCTTTCTGGAAAGACCCTGACCGATCACCCAACTCTAGCATCGCTAAAGAGCTCCCGCGACTCTTCGAGAAAGCTATACTGGATATGAATATGGGTGGTCGACTCCTGACGCGAACACGAGTGCCAATTCTGAAGGTGTGCCAACGACCTGGAGAAACTCTGGCACAAGCTCTTCTGGAGGAACGCAAAAAATGGGACGATCTGCCGGACGCAGAAAAGTATGCACCACCACCTCCATTACCAGACAAATCAGCACCAGTCGCAGAAAACGAGAGCCCAAACAAGCAGCCAGTTCTCAATTCGGATGACTTTCCCTCTCTCGCGGCTGCACGTAAAGACACGAAGAAAACACCGAACAAGGTTCCAAAATCAGAACAGCCCGTAAGTAACCCAACCCTAACTCCTGCCAATCCCCCCAAAGAGCCCCCCAAAGAGCAGCAGCCTCGCATCAACAAGGTTTTTCGCCGAGAGAAGACACTCGGTCCCCTTGACTTCCCAAAAGCCGGCGTCGGCATCCAGTGTGACATAAATTTCGAAAACCCGCTTGGAATCCACAACACACGCCTTCTCCGCTGCTATTCCCTCTGCGACCCGCGCGTGCGCCTCATGGTTCTGTTCGTCAAAGCTTGGGCCAAGCGCCGCAAAATCAATAGTTCCTATGCCGGCACCCTCTCCTCCTACGGCTGGGTGCTAATGGTCCTCCACTACCTCGTCAACGTCGCCCAACCCCCTGTCTGTCCAAACCTCCAGACCATGTGGCGACCACCGCCCAACCTTGACGCAACCTCCTTACAGCGCGTGATCGAGCAATCTACCATTGCAGGCTACGCCGTTCGCTTCCACGACGACGAAGGCGATATTGCACTTGCTGCCCGCTCTGGCAACCTCACCCGCAACACCCAGAGTCTCGGTGCCCTTCTTCGCGGCTTCTTCCAATACTACGCTTCCCTCCCTCACCATGGATACGGCCCGCGCCCGTCAGCTTTTTTCTGGACCAACGAGGTTCTGAGTCTACGTACACCAGGCGGGATCCGCACCAAAGCCGAGAAAGCATGGACAGGCGCCAAAACCACCGTGTCAAATGGAAAGGAAGTCAGGAATCGCTACCTCTTCTGCATTGAGGACCCGTTTGAGCTCGATCATAATGTTGCGCGAACCGTTACCCATTTTGGTATCGTCGCCATCCGTGATGAGTTTCGTCGTGCTTGGAGGGTATTGCGCGCCATTGGAAGGGGCGATATGCCTGAGGGCGGACTATTTGATGAGATTGTGGAGCCTGAATCTCCGAAGCAGGAGGATAAAGCGGCTGGCACAGACGCTGAGCCTGTGATGGGCAGTCATCCTGCTGATGAGGATGCTCCAACGGTGGATAAGGCCAATGCTATCGGACAAGGACAGCAGACAGGCGATATCGCGGCAGTTGTGGCTTGAATGATGAGAGACACACATCTCATATGTCGTTCGCGAGCGAGTTGTTATACCTGCACGTTTCACGCTGCATAGCGAATGGGTTCTTTTCTTCTCTTCTCTACTCATTCCGTTTCTTCACTTGCATGGTCACGGCGTAACATGGATATCGGCTGAAGGGATACTGCATGCATGACTGTTCACCTGGAAGGATCCGAAAAGTGTTTCAATATGACACGCTTTACTTTACTTTACTTTACTTTCTTTTCTAACCTACTATGAAACGGAGATGTCAGTAGGAGAGCAACAAATAGCATCACAGTCACCACAGAGAGAAGAAGTTTTCCTAGTTTGGAAGTTGGGATGTGTGTAGTTGACTGCTTTTGCAAACTAGCCCGAGAATGAAAAATGAAAATCCCCCTTAAGCAGAAATGATAGAAGAGACCAGTTATCGATGAGTCGGTTCCGGAAACCACCGGTTTAGAGGCCATCCCCAATATCTGCAGCTGTATTCTGGTCTTGATGGTAGCGTCCTGTGCCTCAATACCATTTACCGATGTGAATGTAGAGGCAAGACCCAGGCGGGAGAGAAGAAAAACTCTAGGAATTGCCGGATACCCATAAGCCGTACGATCGCTACATGCTATTCAGCTCTCGTGTCTCACACCCGAATGACTTAGCCATCGTCACCAATTCTTCGGATATCCTCCGCCCTTTTCCTCGATTCATCGAGCTTTGCGACTTTGGAATGCACGACTTCCGCCATCTCCGGGAACTCTTCGAGCTTGTCAAGAAATGCCGCCCCAAAACTCCGTGCTATATCGTAGTATTGGAGAGAAATGTAGTCGGTGAGATTGGTCCTGAGAGTCTTGATCTCCTCCGGCAACATACCCCCCATGTCCTCATCTTTGCGAAACGCAATGGTCGTGAACGAAAGGACCTCAGCCGGATCCCAGGGCGCCGTGCATGGGAGTTTATCCAAGATGTGCTCGAGCAGATCGTGCATTCCCAGCGTGCACGCGACTTCCCAAGCCTGCACGCATTCGGCGAACGATGCACCGCGGTTCTCTTCGCTGAAACATGTGATTCCGAAATCACCGTTCTCGAGGTAGCTTGCAACGTCTGGAGTGCATTTACAAGATTAGCGCGTGTTTCCACTGGAGATTTTGTACGGTAAGTTCAGGTAACCTACATTGGAATGAGTCGGGGTCGATTGAAGCCAGACTAGGGATTTCAATTCCCCATCCTTCGTCACCTAGGGTACGCATGTACCCAAGGTGAGGGTTGCTGAAGTAACTCCTCCCATCGATAGCCTTCTTGGGAATGAAGAAGATATGTCGCTCTGGGCCCACGACGAACTTAACGTAGTTTCTATTCTCACCGCTACACGCTAAAATTAGCATCAGGCTCATGCTAGTCATTCAACGTTCGTGTGCATGATGTGAATGTACTTCATGGTGAGAGGAAGGAGGTGTGAATACTTACAGGTCACCGTCGACAATGTCACCTTGGTCGATTCTAGGCCTTTTAGCTCTATTGGACTCATGTGGAAGAGCATTTGAGAACATGGGATGCGTCGGGCGCTGCGTCTGCTGGTCTTGCAACGAGAGGGGAGAAGAGTGCGGAGAAAGTGTTCCGGAGCTCGAACTTTCCCCGCGTTTGATGTAGTTGTTCCGGTTGTTCTCTTCGATCTCGTTATAGCAGTCACTGTCTCTTCTTCGCTTTGCTGCATTCCTGGGGGTGTTGGCGGCATGGTGTACCTGATCGCCATCGTTGGTTCCGCGGTTGTCGATGACCATCGATTGAGAGTGGTCTTTGAGGTACATCCTCCAGTACGCGATTTGATCTCCTCCAATCTCCATGGCAATCTCAACCAGGTCGTATGCAATCTCCAACGCCTCATTTCCTACTTCACTTGCAACCTCGAACGGATTGAACAGGCAATCTTCTCCTGGCTGTATATATTTGCTGATCAAGTTAGTTACTGTCATAGTCACCAGTCCGCACGACGTACAATTCCGGCTTTTCCTTGACTACCATGATCAAGATATAGAAGCCATGGGGTTGGTTTTCAACTACTGAGGATGGCGCTAGATCCTTCGGGCAGACTAGTGCTGGCCATTTCGGACCTCCGGTCTGCTTGTAGAGAATATACGATCCTACCGTACGAAGGACCATACTGATATCTCCCAGGGATCTGAATTGCTTCAAATGGAGTAGTCGAGCGGTATGTTTGGCCGTAAGGAGCACGATGAGGGTGGATCGAATCAAGAAGTCAATGAAGAGAAGAATATCGGAGGATGCTCGATGAGAGGACGGATGAGAGTGTTGGTGTAGTGGATGGATGGAGTGTTCGAGGCAGAAGTGTGGAGGATTGAACGATGGAGGGGTTTAAACAAGCTAAGGAGAAGACTAGTAAAGGTCTTACGCTGTAAGTAAGGGCTGCAGTGACCGAAAATCAATGTGAAGGTTAAGCAAAGATTGAGAGTGGAGATCAAAGTTTGGGAAGGGTGTTGTAAGAGCTGAGAGCGGATATCCGAATCGTTTTGAAGCTCAAGCAGGCAATGAGAGGAGCTGGAATCGCTGAAGTATCTTACCTTGAGTGATATTGGGTCCCCGAATTACCTGTGTCGATAGTCTATGAACAAGTCACGGCTTGCCCATTTCTTTTTATTTTAAAGATATCCTGCTACAGCTTACTATCTGCAAATTGTGTTGTTCTTTTCCTCTGACAAAGCTGAACCCGTACGGGGGTGATTTGTATGGGGGAGATGAATTTGACAGCTTTTTACAATCCACTCTCACCTTCAAGGATCTTGTTACTGCCATCTCCTTCCCTTTACCTTTACCTACCTGGGTTTCGCCTTTTTCGTCAACTTACCTGGGAGGGAGTATGCTTTGATGCATGATGGCAATAGGCAACAGCAGCGAGTTGGGCGAGCTGTTGGATGGTTTCTGGATTTTTGATAGTTGATTGATATTTGATTGATAACAAGCCGAATGGATTTCCGAATAGCCTTCCTCCAGGTCTTGTGTAGCCACCCCGTAGACTTTTTCCTAGAGGCTTGTGTGCTTTTAATCACTTACATAGTTGCAAGCTCCCTTCGTAATTTGCAAATAACCCCTTCCCACATTTTTTTCACAGCAATTAATTATTTATCACGACCCGGTCCCGAAACAATGTTTTCATGAGCAAAAGAGATCACGTCGATTTGAAAAGAGAGAGATGTTACTGGGCACTCGGAGGCACGAGAGCTCAGTACATCAAATTTGAAAGAATTCACTAACGTGGAGAAAGAAACGATTCATAAAGAGAAAGCGTAATATTTTCATTTTGTCTAGTAACAAAAACTGCGATGTAGTCTTGTAGTTGGAGGTCTCAGAACTTGGTGTCGGAGCTACCAGCTTAGTCACCGAAACAGGGTCCAACGCCAGCCAATCGCTGGAGACGCGGATGATAGACTATCTGGCATCAAGCTCTCCGAGAACAGAACAGAAGCATTTGCGACACGACTTCCACCCTTCCTCCCCCCGGCCCCGAAACGAACATCCGCTGCGACTGAAAAATCCGCCGCATGTCCTAAGAGCTACACATCCACGCTTCACACCCGTCTCCCCACAAATACCCGATCATTCCACTCCACTCAGGACTTCCACCGCAAAAGATTCCCCACAATGCTCGGTCTCTCAGACATGCAACCGCGGCAGCTCGCTGCGCAGATCCTCAATTTCGCCCTCGTCCTCTCGACAGCGTTTATGCTATGGAAAGGTCTCAGCGTAGCTACCGATTCGCCATCTCCCATCGTCGTTGTGCTCTCGGGATCTATGGAGCCCGCCTTTGAGCGCGGCGATCTGCTTTTGCTGTGGAACCGCGGCATGGACACAAAAGTTGGAGAGATTGTGGTATATAATGTCAAGGGCAAGGATATCCCGATTGTGCATCGCGTTGTGAGGAGATATGGTGGAGGGTAAGTCACGATTTCTTTGGTCTGCGTATTTGAGATTCCAAACTCTCCATTCCCTGAGGATGTGACGCATGCAGTGCTGGGGTGAATTATATGACTGGTGGAACTGTAGTACGAAATTGGAGGCTAATACATCTGGACTCTTTCTGCAGGAAAACTCCCCTCAAGTTGCTCACCAAAGGTGACAACAACGTTGCCGATGACACTGAACTCTACGCCCCAGGCCAGGATTTTATCAACCGCAAAGAAGACGTGATTGGAAGCGTGGCAGGATTCATACCGTTTGTGGGATACGTCACCATCCTCCTGAGCGAATATCCGTGGTTGAAGCAGGCGATGCTGGGGATAATGGGATTGATGGTGGTGCTGCAACGGGAGTGAGGAGCTGGCCGATTATTCAGGATCATGCAGATGTTTTAGAGTATCGTTACAAGGATTCGATCTGATCAGCATCGTCTGATCGGAGCATGTTCACTACAAAAAAAGCGCTTCGATGGTTGCTATGTTTGGCGTCTAGGAATACGCTCATCACGTGGATAGGAAGCTTGATGGCGCAGCCACCCGCGCATCATCCCTCGGCGGGTTGAGAAGTCGTGAGCGCAGCATTCCACCTAGAAGCCATTGTTAAATCACGTAAGATCCAGAATGCATTGGTCCAGATCCATATACGGCATTCAATCTTTCCACATGCAACTAATCAGACAGCCAAACCGGGGTATATTTATTACGCATCATGCCACACACTCAGCTCTTAATTAGATTCTCAAGCCCAGGTATACCCCAGGAGCCAAACCAACATAAGCATTCCTTGCTATCCACTCCCAGCAAAAAAAAAAGAGAAAAAAGAAAGAAAAAAGTAGACGAGCCGTATCATCACACTTGCGCCGTGTGGGGTCTAACAACTCATTAGCATTCGCACACCCTCTTTCTCGAATCCATCTCACAACCAAGACGGTGATATACATACTCGAACCCACGACCCCTGCCTATCCTATTCCTCTTCTCCCCGCAAGGAGATTTTGGGAAGGCAGTATGCTAACCACTGCACCAACGGCGCTTTGGGCTCGTCTCTTGAACGATAGATAGATTGATGGAGTACGTCTTCGCAAGGACACTATTTATACAAGTGGTTCTAGAAATGCATGAGTGGTGATGGTAGATGGAAGGAGAGAGGGGGAGGGAAGAAGCGGTCTGAGGAACGGGAAACTACATGGAACTAGACGCGGGATGTCTTTTCTTTGGGGGGTTGGATGGGAACACAAGGGACGGGTGGGTACGCACGCGCGGGTGCAGGGGTTTGAGGGGGATAGGGACGGGTGGGTGAGGAAGGAGCGTCTGGTTAGTGGGATTGGGAATTGGGAATTGGATGGGTGAGTGAGTGGGTGGGTGGTTGTATGTGTGTATGAATTCCACGGATTCGGGTCAGTGAAGGTGTAATGTAGGTGGGTTGAATCACCACTTGACTTGGGATTGATATGATCGATTGCACTTCCATATATCGACGTCTACCTGGGAATGACCCAACCCAATGGATCTGCCATCAAAGCCACATACGGTACTAGGTAGTTGGGAACTTGGTGACGAGCGGATATCAGAGTAGACCTGGGGTTATTCCACTTTGCACGAAGCCATAAACAACGTTGCGCCCAAAACCCAGGAGCAGGGTCATAGACATGTCAACCACAAGAGCAGCACCAGATTGACCGAGAGGGCAACAACACTTAATAGGGACAGACGCTTGTCAAACAGTTTCTTTTGCGTACCACGGATAACTAGTGTACATACGACATGAGCTTCGTGATGTCTCGGGCGTCGGGTATTGACCTGAACAACGCCAAACATCATTAATGAGGCTTCATGGGGGAGCTCCCTGCGGCCTCGTTGAAAAACATCATCTTGGAGTTAAAAAGCTCCCTTGCTTGCACATACCCACGTGATGGAAAAGATGTCGGAAGCGTAAAAAAACAAAAGAAGCCCCAGTAATAACCCCAGAAGTCCTATAGTCACCAGTAAAGACCGATGGCCATTCAGACAAGCTCATACCAGATTGCGCGTCAAAGGAGAAGCGCGGAACCACGTCAACTTAGTCGGATTCCTCCTCCTCCTCTTCGGCGTTGGCCTGGTAAGCGGCCTTCTCCTCCTCGTAGCGCTTCTTGTCGGCAGCAGCCTTTGCCTCGTAAGGTTGGCGCTGCTTCTCGGAAAGAACCTTCCACTTCTCGCCGAGCATCTTGCCAACATCACCTGAGACTAGTTAGACGTGCGCGTACAAGCGAATGGAATGGGGGGGAGGAGAATGGCTTACCGAATTTGATTCCGGGGTTGTCTTCGCGCACCTTGTCGCGCTGGTCGTTGGCGAAGAACATGTAGGCAGACAGACCACGCTTGGGGGCGTTGGGATCTGTTCACGTTAGATGATTTGACAATGGAAGCAATCGCAAATGGCATGCGTACCCTTCTTCTTCTTGCCGCCTTCGGCCTTCTTGCCCTTGCCGCGGGTGACTTTCTCCTTAGGCATGATGAGAGATGTGTAGCTGTTCAAGCTTCCTGTTGAGAGATTGTAAGCGGGCTGATGGTACGCGCCATGTGAAACCAAGGGAACAAGGGCTGAATTTGGAGCAAGCGCAGCAGAAGAGGCGGGTAGAAGGGTCATAGAAGAAAAAAAAAAAGCACGCGAGCGAGAAGCGCAAGTGAATGATTTATAAAAAGGGGAGGTCGCAAGAAGATTGCTGCGGTGGGTGCAAGCGTTGGGTGAGGCGCGTGCCTGTCCACAACGCGCGCGTCGAGCAAAACATGAGCACCACGAGGGTGCACGGGATTTTTGCGCAGGATGAATGAAGAATTGGAAAAGCAGACTTACAAGTTAGACGATTGATTCGTGCAGAGGAATTGCGCTTGACGTTGGTCTGTTGGATTGTTAGTACTGGGAGGGTACCATGGCGAGGTGGACGAAGAAGAGAGCGGGATTTGGAAATGGGATGGCGCGCTGCTCAGCAAAAGAAGCTGAAGAAGACATGAAGGCGCGAGAAGGGCGGGGGAAAAGAGGGGGGAAAATGTTGGTGGTGGTGGTGCGCGTTGTGAAGTTGATATCTGGGACGAAGTCGATGGAAGCGAGGACCTACCAGGCGTGTTGGGAGCAGAGCAGATGGAGGGCTCAGTACAGAGTGAGTGAGAGAGTTGTGTGAGAGAGACGCTGGTAGCAGCAGTAGGCGGGACAGAGAGAGACCCCATAGCACTATGGCGGCTTGTGCGGACGCGGCACGTGACGCCGTAGCTAACAAAGGGCCAGGCAGGCGACACACACACCTTGGGAAGGAACCATGCGCCGACCTGCCGCTTCCCCCCTCCCTCCTTCCCCCCAAGCCAGCCAGGCGAGAGCCAGCCAGCCAGCCAGCCAAACGACGGGGGCCGATACCACACGTCCTTGTCCCTTGTTTTTGCTCTACTTGTTCTTCTTCTTCTTCTTCTTTTTCTCGTCCATCCATATTCCTATGTTATGTATTGTATATCTAAAATTGGCTGTAATCGATCCCACGTATCAGTGTGTGCACCATCACATCTCCTATTCTCTCTCTCTCTCTCTCTGTCTCTCCACCAAGCACACATATTCCCATGTCTGGCACGACATCAACCAATCAACCATCGCTGGGAAGTGGTGGTGGTGGTGGTGGTGGTGCATCAGAAGCAAAACGTGCCATTGCCTTTTCCACTACATAGTTGCTAACCAACTAGCCTGCCTAAGCAACTAACATCCACATCCTTGCCTCCCTCTCTCTCCGTCTCTTCCCATTCAGACTCCTCTCTCTGCTCCCGGCCCCGATTCGTACATGGCCGGCACGCACCCACCACCGCACGTACGCTCTCCCTTTGGCTCGCTCACCACCACCACCAACATTCCCTTGACTCTCTGCCCACCCTGTTTCCCTGGCAGTCGTTTCATGTGGCCCGCCGGCTAGATTATTTTGCAGCCCAGCCCAAGCACCGCCATTCGCCTGTGCCCGAGAACTGGATCCCCCCCCCTTCAAATTCCCTCGCAGCGACTGTGATTCCGCCGTAGTCGATACGCCCTACCATGGCGGTACCAGCCTCTTACTAACGTCAAGTGCATACTGACTTGCCCTCTTGTCCGCTTGTGCGGCCTGCCACCTCCTCTCGGCAGATACACCAGCTTCCCCACTAGCCCACAGTCTGCTGCAACCTGAATATTGTCTGCAATATTGCACCTGTCTATGAGCTGATGGGTGGTCGCCTCGCTTCCCTCATAAATCCCTCTCTCTCTCTGTGCGCGCGCAGTAATGCGACAGCCTGACGTTCCGAGACACCAGTGGGCCCGCATTCGTCATTGCTGCGCTAGCCCGCATACGTATCGAAACATATTCAACTAAGTAAACATAGCCAGAGTCTGTGGGTGGAGAATGCGCCTCCAAGGTCCATGACGTATCGCCCGCTGCATTCGCACATTTATTTGATTCCCTAGTGAGGCTGCCTGCCTGCCCGTACCAAGTCTCGATGCTCCAGTTACAGAGGTGCTATACGTTATCGTGACGCGCCAGAAGCGACAAACGGCCGGTGGGTTGCTGTTCCAACCATGTACATGGTGAGCAAGCCTGCTGCTGCACTCTGCCTCAGCTCATCCATCAGGAACCCTGCCCTTGCTTTGCCGTCTTCAGGAACCATCATGGATCCTAATACGGCGCCGCCTATCACTGCAGTGCCCCCTGCCCACCCCTAATTATTCTGTCCCTCTTCTGTCCCTTCGTCCTGCAAATTCCATTAGGTAAGCATTCCAGGGTCAGTCGCCCATCACTGCGGGAACCCTTCGGCTGCCTCCAATCCACCGCCGTCTAACAACACCACCATCTGCAAGGTACACACACCCCCAAACTTCATTTGCTTGTCACCGAGCAACGTTGCATGGAGCTTGTTGTATGGCCATTCCCCATGCATGCCAACCCGCACGCGGATAGCCATAGTTATACAGTCCTACGCTATTGCATTGCCCATATAATATTCGTACCCAGGACCCTCGTCCGTTGCTCAACATCAATTTCTGTTCCATACCCACGTATCATGGCCGTCGATATAGCCTATTGACAGGCTGGAGACCCCGAATCTAGAATGCGCGATTGGTTCAACCCAAGCTCTTGATCAATCCTCTTCTTCGTCGTCCATGACAAGCTCTCGCAATACCTCATCAGCGGTCCAATTGATGCCACTGCCAACAATCATAGCAGACAAAACCCCTTTTAGTGTCCTCATTCGCCTTCGTGACTCCTTGAGCCCCATCTCTACAGTCTTCACCTGGTCGCGCAGCCTGGGGTCCTCGATATCTTCCGTCGGCTGCACTTTCAGCTCCTCGGCTAGCCCAAGTAACGTCTGGGATAACTCGCGGTTCCGCTCGTTGGTGACCGTGTTGCGTTGCTCTGCTTCGCTCAGAGCCTGTGTCATTGACGTGAGCTCTGCCGAAAACGATCCATGCGCCATAGACAGCGTATCGCCTTCGTGAATCAGAGGCAGTATGCGCCTGCGCCTTGGTGAGAAACTGCTTGCGCCTAGGAACAAACCCGTCTCACTCACTTCTCCATCGGCTCTGTGTCTTCGCCCCCATGCACAGCCTTCAACACAGGATCCATCACGAGCACATTGTGCGATATCCTGTTTCGAATCTCGAATTTGGTCTTTGCGTCCATAGCATCCCGTTGAGCTGCCATCAGCTGTTCTTGCACTTCGTCATCTGACAGGCCTGATGTATCGGGCACATGAGCTACAAGAAAATCAATTTTGACGTGCTTTTTGAATGATGATATCAGCAGCCCTGTGACGCACCGGATTCATGCGCTTTGATGAGGCTCCTCTGTAACTCGAGTTCTCGTAGTTGATCGTACAGCTCCAGTACGCGCTCCTCGAGGTCAGAGAACGCGAACGCGTCACTATGCGGCGTCTGCAATATAGCAGAGTCGATAGCCCCTTCACTCATGATAACGTCTCCAGTGGCGGCCATGGTAGAGTCTCCAGTTTTCTCGATTACAATTCAATGTCTCCGTTGTTGGCCCATGTGACTGTTGCTATCTACACAATCAATGGCACGCGTCTCCCATCAGACACTTGAAGATGTCATGTAGAGGTCCGTGCGCGGCTTGGATAATCCCTGCATCCATGTCAGGCTTGGCCAGTGTACCTGGGGCCGCTGCCCATTGTCACGGCCTGAAGTTTACAACTCACTTTGTGATTAATTCTGACCAGGCGCAACCTTTCAGCGTAGGCGCAGGACAGCCTTGATGTTGCTGCAGATTGCTGTAGCTCATACAGGCCAGCGCCTCGACGCTGATCCAGTGAGCTTCAACTCTATCGAAGGTCTGAAGCACTGGATAGCGGATGCCACTGGTATTCCGTCGGACCTCCAAATATTACTCACACCGCGCGGCAAACATGTCAAACTGCAACTTCTACTGACCGAGGCATGATTCCCGCATTATGATTATTCTATCCTAGCTAACACACACTCCAGAAAGAGATATTCGTCTACAATCGCGATCTTTCTTTGGGCCAATCCTCGACCGCCTCACCCACCCCGCTGCCAGATACCTTCACACCTAACGATGCGCCAAATGACCTCGAGAATAACACCGATCTTCGAGAATGGCAGAAGCTGTTCCAGAGCCGCCGTGACTGGGCCTTCGACATCCTTGAGAAGTCGCACTCCATGTCCCAAGCAGCTTCCCAGCGTTTTGCAGAACAGGCGACAATAGAGAAGGCTACACAAATCGCTGTCGGGAACCACGATTCTCATATACGTGGATTGGAGCAAAAACATGGAGAGGTTAAAGACTGGTTCGATGGTGTTGAAAAGGAATCCAAGGACAATCTACGCAAGTTAGACGCCGATTATGATCAACTGGGTGCCATACCCGCGAAAACCGAGTTCATACAGTTTCTTGCCAAAGAACTGCGACCGACGCAAGCATCCATATCCGGTCGGAAATCGTCTCCAAGTCCATCGCCTTCCCTTAAAGAATTCCTCGATTTCGATTCTTTGAAAAAAGCAACAGGGGCCAGCAAAAGGGCGAGAGAGACATTTGCCACGCGACTCGCAGGTATGGGGGTGCAGCTAAAGGAGATTACGGTAGGCTACAGCGAGCTACTTGGCGCAGTTGGTGCCCGTCAAAGTCAGAGTCGATACGCGGACGATACCGAAGAACCTCAGCGTTTGTATGTTGAGATCGATGCGGTCGTGAAAAAGGTCGAGTCCGATTTGGAACACATAACAGGCCTTCCAGCAAATCCGAAGTCCGTGGCTCAGGTCTCCAAGATGGCACTTCTGCATACGCGGAATTTCCTCCCCGCGATCAAAGAGTATTGCACTGAAATGAGCGAGCTTGAACGCAGGGCCGTGGAACGGAAGAATCAAGCTATACAAAACGCAGTGGACAGCATGCGCGGAATTGCTACCATCGAGTCCGCTATCTCGAGCTTGAACGGCGACTTCGAGTCGGTTAGCATTTCACAGGAAGGCGCTGCAGCGTTCGAACTCATTTCACTTGTTGGACGGCTACCTTATATCTATGGCACCCTTCTGGTCGAAGCAGTCCGGAGACGGGAGTGGATGGACAAGATGGAGAAAGATACCTCTTCGCTTGCCGAAGAGATGGCCACCTTTCAGGAAGAGGAAGAACGTCGCAGAAAAAAGTGGCTGAAACCTATTGCAGATGTCATCAATCTTGAAATCGTACAAGGAAGCGGTCTTGGTTTCGAGATTAATGTACAACCCGAGAAAGGCAAATGGCCCACAGTAACACGTGAAGATTTACTGGGGTATCTAAAGATTCTTCAGAGCCTTGATGGACAAACTCCAGAAGCTGAAGCTCTTGGACAAGCAATCAAAGATCTGGACCGACCTACTAAGCAACAGATCAAACGCGCGAAGAACTTCAAAATGGGGAGTGTGCACGAACCAGCGTTCGGTAGAGGCTCCCAATTAACGCTCCGCGGAGACGATGAACTTCGTGTACTGAGGGAAGCGAATGGGAAGCTCGAGGACGAGCTCAAGGGCCAGAAAAGCAGGGTTCGACGCCTCGAAGACCTACTCCACCGACAAACTCATGTTAGCCGATTGTCAATTGGGGGTGGCCTTGCGTCCTTCAGCCCACAAAGCCCGGCTGATCCTTCTACGCCGACCATGGATGCACCTTTCCCAACTCATATGATAGATCATTCCCGTCGATCCTCTGTATCTTCCAGACGAATTTCCGCCAACCAAGGCAACGAAGATAAGCGACGCATCGTGCGACTCGAAGCGGAGCTTGCGGCTGAGAAAGAAGCGAGGGCTAGTCTAGAAAGGAATGTGGAGAACCAGCAAAATGGCGACGAAGAGTTGAAGAGGCACGCTCAAGAGGCTGTTTCCATGAAAGAAGAATTGATGGAAAACATGAAGGCTCAGCAGAAGGAGTTTGCCAATGAAAGGAGATCGCTGGAGCAAGAGGTTCAGACATATAAGAGCAAGATTGAAGAAGCAGAAGACGAGCTTGACCGTGTCCTTGGCAGTCGTGACAACGAACGGGCGGGGGTGGATACCAAGATTCAGGATTTGCTTGCCGAGATCGACAGCATCCGGAAACACGCTACTGCCGATGAAAATCAGGCTACAGAACAGATTACTCAGTTGCGAGCCGAACTAGAGAAGCAAAAAGAGTTTGAAAGCCGACAGCTTGACGCTCTATCAGCCGTGTTCAATCAACTTTCACCTGATCAGTCTGCGCCCAGTGATGGAACATCGCTCTTGTCCCAGCTAGAAGACCTAGCTCTTAGATCATCCAACTACCAACGGGAACTGCAGCAAGCCGTTGCTCTGGCCAAAACGGAAAATGAGAATGCTCGCGCCGTAGCACACGAACAAGAAGCGGACCTCAAATCGAAATTATCCCTTGAGAAAGATGCTTCTTTTACGTTACGAGAGCAACTCGACAGGGAAAAGGCAAAGGTTGCCTCGATCACTGCCGAGCTGGATGAGGAGCGCTGCCACCTGCGAGACCTGAGAGCTAAGTTCGCTGAAGGAGAGACTGGATCCGAGGCTTTGCGGAAACGCGTCGAAGACGAAGAAGCCAAGGTCGGACGACTGCAAATGGAACTTGCAGAGACTAAGTCTCATTCCAATAGTCTAGACGTTGAGCTTATGCATCTGCAAAAGAAGATGCTCAAGTACGAGGAATTCGATTCCTCGAGAACTCACGAACGCCAAGCTCGAGCGAAAGAGCTTACCAAACGACTATATCTCCAGCAAGATCGTCTCGTAGGTCTGGTAGAGTCGCTTGGTTTTGCCATAGCTTATGAAAATGGCCAGATGACCCTGCAACGAGCTTCCAAGATCAGCAACAGTACTACTCTGAGCGATGCAAACGGACTGGGCCGAAGCGTAACCACGCCCTCGCCCACACTTTTCAAGCATTCAGACAGTCCTCTAAATCTCTCTTTCCTGCAATGGCCAGAGTCCGCGGACCCAGAGCAAGAGGATAGGCGCTATCATGAGCTTATAGACACTCTCAGTCGCTTCGACCTAGATGTGTTTAGCGATGCAGTAACGAAACGCATGCGTGATATCGAGCACACGGCACGGAAATACCAGCGCGAAATGCGTGCGTATCGAGAGAAGTCGCACCGTTTCCAAGCTGAAGGGCATGATAAGATAGCCTATCGATCGTTCAAAGAAGGCGATCTTGCCTTGTTCCTACCTACACGTAATCAGGCGACTCGTCCCTGGGCTGCTTTCAATGTCGGGGCACCGCACTACTTCCTCCGCGAACAGGACTCGCACAGGCTACATGGAAGAGAATGGCTAGTTGCGCGCATTTCAAAGATCGAGGAGCGAGTCGTCGATCTTTCCAAAACTATCGATTCGACTACTAGGGCTTCCTTGGATGGTCGCTCGATTGCCTCCAACAGTGCCATCTCTTTTGAAGACGATAATCCATTCGAGCTGTCTGATGGCCTGCGCTGGTATCTGCTGGATGCCGCAGAAGAGAAATCTGGCGCGCCAGGCACACCCGGACTCGGCAAGACGACAGTAGCCAGCGCCCGCGTAACAGGACAAGGCCAAATGGAGCCGACTAAGAAAAAGTCCTCCAACGACCCTGCAAAGACGCTCGGAAAGTCGCTCGATAGTCGCCGTAGTAGTGGCAACAGCAAAAAGAGCGCACCTTTGGTCGGCGCCCGCAACTCCACTGAGATACTCCCCCAAACCGATAACACCGACTCTGGACCCGCCTCAAACACGGCAACCAGAGGTGCCAGTCCCGCATCCGGACCAGGCCCTAGTCATTTGAGGGAGAGCGAGGTGACCGCGGAAGCCGCTGCGACCGCTGCTGTCAGCAACGCCGAGGTGCGAAAGGACCTCCTGTGGGGACCTTAGGTTTGCCTCCCAAACTTAAGATCCCCAGCTACACACACGTACACCATTGCTGACCCATCCCTTCAGGAAGATGATCATTTGGTTCATACATTCCAAGGCTCTTCCAGCATTTATGGACACCAGTCCACATCGCCTCGAAAACAATCGCTGTCGGCCGCCTATCATCACCACCCCAGTGCCAGCGTCAGCGGTCTCTCGAGATCGCAAACCACTCCAAACGCCTCGCCTAGTAAAATGAGAATGGGCAGCAGTGCAAACGACCTCGCCAGAGTCTCGAGTCCTGCAAGTGCATATCAAGCAGGCGGCGATAGCCCGAGCAAGAGGCGTGCAGGTGTAACGGCGACAGCAACTCAGCAGCCCCCGCCTCGCGAAAGAAAAGGAAGCATCTTTGACGGTCTGTTTAGTATGGATTTGACGTATCAGAAGTCGCGGAGATGACGGGATAACCATTAATCATCCCTGTTTTCCCCCTCCCTCTCTCCCTCTTTCTTCTTCTTCTTTTTGTTTTTAGGAAATGAATCGGCGCGAATCTCAAGTAGATAAGAATCAGTAGTCTTTGGTTCTTTTTTCTTTTTCTTATAAATCGCATATATATTTCAAGGAATAATATTAACGCTAGTGTGAAGGCACTGGTTTACGTGCTTAAGTAGCACTTGTCTATACTATGAAGTAACTACTCTATCAATCTTAGATTGGTCACCCGCTCTCTCCTATTGCATCTATATATGTATGCTGCCTGCTGCCTGCTGTCTGCTTACCTATCCATCTATTTGTTATTTGTCTAGTCACCTGTCCGTCCTGACACTCATCTGTCACCCATCTGTCTAGCCAGCCGGCCATCTGTCCTTCTCAACGCTCGCTTTCTTTACCCCTTTGAGTCTCTCACCGGAGGTACAATGTCGCCACACTACGGTAGTTACCGCAGCCGTTATGGTGGTCCACGCAGACCTCACTACAGCAAGCGGCAAAGAGATCTTATAAGGCAGGGTATCAATCCTTTAGTGCAGCCACCTCCGCAGCAACGCAACAACCTCAATCCAAACCCAGTATCAACCCCCACAACATCGGCCCAAAACATCCAAAATGCGAACGGATCCTCTGCCCAAGACACAGCGAACGGGGCTGATAGGGATGAGCATGGAAACGGGACTCACACACCCGCGCGCCGCTCTTGCACACGGAACGAGCGTTACCCTGCCCGGAGTCGCCGCAACGTGGTCGAGGAAGACGAGGAAGAGGAGGAAAGTAAAGATCATATAACTCCCAATCCGCGCCGCTCTGGTGCAAATCGTGCACAGAGTAAGTCCCTGAACGCCCGGAGTCGCCACACCGTGGTTCCTAATTCAGAGAGCGATCCATCTCTCTCAAAGCTGTTTTAAGAAAGACGATAGCGACTCAGACGACCAGCATGAGGACTCAACCTCTACAAGAACTTCGAGGTGGGGGGGAGGGGGAGGAGCGAGTGTCAGCGCGACTACGCTGCCTTCATTGCCAACGTACGATTATGCTATCTGTACATTGTTTTCCCCGGGAATCGTTAGTTTGGTTCCCAGGAGAAGGTGTTTCAGTGTTGTATTCCCCTTTAAATGTACTTAACTACGGAATTCTTTTGAGTGGGATTGCAGGTGTGTTATCTCACACAACATTACCTGTCATGCAAAGCACGCTTGCGTATAATATTTACATTTCTTCCGATAGAGTATGTGCTGTAGAGGTTCTCAAAAACACATGGTTATGAGAGATAGAATCTCCGAATCTGGTAGATATTTGACAGATGATTAGCTCTACGGCATGTCACCCACTCTGAAAACTATTCGATTGATCTTCACACGGTGTTGAGTCATATTGATTGGTTTTCCATGCATACTCTATATGCTCTATACGCACCCTTACGGAGTGTACGGATTCGGCATATGCTGGGGTGTCAAATAGGCGAGAGGTGTTCCCATCCGGCTGACTGCTCCACGCAAAAAGGTAAACACAACAACAACCGACACATTATGGTGACATGCATCATCGATCTGTTTTACGGGGGCGTGTTTGCCGTGCGGGTTGGGCCGTCGGTGTTGGTATGATGTGTACCAGAATCTGCAAGATCACCAAACGCTCCCCGGAGAATTGTTGGACAAGCAATGAGGTGCAACGACGCTTGTTATGTGCACGCTGATATCGACCAGCTACATGTCTTGAATGCGGTGGTTGAGTCTACTCGTGGTTCTTGCGGTTCACTGCCAAGTGCATTAATGTCAACATGATTTCTTGTCAGGCTTCTTGTCATATCGAACAGTTATGTCGCAGTAACAATCTATGCTATTCGCAAAAGCAATGTCGTGTCCCGTGTTCAATATAACTGACGATGAAAGGAGGTCGGACTTGCGGCACTCTTGATGCTCACAAGCGCTTGGCTTTCCCCTCGTCGGATCCTCACGTTTCAGGACCTCCAGCGGGACTAAGCTGCCAAATCGATCGGGCTGCCTGAGGTTCAAGAGGAGGCTCGGATCGCTGCACGGCCAGTGCCATTTGATTTAGCGAGTCGTTGACCTCAATGATCGCCACCACGTGCGGCAAGGCGCGTCCCCCAAACACTAGCGTCTGCTGTCAAACGGACATCTCCAACCACATTTTCCAGCAATTGTTGGAGATGGTCGGTTTCCCGCTACACTATGATGGCTGCCCAGAGCTTGGCCTGACATTCCCCCGAGACAAGGACTTGACGGCTGGATTGTTAAAAAGTGGGGCTGCCTATAGGGGACGTCTTTCCAGTATGCAGCAATAAAAGCATCTCGCTCCTCTGACTGAGTGATTCTTCTCATCGGCATTGCTGTGCAGTCGTTACCACTGAATTCCGGATCTGGCGTTTTAATATACTAAAAATTTCGATTCTTTACTTTGGCGCAGGTCGCATACGCACTTTTGAAATACATATCTATTTAATCCGGTCTTCTCTACCGTAATAACGATTATCTACAATCATGGCCTGTCCAGTGAGTGGACATAGTGATGCGGGATCCAGCAGTTGCCCTATGGGACGAACGGGACCCCGTGGATGCGCCTTTGCTGCATTCCAGCCAAATATGGGCGCGTCTACAGCCTTTTCTGGGGTCAGTTGTATTTATAGCCGAGGTATTGCTCTATACTAACATTTGAGTTCTAGGATGCGGAAAGCGCAGCTTTGCTGCACGACAAAGAACGTCAAACGTTGCAAGATATACTACTTCCAAACGCCCCTCCACGGGAGACGACGAATAATCTCAAGAATGCTGATGGCCTGCTGCCCACCGACGATGATTTGCTGTCGATCGCTCTTGGTGCTCCAGCTCGACGAGTGCTGATGCGTGCAGAGGAGATCGGACCACGCACTGGGTAAGTAACCAAAGCCTACGTTCAATGTGTACAGGAGCTGACTACTGGATCAATCAAGTTGGAAAGATGGATACTTATCCTCGGAACACGGGTTCTTGCCGCCCGACCCGTCCGACGCTCCGGTAGCACTTCGAGCCTCACCAGGCCGCGTCTGGTCCGATCTATGCGAGCGAATGCCGGGCGTGGTTGCGAGAGGTAACATGAGGAACTCGATCCTGGCTCTTCCTCTCGTCTACGGAACCCCAGATGTCATTCCTGATCGAGCCCTATGGGCAGCTACCGTGTGTCTCGGAATCCTGGCCAGTGTGTATCGCTACGAAGAAAACAACGACGGCAATGAGGGTGTGTCGGTCATGGTTGCCCCGGACACATTTCGCAACCTTTCGGGTGAAGCTGATGACGAAGAGGAGGAAACCAAAGGCATTCCTCGCAACATCGCCATTCCACTGCGTCAAGTCTGCACCCGCATGGGACGTCCACTACCACACCTCACACAGTTCGATGTTAGCATCTACAACTTCAAATTGAGAGATCCTACTAGCGTGCAACCGTACGCAGCTCGAGCGGAAAACATGGACCTGCGATGGCCGGTGTTCAATGATCGTGGTGAAGCCATGTTCTTGCTCTGCATGGCAGAGGTCCACGGCTGCTTCCAGAAAGGCGTCGAGATTGTTACGCGTTGTCAAGAAAAGGTCATGCAGAAGGACAAAGAAGGACTGTTGCGCGAGATGATTCATCTCAAAGCTATCATCGACCAGCTGCCCTACGTTTTCCACAAGATTTCAGTCAACCCTAATGCTGGAGAACAATTCGCAGATCCCGTCGCCTGGGGGTCTCGTTATGCTAAATTTTCTGCGCCCTTGTCCAAACGGGTTCCGGCGCTCAGTGGGTTAGCTCTCCCTTTATTCCTGCTGATGGACGCTTTTCTTGGAAGGACAAAATATACCTCATTCCTGGGTATCGAGGCCATACATCTACGTCGTTGGCTGCCACTTAACATCAGAGCTTTCATCGCTGCCGTAGAATCTCACTATCAAGTGCCCGAGTTTGTCAAAGCCAGTGGCGATGCCAAGCTTGAAGGTGTCCTAGAGGGTCTCGTTGAAGCCTATGGTGGTGAACGCGGATTCATGGGCACGCATCGCTATAAAGTCTATGGTTTTCTGGAGGTAGTAGCTAAGACGGGTCGAACCGAGACGAACGGTAATGCCGGTTCCGGCGATACTGATGGTCGTGCCTGGGAAGAAGTGCATCGAACACTGTCGGATTCGATGAAGGAAAGGTTGGACCCATATCGAGGCAAGGTAAAGGTCCAGCCTCATGAAATGCGCGGAAGTTTCGAAGAGTGCAGGTTTCTTGCAAAGATTGTCGATAGGCAGACCATTGATAACGATCTCGAAAGATCAACGGGGATGGTAACTTTCGACCTGCACAATACTGGTATCACGTTTCAGCCCGTAAGTCTTCACTGTTTTTCCGAGTTTGGAAATGGATCACACTGACTTCTTTATCAGGGAGACCGCCTAGCGGTTATGCCTACCAACCCCTCATACGAGATAGCCAAAGTCGCTGCTGCTTTAGGTCTAGACGGTATGATGGACAGCATCGTTCCCGTAGAGCGAGGCTCAGAATGGGCTCGCTTTGTCAACCATATGGGTGCTGTATCCAAGGCTCCAAGCCCAGGACTCACTATTCAGCAAATGCTGAAAAGAGGCCATTTGGCACCTTTGACGAAAGGCCTCGTAACAAAGATCCACCAGATGCTTCGATCCTCATCGCAAACTATAATGAACATCCTCGCTTCAAATGAATGGCCCGTCAAAGGCAGCATTGGCGACCTTTTACAGGCTGCTATTACAGAAGTACCCCAAGATGTCTGGGATCGGGCTTTTGATCTGTACAATCTTGCTTGGCTTCCAAAACTAGTGAGTTTGGAAGTTCCGCGAACTTACAGCATATCCAACGCTTCGGACGGCCTTCTGCCGAGCATGATCGACCTCACCGTGACCCGAACGGAAACCGCTAGAGATCCAATATTCAGCAGTGCACAGCCAGCTATGCCTTTGTATGGTGTATCCAGTGGATTCCTTAACCCCGCCCCAAGCCTTATGGGCTATCCTGATGCCGGCTTTGGAGACGACGAGTCCGTCCTGATTGGTGTGTCTCGTCCAATCCAATTCCAGCTCCCACCGAGCACCACAGTTCCGATCGCCATGTTTGCCGGCGGTTCGGGCATCGCGCCTTTTAGAGGCTTTTGGCAAGCACGATCGCAGACTGGAATAGGCCGAAACATACTATTTCTTGGTGTGCAGTCGCGCGACAAATTTGTGCACGAAGCAGAACTCCGAGGCCTTGTTCAACAAGGTACATTGGAGCTTCACACGGCATTTTCCAGGGATAGAAATGGCCTCATTTACGATCCTTCATCCCGAGAACTTTTGGAACGCGATATGGATCCGCGGTACATCGACACCACTATTATTGAGCAAGGCCGCGTCGTTTCCGAATTAGTCATGTCCAAAAGCCAGGGAGGCTTGGGAGGCTACTTCTACGTGTGCGGGAGTGTCTCGGTGTATGAGACAGTTCTTTCGGGAATCAAGAAAGCCATCTACACACACCAGGCGGCAACTCGTCAGAGCGCAGACCAAATTCTAGCCACGGCCTTCGCTGAAAGAAGGTTCATGTTGGACATCTTCATGTCTCCACGCTCTATACCATCAACAACCCCAACCATCCCAATGTCAAAATTGGCCGAACACACCGGCCACAGGAATGGCTCTAGGATGTGGATCGGCGTGCACGGAGGTGTATACGACGTCACTGATTTCCTTCCGATGCACCCCGGTGGTACTTTGATCGTTGCCGCAAGTGCTGGTCTAGACGCAACCAAAACATTTGACGATCTAGCGCATACAAGCAACCCTGAAGTATCGAGTCTTCTGTCCAAGTATTTCATCGGCCACCTGGGTACCAAGCCTGATTTTCACTCAACCGAGATCAGTGGCCTTTATGATATGTGGTACAGTTATTTGCGTAATGCCGTTGAGAATCTCACGACTCTTTATTTCGAGGCCAACACCATCTTGCAAGACTCAAAAGTTTGGTTTGATGGAGGATTACTGAATATCGGAGGAGTGAGAAAGTTCTACCAGTTCCAGTCGAGGCTTATGCAGAATGGCTTCTCAACATTGTTCGGGGTGAGTATAAGTGAAGCCCTCACTAAGAGCTAGCAACTGACAAACTTGCAGGCAAAACTTCAAGAGATCTACCTGAAACTATCATATGTTATGGCAAACACTGTGACTCCTAGCGTTCGCCTTCCTGACATTGTTGGCACCATCACTCGTGCTCAATCGTCTCCAGCAGCAGCACAGTCGATGCGCGAGATCTCCGAGATTGGCCAATTCGTCTGCAATCGTAGCACATCTGCACGCTTCCATGAGAATGGCATACTGCGATACGCGCAAACAGTCACGGAAATGGATGTGAAGTTCTTGGAGCAGGTTCGTGACGAAGCCGCAAGGGGCATGGATGCTTTTGATATGATTGCTGCGATGGACGAGCCTGCAAGTTCCAAGCAAATTAAACTCGCGAGCTATCTTCTTTCAATACTAGAACGCGTCGGGGCTCATCTGGAAGGTTACTATTCCTCCCTTTCCCAAGAGTCTATTTACAGGCCCGAGATCGAGAACAACCCTGCTCGGACCAGGTGGCATAAACTGCGCCGGAAGATCAGCGACGGCTCTTTCTTCGTTCTGGCACAACCTCCGGATATGGCCGCAAACAACGATATGCAAGCCCGCCAGAACGGCATCGAGGTCGACTTCGCTGAAATCTTCGCAAAGGCCCAGCACACACTTCAATCGAACCCTGTAAATTCCAAACCTCTCCCAGCTGAGCCGACTCAACCTCGCCGTCTCGCAGACATGCATACCGCGCGAGCCGTGCATAATGCTCAGACCGCCTCAACGTTTGAGACTCAACAAGCAAACAACGCGCTCCATCGCATGTCCACATTCATAAACGACAACATGTCTACCATCCGCCGACTCAGCCGCCTTCCAGCCGAGTACGACTTCACGCAACTAATGGCAACATATGGCAAGCACCCCCAGGCCCCGACATCAACATCAACAGTACGAAACCATCGCCCGTCACCCAGCTCTTCAGGTAACAACGCTATGCACGCTCTCCAAGTCCGCGCAGCCACAAACGCATCACCGCCTCTACCAGCTCCACAAGCCCTCCGCTCCCAACCCCAAACAGTCCTCCGCCACCAATCTCCAAACCTAGAGCAGCAACTCAACCGTCGCCAACCACCCGCAGCCTCCAGCAGGAACCCGCTCGGAGCGACGCCTTCGCCACCGCCTGCGGCTTCTGCGAACCAGAATCCCGCCTTCAACGCTGCGGTCGCGTACCTGAATCGTCGGGCCCCTCCTCGCTCCTCGACTCCTCTCCCTGCTTCCCCGAGAGCGTCGTTGGCTTTGAGCGCTGCGGGCTCGGCGTCGTCGCGCCGCAAGATTAGTGAGGAGAGGGCTTTGGCGCCGCCGGTTCCTATGATGCCGAATTTGGCGCCTGCTCCGCTTCACTTCAGGGGTCCTTCTATATAATGAGACTTTCTTCCCTAGCGTTGTTGATTTTGAGATGGTGTAGCGATAATTCTTTTCTTCTAATAGATTTGGGAGTAGGCTGACTTGGACAATTTGTCTCGTCTAGAGGATCAAAAAGTGATGCGTCGTGGTAGATGTTATAGAACCCTTCATGCTATTTTTTCCTATTTTCTGTTCTTTGGGGGCTTAGTGATTTATAACGAACAGTAGACATATCATACATAACTGCGTAAAAAAATGATATAGAGTGAAACCAAATTTGAAAGCTCGAGAAGAAGTGAAGTTCGAAGTTATAATTCCCTGAGCCGAAAGCTCTCAAATAAACGACTCCTCCAACTTCTTCTTGAAAGTACCATCCCTATCGATGAACTTGACCGACGCAGCCCCAAAATCCTCATTACTGAGCGCATACCTCGCCGCCTCCGTCATCGAATCCCACGCAACCAACGGCTGTTCCCCGCCAACCTCGCTCGTCTCCATCAACGTATGGTTGATGGGCCATTGGCTGTTATACCCCACCTGCGGCCGCGACCCCTTGAACGGAGGGTCCTTGTGTTTCTCGTAGTCGCCATGGCCTGAGAAAGCCACGCCGCGCACCTTCGCAGAGGTGGACTTGGACTCGAGCCACACGACGATTTCCTCCCAGTCGTGGCGGTGGCCGGCTCCTGATGAGGGGGAGTCCTTAGGGAAGTACCACGAGTACATTATTCCCCAGGCACCGTCTTTGCCGGATCCGGATCGCGCGTATACCTGGCCTTTGTTTCCTGAGCAGCCGCCGCTGGAGTGTCCCGTGGGTTTTACCCCGCCCCTGTGGTTGAGGGGTCAGTTTTGGGAGACTGAGACCTGTGGAAGGGGGTGAAAAGGGTGGCATACGAGTAATCGCCCGCTGCGTTGACCGCAGGGAAAGGAACACATCCATTGTACACCTTGAGGTAAGGTTTGTATTTCATCATTAAATATCCTTCAACACTAGATGGCACTTTTTCTTGGAACCCAACGACTTCGTCATGGCCTATCTTCTTTCGGCGCTGGAGGTTTGTAGGTGAGGCTGCTGCAATATATGTAGCTAATCCAAAGGTAAAGAGCGTGGAGAAATGCATAGTGACTGTGGAATTTGGCTGTCTGTGTTGGAATTGGATCTGAAAATGCTTTCGCGTTCAGGATTTCGGAATAGGCATAAGATGGTGTTATAGGGGTTGCAATTGTTGACATTGATGCCGAAACTACCGCTTCATATCCATTTGCAGACTGGGTACGGACTTCTTACACGCACAGCGGCTAGGCAAGAGATACGAAATTGTGTTTAAAATTGGATTCACTGCACAATGGAGATGTCGCTCCTCGCCGGACACTGCAAAGTGTACAAGTGGTATAGACACCCAATGTTTGTGTAAAATCACCCCCCTGATGGTCTGCCCAGCCAATTAAGAGCGACAAAGGTAAATTAGACTGCACACTATTCTCCTGTTACGCTACGGGTGCAATATGGGGGCCAAACGTACCGCTACACAAGCGAGGCTTTGTGGTCCTAAGATAGAACAAAACGCAGATCATCGGAAGTGACGAAAATCAACGCGATCTGGTAGATCACAGATATGCGCAATTTATGAAGGACAAGTCATAAGCCTTGCGCTGTTCCATGACTTGTATACATACATTGCCTTAGATGCAGCCTGCAACGTACTGGATAGACTAATTTAGCTAACTAACATCTCCTGCAGAAGATGCGTGGCAAACTTGCCGACTTAGCCCATGATGCATAGCCTGCCTACCTCATGACACCAACAAAAATACTGCTTTCATCTTGCCTCTCTTTCCAAAAATTTGGGTTATGGGCTAGAGAAATCAGACTTGTAAGATCGCGCATGCATGAGAGTACAAATATCTCGATCAAATGCCTGTCTGTGTATGGGACGTTCATCAGATCTGCCGGATCTTAGAGCAACATATTCCCCACTCGCCTGATTGACGATCAACGGAACATCTTTTGTTCTATTCGCACTCGTCATGAGCAGCGTTAATCGCGGTGTTTGATCGCGCCTGTCGGCAAGCCGGTGGAGAGATTGCAAGACGTAGAGGGTGGGGTCGGCCCAATCATGGAAGACAGATTGATAATCTGAAATGGAGTCTATGATGCAGTACACAGTCTTCTCGGGATCAACTTGCATCTGAATCGTAGCGGGATATTATTAGCAATTGTATCCATAGTACAAAGAAGGTCGAGAAGCTGTATTTGGACTCACCAAAACCCTCTCCAATAATGCCATCAACGCAGACACGTCAAATCTAGCTATTCCTTCCCATAGATTCTGCTCCATTGCAACGGCTTCAGCATTCGTGGCCTTCAGATACATTAAGTATATTATCTGATCATCGCATATTGCATGCGGCACAAACACCGGGTATTTAAGACACGATAAATCTGCCTTTGAGCTCCAGGCAAGACACATGTTCCGTGGTTATCACGAAACTGATGAGTGAAGGGTTACTTACATTTAATACTTCTTATCTCCGTTATCACAGCAATGAGCGGTGACTTAGTGAGTTGGAATGAATATGGCGATTGTTTCAATTTTGCGGGGTAAGAAGTGATACAGTGGAATGGGACTTCTTTCTCTACAGGGAACGGCCACGTGTGTGTGTCCTAATCTTACTATTCAAAGGCCATCCTAAACTTTAGGAGATTTCTCTTGACAATCTCGTCTTTTTTCAGTTCTAGTTCATCCATCTTCCATGTAGCAGTGACAAATCGCCCTCTCAACCATTCCCTCCTCTCTCTGGCGAGCCAGACAATGGTATCAGCTGCTAATTCCACTGTGTCCACCAAAAAAGGCATCATATATCCCGGCATCTCGAGCGCCAACTGAGTCTTGACTCCCCCAGGGTTCATAGAGATTACAACAAGACCCTGGTCCGCGTACTCTGCGTCCAAAAACTCTGTGAAGCGGCACAGGGCAAACTTGGAAACTTGATAGGCGGAGGCACCAGGTATGACCACATTGGCACCAGCCGAGGATACATTGATGATTGTCTTCATTGAAGACGGGGCGAGCAAGAGGGGCAGAAATGCTTGGGTGCACAGATAGGTTCCATTCAGGTTGACCTCCCAGGTTTGAAGGTAGGCCAGAGGATCGGAGTCACCTATTGGTTGGAACGGTGACAGATGACCGGCGTTATTGATGAGGATATCGAGATGTCCAAATGCTTGCTGGATCTGACTGGCAGCAGAGCGGACACTTTCGGGTGAAGAAACATCCAATGCTAGTGTCATGATTTGGGCAGAGGGGGATGCTTGCTCGACAGCTTTTTTGGTTGCGGTTAACGGGGAGCGTGCAGCTAGTGCTATCTTGGAACATCCGGCTTTGGCAAAGTGGATTGCGGTTTGGAGACCGATTCCTCGAGATGCACCGGTGACGAGGACGGATTTTCCATCGAGGAATCCCTCCTTGACTTCTGAGATGAATGGGTACGTGTCATCTACTGTCGCTACAAAGGTATTCGCATGGTTGAACCAGTGGGCATTGGTGGCCATGTTAGTGTTGTCACTGTTGAGGAATACGAGTCCAAGAATGAAAACGGGGTTCGAAAAATGTAGAACAATAATTTTCACAACCATACTGATTTCATGTCCAGGAAACGATGCATATATGTGACGGGTCATACGCCAAGGAAAGCAGCAATTAGTGCATGCCCCTGCATATGCACGTGAGATGGGTTGCCCGCTTCTGAGCACCCAAGCCTTGCTTGCAATATAAAGTGAACTCTCAGCTGCTCAATTTGTATGAAAGGCCACCACACCTCTGAACTAACCAATTTGCTAGAGGTTGCGCACTCACCGATGTCTAGCAGGTAGACATCTCTTACAGAATCTCAAATTGTTCATGCTGCGGTTGGTGTATCACGATATGCGGGGGGTAAATTGCCCTCGAGAGCCAATTTGATCTGCTGGACCATCGGAAGAGACCACCATCGTTGGTGCTGTATAGTCCCACCAATGACCCAGTAGTTCTCCATGAGCAGATGGCGTTTCCATACACCTCGGACCTCACCCTCTATATCCACCCCCCATGAAGCATCGAGCTGTTCGACAATCTCCTGCGGTCCCAGAACGCCATCCTTTAGTCGGGAATCGTATGATGGATCGTCAAGTATTTCCCTGGCCGTTGCGCGGACATTTCTGTCGGAAAATCCATTGCACCAAATGACTGCATCAGCCTCAAGATGACTTCCGTCGGATAGGCGAAGCCCGACTTCAGTATATGCAGTAGGCTCTACCATGCCGCGCACATCAACTTTCCCTTCTACGATCAGATCGGTACCGCCGACGTCGATGTAATGGCCACCGCCGCGTCCAAATAGATTTTGTATGACATTGGTCGACGGATTTCTACTATTAAGGACCGGAAAACCGGCTTTGGACAAGGCAGAATATCGGTCACTGTATGGAATCAGTAGATAGATCATACGGAACGGCGACTTGGGGCATATGCTACGAGAAATAAAAACCTACGGTTCTTGAGATGCGAGATGAGCAAACAGTCCATGTGAGAACTGGCCATCCAAGGTCGAGGGAAAGGTGTTCAACAGTCTATCAGCCGCATCGAGCGGCATAACATCATAGGCACCAACACCATGAGGGTCCATGACGTACTCATATGGGAATATGTAGGTTGGCAAACGAGCGATCATGGTCGTTTTCAATCCAGCTTCCCAGCAGTCTCGCATGACGTCAAAAGCGGTATTTGCGGAGCCAACTACAGCAACCGTCTGCCAGGTAGTAGTCAGTAATGATCGTAGTTGAGTAGAATGTTTTTGGTGGGAGTAACCTTTGCTCCCGCTTTCACAAGCTCATGTGCATTGCGGTATGTAACCGAGTGCATACGAATTGCTTTGTACAGATTTTCGTTCATCATTGACGGGAGATGTGGTTTTCCAGAACCAAGACCCGTAGCCTGAACCAATGTTTGCACGAGATGGTTTTGACATCATTATTTGCAACTTGGATATGCAAGGTCCACTTCTTCTCTTTTTTGTCAAAGCAACTAGATTGTATAATGGTTGAGGTCATGACATTCAGGTGGAACTCTCGGGCGTATTGTTGGAGATGTTCCGCAACCTCATCCTTCGACAAGCGATGGGGACTCTGCAGCTCTTTTGGAAAGACTAGAAGAGACTTAAATCAGCTCAGAACGATGAATAACAAAACAACATGTTACCTTAGAAGGAAAAGAGGGCTTACATTTGTACGGCATCTCACAATTGGACGTTGGTACATGGAACTTCAAAGAGTCGTAGCGATTTGCCCAGCTATCGCCGATCTTCACGCTACGCTCGAGTATAACGCTTTCAGTACCCAGGGCTTTGAGACGTGCAGCAGTCATCAGACCTCTATGGCAGACATAAGCTGGAAATATTTCATACGGTTACGTCGCTGGTAATGATGTTGTACTTACGAGGTTCCCGCTCCGATAATCACAACATCCGTTTCGACAACAGCTCCGTCGGTCACATTTGGTCCAGGAAGAGAGAGGAGGTTTTTATCCCCAGGATTATCGACCAATTCCTCGACCCAAGTTGATAGCACCCATACTTTCCAAGTGATACCATCATTGGCTTTGACGGGGAGGAGGACAATCTTTCCAGCGCAAAGCAATGAGGGCGACTTGGTCTGGAAAGATATGGGGCATTCAATAAACATCTGCAAGGTATCATCTCAGCATGGCTTCTTCTCCTTGTTCGTGAGCGCTCACCATAGAGGGACCCGTGACAGCAAAGTGCGGTTCCCCTGTCATTGCTACCTCGCCAGCCAGGCCCCGAAGCCCAATCATCTTGAGCAAAGCAAATGATACGACGAGAGGCCCATCAATGGTCCGTAGATGTTTCTTGATTATTGCTAGTCTCACTCTTTCACCTGCAGCGACCCTACACATGGGTTAAGGCGTTTGAAAAGACCGACAACTGGAATTGCATCAACGCAGATTGAGGTCTGCAGCGGATGGATGCGAGCTATGGGACCATATCGCCATGAACAGGAGCTGAGGATCATCTGGCGTTAAGGCAACTGATCATCGATGCGAGCACTTGGGATAACCTGGCCGCATTGATGAGTGGCGTAGCTGTTCACATCGGCTAAATCACTGTATGTGACCTGCTCAATTTGTAAGTAGGTATAAGCCTTCTTGCGAATCAGAGTTCACCCTGATTGTGAAATTAGCGAATTTCCATCTCCCTGGTTGTTTGTGTAGACTGTTACTGTCTAAATCCAAAGAATGCCAAAAATACCTTGAACACAATCATAATATGAAGATCAGCAGAGCCAACCCTCATACGCGACTCTCTCTTACTTGTTAGTATTATATTAACCAGTGTTGCTGATGACCAGCTGCGGCGCAACGATTCACATCCGGTCTACCATCCATCTCAGCAGCAATTTCAACCTCCTGGTCAACCCTTTGTGCCCTACTCTGCATCTTCGAATACTTTTTCGGGTCCTAGCCAGTCATCATACCTAGCTTATGAAGCCCTACAGCAGCATTTCGCTACCAATCCTCAAAGCTACGGCGGCCAGAGAAGCGAGCTTTGGGTGGAGAATTGATACACAAATCCACCTCCTCAGAGCTATTCATCAAGCAGTACACAGCCAGGTGCTAATAGATGAATTGGATCATCGTAGTCTCCGAACAGCTCTTCCTGTTGCTGATGATCGATGGTGGAAGCGGTCAATCACCTGATAAACATATGAAGAACCGGGATCACTCGAAATGATATTATGAATTCTCTTTCACGTTGGGTACTTTTTTTCTGGAGTTTTCTCTTTCTTCTTGTTTTTTGTATCTTAGTATCACGATCCATGCTGACATGTCTCCTTGTTGAGCTACAATATCTACATAGTTTCATTGCTGAATGTCAATTCTCTTGGCGTACCTGTCCGTGATTGCCACCTCTGCGACCTCACCGGGTCTTAATGTAACTTACATATGTACAACGCCATATAATGCATTCTCTTTTGAATGTTTGTAGCAGTAGCCAGTCTCACCCACACATCAAAGATCGCCCACAAAATATATCTGACAAACACAAAACCATCTGCTCACGAGGAACAGAACTCCCTTCCCACGTCAAAAAATCACCCTTGCTTCCTTGAATCCCCCAAAAGACACCTTCTCCTCCCATCGATCCTTTTCCCCAAAGACATTATTCCACACTCACTATCACCGACCGCAAAAATGGGCAAAAAAGGAAAATTCTCTTTCCCTAATTCCTTTTTAAAGACACTCCCCTCTCAATCCCACGTCCTTCATCCTAAGACATTGGCTCACGTTAGCCAGAATACTGATAAAGAAGGAGGAAGAGCAAGAGAGCGGGGGAAGAAGAAGAGGACTTAATCCCGGTTAACACCATGCATTATCCCCGAGATCAACAGCTTGGCTATACAGCGAATATCTGTCTAGCTACGTATAAGTACGTTAAAGTGACAGCTCAGGTTCGAGAGGCCGGATCTATCAACTCATCTTTCTCGAACTCGCCACCACTCGATCTCACAAGTGTCTGAAAGATAAATTGGAAGCAATGGCTGACGCGAAAAAGAAGCTCACTTGGCTGGTAACTGGATCTAGCAATGGTATTGGGCTGGCACTGGTGAGGTATATTTTGAGCACAGGGGGTACGTATAACACATATACCTCGAACTTAGCCGCAAACGCCATGATGCAAACCACGCCATCGGATCTAACTCACTGCGCCATAGCGCTCATCATATTCAGAGGAACAGTACTAACAGTATATACTCTAAACCTCCAGACAACGTAATAGCAACATCGCGTAACCCGTCCAAAACACCACACCTCGTCCAGGAAATCGAAGCACACCCCAACGGTAAATGGGCCGTTCTAGATGTGGCATGGACTCAAACCAAAATCACAGAAGCCATCAATGAAGCAGACGTGCTTTTCGAAGGCGGGATCACGGCAATCGTTAATAACGCTGGTTTCGCAGTCGCGGGTGCCGTCGAAGACGTGCCAGAAGAGCAAGTGAAAGAAGAGTTTGAAGTTAATGTCTGGGGCACGGTACGTGTTTGTAAAGCGGTTCTGCCGTTGATGAGGGAGAGGGGTGGTGGGAATATTGTGCAGATTAGCAGTGCGGTTGGGTTGGCAGTTTTTCCAGGGGTGGGGATGTATTCCGCGTCCAAGTTTGCGCTGGAAGGTGAGTAAGATTGTTCACTGCTCAACTAGACATATATCTAGAACTGTAACAGAGCTAATTTTGGTGAGAATAGCTATCTCGGAGGCGCTTTCGCAGGAAACGGCAACGTTTGGGATCCGTACGTTGATCGTGAACTTGGGCGCTTTCAGGACGAACTTCCTTGCGTCGGGTTCTATGGCTGTCACGGAGCCTTCGCCGCACTATCAGACACCGCATGTTGTCGCTGCTGTTCTAGAATCTGAGCGTGAGAAGAGTGGAAAACAGAGAGGAGATCCCGAGAAAGCAGTGAAAATAATCCACGATGCTGTTAGTGGGAGGGATGAGAAGTTAGCCAAGGTCCTCAGATTGGTGATAGGAGCGGATAGCTGGGAGATATGTACTGCTCGGTTGAATCAGGTGCGGAGTGATTTCGAGGTCTGTAAGGAGGTTGCGTTTAGTTCTGATATTGTAGAATGAAGACCAAATAGCACATGGGTAGATATGGTCAAGAAAGGGATGCCGGTTGATCGTATTCTTAGATCAGCCTGAGATACTATGGGCAAATGGTATTTACTCCGACCGAGAAATAGCTTTCTAGATACTATGAGGATTTCTGATCGTCTTTCATCTGCAGGAGATATGCGCGTCATGACATTTGTAGAGAGGGAGAAAAGGCGGCGGAGATAAAGGACGAGGTCGGTGAGTCGGAACAAGCGGACGAATAGACAGGCCGTTCCGGTTCCGATCAGCCAATCAGGGGGCGAAGGAGGTCCGCGCTTGTCCGCCTGTCGCTGTCGCGGCCATGGATTTCCTTAGTGACGGGATGATTAGTTTTAGTCGACACTCAATTCTCACTACCGTCAGTCGTCCGAGGGGGAGGCTTGCCAGACAGAGGCAGCATTACGAGGAGTTGCTTTGCGTTGGGCCGTGTTGCTTTGCATCTTGATTAATCGCTGGCAGGGGTGCAGAAACAGAAGCAGGAGCATTGAACCAAAACAGCGGGCGTCATAGGATTTGGACTTTCTGAGATTTCGCCGAGAAAGAGTCAGTAAGCGGAACAATTATCTTATCTGCCTACCTACATACCTGGGCATTGGTACGGGTATATAACAAGACCTTCTCCCTCAACATGCGTGGTCTTGTTGTTGGCCAGACCACACCTACGCCACCTCTGTTGCTCCTGTTCAATTCGCGGACCGGTTGTCTGACCAGGCTATCCACCACAACTACAAGACAGCAACAACAGGCCACGCAAGCCCGCCGTACGATAATAACGTCCAAGCCCTCGCCGAATCCCGCCTTCTCCCGTAGACCACCCTCTGCAAAGTCCAACTCGTGGTGGGCGACTCCCCGCTTTCCAAACCTCAAGATGAGCTCCATGTCCGCAACCGCCGTCAGCATCGGTTCAGCTGGCTTGTATGCCGTTGTGAGCAATCCCGCTCAGGTAGGCGCGCAACCCGAAGAAGCAAAGGAGAAGAAGCATCATTTGAAGAATGGAAAAGGCTTTACGAATCCCTGGGATAGTTTCGCCGAGTTGAGCGTTTGGCAGATAACCACTGGCATGCTAATGTGAGAACAACAACCCAAGCATGGAAATTACACGCTTGTACCCGTCCAGATCCCCTGCTAATCGCATGTATCGCACAGGAGAAAACTATCCGGGCAATCAAACACGCCAGATACCACACCTCCGACCGTCCCCGTCCAAAAACCGACCTTCCTACCTTCCCGCGAAACCCCCAAGCTGCGCGCAACATGGCTAGGCCACGCATGCTACTACGTCGAGTTCCCCTCCGGACTACGCGTACTATTCGACCCCGTCTTCGAAGACTGCTGCTCGCCCATCAATATAAAAGCGCTGAAACGATACACAGAGCCACCGTGCCAAATTGAAGACCTCCCCGTCGTCGATGCTGTCGTCATCTCGCATAACCACTACGACCATCTGAGTTACCCAACCATAATGCGCATTCGCAAAAAGTTCCCCAATGCGCACTTCTTCGCACCTCTCGCTAATAAGAAATGGTTTGAGGATAGCGGGGTGCCTGGTTCACAGGTTACAGAGCTCGACTGGTGGGAGACGCGGGAGCTCAGTCTCGAGGCTGGCAAAAGCGAGTCTAAAGAGGCCGCCGATGGTGTATCTGTAACCTCTTCTACCACAGGAGAGAAACAGAACAAAACCTCGGCCATTACCGCGACCATCGGTGCTTTGCCTTGCCAGCACGTCAGCGCCAGAGGTCCATTCGATAAATGTAAAACGCTATGGGCGAGCTGGAGTGTAGAATCCGGAGGCGCAAAGGTGTATTTCGCCGGGTACGTTTCCTCTCTCCCTTTACATCCGCAGAAGAAGAAATTTGCTAACATAGACTTCAACAGCGATACCGGCTACCGCAGCGTTCCCAAACTTCCTCCTGGCACAGACGACTACTCCTCCACATACGCGCACCTCCCAACATGTCCCGCATTCTCACAAATCGGCCTTCACCGCGGCCCCTTTGACCTCGGTCTCATTCCAATTGGTGCCTATGAACCCCGCTGGATCATGTCACCTATGCATGCCAACCCCAAGGACAGCGTCAACATCTTTGTCGATACAAAGTGTAAAAGAGCGCTGGGCATGCATTGGGGCACGTGGGTGTTGACCGAAGAGGATGTGCTTGAGCCTCCCAGGAAACTAGGTGAAGCGCTCAAGGAGAAGGGGTTAGTTGCTGATGATAAGGAGGGCGGGGTGCAAGGCGTTTTTGGTATTACGGATATTGGGGAGAGTAGAGAGTTTGAGAGCGGTGGGAATTGATGGACTGACGGGTTTGGATAAACGTGTGTATAACAATACGGGGTTCGAGGCTTTTCTCCTTGTATCATAGTTTTCTGTGTATGTCTACCTATGGGTTAAGATAATTTCTATTCGACGAATCGTCTATCCATGTTTTTTCCTGCCAGCATTTCGACCGTGAATTCCAACCTCCGGGATAAACCTCATTTCGCCAGGTCTTTGTTCATAACATCTAAGATATATGGAAAAATAGGATATTTCGTGGCCCGAAGGAGAATCAAGCATTCAATCAACCATATAATTCGTTACTGTTCCAATGTTCAATCCCATTCAGAGTCGGATTAGAAGAGAGAAGAAAAAATAAAGTGTACCCACACGCCAACTCCTTCGCTCACACAATTTTCCCGTCCCATCCCATCGCCTTGTTTACTACACCACCTCCCGCACGACAGGACCAATCTAACCTGACACATTCGAAAGAGAGAGGTAACAGGTTTGCACCGTGCTCGTCAAAATTACAACTCCTTCTTCTCCACGGGGGTACTCTCCTCGCGATGACGCTCAATGAAATCCTTCCCCACGGCAGCAGTCTCCCTCCACCCGCGCTGGCGATTCCAAAACCGGCTCTCAGGCGTAGTCTGGTGCAGACTGCCCTCCCTAGCATCTTCCTCAAGGCTCTCGCGCGAAATTTTGCCCCCAGCATCTGCCATCTTGGGCATAAGTTTCAACTGGCTGAGATTCTCGTCGAAGTACTGTTTACGAACGAGGAAGCGTTCACGGCGTTCTTGTTGGAGACCAGGAGAATCGAGTTTGCTGATGGCGATGCGGATTGTCCAGCGGAGGAAGAAGAAGGCGTGTTCGGAAAGAAGGATGGAGAGGAGGAGGGCCCAGAGGGCGATGGAAGCTGGATGGCCGTCGGGACCGAGACCGTCGTTGGAGAAGAGATATACGAGTGCCGAGGAGGTGATGCTGCCTAGCCATGTGAGGAAAGTGAGGGAATCGAGCCAGGGGCCGATGGTATCTGCGCGCCAGGGGGTGGGGCGTTGCATTTCGACGCAGATTTTGATAGCGTCGGCGCGGAGCTCGAGCCAGTCGTTTATGACGAAGGACACGGCGGTCAGGGGCCATACGACAGAGAAGAGTGAGAGGTAGCCGAATTGCATGACCATTTCGCGGAGGTCCGTGGTTACATCGTAAACGTCGAGTTCAGACTCTTCGCGGACGCGTTTGAGGAAGGCGGCGTCTTCGGGGGGATCGTTGGCCGAAACGTCGGGAGCGCCACCGCCGTTTTTCGCGGCGCGTTCAGATTGCATTTCTTTGTATTTAGAGAGGCCACGGCGTTTTAGGTAGGGGACGATTAGTTCCATTCCGAGATTAACGACTTGGGCGGTGACGGTGAAGTAGATGACCTGCTTTCTAAGACGGTCAGGGTTGATTGTCCAGTCTGCACTTGGACCTGCGAGTTGTTTCTCGTTTTCGGCGAATGGGCGGACGGCGACGCTGAAGACGTCGAGGTAAGGCACGATGTTTTTGCCGAATGGAACATAGACAAAGGCCGTGATGAAGATACCAAGGTACGAAGTGATGAAGTTGATGACAAAGATCTTCTGGGTGAGAGATGTGTCATAGGCCGACTGAGTCTCATAGTTTTCGTACTCGGTCAATTGCGTAGCCATCTTCATCAAAATACTCGTGATGATTGGCATGAAAGCAGTGAGGATGCCTGTAGGGATGAAAACCTAGACGATTTTAGCATACAAAAGACAGACCAGAGGAGCAACAAGCACATACCAACAGCCACTTCAACGGGCCGCCATATACCTCGGAGATGAACACTTCGATACCAAAGCATGTCGTGATCAAAGTACCAAGAAGCAATGCAGCGACAATCACAAAAGGTATTTGCCAAAGCTGCCTCTGCAACCGCGTTGCAGAGGGGAAAAATCCGACGGTTTCGCCCGTGACTGGGTCGGTGATGTGCTTCATAGACTGAAAGTCTTTTCGCTTTTGTTCGATCCTAGAAACATTGCGGACACCCCAACGAACGCCCAAATCGGCCTCTTGATGTTTCCAGTACTCTGTGAACACCAGACACCATAGTGCGTTGACGATTCCGTAGATAGCCGAGAAGTGGCCAAAGAACAACCAGGCCACAGTACCGAAAGCAGCCGGAAAGAGCAGAAAGGTGAAATAACTTTGAGTGAAGGCAAAGTAGAATGCGATTTTTTCACCCAGGCGGTTACGAATATCATCTAGATCCTCTGTCTTAAGGAAGTAGGAAGATGTCCACTTCTTGATCCAATCTTTGTTGTACGCATGGTCGTGTAATGCAAAGAGAGACTCGACGTTTTCCCATTCTCCATCTTTGGGTGTGATACCAGCACCGCCTTCTGAGACAGGATTCGTGATGAGCTGGTAAATGATGCGAAGTCGCTCAGCTTCGTAGAGTGGCTCGGCTTCAAGAGCTTCCCTAGTCTCTTTTGGTGGGGCAGCGGCGCGAACACCGTGAATCCAATCACGAACGCTGCAATGTTACTTAGACAAAAATCCATATGTAGTACTGAAGAAGAGATGGCACTACCGTGATCTATAGACCTCGCCAAAGAGGTGTTCGTCGGATGCTACCCTGAGGAAGAGCAGCACCGAGCCTGATTCCCCATTGCGCACTTCAGTCTGCAGCCCCACCGATGCCAGAGCTTCTACGAGTTTTTCAAAGTTCGCGATGGCCGCCGCCTTGTCTAAGATCACTGGATTAGCTCGCAGAATTCCTAGAATGTTCATTGTTCGCCTGGTACGTACCTGTTTTCGCGAACCGATAGCTGATCACGTAGTCCACGTCCATATTTGTGTGCTGCGCCTGAGACTTTGCCATGGCGGCTATTAGTGAGCAAGTAAGCTTGCGGAGGTTTGTAGTCAATCGTAAGTGAGAATCTTAGGGTCTAGGTGGAGATAGATAGGAGATATATCCTGGCTATGACCAGAGAGATTTCCAGGAAATTGGGTGGTAATTCCAGCCAAGCTTTTGGGGAAGCGAACGTCATTGTGTCTAGATCCGCGCGATCCCTGCGTCACATCTAAACACACGTCGGCCGGCTTGATCAGACAACAAACTTGTTTGCTCCTGTCAGCAAGACATAAAATCACGTCGAATATTGCGAAGCAAAAGCTCCTTCGTAAGTGTCAATTGTCATAGAACAGTACAGCTTTGTGGCTGCTTGGACATGCGTGTGGCTTAGGGTCTCTATCACGTGACCGTTCATATGCACCTGGGAACATGTGCACATGTGTACAATCCATCGATGTACATGGGTATACATACATATACATTTTTAGTATGCATGTACAGCCACATTCTCTGTGCGAGGGCTCAGTGTTCCAATATTGTCATTTCCGACGATTACCTTGTTCTTACAGCATTTCTACATGTTTTAGTGGATCAACGTTGATTCCCAATATTATCTCACGCCTCCATCTTGCTACAGAATCACCGTGGCAGGTTCTATACGCAGACTCTATCATTATATTTAGGTCTATGCCCAGCTACTTCATATGGCTTGGCGATGTATCTCCGTGGTTGATGGGACCACCTGGCAGTGAGGGCATGCTTATGTACACATGACAAATACAGACTGATCATGCATCTCTTGTTATAAACATTTGAACATGTGTTCTGACCCAAGACCTAAGTTTTTTTTTCCCTTTATATCCTACTCTATGACCGTGTTGACGACTATCCATCACATTCAGCTGATGCTGTACGTAGCTGCTTCATGCAGCAATCTCCCATCCCTCAGCCTTGCGCGTCATGTATGCATACCGGTGAGAGCCCCAGTACGATTTCCTGTGGTATTTTGCATTAATACAGCCTGACGCCGCCTCCGCAACTTTGCTCCACTTTGTGACACTATCTCGCGTTCAGACATACCCTACGCGCATCATATATGGACCCACTTTCCATTACTTCGGGGGTTATAGCAGTTCTTACTGCTTCGGGAAACGCTATACAAGGCTTGCAAAAGATCTCAGAGCTTCGGCATCGAGAAAAGGAGTTCTCAAGACTTAGGCAATCAGTACGTAACGTACAAATTCTGCTCCACTTTGCGACAGTATCTCTGACATATAATGAGTAGGTAAATGGCATCCGCGCACTGATTTTTAGCATTGAAATATCTCTTAAAGATATACAAAAAAACGAAATCGAGACCGAGCGTTTTCAAGACTGCATTGGCATGGTCAGCATCTCATGTGGCCATGCTATAGATATATTTGCAGAATTCAATGATTTGTTACGTGAAGTACAATCATCGAAGAAAAAGTTGCAGCCGTCGAAAGTGAAATGGCTACTCCGGAAGTCGCGGCTGATGGACCTACTGGACCAGATCACTGGTGCGGTTGATTCCGTAGCGACTGCTCTTATAACGCTGCAAGGGCTACAGATAGCCGCTATGACTAGATCCACATCAAATGGAGTCAACACTCTGCTTTCGAAGCTTGATCCGGTCGGAGTTTCTTCTAGTCTCGTCAGCCAGAACCATCCATATCTCATCACTGACGCGGAAAGCGTAACATCCTCACAAGATTCGTTCCAATCCGCAGTATCTACTTCGCATGAATCAACAGCAAGCCCTTCGGATAACCCCCATACATCGTTACAGCATAGCTCCCAATGCGAAAACTCCTGTCAGTGCCAATGTCACACGATCAGTCGATTCCGATCACCTCTCTGGACCAGGCACATCTTAGGCTCCTTGAGCCTTTACGGAAACAGCTCGATCTGGCTAAAGCGTAAGGTTTGCGACAAAAGATGTAATCAGAGCGGTTCGACACGCTTGCAGATTTTATACCAAGGACCTTCATGGGCTCTACTGAAGGGCCTTGTGGTATACGCGAACGCTCAGCTTACTGGTGGGGGCATACCAACCTTCCATCTCGTTTTACCCCGCATCATCCCGTCCGATGCTATCGTCTGGAGTGTCATTGAACTAGGCAACAAGGCTGAGCTACAGCGACTTCTTTCGCATGGGAAGGCATCGCCATATGATATCAATTCCGACGGGACTTCTCTTTTGAAGGTATGTTTTTAATTTTCTGGCTGTTGACGACATCGCTTATTCGTAATCAGTATGCCCTAAAGAAAGGTCAAAGTGAAATTGGTATATTGTTATTACAAGCCAATGCCGATCCATTCATGCGGGATAAAGATGGAATGTAAGTCGTCAGACCGATGCATCTTCTATCCGTACTTGGCTTGTGTATCTGTCTGGGGTGGTGAGCTAATGCAGCCGTTGCTATAGAATGACTGTCCAGCCTGAGATTGATCATGCACTTACCGAGCATCATAACCTGGAGCGATATTATGCTTGCGCCACGCGATTATTGCTTACAGAGGAAGCTTTTGAGCAACAATGTTTCTCTTTGATTCACCGCATCGTGTTACGTCTTAGTCATCTGGATTTTTCAGACGTGTTAATGTTCCTTCCAGACGTGAACTCGATAGATGCAAACGGTCGTACTGCATTACATTGGGCTGCCTGGCGGGGAGATACATACATAGTCAGGGTACTTGTCGATCATCATGCCAAGGTTGACAAGACCGACCACGAGAACTACACACCTCTATCCCGAGCGGCTCAAGCTGGACATATCGATTCGGTTAAGGTCTTGTTACAAGCGGGAGCATCGCTCGAGATTCCAACGACGTGGGGCCATCAAGCTATACATCTGGCCAGCAGGAACAGACTGAACGGCCACAGGATCGTCCGGGAACTTTTGACAGCAGGGGCAGATCCAAATGCATACAGTCATGGATCTGGCACCCCTCTTCACAATGCCGCAATTTGCGGTTCTATCGATACAGTGGATCTTTTACTTGACAGCGGTGCTGATATCAACGCTATTGATAAAGACGGCGACAGTCCTGCTATGGTGGCTTTATATTGTTGGAGTGAGGATATATTTTTGCGTCTGGTGAAGTTTGGAGCACAATTGGATATCACGAATGGTCGAGGGCATAACATCATGCAGCTTGCTGTTTGGACAGCTAGCACAACAACCTGGGATTTACTGGCTGAATTGGCGCAAGGAGACGATTTGGGCTTCATTGATACAAGCGTGTTGCACGGTGATCATGGCATATGGTATTGTTTTGACAGATGCCGGAGTCTTTGGTTCGTTGGGGAAAGAGAAGCGGAGTCTGAAAAGACGAGCCTGACTCGCCTAGTTGAGAAATTGTCCATTCGTCACTGAAGGCTTGGTGTCAGTTGCTCTTGCTTTGTTTAAATTCAAAAGATAGCAAGGGTAGGCTGGTACGTGGGCTGGGGTGTGATCGTGACAAACTGCCTATTGTGGTTACCAGGTTACCATACCATGACCATACCCCAGCCCATTTACCAGCCTAAGCAAGGGCAAGGACTGATACGCCAATCATGGGCAAAAGAGGAATCGAAGTGTCAAGCTTTCACGGGTTGCAGAGAATACATGTACACTAAAATCAATCGGCTGCATATTGAGATAAGTCAACGAAAACATTGTAGATTGAGATGGCCTACGGTTGAATTCTACATCGTGCTAATAAAAACAACCCAGACTTTCAAGATTTGCCTGGATAAAAGTAATCCTACGGAGGTAATAGCCTTCCCATCGAGTCCGAAGCCACATCATATAGCAGTCTAGAACTTCCTTGACATATATCAACCAAGGTCTTCCCTGATCATATCAGACTTCTATGTTGAATTAAGAGCCTGGAAGCTGACATCCGCAAGTGCAAACTGCGTATACTACACGCCGTACGACATGAAAACCAGCTCTTTTGGAGGCATTTTCAAGTCATTGATAGGTGAGGGTGCTCCGGCAACTCCCTTCCCGTCTGAACCAGCCGAGCGACCGAACCCAATAATATCCTGGATACTAGGACACGAGACTTCAGTAGAGATGTCATCTCTGAAGGGAGTCTCTGCACCTGGATGGATGTACTCCATGAAGACGTGACGATGTTGTGGTAGCGCCGTGAATGAGGCCTTGTACTGCTGGGAGGAGTTCATGGCCAGTCAACGTTCGTGCTATAGCAACGTCAGATTGAATCAAGCAAGCGCATCGTGACTTTGACTTACATGTATATTAATCTTGTTTCGGTGTGACTGTATGTAGAAGACTGATTTGGCCCAGGTGATGTACACAACGAATATCGAAATAGTGATTCACTGGCTTACTACAAATCGACCTTCAATAAGACAACCAAAAGATAAATTTGGCGGTGTTGGAAATTGATGGCGCACTTACGCTCTCATTCGACAGCTGGTAGTGCAGCTAGGCCAATGACAAGATGCAACTCGGAAAGCTTCTGTAGGGGCTACGGAGAAGCGTTAATCATAAGGCGAAGGATGCAGCGTGGCTGGAGGATAGAGTTCGAGGCCTCGTTGGACACACAGTTCTTTCTCTATGGAAATATGTACTAGCGGGAAGTTGAAAGAGAGTGCCTTGAAAAATTAAAGTCAACAGATTTTGGAAGACAAACGAGTGTGTTGGGGTATTGGTGCAAAACAACGTTGTGGTGGGCGTCATCTAGTTATGGAATACGCATATTCAACTATAACCATCAACTGACCCGTGCGACTGTCATGTCCTGTCGGAGCGACAGGAATGGCAGTGGTTACACATGGCCCTATCAGAACAGCAGAGACGGCCGTCGTTGTGCATCTTGGGCTGATGAAACATGCTATGTAACTGGTTAGTTGTGCTGATAACAGCACACATCAATGCTTGCATGCCGTAAACAGCGATTTCAAGATCAGTGCCCAAATCAGCTCATGGGATGCGGCCCAGCATGCAAGTTGCAGCAACGCGAAGACCTCAAGTACAGTCCTAGCGACTGAGCAGAATGCCGAAGCAAGAACGAGCAGTACAGGCTATGAATGCGTGGTGGCGCAACTTCTTGCCTCGTTCACGGCTATGTTCAGCAGCTCATGAATCAATCCATGACAATGACAGACACAGACACAGAACCAAACGGACGCAGGCACAGACACGATAGACAGTGCATTCACCCATTCAAAGATGAATTCCACGGGACCCCGAGACCTCACCACAACCTCCACCCGACACGAAACCGAGGCATAGATGGCTCTCCCTTCCGACTGAGCGGCATCAGCACAACGAGGCAATTCTCGCATGGCATTAGTTTAAGCGAAGCTCACAGGGTGCACCCGTGGGGCGGCGCTGCGTGTTGAGTAACATTGATGACGGCAGTTTTGGAAAACCAATGACAACAGAGATCCGATCGACAGATCTGCTTAAATGCGCATGAGAAAGTCATCTCGGGTACTTTCGGTTACGTATCATCGATGGTAGGAGGTAGTATTGGGGAAGGGGAAGCCCTCCTCACTCCCTCAATCCTCCGACATCAATCTCACGACCCCATGCTAGTGGAATAACTCTCTCACCAGAGGTCGTTCAATGCGCTCATGTAGCAGCTACCAACAATGATTCATTCTAATGCAACTTGTGAAAGGGAAGAAAGATAGGCACATACCCTACAGCTGTATGCGCAGCTTGCACCGAGTACACGACTTTCTCAACTAGCCGTCCTCTTTGCATCGCACGATCCAAATCTTCAAAGAACTCTGGAGTATTGAGCGCCCATGTCATCAAGGTTATCACGCCGGATCTGCTTCCGTACGAAGTCGGCCTGGATGGAGCATTCACACTGTAAGATGACACATGGCCGAAGCGCAGGTGACATCCCGCTATGACGAGGGCTATCAGTGCTATGGCGAGGCGCCAGGGTGTAGGCGAAACGTGCGGGAAGGTGGAGGGGGTAGGAGAGTGTGAGAGTGAATGTGGTGTGCCACTAGCGTTAGAGAGGAGTGTGAGTTTGTGAAGGCAAGAGGTGGCTTCGGCTCGTAAGACTCCAAGGCATCGCTATCCGAATGTATATCTGAAGAGGAACACATGGTGCATTAAGCTCCCCCAATGTGCCCAAAGAGACAGTAGAGCCTCCCCGCTTCTGCCTACGGCGTGGCTGAAGTCGATTTAGATAGATTAAATGTACGGATGCTAGACACGGTGTGGCTGTGCGGAAGTAAGCACATAGTCTCGTATTCGCTTTGCCCACTGAGAAAAGAGTGGTTTTGTCTGGTTGGGAAAGGCAAGCATGAAATGCATGAGATGCATGAAACAGTCTCGTCTTGTTCTCGAAGTTTTCTCACGAAAAACATTTGATCTGCTTAGGGATATGGGGTGCGAATGGGGTTTAATGTGAGATCATCGTGAATTGAGTCAGGCATTGCGAAGGAAACATCCTTCGTTCCATGCTGAACATGTTCTTGGCGTTAGTGACTTCCTCACGCACGTATCTTAGGGTGTCCTGCATCAAATCATGCAGTCATGGACGCATTCATTACATTACAACTGAAAGATCGTAACAGGGCAACAACACCCGTCTATCGTTTCATCACCTCTCATCGGTCCTCAACACAATCTCATGTCTCTTTCGTCTTCTCTAAGATGGTCTTGATCATCTCGTTGCCCAGTTTCGTAGCCTCGGGGAACCGGGGCTTGAAATATTCCTGGATCCCTTCGAACTTTTCCCGGTACGCATCAAAATGTCCCAAGCTCACGCGAGAGCTCCAGTCACGCGCAGCAAAAGTGAACTCGAGATCGTCGGCGCGGAATGTGTTGTCGTTGATGGCGGTATCGATCACTTCTTCGAGTAAAGCCTCATTGCGGAAAAGATACTCTGTGATACCTAGCCACATACGGAATAACTGATGGAACATTAGCTTAATGTGCTTGCACAGAAACAAGCTGAGAAGACGTACCGGCGTAGAGCAGATCATGTGGTCGTAAGGTACTATGCCCAGTTTCCACCAGCAGTCCACGATCGCGAGAAGACTGAGGTGGTTGTTCTTGAGGCGCTTCTCTGGTATATCGCCCAAGCTGAAGCGGTCGAGAACCTCATCCCTGAGCAGCAGTTCCTGCTTCAGTCGTCCGCCACCAAACACAGCTTCTCTAGCAGACATGATTCGTTCTCGCAATTCTTCCCTATGCCCACCGAGCATGAGCTTGTAGAGTTCTGTCACAGATTCAGCGTATTGTTTGATCTGTTTCTGTGCGTCAGGGTTTAGTATGGCAAGCCCGGCGTATACGTGCCACTTGTTGGCATAAATACGAAGCGTGATGTTGATCTTGACATTCTCGATACCCCCAATGTAACGGGGATACTCCCATGGAAACTGGTTGTTTGCCATCCACGCGGCTCCCATACTGAGAAAAGCAGCGTGGGTCACAGCCTGGGTGTCTGCGGTAATCCGATCGTGTTGCTCGCGGGTGAGGTAGACATATTTGGAGTTCAAGCATGAAAGCATGTTCTCTACGAGAGCGAAAGCTTCATCAGAGGCTCGGTGTTTGATAAGGACTAATGGCTGTCCTTTCGGGTCAACCCCAGGACCGTGGAGCGAGTGGCAGGAGACAATATGGACATCGTTGGGCAAGTGCTTTTCGAATGCGGCGATCTCAGGAGCTTTGCATGATGTTTGCCCACCGACTATAGCCCCGAGTTTCGTTGCTTAGAGAGATCAGTCAGTATCCAAGATCACTAGATGTGTAATTGGGAGGCGTTTATACATGGACCAAAGGTCTTCACCACAGCATCAATATTCTTAGCTTCGACACTGTAGATAATGTAGTCGCTGCAGCGTGATACGAGGTGGCCACTTTGCATGATTTGAATTTTCGGCTGGGACAAGCTCAGCACAGCTCACTATGGACAACGATATACAAGAGGACCCTACTCTTCCCTTAAATTCCTCCACCAACACCTCAAACTTTTCGGGGATATCACATGCATTAACCCTGCCAACCGACGCAATCAGTCAAGGCCAGACCAATTGTAGAATCTAGGAGGCATCCAGTCAGCGATGTCGTCAAAGCTTATTGAAGCGATAAGAACAGGAAGAAGGGATGTATCAGAGTTGTATAAAGTTAAGGTAGCGAGAGTTAACATCATTGACAGCGACATGCCTGCGGCCTGCGCCCAAGACGGGAACAGGACAAACACGTGCCATACTCGAGCCAAATGCACTCACAGTCATCATTGCAAGGGGGGAAAGAAAGATTGCACGAGGGCATGACATACCAAATAAGATGACAGAACTTGAAGAAACACTACAAGTTCACGAGACCAGCGTAACACTCACTGCCAGCCAGCATCGCTTAGACGCCGGGCATACATCTTCCCCATATCACCCATCCCGATGATGCCGATACTCTTGCCATCTTCCATAATGACGGCGTTGCACAGTTGACTGTGTTGGATTCGGATTCAGGTCATGGTGCGGTGAGGATTGAAAGAAAAGTTGGGTGGAGCTCTGCGAAGTTTTTGGTCGCGCGAACCGCGCTAGGGTCGGAACATCGTATCGCCGAGCCCACACAAGAACGGAACTTTTCAACTTGTCGAAGAACTTATCGATCGTCCCCTCACCAAACCCGTACGTCGAACATACACCTCAGTCAACATGCCTCCCAAGAAGAAGGTCGAGCGCGCTCCCCAGGAGAACATCCAGGTAGGCACACAGCGCATTCAAGCAACAGAGGGCAGAACAGTGCTAACAATTCGCAGCTTGGACCCCAGGTCCGCGAGGCAAGTCAATCGCAAGCGCTAGCTTGAAGATTCGCAATTAACAAATTGAGCAGGGCGAGCTGGTCTTCGGCGTTGCCCGTATCTTCGCCTCCTTCAACGACACCTTCGTGCACATCACTGATCTGTCGGGTCGCGAAACCATCTCCCGTGTCACCGGTGGCATGAAGGTCAAGGCTGACCGTGACGAGTCTTCTCCCTACGCTGCCATGTTGGCGGCTCAGGACGTCGGTATGTCGAGATGAAAATCAAGGGAACTAGTGGCAGAAGAAGAGACTGACAACAGTCCAGCTGCTCGTTGCAAGGAGCTCGGCATCTCTGCCCTCCACGTCAAGATCCGCGCCACTGGTGGTAACGGCACCAAGACTCCCGGCCCCGGTGCCCAGTCCGCTCTCCGCGCCCTTGCCCGTGCCGGTATGCGCATTGGACGTATCGAGGATGTGACTCCTACCCCCTCCGACTCTACCCGGAGAAAGGGTGGTCGCCGTGGTCGCCGTCTCTGAGCGTGTGCGGGGATATATTGGGGCTTTGGGAAGTTGTGGAGGAGTACAGCCTATTTATGGCATGGCATGGTTTTACGATGTTCATGACCATTTAAAAAATTACGCGGAGAACGGCTATTGCCTGGTCTCCATGTTGAACTCGGCTCGTCAAATGAAATAGTCAAATGGCAGTTCAACAGAACCCTTTATGCATGATGATAAGATTTTATGATTTGGCTTCTTGTGCGCTCACAAGCTTGTCGGCAGTCTACTAACACAATACTCACCCTAGCAATGCTGCAACTCCACCCACTGCAGAAATCGAATCAGAGATAAATATTCAACATTAACGTATTAGCTATATGCAGGTGTACAACTGCAAGCACTACAATTGTTATATATCAACGACTTGCACAATATTACCCAACTGCCCAGTATTGCCTTTCATCTGTGCTGCATTGACCATGACCGTCCTCTCACCACGCCCTCCCCAAACCCGGTCCCAAGCAAGCTCTCTCAGCCCTCTGTACAGCACTCTTACCGTACAGAGCCACAGCCATGGACTCAGCAGTCCCCTCATCCAGCCGTGCTTCATACCCATCCCCTTCTCGTACGCATCGTGACACCCGTCCCACCAAACAACCTCCTGCCCAGCTCCCCAATGCACATGGCCAAACACGTGCAATGCCGGCTTCACCCGCTTGACCTCTGCAGCCAGGTGCTCACAGCCCATACCCTCAGGCAAAGGAAGGTCTCTATGGTATTTCGGTGGCGTATGTGTTACCAGGATATCCGTCTCTACAGGTACCGTTTCGGACCAAGCATCAAGTCCACGGGGATACTGGAACGCATGGACAGACATTGGGCCGCAAGCGGGAATCTGCGGGGCGCCATAAACCACGATACGCCTTTGTCTCGCTTCTCCAGACAGCAGACGGGTGGTGGATTCTGCGCATCCGTTTCCCGTTCCTTCCTGCTTGACTTTCGGTTCCACGGTGATGTTGAGACTGAGTCGTCGGTGTTGCAGATAATGTACCCGTTTCCAATCGATGGCGCCCGTTCGTTGGTCTTCGCGCAGTGAGGGCCGCGTCCTCGGGTCGAGATACGTATCGTGGTTTCCGCTGATGGCGATAATCTCCTTGTGTGGCAGCGCCGCTAGCCAGTCTACCTGCTTTTGTATTTCATCGATGCTGCCATCGATCGTCATGTCTCCCGCGTGGATGAGAATGTCGCCGTGCGGAACATCGCTGGGATTCGGGAGGTTGTTGTGAGTGTCGGAAATGCAGACAACGCGGATAGGAGGCGTGTGAGGATCTGGCCGTGAGTACAGAGAGGTGAGGATGTGATAGGCGTGGTAGAGTAGGAGCTTGACGGGAGATCGGAAGATCAGGCGGAGGAAGGGAGTTGGCTCAAAGGGATCCTCGGCCTTAAAGGGGCTCGTGATTCGCCATGAGATGATGCTATCGAGAACCATTCCTAGTAGCAATTGATCGAGGGTGAGATGGCTCAATTGCCAGGCCAAGGCCAGGGTCCTGTTGATCACGCAAGTGGGGGAAGTCGTCATGGTTCCGAGGTGGTTCAAAATAATGGCGGTGGCTGTGCTCTGTGGCTTGTTAGTCTCCAAATCCCCATCTATCCTCACACAATCCATTGCGCGATTATCTACATGATTTAATTTGATGTGACTCACAGCAGCAAGGAGATGGATACGTTCTACCGGTGACTCTCTGATTGAAACATTGTCCATCGTGTTCACCGGTTTCCTACGTGGCGACAGCCTGACATTGACATCAACCCGGTCATGTCATGCAGCAACCATGCCACTTGGAGGCTGAGCTGGGGCAGACTTATACGGGATAGGACAAACATGCCTTGCCAGTGCCTGATGAAGAGGCGTATATAGCCGCCCGCTCTACGCCGCCCTGTCTGGTCATCGGACGAAAGCTCCATTGGATCTTCTTGGTGTATCTTCCAGATCCGCTTTTTGGTTTCGCTCCTTGCTCAAGTTTGTTGGAACGATCAGTTAGTTGTTCTAGCCTTGTATGTAAGAAATCGAAATATTTTAGAAGGGTGAAAATCGAGGCATCATGGCAGAGCTAGCAATTGGAGCAGTATCTCTGACTTTTCAGGTATTCTCAGGATGTGTCCAAGGTGAATAAAATCCAATGGTGTAATCGCTTCGCACAAGACATGCTCACTCGCACAGGTTACGAACTGATTACGGACGCAAAGCACATGCCAGAAGAGTGCCAGTACCTACGGGTGAGGCTCAAGACCGAGCAATGTAGGCTTTTGGACTGGGCCGACACTGTTCGACTGGACGAAACAGACGATAATCTCCTTATCAGCAACTCCAGCAAGGGCTTGCTTTTGGATGTACTTGATCAACAGCAGCGGCTGATTATCCAGTTTGGTCGATTAGACGACAAGTATCACAAACTGTCACGACCTTTGCTTGTCGATTATGAAGATACGGACCCACCGGCGTACGAGGCGACCGATAAAGGGAACCCGCCGATCCAGCGAACAGAATCCAACTTCCGAAGCCGCTTCCCGCGGAATGATGTTTTGTTGAAGAAGAGTCTACAATGGGCCAAGCAGACGACAACATATCCTAAGAAACTGAAGTGGGCAGTCTTCGACAAAGGCAAGATGGAGAGTCTTGCAATCAAACTGGCTGCTTTCAACGACTTCATGCAGAACATGCTCAACACCCAGCAACTGGAGAATCTGGCAATTAAGCAACAGCGAACAGAGTTTCAGATCATTCAGCTCAATTCCACCATCAGCCACCTCGTGCAAATCTTCGACTCAGCGGCTCAAGTGCAGATGAACAAAGGAGCAGGCACATCCAGGCGAAGAAGCAAACAACTAACAGACCCCATCCAAGCGTACCTGTCAGCTCGTGGACTGAGCGACATGGACAGTGACGAAGACGACGGCGCGGATACTCTCAATGTCGCATATCCAAATTCCTTCCATGCCAACAGATCTGGAGGCCTCCAGAATCTCGCAGCACTTGCGCAATTTAAAGCCCTCAACTCAGCCATCCAAGACCCATCCATCTTCACCGATGAATTCACCTCGTCCATAGGCGTGCGCAGCGCTTCCGAGACCCTCAACGTAGAACTCTCACGCAGCGACATCCACCTCCTCGAAGACGAAAACAGCGAAAGCCAACGCGTAGAAGCATACTATCAGCGCCCACGCTCGCGCAAGCTATCCGTCTGGATCGAATGGAAAACCTACGAGCCCCCACCTTTCCCATCGCACTTCCATCAACGCAACAGCAGCAGCGCCGAATCCAGAGGCGGCCCAGACCCCAAAATCCTCGAACGGGTCAAAGCCCTCGCCGCTCTCCTCAAGGAAAACTCCTCCACTACCACCTCTTCAACAACTACGAATAAGAACCAATTCCGTGCCCCAAACTGCCTGGGCTACTTCCACGACACCAACCCGCAAACAGGAGACACGCACCCACGGTTTGGCCTCGTGTTCCTCAAACCCTCCAAAGTCCACTCCACAACCCTCCCCCTCTCCCTCCACGCGCTCCTCACTTCCCCGCCCAACGATCTCCTCTCCACAATCCCAAGCCTGACCTCACGAATCGCGCTGATGCTGCGTCTCGCCGAGACCCTCGAACGCCTGCACGCGGTGAACTGGCTACACAAAGGACTGCGATCATCCAACATCCTCTTCTTCGACGACTGCGGCGCATCCCACGGCCTCATCGACTTCTCGGACCCGCTGATCTCGGGCTTCGACTACAGCCGTCCAGCCATGAACGACGACATGACCGAGAAGCCGCCCGAGAACGCGGCCGAGGATATCTACCGGCATCCCAATGTTCAGGGAGCTGGGGGTCGCGATCCCCTTGGGTCCTCGAGCTCTTCGGGAGGGCTGGGAGGGTTCAAGAAATCCTATGATATTTATGCGTTGGGGGTGATTCTGCTCGAGATTGCGTATTGGAAACCGATTGAGAGGATTGTAGGGATCAAGGATCTGGAGAGGGCGAAGCCTAGGGAGACGTTTCGGGTTAGGGAGAGTTTGTTGAGTGGTGGTGAGGGGAGTGGCAAGGGGGAAAAGGGAGTGAATGTTGGAAATGATGTATTGGGTTATGTAAGGAGTCATCTAGGAGATACGATAGAAAGAGTTATAAGGGCTTGTCTTGAAGGCCCTGTTGCATTTGGGGTCGTGGAGGGCGAGGATGAGCGGAGGGAGGAAGTTGGGGCGACGCTACAAAGGGGTTTCTATGAGCGTGTTGTTGCCGAGCTGGGGAAGGTCAGGATTTGATGATGGGATGGATAGATGATTCTTGATGGTTGTATCTTGTCGCAATAGTTTAGTATGCTAACGTTTAGTTCTCTTTGGGAAGGTGTTTACCTTTTCTATTCGGTCTTGTGATTACCTAGGTAGTCTTGTTCGGTGTTTTTATCTGTACTACAGATGTTGTCTTTTACGCTCTCTATCGGCCGATAATGGATAAACAAACCCCTTGGTGTATTCGTTCGCGATCGATGTGACAGAGAAAATGATAGAAGGAAGAAATATATTCGACACCGAGAGTTGCTCCGGATTGTCAAAATGTATTGCCATGTGCAGTTGATATACTAGAAGAGAAGGAGAGAAAAGAAAAGTCCTCCACATATGCATTTGCTCGACTCGATCAATTAATCACCGTCTCTTCGTTGGCTCACTCACTACTCGCTCTCGCTCTCACTCCCCTTACACAATCATGATATTCATTTCTAAGTTTTGCCAGTCGTCAAAGAGGCCCAAGATCCAAAAGACTCCCCCGCCACACAGATACAAAGGTCCGACGACTGACCTCTACCCGGGCGAAGATGTTTTCCGCCACCCACGTTGCTAAAGAGGTAAAGTACAACTAGTGCGCATGCAGCAGGGAAGATGTCGGAGAGGTTCTGCTCGCTTCGCTATCTCCACTCAGTAGCCCATTTTCTTGAGGTATTCGCCGAGCGTGGCGACGTCGTTGAAAGCGACAGTGGTCTGACCGTCGACTCCGTGGTGGCCGATGAGAAGGGCTTGTGCGGTCTTGTACACTACAATACCTTCCTTGCCCTATACAATTTCAGGTGTCGCTGTCAGTATGGAGTCTTGCAGTAGAGACCGTGGTAGAGGAGGGGTAGATGGTGGACCCTCATACCTTCTTGGCTTTCAGCTCGTCTTCGGAGGCCTCGATGGTCATGTATTTCTCGCCGGAGACTTTGATGCCGTGTGCGACGACGTCCTTGACATCCTTCTTATCCGCGAATGAAGCGGCGATGGCCTTGCGCTCTTCCTCGGATACCTGCAACCTGGATTAGCGCGGCACATATATGGACCCCACTATTGTAGCCGCCAACCCCTCATCGCCTGATGGCGCCTTGTAGCCTTTGGAAACTCTTCATCGGCAGTTTGCGGTGGAAGTTTGCGGTGAGGGGAGAGGGATTCTGAGAGGTGGGTGCGGAGTGCGGAGACATACGGTGAAGCCTGGTGATTGAGCCCAGATGGCGCTTCCGGCGGCATCGCAGATGATGGCTTTGTCGATGTTGCCAGGGCCGACAAGGCTAGATTATGGCATGTCAGCGATGCTTGTTCAGATGAATAAATGCATCCAGGGCGTGTAGGAAATACCTCGTGTCGATGTATGCTAGGCGCAAGTTAGTTGAGCTGTTTGTTTGTTTGATGGATGGGCGTATTTTCCCAGCGCCTCGGGAATACGCTGCACTCACCTTGCCAGGACATGTTGAAAGAGGGGATTGAGATGTGCAGGAGGGTGTCTTGTTATATGTGGGCTTGGTGAACAAGCTGGTGGAAGAGGAGGCACAAAGGTAGATGGGCGAGCGGATGGATGATTCAAAGTCAGTAGTGGGAGAGAGAAGGCAGAAGGGAAGTAGTGCTCGGGAGTGGAAGTGACTAAGCAGGGATTAGGTAGGTGGGCAAGTGGATAGTCAGACAGATTGAGGAAGCTGGCGGCTGGGCATGAAATGAGATTGATGACAGTCCAAAAGAAAGGTGAGGGGTTGTTTGGGCGGGCTAACAAACATTCATTCATTCATCTTTGGTGGGGCAGCGGGCAGGGCGCCGTTCAGAACATGATTTCTTCTTCGTTCTCCGAGCCAACCCCGCACTTGCACCTCTCCCTCTGCCACCTCTATACCTACATATGTAAGAATAACAGTACTGCAACATGCATATATGTATTGCACATTTCAAATCCAGAGACGACACATCTCCACGGCGTGGACCAGGAATCGATGCATGGCATGTGTCGTGTCGTGTCGTGTCCCGCTGCCTACAGTTCAGCGACATTGATTTTTCAAGGCAGTCAATCTCACGCTGAGCAACGTGGGGGTTGTCTTTTTTTTTCATCACGATTGATAAACCATTGAAGATTGCACGTACCGAGTCTCGCTAGTTATGCAGTTTGCATGCGAGCCGACATGATGTGCAAGCCCATATCGAAAATCCCGAACCTTGTGCCTGGGGAGAAGAAAATTCAAGGGCCGTGCATGGCGTGCATGTTTGTCAATGTCGGTTTCATCCTGCTGGCCATCATCACTTCTGACATGTACAATAAATCCGGCTACATGTGTTACAGCCAAAAAGCACATGCTTCAGTAACTACTTTCGGGTATTGCATCCCTGGCCTCTGGTGCTGAAAGCAAAACTTTCTTTTTTGAACCTTTTTGTCCCTGCCTACTTTTTGTTACCTTTTTTATATACTTTTTAGGTGTAGGAACCACTGTAACTTCCAATCAAAAAAAACTTAAAACTCAGTAACTACTTGTAGCCTACATATGTACTCAAGTACTTAGCCAAGTCTTCGGGAGCTAATCCGTGTACCTGAGTGGCGTTGGCCGACTATCCTATCATCCAGCCGCGCCATCGATGCAGTGTATTCCTTAATGTAATCGAGACTAATGAACCCGTTCATGGCGGCTTGAAAGAAGAAAGGAACTGGGTATTGAGTACCACTGGTGGACCTGGTAGGTACCAGCGTACAACCTGAATGACATATCCGGGGCAGCTGGATGTATATACATCTGATCACTAGAACACAGTGGGGTCTGTCATACTACGACCCGAAATACGTATATATAACCTCTAATTCACATAGTTTGAGTACGAAATGATCCCCAGCCTACGAAAAGACAACACAGCACAGATGGCATGTCCAATGTGAGCTGGAGTGAATGTATGTCTCACGTGATCGATCTTGAGGATCTGACGCTAGGCAAAATTGGGTAGCTCTATTGCTTCCCCAGCTCCAAAACTTTGGCCGCATTCAAACTACCTCAACACCACCCAGTGACAACCACAAGCTGCAGACTGTTTCCCAATTATTTCACCATCATCTACAGAGCCATACACATTGCGATTGCTGTTCCAGGAATGCCTTCGAGTCCTCGGTCACCTGCGCCTACGCGCTCGCCTTCGCGTCGCAGTCCAAATGTTTCTCGCGGTCGCTCGCCTTCGCGCTCACAGACACGATCACGCGCAAATTCAGAAAACTCTGCTTCACGATCGCCCAGACGCTCTATATCCCCACGGTCCCGCTCGGCCTCCGACTCTCGTTCGCGTTCACGAGGTCCTCGTTCGGCTTCGCCCCGTCGCAATGGCCGTCGTCGCAGCTACTCTAGAACTCGATCAGTGTCTCGCTCACGGTCGCGGTCGCTCACACCTAGAGGGCGCAGAGGGTCGTACTCGAGAAGTGCTGGTCGCATGAGCCTTTCGCCCGCTCCTAGAAGCGCAAAGGTATAGTGGCTTCTACTAGCTTTGTGCAGCCTTGTCTTACAGTTTGCATTGTTAACACTGGGTATAGATCATTGTAGAGCAGTTAACAAAAAATGTGAACGAGGACCATCTGCACGAGATCTTCGGGCACTACGGCCCGATCAAAGACCTTCAACTCCCATTGAATCCGGCTTGTATGTTCACTTTAGTCCTCCTTCCCACATCAATATTAAGGAAGTCGTATTTCAGCAGCTAACAAATCGCAGTCAGAGTAAACCGCGGCACAGCATTCATCGTCTATGACGAAATCGAAGACGCAGAAAAAGCCATTGCCAGCATGCATCTTGCCGAACTCGACGGCTCCAAACTACAAGTTTCCATCGTTCTACCGCGGCGCCGCTTCTCACGATCTCCACCTTCAATGCGGAGAAATGGCCCTCCACCGCGCGCGCGGGGCGATTTTGGTGATGGATATAGACCTGGCGGACCCCCAGGAGGATATCGCCCACCACCCATGGGAGGAGGCGGCGGTCCGCCTCGATACCGATCCCAATCACCTGGTTCGTACCGAGGAGGACACGGAGGCCGAGGCGGAAGAGGAAACAGGGGTGATCACAGCTACAGACCGCGTCGGTCAGCAACTCGCTCGAGAAGCCCCCGGCGCAGTCTATCGCGTACTCCGTACTCGAGATCGCCTTCCAGAGGCCCCGCGAGACATGGTGGTGGAGGGGGAGGATATCGCAGACGAGACTCGCCACCCCGTAGGGGTAGTGGTGGTGGTAGAAGCCGAAGAAGTCCTAGCTATAGCTCGTATGACAGCTACAGCGATCGTGAGAGGAGTCAAAGCAGGAGCAGGGGAAAGGGTCCACCTCGACGTTAGGTACGTAGGTGGCTACAGGACATACCCTCGCCTCGATCGAAATGGGAGAGAAAAGCGGTTATGTTTGGCTACGTATTTGCTGGAGACCAAGACCGTTAGGCTATGAAAGAAAAGCACGAAAAGCAATTCACGTATGAGGGAACATTTGTGGGGATTTTGAGATCATGGCGATCGATGAGATCTAGCACAACGCAGTACAGAAGAAACACAGCACGTTTTCCAGGGACTCGGGCAAATATACGTGTCGTACGTATTGGAAGGACATGGGTCTTTTTGGATAGTCGAATACCCAATTTAATCACATTTCTCAAGTTACAGTTATTTGACACATTGAATCATACGCTGGACGACTGTACGAAATATCCTTAGTTCTCTTGAACTCATTACCCGCAAAACCATGCTACAGGCTACATACCAGGGGCACATCACGGTTCTCCCCCACCTAACCATCCTACACAACCCTCAACTGGAACCCGGACCCCTTAACTCCTTCTCCCTCCCCAAAAAGCCCACTAAAATCCACATCCCCCATCCCAGGCGCTTCCCCTCGCTTCGGCGCATTCGGACTCACAGCCCTCCTCCTCCTTTCCTGTCCCGCCTTACTCGGGAAAGTTGGGAACAATTCCATCGGCTTCGGTTTCGGCGCCTCGCTAAAATACGGATGCCGCAGGACCTCGTCTGCAGAAGGGCGACGATCGGGGTTGAGCGAGAGGAGAGAAGAAAGGAGAGAAACGCCTTCGGTAGTCAGCGAGGGGAACTTCGAGCGGATCTGGCTCGATGTCTTCAGGGACGAGGACGATGGATCGCGGGGGATCTTGAGGCTCTTGGAGTTGGGCAGACGCCAGAATCCAGGCCATGTTTTGTCGGTGGGCACGCCGCATAAAGCGAAGATGAGGGCCAGTTCGTCGACTTCGTTTTTGCCCTGCAGAAGCGGAGACTTGAGGAGGAGCTCGCCGAAGATGCAGCCTAGACTCCACATGTCGATTTCGGTGCTGTAGGTTTCGGTCCCCAGCAGGAGTTCGGGCGCGCGGTACCAGAGGGTGACGACGAGTTGGGTTGGGGGTGGCGCGTGCGGAGGCGGGATGTACCGGGCCATTCCGAAGTCTGCGATTTTGAGGTGTCCGCGGTTGGAGAGGAGGATATTTGAGGTTTTGAGGTCGCGGTGGAGGATGAAGTTTGAGTGGAGGAAGGAGAGGGCGGATGTGAGTTGGCGGAGTAACGTTTTTGTTTCCGAGGCGAGGAAGGGTTCTGGCATGTCTTCTTGGAGTGTTTTGAGGTCGTGCTCGAGGAATTCCATGACGAGGACTACTTCGTCTGAGGCGCTGCCTGTGAGTATTTCGTGGAGAGAGACGATGTTGGTGTGTCGGGCACGCTGGAGGATGGCGATTTCGCGCATAGCGGTGATGGGGAAGCCGTCTTGGTGGTGGGTGTCCATTTTGATCTTCTTCAGCGCAACGACTTGCCCTGTCGTGATGTCCTTTGCGCGCGAAACCCAGCCGTATGAGCCCTCTTCTATGTGGTTCAGAGTTTCAAAGTTGGATGTGTGTCTGCAGGGTGCCCAGCTGCCGGCTTCGAAGCGCAGGAGCTTGCGCTGGGATTCATTCTCCTTGGAGGAGGGTCCATTTTTCCCTTCCTCTTCCTCATCATCGTTGGAAAGTCTCCTCCGCTTGGAAGGTCGTGACTCCGCCTGTTGGGCCGCTCGTACAGCGGCTTCTTGCTCCGCTTGTTGTTTTTGGAGCTTCAGTCGCTTCTTTTCTTCCTTTTCCTTTTTGCGGCGTTTAGCTTCTGCTGCGTCGGCTTCCGAGTCCGCCCAGCGTGATGACATGGTTTCCTTCTTTTTAATTTACTTCTGTGAATCCCCTTTCGATCTCTGTTTTCCTGAGTTGTATCAAATTGGTGATGAAGTGAGGTTAAATCAATGGCAGCACGTGGTAAGGCGACACAGAAATAAGCGGTGGTCATAGCTCTTTCCCGCGTTCCGTCTTTAAGTCAACTTTTCGGTCTCACTTGCGACGTCTAACGTCATTACCATGGAATTCCGATAACCAGCGCAAAACATGAAGGCCAACTCCCTTAGAATAGTCCGCAACACCGTGCGGTATACAGTTCCGCGACCATCGGTACCTCGATGTGTACCATACGGCCAACGCTGGTCTTCCACCGGCACGCGGGAGTGGTCGACGCCTCTGGCGAAGCAGCTGGCTGAAGCTATAAATGTGCGATTCTTTCAATTCCCAAAATATGCATATATCGAAACTGACGATCTAAATTGTAGACCACGGGACCCATCTCCGTCGCGGCTTATATGCGGCAGTGCTTAACTTCTGACATGGGCGGTTACTACACCAGGGAGACGTCAGGTCACGATCAATTCGGCACCAAAGGCGACTTCATTACGTCCCCCGAGATCAGCCAGGTATTTGGCGAGTTGGTCGGCATATGGCTGTACACAGAGTGGATTGGACAGGGGAAAAACGAAAAGGTGCACATTGTGGAAGTTGGTCCGGGGCGAGGGACTCTGATGAGTGATGTATTAAGGGTACGTTGGTGTTATTCCACGGTCAAAATATACGATGCTGACACAAAGATAGACTATATCAAGTTTCAAATCCTTTGCAAACAGAGTCCAAACCATATATATGGTCGAAGCATCCGAGCAGTTGAGGAAACAGCAGGCACAGTTGCTGTCAGGCACCGAGGAACTCAAGGAGACGGAACTTGGGTGGACAGCGCCGTGTAAACATATACCAGGATGTGATATTATTTGGTGCGAGGATATTAGATTTGTGCCGAAAGGTAAGGATATAGTTGCACAATCGTCAAGTTTTGGACCACAAGCACTGATGTCTTACAACAGACGAAACATCCACTCCATTCATCCTCGCCCACGAGTTTTTTGATGCTCTCCCTATCCACGTCTTTCAAAACGTCGCAAACTCCTCCCTTCCTGCAGCCTCCACAACCGTCACTCCGGATGGGCCCCTTGTCCCCAAGCATGGACCTCAAGTACCAAAGAACAACTGGCACGAGCTAGTCGTGTCTCCATTACCGCCACCCTCTTCTGACACAACATCGCCATCTTCCAAGGATCCCCCTCCTGAATTCCACCTCACAGTTTCCAAATCACCGACCCCCCATTCGCTCTATCTTCCCCAGCTCTCCAACCGCTACAAAAACCTGCAAAATACCTCCGATGCCATCATCGAAATCTCACCTGAATCCCTCTCTTACATCTCTGACTTCGCGGTCCGAATAGGTGGTGACAACCCCCCTTCATCTACAAACGCCGCCACCGCCGCGAAAACACATTCGATTTACACTCCCAATGCCTCCGCACAATCCGCGGCCACCCCCTTCCAGAAATCGACGCCCTCAGGCGCAGCCTTAATTCTCGATTACGGTCCTGCCACCACCATCCCGACCAACACGCTCCGCGGAATCCGCGCACACCAGCCTGTTTCGCCTTTCGTGGCTCCTGGACTCGTCGATCTCAGCGCCGACGTTGATTTCGTCGGTCTCGCTGAAGCGGCGCTGCACGCTTCCTCCGGTATCGAGATCCATGGTCCCGTTGAGCAGGGGTTTTTCCTGGGTAGCCTAGGGATTCAGGAGCGGGTAGAGCGGTTAGTAAAGAGCGCTGAGAAAACTGCAGATGGAGATGAAGTCAGGAAGAGGTTGGAGACTAGTCGGAACAGACTAATTGATCGAGGACCTACGGGCATGGGTCGTATTTACAAAGCTATGGCTATTTTGCCGTACTTTGAGCAGAAGAAGGTTAGAAGGCCGGTTGGATTTGGTGGAAGTTTCTTTGGATAAGAATATAACGTAATGCGTGTATGATCTAGAGTCGTGGAAACTGTTGTACTTTACTTGATACATATTTGTATTAATATTCTTAAATGTAGACGTACTATTCTTCAGGTCATGAATTAGTCATTGATTTAGAGTCGACCCATGACAAGGCGACCGCACGCGATAGCAAAGCCTTTTAGCGTCATGATCACATATGGCAATCGACTATCATTCCAAGTGTATGTAGCACTTGCATCGGTATACCACCTGTAAGACTGTGGCCTACTTATTTCATAGAAGACTGGGCGGTTTCAAGGGAAAAGTACTGGAAGCTGTAGCCTCGTTCTACATTTATGATGTGACTGACTCTAAAAGGTCCACAATATTTGTTTATATTACGTCTACTCATATCACTCTCAATATTATGGTTAATGGTTGAGATGAAGGTCATGAATGTATCCATGAAACCTAATAACCAGACGCCCACACATCAGCATGCGCCCAACAGACGGGTATACCACTCGAGCTTCCTGATACGAGTAATGCAATGCTTCCAAATCTCCGACATGATCGTCAGCAGTAGAGGTAGCCAAGTGAACAAAACCAAAATCTGGCCAAATCCCCAATCCATCTCCGACGTCTTCCCGTGAGCTTGTCCAATAGCTTGAGATCGAATATACACAAACATAGCGAACTGTGTAAGCCCAAAGACAAGGCAGAGGCCGCTACAAATAAACGTAAAGCGTTCCAGACGTTGCCCCTTCTCGTCAGTTGTACAGGCCCAGCGGAGACCAGACATGCCCGTCCAAGCCAGCAATCCGATAGTCGGTAACGCAATCATCAAGGTTCCAAGGGCGTAGATATAAGTACCAGCTCGCTCGTAGAGAAAGCCGCTGACATTTATATTCAGACGGTTCCCGAATTCGACATGAGTAGGCTGACGTTGACCTTTGATTCCGACTGACCATATCACCCACAGAACCACAACGCAATACAAGTAAAGCAGCGTCACAGTTAAGCGCGCGAGAGCAAGCTTCACGTTTCCTGCCCCATCTTCTGCCTCTTTGCCTTTTTCTTTCCACGCTTTCGAAGGAAGCGTGACAAGTACTACGGCTGGCATTATGGAAAGCGGAGGCGCGAGGGCAAGTGTGGAATAAGCGTAAAGGTTTACATAGCCGAAGTTGGCGTAGATCTGATTTGTTTCGGCGCGCCGTCGCCAGAACGTCACGATGGCGGCTGTGGTGACGGAGAAGGCAAGGAGAGTCGTAGTCGCGTAGAAATACTGTAACGACTTCAAGATATTGATGGTAGGCATGAATTCGGGCCATCTGGAAGCGGCGAAGAAGAGCAGTAGAAAGCCGATGCCGATGCTTTGCGATACCATGACCTATCATAACGATTATCGTGTTAGCTAGGTAAAAGTTGCGGGGAAGATTGAGTGGCTTTCTTTTTTTTTTTTTTCTATGGGGCTCCACGGCGCAAAACTTACACCAATACCTGAGATATCAGGGTCCCCCATGGCTTCCAAGTCCGACTTGAGCTTCTCGTTGCACGCAGATCGCGGTCCGTGAAATACACTCAGATACGGCTGAGTTCGCGTAAGATACTTGTTGTAGGTTTTGTTTGTACCATAACCTTTGCTCACGATGTCCGTTGCGTTTCGACAGAATGGCTGCGCCTGTTTGCCGCCGTAATCTCCATAGTACCAGTGGTTCACTTCACAAGATTTTGGCTGGCCACCGGGGCTCTTTGAAAGGCTTGCGTTGATGTACTTCAGCACAATGTCGGGCTTTGCGGCGCAAAAGTCGACTTGGTGGAGGTATTTGGCCGTCCCGAGAATCTCATTCAAACTGCGACAGTCCTGGGTGGCGTCGAAGCTAGCTAAGTTCTTGCGCCAGCCTGCTCGAAGTTTGCAGCCCTCTATGATTGTATCGTGTGTCGAGTTTATGGTGGAAGGGGTATGAGTGGGTTTGCTTTTGTGCGTGGCAGTTTTGGTAGAGGTGTGTGTGGAATTCTTAGTGGACGCATGCGTGTGGCTTTTGGCGCATGCTGAAAAGGCCATGAACTGAATTAGAATTAATAGAGTAGTTGATAGGAACAACATTGTAAAGAGAGAAGAGAAGAGAAACTCCAGCCACTGTCAAGTCTCATGGAAAGAGCTTCGAACCATGGGTATAAACCATTTTTCGCCCGTACGAAAATTTCGAAAATTGCAGCAGACTATACTCTGCCTGTTTATTAGGGTGGGTAAGCTGATATGACCCGGCCAATTCTAAAAGGAGCCATTGGGCTAATCAACGATCTGTGAACACGGCTTGTACTACATATTTGCTGGTGAGTGCAGGCAGAAACTCGACTTTTGGGGCCGAATCCCCTTTTTAATACATGATCTCCTATACAATCCATGTCACATCACCCGTAATGGTGGTATCGAGCTTTTCCCCCCTTATTTTCCACGTGGATATGTCACTCAGCTTGCAAGGCTGAATGGGGGCGGATACTCGTTCTCCTAAATGACCCATGTCACAATATCCCGGGTACGAGCTGAATTTTCTTCTTGGGTCCCCCTACGGAAATTTCACCTCAGCCTACAAGACCAAAATGGAGATGTAAAGTATAAGAGTAGTACAATTCCGCACGATGAATAAATGAATCGAGATAAAAGCAAAAATGCGCATCTACAGCCTTTTGTCCTTACTTTCGCTAGCCATAACTGCATCTTCCAAACTTGTTGTCGACTACAATGCAGAGCACGACGATGATGTGTCGAAATTGGGGTTCGCCAATCTAGAACAAGCTCGCAATGACAAGATCAAATCGAACACAAACGACCTTTACATCAAAGCTGGGGAAGACTGGCGCGGCACAAAATCAGCCCATTTCCATCGAAAGAAAGGTTACATACGGTACATATTCCCAGCCTCGCAACAAGCACGCGGTTGCGCTAAAGCATCAAAAACAGTGCCGAGATGCATGCTCTAAAAGAGCAAACAAAAGCCGGAGAAACGTACTATATAACGTACAGTTTTGCGCTCGGTGCCATTCCGGACAGCCTTATGGTGTTGCAGTGGAAAGAATACGAGGCCAATACGCACGGTGGAGCGAACATCCCGCTCTCGCTTGAAGTCAAGAACAAGAAAATTTCCCTCGAGTACCAAGCAGACGGGCACAGTAAACGCGTGGCTCAATGGACGACAGACGTGAAACCCAATACTGTGTACAAGGTTGGGCTAGAGATCTTGGCCAGGAGTGATAACGGCCATGTCAAGTTGTATTGGGGCGGCGAGCAGGTTACGTTCAGCACGAGCAAGGAGAAGATGTTGGTCGGGAACATGTTTCCCGGTCGGAGCGACCCAAAGATTGGAATCTACAGAGGAGAAGAGGTAGAGACGAACAGCTATGTATATCAATTCCAGATCGGGACGGAGCGAGAGGATGTCGATGGTAGTTATTTCTGACGGGCAAGGAAAGATAGATGTATGTTCTAATATCAGAAATCCTTGATTATATGTGAAGAGCATCTCGTTATATGCGATACGCGACCTTTGGTTGCGAAAGACTGAACATATCAGCTTATTAAGATCTCTGCTTCCAATGATACTACTGCGTGGGATACCACTGGGTGCGTTTTGAAACTGGAGGAGTACGAGACTCAATCTTTCATATCATTTGTATTCGTGGCGAGTGAAAGTATCAAGCTTATTTTATTAGCATATTATGAAGAAGCTTAGCAGCTGACATGTTCTTGGTTGATTGGCAGCGGATTACGTGCCTACATCTACCTCGCCTACACGGTTTCACGACCCACAAAGCATTTACACCCTTGTACTTTGATACGAAAATAACTTTCCTGTGCAAAGATATAACAATAGATTAGAATTCTGGTTGCATTCCCATGTACTTGTATATCAACTAGCCAATTCATGCGTGCCCTTAACAACATGAACCGCCTTTTTATCACTACCTTCTACCTCGCTCACGCCGTGCTCTCCAGGCAATTCCTGCGCAGCATTCTTCCCGTTCGGTATCACTCCCGGCAACTCATGCGCCTCCGTCCCATTCGGCATTTCTTCCACGAACTTGCTCACCCGCTCATCCCCTGCCACTTCAGCCCTGGCTCCGCCATCCATCTCCCCTCTAGGTTTCTCAACCCCATCGATCTCTGGCTTCTCATATCCTTTCTCTTCCAGCAACGGGGTGATGGACTTTGCCTTGTTCCTTCGGCGCATGAGATAGAATGCCGTAGAGGGAAGGAGAGCCAGGACGGCGATTGCTATACCAACGCCTAGCCCAGCTTTTGCGCCTGTTGATAGACCTGGTTCGGGTTCAGGAGTTTCCTTGGGGCGGTCGGAGTTGTTTTGATTATGGGTTCCGTTGCCTAAAGTGGAAGGCACAAGGTCAGTGTAGTTCAGGTGATCGGGATCTGATAGACCACTGAGATCATGAAACTCTACGCTTTATGTGTTCCCGCGCGTGAATTTCTGCATATGATATATACGTACAAGTGTATGAGCCATTGATCTGCTGTGAGGCGTTGAGGCGGTCAAAGGTGGTGCAGTCCATGGATTTTGAAGTTGAGAGAACAGACACAGTGCCAGCGGATGTGAGATTGGACATGTAGATCCTTTCAGTAGAGCGTTAGTTTGATGGAATCGTGACATGAGGGTCTGGACGGAGATTATACGTACTCATCAAATTCTCCAGTGATGTTGATCAGGTTATCAACGTTGCGTAGGGAGGGGAGACCCGCATCCGATGTGAACTCCTTCACACCAGTGTTGTTTGTCACTTTCAGACTACCTACACGCTCCAGCACCGGGAAATCCAATTTCTCTATCCTCGAGTCGCCGATGATCAGGTCGCCTCCTACCCGGGTTAAGTTCGGAAAGTTGATCTCCATTTGGCTTTCTTGGATATTCAGCATCCCTGGGATTGACTCGAGTCGAGGAGCAGAGACGTTGGAGCAGTAGCTGCAGTTGAATCCGTCTACAGTGGTCAATTCTGGGAAGGATACAGTGGATGTGTCATGATAGAAGCTATCGTTCAGCGTGATCAATTTCACTTGATCCGTTTCCATGACAAATTGCGTGATTCCGCTCGCCCCAAACCAAAGCCAGTTCAGGCTAGTGACGCGAAATTTCAAGAAAGGTGCATTATATTGGCCTGAAATGCGTAATTCCGAGATATTGAGTCCAGTACCGAATTCTACAATGCCCAGCAAGGGTGCCTTGTAGATCTGGAAAAGCTCGGTATACTGAAGCTCTTCCAAAGAAATTGTTGTAAGAGTGTTTGAATTCATGACTAAGGCTTTCACTTCCTTTAGATTGGGGCCCGAAATCGTTGTTAGGCCCGGTGGATCGTAGATTTCTATGTTGCCGTCTACTTTTTCAAGGCCAGCAAGATCGATAGTTTCGAGGGGCTTGGATGATGATTGAGTTGAGGTTCCAGATCCACTTGGATTAGATCTCATGACATTGATATCGCCACTGTCTGAAGTCGCGGGTGTAAATTAGTAAGGTTCGAATGTTCACGTCAAACCGCGGAGAGTAAATCATGGCGGTCTGCGATGATTCAATGTTATCCTGCAAACGAGATCTACGTACAAGTAACGCATTCTGCTAAAGCTGTTATCTGTTCATTTGTATAAACGGTGGTGGTTCCAGTAGTAGAACAAGCTCGATTAATGTCAGCACTCAAGAATTCGACGGGAGAGGAACAGAACTTACTTCGCGAAGGTGCTTGCGACAAGACGCTGGCGAACAGGAACCCTGCTGCAATGAGAACCGCCTCCGCATACATGATGAGCGACACCAACTTCGACTTTGCATTCGCTAAGGCACGTGGGAAGCCAAAATGCAGCGCTCAGAAATGACTGTGGTTGACGCGCTCTCTTTATTGCTTACCAGCATACTGACAAACTATAAGCTAGGAAACGTCACCGTGCATGGTAATGGCCTTGAAACGGGTGAGTCTGCAGTTTTAATGCCGTGTTGGTATTTTGGGAATGGCCCCCAAATCGTAGGCGAGGGGTTGGGGAACATTACCCAGGCTGAAGTGGTGGCAAGGTGATATCCAAGAGTGATTGGCTGTAACGAGGACAAGCATTTAATCACGAATCCTCATTGATCCTCGCCGCAACTGCGAGGTGTGATCCAGGTGGTCAGGATGGCAAGTATGTGGGCTTCGAGATGTTTACACAGTGAATGCTGCAAGGCACGCCTGAGGCATCCAATAGGCTGCCATCCGAACGCGAGAAACGAAACTGCAGGTCGTGCAACCCCGGATATGTTCGTATTCGATTTTACGGCCCTTGTGTCGTGTCCGAAATCACCGATTAAGTTGGCTACCATTGCTCTCCTAACTACTAAATGCCGACAATAACTCCGCCGACTTCTCTCATCCCTCATTCTTGTACGCTCCTTCTAAGCCCCACCCAATCCAAACAACAGAGAGATAGATACCAATTCTATAACAGAATACCCGAGATAGGTAGGTTGGAAAGAACGGCTTACTCGATAAGCATAGAAGCGCACTGCCTACCCACAGAAGAACGATGAAATGTAATCATCCGCACATTCCCATTGCCCGTACTTCTCATTGTTGGTGTAAACACACGCAATATGCTTAATGGTTTGGTTCCATAGTCTTCGTTTTCTACCTTGTCCCTTGGGTTGGTCGCGGTTGCAGTTATCGTACCTAATCCGATTCAGTCCAATCAGTCCAGTTCAGTTCAGGTAAAGAGATGAATAGGTCTCAACACGCAGGTTTATACGAGGGGAACAGTGCACGCAACGCGAAAGGAGAGACAGGAGGAGAGGGTTGAAGGTGTGTGTGTGGAATAACATACTCATAGAAATAGCAAGGGACGGGGCCGTATGCGGAGATCGAGGTAATGGTGTTGTTCATATCGGTGGGAACCATGTCTAGAAAAGCCGAAGGGTCAGCACACGAGCATTGGAGGGGGGAGGGGGGAGGGGGGATAGAGAGAGGGAAAGAAGAAAACGTACGACAAACGTGTTTATCAGTAGCTATTTCCCAGGCCCTGCATTCGCCTTTAAAATTCGCGTCCGTACACGCTTTAATACGCACGGGGTAATCTGGATACGGTTCAGGATCGAACAAAGGGAAAGGCACCGGCGGTCCTGATGGAGGTTGCGAATCCGGATGCCGTCGCTGAGGTGGGATGCTCGCTGCTGTTACTCCCATGCTAATAAGGTAGAGGGCGAGGAGGAGAGAAAGAATAGCGACACTGCATCGCGGCGATGGCATATCGTTCTTCTTGTTGCCCGGAAGGTTTGTGAGGGATGGTTTGGATGAGGTAGATTCGGGGATTTATGGGGTAGAAGTAGGATTGTGGAATTTCCCCACATATGCGCGTACGAGTTGTAAGGGCAATACATGCTAACATGTTGTCAAAGTTGGTGATGCAATATCCGTCTCCAAACCGCCAATACTATCAGTTTCAGCCAATTGTATCTATCTTCTATACTGAATACCCACAGCGCAGGTAGGGTACGCATAAATCTCTGATCAACAGTGTCTCAACATACTCCCTGTTGTTCTTTGTTGTCTAGCTCGAAGTAAAATACAAATCGAACATCCAATGAAATCCGACGAAAAGCTGCATGGTGCCGTCGTACGTGTGCTATGCCGGATCTACTTGTTGACCGCGATACCCGGACCTCACACCCCCAATACCAAATAGGAAAAGCCAATCTACAGCATCATCAATTCGAACCAATCCAAATATTCCGTCACCTTTCCTCCAAGATGATAAAAGTAGCTGTGATAATTATATCATAACATGGAGGACTCGCTCAGTGATTGAACAGCTTTATCTATCTCTTGGAGTCAGAAACCTGTTCTTTGAGCGTACCATGGTTCACTATCAAGATCTCTAGAACACGGCTCAATGAGATCAACAATGAATTAAGTCATTGCTTCATACAAAGCATTATACAAAGTTCCAGAGCCACATACAACACACTCACCTCTACGTCCTCTATAAGATCGTACCAAAATATTCAATTCACCTTCTCACATAAGTCTGTAAGAAAAAGGGAACCCCCTATAAATGCCCATTATACTTTGCCCGTATACAGACAAGCAAATACACACACCATATGGGGAGAGAGAAAAAAGAGACAATAAACCTCCGCTTTTACAGCTTCTTATGCTTCCAGAGTTACTCAGTGTCAAAACACTGGCCACCTTCTGAAGTAGGCACCGTCGAATTATTATAGACAACCACACAATACAATGTCACATATGGTGTGAAATAATTTCTCAGCCCAGTATGTATCATCCATTTCAATTGTGATGAGTAGTATAAGGGTCCAAGGAGTCAGTGATGAATATACCAAAAGCCAGCCAATCCCGTCCCAGAAGCAGTAATCTCAAGATCATCCGACCCCGAGAAACAATTGACACATACCCTCAACACTAGAGAGCCAGATGGATCCTAACCACCCGTTTTCCCACCCTGATCACCCATCATCACCCATTGACCCATCAAATCCCTCGACCACATTTCTCCTTCATCCTCATCCCGCTCCATCACCACCCTAACAAATAACCGACCCATGCTTGATGCACCCATGCACAACATAATTAACCACCACCTTCCCACCGTGCACCAAATCCGCATTTGCGCAATACTTGCACGGAACCTTACGAATCTCTTCCATAGCAGCCTTGACATCCGCGCCCGTGACAGTGCGGTCACCAATGCCCTCGACAAAGACACATGTACCTTCTTGCTGGGTGAGGTGGCATGATGCGCAGGCGACTTGCTGGCCGTCTCTGTAGATGGCGCCGTCGTTGACGTTCCGGGTGAGGTCGTAGAGGTCTACGAAGGGGTGCTTGCAGCCGCCGCACATTGCGGAGCCTTTGCAGCCTGAGGGGGTAAGTTGGGTTAGTCGGGAGATGTGGAGGTGGCGGGCTGGATGGAAGATTAGGGTGTTGAGGTGATAGACTTACTGACATCGCCGGCTACGGTGGGGACCATGTGGATCCAGATGTACCAGATCATGGCGATGACGAGGTTGACCGTCATCTTGGGAGGAGTTTCGAATTGATGTCTGGTGTTGCGGTCGTAGTGTTGATGTAGTGGTGGCGCAAGAGTGAAGAGTGAAGAGTCGAGTGCACCTACGGTTACCGTATGGTTTAGTGTAGGGGAAGAAAGCTTTCAAGTCTAGATATCGAATGTAGGTTAAATATTGTGAGCTTGAGGTGTTGGGAGGAAGAAAGAAAGGTCAAATGCTCGGCCCACTCACATACTAGAGGTTGATAATGTGCGAATCAGGCAGTTGCGATTGTACAACCGGTTCCACAAGCACACGGGCTGCGACTTCTTGAACGGTCGTTATTACATTCAAAGTGAAAGACTTGGAGCGTGGGTGCGAGTTCAGGTGACGCAGCTGACGGAAGTCAAGGTAAAAAATCTATTCACATTCAAGCATCAACACAACACATAACAACCCGCTATCCTACTCTCCCATTGATCCTCATACCTCCAAACAGAAAGATCAAATAGATACTTAATGTTCTCTCTCGTTAGACGTCTCCCCTCCTGCCAGGTAAAAGGACACCAAGTAATTCAAGGTGGTACAAAAAGTCCCTTCAAAAGTAGAAGAACCGGACGGGCGGCATCCTCTCACCTCTGCCGTCTCGCTCCCGTCCCGGCTGTGATTGTACGACCATGATCCTGACCTTGATGCATAACCAGCCAGATGCATGGGTACACACCGGCTGAGTGAGTGAATGGAAAGGTCTTTGAGTATCACGTTCGAATCCCACGTGCTATCTACCTCTGTTATGGAGGGTTCTTGAAAAACTTGAGATTGCGATCGCAACATGGGGAAGCGAGGTTGAAGATGATATTGATATTGATTGTTACTTTCGTACGTTGTCCTACTACTCCAATGAACACCTCTGTATAAGCCCGCCTAGGTACCCGATAAACATTCGAACAGACAAATGCATGGACAACCCCGCAGACAAACCAGAAATACAGGACGCCAACCCGATGAATTAAACAATGCTGATGATGATAAAAACAACAATAATAATGAACAGAACCCACAGACCAGCAAAAGTGCGCCTCCCCTTTCTCCATCGCGCCCATCGTTTCTATTGCAGCACTCCACCAACACCATAGATATAATACGCTATGCATGCTTTGTTTCTAACCCGCGCCCCTTGAAATGATTCGTGAATTGCAAGTGTGCTTTGGAAATAACCCCCATCGTATGCGTGTGTTGTAGCCGTCTCCCAAGAACTATGATCCACGAGATGATCCAAAATGCGTGCGATATCCCAGGAATGTTACAAGCGGACCCAGCCCTGTTGTTGAAAAGAAATAAAATGAACACTTGCTTGGTTTCGTTCTACGTGTTTTTGGTCGTTTCGGTCGTTTTCGACATCTGCGGAATCCCCAGCGGCGGTGAAGACACGTCTACTTCTTCAATTCGACGTCCCTCTCAAGCAGACTTCGGATATTGCTCCACCAGCCACTCGAGCACACTCTCATAGCACAATGCAAATTGCCGCAAGCTCTGCACCATACTCAGTCTCTGTAGCCTGAAATCCTCAACTGTTTTCTCGATCAAGTCGATATCTTCCCTCGTAATCCAGTTGCTTTCTTGACTTGCAGCTTTGGACACGTTGTTTGCTGTACTGTTTTTGTCCTCGGTACTTGATGCGGAGTTCTTACGTGTCTTGTCGTTTCCATCAACGACCATCGGACTTCCCTGGGGTTTGGAGTTGGGCGAGAGGGGATCGAGTTCCATGGGCGTGCTTTGTCGGACATTACGCGTCTGCCGTTGACGCTTGAGCATATCAAGAACGGAATCAACGGTGCAGAAAGTTCCAGTACGACCGCAGCCAGCAGAGCAGTGCACGAGCACCGGGCGAGTGTTTGGTGGATCCGGGCACGAGGGAGACCCGCCATTGACTTGTCGACAAACAGCATCGCATTGTTCAATGAGTCCTAGTAGATGCGTGGGGTGAGCGGGGGCGCCGAAATCAGGCCAATGAGAATATTGGAGCTGTGTGATCTCTCGCATCCTAGCGAAAGGCTCTTCATCATTGGAAAGCGTAAATTTTCGGACAGTTACAAAGGGCTGATCATTGCTCTGCGGGGTTACTGTGGCTTCCTTGGTGAAGAATGCAGACTTCGGTGGGTTTGTGGAGCGTCGTTGACCCAGAGGAGGCCTCCACTGCTCGCGATGTTTGTGGATTTTCGATGGCTCGAGAGAAGCTTTACGTTCACCCAGTTCGTTTAGGTGCAAATGACCGTACTGCCTATTTGACCAATAGTTGTGTGCCTTGAGTTGGCCACCCTCTTGTTCGGCAGTGAGCATGACAATCACACGGACATCCTGCTGCCACACAACGTTCCAGAAATCCTGCTTGCTGTCAGTACGCGGTTCCCAAAAGAACTGAAGGATGGAACTTACGTTGAATGTGGCCGGCAGTGGGCCTTGTGTGGCAATATACCGCTTGTTGGACATGGATGGTTGGATGTGGTTGGCATTGACATAATCGCAACCACTAGAATCGACGCCCTGCAGCTTGACACGAGAATGCTCATAAGGCCAGATGCTGTTATATCGGTTCTTGGAACCCTTCTCGATTCCCGCAATCTGTATGCTTTTGGCTGGCTGTCCTTCGGCAGTCGGGGTGCCGTAAACTACTTTACCCGACAAAGCCTCCTGCATTCGTTTCTGCTCACGCTTTTCGATATGCAGGAACTTGTCTGCCACCAGCTTTCCGTTGTTCTTCGCGTTAGAGGCAGCCTGAAGCCAGTCGGGAAGCTCCTCTTCGAATGACTGGGTCATGGATGCAGGGTGCTTGATGGGCATTTGACCCACGCCACCAATGAGATCCATGTTTTGGCGAATATTACCAAAGAAAGGATTGGCTGCATTTTGGGTTGCAGGCATAGGACAGCCTCCGATGACAGGAGCAACGGCGGGGAGCTCTGTATCGCTCTTGGCAGATGACGCAGAGGAGATCGGCGATTGTGAGGAGCCATTCGAGGTCCACGAAGGAAATTTATTCGAGAACTCCTGGAAACCACCACGAATGATGTACGATCCGCCAGTCCAGCCTTCGCTGCTGAACTTCTTGAGGGTATTTATGCATATTTGAGCGTCCTTCATCTGCGAAGAGTTTGCATCATACACAACAATGTGCTTACTGCTTCTCCAGTTCTCGAACTTCTGGCGGAGATCTTCATCTTTGAATGTTTCGGCCAGCTTCTGCACGTTAAAGGATGCGCGCTTGAGCAAGGTTGTGGGGATACAGAGACTGAGCGCGCCAGCTATGCGACCCTTCGCGTATTGAGTGGAGACACGCAAATCGAGAAGAAGCACTTCGTCTACCGAAGACTCGAGGATGTTGACAATGTGTTGGGGTGTCACCATACGCGGTCCGTCACCCTGCTCTTCGTCTGAAATGTGCGCTGGCAGGGTTTGTGCTCGGTAGTGGGCGTTGGAGACGCTGTGCGAAGATTTATTCGAAGGCAAAGACGGGCGTGTGCGATCTTCAGCAAACTCGGCAACTTCGTCGGTACGGCCGTATCCTTCCTGGTCAAGGAAACTGGCGGGCGAGTTACGGCGGGGGCGATCGGGGAAGGCGCTGGATTCCGAGGATAACAGACGCTTTGGAGAACGAGGCTTGCTCCCGCTACCATCTGATTTCTGGTCGTCGGAGCTGTCGTTTGTGTTCAGTGGCATGTTCACAGACTGGGGTGACTGAGGTTTCATGGCGCCGAATACAGAGCCCTTGGGGGCAGGAAAGGAGGGTGGAGATGAGCCAAACTCAAATCTACCAAGTGCAAAAGCTCCCCTGCTGTTCTCGGACTGGCGTCTGAACTGTTCGAATTCGGGGTTCTGATCGACGGGAATGACGCGAGGCGACGCAGCAGCTGTGGAGCGCACATTGGAAGACGGAGGACTCCAGTTGCCACGGATGTGCTGGGCGGCGCTGGACGAAAAGACGTCGGAGTTGGGATCAACTTGCAAACCAAAGTAATTGGGACTGGGCGTCTTTGGCTCTTGTGCGGCTGGAGTCTTTACTTGATTCAGGCGGCGTGGGGTGAGGACGGGTGGGTTGGAGGATAACGGGCTGCGAACGGAAGATGGTCTCGGGACAGGTGTAGGGGCAGCCATGGGTCGTGCCCGAGATTGTGTCGAATGTGACGATTCACGAGGGCGGGGAGAGATGGCTGGGGTAGACATGATGAGCAATGGCCTCCTCTCTCAGGCAGGCGGTTTGAGGTTGCGGGCACGGGCGCGCAGTGTTGTGAGAGGGAGGGAGGGATGCGACAGGCGGAGGGATGGTGATTTTTAATGCAACGGAATTAGGAGCATGGAACAGGCGGCGGGTGTGGAGGGTTTTGGTTTCGAGGGGGATAGAGGAATTTTTTCTCGACTTCTCTTCCTTGGGACGATTGATTGTGATGTGCAATGTAGGGGGGAGGCAGGGATGGGGAGGGTGAGGCGCTGTTCCCCCGTTGGGTGGTGGCCGTTACGTCGTGGTGGTTCAAAGAGCTGAAGATGATGTCACCGGGGCGCCGGCGATAGGAGATGACAAACTCGAACACAACCACAATCCAATGTGCAGGATCGGCGCGCGCCGAGGGAAGGGGGGCAGGCGAAAAAAAAACCCCTAGGACAAATGGCTGTAAAGCATAGTCGGTCAGTTTCCAGAATATTCAATAGTAATCGTAATGGTAAGACGAGCAAGCAGGTCGTTCCTCGGTGGAGCAGCAGTGTGCGCGCGCGCACACAGTTGGTGCAGCGCTCGCGGGCAAGACAGGGAGAAGACGCACCTTTTTCTTGCTACTCGGGCAGACACAGGACTCGAGAACACACAGCCACACACGTGTATGTATGTATATATTACCCGTAGGGGTGAATAGAGGTTGGCGGACGCGTATGTAGCAGTAACAGGCACGTAAGGTGAAGAATCGGGCTGTGCGCGCAGCGGGCTCAACTGGCGGACTGGCAGACGGGCAGACAGACGCAGGGTCCGACGGGCACAATCGTTCGGTTCGTTGGTTTGCTCGTCTGTTCCTGGCCGAGTGCGCAAGACAGCGGGCGGGCGGGATTGCGATCGATAGGGCTGCTCTGCTCAATGCGTGCGTGTGGGGGATCCCGCTGGCGGAGGACAGAAAAACATGGGCGGAACGAAGACAAAAGGTGCGGCGGATCGTGGATTAAGTGAGGAATCGAAAAAGCCTGCCAGCGAGCGACCAAGATCGACACCGTCATCATCGGGCCCAAGCGCAGCGCACGGTTATCAACATTGAAGCCATGAATGGCCATCCCGTGACCCCTACCGTCACCACCGCCGCCGCCATCCATTGACCTGGCAGACGTCACGTCCCCTCCCATCCCTCTACGTCTGTGTACACACGTGCATTCTGCTCGCATGTATCCTTTTCAACCCTCCTCAACCCTTTTCTTCCGCTCAATGGCCATTCTTCCTCTCTCGCCCTCGAACCCGCAATCTCTAGCATCTACAACCGTCGTGTGCCGCCCAAACGATCACCACAGACACCTGCTATAAATGGATCATCATCGTCATCCTCCTCTTTGCTCGTCCAAAATGGTATGGATCCACACGCATGGCACGCTCTGGACCCTGAGGCACATGCGACTTTCCAGTTCCAGGCGGCCTCTTAGGTCGGCACCCTTTTCATCTGCTCTTCCAGGCTGTAGGCATCCGAAACTGGCCTCACCCCTCTTTCTGATTGACCATCACCATTTCTCCTTCGCCGCAGGCAAACAGGGCATTCTTCTTACCACTTGACCATTGCCGCGCCATGTTCCATCTTCTGCTTTTGCCTCCACGAGCTCAACACCGGCAGTCAAAGTCATGTTGTCATCCAATCTCGCGCTAGCGTAATCTCTACACCGTACCTTTTCTTCCGTTACAATCGTTACAATGGCAATCCCACCCAATAACCTTCGTTCCAAGCCTTCTGCTCTTCCTGCCCAATTACCAATCGAAACAGCCGAGTCCGCTCAAATCAGAAACATCCCGAGAGAAACCTTGTTCGCTGCTACAGTACTGTACAGCGCAGGCAAGGCGTGATCGTCCACCGGCTCCCTCACCCTGCTTGGTTTCTCGAGCCTTGTCGCACTATGCTTAGCCCGTCAACAACTATCCACCGAGGCGGTTTGGGATCTCTGGCGGCTACGGCCACACTTGTGGCAACGCCACGGATCAAAAAAAAAGACAAAGAAATGAAGAAAAAAATCTTCTGGGTCAGGCTCTTACAGCAGATACCTACCCAATGTTACACCCCATGGTCTGTACCCTGGCCGTTGTGTTGGCTGGTCCGCTTTTCATCCGAGTCAAAAACCAGGCTTCCGCACATCTCCCGCCTTGCTTTCACTTACACTTAGCAAGGCACATAAACTCCGTCTTCGGATATGTACACGTACTCGTAGTCACACGACTCCTAGAGTCACTCTAGTTTCCTCTTCCGGTGAGTCTTCCATTCGTGTCTCCTAATACATCTTGCCACCACCTCTTTTTCCTAAACAACATTGAACAGCAGCGGCAGCAGCGTGACCTCATCAGCCACCACCCCTTCATCTAGAACACTATGACACTTACCCATGCTGCAAGTAAACATACAACGTAAATGCCAAAAGCAAGTACAGCCATGGCTCGTGTATTCCTTCTGAATATGGAGTTCCCCATCCTTGGTGTACTTCTTCCATCGCTTGCGTCTGTGTACTGTACATATGCACGACAGAGGACCCATCTGCCATCTTGCATCCATCTCCACCAATCCACACCCACAGACCCATAAGATGCCCCCACTACACAAAACAGGTATTCTTAGCTCTCAACTAGCCACAAGCACGTGGTCTAGCCTTCTCCGCCATCAATTAATTCCCTCTCTCACTCGTGCTTTGCAATACGCAAACTAGAAATGTAAAACACTGGCGACAACGCCCATGTGTCTTCGCCGCGCGCCTCCCCCTAACTAACTGAGACCTACCCTAACTAAGTCCTCTTCCCCACTGTAAATCCGGATAAGAGGATGCAGAAGATTGGAAATCGGTATTCGCGTGCGTGTTGTTAGAGCATGGAAATCCGTAAGCTTGAGCCGGGCCAATGGTAAACCGTTGCGCTTGTATCCCTTGTTTACGTGCATCTTTTGGTGTTGCAATGTGGGATGTTGAGCGTAATGAGCATCCGAGTCGGAGTTCAGAGACATCTGTCTGGATGTTGAAGCACACAAGATCAAGTTCCGTCTCGAGCCTTCGTCGGACTCTACACTCTAACATTTATAATGTATTATTGTCCGCAACCTACTTTCTAGCCTTCAAATGTTCAAATGCTGCTTCCGCGTGTCTATAGTCACGTGCTGTCGCGTGGACGTGCCTCGCGCTTGCCGTTGATTTTCCCCGCCTCGGCACGTCGTCTACAATCCCAACATTTGAACTCAAGCAACGGCTTTTGACTACAACAACATTTGACCCAACCTGTGTTTACGCCTTGCTTTCCCTTGTTACCAGTATCGACACGGAAGAGATCCTCGATTCCCACCCCATTCCTCTCTTCGTGCATTTCAGTCCACCACTGTGACAACACGACATGAGCAATCAACACGACATGAGCGATGAACAGGACATGAGCGATGAGCACTACATGAGCGATGAACACGAGAGGGACTATGAGCACGACAGGAGCGATCAGCACGCCGAGTCGTCCAGGTCTCGGGATTATAACGACACCCATCGTGCCCTAACGCAGGTTTTCTGGGCGAATTCTGTCATGACCTTTGACGAGCTGAAACCCGTTATCGCGGGTATAATGACGGCGTACGGTGAGCTGTTACATTTTCACTCCCCGCGAGCTTTTCCATTGCAGCTATGCTGATTTCTCCCATCAGATCCTGAACGCGAGACGCTTGCCAACGATATAACCCTGCAAACTGTGACCTCGATGATACAAGCAATAAACGCAAGAATCGGCATGTTTGACTTTGAGATACGATCCATGCGTGATCAAGTCGATCGTGAGCTGACATACGCCCTGATAAACCTGACATCGGACTTTGTATCGCGGAAGGCGACGTCCTTCAAACCGGACGAAATCGCTTATGTCTTGCGTTTATTCGATTTCATGTTTGTGACAAACAATACCATGATGCGAGAAGTTATGGCAATCAAGGGGTTGCAGGCCGCACAGCTGGCAACGGCACCGGAGCAGGAACAGGAAAGTCAGAGCTCTGGGGAGACTCAGGAAGCTGAAGAGACTCAGGATGATGAAGAGACTCAGGATGACGAAGAGACTCAGGATGACGAAGAGACTCAGGATGATGAAGAGACTCAGGATGATGAAGAAGTTCAGGATGCTGGAGAGGGTCCGGCTACAGGAAAGAGGAAGGCTACAGGAAAGAGAAAGAGCAAGGGAAAGAGCAAGGCTGCAAGAAAGAGAAAGAGAAAGGCTGCAAGAAAGAGCAAGGCTGCTGGAAAGAGGAAGGCCGCTGAACCGAGCGAGGTCGCTGAGTCGAGCAAGGCTGCAGGAAAGAGGAAAGCCGTTGAACCGAGCGAGGCCGCTGAATCGAGCAAGGCCGCCGGAAAGAGGAAGGCTGACGAGGACTTCGGAGAGAGCGAGACATCTGGGGATGAAGGTTCTGATGAAGATTCTGATGAAGATTCTGATGAAGGTTCTGATGAAGGTTCTGAGGAGGGGCGCAAAGACACTCCGGGAGTGATCAAAAGCCTAAACCCCCTAAAGGCTGAAGAGGTACTGGGAAAGTTGGTGAGACAAGGCTTCTTCCAAAGGTCACAGACAGGATACTATTCTCTGGCGCCACGTGCGCTTATGGAACTTCGTTCGTTTCTCAAACAGAGATACAATTATGCCGAGGAGGAAACCGAGAATGGCGAGCCAGTGATCAGGATAAAAGACTGTGAAGGCTGTAGGGAGATCATCACGACGGGGCTGAGGTGTGACAACAAAGAATGCGGCGTAAGGTGGCACGCGTACTGCGCCATACAATATTTCCAAAATCAACCGGGAACTAGAAGCCAGTGTCCTAGATGCAAGGCCGACTGGGAAGGCGAGACCCACGTCGGTGAACTGGCTGATCAGGTGCTTGGGAAGAGACGGACACTCGAGGCAGCACGAAGTTTGATGTCGGGGGTTGAGGATCTCGAGTTGGGGGATGAGGATGACGAGTGAAGTAGTGGGCAAACATGTTGATATTGATACATGCCCGCGAAACATGCCGTAAGGTCTGCCATTCAGTACATGTATTGAGCGCATTTGACGTAGTGACGTATACGACGTCCCAACGATCCAGTGGAGATGTACGGATTTGTAGTGTTGAGTGAGGTTGAGGTTATGAACCATGGTACGCTCGTCGCCCTCTGATATAAAAAAAAGAGCAGAGTTCGCACAAGGCTTTCCACATCCATCAACCCCTACCTGCCCACGATCAGTACATGTAGTCACACTGCCGGAATCAAAAAAGGTATAATAAGTTTTTGAGGTGGGGTATTGAGTGTTCCTGCATAGCGATATTCACAACGATAGGATTCTGAAAAAGAAAAAGATGCAATTCGGTATTAAGTCAGTAAACCAGACCTGAGCGGGGGATAGACGAGACCGCCGAAACACCAGGAAAGCTTTATAGACTGATGAAGAGCAATCACTTAATTGATCCAAGCCCTTTAGATGCCCCGTAGTTCTTGTAATCACTTAATTGATTCAAGCCCTTTAGATGCCCCGTAGTTCTTGTAATTATAAGAACTTTTGCCTACTCTAGCTACTCTACTATATAACCAAGAGTAATTGCGCAGCTAATAATTACCAGATGTGATGGTAAATGTACACGACCAAGAAGCCCCCAATGGTAGCACACAAATCATTTGTCTGGTTCCGGTCAGCCAAATCAGGCAAGCGCCAGAGTTCGATCTCGGGAGGTAAGCTGGCAAGTTGGCTGACACCACATCACCACAGCTTTCCGACTTTTCTCACAGCAACTTGCCTATCTGAATGCCTTTACCTATTGCTCTATTTGAACCCCCACAGAAACCCACTGTCTCAAACATTTCGATCGGTCGGTTCTTCCGCGCCCCATCCGAGGTCCGTGCAGCAACACCATGCTCCTTTTCAACTTGCCATCAGAGATCATTGGGGAGATATTGAATCAACTTGAGCCTGCAGCCTTTTATGTCTGTCTACAAACGGCCAAGCTATTCCGCGACAATGCCTTGTCCTCAAAGGCGTTGATCCGCGCGCATCTAGCTCGTATCCCAGGACAACGCGTTCTCTCCGAGGAAGTCGAGAACAGTCCGGATGCCCTGCTGGGTCTGTTTGAAAAACGAGCAAACCAGCATTTGTTCAATTCTGCAGGTGCCATGGCTGATGTCTTTGCATGGTTCCCTGAGCAAACAATGCACAGCAAACTGAGTGGGTTGCTGTGCTGGAAAGGGCTATCGAAGCAGGAACTGAAGATGTGGAAAGGATTATCAAAACGTGATCTGAAGACCGAGAATACCCACATACTGGCTTATTGTGAAGTCCAACCGGAAAAGGCTATAGTCACTTTATACTCTATAGAGGACTATGGCGTTCATGGACACCGCCCACAGATCAGCCACATTATATCACCTCGCATTCTACTGTGTCAAGGAGCTCTTGTCGATCATCAATACAAGATCATGAAAGTCACTAGCGTTAAATTCGGGATAGCTGTGCTGTACGCGCCTCTGCAGTCAATTCACCAGTCCGACTCTGAGCATGTCCTCCTTGGTCAAGAGTGGAAACTGCTGCTATTTCACCTGGAATCTGGGCATGGTGTTTCCTTGTACAGATCGTACAATATTCGACCCCAGGGATCAGTTTTCATTGATCTGGCTTTCGACTCAGATGGCAATCCAGTGGTATGCTGGAAGACCCACGCATATAACAACAGGGGGATGTACACGTCATTCCAAGTGACCAGACACCACCACCCCAGGAATAGCCAGAGAGTGCAAGAAGTCGAACGCCATCGCACTCTCGAGCTTAGCATAGACACACGTTCGGCACAAGACTACAATTACATGATGAGTATGCGCGGTAAGCACATAGATATCATTCCGGCTCCGGCACATCTCCCACACTATACATCCCCGTACGTTGACCATGAGCACTCGGCCCTGTTTGAATCTAGAGACCCTGAATTTCCGGAAAGCATTGGGATATTCACTCGGCCGTCGTTTGGCTACACACTGGCAACACACCACTACTGCTCTTCTCTCCGTTCCTCGGATACATTTGGCGCGAGCAATGGCGAACGAGGATGTGTGAATACCGCGTTGAAATTCGCCATCTCGCGTGAGGCTCTTGGAGCGTCACCGTTAAGCTCACGTAAGAAGCAGGGGGCTTTCTTAGTAAAAGCCTTTGACTTTGCAGACAGTTGCCACGACTTTGATTGGGATGAAGATAGATTTCAGCAGCAGTATCTGGTCGTTGCGCGCCTCATTGCTCATCCTGATCTCTGCAATCTATCTACACTAGGTCTCATCGTAGCGGTGTCTCCAGGCGCCCATCGCATAGCCGTATCATCGTGGAGAACCTTGGTCGTCTATTCTCTCGACCCGCAAGCCTTTCTGGACCCTGATTACAGCCTATCTCGCGCTATGATTCCTGCTCCTGACCTGTATATGCTCCCCTCATATCCGGAAAACCAGAAGGAGCGTTGTGGTTGGGAATATTATTCCAATGCCAACATTATTGAGAGTTGTGTTGAATTGGAGCCAGTGCGGCTAGAATGTAAAGGTGTCGTGTATGGGCTGGAGTGGCGAGATGAGAACGAACTTTGGGGGTGGGCAGAGAATGGGTTGGTGAGGTGGACTATGGGGTCGATGATGAAGGGAGCGAGAGGATATGGTAGCATCGGTGGGGATTGGCTGGAGAAGGCGAACTGGATGGACAGTTTGAACGAAAAACAATGATGGCCGTTGACTGAGACGCACATAGCCATGGTTCGATCAGTACAGGCTGCCTTTATCTCTTCCATCATGTGAAGGCGGCCTGGTTGTGGTGGATTACTACTGGCCGATGCATTAACCACCGCGTATGGCATACACTTCTTATATTTCAACGTCTACCCGAAAAAAGTTTAATCGATAGCCAAATGATACAAGCTGAACAATGAAAGTTTGAAAGTTGACTTGATAATGCGGTGACCACTATACGTACAATCAACCGCTTTGGGGATGGTGCTTGGACCAATGGCAAGCTGTCGCGAGGAACTTCAGAAGCTACAACAGCCTTTCTGATTATTACCATGTAGCACCCGCCACGCCACGCCTGCCATCACCCATCGCGCTAATCAGCAAAGCTCCGGCCCCCCTCCAATCCTTCACCAACAATGCCATGATACACATTCCCGCTCGGCCTCACCACTTACAACACAACCATGGACACCTCCACGACCGTTGACATTCCCTCCGCCTCGGGACGCAACTCCCCCAAACCTCCGCCGGCCAAGATCTGGAGCGTGAGCGAGCCCCCCTTCGAAGGCTTCAAGCCTATAGACAAGGAGGGGTTTTCGCGCAGTAACCAGGAGACTGCCATCGTCATCGACAATGGTATGTTTGCGTACATATCCGCCATCTCTAGGGAGCTTGACTGATTAATGAGAACAGGCTCATCCGCTGTCCGCGCCGGTTGGTCTTTTGATGCGAAGCCTCGATTATCGTTGCCTCCGCTCATGGCCCGATACCGCGATCGCAAGCTTGCAAGAACATTCACATTTGTCGGCTCCGACGTGTACAGCGACGGCACAGCACGCGGGCAAGCCAAAAATGTATACGAGCCGGGGAGCAACATAGTCAACAACTGGGATTGTATGGAAGGCGTATTGGACTATTGTTTCATCAAGCTGGGTCTAAACAGCCAAAAGGGAAGCATAGACAGGCCGATTGTCATGACGGAACCTGTCGCGAACCTAGGCTATACACGAAAGAGTACGTTGGAATAGAAGATTCAAGCTTCATCGAGGTTTTGATGCTGACTTACCACTCCAGCCATGTCCGAAATCCTATTCGAATGCTACGGCGCACCATCGGTCGCATACGGCATCGACTCACTCTTCTCATACGCGCACAACGGCGGCAAGCACGGTCTTGTCGTCTCATCCTCATACACCTCCACACATCTGATACCCGTTGTAGAGTCCAAAGCTCTACTCTCGCAAACCACGCGTCTGAATTGGGGTCGCTTCCAGTCTGCCGAATACCTCCTCAAGCTCCTCCGCCTCAAGTACCCCACATTTCCCGGCAAGGTCAGCGATCCTCAAGCCGAGGACCTCGTGCGCGAACACTGCTATGTAAGCCAGAATTACGAAGGAGAGTTATCTCGGTATCTGGATTGGACAGGCTTAGAGGACCGTGACCACATTGTACAATTCCCCTACGTCGAACAAGTGGTGGTACAAAAGACCGAGGAAGAGCTTGCGATAGCGGCAGAGAAGCGCAAGGAGAGCGGCCGGAGACTTCAGGCGCAAGCTGCCAAGATGCGGCTCGACAAGTTGAAGAAGAAAGAGGAGGAATACGAGTACTATCAACAACTACAGCAACAATTGCAAGACGTAACGAAGAAGGAGGCGAAACGAATCCTCGAATCTAACGACTTCGATGACGAGAACCAGCTGGAAAAACGGATACGGGAGCTGGAGAAGGGGATCAAGAAAGCGCGAAACAAGGACGTCGGGGATGTGGAAGACGAAGTCCAGGAAGAGCCCACCTTCCCTCTCCTCGACACGCCAGACGAGGAGCTAGACGAGGAGGGCATCAAGCAAAAGCGCCAGCAGCGTCTCATGAAATCCAATTACGAAGCGCGTCAACGCGCCAAAGCCGAGAAAGAAAAAGAAAAGGCTCGAATAGCCGAAGAACAGCGTCTCGACGACGAACGTCGAGAACAAGATCCAGAAGGGTGGGCTACGGAGCGCAAAATCGCACGACAAGCCATTATCCAAAAGATGAAGGATCGTGAACGCCTCAAAGCCGAGCTGGGCAACCGTAAATCCCTCGCCAACCAAATGCGCATGAAATCCATCGCCAACCTCGCCTCCGACAATCCAACCAAAAAACGCCGTCGCGGTGGTGGCGACGACGACACTTTTGGCGCCGACGACGCCGACTGGGGCGTCTACCGCACCATCGCAACAGGCGAACAATCCGACGACGAAGAAGAAGAAGACCTCACCAAGTCCCTCAAAGAAATCGAATCCCAACTCCTCCGGCACGACCCAACCTTCACGGAAGAATCGACGCGCGAAGCGCAAACCGACTGGACCAAATCCACGCTCCATGCCTTCCTCCACGGACCCTACCCCTTCGACCCGGAATCCCAAAAGGAATCCAACCAGCTCCACCTCAACGTCGAGCGCATCCGCGTGCCCGAAGTCGTCTTCCAACCCACCATCGCCGGCCTCGACCAAGCCGGCATCGTCGAAATCGCTTCAAACATCCTCACCGAGCGTCTCGCGGAGAACCCGCACCGCGACGCTATCTGCCGCGACATCTTCCTCACGGGCGGCAACACTTTGTTCCAGGGCTTCGAGGAGCGTCTTGCCGCCGAGCTCCGCGCCGTGCTTCCCGCCGAACAAGTCTTGAAAGTCAGGCGGGCTAAGGACTGCGTGCTCGATGCTTGGAAGGGCGCTGCTGCTTGGGCTGGCGATAAGAAGAATCGGAGCGCGTTTGTCACTAAAGCCGAATGGAGCGAGAAGGGCGCCGAGTATATCAAGGAGCACGATTTGGGGAATGCTGCGGCTTTTTAGGGGAAAGCTGGGTTTTATAGAGGGGGGGAGGGGAAAAGGTCACAGCAGAAGAAGAAGAAAGATGGGAAGAAGAAGAGTGGTTAAAGGAATGGGTGGATGGGATGGGGATGGGGGAATTCGAATTCACTCTGCCTGTCTGGTCAGATATCTCTTCTTCTTCCTCTTTTTTCTTCTTTTATCATTTTTTTCTCCTCGTGAGCGAGGAAAGGGTCTCTTATTCCGTTATTTTCAAAATATTCATTGCTTCAGCGGTTTTCTTGTTCAGAGTGAGTGAATGTAAACTTCTCAGGATCAAGAAACATCAAAAGGTGAGTCTTTCAAAAACAACAAACTTTTTCTCATTTTTCCACGTTAAAAAAGAAAAGAAAGGATCCTCTAAATATACAAAAAAATGCTTGTCTCGTCATTCATTTTCTTTTTCGTCTAGTTTGTTCCGTTGGCGGACTTGCTTCTCTTCTCCCTACGCTCGGCAACGGCAGACGCGAGATTCTCCAGCACGGCGACAGTGGACTCCCAATCTATGCAGGCGTCGGTGATGGAGACGCCCTTCTTGAGAGCCGAGGGGCCTTCGGCAGGCACCTTTTGGTTGCCCTCGTTGATGTTGGACTCGATCATGACGCCGACGATGCCGGTTTCGCCGGCGCGGATCTGGTCGGCGATGACGGAGGCGACCTTGGGCTGGTTGCGGTGGTCCTTGTTGGAGTTTCCTGGTTAATCGCGTGTTAGCAAAAGGGAAAGGTGACTGGGGAACGAAAGGGGGAAGGCGAACCGTGAGAGCAGTCCACCATCATGACTTCGGCCTGGCCCTTCTTGCGCAAAGCCTCGCGCGCGGCTTTGATGCTGTCGGCGTCGAAGTTGGTGCCCTTGGTTCCGCCGCGCAGAATCACAAAGCAGTTCTCGTTGCCGGCTGTCCGCGTAATGGCGGCCAGACCTTGCTTGGTGACACCCATGAAGTGGTGCTTCGCGGCGGCAGCGCCAATCGCGTCCACGGCGACCGTCAGGCCGCCATCCGTGCCGTTTTTGAATCCAATGGGGAACGACAGACCCGAGGCCAGCTCGCGGTGTAGCTGCGACTCTGTGGTGCGGGCGCCAATGGCACCGAGCGAGATGAGGTCGGCAAGGAACTGCGGCGAGATGGTGTCGAGCATTTCCGAGGCGATGGGCATGCCCTGGGCAGTGAGGTCGCAGAAGAGCTTGCGTGAGACGCGGAGGCCCTTGTTGATTTGGAAGCTCTCGTCAATGTCCGGGTCGTTGATCAGACCCTTCCAGCCGACCGTGGTCCGGGGCTTTTCCAAGTAGGCACGCATGATGATTTGTATGTCCTTGCTGAGCTTGTCGGCGAGGGCTTTGAGGCGCTGGCAGTACTCGAGGGCCATGGCCGGGTCGTGGATAGAGCAAGGCCCGACCATGACGAGGAGACGGTCATCTTTTTGGGAAATGATCTGGACGGCTTCTTTGCGGCCTTGTAGGACGGTTTGTTCGGATTTTTTGGTGATTGGGATTTCGGCGGAGAGCAGGGCCGGGGGAATCAATGGGTCATAACCGAGAACTGGCGTTGCATCAGCATGGAGAGGGGATTTTGGTAGAAATCAATGTTGGCAGGGGGAGAGAGAAAGTACCGCGCACATCGTCACTGACGGTATTTTGCTCGTGAATTGCGGGCATGGTGGCGGTGGGATCGGAGGCGGCTGCCATGGCGAAGCAGAGGGAATGGGTTAATTTATAGGTGCTGCAGCAATCAGCATTCCGCAATTGACTGGAAGAGAAGGCCGTGGTATGGCTGGCTGGAAGATAGCGGGGGTCTTACTGGTGGATCAGGGGTGTGTATACGGTGCAGCGGTCAATATGCAGCTCGTGGCAATGCCTGGATAGTGGATGGAGGAATGCGATGGAGGGGTACCAAAGGGGACAATTGGCTGGTGTAGGATGACGGCGTGTGCAATTGCAGAGGCTGCGTGTGAAGCAAAAGTCGGGAAGGGATTGCGACAGACGTCGAATAGGAACAAGAAAAAGGGTGCGTGGAAAAATTAGAGTTGGGAAGTCAAAAAAGCCAGCATTCTGGACTATTTGGTCAGAGCCATGGAGTCATAGGGCACGCCCTTGTCCGATTTTTGGCGGGGCTTTCCCGCCTTGACCGCTTTGGTGGGCTTACCATAAGCTACTGACTGACTGACTGATTGACTTGGAGTTTGTTTACAGTCAAAGGTGGTGGATTAATACAGGATATTGATTGAGTACGTATGTGCAGTAGCATGGGTGGTGTAGAGTAATATCCATCCCGCATTGTACATTTAGCAGGTGTTGACGGAACATGGTGCGTAGTGTTTCTGTTCCGATATTCGCATACACTTGAGTGCGATCAACGAGAGCCTGGCGCGTGGGTGCATCTGAACAGGTCCGACAGGTACAATCCAAAGTGCCAATTAGTAAAGCAAGGTGTTGATCGCCCGTGCTGTTTAGCCATTGTGGACCGAGGGCTCCGTAAGAAGATGATGAGAAGCGTGTTCAAGGGGATTCCAAAGCTGCTTGTTGATGGACTGACTACATCTGACCACCGACCATCGGCGCACGTGCTGGACGATGACGACATCACGTGCGCTCAGAGTCTGCCTGTCTGATGTGCGCCTGCCCGCCCACCCGGATGAATTGAGGTCTGAAACGAAAAACCAAAGACATGCACACACACGCCCACGAGCGCCGACTGACCTGCCCATGCAATATATACAGTCTAAATATATTCATGGCTGGTTTCAAATGATCAAGTGGCATTACTGGACGATGAATTGCAAGCGACGTCGAACAAACCATGGCCAGGCGCCTGGGTTCGTTCCAGCACTCGGCACAGCTGGTCTCTGATTGGCCAAGCCACGGCCCTCCTCTCTCTCATGGATCTCCCTCTCTACCCACTACCCACCCAGCCATACATCATGAATCGAACACCACTTTGCTTTGTTCCAAGCTTCTACTGCACGCATCAATCATAATGCCTTCTCTATACCTGCTCCACATGCCTAGCCGCCATGCTCCTTTCCCCCCTCCCCATCAAATCCATTCAAACATCTTCTTGCTTCCTGCTCGTGTACAATGAGCATGACTAAACTGCAACACCGACACTTCGCTCCACCACAACCCCAAAGCTTCTGCAACGCCACAGGCACCCACCTTACTCACCATCCTCCAACGCCGTTACGCTTATTCCCCATTGCCCCATTCCGACGCCCCTCGCGGACATGTTCGTTTCCGTTCACTGAGAAACTAACCATCCCTCCAAACCCCCCGGTGCCATCCAATCCTCATCGGCCATCTGAAACACCTGTGGCCCCTGACGAGCCGCTTTTCTGAACTGCAGATACAAAACACTTCACGCCTCGGCCACTTCAACTTCCCCAAATTACCTTTCCACTAGCTAATTCACTTATCGCCGTTCTTATCGCTCTGTCTTGCTCCGCGAACCCTCCATCATCGCTCTCTCACTTATCCACTCATCGCCTGCCAACCATTGTGAAGACTACCACTCGCACTCTCACTCTTACATAGAAATACCCCAACCAGACCTCCTCTTCAGCCTCAACCACCATGACCGAATTGGCCTTTCAACCTCAACCCATGACCATCAAACGACGCCGCGACGACGATTCCGACTCGGAAGACGACCGATGGCTAAAAGTGCGTTCCGAACTTCTTCTTCCTTCCCGTAGTCGTGATGCAAACGTCCAACAACAAACCACCCATCACTGCCAAACACCCGACTAACCATATGGCTACAGAAAGCTCGATCATGGGGTTTGCAACCCAGCTTCGGCTCCGCAGGCTTTCCTACATCCAGCATCCTACCTCTACGATCCACCCCATCACCGCCGTACGCTGTCCCAGGTCTCGAAAGCATGACGTCCGCTCAGTCTGAACACAGCGATGTCAACTCGCCCGCCTCCATAGACCAAGATCCCCTCATTTGCTCGCCCACCCACCAAGATGTCGACTACGCCATGCAGATGGATGAGGATGACCTGGACATGGTCGCCAGCCAGCCGCCAGATACACCCTTCATGACGACCAACTTTCGCCCCGCCAAACTCAACCCGGACCTCTTTGGCCGCGAATCTCCCGCCAACAGCCAGAACAGCAGCACAGGACGACTTCCCACGCCCATATATCCCACCTTTGCCAACAGCGGCGCCATGAACGGCCTAGGCTACCCAAGCAGCGGCATGGCAGGCGGCATGAACTCGTCCAACGGCTACCTCGGCATCCCCACGCCGCTCAACCCCCCACTCATGCAACCACCGCCACGGAAGATGGGCGCCCAATACGCAGCTGCTGAACAAGATCGCAGCCGGCGCATGCCATCACCTATATCCGAGGACGAAGATATCCCCGACACACCCACTGCGTTCGCGCAATCCCAAATGTCCCGTCTTTCCGTCACCTCTTCGGCGTGTGCGCCTGACCACATGATGGACACCGATTCCTCCCGAGCTTACCCGCCTACATCGCCGTCTATCCGCGGGAGGAAACGTAGCGGTGCGCTCACGGGATCCGGCCGATTCAGTATGGGGTATCGCGAGGACTGTGAGAGGTGTAGGCTCAGAGTGCCAGGCCATTACTCGCATTTCCTGCCGTAATGGGAGAGTGTTTGTTCATTTTGGGTTAGAAGCTTACGATATTGGCGCGTACCTATGTACATCGATTGCATGATGGGCATAGCGTTCTACGCAGCATTCACATTTTTTTTTTCAATGATTTTTTTTTTCTAATTTCTTGGATCTCGGTTGGTCTATCTTATGAAGGCTTTGCGCGTTTCTCATTACTTTTCTCCTCGCTGACATCCTGGTTGAGATGCGTGCGGGGAGAGGTCATTATCGGGTTCAGTGCGCTCTAGATGCACCATTAACGCTCTGTCAAGGCTTTGATTTATACGCTATCTATAGACGCTATCTAGGGATATGTAAAGGTACTTAGAAAGGGTGGATAATCCCCTATCCTAGGGTGTGCCTACCACTATAACGGTGGCACTACAGGCGTTGTTTTCCTTCTACAGCTACACCACTACTAGCACCTGAGTACATGCTTACTTCGCTGTTTTGATATCAAGCATTTATGAGGCAGATACGCAGATACGCGATACATAACTGAATCTTTGTAGGGGGCATTTTTCTACTCTCTCTTCCTCTCTCTCCTCTACTTTCCTGGCATGAAAGAAGGGAGAAAAGAAGACTCACATAAACAAACAACGCACTCCAAGAAGCTCACATCCGTGCAGCGACCAATCAATAATAAAAAACGCTGCCATGCCTCTCTTCTCTTCCTATCACCATTCTCGGCCCTGCACACAGACGTACATACCTATGTATGTACCCAAACACTTGCATCCCACTTTTCTTATCGATCAATCGGAATCCGAAATGGATTGAAACATACCGTTTCCCCTCTTCCCGCGAACTTGTTTATTCGTGATCTGTGTCGTTGCTGCTGTTTTGTTTTCTTGACACATTTTACCCCCCTTTTTGTGCAATGTCCGGCGTTTCTCGTGTATGCATATGGACTCGATGTGGGGGAGGTGGTGGGAAACCTTGGAACGTGAATGTACAGCAGCAGCAGCAGGCTGACGTGGTTACGCGCGCGCGTTTCGAAGAGGTACACACACACACACACACACACACACACACACACACATGCATACATGCACATGCCCCTGTTCGTTTGTGAACAGAAAGGAGGGGGATTTGAGGAATAAGAAATAAGGAAAGGAAAAGGAAATAGAGGTGCGCTAAATGCACTGGCTGTAGCGCTGAACTCGAGCAGCGAAGTAAAAGTAGGTGATGGAGTATGTATGTATGTATTGAATCGAGTTGAACCTGTTATGTATGTACATGTTGTTTGAAGAAAAGAAGTGTCGTAGTCACATGTAGCAAAAAAAAACTTTAACTCCTTATGTGGCTTTCTTCATCTTCTGTGCGTGTCCACTCTTTTTCTCTATCTTCCACATTATGGAAGGAAACGGCGCTGTGCGTGAGGAGCTGTCCTCCGATCAGCGATCACACCTCACAAAGGACCCATGAAACAATAGAGGACATGGCAGTATCGTGTAAATGGGTATCTTGAAAACGTCCCCTCCCTTGTTGCTGGGTGTTTTATTTCTTTCTTTTCTTTCGTCATCGAATGAATGATTATCGCCCCCCTTCTCCCTCTGTTTCTCTCACGCGGGATCTTTGAGACCGTTGGTCGCTGTGTTGTAGTGTTAGAATGGATCATGACATGTGAGCTTGATTACGACAAATGCAATAAACCACAGTCTTCCCTGGGCACGTTCAATCTTTCTCGCGTGGATATACCACATCGCTATACCAGAAGACCACGAACCACAGGAAGAAAAAAATGACAACAAAAAACCATACCGATCACCCCAAACCGTCTCAATGATACAAGATCAAACCGGAAAAAGAAAGGAGAAAGAAAGAAAAGAAAAGAAGTAGGAGGAGAAACGAACCTTCGAGATGAAACAGCACATTGCTCTGATAATTCTTAAACATCTGCGACACCAACTCCGTGTCCATGTTGGCAACGTTGATCTCGTTGAGGTTCTTGCTCAGGATCTGGATGGCTTCGTTGAGCTTCTCCACATTGACAATGATGCGGGAGAGTAGGAGCGTTTGTTGGTGCTCGTGAGGGGATTCCTGTCGTTCGTGCCTGGTTAGTCTTGTGCATATTTATATTGTTTGTGGATTTCGTCGAATTGGTTGATGGGTTCGATGTGAGGATTGGGTTCGGGGACGCGGAGTGCGAGGAGGGTTTTCTTTTTACCATTTTTAATAGCTCAGATGAATGAGAAGATAGTTGTTAGGTTTTTTTTCCAAAAGGTTGTGTGTACAGGCGCTTATACGTTGGTAATTGTATGTAGGCGTGGTGAGTGTTTGTTGTCGTGGGGTTAGGTGGATGGATGGAAAGGGACTAGTCGCCGCCAAGCAAATGTAGGTCTGGGGTTGCTGGTTGACGCGAGCCATAGCATGTCGAGCAATCGAGCAGAGAGAGCTTGTCTATAGGATTTCAGCCATTGCGTGGACTGCCTCTCGCCTCACATTTACCCTCCAACTGCATCTTGTGTTATTCATGCGACACAGCTACGACAAGTCATAATATCAACCGCTCTCGTCCTGTCGACATTCCTCTGCATCTCCTCCCAATCTCTACGTCCATCCATAGAGCTACATCCCTCCGAAGCGCGCAACCATGGCCCCTTTGACCGCCGGCTCCGATGAGAAGACTCATCAAGCTCTCCTCGACAAGCTCGACATCTATGCCATATCCAAACCCTACCGCAATCCCAACTGGAAACCCCCGCAGCGCCGCAACAAGAACGTCAAGCAAATCATCGCCGAAGCCACGCGCCGAGAAGCCTCAGTACTCGCGACGCAGAATAACAGCGGCGTCTCGACTCCGCTGACCGAAGTCGGCACCCCAGCTACAGGCAGCGGCGCTGTAGGTCGGCCTCCAAACATCGCGCAAGCGGCCCAGAGTCTGAGCACGTTAGTTCTCGAGAAGAACAGTCGCGCTGCTGCGGGCCTGCCTCCCACGAGCGTCACCACAAATGGTAATGGGGTGGGAGCGGGCGGCGCTGGTGGCCCGGCGGCGACATACACCAATATTGAGTCGGCGCCCAGCTTCCATCCGAGCAGTCAGCGGCGGTACTGCGACGTGACAGGCCTTGGTGCTCCTTACACAGATCCCAAGACGAGGTTACGATACCACGATAAGGAAGTGTTTGGATTGATTAGAACCATGGCGCAGGGTACGGTTGAAGGACACTTGGCAGCGAGAGGAGCGCACACAGTGCTCAAATGAACGTGCTCAATGTTCTCTGGAGCGTTGGGTATGCTCTTCACTTGAACACGATATTTTTTGGGGGGAAAGAGCACAGCGATGTCTTACACGAGATGAAGAGAACCAAACGACACATGTAGGACGCAAGAGAAAGGCGAGGGAAAGAAAGGTCTGTCTGGCCAACAAAGTCAAGCTCACTCCACCCACCAAGCTCCTTTCGAAGCAAGGCTCAAGAAGGCGCTCCGGCTTAATCGTGGACAGTTATATATATGGTTTTGTTCTTCGCCCGTGTGACGGGGTACCAGGAGCTTGCATAGAGCTTCTCCTAGTTACAGTAGCTTCGAGAGCAGACTGTGGCCGGGGCGGTATATAGTCATGTACATGAATAGTACGTAGGTAGATGGATGGAATCTTCGGAGGGCTCAACGTGTTCTCGTGCAACTACCTGTTCCGGTATTGAATTGGAGAAAACAGACAAAGAAGCGATGCGTTGTGCTTTGTGTGATCGAGAATCGTTCGCATCATTGTCCTAACATTAATGGACAGTGCTACTGTTGAAGGGGGTGCTTCACCAATCGAAACACATTGCCCAGAGAGATGAAAGAAGAGTAGAGACGGAAGCCAAACTCGAAAATTTAGCTGCGAACACCCGTCCCGCGCTAGACAGGGATCTAGCCCCATGTAAGTACATGCACGGACGCTGAATGCGACGCTTTGGAACAATCGCGACTCCCAAGGGCCACGAGACAGAAAAGTGTCCAGTCCGAATCTACGAATTGCAAACCACTGTTCCACTGCGCGATATCCTAGGCTACACCTTTTGTTGTTTGAGAGGGCCACTTTGTCTTTGTCTTCCTAACCTTTTCCTTACGACAACGTCTGTCGCGCATTGCGTACCGTACGGTACTCACACCATTCAAGATGCCGACCATGTGGCTTACGGATACCCAAAGTACGTTCCCCCACGATACAATAGGAGGTACTGGATACATATCGCACGTACTGACTTTTCCCGCGAAACAGAAATTGGGGTGGCTTTCTGCTCAGGGGGTGGGTACGCACTCTATTATTCCACAAACTACACAGACGTCGACGGCGCAACGAGATCAATACAATCAAGGAGGAACAAATGGAGAGATTCTGACTGAGACGGTATTCTGCAGGTGGTTTCTTCCTTCTGGGAGGCGTCATGATGTTTTTTGATCGCGCAATGTTCGTCTTTCCTCTTCTCTCCACATGTTCCTCTGTTCAAGTTACTGACTCTCCCTGCAGGCTGGCAATGGGAAACGTACGTCCCTACCCTTCCTCCTTCCCCCCCTCCCAAACCATCGTAATCTCGCAAACGAGACTAACCCGTTGTCCGCCCAACACAAACAGATCCTCTTCCTGATCGGTCTCACCCTCATCATCGGCGCCCAAAAAACACTCACCTTCTTCGCACGACGCCAAAAATGGAAAGGCACCGCAGCCTTCGCGGCAGGCATAACTCTGATTCTGCTCCGTTGGGCCTTCTTTGGGTTTTTGATCGAATTATACGGTATCCTAGTGCTGTTTGGAGACTTCTTCGCTACGATAGCTGGGTTCGTGGGGAACGTGCCGGTTGTTGGGCCGTATATTGCGAGAGGACTGGAGAGGATCGGTGCGGGGAGTGGTGGAAGTGGGGCAGAGGCCGCTGTTTGATTTCCCCTTTTATTCGTCTTCTCAAGGGGAGGAGGGCTGTGTATTTTGGTGTGAAGAGGTGGAAAGAACAAGGCCGTGTTGGGATGGGATATAAGATGCGGTGGGAGGTGTTCTCTGGAGTTTCATTGTGGGTTGGAAAAGTTCTCTGGATACCGTTTCCACAAACACGGGGGGATATTACTATTCTCGTTCCCAGATTACATTGCCATTTTTGGTTGGTGTTGTATATACCACACATCAACATCTCCTATCAGACGCATGGTAGCAAGCAGATAGACTATCTGAGGTAGAAGAAGGGGAAACTAGGCGAGGATTCAGACAGTAAGCATAGCCCTGGCGTTTTGTGCTTCTTGAACCATTCCTAGTTATTCGAGATCCGCGAAATCAATCAATGCTATCACCACGTTCACTGTCTTTGAGTTGTTACGTTGAAAAAAGACACTGCCTGCGGCGATAATTGTAGGTATGTGTGCGGCTCCTTGTAGATCTGGTGCACGACCTCCAAAACAATTTTCCATCTAAGTGCAAACTCGAAAGCTACTTTCGGACCAACTTCCTTGTAGGGAGCATTGAAGGGTTATGAGAGCTTGAGCTGAACAAGAAAAAACGTAGTAAACATTATACATTAACTAGTCTTTTCTGCGTTTTCTAGAGAGTTGCTGAACCACAGTCCATTTCACCCCGCTATCCAAACACCACGGCACAATTCCAAAACATAGCAACAAAAAAAAACTCAACTAAAAGACACAGAACAGATCCAACTCTGGCGCGGGAGAGAAAGAAATCACAACTCAGCAAAGACAATCCCCATGAGCCCAACCAACCCAGCAGCAGCACCACCCCATCCAATTCTCGACCCCACACCTGCACCCTCAAAAGTAGGTGCAGCAGTAGCCTCGGGCTCGCCATACACTTCCGTAGTGTAAGTTGCTGGCTCGCCGCTGGGACCAACGGTGGGCAGCACGAGGGTGACGGGCGCGGGGGGAGGCACGACGGAGCCGTTGCCGACCGGGATCGTGGCATTCGAGGTTGTGAGGGGGATCACGGGGATGGTGGTTGTTTTTGTGCCGTTTGTTACGTTTGCGATCACGGCTGGGGGTGGGAGGTTTTGCGCGGCCTGGGTGCCGCATTGGCCGGCTTGGAAGTCGAGGAACTCTGCGGGTAAAGCGGTTAGTGTGTTGTATTGCGTTGTGTTGGTAGGTGAGATGGGTTGATTCAGAGAAAGAGTGAAGTGTGGTGAGGCCGAGTTGGGATGGAATGGGGATAGGGGTCTTTGTAACTTACGGTCGACATCGTCATCAGTGCAAGTAGCGTCCACGGCTGCTTCGGCCTGAAGGCGGGTGAGCTCGACGCAAATGCAAGGGAAGTCGGCAGGGTTGCATTGGCTGTTGGCGAGCAGAGGGAAGAGCACTCCCTGGGCACAATCGGACAGGCCTTCGATAGCACTAGGGATCACATCTTCTTGGGGTAGGGCAGAGGTGATAGTAACGAAGACGGTGAGCGTCGACGTGAGGGTGCTGGAGAGGAAACGCATTGTGGTGGTGGTAGTAATGAGTGTTGATGATGGGAGGGTTGGAGAAGCTGTGGACGAGGGGATGACTGGCGTTGAAGTGGAGGAGATGGGTGTAGAAGTGGATGAGACTCGGGTGGAGGAAGGAGTAGTTGATGGGATAACAGGGGTTGTTGTGGAAGTTGTAGAAGAAGATGGAGTGAAGGGAGTTGTACTGCTTGTCCTCGTACTGGGAGTCGAAGTGCGTGTTGGTGGATGATATGGATGGCCGTATGGAGGAACGTATGGGTTTCCGTATGGATATGGCAAATCACGGAGGCCGAGAAGAGGTAAAGTACTTGTCCAAAGGGCGCGGATATCGATATGCATATCAGAGATGAGCGTAGAGAGTGGTAGGTTCCATTCGAATGCAGAAACTCAACAGATGCTTCTCGTTTTCACGTTGTTGTCTTCGCCGCTGTCAGTCTCGCACAATATATGCCAGATTCCACATGGCTGGTTGCGAACACCTCGCCATGATTCGAACAAACCCCAACACTTGTTGGAAGAATCTCAAGAACAGATGAAGACGAATGCGGCCATTTCCCTTTGTTGAATGGAAGTGCTGTCGTTGTTGAAGATGTTCTTAATGGTCGACGCCTCGGTTCCGGTTTCGTACGCGGCTCTCTGGAATGCAACTGAGAGAGAACGTCTTTGAGCAGATGTTCTGCAACTCAATGAAACGTAGTCGATTGGACATCAAAGTGTAGTTTTTCTTTGATACTCGGTCACTTCGAATGTTGACCCTTAGTGAAAATAGAGAGTTGCAGCAGTAGGTTGCAGTGAGTGCACACGATTACTTTCCACAGTAGGCCTAGAGATTGCACCCTCGGGTAGAGGGAATGTCGAGGTCCCACTGGCTAGGTTTTCTTTCATGTTACCTTAATCAGTCAAAATCTACATGCATCTTCACAGTTCCATCAGTTCGTTTTCCGATCGAGGAACTGTACGATGAGATCGATATGACTGATCTCGTAGAATGATTCGTAGTGCTCTTTGGCATATCTGATAGCACGAGATCTTGGGTCCATCGCCTTCGCTGGTGGATCAGGCTGGTTAGCTAGCAAATTTAAGTAATATGGGTTCAGTTCTTCACGATGACGCATTGGTCTTTCCAACATGAATTCGTGGTATCTGTATGCCAAAGCATATGGGTCTCGACTCAAAGGAGGTAAGGTCGACATGGCGCACAATTTCTAGTAAATGTAGCCCTGAAGTCCCGGAACCCGAGGGTTTTAATGCCGCTCGGAGAGCACAAAGACAAGCAAGTGGCTTGCAGTTGGTTTGTCACTCCATCACAAACAGTTTGATGCACAAAGCGAAGGACGGCGAAGCGAGTAGGAAGATTACAAAGGGTACTATCGTATCGTATGCATGATATCTTGGGGGAGGGGAATCTAACAGCAACAAGATTGCCATTCCAAGGTCAATTAGTAGTCAAAACAGAAGCATTGAAGTCAAACATGTGTAGATACCTCTTCCGTGATGCTCCATGTCTACAAGAACAAAGACGGACCAATGGATAAGACAGCCGTGGAAAAGAGATGCCAAGAAGCTAGTCCTAGTATGGCCTCGCTCACCGCTAGCGCCCCTGCCACTGCGCGAAAATTCCTGTCGAACTTTTCTGAGAACTCCAGACTGCACACAAGCTTCACTCCAGTCCCAAAAATGGCCGCTTCAACGTGAGTATTCCTCACCATTGGACATTGGTGCATCCAGTCACTTTGGAATCGAATTAACACATTCATCAGTACGGTCCCCACAAAGAGCGACATCCTCGTCCCGGAGACGCTCTTGAAGAAGAGGAAGTCTCAAGAAAAAGCCCGTGAAGAGCGAGCTATCGCAACCAAAGAGAAGCGAGGTACGCAAACACATATGTCACTGGCAGGTGGGGAGAGAGCGGGCACGATGATTATACCTACCAACACTATCGACTAGACTACGGTCTATGCTGTCGAATCGTTAACCATCTTTCGGGAATGATGCGACCGCCCTCCTCAATCTGCTAGTGGCTCACTATCAGTGGTAACATATGCTAATAGTTGCCCCAGACAAGAGCAAGAAAAAGCGGGAAGTCATCTTCACACGTGCTGAGAAGTACGTGAAGGAGTACCGTGACGCCGAGCGGGAGAAGGTCAGGCTATCTCGCGATGCCAAGCAGAACGATGCCTTGTACGTCCCGGAAGAGCCCAAGTTGGCCTTTGTGGTGCGGATCAAGGGTATCAACAAGATCGACCCCAAGAAGCGAAAGACCCTGCAGCTTCTGCGTCTCCTTCAAATCAACAATGGTGTCTTCATCAAGTTGACCAAGGCCACTATGGAGATGCTCAAGAGTACATTGGTTCCGTTCTCCGTTTCACTCTCATTCGGTCGCTAATAATAGTGCAGTTGTCGAGCCCTTCGTTGCATACGGCTACCCCAACCAGAAGTCTGTTCGGGAACTCATCTACAGTAAGGCGGCATGCACATCGTAATAATGGAACCCGTGGCTAATCAGGTGCAGAGCGAGGCTACGGCAAGGTCGATAAACAACGCATTCCTCTCACGGACAACGAGCTGATCGAGGAACAACTCGGAAAATACGGCATCATCTGCATGGAAGATTTAATCCACGAGAGTAAGTGCAACTCTGCACAAGCCAATTGGACTTGAACTAACCTGTGGCCAGTTTACTCTGTCGGACCAAATTTCAAACAGGCTTCCAACTTCCTGTGGCCATTCAAACTCAACAACCCTAACGGCGGCTTCCGTAAAAGGAAGTTCAAGCACTTTGTCGAGGGTGGTGATCTAGGCAACCGAGAGGACAACATCAACGCGCTGATTCGCCAAATGAATTAGATTAGGCTTAAACACATTTTTCACTTCACGAACGGATAGGCACGGTTTATGATTCTTGGCGCTATCACGGATATGGGGTTACGGATACCACGGGATCTTGCATTTACATGGCGTTTGTTGAGATCTAGAATCATTTTATGAAGTGCCTGAAGGCGCAGCAATATTGATGCGACCACGGGTGATGTTCATCTGACATCAACTCGTCTCGCGTTGTTGATCGCCTGTACTATCGCTTTGACTTGCCTGTTCCTGCGCGCGATTTGCAAGTGAATACCGAATAATGCATTTTGATTGTCACATCATCACCACAGTGGCGACTGTGTTGGTTCGGTGTAGTCTGGAAATAGTCATAATCCTTAATTGGTGCCTTTCCGTGTTGTCCTATTTAGGACTAGCTTACTGTGTCCACGGCTTTGGATCATGAATGAGAACTTCTTGATTTTGAGTTGGAGTTTGGGTGATCCTACACACAGCGAAGGGTTACAACGATAAATAGACCAAAAAGACGAGCGGATGAATGAGAACAACTTGAAAATGCAAGCGTCCGCAACATGGGTATATATATGTTTGGAAGATTTTATAAAGGATAGTGTAATGAGATCAGCGTATTAGTCTACGACACCATCGCACACGAATACTTGAAGATGATAGCACTTTGCACTTGGTACACAATCTATTACCCAACAGAATGGAATGCTACGAGAAGATTGACATGGAAACAAGTCACCCATCGGAGTGTAATCCATTGCACATAAGACTGGGAATCTTCAAGTAGTGCAGACGTGATAAGGGAACCCCTAGTCGCACGCGCCTCGTCAAGCTATTGCTACACGACCGGTAGCACAGCAGCAAGCTCTAGACATTCGCCTCTGCATTCGACGCTGAAGAGTTCCATCCACGTGCAACGGCTGCCAGCATCTCGCCGTTGTTTAGTGTACCTGGCTGTTTACTAATATAGTTGGGTATATTTGGTTGCCTTGGGAACGTGAAGTCTCACCTGGATATTTGACCCTTGAATGATGGATTTCCCGTTGGTCAACCTCTGCTCGGTGTTATCATCTTCCTAGCAACAACTAGGCATCAATACCAGCATTTTCCTGCTCAAGAATTAAGCGCCTTGGAAGTACGGTAGAAGCACAGCATTGGGTGCTCCGGTATCTGCGAGAACGTACACACCCTATAGCCGTTAACTAGGCTGTGCAGCTAAATTACTCGCCTGCAGCCCTATAAAATATAGGCAACAACAAATGCGAAGAAAAAAACGAAGCTGTGAAGTGGAGCCATCGGCAGCCCTTCCTCCAAATACCTGCCGCCTTATTCTTGGGCCCAGCCAGCATGGATGCGCCGGTATGTAACGTGGTTTAATCAATCCAGGCAGCGGGAATTTAGGAAAAGTCGTCTCATCGTCGTCCGCTGTGATTGTGCCCGCCACCACCCTTCCGTCGAAGACTTACGAATCATCATTGTGGCGGATACGTAAGCCAACGTAGGCACCGAGATGCAAATGTCGTAGTAGTTTGATAGTCTCGGAATTTGCCCCCTTGGGCTGAAGGTGCAAGAAGGCAGGAAACGACCAGTCGGTAGTTCAGTAGCGTGTGTCCGCTCTGTTTTCTGTGAATATCAAATCTTTTCGAATCGAATGATTGGGAGAACGAAACATGTTGACTTTTGTGCGGGAATTACCCCGTTTCTGAAGGAGTGGATTATTGGGTTTGGAATGTTGTTTGACTCTTCTTGCGTGCTGTTTGATGTTGAGTTTCGCTGCAACGAAAGACGTAGTGGAGCCTGAGGGGAGAAGCTTTGTACAGAGAAGTGTAATGCGCACTGCGAAATTGGATTGGCTTTTTTTCGTTGTCGGGGTCGTGTGAACGTATGAACAGAATGGGGTCCAACAATTTGCTCTGGTAGGTTTACAACTGTCTCGCCCATTGGTACTCTGGGGATATCTGGGAGACACACCACGTCTCTAGCCACTAAGATTTGAATCAAATCTTTTGCTTCGTCACATGAATCACACCCTCTTTCTCCTTCACTTCTTCCCCTCGTTTTGGATTACCCGCAGCGAGGTCCGCATTGGGATCGTGGTCCGACTCGAGTACAGCAACCTGGCTTAGTCATCACGCATATGGGATCTGGGGATCTACCGTGACGTCCCCAAACTCTACCGCGGTAAGCTCACGCACAGCATTCTTTCGGGCCATGAGGGGATTTAAGTCGGATTTTTACTCAGCAGGCAGCGTCTGGGCTGGCTGTGCATACGGTACAATATTTCCTCCGGGATTGGCAGGTGTGCTGTTCATCGTCACGAGCGGACAAAAGCGTCGGATCGGGCTTGATTCTCCAATGCTGGCTGGCGAGGCCAAAACGAGGACCTTCCTACATCATTGTACATCGGCTTCATCAGACAACTGACCACACCCAACATATCATACGGAGAGGAAGCAAACTCCCAGGCAGCATCGCATCTCCTTCCGGGGAACGGAGGAGCCCAAAAACGTGACATGGCCGACGCCTGCCTGTTCCTGGCGTTCCTTGCAGTGCGTCATAACCCATTAATACTTTTAGGCGTATCCGGATTTTCTCACACCCCTCCCGTTTTAACGAAAACTAAGTTGCACCACCGCCGTCGTCACTCGGGTGGATGAATGATGATGATGATGACGATAGTGTCAAAAATATTGCGAAGCAAGACAAGCCCGGTGGCCGTGGCGAAAAAAAAAAGTTGAATGGCTCAGCCGCAGCCGCAGCCGTAGTGCGCGCAAAGAAGAAAAAACGGGCACCGCCAGAAAGATTGAAAGAAGTCTGGCCTCTTGTTGATCATCGTCAGCAGGGGGGAGGAGTGCTAATCACCGTCGTCGTGGGCGGTGGGTCCCCATGGGCCATGTGCCATGCTCTGCCTATCGATTCGGACCTCCATGTTTGCCTTCTGCTGCTCCCCAGATCGTTTACCGCCTGACCGACTGACTGGCTGAATGACTGACCTTTTGGCATGAAGCCATGATATTGGCATCGTATTGTTTCTGGTGGTGGACGGGACTTTTACACCACTCTTGGGCATTCATTGTCCACCGTCTGGGAAACCTGCTTGGCGTGCACGGCGCCAGCGCCACGTCTTGTCATACATCCGACACAGCATAGCATGATGATATGATGATTGATGAGGATGACGATGAATATTTTTGGGCTTGCCGGCAGCAGCCGGGTTGTGGTCTACAGTGCACTCTATGGACAAGACTCAAGACTACCGTCCCTTGTCTCGTTCGTCGGGCGTGCCGTGCGCGTCACGGACTAGCATTTTTTCTGTAGTGGATTTTGGGAGGGGGAAGGGGATCCACTTGACGCAAACTCGACTTGGTCTCGTCTGTTTCTCCCCTAACAATGACGGTAGTCGGATTGAAGGAGAGGAAGGATTCTTGGGACTTTGGAGGATCACAGACTTGCCAGCGTGGCTCTGCTCGTCTGCAAATGACGAGTCTGACCCTCATGTCGTGCCGCGACTCGACTCGACTCGGCCTCGCTCGCTCGCTCTGCACAGGCACGCGTACGTGCAAGCGTTGTTGGGCGCTGCGGGCGGTGGAGTGGGTGGGTTGCGGTCCCTGCATGGGGAGGCGCTGCTTCGTGATTGATTTTCACAGGCCGGGCAGGACGCCCGCAGCGAGCTTTGCGGGACTGGATGTTTTGGCTCGTCTGTTTTTTTTTCCCTTCATCTTGTCCGGTCCGAGGGAGTGAGGTTGCTCATGATTGATGAGGGGGGCGCGGTCATGTGCAGTGGGTGGATATTGATGGAAAAAGGGGAAAGGATGTGTAATTGATGCAAGGTATGTGCATCTGGACATGTACAATGTATGTATGTACATTTGTACCCGTGTGCACATACATGTGTACATGGAAAGCAACCCACATTTTGATTACATAGTTGGCTAAGTAAGTAGCCAACGCATATATACATAGTAGATATATCCACACCCCTGCGGGAGCGGGCTGCGGATTGATCATTGGGGGGGCAAAGCAAAGCAACGCAACGCAACGCAACGCTTCGGTCTCGGATCACGGCCAACGACGATGATGAAGAAGATGAAAGGATGGATGGATGACTTGTCTCCCGCGCCTCGTACATGTGAAGGTGTGGACATGTTTCATTGGCACGCAGCAAAGGTGTGATTTGAATTGGCAAAAAAAAATAAGGGTCCCTCAATCGTCTCGGACATGGACAAGGGGGATGATTTCATTCCCTCAACACCACTTTCCCCGGTTGCCACGGGACAGGCAGCCAAAATAAAACAATGATGAAAGCACCAGCCAACTACCGGAGATGGAGGGGAGAAAGGGGATGCGTGCTTAGAAGAGAATCCGAGAGTTAGTGAATGAATGAGTGAGAGTAAGTAAGGAACGCGGCGCGCGACGCGGCCGGCCTTGGGGGGTGGTGGATGGACCACACTGGCGGCCGGGTGGTGGGATCCCCTTTTTTTTTCTTCCCACGCCTCAGGGAAATAAAAGAGGAATGTAAAAATAAAATAATGATGGTAATAAAGGAAGTTATCGATTGATTGACTGCGGTCATGGGTTCATGGCGTTAGCTTCTTCGGACGGCGGCATGGGCAGCGAGTGCAGTCGCCAGCACGAGGCAGGCCTGCTTATTAGCGGGCAAGTCGAGTATAGAGTGGAGTGGAGTGGTGTGGTGGTTCGTTTAATAGCAATGGTGAGTAAGTAATCAAGGAAATTTGCCATGACATGTTGTTTTTTTCTTTGCGCCCAACCAGCCAACCAGCCAACCAATCAACCAATCAAGCATCATCCGGCAGCCATCAAAGCCATGACAGAGATGGATTGGTGGTGAGGGTAAGAGAGGGGGGCGACTCGGCAAGGGAGAGAACAACGACGATGCAGGTGAATGACCAGCCGGCCGTAAGACGCGCATTGGATAGGGTAGTTGGGTGAGTGCATGGGGGGGATTGACTGTTGATTGATTGACTGTACCGACGACGGCGGGTGGATGGATGGATGGATGGATGGGTGTGATTTCTCCCAAGCAAGCAAGCAAGCAAGCAAGCAATCACCTGGCTGGCTGGCTGGTTAGTGAGTGAGTGAGTGAGTGACTGGGCATGTTGATGTCGATACAAATCCCATGCCCGCTTGATGTATGTATGTAGGTATGTATGTAGTTGGTGCTGTTGGCTGCCAATGCAGTGCCGTGCAGTACGTACATGTATGCAGTGCACACTGTGCTGACTCTGACTTGGATCATCATCAGCAGCAGCAGCATCATGGCCACCACCATCATCAATCAATCAATCAATCAATCATTCCGTCCGTCGGCCAGTCAATCAGTCAGTAGTTGTCACCTAGTTATGTAGTTAGCAGTGTTGGCGGTTAGTGCTCATCCACTATCCATCCGGCGAAGGCGGCTTGCCCTGCCATGCCCTGGCCTGCCTGTCTCCCTCTCGCTGGCTGGCGCTGCAACCTCTGGGGACCACCCACGCAAGCACGCACGCACCCCCTCCCTCGCCCTCTCTGTCGCTTGCTTGCTTGGGTCGCTCGTCGCTCGTTCGCTCGTCTCCCGCGCCGCCACTGCTTAGCGGCTTCCAGCCTAGGCTTGCCTCTGCGTCTCAAATCGAATCCCCAAACCGCCAGCCCGCCCACACACAAACCTCTTTTTCTTTCCCTTCCTCTCTCCCTCACCCTCTCTCCTCTCCATCTCTATCCCCCTCTCCCCTCCTCCCGCCGCTCTTCAACACCCCGGCCTGTGCTTGCTTGCTTGCTTGCTGCCTCGCTTGCTGCTGCTTGCCCTGCCAATCTGTTGTCCGCCCGGCCTGCAAGGTTGCGTCTGCGTCTCCCGGCCACCCGCCCACAGCCAGCACTCTCCATTCGACAGGGGATCGATCCATCATTCTAACGGCTCACGTCGCTGAAAGAAAACATCAACCGCCTCACCCTCCTCCCTCCTCCCCCTTCCAAATCTCTCCGACCCCTTCTGTGGCATTTTCCTCGGCGTCTTTTCCTTCCTCGTTGAAACACTTGTGCATCTGCAATCCACAAAACCTTTCCTCGTCCCTGCCCTGCTGGCCCTGTTCGCTGTTCGGCTATCCGGCTTCCATTTCATCACCGGCCGCCCGTCCTCCACTTACCCAAACACCCTCCCACCCACGCTCTGACCTGCCAACGTCAACTCTTTTCTCCTCTCCAACAACTTACTCTCCTCTCCCACGGGCGATCTATTCATTTAGGCCTCGTCCTGGCTTCCATCTGGCCGCTGCAGTCACTCCCCTTCCCATTCACCGATACGAGGTCCCAGCTACCTGACCCCGTCGGCCCAATCGCCTCATCAACACCGCGTTGTTTCACGGACAACCACCCTATTATCTAATCGATAATACCTATTTTTTTTTCTCCCTCCCAACCGCCGCTCTACAAACCCTTCTCTCGCGCTGCTCCATCAGCCACTACACCCACTACTCGGATTCACAACATTCTCTGTGCATGAGAACGACTTGCTAGGGTGTTGGTTGGCTCTCTGCAGAGCGCGCGCTCAATCTCCCCTGCGGCTGGAATTGAAGATACTGTACGTATACACTCATCGCTGGCTCTTCTGCACGCGTTTCGCTTGAATCTGTCGCCGCGCCACCGTCAAGCAGACAGCGCGCTGACCTAGCACGCAAAGGGCTCAGAACCGGTCTCTTCGTTCCTCTGCGAAGGCACTTGCCCATCATGCCCGCCTTCTACCCACGCAACAACATGCCTCGGCATCTCCCCTTGACACCACCCGAGTTTGTACCCAGCTACCACTCGGGCTGTGGTGGAATGCCCTACCAGCAGTCCTCGTACTCTGGCCAGCCGAGCATTAGACAACACGATGATGGATATGACTTCGCGGACCGCTACGGCCAGCTTTCCATTGCGATGCCTCCCATGTACCCGCAAGCCGGAACCTACCTGAGCAGCGCAGCACCGAGCCTGCCACCTCCCAATTCGTTCTACGACGCTCCCGTACTTCCGCCCATGCGCGTGCAGAACGAGCAACAGCAGCAGCAACGTGTGCAGGACTACAACAACCAGCGTGCGTCTCAGCAACCCAAAGAAGAGAAGCCCGTTGGCGGTGTTTCTGCGAAGCTCGATTACGACATGGACGTCATGACCGACTTCGTTTGCGAAAAGGCACTCCAACTCATCACGCCAGGATGCATGATGCCGCCTTCATTCCGCAAGTGGGTACATCAGGTGCTCTGCGCGACCCGATTGCCATCCGCCACCATCCTGCTCAGCATGTTCTATCTGTCGAGTCGCATGCCCATGGTAGCGAGCGTGCCCAAGAACGAGAGCCACTTGTTCCGCATGCTGACCATTGCTTTGGTGCTGGGTAGCAAGTTTCTGGATGACAACACCTTCATCAACCGTTCCTGGTCTGAAGTTAGCGGCATTCCCGTCGCCGACTTGAACTCTATGGAGATGGAGTGGCTCAAGGATATCGAGTTCAAGCTCCACCGCGACCCAGCTGAGCAACAGGGTTGGGTATTCTGGTCCGACCACTGGAAGGAGTACCAGAACCATGCCAGCGCTCGCGCGAACCGAGCAAACAAGCTCAACCCCATCGACACTTCAGTGCACCGACGGTCCTTGAACAAGCCGCTGCCTCCGCTCCCGATGCAGCAGAGCTTCAACCCTCCGCCTTATGAGTTCACGCCCAAGTCCGCCGTCCATCCTTCGTACAGCAGCAGCGCCAACAGCAACTCTGCTGTTTACGCTCAATACGATCCATGGCGATCTGCAAACGATCACTCGCCCGCGTCTGCTCCCAACACGGGTCCCACTACCCCGGAGTACTACGGCGCTGCGGGTCCCTGGGCTCCAGAGGGCTACTCTCGTCGCACCATGTTTGGCTTCCCACCCCTGTCTCAGACAGGTCATGCCCAGCAGCAACAGCAGCAGCCATCCAACTACGGCCCACCTGCTTACTCGACTCAATACCAAGCTCCCGTCTGGAACAACCATGGCGTCAACTGCGGCTGCATGTACTGTGCACAGAGGCATCCATCTTACTTCATGGCGCCCGGCTTCGGACCTCAAGCTGTCGCTGTCTAGTTGTCAGCCGCGCCACACCAGTCAGCTCACATCGACCCGACCGTGGGCGAGTGATTGACCCAACTCGATACAGCCCTGCTGTCGATCAGCCCAAAATTCTTTCGGCATCATCCGTGTAACCAACCTTTCTGGTCCGTTGCACTTTTACTATACGAAGATTGTTTCATGACTTTCCCCATTCGACTTCTACATATTCCACATGCAGCCCATTTCCAGCGATCATCTGTTCAAAAAGTTTACTGTTTTTCTCGCCCTGTCGCGGACGTCGCTCCTCGCTCCAGACCCATCCGGTCCCGATAGAGGATCCATCGGCGGTTCCTCTGTTCGACAGGCCATTCGGCGGTTTCTACACCACACACACTCCACTGTGGTGCTATCTTGTTCCATTCTTGTCGCTATTTGGGAAGGCACATCGGCACCGCTCCGAATCTGACGAAAACCAACGCGGCTTGCCACCATCTTGCATGATAGATTTCCTTGCTTTTTCCATTTTCGGGGCACCTTCCCTTCTTCGCCATTGTTCGTACTACGTCTAGACATTGGGCTGTTCATGGTTTTTTTTTCTGGGCGCACATTGAGCGAAATTGCCGGGCTGTGGCGTTTTTCCTCATGCTTGTTATTTTCTTATTTCCTCTGTTCGACCTTTGTGTCACCGCGATACTCCCCTTTACTTTGTTCTGGTTCTGTTTGGCTGCGCTCCACGCTTCGGGCGTTAGTATCTGTTCAGTTTGCTCATGATTGATCCTTTCTTTTCGACAACCCCCTCATAGTTATGGATTGGAGGTAATTTGCGTACTGGTTAATGGGTTTCACTTCTTCGCAAGGCCGCTGGGCCGTCCTCTTGGCGTGGATCTCGGGATTCGGAGGGCCGACCATCTTTCTCCAACGGCTGTCTAGTACTCCAGGTTTCGGCTATAAGATCATCCGGCATATACCTCCTCGCTTCCACGACTTTGTTCACCTGAGGCCGTTAGGACTTTTTTTCACTTCACGCTGGGTCTTCTGTAATTACTGGCATCGATCAATGACGGAGCAACACATTTGGTTTTTCCACGTCTCTTGTTAGTTCTTCCCATCGCCTCCTTCCTGCCACCCTTGCTGGTCTGTGGGGAGGAAGCAATTGTTTTTTTATCCCCAAAAGAAAAAAAAAATGCCACCTTTTTCTACAAACCTCTTAATCTCCTTGTTCTCCTATTCTTCTGGTTTCCACCTATTATATTTTTTTTTCTTCGACTTGTTCTTCTCATTCTACTTGTGAGCGTCTGCTCCTCCACGTTGTCACGAAAATCCCTATACCAATACCTCCCTACATACCATACCTTACCAATACGTAGAAAAAAGCATCAAAATGGAATTCAAACGATTGGGTTGTTTCGAACTTTGTTTCCTCTATTTCCTAGTTTCGCTTTCCCCAATTTTCCTTCTCAGTGTCCTTGCTCTGTTAGATCTACAGTAGGATGTAAAACGCGGCTAGGTGCTGCTATATGCAAGGCGGGTGGCGTAGGCGCGATTCTACGAATTTTATGAGAAGCAACATGATAGAAATGGAAAAGAAGAGGGAAAAGAAGATGATGCATGCATAATGAATTGATGAATAGATGAGTAGATGGAACTATAGTGATGAGAATTTAATGGCTCCTCACACAGTCTTGTCTATGTCCCTCTCTTTCTTTCTTTCCTTTTTTCTTTTTCTTTCTTATGGTTGACACGTGCTGCTTGGTGGTAAGCTGAAAAGAGAGGGAGGGAGGGAGGGAGGGAGAGAGAGAAGTAGCATGTTTTTGTAGATTTATACAAAAAGCCCGTTTTTTCAATCTATATTAAAAAAAAAAGAAAGCAAGCAAGTAAACTACCTGGGTAGTTAATAAACCTATGCTACCAGTTTAGTTGAGACCCTTCTATCTTACGTTCTTCAAATTATCAATGTTCATATAGTCTTGTTCTAACTTGTTTATAGTAAATATATATATCTGAATACCTCTATAATTATTCCTTATTAGCGACGTGTTTGTAGTGTAGCTTTTTCACACAGACTGTTTAGACTCTTATAATAGAAAAGAATTAGTAATTTTAAAAGGTAGTGTTTACTGCGTGTTTTAAGGAGTAGGTGTATACACTGTATAGTAAGCTATAGGGAGGGAGGAGGATATATAAGTAGTCTTCTAGTACTTACTAGGCTGTGGATTTATAGTAAATGATAGATGGAAGCGTTGAGTAACTCTAAGGTAAGCTTGTAAATAAACATGGTGGTAATGAGACAGCCCTTTTTTTTCTCTTTAACTCTCTCTCTCTCTCTCTTTGTGTTAAGTTCGAGGGATTTTTGTTGGGGTAGTAGAAGTTTAGTTCACTCCATGTTTTTCTTGTCCTTTTAAGTTATAGATTAAGGGGGGGTAACATTAAAATATATTATTTGGCGTTGGTGCAGAGCTTACCCTGTGGGATAGTCTGCATCTCTAAGTCTGGGAATGAATTAGACTAGTAGTGTAAGCAGGTAAGCAATAAAAAATGAAGAGTCCAAGTGAGCTCCTCACTGTTTGTCAGATTTGGAAATAAAAGTTTCCACCTGTTTGCTATATTCCTAGAAGAGATAGATGACCCTGTATATGACATGAAGTTTAGTACTTACTACCGACTGACATTACCCCCCGGCCTCTGTGTCGAAAAGGCCACTGACTTACGCTTCAATCCTTTCTTCTTTGATTTGTTGGTGTTTTCTTGTACTTTTTTTTTTTTTTTTTTTTTTTTGGTTTCTCGTGTGTGCTAGAGTAGCCTGACCTCGTACCTGAGAGGTGACGACTCTTTATTCCCCAGGCTGCCCGCGTTTTCTGTCAAAGCACTCTACTGACTTGCTGAGACTCGCGGGCGTAGTAGTTGATGAAATCTGGCGCAATAATGTACAGAAAGATGAGGAATTTCCGAGTTGTATAGAGTGGCGAGTTGGTCAACATGTATCTAAGGGATATCATAATATAGGATCTTACTCTAGGTGTTGATAGTGGAGAACTCCCAGCCGCTTACGCATCTTATTCTTGCGGGGGTTCCAGATCTCAATGACGGCCTGGTTTGAGATGATCGGTGTGATGTAGCTTTTATCTACACGAGCATCTTTGTGTGATCAAGTCCTACTTCATGCAATCTCTCGGAACAGGAGAAAAGGAGTTTGGGCAGACGTAATTCAGGGGCTGTCATTTACGGAGAAGCCCCCTGGGAAGTCTCATAGACTACCTGTGAGGTGTGGCTGTTCGGTCGAGGAGACGGCGGGTGATTGTAGCCGTGGGAGAGCTCTTGTTTGGTTACTGTTGAGGAAGTGATTCACGCAGTGTGGACGTGGAGTCAGGTCTGTGCTACTTGGATTCTCTCTGTTCTTGGGACTCTAGATGTACATGGTAGCCTAATGTGTCATGGAATTCAAGTATGTTTTGCCGCATCTGATATGCGACGAAACACAAATATATCCATACTATAAGATACGGTCCAATCCAATCCGACATGTTAGCAAGATGGTAGAGTTCTCGGGATTCAGGCCTACACAATCAAAAGAAGACAACAGCAACAAATCAAGAGCTGCGCGTATTATTCGCGGATACTTGATCAGCGACAACAAGTACCAAAACAACATCCAACCCCAGGACTGATTTTGACCCCCGCCCGCTTCATTTCTCGACAACAGAGTCATACACCCTACCAGCCCACCACTGAATCAGAATCCGAACCCGCAATCAAAGCAAACCTGCGGGCCGATACGAAGGGCGGGTGTCGGGTACACGGGTGATAATCTCATCACATCTCAGCGACGTGACAACCACGGCGCTTCCCGCTCTATGCGGTGTCTATTCACTGCGCATGCAAGTATCCTGTGGTGCAGCGGCATGACTTGGATCGAGGATCAATGTGTATGAATTGGACAGTAGGAAGTGGGGCGGCGGACGGGTTCTATTACTCGAATGTAATGGGGGCTGGGGGTTGTGGAGATGGTTTGCGGGTTTCGGGTTAGCTGAGGTGGAGTGCCATGGTATCGTGATACGTAAGATTAAGTTTTTTTCTTCTTTCTCTTGTAGAGCCCTGAAATTGGATCTGTAGATAGATCCGGGTACCGACATATGGCACCGAAGTGGTTTATATCGGAGGGAGAGAAGGACCGAGAAACAAAGAATGGTAGTAAAACAGGCAAGTTACTCGGTATTGGCTGCTGTCTGCGTGCCGCTTCGCGGTTAGTGGTTTGCGAAGCCGTCTCTCTTCGGGTCACCATTCCATTTGGAACAGGATCATTCCCCGATTGATTGCTTCGTGATAGTCCCCAGGCTTCGGTCTGCATTGAAACCGTAAGAGCGGATGAACTTGCGCCACAAAGCTTGGAAGGCATCGAGCCCCCTTGTGGCGGAGGAAGTAGAGAAAGGAGAAGCAAGATGAGGCAAAAGACCCGTCTGAAGAGATTAACGTTGAACCCCAGTTTCCTCCCTTCGATGACAACCAACGGCGATGGGGGCTGTTATATTATCAAGGAAGGGGTATAAAACCAACACTTTAAACTCCACTAAGAGGTATCAAACCAACCTTTGGTGCTCCGCTGGACTCTATTGGCTCCGGCTCATCTTTCTCTTCTTCATCTGTCAGAAATTTTAGATGGTCGTCCCCCAGGTCGCGCCTTCGAGACAAACCCCCTCCCCACTTGCGGCAGGGACGGACGGAATGGGGCCCCCCTTTGATGTTCTTGTTTGCCTTCGCGACGGCACGGTACTCTCTCCGTCTACAACAAGCCATGGGTCGGAGGCTTACCTATGTGAGTTAACTACAGGCAGAGGTCGAGGACAAGGGTGCCGGCGGGCTCCGCTCTGTAGCATCATCGTGTTGCTGGAGTGAAACAGAAAGAACCTTCCCTGCAGTCGCTCGTATATGCAGAACTGCACAACTTTGAACCTCTGTGATTGGGTTGAACGGAACGGTGGCACATCAGTTGAGGTGTGCACGCTCTGCAGGTGAGTGTCCTTTGTAGCCAACTGCACGCGACTGTAGGGATTAGCGTTACGTCAGGGTCTCTACGTACCTTGCATGTACTACTCCTTGTAGGGCAAGCTACAAAACATCTGCCATGGTATGCCCGGTGCCTTGGGTCGGGATCGGAAAGATAGTTAACGCGTGGAAGAAAAAATTGCTCAGCGTGCCATTTATTCTAGGCTCCATGCTTCCGAGACACTCCCTTTATTTCTGTTGATCTAGCTATCGTCGATTTGGTTACTGCTGCTGAAGGCCAAGATATCTGTGGGTCATGGGGGCCCTGTTCAAACAAATGTGGATCAGCGTACGCATTGCTTTTTAGGATTGTGTTAATAGTGTAGTATCTTGGATATTACATTTGGGCGGTGGAAGTATATGGCGAATAGGTATGCGAACTTCAGCTCTGGGTAATGGCGAGTTGGAAGCCACCATCTTTTGACAGCTGCCACCTGTAAAAGCTCAATGGCTGGTTACAACTCAAACCCAATTACGGTCCCATCTCAACTGTTTTTGCTCGTATAAAATTAGCAGAACGGGCGTGCTCGATTTCGTTTCAAGAGCGAATAACCTGGTCGCGTGATGGGGACGTTCTCAGTGTCCAGATGTAGAGAGTTCAGGGACTACCTAACATACGCAATTCCCACGAGTTCGCTTTATGCCCGACATGGAAGCTGCAAGGCGAATCACGTACATGGCTTTCCAGTAACGCACCGAGTCGACATCGAGATGCTTAGCATTGGACATAACAGAGACCCATGGTTTATTATAAGCCCTATCTACGCGCACGGAGCTTTCATGACGGCTGCTGTGCATAACTTAGCATTCATCACATACACAATGCAGAGGTATCTCCGTATGCCTTGATGTCGCTGAAACAGCAATGAGGTATTTGAACAGTGCGCCTGCGTGTAAACGGTACAACTTCCTGAACCGGTGCCGATCATACTCTCAAAAGGGTTGCAATCCTCCAACTGCAACTGTCGCGATTGAGGTTACCGTGTGGATACCAGGCGTTGCGCTGTCAAACAGTGGGTTTGATCGAGACCAGATTGGATGTTATATCATCCCCACCAGCAGAGAATATGAGGTTCAAGCTAGAGTACGCTGCAAGAACTGTGGAGAGAGTTTTAATACCCCCGTGATATGCATGTTGGTACCTGAGAGTTGGTAAGAAAGTGTTGAATTGTAGTCAACACGGCAGTTGGAGCTTCGAATCAGGTACCAGAGCGTGCTAGACCGACCCAAAGATGCCGATTCCAAATTTTGGACTTACCGGGTAGTTGCTTGTTTTTAGACTAGGCGAATATCTCAAACAGACGACGTGGGTCTGATTGACTCTGAATCGGGCCTTTCCGACCAACTATGGCGAAGCGAATCTTCGCCCGCTCTTCCATAGCCGCATTCGTGAGTCAGCACCGAGATCACTTGGGAAGGGCCTGGCTATGCTCTTTTGCCTCTTAGTTCTCCACGCTTCAACGACTGTGCGTACATGGTAGTGGAACGGAGAGGGGGGGGGGGAGGCAAGGGAAAATTGAATATATTAACTGTCGTGCAAACACCTGCAAACTTACCGGCTTAGCGGGACTGGCAAATTTTTGTTTCTTCATCCACTCGTGCTGCACTGCCTGCCTTTCTTGGGAACTCGTTCACTACTTTTAGTCTGTCTTTCATCATGGCCGCCGACGATCGGGCTTCCGAGTACACCGGTGTGCTTGGATTCTTCATTGCCATCACTACGATCTCCGTCTCGCTGAGATGCTACACCAAGTTGTTCATCGTCAAATCCTTTTCCTCCGATGATATCTTCGCCGTATTGACTCTTGTATGTTTTTTGCCCTGCGATGGAACATGCCATTGCGCCGATGAGGAAAATTACATCAACTGACCAGTGGCCATAGTTTGGTTTCCTTGTATTCTGCACATTGGCTCTGTTGGGCGTGTCCAAAGGCACTGGCAAACAGCGATACCTCATTCCGGACAATGATTTCCCCGATGGTATGAAGGTATGTCGCTGCAACAGCATTCCCGCTCTAGATCAATGTGGCGAATCCTGTAATACTGACGAGAATCCTGTTTAGTGGTGGTGGGGATGCGAACCTACCTACATCGCCTGCAGCATCTGCCTGAAAACAAGCATCGGCATCTTCCTGCTTCGTATTGCCGTCGACCGTGTTCACCGGATGATTCTTTGGACATGCCTTATTGTCATTCAAGTCTACAGCGTGTTCTTCTTCTTTCTCTTCACCTTCCAGTGCACGCCCGTCTCTAACTTCTGGACGCGGTTCCGTGGTGTTGAGGGCAAATGCATTGATAGTAACATCATCGTTGGCACTTTCTACGGCTACTCAGCATTAGTCTGCATCACGGATTGGACTTTCAGCATTGTACCCATCTTCATCGTTCGACGACTACAAATGAGCTCGCAGAAGAAGGTCTCCGTCGCGGTTGTCCTAGCTTTCTGTGCCATGTAAATGCTTACCCCCCTAAACTTCTAAGATCAAAGACTGACAATGCTACAGCGGATCCACTGCCACAGTCATCCGAATCCCCTACATTGAAGGCCTTAAAGACGCCGAAAACTTCCTTTACACCACCACCGACGTGGCTATCTGGTCTATTAGCGAGGTGGGGATTGGACTGTTCGCGGCCTCCACCGCAACCCTGCGACCTCTTCTCCGCGTAGTTTTGGGCGACAGCTCCATCACTGGGGGCTCGTCGTCTCGCAAAATGTCCCGCAACTGGGGTGGAACCAACCCTCTGCGATCCGGATACATGGGCGATGCCAGTGACAACAATGGAGGCCACGTAGTGGGAAACGGCATACCGCTCGATGCCCAAGACCCCAAGAAATACCCCAGGGTAAACACGACGAATAACAGCGGCTTGAGCCGTTCGACGAGCACATCGCAGTTAAGAGATTGGGAAAGCAAGAGCAAGGACTCTGACGATGATTCCAGCCCGGTTAATCCGTTCCGACATGGTGGCATTACCAAGACGGTGAACATTTCGCAGGTTTAAGACACGACGCTGTCTTCTTTTCCGATCATCACCGCTCGCCATCGAACTCGCTCTCTTTGTGATTTTTGTTTTCCACGATACCAGGCGCGCTTTACTTGTTTTTTGTTTTATATTCTATCGGGCACATACGGAAAGTCTTTCGACAATACGATGAGAAGACTAGAAAGAGGGGGAAAATACTACCATTTAATGAGGCCGTACAATTTATAGGTACCTGCTGGACATTCAATCGACTACACGTCATTTCTTTCATTATGTACATTATCATGTACAAACAGTTCGTCATTAGAGGAGCACACACGCTTGATAGCACCACCACCACAACGGGGAATCATATATGCCTCGGAATCTAGGATATCAAAAGGTTCAAACTTTTCTACGATGTCGCATGTGATCAACCGTGGTTCGCTTTCTCTGACTGTCCCCCCTCCAATTCCATCCATTTTGGCACATGTCCTCTCTCGTACGCTGCAAACATGCAATAAAACGTCGTCAGGCGTTCCACGCCGTCTTCCATTTCTATGCAACGTCTTCAGGCGCCCACCCCCAACAGCCCAAACTCCCCCGAGAAAAACGGTCCGACCAAAAGAATGTCAACAAATCGCCTACCAACCATCCATCCAGTCGGGTAATGTGTGGCAGGACTATCGAACACTAATTTGGGTTCCATCTGGGACCGCCTATGCCCTAAAGCAAGCGTCCCCCCTCCCCTTCTCCAAACGCCAGAATTCCAGACCCACGTGCTGCTAGCCCCGTCCGCCCTGTCAGTTCGAAGGAGGAATTCTGGAACGTGCAAAAGTCTAATCCGCCATGACTTCTGCAACGCTGTGCCGCGGCAACCGGAGCACCGCTCTACTGCAGGGTCTCTAAAGTCTGCTTCTGTACTCTATGTACCTTTGCGTGTAGAAACCACTTAGTATTCGCCACGGGGTTTTTATCCTTCCAGCCCTGAGAAAGAAGGCGAGAAGAAAAAAAAAGAAAAGGTGGTACGATTCTTGGCCACAACCGTCGCATCATCTGATCAGATATGATGATGCGAGTCTGGGTTCCAGCTCGGCAGTGCGCCACCGAACACACGGTTCCAACATACATACCTACCTACACTTTATGGCCATTCTACAGCTGACTCGAGGCTGGAGGTCGGTTGATCTGGAAGCCAGCCAGACAGGTCCGGAGAAGTCCGCACAAGCAAAGCGTCGAGCGGGAAAGGGGATATCGGATAGGATGGCTGTCCGTTTGCCGTCTAGCAGGACTCGCTATGGCGCAATGGATCGCTTCATACAGGGTCTCAGGGTCTTTCTGGGTTCAAGATCGGGGTACGCCATTGTTTTTCTATCCAGTATTATTGGGGGTCGTGGGTTGGAGTGTAGTGTAGTGTAGATAGATAGCCTGGTGGAGGTTTCGTGATAGCCAAAACCCATAAAAGAAAGAAAACCCGCTATCGTCGCTTCGAGAAGGGATGTACCGGCTGATGCGCGCGCGTGCGTGCGCGAGCGAGCGATAATGGTGGATGGCTATCCTGCTAGCCAGTTTAGTTCTTTTGTGGCTGGCGGGTACAAGCTTGCAGGCGAGCGAATATAAATATGGATCCCGACTGAATCAGATGGGTTCTCTGACGTGAACGTTGTGTGTATGTATCGTACCTCTTGTACCAGCGGCTCATCTTGTTCGGGCCTCGGCCTGTTTCTTTCTGTGCTGGAGAAGATTGGGATATCGAGTCGGGTACATGGTGGCATCGAGATCTACATGAGTCGCAGGTTCCTGGAGTTGTGCTGCCCTTGCGGTTTCTTCCGGCTTGGGCTTCTAGCTTGTTTTCTTCGCATTTACTTATCGTGTGGTATGGCGATCTCATGCCATCATGGGCACTAAGCATATTAGAAGGTAAAGGGCCTGCCGCGGATACTATCAAAAGAAGAAGAAAAAGCCCAAAATACACCCATCTGTATGAGCTACACGACAATCAAGAAAATATGGTACGATCCCTCTTTTTCCTCACCGCCCGTCTACCAGTCAGTCAGTCAGTCAATCAGCCAGCCCTCCAAAAACCACCAACGAGTAAGTAACCAGACTACTCGATTCTTCTTCCACTATGCCGGTCAAACTGTGGTCAGCAACAATATAGCTTCCCACGAAATCCACCTCCATACATGCACTTGATTCGAAATACCCTCAGCTCCTTCGACGACGTGTAGTGCGCCGTGGGAAACTATCGATTCTCCGAAAACTACAAAGTCTTGCTCGAACGGTCACGGGCAAACGAGTCGTGTTTGCTCACTCAGCTGAGAAAGCTTCTCCATCGTGCCAGTTTGATTCATTCAGGCAGTCAAACACGCAGATTATTCAATGGTATATACTCGGCTGATCTGATATAGTCGTGACCATGCCTCGCAATATGACCGACCCAAGGAAACTTCAACATTAGCAGAAACGTAATTTTCTACCCATCCATCTACATAAAACCAATCCACACCCCATAACAGTAAAAAAAAATGGCAATTTCCAGCGCACCAAAAAAATTAAAAACTTGTCCATCTTATCTTTCTTCTGACTCCGTTAGATCACATCCCATCTCCCGCACCCCTCCCCTCATCCCACCCCAATTTACAATTCAAGATTCGAATACATGCAGACGAACCAATGTTTCGCGAAGAAAAAAGGACGGGCAATTTGTCGTATCGTCAATCCACGAGTAGATAGTGTTCTATCTCAACCAGCCTTACTTTTGATGATAATTCGCCTCATGAGCCACGGAACGTTTCCAAGAGTTGTGTATGGTTTGGGCCATACTTTGTGATTGATTATTGGTCTGAGGCGGGTATGTGTTATATGCATTATTTTCCCTACGTATATATAGATGGGGAGAAAGCCATAATCTGTGTGACTCTGATCGGCTTGTAATTGACAGCACACAAAGTTCTTTCTTATACTGCCCAAAGGAAGCCTCGAGAATGAGAGAGAGCCTTTGGTGATTTGAAAAGCCATCAGGTGTCGTTTGCATCTAAGTATGTTCGAGAACACTCCCGCACTCCAGCAGATCTCACAAGAGAAAATTGGTAATGTGAGATATGCGAAGATACAAGACGACAATCGCCACATGAATCCCATTTACCATCCTCTCTTTTCCGCCTCAGCAACGAGGGCAAGCATAGTCGAGCCATACCGAGCATACAAGCTCTCCCCATCCCCAATGACCTGCCCATCTTTGCCCGCAAACCCCCGCAAATCCGAATGATGCACCCTATCCCGAATCCCCCCAAGCACCTTCAAATGCTCGTCAAACGACGCCACCGAGAACTTCCGCCACCAATTCTTAGTCCCATTATAGCCATTACGGCAAGCAGCACAATAAAACCCCTTCTCCACCCGCTCACTACGTCTATCCAGCCACGGCATCCGCACAACTGCCATGTATCGCAGCGGCTCCGTCTCCTCGTGATCATAACGCTCTTCTGCCCTGGGTGCACGGACTCGACTTTCTGCGTACTCTTCCGGGGCCTCGACATCCTCCTCCGCCCGTGGCCGTCGCAGCCGGCGCGTCACGGGGACAGACGCGGCCTTCTTCGCTGCGGCAAGCCGCTCCTCGTACGCTTGCTGTTTCCGCGCTTGCACGTCTGCGACATGCTGTTCCATGGCTTCTGCCGACCCGTGGAGTTGGATACCAGCTGCGCGCCCAGACTCTGCATCGACGAGGAGAAAACGCTCGTTTCGCTTGTAGCGATTGGTCGTGTAGGTTCCTGCAACGCTCCTCATCATGCGAGCTGATGATCTCAGCGCTTCGTGGGTAAGCCCGAAGACTCGCAGGGCATCCGTGTGCCGCAGCGGGAGGTACTTTTTGGCCTTGGTGAAGCACGACAAGCATACTCGGCTGTTTGAGGGGATGTACAGATAGTCTCCGAAATCGCCGCAGTCTGTGCACCAAGGTGTGCAAAGGGTTTTGTAGAGAGTGTCACAGGTGTGCCATTGGCCGGCTCCTAGGAGGAGGATGCTCCGGAGGACGTGAAGGGTGTGGGTTCGGAGGGCTTTATACTGGGGTACTGAGTCTACAATTTCCCTGGCTTGGCGGTTTAGACGGCGAAATCTCGTGATGGAGAGTATGTCAAGTTGGGGGAGTATGCTGTGGAGCAGCTCCAGAGGCATTGCATCAAGGTTACCGAGGCCATATTTGGGTGGTTGGTGAATGTCTGCTTTTTCACGGGGAGTTCTCAGGGCAGGTAGATTGGAGTCCAGAGTGTAGGGTTCTCCTAAGATTCCTCCCCATGGTATATAAGCGAAGTCTTCTCGTTGGAATCCGAGGAGCGGTGGTTGTTCTGTTGGCGCCATGTCAGCTCGCAACGAACTAAGAGGTAAGTCTAAGATGGGATGTGAGAGAGAAGAGGATTATGAAGATTGAATGAACAAGATTGAAAGACGAGAAGACGAGGGATTGCTATTTAAACGACTTGGCCGAAGGAGCATTCGGTCGTTAACTTGCCTCAGTCTGAAACTAGCTCCATGGCTGCCTTCGCACCGCTAATCCCCTTTTGGACGGCGGTCTCTGACACTCACCACTTGATCAAGAACCCGAAGACCCATTACAATAAACTTGATCGATACATACTTGGTATGAAGAATCAAAGTGACTACTCAAATTACAATCAAGATGTTGATGTAGACTCCCGCGTATGAACCACCAATCGCCCCCTTTAATCCCAATCTCCGTACCAACAACACCGCCCCAGCAACAAAGGCTACTCAACATGAGTTTGCAAATTCACATTCGCTAAAATCTTTTTATGATTCAAATTCAAAGTATATCCCACACTGGAAAAGACCGAAGAAAGAACGATTTTACAAAAAAAAGTAGACAGTAACAGAGAAGTATCACATAAGGAGATATTCACATCCACACCCACACCCACACTGATCAATACCAATATCAACAGCATATACGTAATTAGATTCTCATAACATCTGTCACTGACCATCCAAACATACATCTATCTATAAACTCTCCATTTATAGTCGTCATATTCGTAAATACATACATGACATAACATATATACGTGCATATATATATACATACATACATAGACATAAGGGCCATATCAAAGATGCAAGAAGATCCAGGTCTGCCCGGCCCTGCAGCCCTCCAGCCAGACACACCAAGAACCGACAAGAAAGGGGGAAAAGAAAAGAAAAAAACGCCCATAAAAATGCCGAAGAAAACATAGACATGCAAAATGCCATTCCATATACACATGTCGATCTCGCTAAATTAAACCCTACAACGAAAGAGAGAGAGGGAGGTGACAAACGGATTACGCCTTAACCATGACCGCCCATCCTTTATGGCAAACCCTCGCCGCCGCAATCGTCGCAGCAGCAGCTAACAGCAACACTCCACCGTAAACCCACGTCCCTGTAAACCCGCTCTTCGTATCCAGAATGGCGCCGCCAATTGGCGTCCCGACGAGCAAACCAATCGCCACGCACGCGAAGCTCTGGCCCATGCGCGTGCCGATCTTGTGTCGTGCGTCGAGACTGAGATGGACAACTAAGGTAGCGGGGATACTAACGAAGCAGCCGCTGAAGAAACCGTAAAAGGCCTGGAGGACGATGATGCCGGCAGAGGAGCGTGCTTCGATGTAGCAGAAGCAGATGACGGCGGACATTATGGTGCAAGGGATGACGACGTTGAAGGGTCCTGTGATGTCGGAGATGATGTTTGGGATGATCCGGCCGAAGATGGAGGCTGAGTTGAGGATGGCGAGGAGGTAGAAGGCGAGGTCCGGGTTGGTGATGTGGGACTGGATGGCGTAGAGTTGCGAGTAGACCAAGGGCATGTAGAGGCCCATGAATCCGATGAAGAAGCCGAAATTCATGAGGCTGTAGGCTGGGATGCGGAAGGCGGAGAGGTCGACGAGGTTACGCTTGGTGGGTGGAAGCACGCGCGTGCGCATGCAGAGGTTGGGCACGAGGAGGGTGCCGAGGATGAGAAAGCCGAGTGCGCGAGTCGTCCATCCGAAGCCGGCTTGTGGGAGGAGCTTGTGGAAGACGATGGGATAGATGACGCCGCCTAGACTGCTCCCACTGGACGCGAGACCCAGGGCGACGCCAACTTTCTTGTTGAAATACTGGGGGATGATGCTGACGCTGGGGACGAAGAGCATCCCTGTGCCCCCACCAATACATATCGCCTGCGAAAGAAGTACCTGCCAGTACTCTGTGCATGCAGAGAGTGTCATTTGACCGAGCACAATGAGGATGGTACCACAGACGATCAAATAACGGAAGCCCCCGTTGTCGTAGATGGGGCCAGATAGTGCACCGACGAACAGGAGTAAAAAGCCTTGGATGGAGCCGATCCACGAGACATCCGAGGGATTAGAGTCCTTGAGAATCGTCGACTCGTAGTAAGCTTGGTAAGAACCATACATGTTGATGATGCCTGCAATTGAGGAGCGTTTCTGTTAGCACTGTCTTTTTCCATGCCTTCCGTTTACCATCCCACGATGCATTGGCACAAGAACGAATGATTGAACATACCCCAAGTATTGAAGAAGAGGAAGAACGAGCCCAAGACCTGTAACCACGCCACGAGACCGCCATCCGGTATACTCGATGCATTGTTGGCGTCGTTGGTGGGAGGCGTTGCTTTGCTGGCTGCTTCCATCTGTTGTGGATGATTCCCATTCACACTGGCCAGCTCCACTCCATCGACGTCTGCCCCAGTATCTGTGACGACCTGATTCTTACCAGGCCCTAGGCCACTGTCCCCGTTCCGGCTATCCATGGATTTCTCGTCGTATGATCTTGCAGCAGACGGTGTTTGTGTTCGATCCATCTTCTATTCGCGGAGGGTCTTGAATCCTGCCTTCTTTCCTGGGATTGACCTAGGGGTCGGCGCAGTCGAGATCTTACAATGGCAGCATGCAAGAGGAATTGGGAATTGCAGTGGTATGGTGATGGAGGAACGACAGACGGGATTACCAACTGCCCTCGGAGATTCGAGGTGACGAGAGCGAGCGCTCACGACCTTCCAATGGACACGGGAACGCTTTTTCTTCTCTTTTATGAATTCTTCTTCAGTCCAACAATCGATTGACAGGCGGACGCGATACTTTGTCGTTTCTCAGCTGCAAGCTGCAATTGCGTGCCACTGATTATCCCCAGGCCAATGCCAAAAGATGCGGTGGATCTCCAGATCTCCTTTGTGGATCAAGTACGGGGAGGCGGAACCGTGCGCGCGCCTCTACTGGATGTTGGTTCGATCCGGGGAGAGTGACCGACTGCCAAACCAACAAAAGTCAATGATGGAGCGGAACGCGCAGCAACAGCAACAACAACAAAAACCAAAGTCAGACAATGGAAACGAACAAGCAACGCGAGGGTAGGTTTGCACGTTTTCTTCAGGGAGCTGTAAATTGGGGGGGATGCAGCAAAGTCCGATGCGAGTCAGCAGTAAGAGAAGAGATCCCAAGGCTTGTTGGCGTTCGTTTGGCGTTGGACAAGAGAGGGAAGCAACTTGGCGGGCGGACGGGGGCAGCCGCAGACGGGACCCTTTTGCTTTATATACGGCTTGGCTGGGCCGGCTGCAGGATGGCTGGATCAAAGGATTGAGGCAAGAGACCCCAACCGGCCCCCCAGCCAGACTCGACCCCAATTGAACCAGCCGATAGACCGCAGACGCGACACGGCACGGCAACGCCTCTACGGACTGATCGCCCTCTCTCTCTCCTCGCCCATTCTTTCCAACTCTTCTTATTTCCTTCATCCTGCGCTCTCTTGCCAAAAAGCAACGGATGGGAAGAAAGAAAGAAAATAGGGGAGGCAATGAATCAACACACCCTCTTCGAGACCAGCTCGAAGAAACAGACATGAAGACTTTCCTCTTTGGACTTCACTATGCGAGCCCATCCATCCTATGCACGCTCAACAATCCCATGCTTTCCCTGTGTGGTGCCCTGAGCCGCTCGCTTCAGCGTGCAAATTACGGTGTCCAGCGCAGACGTCCGGACAATTTCCCCAATTGCCGCTTCATCCACAGAGAACAAAGCAATCGAGGTGGCAAGCGAAACCCGCGTGCATTGCAGGCATTAGATGCGCGCGAATGATGGAAGAATAAAAAAGCCCGGACCATTCTCCGTGTAGGTATCCAGGATAGCGTAGGTAGCAAATCCTCGCATGTTTTGAATACGTGAAGGAAGGGGGGGGGCGTTCGTTGCGTGCTGCTGATGTCGATCTTCTTTTAATAACGCAATCCCTAAACCTCTCATCCTGGGCCAGTGCTGCTTGTTGAGTGGATGGTGGTGCAGTGAGGAACGGTTTGCGTATGGCTTTCCGCTTTCGATACTCATACCGCCATCTCCCGTCTTTCGAGAAGGTGAATGAGTACGGGTGACATGACCACCATCTCGCGCCTCTACCGACCTCGCATTCCCCCGTCTGGTTCGTGGGGGGTACTCAACCCGCGCGTTGCCATGTGGTGGTGGTGGTGATGGTGGTGGGTTGGGTTGGCAGGGTTTCCGGGTGGCGTGAATCCCCCGCTGTTGGTGTTGGTGGTGGTCTAAGGCCGAGGGAGAGACCCACTTCCCCGAACAGAAGAGTTCAAACTCCTACTCTCGCCTTCCCCTCAGCTTCGGGTCTATAGAATGGTCATGATACAGTTACATCCCTCGCATGCCTTGATCCTTTCCCCTCCTTTCAGGCCTCCCGAGCGTTGCCCACGTGGCCTTTTTCTTTCTCCCTCGTCCACTCTTTCTCGTGCGAAGCAGCAGAGTAGATGATATATGTATTACACGTCAATCGCGCACTCGCATCATCATCATTATCATCATCATCCGTGGCAAATCATCCATCTATCCATGACATGGCAACATCAATTGCAATTCCCGCCGACTGGTTTCTCCTATCCACATCTCTCGAGATTGAATCCGCCCCATCCAGTGCATGAAGACAAGAAAAAAGGGTCTGTCCTGTTCCTGAAAGGCCGAGGCCGAAGATAAAAAAGCCATTGTGCCAAGCTCATAGGTCCAACTTCCCGTAGCTTACAAAAACGACCTTGGCTCCGGTTGGCTAAGGAGAGCTTGTCTGCTCAGTGCATACACATGTGCATATACGCTGCAATGCACAGGCAATTCTTGCACATATAGTACATGGACTGGCAGACCCTGGGGCCAATTTGCACGCGTGTGGTTTAGAAAAGGATTGATTTATTGCACAATGCGATAGAGACACTGGCGTGTGCCGTGTACATCAATTCCCTTGCTAACTTAGCCTGCGTGAGCGCAGAACGGGCAGAGATCTTCGACATGCTGCTAGCTGAAGCTCTAGTCTACCTGCAGTCTCAGGCCTCAGCTACCCAGGCAGAAATCGTATGGGGTTTTTCTCTTCTCCCCTGCTATGGTCTAAACTCCCTTCTTTTAATCTTATCTTGCATGCGCGGCGGAGAGCGCAAGCAATACATACCAAGCCGGTGGCGTCGAGCAGCTCTGTTCTAGGTGTTTGTAGACGATTGAATCCATGTCGCGTCTCGTGTCGCGTTCGCGTCTGTGTACAGTTGTCTTGTCCTCGTATCAATTAATCCCATCTGCCTATCTGCAGGGGACAAAGGTACCCCAACGACCTTGAAACAGGCAACCAGGAGAGAAAGGCAAGGGAGCAAAAGAGCACTGAGTACAAAGAAGCATCTTTTTATTGTTCTTCTTCTAGTTCCATCCGTAGGTCTGTACAGATCCCGCAGAGAAAAAGAAGAAGAAGAAGAAGAACCATAGGCCGAGAAAGGAAAAGGCTACCTATCTACCGATCCTTCATGATGTACAGAGTCGAGAGGGAAGAAAAACAAAGAAGTTTTGAAAAGCCAGTGATTTTTGTTCAAAGAGAAGCATCATTGGGAGGAAGAGGACTCATGTCATCGTTAAATCCTTTCTCAAAAGAAAAGGAAACCCGTGGATATGCTCGTCATCTCGTCTCGAAAAACTTTTTTGGGGGTGGCGTCGTCCCGGGCTCAATGGCCAAAGAGCAATCGCAATGATGGAAATCAACCGAAAATGAAGAACCGGGAGAATCATCTTCCTCCTAGTTACCGTCCCAAACGCCAGGACACTCAAAACGCCCATTGTCGCTCGCTATGCTGTCCGTGCAACCTCAATCCCCACCAAACCCAGACCAATCCTCCTTTTTATCAAACCCAGACCTGTCCTCCTTTTGTTGTACGTAAATACAAGGCGTGAGCCTTTCGATGATGTTTCCAGGATATCGTCCCGTTCAAAACCATATAGACCGATAAAACCAAGTGGACCGTCCCTTCATCTACATAGATTCCGCCTCTCGAGTCGAGATCAAGGCAAAGCCCGATGGTCGCTCATTCGACAGTTCCATGCGTTCCTGGTGACGGAGATTCTCCAAGAGACGCTGTGCTACCGTGCCGTCTGGCGATAGCTTCAACTCCGCCTTGGACGCCTTCTGTCGCCTCGCCTCGCGCTCTTCAATCACATCCCTCATGATCTTGACCAGATTGTTACGGGTAACTGGATTGGCAAGCGCGGGGTGTCCGAAGATTTGATCGAGGAGAGGCAACGGGATGGTGAGCAGAATGCTGGAGAGGACTTGAGTGATGTGACTAGGTCTTCCTTCGTCCTCAGCAGGAGCATCGCCGAACTGAATCTTACTCAGTCGCGGATTGTGTGAGCCCTGATTCGGCTCCGTGACAGTAGGCAAGCGTGGGTAGTGCCGCAACTCAGGGGCTAGCGAATAGAGAGAGAAATCAGAGGGAAGGTTGTGCGCAATGAAACCAACGACCTCGTTCAAAAGGGGCATCGCACATGTCTCGGTGAGGCAGAAATGAAGGAGCTCTTCGATCGTGTCCCAGCGTAAGAGTGCTTTTGCGACGCGGAGACCGGAGGACTGCATTTCAGGGATTTGCATACTGCTGCCTGCTGCGATATAGCTGATGACCTGACCCAGACGCCTACGAGCTTCGCTCGACACGAAACCTTGGTCGCTGCCATCAAGATACGGGGTGAGCCCGAAGAGGAAAGATGGAGGTGATAGCAAGGGACCACCGTAGAGGATCTTGATCGCTTCAAGCGAAGACTCGTAGGACACAAAGATATTGTCGACGGTGACCTCTGCGAGCCTTCGCGGATCCTTAGTACGGAAGGAGGGCGAGGCGCTTCGACGGATTGATTCTAGAATAGCTGGACTCCGGGAAACGATTGCTGCATGCACTGGCATAGCAAGAAGCACAGTATCCTGGAATCGCACGTGTAGGATGCAATCGGCGAATTCGGGGTTGCCGAATAGACCGAACACATGACGGGCGATGGTGTGGATTTCGCCAGGCGCTCCAAACTGTCGCGGGGCAGAACCGTTGGTGTATGGAATCACAGGCTCGTCCTCCAGATACGGAGCAGGTTTCGCATCCTCAAAGTGCGACTTGCTGGGCGACTGGGAGTGAGAGCGAGTAGCGCCGTTGACAGGCATGGCCGCATTCGGAGGAGGGAATGGAGCAGGGAAGGCTGCCTGAAACGAAGCCGATCCCGGCGCAAACGTAGGAGAGGTATAGCCATGACCATTGCCGTAGATGACCTCTGGCGGTGGACCCATGGAGTAGGCGGGCTGGAGCCACGAGGCGGCCGGGTCGGAGGGGTGATGCGAGTGGCCCGGAAAGAATTGAGGAGCCATATGAGGAGCGAAGCCCGGGGGAGGGCGCGTGAAGTTGGGTTGAGAAACATGCATGTCCGACTCAAACTCTTGGGGAGTGGAGGGCATGGCTGGCGACTCTTGCACAGCACCCCCAAAGACGATTCCCTCTACGCTCTGTTGGAAGCGGTGAACAGGCACAAACTGGGGAGGCGGCAGGAAAGGCGCATCCACACCGTCTGAGAAGGGTGAATGGGTAGATGATTTCTCCCTAGGATAGAACTCGGGGGGAAGCTCGGTGCGAACCGTCGACTTGGGGCGATGGCCGTTGGGGATGGCCGAATCGCGCGCTGCCTTTGAATCAGTCTGCTGAGAGCCCTTTTGCTCGGCGCCAGCTTTCACAATGGTCAACAGCTGCTTCGAGTGGATAGTGGCATGTGTTGTGGATATAGACGTACCGATTGTATCTGCAGCAACTACTTCTCCCACGGCATTGCCGTTCGTAGAGGGAGATGTCGAGCTTGGCAGAGCCTGCTTCTCAGCAGAGGGCGAGGCCTTGGACTCTGAGGTCGAAGGAGTATGGGCGCGCTCTGTTTTCTTGTCGTCGACAGGCGGGGGCGCAGGCGCAAGAGCGGGCGCGGCTTTGGAGTCGTCGGGGGTGGTTGGTTTGGCTGCGGCTGCGGGACGGGCAAAGCGGCGAGGAATGGCGGGTATGATGCGAGGGACGGGGCGGCGAGAGGTGGAAGAGGTGGAAGGGGGAGAGAGGGTGTCGGCGCGGAGGGGTGGAGGTGGCATGATGGCGGCTCGACTTGTTCTTACCTTGCGATGGCCTGCCTTGGACGGAGTTGCGAGATGGAGTTTGGATCAGAGGCAACAGCGGCTCCAAGATAATTCAACGTGCCCAATTATCCTGGAGCGCCCGTAATGGGGGGCAAGAAGGGCCGCGAAGGGGAGGGAGCGGACGGCAAAGGGGGGAGATGGGCGCAGAGAGGCGGGCGGCAGGTGCTTGGGGAGGTGGTGGTGCGGTGGGTTGTGGGAGTGGAGCCAGGGCCAGCGTAAAGTAAAGTCCAGTTGAGTTGATGTGGGGTGCAATTTTTAGCCCGCGATGCGTCATAGCTTTATACCCGATTCGTCCATCCCGGCCGCCGACTGAGCCTCATCCTGCTTCACCTCGTCTTGTTCGCTGCCTCTCACCTCTGCCATATCTGCCCGCTTGACTTCTCCATGTAACTGTTGTATAGCACGTACCATTGCCGGTCTGGTCTTGATCGACTCATAAATCATGATATTGTGTCAGGCATCTGTTTGTTCGTTTTGTACAGATTGAACCCTGCATTCACCACCATCTCTAACGGCTATGGTATCGTGTCTTGCTCTCTGCATATACACCTACTAATGAATACACATGGGAACTAACAGCTATAAACAATACATACCCACACTTCATTCAATCGCTTGCTTGGATGCTCCGGGTTTGCTGCTGCTACTGCTCTGCTTGAAACCTCCAGTCATCACCACGCCTGCTTGACTCTTGCCTCCTCCCTTCAAAGCACATCCACGATACGGCAGCTACAACCATTCACCATGTATCTCTCGCGCCTGCTGTACACTCACATCACCATGTGCACTATGAGTCCCTTTGCGATTTCATCTTCGTTCCAACTCCTATCTCCTACCTACCTCACTTCATCATTCTTACGATAATTTACTGAGGACTTTATATCCTTCTCCTACACCCCCGTTTCCGCCATCGATACATACCCCAGCCAAGCCAAGAATGTCTACGGCCATCTTGAACCATCGCCGCGCCACCTCTAAACGCTGGCAGCCACACGCCGTACGGGGTCGTACGAACAATCGCCGTCTCCAATCTCGCAATTCAGATCGCCCAAATGCCTCGGCGCCGAATCGAGCAGCATGCCAACGAAAGCGAGAGTTCAGTCACTCAGGCAGGTTGAGCCCTAAAAGTGATGGTGGTGCAAGCAATAACTAATACATGTAGTGTTATAGGCAATGGAGTCGGTATTCGGGTCATCTCTGATTCGTTGACGCAAACTAAGGACTCTGACGACATTTCCAACAATACGGAACCTCAATACCCCCAGCGAGCTACTGACTGCATGCCGAGTCCTCCAGTCTCCAGGGAACCCAAGTCTTTACCAGAGAAAAGCGTAAAAGTCCCACCCCCCAAGGTGACGTTTGGGCTTCCGTCACCACCATCTTCGGCATCTGTAGAGTCAGACCGCTGTCACTCAGATTTCTCTGAACCTCCTTCTCATGGATCAGACCTCTCTCCCAGGAATCCATTTTTGCCAGATTGGTCAGAGATAAATCGTGTTTCGACGACTGCCAGCAGGTATATCAGCCCACCCAGAGACAGCGCTCCTGCCTGTATCCTACCCTCTCCCAAGAATCCATATTTGCCAGATTGGTCAGAGATAAATCGTCTTTCGATGACTGCTAGCGGGTATATCAGCCCGCCCAGAGACGGTGCTCCCGCCTGCATCCTACCCTCTCCCGAATCAAGAATGGGTATCGTGGACAATGAGAAGAAGCGGGCTCCCCCAAAGTTGACTATATTGGGTCCACCGCCTCCACCAGGACTCGTCACCGCACCTCCCACTTCCCCACAACCTTACTACATCTACGAAAACCACGTGAAATCGCCTAGAGATCCAATCGTCCCAGTCCGCTCGCAGCCACTCCCTCCACCAGGCGGTCTTTGGTCTGAAATATGGTCGCAAATCCCATCAATCACCGACCCTCCAAGGAAGGTTCCCTATAAGGAAGCCCGAAACGACATGCAAGAATTGGCAACACTCTTCGCCCAGATCTCGACTGCCCACCAACTCGATCCCGACTTCAAGAACGGCTGCGAGGATGAAGAGGATTGGAATATGCCAGTCTTCCCCACCTCAACCCTCGACGACCCATATCGTCCTATACCTTACGATGAACGTCCTCGCGTGGTTCCCACGTATACCGTTCCCATTGGAACGGGCCGTCCGCTGCCGCGCTCAAAAATCCCCGACACACCTAGCTTGACGCCGAAGGATTCTGCCTCGCCTTCTCTTTCGGATTTTGTTGTCGTGGATGGCAAGGGCGAGCGTGAGGAAGTGAGGGATGAGTTTCCGTGGGTGGAGGATGGTGGGGCGGACAGTTTGGGTTGATAGCTATACTTGCTCGATTAGTTGGTTTTGCTTGATGGCTTGTCGGTCACAGTGCTTTGCTTAGTTGTGCTGGATGGGATTGGCTATTAGACTTGTGTGACCGGCGAGCTTGGTTGTGTTCTCCCTTTGTACATTCGTTTTTTTGTTGATTTAAGGACTTGGGTTCAATCTCTTTTCTTTTCTTGGCGTGTCTCTCTCTCTATCACTGCTACATTTTCTCTTGTAGAGAAGTGGGAATGAGGGATTGAGGGAGCATGTTCATTCATTACTCTGTTTGTGGTTATTGTTTGGACGGGGGAGATCTTGCTTGTTCACCTTGTCTTTTAGTTTTGACTGAGGTACTCCATTCTCCACTCTTGTTCTCCCTTTTCCTTCTTTTCTGCTATTTTCTGTTAAGTTACAGGGGAGTCTACACATGTATGTATTTGAAATAGAATTGATAACAGCAGATAAATATATAAATATATATACGTGGACTTTAAGGGTCAGAATCCATACAAGCATAGATTCCGTGTTGTGATCGATTATGTGAAGTCAGATTCATGCAAAAGTCTATGTCAATTACAAACCCAAGAAACAACTCTGCGATTTTTTCAAAAGTAAGAAAAGTCAGGGACGGGGATATATTAAAACAAATAAATAAACATGGTAGTAGAATAATGTGGAAAGCCTAGGGCATGCGTTGTGCTACGGTAACTGACAAAAATGTACATCTATCCTGATCCATGCTCACATCTCCATATTCTCCTCCTCCTCCCACTGGGCTTTCACCTTCGCTGCTGTTGGTGATGAGGTGTGTTTAGGTTTCGTCTTTGTATGCTTTTTCTTCTCCGTAGAAGGAGATGTAGAAGTCGGATCATCCAGACAAATCAGACCGAAGAAGGCTTCGTGCGTACACGATGTCGACGTTGACGAGCTCATCCCTTTCTTTGTCGTCTTCGTCGTTGGTGATGGGGACACGGACGTTACGAGGGAGGAGGAAGCTGTGGTGGGATCTGCAGGATCCAGACACTCGCCGAACCAGCCGTGATGTTTGCATTCTTGTTGTTTGGATTTGGTTGTAGTTGTCGGATGCGGGGTTGTGTCAGTGGTGGTCGTAGGGTCTACAGGATCGAGACAGTCACCGAACCAGCCGTAGTGTCTGCATTCTGTTTGTTTAGATTTGGTTGTCGGGCGTGGGGGTGCATTAGTGGTGGTGGAGAATACTGGAGCTGGCGAGGGCGTTGTTTGGTGGGACTTGGTCGTAGTCGTGGATGTGCTTTCGTCGTCGTCAAGACAGCCGAACCAGCCTGGGGTTTTGCATGTTGACGATGACGAAGAGAATTGAGAAGAAGAGGAAGCAGAGGAGGAGGATGTAGTTGTGGTTGTGGTTGTGGTCGTAGTCGTCGTCTCATCTAAACATCCAAACCAGCCAGGTGTCTTGCAAGTCTCGGTGCGCGTCGTCGACGTGTGCTTCTTCGAAGTTGTCTTCGTTGTGGTAGTAGAAGTAGAGGGATCGGTGCCGTTGCTTTCGAAGAAATTCCAAGGGTAGCAGTCGGTGCAGTTGACGTACTGCTCGCACGAGGCCGGGGCGTCGTACTGTTCGAGAACCTCTTTAATGACACTCACAATCTTGTGCGTACCAACGCCCACTCGCCACCCAAAGTCCTTGACCGTATCGTATACACATTTTTTGCCCGTGTGGCATGTACTTTCCAGAGCATAGCCACCGAGTGTGCACACGCTGGTGGCTTGGTTGCATGAGCCCATGTAGATGGGGTCAGCGGTGTGTCCAAAGTGGTAACCACCCGTCATGTCGCGCGTTTGCATAGAGCCAATCTGGTGGCCGGGTGGGACGGGGAGTGCGAGACGTGCTGCAGGCATGGCATCGGGAACGGCCTCGAAGGTGACAGTTGGGTGGCCGTACGTCAGACTGATGAAGGACGATATTGCGCCACCGAGCGAGTGGCCCGCCATCCACACTTCGGCATCCGGGTAAAGTGCACTGACATTATGATAGAGGTCTTGTGCGGCGTAGTAATAGCGGTTTTTGGCCTTCAAGGCGCTGGTCAAGCAGGTCGAGTTGCATGTGTAGACGGAAGTCTGGCAGTCGCACACTTGCCTCCAAAGGTACTGTCCGCCCTGTCCGCAGCAGCAGCTGAAGAACAGGTTATCATTTATTTTGTCGTTTGTGGTAGTTTCGGAGCCGTCGAACAGGGCCGGCGAGGTCCCTTTGAGCCCTATGACGACGGTGGAATTTGTGGTATCCGCAAAGATGTGTCCGCGTAGTCCATCCTTTTCCCATCCAAAATCCTCAGTGTAGTTGAAGCCGCTACCCACATCTTCCCAGTCGCCAGTATTGGGCTCTAGAATGTAGGCATTTGAGGCCATGCGGGCAAAGCTCAAGACGGTTTCCTTGTCCGTGACATTGGGGCCTGGCAGCTCATGAATGGTCCAGTCGTCGTCGTGGAGCTGGACCGCCTTCCCCGTCTTCCTCCCCCACTCTAGTATACCATCTATTGTCGGTCTACTCCTGTCAACTAGCCTTTGGATATGCATCGTCTCTGACTTTGCACGCAGTGGTGGGACAGGGAGGCGCGCCGCCTTTTCCTCTTCCTCTTCTCCATCTTCGTCCAGCATCCAGACGGTGGCGTGCGGGGGAACATCGAGGCGTCTGTGCAGCTCTGGGTATTCGTATGCTCCATGGTGGAATATATGGCGGAGCGAGAAGTGTTTGACTGCATCGTCGTGAGGGCTCGGCGATAATGGTGGCGGGGGGAGGATGTCCCAGGCGCCGGTAACGGCTAAGAAGGAGAGGAGGATGGATGATGCAGTGACACGAGCGGGCGAGTTACAAGTGCGTCTTGAATGCATATTGGGATGCAAAGTACGGGTGGGCGGGAAATGGTGAGGCAACAAGTTTACTCCATGCTGTCGGATGTCCGTGGGAGTACCTGAGTGTATGTACTTGAGCACATGTGCATACAGAGGGACTACTACATGACTGGGTGGGATGCATGCTGGATTGATTGAATGACGCTGTTCACGAGGGGATCTGCACGTGCATCCAGGCGACATGGGTGACGCGGAACGCCTTACCCCCTGCGGGCTAGCCCAGTCCTTCACCACATGTCAACATGGAGCTCTCCTCTCCTCCCCTCTCCTCCCTCTGTTGCCAACATCAGATAGTCTGCTTCAGGTAACAGACTAGCTTGGCGGACTGCCGACGTTGGTCAAACTTGTCAGACAGTTTCAGCCTCAGTCTTTACAGCTAGGCGGTCGCGAATACATACATATAACCAGCTATAAGTAGATGTCAACTCAAACCTTCTCGGACAAGCCAGCGCTTCTCGCCTCTCTTTAGACGAGACGACTCGACGTTCCAGCCGTTCCCAAGTGGGCCCGTTGCACCAGCATCCGCATGACGTTGAGGCTCGAGCTTTCTGCTACTTATTGATTGTACATACTTACCCATCTCCCTCGAGATTCCCATGTTCCCACGCGATCACCATCACCGCCATTCTCCGCTCTTCCAGTCCTAATCGCTACCTCGTTATGCCTGAACGCCCCCAGAATCTCCACACTTCAAAGTCCTTCACGCGCCTGGAGTCGGACAGATCACCCGCCCCTGACTCGACCTCCCGCAGTAGAGCGAGCACTCTTCAAGGGCCCCCGATGCCTGCCATTGACCCTCTCAATCCCCTCAAGATCACCCTATCGCCTCAGGAAGAGGATGCTCACGCCGATGGGGACGTGTTCGCCAACAAGACCGAGGAAGATGAAGCGGCTCAGCCTGAGTTTGCTGTGCCTGGTCGATTTGAGGAGCTGCCTATAGAGATTCGCAGCTTGACAGAGAGGTCGGTCCATAGGACCCAGATATGACTGTTTGACAGACGGCTAACATATATGAACAAGGTTCCTCGAATCTTTGTCTGCCAAAGTCCATCCCAGCCCTCTCACCGCCGATGCGCTCTCAGATCTCTTTCAAGACTTCTACACACGTGCCTCGAGCAAGATCAATACACACATTGCAACCCTATCCGCCCGCCTCACGAGTGATTCCTTCAAGAAGTCCTCCTCCAGCCGTCAGGGGTCTATCCGGTCCACTAATGGCGAAGGAGCAGAGCAACAGATGCTCAGCGCGACCGAGATGTCGGATCGGAAGAAAGCGAGAAGGGACCTGGAGGTCAAACGCGCTGCACTCGAGGAGGCTGTTGAGCGTGCCGTGTGTGAGAAAGTCTACGAAAGAATCTGGCGACACCGCAGCACCGATGATGAGGAAAGGGACCACAAGCTGCGATCCCGTACGGCCGCCCTGTCCTTGGTTGGGATAGGTTTGACGGAGCTTCTGATGACGGGCGAGAATATGACTGATGAGGAACGGACCAAGACAAAGGAGCGCGAGGGCGGTGTACGCGAATATCTTTCCTCTGCGCGGGACGATCTTTTGAGGATGAACGACATCAATTACCCTCTCGGGAAATTGCAGCACCTGACTGCAGCCCACAAATCCATTGTAGACGCGTTGTCCAAGATCTTCCCAGCGTCTTCGTCCGCGGACGAGATTCTGCCCACGTTGATCTACACACTAATCACCATGCCCCCCGAGAGTCTCAATGTGATATCTCATCTGAAGTTTGTACAGAGGTTTAGAGGTTCCAGCCGGGTAGATGGAGAGACCGCATACTGCTTGGTCAACTTGGAGGCTGCAGTGTCCTTCTTAGAGACGGTAGATTTATCATCATTGCGGGCAGAGGAGGGTTCTACGCCTGGGAAGCCTGGCTCGCGTCCGACCACACCCAGGTCAGAGGTGACACCCATGGCTCTTGGTCTTGCAGACGCCCCCGATCTCGCGCAAGGTCCGTCGCCTAGAATAGGCTCTACTATCTCGCCACCTAGCCCGACCACCACGAAAGCGAATCGCCGTCTTAGCAATCTCATTACTACACAGACGAATCGCATCGAAGCTGCTTCGGACGCTGTCCGTGAATCCATCATAGACTCTGCCGACCAGGCTTTGGGGAGAATCAACAACACACTGGACAATAGCTTCAAGTTTCTTTTCGGCAGGATGAAGGAAATGGATCCCGCTGATCAGCCCGCCTTGCCAAAGACGCTGGAAGAAGCGAGGCAGCTAGTCACCTCGCCATCCAAACTCTACCACGACGACGAAAACGCTAGCATCAGCGCGACAAGCTCAATGATGGAGGAGGACCGGAGAGACGACCGGGACCTGGGCGCGAAAATGACCGATCTATTCGCCGGCCGACGACCCATGAGAGACCGCAGTGCAGATTCGACGCAGTCCGGCGGTAGCAACAGTGGCAGACGCGGCATTCCCTTCACTGCATCCTCCAGCGACGCCATCAAACCGACGCTCCTCACATCCAAAACGGAACCCGTGGCCGCTCCACAAAACACCTCCGCAGTCGACTCTATTCGCAATATCGGAAATAGCATCAACCCGCTGAACCGCTTCGCAAACATAAACGTCCTCCCTCGCTTCGGAAGAGCCCCGACCAGCACGCACACCACGCCAACCACCACCCCTTCTGTTGCGGAACAAAATAAACAGCTTCCTTCCTTACCTGCAGCTGCCACCCCGCGATCAGTGTCTGGAGAAGCGCCGCAGACGTCGGCGACATTAGCGGACGATAAAGGTGCCCGCGCTATTGCTGCGCTTGAGGGGCTGAAGAAAACAACTCCTCCTGTTAAGAAGTTCTTGGACACGAAGGATGCACAGGACTTGAAGTTGAGGGAGGTTGAGGAACTCTTGAAGGAGTATCAGAGGTTGGCTGCCGCGTTAAGGGGTGCTATCAACTATTAAGTCTCCCAGGCGTGTAGTTTGAGTGAGTGAATAGAGAACTTCCGCCTGTTAGGAGAGATACTTTATTTTTATCCTGGGGCTTTTCACTGCTTTGTTTGATTTTTTTTTCGGAGGGAGAAGAGTTTTCTTTCTTTTGGTACGTGCATGTGTGTGTATAGTAGGATTTTTCCATTTCAATGTCTTGTGTAAGAATACAGTTGGGACGTTCGATGTTTTTCATACATAGCTGAACACATAGCCGCTGTTACTGGAAGACTTTTGCAACATCATCGAAGTATACAAACATGTGTATGTTCGTTAAGCCCTTCGGCGAGCTGCACATGGATAAAAAAAGGTGATGACCGCTTTACCTAAGTCACCAATCAAAACCAAAACATTCAACTCCTCAACGTCTTTCTTTCAGAGCAAAAGGAAAAATCATTCAATAGACCTCCAGCTTGAAGAATGGACAAAAAGAACGGGTCCTGCCGCGACTCGAACGCGGGGCCTCTCGCAATAGTGCTTAGCATGGTTACACGAACCCTAAGCGAGAATCATACCACTAGACCACAGGACCGTTGCTGTGATTGGATGGAAACAGCATCTGTTTAAGAGTATATAATGCAGGAAACACAAGAGACGAAAGACTCGTTGGGAACCTCATCGCTGCTTTCAGTGGTACCCGATTGGAATGAAAATGTCTTGAGCTACCCCTCAAGAAGTGGATGGGCATGAATCAGACCATGGCGTTCGTTGGCGTGTTCCGAGCATCTTCCGTGGATCCAACACTCGGAACCTCTCCACCCTCTAAGCCTAACATGGACTAGCCTTTATACCCATGTTTGTTTATGCTCGTTGCTGTTTACTCCAGAACACAAACACTCCATTAAAAATTCCCCCCATTGCTGCTTGCTAGACGCAACCCGCTTTGGAAACACACAATCACACACATAATGGCCGAGCCAATGTCTGCGCTCTCTCCGGAGAAGCTCAATGCTGCAGCCTCTAGTACCGATATTTTCCACGATGATGCCGATACAACCTCCTGGCACGATCCGCCTTCTTCACCATTTGTCGAGCATATCGACCACAACGACCAAGAAAACATCGCACCTACACCGGTGAAGCCATTGATGGATTTGGAAAACGATATGCCGCAATCGGCGTTCAAGATCTCGCCAGACAAGAAAATGACGCCGTTGCAGGAACAGAGCCCGATGAAGTCGCCTGCGAAGAACCTCCTCGATGACTTTGAGAGGGAGGCGATGAAGGCGGACCGCATGACCCCCGTTAAACCCGAGAGCCCTATAAAGCAGGCCCTTCTAGAGAGAGATGGAGAAAGGCCTGGGTCTGCAATGAGCAGTCGGTCACGCAAAAGCTCGCCGTCGAAGTCGTCACGAACGTCTCTCTTGGAGACAGCAGCGGAAATCGTTCCTGCCACACCGAAAGGGCTGGCGTCGCCTTTGAAGGAAAACGGTTTGCGCGAGAATGAGGGGCTTACAGTTGCTATGCGCATGATGGATGAGTCTCACAGCGAGAGTCATCAACAGTCCACAACACACAGTATCCGCAAAAATATACTAGACATTGAGGATACCGGAGTGGAAGATACAATGGAGTACATGGCTGATGGACCGGAGATGTCGAGTCTGGACATGGACGACACGTGTTTCAGCAACTTCTCTGAGATGCCTGGCATTGACATGACCAAGTTTGCTATGCTCCGAAACAGCCCTACCAAGAAGGGACTCCCCGACCAGGTATGCTGTCTTTGTTCATCGTTATGATTTGTTTGGCTAATTAAATTAGACACCTCGTGCCCGCGCACAAATGACGCCTTCCACTGTCCGCCGCGCCCAACGCACACCATCTCCAACACCTCGTCGATCACGCAAAGATGGTGACACGACAAATCTCCTGCTGGACTTTACTGCCCAGCTTGAAGCCTTTTCTACTTCTCGACGCCAATCGCCGCCGCGCTCAACAACAGAGCCAAATCTACGTGCATTCTATGACACACAACGTTCTCCCATGAAAGGGGGAGCTTCCAATGTCCCCGCTACGCCTCGTCAGAACCGCGCCGTGTTGAATCTGTTAGATTTTGAACTCCCCCCTGCGCCAACTCCCCGCTCGGTGCCTACGGTCACTATCCGCGAACTAGAGAGTCTCAAATCAAACTTTCAGTCCCAGATCTCATCGCTCACTGCAAGCCTTTCAGGGAAGGAGGCGCAAGTGGAGAGCTTGGTCAAGGCCATCTCCGATGCAGAGCGTCGCGTAGGTGAAGCCCAGGAATCAGTACGTGATGAGCGTTCCGCGAGAGAGTACGCGGAGGCACAGATGGAAGACTGGAAGAAGAAGGGCGAGGAAGTTCAGACCCTGCTCAAGGACGTGCAGTCTGAACTCGGTCGCAACGACGCAGAACGAGAGCAACTTCTCGCACGGCTTGCCGACGCGGAAAAGAAGAACGAAGAGGCAGACCAGCGCGCGTCCGACCTTGAGACTCGACTTATTGAAGCAGAGAGCAAGAACGTAGACATGACGACCTTCATCAACCCAGATGAGGAAGGCAGTGACAACAAGAAGATCTACTCGGAACTCGAGTGCCAAACGGCTATCGCAGAGAAAGTCAACGAAGTGGCGCGCGACCTGCACACAGCGTACAAGGCTAAGCACGAGAAGAAGATCAAGGCACTCAAGGAGAGCTATCAACGTAAAGCTGACGAGCGATGCAAAGAGCTTCGCCTCCAGATCATCCGTTTGGAACGCAAGGTCGACGAGGCAGAGAAGAAGCAAGACACCTTTAGCAAGGTTGTTCCAGACGCTCAACTATCTGCCTCCACGAACGCTACCGCCGACCCTATTGAAGGCACCTGCGAGTTCTGCAACCGACCCCCTACCTCCTCTCCAACTTCTCTACCTGAAGACCTCAAGCTCCTTGAATCCCACAAAGCATCCATCGAATCGCTCAAAGCCAAGCTTGCAGGCTTGGAGTCCGAACTCGCCTCCCTACGCACGTCCAACGCGACGCTCGCGCAGGACCTGGAAGCCGAGCGTGTGGAGAAGGGTGAGCTCGTCGCCGCCGCCGAGCAAATGCTGCTCATGTGCGGCGAGAAGATGGAGGAGATGCAGCAAGAAGACTTCAGGAAGAGTCAGATTGGCGGCAGTGGACCTCCTACCCAACCTGCTCCCTCGCAACAACCACCGCAAGAAAAGCCTCCTGCTCCCCCTTCTTCCTCCACCTCGGCACTAAAGCGTTCCATTTCCTCCTCATTCAACAACAACAACAACTCGATGCGGAATACAGGGTTCCTAGCTGGCGGGCCGACGTCCACTTCGTCATCGACCACAACATCACGTCCCGGCAGCGCCTTCGGTGACCGCGGTCATTCAAACTCTACCTCTTCTTCAACCACGACCTCGGGTATCGCGAAGCCCAGCGGACTAAGAGCGCCTGGTGGTAGCGGCGGGTTTGGCTTTGGACACGGCCGTACCACGAGTGCTAGTAGCATTGGTGGTGGGGCGGGCAAGAGTCGCATCTTGAGTAACATTGAACGCATGGGTGGATAAAAGGTTCGACCTAGCCTGGTTTGGATGTACAGTGTTGAAGAGAAGATAATCTTCTCTTTTCCCTTCTATGGATTGATTCAACGATACTATGATGGCATGACGGCAAAGGTTGTAGATATGGGCGTCTGCGTGTCTTATGTTTTTGTACGTCAACTGGGTTTTCCCGTCTTTCTTTCTCATATGGAAGGAATGTCGCCGGTGTGGTCTCTGTTTTTTTATTTTGGTAGTCACTTTCTGGAGTTTTGTTGGTTCCATGGGGTTTGCCTCCCCATCCTTATCATATTTGTCTTTCTGCTTATTTTGATCCTCTCTCAGTCTTGTACTGTATTGTCGCTTTATCGTGTATTTGTTGCAGACATGGAAACGTAACTGGAGAGAGAAAAAGTGAGGGGTTTTATGAGTCTTGGATTGTTTTCATGTAGATATGACGAATGACTATATCTACATTCACTTCAAGCTTCATACTGGATACTTTGCTCTTACGATGCTCGAAATGCCGTCACCTCGCTCGCTCACTTACTCACTCCACCATATCCGCATCCGCTCCCTTCATCTTCCCCTTATCTTTGCCGCCATCATCCACCCTCGGCGCCTCAGGCACGTCCACACCATCGATACACCAGCTCATACCAGGATACGAATCACTCAGCACACGCACATCGATCTTCTTGCCCTGCACCTCCTCCGGGATCGAGATCTTGGCGGAACCGTGTAGTTTCTGCGCCGCGCCAGCGCCAGCGCCTGCGCGACCACCACCACCACCACGACCGCGTCCTCCCCGACCAGATTGTGAATTGTTGTTGTTATTGTTTCTGGATGGGTCGTTCCACCCTACACGCTTCAATGCGATGATCTCGTCTGTGCCCTTGTACGCAACGATGACGAAGAATCCTTCGGTCTGCGGTTTCGGGTACCGCGGTGCATAGATCCTAACGCCTCCGCCACCACCTTGCTGTACGCGCGCGGGATTGACGCGTTCGAGATTGACGGTAAGACTGACTGCGTTGACGTTCGGAAGTGCGAGCTTGAGCACCGGTAGGCGCGAGACGGGTTCGAGGAAACGTTTGATGCCGGCTGGAGTAGATATACCTGCGAACCTCGCTGCCTTTTCGAGAACAGATGTGGAAGCCGTGGAGGCGTCAACGAGAGTTTTGGGGGTCGCTTTGGGGTGCTCGAGACGTTTGTTTTCGAGATCTGGAGTTACGCCTGGGAAAATGGAGAGGGTGCCGTCGGTGGGCCAACGGGCGGATTTGATGGCTTGGAGGAGGGTGATCATGGTTTCGCAGCTGCTGAGGTAGCCGAGTTCTGTCAGGACATCGATGGAGGCCTGCACGATACGAATACTCTGGTCGAGAACACTGGTTTGATCGCCGACGTAGTCGGTAATGGGGAGGTCGATGCGTGAGAAGTGGGCTTGTAGAAGGAGGAAGGACTTCACGTGCGGATCCCACATGGGTAGGCCGAAGTCATCGGCGGGAATGGGGAGGTTTTTAGATAGCTCAGCGTTGATTAAGTCTTCGTTGTGGCGGACGGGAAGTTCGTCGTATTCGGTGGCGTGGGAGACCCAGGAGAGGACGTCGGCAAACGTTGCTGAGCGTTTGACGTGCTTTACGAGGTACCGGATGGTTTTGTGGCTGAGGTAGTAGTAACTCATAATCTTGCCTAGGGGCGTTGCGTCAACGTCCCCAGTGCCGCTTAGTTCAACGCAGGATGATTCGGCTAGATCATTTAGAGACGCCTCGACTAGGTTGATCATATAGTCATTTGCCATGGTCTGAGCTGCAATAGTATTATGCTCTTCTGCAGAAATCTCCAGGCCATAGAACGAAGGATTCTTGTGTAGACGGCGAAAGAAGAACGTCCAGGTGAGATAGTCGAGAGCATCCTGCTTCGTAGCGATAGTACCGGCAGAAATTTCAGCGCCCAGATGGTTATCAAGGACTTTGTGCAGTGATGACTCCACTGGAAAACCTGTATGCAGGAAATGTTTGTAGAACTCCTTCTTCGCATCTTGAGTGAAGATTCTGGCCACACCAGAAGAGTCGAATTGAGGTCGTCCAGCTCGTCCGAGCATTTGAAGAACATCAGTAAGATCCATATCCTTGTATCCTTCGGTCTTTGCATCAAAGAACTGGGTGCCTTTGACAACAACCAAGTGCGCAGGAAGATTGACACCCCAAGCAAGGGTACTGGTAGCGACGAGGATTTGAATCTTGTTGTTGGCAAAGAGTTCTTCCGATAACGAGCGATCGGTTTCCTTGAGACCAGCATGATGCAGCCCAATACCAAAGCTCAAAGCTTCACGTAACGCATCGTCCTGGACTCTCTCAAGGTTGAGAGCAAGATCATCTTCAGACATATGCAAGAATCGGCGGGGATTGTCCTCCATGCCGCAAAAATTGATCAAATCGCGCGCGGTGAGACGTGTCTGACGACGAGACGCCACAAAGACAATCACAGGCTTTTCCGGAGAATGTTGTTTGATCGCGAGGAATGTCGGTCTGTTCATCGATTGCATTAATGGGCAGAATCCGCGTTGCTCAGGGAATCCGTCGATGAAGATTTCCAGTGGCACAGGGCGGACAGAATGGCGGAAATTGAAAAGGCCTTCCTTGACACCGAGCCAGTTCCCGAGGTCGCTGGCATTCGCACAGGCTGTAGACATACCGAGGAGTCGAACAGAGCCTTTGCTTTGCGAAGCGATGTAGTTCATTCTGGACACAATAATTTCCAAAATTGGCCCACGGTCGCCGCCGAGCAGATGAATTTCGTCGATTATGACGAGACTCACTTGTCGCACGTAGCCACGTGTCTGCCAGCTTCTACTGATACCATCCCACTTTTCAGGTGTGGTAATGATGATATCAGCATCACGAATGGTGCGTGTGTCGGGCGTATTGTCACCAGTCAATTCGACAAGCTTCAAACCCATGGGTCCTGCCAGGCGCTTGCCCCAATCCTGAACTCGTTCCCGAACAAGTGCTTTCATGGGCGCAATGTATACAACTTTGGACCCAGGCTTCTCACGAAAAGCCCACCACATGGCGAGCTCAGCTGCTGTTGTCTTTCCACTTCCCGTCGGCGATCCTAGAAGCACATTGGCTGATGTATGGTACAAACAGTGGAAGATCTGTGTCTGCATCGGATTAAAATACTGGGAACGTTTGCTGTACAGTTCCTCCAGAAGAGGGTTCTTGAGTGCAGAGATCGGTAGTGGTTGTAGATTCAGCAGATCCGTATATACACTTTCAGTGTCAGGTCGAATCAGATGCTGAAACGAGATTGGGTGAACGGTCTCGGCGCCCAACCATCTGTCGGATACGGCTCGCACGTAAATCTGAGATGGTAAAGGATCGGAGAGCGGGATTGTGAAGTTCAGCTCATGGTCATCATAGAGCTTCTTGCGTGACAGGATGAAGTATTCGTAGTGAAAGATTTCGGATGTCTCCGAATTCTCCACCCAGATCCAGAAAGGCTCAGAAGTTCCATGGTGTCGGTCATTCCACTTGAAGTCAGGCGTAAGCCATAGGCGAATGCGAAGAACGTCTCGGTTCAAAGGCGCAATCTCACTTTCAATGCTCAGTGTGGGGAAGTTGTCAAGCAGACGAGAAATGACATTGCCCATCTTGGTATTGTGGACCAATTGACCGATCTCAGCAGGTTCCATATCGCGCAATGCCTCAATGGAAGTGTACTTTTGATCCAGCTGGCGGAGAACTGGCTGCGGAAGATCGAATTGGTGCAGAGGGTGTTCAATAGCCCAGACCTGGCGCTCGATCGATTGACACAAGCTGAGAAGAACTAGACACTGATAACCCCATCGACGATTCAGTGCAATCATGAACAGTGCGCGAGCAATGCGGGTAGCATTTTGAGTAATGTAATTGGTGTCGGAAACGAGTGTGAAGTCCTCGAGCCTTGCTCGCGATATATGCGCTTGTAAAAGGACATTCGTCTTTCCATGGGGCGTACCGACACCACCTTTGACCTCGGTGACTACGTAGCCCTCTTCTTGCAGAGAGGAAAGCTCTTTTTGTTCGGTTTCGCGAGACTGTATCTGATCAAACTCTCCACTCATACTGACCATTGCCATAGCATCTGCATCGGAGGCTTGTGGATTCATCATAGTGTTGAAGATCTCGACACTCGACTGCTGAACGTAGAACTGGCTAGCAATACGACCGACATCCTTGGCACGCAGGTCTTCGGTAGTCTCGTTGAATATGATCATTTGGCTCTTCTGCAAGGTTCGTGCTGCATCGATGATGAGCTTCCGCCGGCGCTGGACGAGCTGAGGGTCATCTCGGATCTCGGCCCATTCGATACCATAGGCCAGAGGACTCTTCTGCATACGAACAAAAAGGTAGGAATAACCCAGCCACTGGACAGCTTCCGGTACGGTGGTCACCGTACCGAGCGAGATCTCGGCGTTGAGATTGTCCACCATCTTAGCTGAGAACCTGGATTCGATGGGCTGTTGTTCTGTTACCGCCTTCATGTAATGATCGAGTCTGTCGTGCGTGGTGCAAATGAAGCCGATACCCGTATCTTGAAACTGAGGTCTACCCGCACGACCAAAGATCTGTAGCACGTCAAGTATACCAAGATCGACAAACTTTCCGTCTTGGGCACTGTAAACTTGGGTTCCTTTGATGAGCACTGCAGCAGCAGGCAAGTTTACACCCCAAGCCAACGTTGCCGTACAGCAGAGAACTTTGATAACACCCTCCCCAAAGAGTCGCTCTACAAGGTTTCTGTCCGACCGAGGCATACCGGCGTGATGAGTGCCCATACCCTTATTAAGCAACTCACGCAGTTCTCTTCCTTTGGATTGTTTCATATCTCGAACTGCTACGTCGTATCTTGGGTGCTGCGTCGGGTCGAACAGATCGGTACATTGTTCTTCGGTTGCCTTCTCATGCAGCATCCTAGCAGTTTTGACTGTGTCTTTTCGCGAATGCACGAACACCATGATTTGATGACCGCGCTCAAGCATCTCCTTGACCTTGTCAAAAGCCACCCGCTCCAAGTTTTCTCTTGACTTCGCGCTATTGGCTTTGCCCTTGGCTCCTATGAAGTGTTGTTCCAAGGGAACAGGACGGAACGAGGCATCAAAGTAAAACAGGCCAGCCATTTTGTTCACCCTCAGGAAGTCGGCAACATCCACATAGTTGGGAAGGGTTGCAGATAAACCAATGATACGGATGAGAGACTGAGTACTTTCAACTTGGCGTTGTGTTCTGGCCACTAAGCTTTCAAGTACCGCACCACGTTCATCATGTAGCATGTGGACTTCATCAATGATAAGAAGGCGGACTTTTTGTACGAGTTCTGTGTCGCCGGTGCTCTTTCGAGTCACCACGTCCCATTTTTCAGGTGTGGTGACGATAATCTGAGTGTCTAGAATTTCCGCTTTGGTCAAATGCATGTCTCCTGTCAACTCGCGAGCCTTGACACCGAGCCACGAAAGACGCTTTCCCAGCTTTTCGGTAACTTCGGCGGCAAGAGCCTTCATGGGAGCGACGTATATAATCTTGAAGTCTGCCGATGACACAGCAAATTCGGTTGCTTCTGGATTCTCAATGGGGTTTGGAGTGGTGTACTTGGCTACGGTGTTCAGAATGGTGAGCATAGCTGCATCCGTCTTACCAGCACCAGTAGGGGCACAAATTAGCATGTTTTCGCTGGTTTGGTAGGCCACAGGATAAACCAGACTCTGCATGCGATTCAATGATTTGTAGCCTTTGAAGGTGCGCTGGCAGAGACCGTCCATGTCTGCGATTTCGACTAACTTGCGGCCGGCACCAATGGTACCAACAGGAGCAGCTGGAATGGCATACTCTTCGTAGATGTTATCGTCGTAGTGGGTGTGATTTGGAGGCAGAGCATATTTTTTGCCATATGAAGAGAGCTTGTTTCCTGCCTCATGAGTTCGATAGACGTGAGGATATTGGGGACCTTTACGATCTAGAGATGGGGCCAAAGAGGCATTTTTGTGTTCCCAGTCCTGGCGTCTTAGAGCTTCCTCCCTTTCTACTCTAGATTGAAGACGGTCCACGAGGGCGCCATTGCTGGGCTCGTGCAGAGATCGTGTAACATCCTGCCGGTGCGAAATAAGATCGGCCACAAGATCCAACTCCCCGTATCCCACCATGTCCGCCAACATCATCTGCAACTCTTCGTCATTGCTATCACTGGACAGAATGGCCAATATCTGGTCTTTGAGGGCAGCCGCATCTAGGCCTGAGCCTCGTTGGGCCACAAGCGTGCACATGTCTGCCAGCCATTGCTGGCCGTATTTGGGCGCTTCATCCTGGAATGTCTGCGCATCTAGTTGGTCGCTGCTGTAATCCTCTTCATATTCGTCGCTAATGACATCCCAGATATCCTCGCCGCTGGCCGTCCCGGAAAGGTCGTCATCATCGATATCCAAATCCTGGCCATATGGGGAAGTGTTTTGAACATCAGGCGGCAGCTTCAGTTCAGCGATGGCTTTGCGCATGGCGTCGAGACGCTCCAGCCATTCTGCCTGAGCACCTTCCAGCGTGGTAGAATTTCCCTCTCCAGACATAACGAGGGTAACGATACGGCGCTTCCTGGAACTTTTTGTGTATCAGCTTCCGACGATTTTAGATGTGCGCAATAGCCGCCTAATTGATAGGTGATGGGGTGACTGGTGGCGGTTGGGATCGGTCATTAGGTCAGCAGCCCGCAACCGCCGCCGCCGCTACTAGCAGCTAGCTATCTACGTGACCGCCGTCTCATCTCACATCTGACGGAAACACAACTATTCTACCCAAGTCAAAGGCGAACAAACTGATAGGAACTCCTCCTCTTTCACTCTTCGCGACCTCACCTGCACCTTCAAATTGAATTACTGCCTCCTCTTGACCGAGAAGCCTCTATCTCTCTCGCCGTCGCCAGCTTCCGCATACCCCTCCGTCTCATCCCCACTCCACCGCAATCATGCCTGTCTACTACGTTGGTGTACGCAACTTCAGGCCTCTCGCACCGCACTCGAATATCTCCCGCTGACTGCGACCAGATTTTGAGGAACACCGGCAGACCTGCTGTAGAACTAGCCGCCGAAAAGAAATTGGATAGCTTTAATTTTCTCACCCGCCCCAAATACTCCGAATTTGTACGTTGGCCACGATCTCATTAGCGGTGCACTCGGGGACTGACAATAGAGAACAGCTGGATTTCACTGTCGGATTATGTGCCGAGCGGCTCGAGAAGAACTACAGGGGGGAGATCAAGATGGCTGGTATGGTTGTCCCGCCCACTTCACCTCCCGTACGAGCTTCTCGCAGGACATTCACTGATTATTATTTATGTGAACAGAGGACAAAACTGGCGATTACAGATTCCAAGCATACGATTACAAAGGAGGCATCTGCGGTGTCGTAGTCACTGACGCCAACTACAACGAAAGAGTTGCGCAGGCCATTCTCGCCAAATCACTCGAGTTCTTTGCTGGCAAATACTCCGAGTCCGCCTACACCAACCTACAGCCTAGCCCCAAGGGTTCCCCGCCTCCTCTGGCTATGCCTGAATTGAAGGAATACATTGACAAGTATCAACGGCCGGAGGACATCGATCCCATCTTGAGGATTCAGATGGAGCTTGATGAGACCAAGACGTTCATGCACAAGTCGATCGAGGCCATGCTTGACCGTGGCGAGAAGCTCGATAGTCTGGTGGCAAAGAGCGACAACTTGAGTTCTCAGAGCAAGATGTTCTATACCCAGGCGAAGAAGCAAAACTCCTGCTGCATCGTCATGTAAATCTCTCCTGTACTTGCCTTTCATCAACGTTTCTCTGGCGTTCATATTTGGGCATTTCTACACTTCAGTCGCGTTTTGTTGCCCTGCTAGTATCTTGAATAATGATGTTGCCTGTTCCACCACCTGCATTCTTCTCTCGTCACCCTTCGTGCATACTTCGAGTAACTGCCTTGCCCCCATGTCTCGAAGGAATCGCCTATCACAGCCCGCACAGCCCGACTGTGCCACTCATCTACTTCGTATAGGCGCCCCAGCCCCTCCACTCTCAAATGCCCCACCCTCCCCTCTCGTTCACCTTGGGAGAATCTGATTTCCTTTTCTCTAGTTTGGAAACGCTTCCTGAACTAGTAAAGTACCGCCTCTATTTTCGGATCAGATGTCGGGGCTTGAAGTCGTTGGCACAGTTGCCAGCATCATTCAAATCATCGACATTGGCGCCCGAGTCATCAAACGCATCAACGATTACAGGGAGAAAGCAAACACGCTGCCTGGAACTTTCTACCAGATTGGAGTCCAGCTTCCTATTTTCATCGAGGTGGTCCGCGACACAAAGCTTGCTATAGACGAAAATCGGCTGTCAGACACTGCTAGAAAGGCCCTTAATCCTCTCATTACAGAGTGTAATTCGCAAATACGCATTTTGGACCTCATAGTTCACAAGGTGCTTCCGCTCGATGTCTATTCTACGACAGATAGGCTCCGCAAGGCCTACAGAAGCCTGAAATATGAGAGTGAAGTCGCCCAGGCAGAGACGACGCTCCGAAAATATATCGAAGCAATGTCGCATCAACGCATTGCTGCCTCGCGCAACGAAGGTGCTATCGGTAGGTGTTTTCAATGCCGTTTTCTTAATCTGCTTGTCAACATAGCAAGCATCAGCCGAGAATGTATCGTTCAGTCCATTTTCTCGAAGTGTCAATCCTGTATGCGTGCATACAATGTGTTTGTATGGACTGGCAGTCTTTCGGCACCACTTGCTGCATGACGTGCTTCTGCACCTTTCACATTGTAATGTAGGCAGGCATCCGCGAGCCAGATAAAAATAGGCATGGAACAGGCACCATTTATCCAACTCTTCTTAACTACTTAGTACTGAGTATAGACATTGAGACTGACATCACTCCCTTAGTTTCGGACCCTCCGAGGCCGTCCTTCGTCAACAAACCTTTCAACCGCGATGCCGATCACGTTCACAGGGCAGCCCTAGACTGGGTTATTACTCAAACTCACAGGCCGAATGGCACACCCAGGCTTGCGCTCGTTGGCTTAGGTGGCGTAGGGTATGTTTCTCTCATGATTGACAGAAATCGTACTTACAAATCCTTGATTAAGAAAATCCCAAATCGCTCTCCAATATGCATACATAACCAAAGAGGTAATGCCGGACGTGTGGATTTTTTGGGCACGCGCGAGCAGCGTTGCAAGACTGGAAGCAGATTTCAGGCAAATTGCCAGAGCCCTACATCTACCGGGCTGGGACGAAAAAGATACTCATATCTTTCAAAGTGTATACGAGTGGCTTAGCAACGAAGCGAATGGAAGATGGGTGATGATCATCGACAACGCAGACGATCCGTCAGTTTTGACTGCTCCACCACCGTGCGGTTCGACAGGATTTGAGGAACCCAACGATACCAATAGTGTCAGCCATAGCGCCACAGCTCAAATATGGGATTTTCTTCCAACTTCGTCCCTTGGCACTATTTTAATGACATCAAGAACCAAAGAGGTTGCATTCGATCTTACCGGAAATCATAATCACTATACCGAGGTGGAAGAGATGACCCAAACGGAGGCCATGGAGCTTCTAACAAAGAAGCTGAGAGGCGAATTTGCAGAATCCGACAAGTTACAATTAATCAATCGCCTCGGAAACATGCCGCTCGCCATCTCGCAAGCAGCAGCTTACATTAGTCGACGATCGCCGCTCATTACGATTGCAGATTACGTTGAGAAACTGGACAAAGGTGATGAAGATGCAGTCACATTACTCACCGAGAGCACGACCGAATCTCATAGAGAAAGACAAAGGTCTCATTCCATCATGAAGACGTGGCACTTGACTTTCCAGTACGTGCGCCGTGCCAGTCCTACTGCAGCTCGACTTCTTTCGCTAATGTGCATGTTCGATCGACAGGGAATTGAAAAATCGATTCTCATAGGCCAGTACGATGAAAAATTAGAGAAAGAAGAAGAGAAGAGTGACCAACTATCAACGATAGGCCCTCGGAGATTGTGGGCGAGAGTTCGCAAAGCCATGCGTCGTTTGAAGATCGACAACGACCAGATCTATGGACAAACTGTATTTAGTGACACACCCTCGGCCTTTATCGATGACTGCGCGACGCTTTCCGACTTCTCTCTCGTAAAAGTTACTGCAGATGGACAGGGCTTCGCATTGCACCGTCTCGTTCAATTTGCGACACAGAAGTGGCTTGAAATACACCACGAGCTGGAAAGATGGAGCGGAAAATTTATTGTGCTTTTAGAGAAATATTATCCGAAGCCGGACTTCGACGGCTGGCAAGCGTGCCAGAATCTCTTCCCTCACGCTATGCGTGCGATAAGATGTATGCCACCCGATGTGGACATCTTGCATACATGGTTGATATTGATCTTGAAGGTGGCATCGTTCGTACAAGAGATTGGTTTATGGACGGAGGCAGTAGATTACAATCGTTTGGCGATAGGTTGGCTCGTAAAACTCCTCGGATCCGAACATGAGCATACTCTCCAAGGCATACATCAGCTCGGCTCAGCATTGAATGCTCGGGGGGATTTGGAAGAATCAGAGACTTTGTTACGCCAGGCATGGCTAGATCGCCAAAGACTGTTCGGCCAGGAAAATGAAGACGCACTTTCAAGCGCCCGATCCTTACGTCTCAATCTCAGGAAACAAGGAAAACTTGAGGAAGCTGTGGCTCTGGACGTTTTGACACGGAACATCGCCAAGAGAAAACGGGCTGGTCGCGATCAGTCTCGGGAAGCCCTACCCAAACCCCCTGAGGCATTGGATTTAACACTAAACGGCCAATTCGCGGAAGCAGAATTGATTAGGCGCCAGACGTTGGACACAAGACAAAAACCTTGGAGCGAAGAGGCTCTTGGGGACATTGAGAATGTCGTAGATCTGCTCACACTGCAAAGAAAATACAGAGAAGCAGCAAGTTTACTCCGAGAATCCCTGGCAATCCAAACGAGATCCAATTCAGCCGACGAGGACAACATCGCGGCAACGAAAGCAAAATTAGCTTCTGTGTTGGCATGCCATGGACATTACCTAGAAGCCGAACAACTACTGCGGCAACTGATCGCTACTGCTCCGACCGTCCAAGCCAGCCTGAACCAACAAAAAGAGCTCACACATTGGCAGGAGTACCTAGGCGCCGTGCTTGCCAGACAAGGCCATTTCGCAGAAGCAGAAACGATCGGAAAGCAAGCCCTCGACGCAACGGAAAAGATACTAGGCAAAGTCGATAATCGAACGCTCAATGCAGCGCACACGCTCGCGGAAATCATGCGTCTGCAAGGTCGGTACGACGAAGCTCTTGCTTTATACAAACGCGCACATCCGGTCGCGTATCTGGACCGCCTCGATACAGATGTCATTGCCTCACATCTACACTGGATGACGGATTGCGTGAATGATATTCGGAGCATTGTAAAGACGGAGGGGGGAGATGAGACTTGCTGGGAGCGAATGAATAAGGATGACGCATCTTTAGAATTTACGTATTTAGCATAGATATAGTCGTTGCGACGTTTGAGCTGATGTGAGGTTCTAGTTCTAGTTCTAGTTCTGGATTCGCAAGACAGGAAATGGACCTCAGGGGTCGTTCGTCTGCGATGGCGTCAAAACCCACTACTTCCCACTCTATCTCGATCAGATCCAACGGGGAGTCAAGGAACACAGAGATTTTTTTTCTTGCCCTGGGCCACGACAGGGTGGATCCCTGGGTACTGGCTTCGCTCTTGTTTACCTTGTTTGGTTGGGCTGGGTTGGCGGGGAGAGGCATAACTACGGCGGATTTGGGAGCGAGAGTGGAGTCGATAGTTGGTGTTGTCGAAGATGACTGAGCATTTGGAACGGCGCTATTGTTTGTGTGATTTGGAATGGTTTACGCGCGGAGAATAATGACTTTTCGAGGTTTACGAAATAGATTTTTGTTTGGGGGGTTTCAATGTGAATGCATGAGTGTTGGGAGTTTGTATATGTGTGAATGGTTGATTGGCTAGCTAGTGGTGTGTAGATGAGGTGGGTATAAACATGACTACATAGGTATAAAACAATGAACATATAGAAAGAAAGGGTAAAAAAAGGGGGGTCAAATCCAAGCGAAGCAGAGTACAACGAACCAAAGCCAACAAGATTGTTAACCACTTGGAAAGAAATGCAGAACCGTACTCAAACGACTATACATTAGACCGAATCCATGCTTCCAATTCTCCCACTCCATGACCCACCATCAAGGAGGAATCCAATGACCCTCTTATTTCTTCTCGCTCTTGCCAACCCCTTTTACAGCCCCAGCGTCCATCTCCACAGGGTGATACGCAGGCATCTCGACCGCACCCCCATGCACCCCACTCCCATCGTTCAACTCGCTAACGCCAACATACCGATGCGCATACACTCCCCCACCGAACTTCTCATCCGCAAACGTACCTCCAGGATACTGCGGCGACGAAGGCGAGCTCCCCATATCAGCGCCCATTTCCGAGAGGTTCCCACCGTGGCGCGCCGCGACGGCTTGTTGCTGGGTGTGGGCGTAGCCGGCGTTGCCGAAAGCCGAGTCGTCGTGTTTTGGCGGGGGTGGGGGAGGTGAACCGTTGTTGCGGCGACGGGCGAGAGCGAAGAAGATGAGGCCGACGATAGCGGCGAGGCCGAGGAGGGATCCGACGACTGCGCCTGCGATGACGCCTGGCGCTGTTCCGGAGGATGCTGGTGGAACAACGGTTGAAAAGGGGGCGCTGGATGCTGATGATGCCGAGTTGGAGGACGCGGGGTCCTTGCTGGTGTCGATTTGGAGAGAGGAAGATGCGGGTTTGGAAGATGGTGAGCAGCCTAGGGCAGTTGGGGACGTGGCGGCGAAACCGTCGATAGGGTGGGCATAGGCTTGCACGTCGGTGGCGGTTGCTGGGAAGAGCGTGCTGGCTGTGTCGCCGGCCGTGTTGTACCGGACCACTGGGTAGCTGCTTCCGGAGGTCATGTCGCTGTAGCAGGTTCCGCCGTAGAAGGGGCGGCTGGAGTCTACGGTGGAATCTGGGGGATGGAATTGGAATCCTCTGGAGAGAGGGAGGGTGGGTTAGTGGTTGCATTCAAGGGGGCATTGAGTATGACTTGGAGGGAGAGGTGGAAGTGGATCGTAGTGGCACTTACGAAGGGCAGCAGACGACATAGTTCCTTGCAGATGCCAGAGCAGTGCAGTAGTTCTTTGGACACGCAAAGTTGGTCATGGCGGGGACGATGGACGATGGTTTCTCGCTGACCATGACAGCCGTGTACGATGTCAGGAACTCGGTGGGATAACATGCCGCGATGGTTTGGTTTGCAGCTGGGACCGGTTCGTTGATCCAAATCTGGTACGATGGCGGCGGGAGCATCGTCAGGAGGTTTTGAGAACATGTTGACGGGCCCTCAAAGGCCGACGAGAGGTCTACACGGTTGGTGGGGACTGGGAAACTGCTTTGAGCCTGAGATGCAGGTGTGGTTTGGGCCTGTCGTGCTACAAGCGTGGCCGCCTTGCGCTTGTACGCTGGACGATGAGCAGACATGATTGTTATGGATAGTGATGAGATTGGCCTTTGAGGAAATGTCTTGTTTGGTCTCGGTATGGTTGAGTCGTATGTGAACGATGATTGACCTCAGTGTCCTGCTTGAATAGGGCTGAGAAGGATAGGGCGCAAATTGGGGCCGACGGATCTACTTCCAATTAAGAGCAACTGAGAACCAGAGCCGGGTGTCTTGAAGGGTCCTTCTCGTTATCACCCGTCGTTAGTGATGTGTAGTGGCAATGGGGGGGGGAGATCGTGGAGAAAACGTTCAGAGGAAATCACCGTGCGTCCGTCTCTCGTACTATACCTATACGATGTAGACTACGGAATGAAAGAAGCGGACTGGCAATAGACTGTAGCTCGAGCTAGTGAGCATGGGTTCGCAGAGTTGTGCTTTTAATTTTCGCCGAAGCAATGCTTGTTCAGGCCGCCGCTAACCCTGCTTTTGCGCAAGAGCCCGGCGTCTCGACCCATAGTTCGTCTTATCGGAGTCTTTTCTTTATTGTGCCATTTCCACGTCCTGCGAAGCTGAGACATGAGTCGATGAAAGGGACCGGGTAGCCTGATCATGTTGATAGATTTTGGGGTTGTCATGCAGGGGGCCCTTGTCCGCTATCGTGTTTGCAGAAATGTACTGTTAGGGCATGGGGCCAAAACCTTGCATAGCGTCTAAAGCTTTGAAGTGCGAGGGACCAACTACCTGGATGTTGATACACAGGATTGCCAATCCACGACGCAAACCATGCGACAGCGCTAGCCTTGTATAGTAACGAATAAGTTGACCACCGAAGTCAACAATTGACTGCCAACATCCGGTATCGCAAGTCAGTGGGATACACAACCGCTCAGTGCGGAACCTGATGCACCGTTTACCTTCCCCTGAGTATTCGCTACGCGGAAAGTTATTTATGATTGTGGATGTCGGGATCCGACGGTTCCTCGCACAGCGAGCCGGCAGAGTTCAGGTCGTGCGCTCGTATTCTCAAAGGCGAAGGATTTGTAAAAGCAGGGCTTGATGATTAAGGTTATGATAGATTGGTTGGTTTCCCCTAGAGTGACCAGTTGATTCTCAGTGGTCAGACCATGCAACAATCGTACCTTGTACGATCGTTCTATTTAGCCTTCAGTCTTGTCGATCTTGACGCGTCTGTCGTTCCCTGTTCACCTGCTCGAACATTGTTGTTTTCGAGTCAATGCAATCTCGTTTTTATGTGTCTGCATGTCGATTCAGATTGGAGAGTGCAGCCACGAGGGCAATTGAGAAGACGACGTCAGCAAAAAGGAGCTAGGCTTTGTAGCAACGCGAGCATAAACAGTAATCGTTACAGAGTATCAGCAAGTGAAGATGCGGTCTGTGCATACCTAGACTGCTGATATGTCGGTTGAGCACAGGTCTAGGTGCCTGTCTCGTTGGGGTACAGAAAGCGATGGAACAAATCACATCTATCAGATATAAAACCGCCGCTTCTCCAATCTGACATCCGGTGATGCTTTGTGATGTCGGTCTGCATGTACTGAGTGGCTGACTTGATGGCGGCTTAACTCGGTACCGTCTACAGGTTTGCAGTCTGCCTTGGAGTAAATAGACATGATGATTGCACTCTGCCACCTTCTCACAGTGCGGCTCTGGAATTCAAGATCCCGGAGGGTAGAATGCGGAGACAGAATACCTAACTGGGTAAACTTTGTGGTGGCGATGGACGTACAGTGTCTCAAACTCTGAGTGGTGCATCTTATTCGTATCTGCATGTTGAGATATTAAAGTATGCATGCACTTGGGTCCTCGAATCTCCGAAGCACACCTCGGCTTTCAGATGCAACTCACAAGGCCATTATTTTGGCTTCCCATCGTATACCAGGGACGGGTCATACCGTGCTCTTTTGGGGCAGTCTCGATGGCCCGTTGAGGCGTGTATTTTTACTATGACGCGCGATGCGACATGCAGTGCTGCGGTGGTCAATTGACACCTGGAACCATTCACCCAACGGTCACGTGCACATATGGGCATACATGCATGCGCACTTGGGTGTAAAAGAGGACTTGTTCACAATCTAGATGTGAATCTGCGAAGGTCGGTTGGTTAATGGCATCTACGTTGCTGTCCGCCGTTTTCGTTTTACATATCCATTGCCTGGCATCAGCTCGGCTTGCCAGTCAGGTCGAATCGACGTCATGATGATGGACCATCACGCACAGCAGGCAAACACGCAAGCAGACAACACCAGATACATGTATTCCAACAGATGCTCTTGAAGCTGCACAACCCGACAATATAAATTCATTGTTTATAAACAAAGCAACATTTGAAAGCACTATATAAACCAGCACTTGAGGCTGTGTGGACGGACGAGCACCCCCGCTTTCAAATCAGTTTCCAATCAGCCGATGACTCTACCGGCCTCACGTGTGTAAGATCAGTACCTACATCTTCACTCGTCACTGAGAGAGGACCTACACCTCTAACCTACCCACAATACACACTATATCCGCTAGCACATCAACGGTATACGCTTTCCGCCTGAGACGTCGGTGGTACATTATTACAGACAGACAAACAGACAAAGGCAGCAAACGCGCCTTGCCACTCCAACGCTAGTCACCGGCACACGACAATCCATATTCACCTCACCTTTCACCTTCACCCTCACAAACAACCAGGCAGACCTCCCGGGACCAGCTCTTCACCTATTCACTTTCCACGTGCGCACATCGGCGCCCAGACAGTAGCACTACAATAGCGGACCAGCGCGGTTATGGCATTGTGCGTTGCTCACTCTCGCAAAGGCTTCCCTCCTCTTCCTCTTCTGCTCCCAGAAACCTCACCCCGCACGGGCCACGTCTGCCAAGACCTCACCTTTGCGCACAACAAGCAACAATCCAGACGCTGCAACAGCTCTGCAGACATTCACACCTATTCTCACACCCACTTTACACACATCGTTTGAAGAATTGCCGCCGCATCTTGCTCGACTTCAATCAACCTCCATTTGCCGAGCGACCTCATCTGGACCCTTGCAATGTCGCGCTCCCGCTCGGCTGCGCCCGTCAACGGCACCCTGCCCGCCAGTCTCATCCTCGGCTCGCGCGAGCAAAAGCAATACCGTCGCTTCCAGGCCCAAAGCAGCAATGTACGCTCTCAAGCTCTGGGCGCACTCCCAACAGCTGAGCAATACGCCGCCTTCCAATCCTGGTGCCAGAAAAATGACTCGGGCTACTTCTCCGATACTCCATTGGGCGACCTGATCTCCTCTATTCACCGCGACGTGCAAAGCCAGAAAGACGGCAAGACAGTCGGCGCAGCCTGCGGCCATGTGTTGCATGAGACGCAGTGGCACAATAGCACCCGCCAAACCGTCGAGCGCTGTCCCGTTTGTACAGTCCAAATGCATACCGTCTATATGGACATGCTCATGCAGGCGCTGAAGAAGGCGGGCGGATGGATGGAGCAGCGATGGGAAGCTGCACCGTCCAACAACCCTGTTCTCGAAGCCTTCTATGCCGGCAAGATCGCCCTCATCCGCGCCATCGCCGATATCGAGGAGCTTGCAGTCGCGGAAGAGAACTGGGACGAATCAAATCCCGCCTCCGACATTGACGCCGACCCCACCAAAATCAAGACTGCACAGGACGCATTGCGCATGTACTGGGCTAGCGTGGAGAGCTCCGCATCCGATACCTCATCGTCATCATCGCCTTCCATGTCCTGCTCTTCCTCGTTTTCTTCATCATCCTCAATCTCGGGCGAAGAGGGACCGCGGAAAAAGCAGAAGACGCAGGCCATCACCTTTGATGAGAATACCTCTTTCGAGCGAGGCAGGCATCAGCACTACTTTTGGCGCAAGTCCCCCCGCTACGAAGCTGGCGGCAAATACGAGGTCGTCTCCACTCAACCCTCCGACACCGAGTCCGATACCGATTGCGACTCTGACTCTGATGGAGAGGATTCGCGCTTGGCAATCCGTTTGGACTGCAAGGAGCTACCCTTTCCGGCAACGACTGTGCTTGAGAATGACGGAGCCAAAGGAGGCGATGCTGAGATGAAAGATGACAGCAGCGACAGTGAGAGCGAGGATGACGAAGAGAGTGACTGCGTCTACGAGACGGATTCTGAAGACGACGAGGAAGATATTCATGTCGACGACCCCGAAGAGGGCAGCTTCATCGAATTCGGCTACTAAACGTGTCGCTATTCTATCGACACAGCATGCTACAGGCGTTTTGTTTTATTCCATCATCAAAAACTGGGGCAATCAAGCCGGCGTTATACCATGGGAAAAGGCGTTATTATCAATGGGGAAACAGGGACGAGGGCAACCTCCATTATTTTCTCACCTTTCTTTCCCTCTCTCTCTTACAGGCTCGGCTCATGCCACGATACCCCAATCTTTCCTTTTCCCTCCTTTCTCTTTCTGCATATTTCGAGGTGGCGGTGCGACGAACTGCGTAAGAAAGTCTCTTTTGAAGAGGCCTCGCACTCGCGTAGATAAAAGGTCTTTGGATAATCAGAAGGAGAGAGAATGTGTGTGTGTGGAAATTGTTACCCACGATCAAGATGACCATACCAATGTCGACTATGCTCAAACTCAATGAAAATGGTTTCTTTAAATCCCAAGGCTGCAATGTCCTTACTGTGCACTTTTTCTTTTAAACCTTTTGCGTATCTTGTGTGATGTAGGCACTATGACGATCTGTGAGAGCAGATGCAGTTTCTCCACACAAGCTATTCTCCCACAACAGTATACCCCTACGCTGCTCTCTTAATAACGAATAATGATACCACCAATATCCTTCTCCCGCCTACCCCCAGGAACATCCTTAAATCAACGGTCTATTTATCCATGTTTCTCATATCCCAGCCTCAAGGTAGCGCAAGTCAAAAGATCATGCACTCCTCTATCCAACCCATAAAAACAAACTAAATAAAAATAAGACCACCTCACGCATACTTCCCTACCAAGTGATGCATCCATCCATCCGCTAGCTCTCTCCCGAGCTCGTCCCCGAAAAAAAAGAAACAAGCAACCCAACCCACAAGATCATCGCCCCACATTCCTACCATGAAAAAAGAGGGAGCAAAAAAGAATTAATTCCAGGGGCTCCACCGCGATTCGAACGCGGGGCCTCCTGCAACTTAGAACGATGCTGTCCCAAAGCAGGAATCATACCACTAGACCATGAAGCCATGAATTTGATGGATAATTCCCCAGCAATTTAATACTGATACCTTTACAAAAAGGAAGAAGGGGAAGTGAATGGTGACGACAGGTAGGAGCTGGAACAGTGGTGGAATGCGGGGAAAAGGGGAAAGACGGAGGGGGCGCAGCATACATGTTCCACTATTTTTCTTCTCTAGTTTGTGGAGTTGGTGGGGGTGCGTTTGTTAGCTTTGTGTACATCATACGAGAGCAGGAGTTAAGAGATGGGGTATACTTGAAATAAACGTGAAATAAGAACTCGTAGCAGGTTTTGTATTCTCGGTGTAGTAGGAAATGAATAGAAAAGGGAAACATCTCTGTCGTGGTGGATTTGCAGGTTTGGCTCTGGCGCTTCTCTGCTTGGAGTGTGTTGTTTTTGCGCCTTTTGGTGTGAAGGGCGTTAAGTACAACTTGATATCTGTTGGATTGTATGTATGTATATGTGTTTTTTACTACCCAATAGAAAATCTCTGCATTGAAGAAAATATCGGAGGCCTCTGGTGGTCGTGATTGTTTAACAGTAGCTACTTGAGTGGCTGTATCTTCTCAAACACTCCGCTCTACTGTGTGTGACTGGCAATGCGCATGTCAAGAATATTCAGTTTGTTTCCGATGTGGTCCAAAGATTATTACTCAATGAGTTCAGGACTATCCTGTCAGAAGATAGCAGCCAGACGTGGGAACGGAGGGTAGAACACAATTCAAAATATCATTTACTATTACTATTGTACAATGCCTTCGGCAGACTGCTAAGGAGGAAAAGAAGACGTCAAGAATGACCTTCTTCTCTCTGCGAAACTCGCTTTCCCTCCTTCTGTGCTCTCCTTTTCCATCGTCTCTTTATCATTTCCAGATGTAGCTTCTTCCTGTCCTTGGCCTTCCCCCTCAGGCTCCGTCCACACCTCCATCAAATCTAACCACTCCCCCACGAACCCCACCACAATCTTCGCCCAATCCCTCACTGTCGCTAAATCCAAATGCTCCCCGTCATCGTTACTCGTATGCCACACGTCGGGGAACGGGCTGGGGATCAAATGCAGCGTTTCGACTCCTTTATGGATAAACGGTAAATGGTCGTCCGAAATGCGCGCGGTCCTCGCACGCGCGGTATCGCTCTCGCCATCAGGCAGAAAAGCAAGAGTCTCACCCCCATCTCGTTTCGAAGACGACGACGACTCGAGCAGATTGAAACCACGTAACCGCTTCTCGACGCCTGCCAGCGCCTTGTACGCCCAGTGCGTCGTCGGCATGTAACTAGGAACCCTAGGCTCCTTGGCCCCGAGCAGATCGAGCAAGACAAACAGCGAGATCTGCTGCAGCGGGGTGCGGTACTTGTAGAATTTATGATGGGGACGCGGGTTCGGGGACATGGTCCACTGCGTGGCGAGCGAGCGCGCGCCGTACAAGGAATCGGTATCGGTCCAGTGCATGAATGCTTCTTCGCCGTCGAGGAACAGCAATTGGATGCCCATGTCCATGGCTAGGTCGTCGCCGCCTTCGCCCAGCGCTGACATCTCCGTGTACATCTGCGTAAGGTACTTGTCGAGGACTGCGGCGGCCCACATGAGCATCGCGCAGGGCGCTGCGCTGTCGGTGGCACCGATGAAGCCCTCGGGGGCGCGTTTGCTATCGTAGTGGGCGACGAGGGTGAGGAAGTTTGTGCCGCCTGGTTGGGCCCAGGGGGGCTCGCGGCGGACGATGAGGTTCGCGAAGGGGATCTGCTGGGTTCCTGTTGCTGGCGTCGTCGAGGTGCTGTTCTGCCAGGTGACGTTCCATAGCGGGAGCGCGGTTTGGAAGTAATTGTACAGATGGGCTTGTGCGGCTTTTTGCCCTGGTGTGCCCGGTACACGGGGGATGAGGAGAGGCGCGAGGAGGCTTCCGTTGCTGGCTTGGTCAATGTCGAAAGCATTGCCTGGTGAGGGGATGGCGCGGAGGAAGCTTTCTGAGAGAGGCGTGTACGCGTTTATCGCTGGGAGCCATAGCGGGAGAGCTGTCAGGAGGGTTATGGGGAGGTGCATGTTGATGATGCGTAAGGTTGGATGAGTTGCAATGAAGCTTGCTGTCTAAGGCTCTATGGGATGACGGAGGCGCGGCCGAAAATCAAAGTCGTCATCTATGCGATAATACATCCAAAAGGAATGAATGGCTCAACGAAAAGTGCAAATGACAGAAATATGGCGGTAATCGATTGAGTCTCGCATGTTCGGCAACTTGCTCGTCTCAGGGAGTGGGAGGTGAAACATTTCAGTGATGGACATGTTGCGCTAAGTTTATGCAGTGTGCTGGAACGCGGACCCTGTGACTACTATGTTGTGATACTTTTATGAAAACGCAAAGTAACTTTACAGTGCACTACACAAATGATATGATAGGAACATATCTCTAAGTATGATGATACATGATTAGATACTACACGGGAAGAAGACTGTAAAGATACCTGCCTAGGTAGCTAGTAATCCTTGCAATGTCTCACAGCACGAGGTTCCTTTTTTCTAAACATCGAAGAAATGTTTCAACATCTTTCCAATAAGATACGATCACCACAATAAATCTCTTAGCATTAATTCCAAGATTGAATCAGATAAGATAATTCGAAGTAAATTTCGGCCTGAGAACCGACCGGAACGGAAAAACGAGACCGATGTTATGTCGCCTTTTCAGATGGGATGATATATAGGTACCGGGTGAGAGGTGTATAGTAAATGCAAAGACACACATGCTAAGATTCAGTCAAACTCCATGCCTCGCTTTCTTAAGACAAGCACCCCTACAACTTCGCCTTAACATCCCCCTCCACTTTGACCACCGCCCTCCCGTTACTCAACACCACCTTTCCACCGTCCACTCTAACCACGAACCTCACCTCCTCGAACCCCTCTCCCACCTTCTCTCCAGTTCTCCACATATCCGTGATGAGCTTCACTCCCGGGATCACAGGACTCGCGAACCTAGCTTGAAACTCCTTCAAGTTTTCAGGCTTCGACTTGCCAAACGTCTGTAGGATAGCGTGTGCGGCTGTGTTCCATGAGAAGAGGCCGTGGATGATGGGTCCACCGAAGCCCATCTTCACACCAGGTTCGGGGGTCGCGTGGAGCGGATTGTAGTCGCCGTTAAGGCGGTACAGCAGCGCTGTCTCTAGGGTGGTTTGGGTGGTGGTGCTTGCGGTGGGTGCGGTGTTTGCTGGGGGAGGGTAGTTCACAGTTTTGGGACCTGCAGTAGCAGTGATTAGCAACTCGTCAGGTAATGATTTTGCGACGTGGAAAGGGATAGCTCAATTGAGAATTACAATTGATTGAGAAAGAACGGAATGCCATACCTTTTGGTCCTCCCCAACCGCCCTGTCCAACATAGAATCCACTACCCACGGCCCTGGAATACGTCTCGCCAGTCGCCTTATCGACGAGTCTCTGTTCCGTCTCTACAACCGTCCCTGGCTTGCCTTTGTCGTACACGCCCAGCACTTTGCTCCGGATCTCGAACTTGCGCCCCTCGGACGTGACGGGCAGTGGCTTGAGGAACTCAATCTTGCGCTCGCCATCTAGCACATGCTTTGTGTCGAATTTGGGGACGCCCGGAATCGGCTCGGCATTGGAACGGGCGTAGAAATCGATCACATCGGCGTCGGTGTGTTTGAAAGGAAGGATGATGGGGTAGGTCGGGAAGGGTGCAAAGTTGGGGTGAAGCTCCTGTATCACGCAGCAAAGTCAGCGATGTGGATTGATTACGATAATGATGACTATACTAACGTAGAGAAAGTGGAGCTCGTCAGGATATGTAGCTCCGATGCTGTTGGCAAAGAGGAGCAAGTCCCTCTTGTTCCATGCTACCTCGAAGGCTGGGAACTCATGTCCGACGCCTGGTCCTTGCTGTGCGCTCATAACGTCGGCTCAATGCTTTTAGGCGGGATGCGATAGAGTGAATTAAAGAGTTCGGCGACTAAAAAGTATACGCGAAAGAAGATGAGGATGTGAGCAGGAACTGAGAATCGATCTGCAATTGTCGCATTGACTGCGGGGCGGGTATTCCGTGATGAAGCTCCGAGCATCGCTTTTGCCGAGGTACGAATCAATCACCACCGTTCACAACTAATCGGTCCCTTTTCCCATCAGATAACTCCGGCGTCACTCTTAACAACCATATCAGCATCTAAGTGTGGAATGCCTTCTTCTGTATCAACCAACTAATTCGTTGGAAAATGATGATCCAAGTTTTCTCCGGCGATTGTATCAGAAGTATGAGATGAGGATCCGCAAGATCAATCGGGGATGGTCATGCAGAAGATACTTAAAAGAGATTCTCGTTACATTAATCACCTGAAAGCAGAAGTATCATAAATCTACTTTCACGATTCTGCTGGTCAGTGAACATCTTTGACATCCTATGCGGTATCCTCACTACTTTCATCACCCCTGCCGCCAATGGTAAGGCATATCGTCTGTGTGCAAGAGATGGTCCGTTTCCATCCCTCACTTGAACACACGCTGCTCCTGACCTCTCTTTCTCATAACCACTTAATACGTTATATGAAGTTGAAGCAATCTTAGAACCAATAAACTATAAGCAATATGTTATTCTTACTTAACCTTGGAGGAAATACATAAGAGTTCACCTTTTTTAACAGTTAATCAAGTCATCCCAGAATTCTTCTAGAAGAACTATTTTTTAGTTCATCACGACTTAACGTGCTTTGAGTTAATAATAAAAGGTCACTACTTTCCCAAATCCCTCTTCGTCAGCCGGCGGAGTCAAGTACACTCGAGCCACTCTCAGCAACCACTTGGACTTCAGAAAAATTTGGCGCCATATGGCGTACCCTCCCTGCCAGGAATTGCTTCAGCTGGACAAGGTGGGTTTTCAGTCGACAGCGTTGAAGCCCGACATTCATCAATAGTCCGCGATTGTTGAGAGTGAGCTTGTAACCAGAGAGCAACCCAACTAGCATGACCATTTTCAGTAGATCATCGACCCCCGTTCGATCTCAGTATCCTCCTATATCCCACTACATTGTACCACCTTGTGAGTGACACAATGCAGGAGTGTTGGGGCTCTGGAAGGTTGGGGGCGAGGATAATCTGAAATGGTATGATGGAGGGGTTCTACGAGAACAAGACACTCGATGGTGAGTGTTACGAGTATCAAGGCAGGGGAGGGAGGGCTTTATACCGCATGGCAGTTTTTCTCCCCTTACTTTCACTAAGAGTGACTAAAGTCATGGAATATTTTTGTTGCTTTTGCCCCAATCAGAACTTCTGCATTTTTTACACCGTTTCTTCTTTGGCTCACCCATGAATGGAATCCTGTGCAAAACTTCCATTCTTACGTTAATCCTGTTGTCTACTTCGATCTCGCTCTCGCAATACCGTGCACTCACTATGAACATCTTATATTTGACTGAGGCTTCATTCGCTGAAAAAGTGAAGACACGACAAGCTCAGAAGACCGAAGTGTTGAGTTTCCAAGCATGGATGAAATGCACAATATGTACACTGATGATTGCTCATGATTTATGGCTGTGCCGTTTTTGAGAAAGGTATGATGCAAAGAATGACTCGTATCAATCTCCTCACCCAAGTTCATTGGCTGCGGCGCTTGTGGGTACCATGGAATTCTGCTGAGGTTTTGGAAGTTTTAACCAACACACCTTGGGCAGTGCACGCTTGTATTGCAGATGAATGATCTGGAGAGAAAGTAATGTACCAATCGTGATTCTCGCGCAAGATCTAGTGTGCCAGATTAGTTGATCGCGATATCCTCACGCTCGCATGTGCGAGATCCAGTGAACGATTGGCATTACATCATCTGCTCGCATGGTGCTTGCTCCACATCACGACTGAATATTGCGTTGAGTGCAATATTACTGAGTGGATTAGAAAATACGAAGATAGGGGTGTAATATTTTCGATCGAATTGGACTACAGGTAACGAACAGCGGTCCTTGCCCTTCATGAAGCGGCACCAGCATCTTCACTATCTTCTTGAAATTCGCTCAAAGCCTCATCATTCCAACTCAAGAATTTGCCACTCAATGCCCTCCCCTTCTCTCCGCTGTCAACACATAGCCTCGCGATAACGCCACCAGGCGCCTCCGGCCGCAATAGTCCGCCGTTCTCCTTGAGTCCAAGGAACTTCTCGCTGTCCTTTTCGCTCATGACCTTGTTGGCGGTGATGTGCACATCGCGAATCTCGCGCTGCATCTCCGTGTCTACAACGCCTGGGCGGATCGAGATGGTCGTGATCAGGGGTTCTTCGACGGCGAGGGAGATCGCTAGATGATTGAGGGCTGCTTTGGAGGCTCCGTAGGCCGCCCAGCCTTGGTAGCCTGATATTGCGGCTCCGGAGGAGGTGAGGATTATGCGCCCGTTCGTAGCACGGAGAGAGGGAATCGCTGCGCGTACCTGTGTTGAGGATGGGCAGTCAGATATTTTGTTAAAGGTTTGTTCGGACAGGAGTGGAGATGAGAATAAGGTGCGCCGTCGAGTGGGTGAAGGGAGTCCGTGTTAGAAGTCATCATTCTCTGCTCTTTATCTACCATTTTGGCATTTTATCGTCTAAGAACAAAGCTCAACGGAGAGACAGGGACATTGACTTCAGGATAGAATCTCCTTCACCCCCAAAGAAGTACCACTGATATCAGACTGACCAGACAGATTGGAAGGGAGGGAAACAGACTTAAACAAGAAAAATAGTCTCGAACTCACCAGGTCAACCCCCGCGAAGACATTCACGTCAAATCCGTTTCTCCATTCCCCAACGCCTGGCTCCAAATCCGCAATTTTCTTAACCGGATCCAACGTACCATGGTTGACAACGAGCGCATCGACGCGTCCCCAGCGACTCACCGCGAGGTCGACAGCGCGACCAGCGAAATTCTGCGAAAAGTCTGATAGATCACCCGCAAGTATTTCAACGCGATCAGAACCGTACTGGTAGTGCAGCTGGTCGAGAGCGGCATGGGAACGCGAAAGGAGAACTAGTTTATGGGAGTTTGAGAGAAGTTGGTGTGCTATAGCTAGACCAATGCCTGGTTCAGAGGAAATTAGTATCATGTCCCTCTTGATACATGTGTGAAGGAATGGATTGGTGGGATCAACTCTAGACGAGAATTGATTCAGGCAGGTGTATGAAGATATGCTGTCAGATGTGCTACGCATGCGAACTTATGAAACTGATCGGCATACACATCTATGTTTGGTAGATGCATCAGATCTGATCAGACCAGAGTCACTGAACAGGATTCCAAAAGAAAAAAAGGCAAACGACATCCCAAGACAAACATGTTATATGCCCGTGAATACCAAGAACAGGATATGAGAAAGAAATCAGGTGACTGAGCAAATTATAGCATTCACGTACCCCTAGAAGCACCAGAAAGAATAACCACCTTCTCCCCATTCTTTTCAAGAAGCTCCCCACTTCCAGCCATTGTATTCTGAGCGATATTTGAGCTCTTCCGCACAGGTCGTGATTCACTGGATGAGGAGAGATGAAATATTCCGATTTGTGTGTGTGTGTGTAAAGTCGAATAACAAGGAATTGACAGAAAACAATGATCTACCTTTCCGTTTCGATAGGCGCAAAGTTGGTGGTAGCTAAGTGCAATGGTGGGTCGTTTCGTCATATTAGTCATCGTTTTTTCTACAACCACGCTACGGTCGGAACATTTGGCTTGTTCATCCTAACTCTACAACACAGCAATTACTGATTTCTGTTACGCACCTAGAATACGATCCGTGCGTCTGGGTGATAGTTCTTACATTCAACGTGCGCAGTTCGTCAATGATCAACAGCGAATAGCCTCAAGCGCTCCATTCTCATCAGCAACTGGCCATGGGTTCTCGTCTATCCCACCTCTAGCACATCCTGCGCCATTTTGGTCCTGCCTACACACAGTTCAGATACGACCCGATCTCCTCTGGACATGGTATTGAAAATGAGAGATGAACTGCATTGCCCTCCGGTTGAAGCGATGATCTGGTTAGAAACATGGGCAGCACGTAAAAGCAAATCAAAGGTCCTCTCGTCCTCACGACTTCAGCTATACACAGCACAGACCCTCAGTCTTCACTTTAGAACCTCGTTGCGACAATCTCACATCAAATCTCAGGTGGAATCTTCTTGGTATAAAGTAAGGACAAGCATATTCTTTGGTACAATGCGAAGACCACGACGAGCTTCGTTGCCAGTCCTTCACCTCGCGTAGCCCAAACACATCGAGGGTGGCCAATACTTCGACACAATACTACAGGCGAAAACATCACATGGTATCAGTACATCTGCGAGTGCTCGGTATTAAATTATACTGCATTGCTTTTTCTAGGTATCATTGCCACACAGGGCTACGAGTTTCCAGTAGAGGGTAATAATTCCGTTAATCTGGGCAGTGGGAAATGCATGGCATCGCATGCTATTCCTGTGATGATGAAGAGATGACTTACGAGGGATACAACCAATCGTAGGTGACGTGAAGCGCGTATACACACGTGAGTTTGATGATACGAGATAACATAGCCACTTAATGTACACATGGGGAAACACTCTAACTTCATCTGTCCCGTGTGTACATTAACCGGTCATCTTCGTCACGCGAAGTCTGGTCGTTGATGCGAGTGAGATCCTCGGAATCCGATCAATGTCGATCTGATCACTGCGCTTTACATATACAAGATCCCACAGCAGTGGACACCCACCCCACTCCATCGATAGACATCGTCTGCAAGTCTCAGGCTGTCAGTCGTATCAATGCCCGCGCGGCTTGGACCAGCTCCCCTATGGCGACAACATCCCCAAAGAACGGCGTAATGTTACTGCCAGCGGAGGAGCTCGAGCAGCGAGCCTCACATATGGGTCGCATTCATCTCTCCTCGTTCCGCGTATGTTATCCTCTCTCGCAGATGCTGCATCAACAGCATCGAGATCCAATGTATATCAGTTCTGACGCACACTGATAGATTGTCTGTGGCACCTTGTTCGGTGTCGCAATGGCCTGCTTCGTCCTTCGTCTATGTATCCGCCTGCACGCTCGCCGGAAACTATTCGCAGACGACTGCATCCTCATCATCGCCATGTCGGCCTTGGTAGGCGGTACCATCACGCTCTTCCAAAACGATCTCCTTCTCTTCGTCACAAATGCCATGTTCCCAGCTTCCAAAAACCCCTTGAGCACCGACAGTCCTTTCTGGATAGAGAAAGTCACCAACACAGCGGGGACTCGGATACAACTTGCTGTGTTTGCATGGACAGCAATCTTTGGAGTCAAGTTCTCGTTCTTCGCGTTTTTCAAACCTCTTATCTACTCCTTCCGCGGTTTGACTATCCACTATTGGGTCTGTCTAGCCTTTACCGTCATCGCATACGCCGTGAGCATTGCCGAGGGAGTCTATCTCAATCGCCTCACCAGCATGAATCCGTTTGCACCACGCCAAAGACATTGCTCTAGCAGGGTAATGATATTCATAACTACAACAAGTACTCTGGACATCATATCTGACCTCATGAGTAAGTCTTCCTGCCGTTTGAACATACTCGCCGAATTCGGAAAACAGATCTCCTGACGTCTTGAGCGTTTAGTCATCAGCATCCCCTTGCTTCTTCTCCGCAACTCTCTCATGAAGCCTTTCACCAAATCCGGTATCGCCGCATTCTTGTGTCTCTCGGTCTTCATGATTGTCTGCAGCCTCTGCCGAGCTTCGGGCTTTCTGTCGGGGAAGGTTGGCCTTCATGATTTGATATGGAGATACTTTTGGCATCAGGTGGAGGCATGCGTTGCCGTGCTTATGGCATCAATAACGGTCTTCCGTACTGTTCTGCTCAGTTCACGCCAATCTAGTGACAACCGTAGTCACGATGCGCCTCAGGGGTCCTCATTCATTAGAAGATGGCTGTTCAAGGTTAGCCATTCGAAGAAACGCACAGATCATGTCTCAGAGAAGGACTTTGTGAGGGTTGATCATCTAGCATTACCAACGATGCCATCTGCGACCTTTACCGGTATTAGATCTTTCATCAGAGGCAATCAGCGCCCGGGGCACGACGTAACCGCTGCAGAGTCTGAGTTTGATCCATCAGAGGCTGATTATCACGCATATATAAGAAGAGGGGATGTGGAAAGAGATGCAAGAAGATGATTGGCTCAAATAAAATTTCCTATGTAAATACCTCTGGACCTCTTCACGTCTTGCGACTACCCCAAACGCTGGTTGATGTGTGTTGATCTAGACCTTAACGAGTAGGATGTCTCGGGCCGATAATCGTCAGATGCACAAATGTCAGTATTTGAGAACTGCATGTGCATCAAACAAATGCAGGATTCTCATTATAGACGGAGCAATTTCAGTCCCTACTATTCTAATCTACATCTTATCCCGGATAGCTTTGTATAGTGATTCATCCGACTCATGCCACTCTTCAAGCAACACATCCCGACCCTTAAGCAGATCTTCACCATGTTTCTGCAGCTCAAACCAATTGAGGTCATCTTCCAACTTCTTTTTCGCAAGCTCATTCATAACCTCCATCTTACTTCTTAACGTGCTCTTGACTAGGTCTTCAAAGTCCTCCCAGAGCCCCACCAATTCTTCTCCTAGGCGCTGGTCTCTTAAAGTATCGTCAGATGAGGGCGGAAGAACTGTCTTTTCCTGATCTTTCTCCACAATCTTGGCAGAGCTCTCCAGTTCTTCGGATGTCCTGCGCATTATAATCTTCCAAGTTTCAACGTAAGTTTCTCCGCTGGGGTCCCCGTCCGTCTTTTCAACTGGTGTCATGTAACCCTCCTTGAGTATAGTTTCGAAATCTATCTCGTCGATTCCAGCGTCCTTCAGAAGGGCGGTCAATGCCCAATACATAAAGTCCAGCGGCATTTGCATTCCTCTGTCTTAATGCCCACTCCACGGGTAGAACGCTGTCCTGAGCGAGCATGTACACACTAGTATTGAGAGCTTCTATCCAGCCAAATCCGCGCATGATGGGTACCATGAGAAATCTATCGTAGGCGAAGAAATTTTGGATGGTCCAGTCCACCATCTGGATATGGAGGAATTCCAAGGTGCCACATTGCCGCGAGATCACCTCTGCGCAATGAGCAACGACGCATGCGTGCCTTTGCAGAAGCTCCTTGACTCGCGCTTTCGTGCCTCCGTCGCAGTGTAAAGCGATTATGATTCGACTAATGTTGTAGGGACGAGGGCGTGCGAAGAGTTCCAGATGCTTGGTCATATTTTCATAAGTATCTCCCGGTTCTGACGAGAGAAAGATGTGTTCAACGATGCCGTTGGAGTAGAAGATCGGCGTCGCCTCGCGGTTGATCATCTTACACACTCGAAGAAGATGCTGCTGTACACGGTGTTCAACAACTCCACCTCGAAGCAACCAAGATTTTGGGCTCATGTCATGTAGCATGTCTGGATTGTACCATCTCCAGTAGGAGTCTTGGTGTATTTTGACGGCATCAGCTGTTTGGTAGCCCAGTGCATATCCCCAAATCTTGTTTCGAAGCTCCGGTGGAAGGTCGAGCAGTCCCGTAATCTTGCGGGCGGCCGTGGCGTTATCGTGGGTTTTCATCTTGGATTCACTCGATGTAAAACAGGAGATACCAGGACTAAGGATGCGGAAAATCATTGACAATTGATAAGTTTGTGATAACCACCAGCTATAGATGTAGAGGGAAGCTTTTATACCATACGTTGCGTCCGCACTGCCCCACTGCGCACCAAAGTGCGAATTGTTTCATCTACCCAGACTGTGAGATTGAGGGTGTTGATAAGTCCGGTTTGGTTTAGTATACGCTGGCGCTGGTGAACCTCAACCTATCCACACGAAAAACAGGGAAAGTTCAACAAGTACATGCTGAGATTGCGCATGAGATCAATGTACTACAAATTAATGGTTGTATTAACGTATACTATGAAACTTGAAGCAGAACCAATGACATATCGTGGAGCCGCACCTGTCAACAGCAATGTGCCAACCTTATCCGTAGTCGGTATTTGTGTGTAATACACACATACTTCCAATCAAGCAGGTGATCTGGCCGACTCCTCTTCTGCCACTTCTCGCGGCTCCTTCACGTCTTTGCTTCCAACCGAATAGCTTTCTGCAACCACTTCGACCCCATCAACAAACTCAAAGCCCGTTACAGTCTTCGAAATCAAGGATTCCTTGTTCGGAAAGAAGAAGTTCAACGAGTAGTAAAGGAAGATGGATAGAAAAAACCCGTACAACCAGTTGATGGTGAAAAGATTTCGGAGTCCGGATGGAAGAGAGATCTTGGGATTGACCTTGTTTGCTAGCGCCGGCAGCAGCGGGATGATGGTAACAAACGTCGCTACCACAGCGCGCCAGTTTGTGCCAAATCTCCCATATCGATAAATACCCCGTGGATCATAGAGAGCCGGGACATCATAGTGGCGATGCTTGACCAGCCAGTAGTCCGTAAATAATATACCGGCAATCGGAGCCATGAAGATGGCGTACGCGCTCATGAAATTGAGGAACGCCTTACCTGAGGAAACGATGATCCAAGGGCACAGCGCCCAACTGCCCACAAGAGAAACAAGTATCGTGCCACGACGTACATTAAACCACTTGGGTGAAAGGGTGGTAACATCGTTGGCAAATGACACCGCGTTTGCACTAACGTTGACACTGACCTGGCTTAGAAGCCAAATTGCTGCGCAAAAGAACGCTGCGGCGCGTCCGCCCGGGGTGCCTTGCCACTTGTCGATTATTTGGACAGGCGTCCAATATGGTGTACCCCAGATTTGCTGTGCAGCAGACGCAGAAATGATACCCATGAGGGAAGTCAGCGTCTTCAAGAGCGGGATTGTCGGCATCTGCCAGTAATGCGCATGGCGGTTTTTACTGAACCGAGAGAAGTCGGGGATATTAACCGCAAGTGTGCTATAGCCTCCCGTGATACTAGTCATACTTGAGAGCCATAACCATACTCTTTCTGAGCCGTGTACTTGACTGGGTTGGTTAAAGAATGCACCGTTGCCTCCCGCCTTAAGGGCAACCCAGATGGTCTGCTTTCGTTAGTGGTGTTTAGATGCGACTCTTGAGAGCATCACTTACCATTCCAATAGCCACGGGCGGCATCAATACTGTCTTCACCCAGAACATATACTGCAGCTTATGGGTCGGGATGAGAAGCAGCGGGAATTGGATGAGCCAATAAAGAAAGTATGAGATCATGCCGGCAGTGGTTAGCCCTGCAGATGCAGGCAGATGATTCGGAAGCGTTGCGAAACTGGGCCAGATAGCTGTGAGCATCTAAGTTGCCAGTTAGTTGAGCAAGCACAATACAACAAGCAATCATTCTGGTAACGTACAGCCGAAACGCATGTTCCTCCGTACCCCGTATGCACTCCAAACCAAAACATGGCAAGAATTCCTCTACTTATAACCGCAAAATAGCTGAACAAGTAGCCATGGCTGGCACGAGAAGCGATAGGGAATGGTATATGCAGATCGGCACCAATTGCACCGTTTAGTACGGTTGGTATAGCATTGCAAATTCCAGCGATCAAAGTGATCAGGACGGCATCAGTGGCAGTGAGACCTGAACGGTTCTATGTCAGCAGTTCGTTCGCCAGGCAGGACGATGTATCAACCCACCCAGGGTAATTATAGCCGACCCGGAACTCCAAGTAGAAATAGTCACCAAGTCGGAAACCCAGTAAGTGATGAAAGCGCCTTTCCCCCAAGTTCTCTTCTCGGGGGGCACAGGATCCAAGTCTCCATTGGTCCAGACATCAGACGGTGCGATGCTGCTGGATTGCTTGGAAAGCTTCCAGCTTGATGGTTGTGTCAGTCTTGATTTAGCCTTTTCAGCTGTTTGCACAGCTCGCTGTTGGAGCCCAGATCGGTCGAACATTGTGGCATAGGCAGAGGCAAGTGTCCTGTGGCATAGGCAGCTCTTATGCGTTTAGAGACAGACATGCTCGAAGACCCGAGTAGTTTAGTCAGACTATCCCATCTTGTTAATGTTGTATCACCGTTATCTCATTTGTTGTTCGAAAGTGATACGTTATCAGCTTTTCTGGGGTTGGCTGCGATAGCAAGTGAGGGCAAGCAAAAGTGGAGTGGGCCAGTCTAGATAGCGTAAAGATTGGCATTCTGGACCCGAAAGCGCTATAACGATTGTAGTAATTTTGATTAACTATCTTAGAGGGGGGACCAGTGGTAGCTCAGCAGCGAGACCGATCAAAGTCTCATAAATCGCTTCGGCCGGGCTTTGTATCTGACGTTGGTCCACTCGCATAATATTATTGAATGATGACTGCACCGCGGACTAGGTTGGCTTGCAGCGCGTGCACACGACGGAAAGTCAAATGTAGCAAAACAGTGCCGTGCACCAATTGCGCAAGAAGGTGAATCAAAACTTTATGTGGTTTTAGTTTCCAGACGCTGATCCCTCGGCAGAGGAGAAGAGAATTGGTGTGGTGTCAATAGCGCTCATGATGCGCAGCAATCAACTGTTTGGCCTTCCTCGCCATCATCTCGCAATCAAGAACTCGAGTATTTGCGCCGCAGAGTCGATGAACTGCAGGCAAAGGCCGCACATGAGAGTTCTATCGAGTCTGATAATCAGGTACATTCACCGATTGATCCCAGTGTTGGGGGAGCATCTCAAAGGTCTCAAGCCGAACCCGTATCGCAACCTGTGCAAGTCGAAGAAGTTACAGCTGCAACACCCCCTCACGACTCGGTACTACAAGATGCAGCCTCTATTCTGGAATTTTTGGCTTGGGGGAGAAGGAAAGATCCAGACGTCCACACCATCGTGTCTCCCGAAGTCGACAATCATCTCGATCATCACGAGGACGTACCTGACCCGTTTTCGGATTGCTCTTCACTGCCTGTCCTTCAGCTTTTGATCCCCAGTTTTACACAAGTGAAGCAATTGGTTGACTACCATTGTGAATCCTTGTTGTGGTATCACGGATCCTTCTTTGCGCCCACGTTTCGAGCGCAGCTTCATCTATTCTGGACCCGGCACAACGGTCAGATAACGAGTCCGGGAATAAATCTACAGTGGGTAGCACTGCTCTTCTCCGTCATGGCAGGGAGTTTGACGTGTGCGCCACCCGCTCAAGCACAAGCCTGGGGTTATCATGATACTGAGCAGATTACACTTTCGAAGCGTTGGTTCCGGGCTATTACAACATGCTTGAATCATGGCGATTACACGTCGCGGCTTAGCATATTCTCCTGTCAAGCAATCGCGACCGGTACTATCACTGCACACCTATTAGGATTCAGTAGTTCACAGAGTATTCATCTTGCCGCCGCTGTGCGTGTCGCTCAGTCTCTTGGTCTTCATAGACTCAGCCTCGATGCTACTGGCAACAACATTGAGAAGGAAATCGGCCGACGTGTTTGGACTCAACTATGCAGCCAAGATTGGTTTGGAATACCCTTTTCTGAGAGCTATCTAATCAACCCGCTGTATTCCACGTCGGAGCCTGCTTCCCACTGCCATGACCATGACCTCGCGCCGCTTTCGCCAAATGTTCCGACCATCACAAGTTATTGCCGATTTCTCTACGATATAGCTGCGATAATGCCTCAGTTGCAAGATGGACTGATGTCATGTAATACAGCCTATACACGCTATGAACAGGTTCTTAGGTGGGATGCGCGCTTGCGCAGTCTCGCTACTCAAGGGCGACCCCCATTTCTCAACAACGTTCCTTTGGATCCTTCCTGGCCAACCTGGGTACCTTGGGCTCGAAGGGCGTTGGCCATCAGTTCCAGTCATAAGATTATTATGATACACCGCTCCTTCTTGTCAGACAGTTTCACCAATACCGCCTTCGCTTTCACACGTCGTACTTGTCTAGCGGCCTCCAAAACGATCATCAAAGAATACCGGGTTGTGGCGGACGAGAGTGGCCCAGTACTATGGATCCATCAAGCATTCGCTGTAGCTGCTGCCATCATACTATCACTAGATATTCTGCATCAAGACCGAGAAGCACTGCAAAACACTGAGCATCTTCAATTGATCGAAACTGTGGTTAGAATACTGCGCTCCTGTCGCAACAGTATGATTGCTTCCCGTGGCATCAACTTACTCGAAGCTCTTCTTGCCGAAATCTCAAAATTGGGGAGCAATCCACATGGCACAAAAAGAGCCCGAGACGGTACTGTGATTCCATCATTCGACGTTCCGAATTTCGTAAAATCATTCTGCGACGGGAGATCAACATCAAAAAGCACTCCTTCAGCATCGGTGGTACAGGAGTCTCCGCCGGCCTACAGCACAACTGGGTTGAATCAGCCACAATTGACTAGCTCTACAGATTTGGATCTTGATCTTTCGTTCGCTCCAGCAATGTTGGAGAATGCAAATGGCTTTGAGAATCTTCTCTATTTGGCCAATCATGACCTTGCTGGATCATGGTCATAGAATGCGCGGGTTTCCTTCGACAGTGATAGCGGCGAGCGCATTGCAATACGATTATATTTTAACTCGTCTTATTCGTCTACTCTTCTTTCGCACACCTAAGAAATTTATTGATCGCTTCTGCGACACCTGCCGTATCTTCAAGAATAGGCTGATGCCCGCTTTTCACCACCTCCACACAGCTCTTCCCACCCAATAATGCACTGAGATCTCGTGATCTCTCCACTGGGCTGATCATATCCTTATCCCCTGCGATGAATAGTGCAGGTGATACAATCTTCTTATACTCAGGGTCCTTGTGTTCCCAGTCAACGATTGCCTCGCATGTCCTTGCATATGCCTCGGGGTCAGCAGCAAGCACTGCGTTCTTCACCGCTTCTCGAGCTTCTAAAGTTGCCGTACGTTCAGGTCTGTTCATGTTGTTAGCAATGATCTATGGGCGAACAAAAGCTTTCATGCACGTACGTCGATTCGTAGAAGTTCGATTTCGTCGCGAGCTCCGCCGCAAATGCAATTCCTTTTGATCTCACCGAGGCTGCGAGGTCGAGCATGCGCTCTCGTGCTGCGGGTATTCTTGCTGCTGACCGACCGGCCCCGAGTAGCGTGAGGCCATTGATGACTTCGGGGTGCAGCGCAGCATACTGCAAAGCAACGATGGCGCCCAGGGAGTGACCGATGATGAAGATTGATTTGTTTTTCGAGGTCGAATTCCGTTGTAAAGCCGTGATGAGGTCGCCCACGTCGGCGACATGATTAGCAACCGTGACAATATTCGGCGATTTTGTCAGAGGTGTTTTCCCAAAACCCTGGAAATCGACGAGAACAATGTTGTCCTTGGCTGGGAGATGCGGCAGAAGTGGAAGAAAGGTATCGCTTGAACCACCCAGTCCATGGAGACATAGAATCAATTGCCCCGTTGCATTTCCAGTTTGCAAATAATGTAGCTTCGTTCCTGTGGCCGTTGAATGATAGTTCGAGTCGAGGGCTTGTCCAGTCATGGTTATCCAGTCTTTTAGTCTTTTGTAAAGATATTTCTATTTTATGAAAGGACAATGGTGTGATGCGAACAACTACTGACAGACAGTTTGAGCTCGTTACAGTTCCAAGACCGACGTTAAAGTGGAAGCCCGAGATGGTGCAAGGATACTCGGCCGAAGCGGGTCTGACACGACAAACTCACCGTTGCAATCTTAACTAACTAAATGAAGCTCGGCCGGCTATCGAGACGATAATCATAAACATTAGATTGATTGGGAGTAACCTCACCTGTGATCGGTTTCAAAGATACCGATTGGCAATGACTAAAATCTAACATGCATGAAGGCATCTAAACGTGAGCTGTATACAAGCTCAATGTACAGCGTCCGACAATTCCCATCAGGTTACTTCAATCTAACCAAAGAATATTCAAGCCAGAAAAACGTTTGTTCACCATGGTTATCACCGCGACTGTTACAGAAGATGTACCGCAGCTTCGACTCGCAGCAACGAAAGAGAAGCTTGTCCTTCCGCATGCCGAAAACACTACTGGGCGAGCCGTTCCCATCGAACACGGTCCCTCAAGTCAAGTCGATTTTGGAGCAGAGATTTACGGTATCGACTTGAACAACTTCACCGATGCCGATTTCAAGTTCATTTCTGATGCGCTACATGTGCACAAAATGCTAGTGTTCAAGGAACAGCCCCAAATGCTCACCCCACAACAACAATACAAGCTTACTTCGAGGTTGGACCAACCATGCATACTGTGTGAAAAAAACACTAATATATCTATTTCAGTTTCGACCCCGAAGAGACCACTGGTGGTTTTGCTCATGGGCACGATCCCTTCCTTACTCATCACAATGGCGTTGATATCTACGGCATCCCAAAACGGCCTGCGATCCCCGTACAACCGCAAGTTCATATTCTCGGTCGCGGCCCTCTTCCCGACGAACACTACGGATTCCCGCCGGGGTTCGAAGTTCAAGGAATTGATCATGAAGAATTCCACCTTCCGCCACATATCCCGGCAGAAGAGCGTGAAGCTGGTGCGTCGCGTTTCTACCAGTGGCATTTCGACGGCTCGCTGTATAATATACCACCCCCTCGCGTTGGATGCCTCCTCGCAGTGCGTACACCGAAAGGTCCGGATGTCAAAGTTCGATGGGAGGATGAGGAAGGCACATACATGAAGATGGCACCCGGTGCAACGGCAATGGTGGCCGGAAGTCAAGCGCTGAAACTATTAGACGAGGAAACGAGACAGATTGTTCTGAACAGTAAAATTGAGTACGCACCACATGCTTTTGTTTGGATGTCCCAAGCACATAGTACACGGCTGGGTCACTTGATTGAAACGGAAGGCTTGGAGAAATCACTTGATGATCTGCCGAAGTGGGAAAAGAGCAAGGTTTGTGTCTATCCGATGGTGTGGACGAACCCGAAAACGGGAGAGAAGTCACTGCAGGTACATGGACAGGGCGCGTACAAGCTCTATTTGAAGAGTCACCCTGATGGGGAAGAGACAGTGCTTGAAGATCTCAAAGACGTAAGGGCGTTCATGGATAGGTAAGCTACTCTCGTCGCGTTTAGAGGGAGGCGCGCTAAATCCGCTGCAGAATCATGCGTCCTGTTTTGAAGCCCGAGAACATCTACGCGCATCCTCATAAAGAGCAAGATGTTATTCTGTGGTATAACAGAGCATTGTGGCATAGTATCGTAAGTCATTTCCCCCCATGCTCCAATTACGTGTCATAGTGCGGCACTGAACATATTATTCATAGACGGAGTTTCCCAAGTCGTACGGGCCTAGGGTAATGCATCAATGCAATGTCGCTGCAAGCGATCATCCGACAGGGTGAGATAATAGTTGAGCAAAGGAAAGAAGGGAACAGAATATGTGTGCTGACAGGACTACATATCATTCAAGAGTAACTTCATCCAGTGATGATAGGAATGTAAACACCTACACAAGTATAAAGGAGATAACCAATAAATAAGATAGCTCAATTGCACTACAAAAGCTTAACTTCTATATTCAAATCTTGATCACCCATTGTTTTTCTGATTAATGTCATATATCATAACAATTTAGCGCGCATAGCGTGTCAACGCGATTCTAAGTTCGGTGTAAGAACGGCAAGTAACTAGTCCGTTCCCGAGCATGTTAAGTTACAGCATTGCGTAAACTGCATTCTTGTCAAGAAAAAGGGTTGTCATGTTTTCCCCATTTGTTAAAACACTGGCATTAATTGCATTTGACACTATTTACATGTTTGCGAAGTAGAAGGCGAAACACTAATTGTTGGGAAAAGACATAGGAACAGAGCGAGATCCGATGGAAATATTAGGTATGGAATTGTTTTTTTTTGCTCTCTTTTTGAGTGATCATGCCCCAACCTCGACATGAACTGGAGCATCCACCAATTTCGCATTCGACTGTTCTTTCTTTTTCGCTGCCAGTTTTTCCTTCAGTATGCCAAAGTTTCTGGTCATAGCTGCCCGTGTAAATTCTTCACCAGTGACTGTAGGATACTTTCCCTTAGGCCCTTGAATGATTGCGTCTTTCACTGGCTGGTTGAAGAACGCTATGCTATACCTTTCCCCAAAGTAATCCCCTTCCTCACACGGCGCTTTAACGCGGTGGTATGTGCTCTTGAAGCGATCGTCGCTCCAACTCATCAGCAAATCGCCGATATTGCACACTATAACACCAGGCTCGAATTCCACCTTCGTCCATGCATCTCCGAGTGCGTGTTCTGTGACTGCTTCTCTACCCGGACATATCTCGAGCCCCGACTGCCCCGTGCGCTGGAAAAGAAGAGTGAGGAACCCCCAATCGACGTGCGCACCTGCGCGATGACGAACAATGCCATCGTTTGTTTTTGGTGTCTCGTAATAATGCAGCAGGCGCAGTGTAGATTGTGAGTCTGGACGACTGGTGTCGTGATACTTGACGAAGTAGTCGTCGGCGAAGCCTAGTCCGCGCGCCAGACAGAGCATGAGTTTTTCGGAAATGCCTTGAACCCGGTGCATAAACTCTAAACTCTTTGTTTTGAAACCAGGCAGATCTTCATCGTTGATCCAGAGGTCCTTCATGTTTTCACCGAATTGAAGCTGGTATGACTCTTTTGTGTCGGCCTCGCCTGTGGATGGGCGAATCTGCGACATTTTCTCCCAGCCTACGTTTTGAGGCGACCACGGTACTGACGCTTTCTTGGTGTCGGGGAGCTTGAAGAAGGATTCAGAGACTGAGAACATGGATTGGACTTCAGCTTCTGATAGGCCGTGATCTTTTACGGCGAAGAAGCCGACCGTCTCAGCGGCATTGCAAATTTGGTCGGAAATTTGGTCGATGCGTTGCTCGAAGTTGAGGAGTGAAATCTGGTCAACATCAGAAATGATCTAATGTAAGAATGACACATGATATCGTACCTGTGGAATCTCTCGATCAACGTATTTAGTGGCGGGAACCATTCTGGCGATGAAATACTATGAATTGTGACGGCGAGTTATTAGTGAGACAGATTCCTCTTTTTGGCACTGCAGAGGCCATTCTGTCGCCTTATAGATTCTTGCTGATGTAAAGACCTGAGTTCTTTCACCGATGAAGTTGATAGGCATTGTGATTCCCCAGCCAATCTGGTTGACAAGCAGGCTATCGCGCTTCGGCCGTTTCGCTAGCTGATTCTCCCCCCACTCTCGGACGACTTACCCTGTCGCGCACTTGTGCAGTGCCTATCTCGGCCGAAGCGGGCTGCCTCTGAGGGACACTCAGCGATAGCATCCCTCTCGCATGATAGGGAATTCACAAACGAAATGCAGTGCATCGATTCATGTGTGATAGGTTCAAAGCGCATGTAGGCAATAGGTAATGAGCAATCATGCACAACGCGATGCGCGCATTCATATGTGAAAGATGTCTGGCTGATTGCTTCCATACACTACGTGCCTGAAAATCCACTTGCGATTCTTTTACATCTTCAATACAGTATTATCAAACTCCACAATGACTTCCGATACTTCGCATGCACAGCCCAGCTTCACTGTGACTCCGTTGCCCAAGGCTGCAAGCGAGAAACACAACTTCGGGGCGGTGGTAGAGGACCTTGACTTGGAAAACATCGATGGTAGGCAAGAAATTATCCATATATACGACTGAACTTACACCAGATACAGACTGCAACGTCAAAGCCCTCGCAGATGCTATATGGACACACAAACTGGTAGTTGTAAAGGGTCAACAGAACCTAAATCCTATCAAGCAATGGGAACTTGTTACCCGCTTCGACCCAAAAGCGCCTTTGGTACATTCTCACGGAGACCTGAAGACATTCAACAAGCAGGGTGGCCTCCTCTCTGTAAGTCGCGATCGATAGATTCAATCGAGTTACCAACAAAATGCTAACTCGGGTGTTAGCGAGGGCGTGATGTGTATGGCGTACCCGGTGCAGAGAATGTCCGAATCATCGGCAAAGGTTACCAAGGAGATGACCACTTTGGTCTCAAGAAAACGACAATCAACAAAGAACTCGCTCACCTTTGGCATAACGACAAGCTTCCCGACGAAGATTTCGCTACCGGCCATACGCGATTCCAGAGATGGCATATAGACGCCCCACTTTATGCTCGAGACCCGGCCTGGTTCACCACTCTACGTTGCTTCAAACGACCCACAGAACCTGAAGTAACAATTCACTGGGATGATGGAAGTGGTCTCACCATGAAAGCTGAGCCAGGCTTGACGGCGTTCTTTAGCAACGTCCAAACTTACGAGCTCATGTCGCAGGAGGAAAAGAACATGGCTGATCACTCATGGGTAGAATATGCTCCTCATCCTTACCAATGGATGGGCTCATGTAAGAGCAAATCAACTGGTCTGGGGCTTGTCAATCAGAACAAGGAGAAAACACTGCTCGAGCTGGAGCCATATGAGGAGGGAAACGTCAAAAAGTATCCCATGGTATGGATTAATCCCGTCACTGGGGAGAGAGCTTTCATGGTGCATGGGATTTGTGTCCGTCGGGCATTTCTTCGATCGAGCCCCACTGAAGAGCCTGAGGTTGTGGACGATCTCGATCGTATTCGTGCGTGGCTTGCAACCATTCAAGAGCGTGTGCTCAAACCAGATTACATCATGATGCCGCCAGTCGTTGAAGGGGACATAGTCATGTGGGCAAATTATCAGATGTTTCACACTGCGGTTGATTATCCGGATCATTGGGGAGCGCGGACAATGCATCAAGCGAACATCGGTGCGAGCACCGGACCCGTAGGACCTGTGCCAATACCAGTATAGTTCTGCCGGTCTTTGAATTGTTATCTGCCTACTATTTCATTGATGGCTAGTACCAATAAAGTGTATGAACTCAGTAGAAGCAATCATGAAACCTATTTCATCATGCAGTTGAATCGTGATGATAATTGCATGAACGGTAGTTTCTCAATCGAGGTACAATAAAGAGATGTAGATTTCTTCAGGTGTTCAAATAAAGGTCAATTTAAGGTAAAGCAAGAAAGTTCTAAGTGCTGATTACAAAAACAGAAACGACAGACAAATTCCCCAATATCAACCCCAAGTTCTTCTGGTTAATGATGTACAAATACATGTCGTTCAATCGATGAGCGACCTCTAAGAATCCTCTAAAATGGTGTGGAATGCTTTCTGTGAGATAGTGAAAGTCGGCCCATTAGGCATGGCACCTGGAACCCGCGGAAGAACAGAGGCGTCGACTACACGTAGATTTTCTACTCCATTGACACGAAATTTGGAATCCACACAGTAGTCACGGTGACCAGCGGGGCCCATACGGCAACTGGAAGTCGCGTGGTGACTGAAAGTCTGATCCATGATGCCCTGTTCCATGGAGATTGCTGGGTCTGGCTCAATTCGAGCGTATGGAATACCAACGGCATCATAAGCCTTCAATAGCAGGTTGCAGCCTTCAACAAGAGCTCTTAGATCTTTCTCAGCGTTGTGAGTAAAGTAGTTGAAGTTAATAGCTGGGGCTTCCCGCGGGTCTTTAGAGCGAAGGGTTACAGTTCCAGCAGGATTGTCGGTCTGCATCTTCACGATTGAGGTAGTCCAATAGAGTGGGTTTGGCGTGGAGTGGGAATAACCAGGGTAGAATCCAGTTCCTGCGTAGGTCGCCATGCTGAGGTAGAATAGATCAGCATCCTTATCCCAGCTTTCGTTGCTTCGGCTGGTCATGAAGAATGTACCACCCGAGCCCGCGTACGGTCCTGTGGCATTATTTTCCCATTGAGCCAAACACGGATCCGAGCTATCGAAAGTTCCCGTACAGGGTGAAGTCGTGTTGTTGACCCATGGCTGTTCGGAACGAATTTGAAGCGGAGCCTCATAGTTGTCTTGCATATATTTTCCCTGTCCACAAAGTTAGTTGACCACACCAATTTATGCGTTTTATTTTGTATGACGTACAACTGCAGGCAAATCGGCTATGACAGGAATATCCAGCTCCTCTAGCTCGCTTCTAGGGCCGATGCCACTAAGCATGAGAATTTGGGGTGTATTGAACGAGCCACCAGACACAATGACTTCTTTCTTAGCCCGAACAGTTCTGGTCTCCCCGGTGGTGTCTGCATTGTACCTGTCGTCGACCGAATAGAGCGCTTCTCCCACCATGTACTCAACGCCAACAGCCTTAGGCTTACCATCGCAGGGCTCAGTGATGACTTTGGTCGCAAGAGAGTGGAGGCTGACAGTTAAAGGATAGCCCGCGTCAATGACTTGGTTGATATAGTCTGCGACGCTGCTGCGAGCACGCGTAGTTGCTGAAATGGCTGTTGGAAGCGCAAACATGAGCGGAGTCTCATAACGGTCGTTGTCCAGCCTATTAATATCGCGGCTGAATAGCTCCCGCATGTGCTCTCTACTCTCCGGAAAAACATCGCCGACCTGACGGGAGACTTCCTCCACATACGAATATATTTCCGGCGACAAGATTCCAGATGCCGTATCCGCTACATGGGTGGACTGGTTGAAATAAGCAGAGTGTTTGTCATGAAGGGCATATATCTTACCTCTAAGAAGCCATCGAAGCCATGACCAGGGGTCCCCAGTGGCACATATGTGCAATTTTCCAGCTCCATAAGATTTTGGCGCATGCTCTCATGTCCCCAAGAGCTATCACCGGTAAGATTGGCGATGTAGTCCCATTCGTTGTCGGGGGCCCAGGCGAAATTCATAGCATTGACCTGGGAGCTTCCACCGAGGGTAGCACCGCGAGGATAGAAGAGACCCAGTCTGATGATGCTCATTAGCCCCATGTTCTAATTTGATAGGCAGATTTATCTTACGGCTCTGCGTCAGCGGGAGCATTTGGCCCGACGTGGAAGGAGCCATTGCTCAGTCTGTATGTGTATTTGAAGTCTCGTCGGTTTTGGGTTTCGTTGCTGTAGTGTTTGACGAAGAATTGCCAGGCGTGGGGGGAACCTTCGGAGGCGGGAACAGCTCTTTTTTATACATTAGCTAAATGCTGCTTTCAATCATAGACAATACTCACAAAGCTGGAAGGCGTTGCGGAAGCTCCTCCGAGGCATCACCTCCTGCCTCGATCAGAAATACCGAGTGCCCTTCTTTCGCAAGGTTCGCGCTACATCAATTTATTAGTCAAACTCTATGAGAGAATGATGGATTCTGGATTACTGACGCAAGAGAGCCGCCACCGGGACCCGATCCGATAATCACGTAGTCGTATTGGTCCTCCGTAGCCGTCACCGCGATGCCGCTGAAAGCAGCGAATAACAAATAGGGGAACAGCATTTCAGAATTTGATCGGCAGAAGAAGTGAAAAGAATATACAGCTTTTTGTAGCTAATCAGATGTTTTGCTGTGGTAGGAAGGCTGTGGACAGTACTGCTAGAACAGCCGATGACTGAAATGTTTATATATACACACTCAGGCTATTCGAAGTCCATTGAGATTCCAGGAATCTTCCATGAAGCAGGTGCATATCCCAGAATGGTTGCCAATGTGGACAAACGCGGCCCGTGGGCATACTATAATCACCGAATTGCAAAACTCAGCTTGCGTTTTCTTCGGTTCTCTAGACAGAGCTGCTGCAAGTTTCAGAAGCTCAGCTCAGGATGGGCCAACAGAAAAGATGATGAATTATATTTAACAGCATTGTTTTACTAAACCAGTTAGTGCGATCGGCATAGGTGGAACCAGATCTCACTGCCAAGCCTAGAATTGGTACTACATCAGGCAAACAATCAAGCATAGATGTAGACGTCCGACAACAGCAAATTGGTGCTTACGCTATCTAACTTGGCATTTGCGACTCTGCGTCGGGGGAAACATAGCGGCACATCGATGGACAAAAATTGCGATACTGAATACTCGCGGATATCATGTACGGATCTCCCATTTCTTGGTCACTTGAGCCTTCGCCGATGTCTGAACTCATCTAGTTGCGAGGAATAACGACTATGCAAAATCTCGAAAAGACCTCGGGATGTTTCTAAAGATATCACGGGCTCTTTGTATGTATGTCACTTTTTACTTTGGGCGAACTAATACCATTGGTATTGAGATTGAAGAGTGTACCTAAGTGTCCGAATTAAGGTAAAAGAGCGAGATCTGAAAGTGAATTTTCGTCTTTGTGGGTTGTCAATGCCAGATGCACCAACAAACAGCCCCACTTCTACCTCCCACGTCGCACAAGATAGCATGGGCAGCAGAACAACAGTCATCGCATCTGGATGTGCGCACATACACTGACAGTTGTCTAGATGTCTATTACAACTAAATTTGATGGCAGAACTACATGAAGAGATGGTATAATCTATTGAAGGAACAAAAAAAAACATCAAGACACCGCCTGCTCCGCTGAGCTGCGCGTAAACAAAAGGGATGAATATCACAGATAAGACTTCACTTGCTCCTCAGTCCATTCCCAAAACGACTTCGCAATCCCAGAGCCACCTTCCTCTTGAGTCTTGGTAGCCTCATACAAGTCCTTGCGGATCTTCATGAACCGCCCCCACGGCACGATCCAACCCCCTGATTTCTCCATGGTCACGTCCGGCGACAAACCCGCAAACAGCTCAGTGTAAGATCCCATGATTGGCGGGTGCAGGACGAACCATTGCAGAAATTTTGTTACCAGCCAAGATTGATTGCGCCACAGATCGGAGTCGAGGTTGCCGGGGTTCAATGAGACGCTCAAGATGCCATCCACTCTATGCCTTTTTGCGTATTCGGCGCCGTGGAGAAAGTTCCCGGCTTTGCTGATAGCATACTTAGGAAACCAGCCAACATCCTTGCGATAATCGAGGTTGTCCATGGGGACGCCGCCCTTTGGAGCCATTGGCGATTCCGCTGCTGACGAGCTCACCCAGACGACGCGCACAGCACCTGCATCTTCGCTCTTGGCTGTTGCGGCCAATACTGGAGTCAGCAGTTTGGTGAAGAGAAAAGTTCCGACATTGTTGACGCCAAGTTGAAGTTCGTAGCCCTGGGCACTGGTCGCGCCGTCTGCTGGTTTCATCACACCGGCATTGTTGAAGAGAACATCTAATCGTTGTTCCTTATCCAGGAATTGTTGTGCACTAGCTTTGATTGTGGTAAGATCTGCAAGATCGAGGCGAAGAAAGACCAAATCGCCCGTAGACGAGGGTTCTGCTTGCTTGATGTCGTCGATAGCCTTCACCGCCTTTTCCTCGGATCTAGCCGCGATGTAGATTTTTGCGTTCTTGGAGTACAGCATACGAGCGAGAATCTTGCCAAGTCCAGTGTTGGCCCCAGTAATCAAGTAGACCTGCATCAGTGTGAGATGTGCTCGATGCCTGCGATTGGATTTAACTCGAAACCAGTGACTTACCTTTCCACTCAGGTCTTGGAGGTTCTTTTCCATGAACTTCGCTTTAGGCGGAAACACCTGCGAAAGCTGATCCATCAATGATGGTCCCGACATCGTCTTACGTCTAGATGAAACTTGGGTAGTTGAAATAGTATGATTGGACTAAAAAAGAGTTACAGTGATGAATCCTTTGAAGTAGTGGAAGCTGCTGATGGTTGATGTTTGTGATGGTGGATGTAACAACGAGACTGAATATAGAGCTCAATATATATTCTCAAAACGATCCATTGAAGCTAGAAGATATCGTCGCCTTGCACATGGAAATCTAATAATGTCATCGCAGTTTTGCCCTGTTTAGTGACGTGGAGTTTCCCCTGCATATTGTCGGCGCGATTCTTTGCCCTTACGCTGCTCGCTTAGACAGGTCGTCTGTGAAACGGCGCGCTAGGAGGAATAATCATCCCGCCCAACCCATCGTTGGAACGCAAATTATTTCGGGAGGACCGAGCTTGCGAATAAGAACATGTCACTGACTTAATATCAGTGGTCTTCGCCTCGAGCAGCCCAATGTTTAAATCGTGAATGTGTGGCTTGCAACATTTCGTCCGCCCGCCGACGTTACGGACGTAAGGCACCTCGATCGGTGACGAACACGGGGAAGAGACCTCGGCTTATCCATGGAGTGCTTGTGAACGATGACTGCCTAAGGCATATCAATGTGTGTACGGGGCCGTCGAGAACCCCAAAGTCTGTGAAGTGATCAAGTGTCTGATTCTGGAGATTGAAATCTTATCTAACCTTAAGGTTCAGATGTTGCTGACTGTTACATGTAGGTCAACTGGTGCGCAGAGTGGTGCTTGATGACGACATTAGCAAGCCCTGCAGTCGTTACGAGAGATATCAGAAAATGCTTCAAACCTCAGTATCTTACATTGAAAGGGATTGATATTGGCACAAGTTGCCTTACTAAAGGCATACCGTATCAATACACGTGTGTGCGATCGAGGATATATATCACGTGATAATCATGAAATAGTCACGTGCTCGGAAGTCGCATCCGGTGTCCTCGGCATGCACACGAGTGACTAAGCGATCATCGGGAGACGTACAGCTCTGTGGTTGTGAGACATATGTTTCTAGACTCTATTCAAAGAGCAACTGAGTATCTCTAACTATATTAAATTATAATTGGCAAGCAAGCGGAAACGCCTACAGTACATAATGAAAGAAAAAATCCCAATCAAGCATTCTTCAACCAATATACGTTAGAACATAAGCCAGTGAGAAGGAGAGCTTAATCGTGCTTGTTTCCTCAGTCAGTTCGCAGGGGGAATCCTGTCTACTCCCACTATGTCAGCCCCGCTCAAATCTCACTCTTCAACGGACATTCAAGACCAAGGCCAACCGAAGCTTGAGAACCGGTATTATAGAAGCACTATGGAAATATGCATCAACTCAACGCGTCCTTATTCCCTTTTCAGTACTTAATGATTCATGATTGATCATGTAGTTTCAAGCAACATAAGATGCAAGTTATGATATCCGGAGCCCGCTTCGGATATTCGGTTCCAGCTTGGGTTCGTGGTCAGCCGCTCGTGTACGTAGGCAAGGCCCGCCAACCCCGTGCATCAGGGTCTCACCCCATGTTACTGTCTTCCGAATAAGGCGTTCGGAACGAATTCGGAGTGGTCTTCTAACACGCAAAAAGTGGCGAAGCAAGCCTAGATCTCACAGTGGGATGATGTCGTGCATGAATTGCATAGCGATGTGGTTGCCACCCTCAGCAATGCTATCATCTCCCGACCCTCCGAGCTCCTGATGTAAAGACTGCAAAGGGGATATTTATACAAAATTTCTCAGTGTTGTACTTACCTCTGCAACAAAACTTGTGCAATCTTTGTCGCACGAGAGCTTGGTTACTGAACTATCATCTCATTACCAAAGAACGTATTCGTCATGTCTATCCCTGAGAAGACCACGGCTCTGGTCGTTGGAGGTGGCCCAGCGGGCTCCTATGCCGCTTCTGCTTTGGCTCGTGAGGGTCTTGATGTTGTATTGTTAGACGCCGATAAGTTTCCAAGGTACGCCCACTGATCTTTTGCCCTATATGGAAGTTTTTACGGCCGCGTCGGCCTAGAGTTAGGGGCGGTGACATCTTCGCCATGCTCGTGCCTAAATGGGTCTCCCGGCTGTTCTTCGCCGTTGAGCTATGCAGGTGCCTAGTGATGAATATTTACTAACACAATCAGATACCATGTCGGTGAAAGTATGCTGGCGTCGATCCGCCATTTCTTGAAATTCGTCGATCTGGACCAAAAGTTCGACCAATACGGTTTTCAGAAGAAGGTTAGTCACCGAGTTACAAATTGCTGTCCATTGTTGATTCATAAATCAGATTGGTGCTGCGTTCAAACTCAATCACAGCAAGCGTGAAGGATGTAGGTTATATTCTAGAGCACCTTGATTGACTTCGTAAATTTGTTAACCCGCTTATAGGGACCGATTTCCTGGCTGCTGGCGGTCCAACTGCATACTCATGGAACGTGGTTCGCTCTGAGTCGGACTACTTGATGCTCAAACATGCCGGCGAGTCGGGAGCAAAGGTTTTCGATGGTGTCAAGATCAACTCCATTGACTTTGAGGAATCCGACCTTGACTTGAGCAAGATCGAAGGAAACTTTCCCAACCCAGGTCGTGCTGTCTCCGCCACCTGGACACGTAAGGAGGACGGCGCCACCGGAAAAATCAACTTCGAATATCTTGTGGATGCTAGTGGTCGCATGGGTATTGTTTCGACCAAGTATTTGAAGAACCGAAAGTACAACCAGGGCTTGAAGAACGTTGCGAGCTGGAACTACTGGAAGAACACCGGAAAATATGCCCCCGGAACCTACAGAGATAACTCGCCCTTCTTCGAGGCCCTGACAGGTAATGCTGAAACGAATGATCATACTTTATAAAGGACAAAATCACTAATTAGTCGCAGATGCAAGCGGTTGGTGCTGGACTATTCCTCTCCACGACGGTACCATGTCCGTTGGCGTCGTCATGCGTCAAGATCTTTCTCTCGAGAAAAAGAAGGCGATGGGCTCCCCATCTGGAGCTGAATTCTACAAGGAGTCCTTGAAGCTCGCACCCAACTGCCTAAACATCATCGGCAAGGACGCCGAGATGGTCTCTGAGATGCACCATGCTTCAGATTGGTCGTACAGCGCGTCATCTTATGCCAGCCCCAACGTTCGCATCGTCGGCGATGCTGGCTGCTTCATTGACCCCTACTTCTCCTCCGGCGTACACTTGGCTCTTGCTAGTGGTCTCTCAGCAGCCATGACCATCTGCGCTGCCAGGAACGGTGACGTGGATGAGTTGACGGCCATCAAGTGGCACTCCAGCAAGGTCGCTGAGGGATATACGAGGTTCTTGCTTGTGGTTATGAGCGCTTTGAAGCAGATCAGAAAACAAGATGAACCTGTTCTGGGCGACTGGAGCGATGATGGCTTTGATGTTGCATTCGATGCATTCAGGCCCAGTATGTTCGCCTCTTAGCTTTGGCTATGAATTATGACTAACGCGTAAACAGTCATTCAGGGAACCGCCGATGCTGACGTAGGCGGAAAGCTTACTCAAAACGAAGTATCCAAGACAGTGAACTTCTGCCTGAACGCCTTTGACCAGACAGCGCCCGAAGACGCCGACCGCGTCATGAAGAAACTCGAAGCCTTGGACGGAGAGCCCAAGAAGGAAGATCTCGAGAAATTCGATGCGGAAGAGCGCAAGATTCTGGACCACATCCGTGCCCGCCAGATGCTCAGAATTGAGGATCAATTCCATGTTGACAACTTTGCGAAAGACGCGATTGCAGGTTTCGTACCGAACTTGAAGAGGGGTAGTTTGGGATTGCGCCCACAAGGAGAGAGCAAGAGCAAGCTCGCGGCACCTATCGTGGATTTGTTGAGGTTGGTGGATGAGAAAGAGGCTGTTGGAGTGACGGTTCCTGCCATCACTGTTTAAACGGAGAGCTAGACTGCGGGGGCAAGGAAGTTGCAAATTGTAGACAACATCAGGTATACATAGACTAAATCGGATGTAACGCCTTTGAGCGCCTGCGTATCAATTACATTCATTCTATCAAACATAAAACGTATATTTGGATCTTACAACTTGAGTGTGCAAGCTATTTAACTGTGATAGAACCTAGAAGTGAACATAGCCAGCCTGATCTTCATGCGAACCGGCATGCTTTCATTAGCGTGATAGGAAATTTGTTCTCTTATAGTTGAGTTTCGGTTTCCGTCTTCTTTCCCCGGCATTGATCTTGCAATTGCTTTCGAACGCACTGCGCTAGGTAGTTTAAAGACAACGTCTTTTCCAACCCAAATAGTCTAATTAAGGATAGGAATCTTTAATCGTAGAAAACCCAGAAATTCCCCATGCTTTAATTGGGAAAAATCCTGTTTGCATTCCAGAAAGCACTCTATGATGCACTTATCTGGTCGAATCCTCAATTACATACCTGGTGTGAGAAGGCATTGTGAACGTGGGAGCTTGCAGATTACACATCGCGTTTTAAAGTAGGTGAAGATTTTCGTGGCATTTACCCGTGTCCTTTTAGTCATCAGGTTGGCCCGCCTTCTTGAATTTTTACTTCAGTGCTCACTCAGCACGTAAGAATCGATAGCACAGACACTTAAAGTGACAAATTACATTGGAATTTTCACATTGCTCATAAGGTAACCAAATCAGAAGATAATAAACAACATCATAAGAGCACTAAAAAGGGTACATGCGATTCGGTTTGATACCAATGAACTCTATAGACCACATCTACTTAAGCTTTAACATTGTAGTACTGTGTGAAGTCATGCAAAACTGCATATACACCCTATTCAAGATTAGCTTCGGTATACGTATTAAGACACACAAGATCAGCTCTTACCTGATCTAGCTTCTCCTTGATCTCACGATCGCCTTTCGCGGCTTGGACCATTTTCAAAAACGGATCCTCCGCCAACACATCGACTTTATCCGGATGTGCAGCGACACGGAGATAATTCGCCGTGGAAATAGGCGAGATCACTTTATGGAAGATATCCCTCCTGACCTCATCATACTTATCCAGAATGCTTTCGTCAGCCTTCCCTGCATGAATTCCCTCGAGACACTCCGCCAGCCCAGTCACATCCGCAAAGCCCCCAGTTAACCCCATACCTCCCCAAGGATTGCAGAGATGTGCGGCATCAGCTGCAAGCAACACGCGACCAACGCGAAGCTTTTCGGCGCAACGTTGATGCTGACTGTAGAAACTGAAGTCCACCAGAGTGAAGTCCTCCGGTTTGGGGTTCCCTGGTAGGAGAGTCGCGTAGCGATTAGCCACATTGTTGCGCGCCTGTTCGTAGGTCAAGTTCTTGTCTTCGATGTAGGAAACGCGCCATAGACCGTCTTGGGTGATTTTCGCAATGAGTGAGCGCTCGGATGGATGGATGATTGTGTTGAGGTCGTCCCAACCGTATTTCTCAACGGGATAGATGACCTATAAATTTTCAGTTTTATCCAAAGAGAAGAAGCTGACGGTCAACAGATCAACGTACGTTGCTTGCGATCAGTCGCTCGTCCCATGTCTGTCCTGGAAAGTTCCGACCATACAGCGACTTTCTTACTGAGCTAGTTCCCCCATCACAGCCAACCACGTAGTCTCCAGCGACTTTGAATTCTGTCCCGTCTTCTTTCCTTACCAGTGCCCATGCTGATTCCCCATCTTGACTCACTCCCACCACAGAATGGTTGAACTTGATCGTGATGTTGTCTTCTTTGGAAGCATGCTCGAGAATGATTTTACCCAACGGTCCCAGTGGTAGGACGACCGTGGATTCGGGATTCTTCGACTGCGCAAAATCTTCGATGGACGTAATTACGGTCCCGTCAAGCTTGCGCCATGCGAAGTTCTTTGGGGTCCAGCCTTTGCGACGCACGTCATCTGCGAGTCCAGCGCGCCCCAAGAGCTTCATGGTCGGGGGCGTCAAGTGCGCAGCACGAGGTCTTTCATCTGTGGATGATTCTTTCTCTAGCAATGTCACTTTGATGCCCGCCCTCGCCAACACCATGCTCAACACCATGCCCGTTGGGCCTGCGCCAACTACAACGACCTAGAAAAAACATCACCAACAGCTCTTTGAATAGGATACGACTTTCTTACGTGCATTATGCTATCGAATTTTGGATTTGAGAATAGAGTCAATTATTCGAGTTTGTCGATTTGCAGTGTAGATGCTGGTTTACAGTCCGCTCCTGTCTTATCCAATCATCCACAAGGTAGCCCATAGCACGGAAGCATCGCCACGCCGTTAGGATTGAGACATTCTCCACACAAAAATGTGGAGTCCCGGCTGGTTACTAGAATATTCCGAAGGTTGAGAATGTATGACATATTGAATCTGGGCGCCCAGTGCTACGTAAAGGCTATCCGCGTTGCTGTTACCGATTTCCGACGGTCTTATGATATCAGCCTCTCGGTTCTCTGGAAGCTTTTCGGCTCCGTTAATGGATGTCGTACCGGTACACAAGGCCGAGGTTTGCTTCGCATTTGTCGTATCAATCCGTATTATGGTGTTGTACAAGCGCACGGAGGGATTTTCCACATGTCCGACACTGCAATGCATGGAATCTTACGCTGCACATCATGAACGCGTCTGGTAATCCTATCCCTCGGATCTCACGGCATTCTCACATGCGCTTCCCATATCGTGCATACCTATTTTTTGCGAATAGATTCAGATAGCATAAGGCTTGATTGTGTTCAACCCGGTTTTGCGAGGCTTCATTCTTAATTCATTATTCAAATAGTTCAAATCTTAGCGGCAAAGAAATTGTTACAAGTACACGATCGACTTTTCGACATTAACACCAAAAAAATAGCGCAACAATGGAACGTTTCCCCAGGTCACCGGCGGAAGCCGACAAACTCATTCAGATGGGCAAGCTACTGAACGAGGCGATCCAGACGGTCACTGAAGAGTGGAAGACGGAGAGTTTTTCGAAGAAGCAAGCAAACGGTGTGAATGGTGTCAATGGTGTCAACGGCGCAAACACCAATGACCCATCTAACACTGCAGACATTCTTCCGAGTTGGCCTTTGTACCAGGCCCAGCGTACGATTTTTGCGTTGACTGGTGCTCTGACTGAGTTGGTGGCAGAGCCCGCCCACCGCTTGACAGAGCTCATGGGACTGTACTGGGAGTCTAGGGCGCTGTACATTGCTGCAGAACGTCGCATCCCAGATCTTTTGCACGAAGCTGGTGAAGATGGGTTAGAGATCAGCGAGATTGCCAAGAAGACTGGGATTGAGCACCTCAAATTGTGTATGTAGAACTATCATGACTTCGCACCTGGAGCTCATACGTGACTTTTTGGTATGCAAAATGCTAATGACGAAACATGGGAACAGCGCGCATAATGCGATGCCTGGCTTCTATACATGTCTTCCGCCTGACAGGCCCCGAGCGCTTTGCCAACAACCGAATTTCCGCTCAGCTGGTCCACAATGAACACATGAGAGCGTACATCACTATGTTGTAAGTCAATAACGTCGCTCTCCGGTTTGATTAATTGCTGACCGAGAACCACAGCCAAGGCGATATATACACCTCCGCAGAAAGGCTTCCAAAGTACCTACTGGGACCCACTGGTACTTCCTACAGCGTGACAGAAACACCCTGGCAAGAAGCTCACGGTAGCTCGAGACCAAGGTGGGAGTGGCTGGCTGAAAAGATTCCCCCCAGTGAGATTCAGAACGATGGTGTTGGATATCCCGGCGTTCCTGACCCGAGTCAATTTGCGCATAACACGCCAGATGCAGACGGAAGGGTCCCACGACCCGAATTAGAGCTCTTCGGTCTGGCCATGGTTGGAGGAGGGAGAGCAATCAGCGCCTCCCAGCCATATGGTTAGTTTCATCCTAACAATAGAAGAAACTATTACTAATTGAGTTGACAGACTACCCATGGCACGAACTAGCCGAAGGTGCAACTGTTGTCGATGTCGGCGGCGGTGTCGGCGGTTTCATTATGCAACTTCTCCGCGTCTATCCTCACCTCAGCTGCGTTGTACAAGATCGAGCTGAAGTAGTCAAGCAAGGCGAGCAAGAGATTTGGCCACAGCAGGCAGCTCAACTGCTAGAGACCTCCAAGGTCAAGTTCCAGGCTCATGACTTCTTCAAGCCGAACCCGGTCCACGGGGCTGATATCTATTGGCTGCGAGGTATCTTGTAAGTCTAAGATTTCTTTTGCGCGCTGGTTGTGCGAAACCCAACAATTTTACTAAAACGAATCGCAGGCACGATTGGTCCGACGAATACTGCGTGCAGATTCTCACCAGTGTTCGCGATGCCATGTCCGACAATTCGCGCATTCTGCTGTGTGAGCAAGTCATGAACGACCCCTATGGCTGCGACGAGCTGGCATCTGCTCCTTCTCCTCTCCCGGCAAACTATGGGTATTTCGGTCGCTTCCAGGCGCATCGCGATCTGAGTCTGATGGCATGTATCAACGGAATTGAGCGCACGCCAGCTCAGTTCAAGGACTTGATCGATAGAGCTGGTCTCAAACTAGCGAAGATACACGAACTCAGGTCTATCTACTGTGTTATTGAAGTTACGAAATAGACTATAGAATTAGAGCTCGCGACTATCAAGTTCGGTTTGAAGCAGGACAAAGTATACATAGATAAACTCTCGCTTAGCACATCTGAGGATCACCGATCACATACAATCAATCAAACTTTCTACACGGGTTGACCTCATCGATCTGATTTAAGAAGACAAATAACGGGACCGTGATCATACGCGCTACTTTTCCGTCATGCATTTGATTGTTGAACTTCTACTTGCTCTGCACGCGCCCCTTGAATTCGCAATCTGAACTACAGGCTCTGAAGCGAGTTGAGAAGCATTTTCCTTGTTGGAATTGATCTAGTAAATTGTTAAATATACTCGCTGTAAGTTGCACGTTCTATCCTATAATTTCCCTAGTCTGATGGTACCTTCCTTCACGGATTGGAACCAAGGTGTGTATATCGATGCCCCAAATATTGCACTGCACTTGATGGATGAAAACACGTCAAGATCAAGACCGAAAATGGTTATGCTTCCATCTGATTATGATACTAACTATAGTACTCTAGAATCCTCTGGAAAATGCACAGCGTGATCTAAAACCTCCCCGCCCCCTCTGTCCCAGGATTCGGCAACGGCAACCTCATCCCGCTAATAGAATCAACAATCGTGACTTTTTCCCAATCCCAAATCTTCTCCGTGGTAAAAGGATCCTTCTTCAATCTCTCAACAGCATCTTGTTTTGTCGGTGCATACAAGATCCCCCAGCTACCGATCATGTCCGGCGGGACGGCGCCGTGTTCTTTGAAGAACGGGCCTTAGTGAGCAAAGCCAAGTTAGTTCTCAGGGGCAGTACATGGAATAGAGGGGAGGGCAAAGTACCGCCGGCCAACCATTCCACACTCGAGTTGTTTGCCTTTTCTTCCTTGATCATATTTTCATGGGCTCTATAGTCCGGGTCAGTGTCCGACACTGCGCTGATTGTTGATAAGCCGGTGTTGCACTCACTCTACAAGCTTGAACTTGGATTCTGCGACACCCGGAAAGTCGTACGCTATGAACAGGAATTCGTGTCTCGGGGCCATGACGACGGTAGGTTCGGTTCAAACAGACGGGTCGATCACACAATCAATCAACGACTTTCTAGATTGAGTCTGCAGGTGGAATGTGATGGAATTCGCTTTATGTGTCGCGGATTCTTGATTCATTGGTCACGCGACATCGAGGTGACGTAGTATTAAGATACGTATGTATGCATGTGTGTGTACCTGGAGGCGTTCGGCGCCGGATGTTTGGGGTTTCGGAATTCGGTATTGAGTGGCTGCATTGCCGAATGAAGCTGGTGGCGATCTTCGGACAAGCCTACCCAAGGTTGCGCGGCAAGAGAACATTTATGCAAATAAGCCCAGATTTAAAAATAGAAGACCTGAGTTCTGTCAGTCACGTGCCGCAATCAAAGATACATGGCCAGGTGTTCATAGTTGATGTCACAGGTTTAGAGGGTGTAGCTGCTATCGCATCTAACTAGGGGCAACTCTATCTTGGATGTGAAAGCGGAAAGACGCCAAACTACCTTGGCAAGAATCTTGCTCCGTCAGGAGAGATTGCTTCTTACCTACCTGCCTAGGTAGGTAGGTACATATGTATATTATACCGAATCACCTCAGGGCCCGTAAATTTCAATTCGCATAGTCGTGACCCGTCGCATGTGATATGCGGCACAGGCACTGGGAGTTGTGAAAAGGAACATTACAACACAGCTACTCGTAGTCTTGTCGTTTTTCATTGATCGCGTGCTGACATCAAATATAAATTCTTGATACAGTGAACCATAACGAATACGCAATGAAAGTATCTAGATTATCAATCTGTTTACATCTAGGAAATCTGTAATTACACAACGCCTCCGATCTATCGGCGATGAAGAAAAGAATTTATCATTTTACAATACCCAAAGTCCACGTCGCAACAATGTAGCCATCTCCCTCACCTGTCACGTCGAATTAGCATAATTAATCGAGACCGCAAAGGCATAGAATGAACTTACAGCTGGTTCTCTTATCATTGTGAAATGATTTCCCTTGGTGCTCACACACGAGATATTCTCCTCGCCTAACAACTGCCCCCAACCATTACTTCCGAAATCTTCGCGATCGTCAAGCAAGAACGCAAGGCTTGAAGGCTCATCCTCTGATCTCGGGAAACGCTCCCCATCGTCATTTGGATTCTGGTACAGACTCTCTCGGGCCCAGATGATGAGCGTTCTGGGTGCTTTGCTTGGGTCCATAGGTACCGGTTTGTAGCTTGCAAGATTTCTTACGCTCGCCTCGAAATGCGGAATAAGCCATGATGGCGGAGTTGTAGAATTGCTTTGGCTGACTAGCAGTCCCTTCTTGTCCATGAAATGTAGCAACTCTGAGGGCAGGGGCTCGATGTTGATAGGGCAGGGAGCATCAATCAGGACCAGGTTTTCGACTTCTTCACCAAGTTTCTGCAGCTCGCAGGCGACTTGGTAAGCAAGGACTCCACCGGCAGACCAGCCACCCAAGTTGTATGGCCCTCTGCTTTGACGGCGCTTGATTTCGGTTAGATACTGAAGGGCAACTCCCTTGATGCCGTTAGTATAGTCTGCAGGGGTCTTCATGAATGGACAGTTGAGGCCGTAGAGACAGACGGAGGGAGATACAGGCGGGAAGACTGAGTAAGATGTAGCGGAGCCAGACCCATCGGGAAACAAGAACATAGTCTTTGCTGCGTTCTTCGGGTTACCTCTCAGAAGTATAGATGATGCTGCCGGCAGTGGTTTCTCAGGCTCTTCATCTTCCGAATTGATAGATGTTGCGCCGCTCTCTTCAAGTGCGCTGTCACCTGAGCTGTCGGGGGTAACGGTGCCACTCAGGCTCTCCCCACCCAATGCAGAAATGGCAGCTTTGGCGTCACCGACGGTAGGATTGTCCGTGAAGAACGATGAAGGAATGTCCATGTCCAGTTCCTCGCGAATACGTCCCGTGATAGACAAGGACATGAGTGAGTCCACACCCATGTCGCCAAATTCAGCAACATCGTCGAGCTCTGATGGCTCCGTGCCTAATTCGTCGGAGATAATCTCGAGGATCTTGTCGATAGCTCCACCGGAAATAACAGTGGCGCCGTTGAAATCTCCGACTTCAGTGGACAACTCAGTCGCATCATCTTCATCATCTTCATCTTCTTCCTCATCGTCTTCACTTTCATCTGAAGGGGTTTCTTCGATACTGGCTGCATCGGCTGTTGCAGGAGCGTCATCACCCCGGAGAGCCAACAGAGCAGCTTTGGCCCCACCTATAGTTGTGTTGTCCGTGAAAAGCGATGTTGGAACATCCATATCAAGTTCCTCCCGTATTCTACCAGTGACAGAGAGTGACATGAGTGAGTCGACCCCGATATCGGCAAACTCAGTTTCGTCAAGCAATTCGGAAGTCTCCATACCCAACTCATCGGCAATGATGCTGATAAAGGTATCGATGATAGGGCTAACCTTTCTTTGAGCGACTGGACGAGGTTGAGGAGGCGCGGGCTTTTGCTGAACTTTGGATACCTTTTGAGGCTTCGCTTCCAGCTTCCGAGTATTGTTTTGTGGGACTGACATTGGGACGAAGCCGTTGGTGGGTGGAAGGAGTTTGTTCAAAAGAGAGCGGGGGATGGCCTGGAATTTCACACCACCAATGACAGCAACTATATCCTTGTCATCGAAAACATACACATCGCCAGCCATGGTGTTTTTGGGTCCGGGCTGCATCTTGACGTAATTCCGATAGGCCTTGTCACCAGATATCGGACGCCCAACGCGACAAGACTCCCAGCCATGGGAAATGTAAACTGTCTTGCCGTGATCAACAGCGTCGGAGCCATTGAGGACGTATCCAGAGAGATGAGCGATATTGTCGATCCAGTAGGGATTGTACGCGAAGTCATCGTCGTCTTCCTTAGCAGTAAACTCGATCAACGAAGCTGCTTCGAAGTTTTTGCTGTCGATAAGAACATCCTTCATACCATGGTACTTTTTGCTATAGTTAACCAGAGATGAGAACGATTCGTAAGTCTCCTTGCGACCGATTTTTTCCGTAGCCTTACTCTCAAGACCTTGCGCGAGCAAGTTCACTCGTGAACGAATGAGATAAGCGATACGTTCCCATTCGCTCATCCATGCCTTGGTATCACCATACTGAATAGTGCATGAAGCATGCAAGTCCGTTGTCTTACCATCGGCTGAGAGGCTAGTGAAATTGACATTGACGGCAGTGATAGGTCTTTCTGCGGTGGCAGTAATCTTCACGATGTGTGGCTTCTTAGAATCGCGAGGCTTTGCGATCAATGGTTTGATGATTTCAAGATGACGGACATCCATGCCAATATCTTCCTGGGGTTTCTCGGCTGTCTTTCGATAGAGTTGGCCTGCAAGGGTTAATGCCATATCGGTGTATACCGCCTGAATACGTATTAGCTATATCATTAATCATCAGCCAACAAATACATACCGATGGAGTGAGAGCAGATCCGTTGATCAAGTGTCCAAAGATGGCTTCGTGGAGGTCAGGTTCCATCAAATCGGATTCGGCGATCAACGTGGCTGTCTTCTTCCCAATATCTTCCTTGGTGATCTTCTGGATTGAGGCAGTCGTCTTTCTATCTTTGGGCCTCTTGGCCTTGACTGGCGCCTGCATCAGCTCCCCCTTGGTCAATTGCCAGTTGTTTGTGTAGTTGATCCAGTAGTTCTTGAGGTCAAATGCATAACGTGGAAGCGAGAGAACTTCATGCGATGATCCGTACCCGCGGTATACTTCATTCCAGGCAATTGAGGCTCCGCTGGTGTGTAGGACACTGAGTGCGTTGGTGATTGATTTCCAGGCATTTTCGTTTTTACGGAGAGAGGATGCTGTAACAACATCGGTACCCAGGTTGGACTTGACAAACGCGGAAACAACAGGCGTAGGCCCTAGCTCCAAAAAGACGGTTGTTGGGGTTATCAAACCATCCTTCTTAGCAGCTGCAAGTGCTCCGGCAAAATGGACTGGCTCCCTTGCGTGACGAGCTAAGAATTCGGGGCCGAAAACAGTACCACGCTTAATGACAGCTCGGAGCAAGGGTGAAACGACCGGGATATCCGGATCACGGAAAGTAATCGACTCCGCAACTTTTCTTAGTGAGTCCATGATGGTAGATACCTGGCTGGAGTGGAAGGCGTAAGCTGTTGGCAGGACGACACACTTCGTGCCAGCCTCTTTCAGCGTCTTGGAGTATGTCATCATTTGCTCGGTAGGACCACTGATCACTGTCTCGCGAGGGCCGTTGACACAAGCAATTTCCAAATCCTCGCCATCCAGGAGCTCTTGAACAGAATCAACGGATGCGCCTATGGCCAACATTGCGTGCGTCCCAATGGTACATTTCTCTTCGAGCAGTTCTGCTCTCCGACCAACAAGGAAGATGGTATCGCTCACGGAAAGAACGCCTGCGACGTTCAATGCCGCATACTGTCCAAGACTGTGGCCAACGACAGCGCTTGGTACAATTCCCCAAGATTTCCATAACCGTGCCAAAGCCATTTGAATGCAGGTCAGCCCGAGTTGCACAATGACCGGCGGAAGTGATGCCATATCGGAGATGGACCCGTCGATCAGAGGGAGGATGGATGGGAAACCTTGGTGCCGACCGATTCGATCAAAATCCAGAATATCAGCGCGGAATTGATCTGAATCCTCGAATAATTCTTTGCCGAGCGAAGGATAGTGAGATCCTTGACCAGTAAAGAGGAACATCATACTGGGGGGTTTGTTCGAAAGGGCTTTGACAGTTTGGTTTTGAGCTGAGACTAGACCTTTCCTAACTTCGGCAAGATTGGATGCCCCGAACGAGATGCGGAACTGATGGTGTATCCTTCTCGCAGCCAAAGTATATGAGAGACTCGGCAACGATACATCTGGTCTTTGATCAATATAATCGATCAAATTCTGGATGTTGTTCTTCAACGACGATGCTGATCGTGCTGTGACAGCAATGGCGAAAGACCCTCTAGGGTCGGGCTCCCCTGGAACGTGCATGGGCGCGTCTTCGAGAAGCATGCCGGTATTGCCACCTGAAGCGCCGAAATTGTTCAGATACGCCAATCTTTTGCCACCAGTTGGGCGAAGCCAAGGGGTCTGTTTGAACGCGATACGAATTCCCCTTTCCTCTATGTCTGCCGGGAAGGTATGGTTAATAACACCTTTGATGCCTACATGGGGCGGGATAGCGTTCCTCTGCATCATGATTAAGACTTTCATTAGCGATGCGATACCAGCTGAAGCTTCTCCGTGGCCGATATTTGATTTCAAAGCTCCGAGGTGAAGTAATTGATCAGCAGATCGTCCTTGGTGTCGTGGAGCGAAAACGTTGGAAATCGATTTCATCTCGGTACCATCGCCGATTTGCTACATTATGTTAGCGAAAGACTGCTGTGAATGGAAAATGTAAGACAAACCGTGCCAGTACCTATAATCATGTAAAGTTAGTATCAATTATCAGAAAATGTAACGACATTTATAGAGAAAACCCCCAATATCGGGAGCTTGACGGGTGGAAAAATACCGCCAAAAAGTCAAGGGAAGAACTCTACTCTCAGCATTCCCCAAGGGGCGACAACTGGAATCAATGAAAATGAGACGTACCATGCATTTCCACATAGCTGACATCGCGAGCATCCACTCCCGCATCGTTCAAGATTTTCTTGTACAAGAACTCTTGAGCTGGAGCGTACGGTTGAGTCATTGAAACAGCATCGGCCGAATGATTCGTTGCAGTTCCCAAGACCACTGCTAGGATAGGGTCGTTATCGGCTTCAGCATCCTCTAGTCTTTTCAAGACCACAGCGCCAACTCCATCTCCACGGCAGAAACCGTCCGCTCCGTCATCGAAAGTTTTACATGAGCCTGTCTTCGATAGAAACTGTGCTCGACTAAGCCCCGCGTATAGATCAGGGGAAGTCATGACATTGAGGCCACCAGCTATCGCGGTATCACATTCTTTTGCGCGAAGAGCTGAGCACGCGAGCTGAATGGCCGCGAAACTCGAAGAACATGCCGTGTCGACAGAGTAACCTAATTGTATAAGATTAGCATGTTATCACCAGGAGATTTCCAGTCTTTCAACGCCATCTCACTATGGAAACTTGATGGATATGTTCGTGGGGTATGCTTACTTGGTCCACCAAATTTGAAGTGGTAGTTGATGCGACCAGAGGCAAAGGCTCTGATGGTTCCAGGGATATAGTAAGTGTCGATGTTCTCCGCTGCGTTGACCTGTCGCCAGTCGTCACTGGTTTGGCCATAGAAGGTTCCGATACGCGCCAACATCGATGAAGGAGTTCTGTTAGGAACGAACCCAGACATTTCGAGCGCCTCATAAGCTGTAGTAATGCCTAGCCTTTGCATCGGGTCGGTTTGGTAGGCTTCACGGGGTGACATGTTGAAGAACTTTGGGTCGAAAAGGCCAGGCTCTTCAATAAAACAGCCATAGGGACTGTGCCCGGTATTTTTCTTCTTTCCTGTTGGGTCGGTGTGCGCGTCAACATCCCATCGATCGGGAGGAATTGGTCGATGGAGATCCAGTCCTTGTTCTAGCACATTCCAGAAATTGTCAATAGTATCAGCGCTAGGGAAACGGCCAGACATTCCCACGATAGCAATCTTCGTGGTGTTTTCAGTTGCTTTGGAAAAGGCTTCCAGTGATCCAAACTGCTTGCCGACACGGACGTCTAGACCTTTGACCGTTTTGAGCGCAGAGGCTATACTGCCCGTAGCATTTGATGGACCAACGGAAGTGACCCGGCATTTGTTCTCGTCGGAGTCTCGCCCTTTGGTAGCGATCTCAGCCAATAGCCCATCAAAAGACAGCGGCTCGATCAAGATCTCACGCACGATTCCCCTCATGAGCTGGAGGAAATTTGATTCAGGAGCAGCAACTTTAGGGTTGCCGGAGACTACTTCAACCAGGGGCCGGATCGATTTGATGGTAGCGTCAGAAATAGGTTCAACCATCTCATCGACATCTGCGTCATCGTACAGATGAGGTGCATGAAAGGGTCCAAAGATATCAAGCTTGATCAACTTGCGATTCGTAAAGCTCGGGGAATCTTTGAACAAAGATTTTAAGGTTTCCGGTGGTCCGCTCACGGTAACAGTATCTCTGCTCGCTGAGCTTAGGTATGCATAGCTGGCCTTGGGAAGAGCCTAATCGTTGTGTTAGTCACCGATCATCTCGAAGTCTGAGCATTATTACCTTGGTCTTATTGAACTTTTCGAGCTCAGAAACCGCGAGCTCTTTCTGTACTCCAATGACGAGGGTGGACCAGCTCCGGTTGGCGTCCCCATCTTTGATCGTTGATAACCTCTGTGCGGCCTGGTAGACTTTTGTGCCCACTCGGAACGCCACTCGAACAGTCTCCAATGCAATCGGTACCAGATCCACAAGACTTTGACTTGCTGATACGGCGGTAGCTGCTAACAGGCCAGTGCATAGACCTGCTAGCACGGTATCGGATGGGACGACATATTGAGAGGGATGGTCGTCGAAATAACTATGACGGTCAGTACCCTATCACCGTCGGGTCCCAGTCTACTCGACAGAATACATACCTCATAACACTTGCTAACTGACATATGCAAGTCAGAGTAGATTCGAGAATCGGGTTCCGAGTGCCCGACTCCCGATACCTCCTCACGAGATCTGGAATATCTGTGAAAGGAGGAATCTGATTTCGCACATGACGGGGTTGCTTGTGAATCTCATCGCGAAGAACCTCATGCAGTCTCTGGATGAAATGTAGAAAGACAACACCCTTCCGACGCTCACAGAGCGTGTCTAAAGGCTCGCGAAAATCGCCCGTCTCATCCCCAAAAAGAAGAACCTCAAATGCGCCAGCCATATCTTAGATCCGAAAATGCAAACTTTGGTTGATGCCAAGAAGTTACAGAAGGGAAATAAAATATGCTTTTCTATTCATTTATGCCAGGACTCGAGAGATAGCAAAGTTGAGCAAAATGGAGAGGAAAAAGGGCAAGCCTAGTCAGCTATCTCTAGCATGGGGAGATGGCACGGGTGATTCCCAATCACTAAGACTGCATCATGACCCCGGGGATCCTTCGCATCTTGCTGCGCTTTTGAGATGTGGAATCATGCCGGCAGGTTGAAAGGCTCAAGTCGGTAAACCGTTATTCTGCAAGGGCACACATCAACTTTCGGGGGGCTTGCTTGTGAGACTGATATCCGGCGCCATGGTGACGTAGCTATCCGAATTGTGGCCGGTGAATACGAAGCGGAAAATATTCTGGTTCCGCTCGTGTTGCGGTCTGGCAGAATAGGAATCCTGCTGACAGGTGGTGAGGCTCTAGTCGGTAAAGACCTGGGCTGAAGGCCTGGGCATAGATTGGGAATCTGCGCACAGAGCTGATATCCGACATTAATTCGAAGTTATCCGAAAACTCACCGGTGACGATAGACCGGCAAAGATAGTGGAATCAAGTCCGCCAATAGAGGCCGGGATCGGGAGAATGAGTGAGGAAAGGGGAAGTTGAGAGGAACACGCGTTCGGGCACTAGTCTACATGGGGACCTAAGCGCTTCGGCTCTCTCTCACGTGATATGTCTCTTCACCGCCAGCACGTGATTCCAATTGCTCCGCTCGATCCTTCGTTGCTACCTACCTAAAGGACCCTAAGGCTTATTTTTCTAGCGCATAGGGACTGGGCAAGCCGCTCTTGTCATTCCGCATGGGGTGAATATTATGAATCACACAGATACGCATTAATATCACGTACTTCTACATCATGTACAATGCAGTCAGACCGGCCGTGCCAGCAGTGCTGGATTGCAGTGATTCCGCATCAGACTTCAAGAATGTAGACCAAAGTAGCCGATCGTAATGCTTATTCCCGTACGATAGTACACTTTCACTGCGAAAGCGGCACTCGGATATTCAATCCGTTCCAATCTTTGTAATACGACCATTTGACGCTTTGGGAATCAAACCCACAGCGGCCCAGCTGTGGCAAGACCCTTCCTTGGTCTATTTTTGGGCTTAGCCATGTCCTAATCGGTCCACGTTCCGAAGTGTTGTTGCCTCCTCCTCGCCTAGATTAGAACTATATTGAAAGTCCGCACACACAGGATCGCGCTCGCGCTTCATTACTCAACTTTTGTGAAAACCGTCCTTGCTATCATGACATCGCATTTCGTAAGCTGGGACAAGCCCGCTGCGGGCTCTGCAATCAAATTCTGGAACGATGATGAGTTTCTGAGTTGGGATAAGCCGACGCCAGGGACGAAAGAGCGGCTACTCCCAAAAAAAGGTCCAGTGACCAAGTCCACTAAACCAGCTGAAGTCCCAAACGGGAAGAAAACTGAAATCGTGGGCAAGAGCTCGACAAAGACGTCAGGTACGATTATCCCAGCCTCTGCACATAGTCATGGACCCATATTTCGTCGCATGTTAGCCAACTCTGTCAAATAGATACATCTGTGGGACATGAACTCCTCGGCTCTAGGAACGACAAAACCAATGGATCAGAGATCTCGTGGCTAAACACTCTCGAAACGAAAAACGTATCTTGGTTGGCCGAACATGTCTTCCTCAATCACATATTATTCCCCACTAGCGGCTACGTCTCTATGGTCCTCCAAGCGGTGAACGAATTGACCAACGGAAAATCATCTTCCTACACACTGAGAGATACACAATTCACATCGGCTCTCCTACTCGACTCAAACTCGAACGTTCAGCTCAAGACTAAGCTTCAACGCATCGAGAACGCTGCTGGCAAGGAAATTTGGTACAAATTCCAGATTGCATCGTCTTCCGGTAATGGTAAATGGACAGAGAGATGCATTGGGCAAGTTTCCGCCCAGCAGTCACCCAATCCTGATCCTGCACCTGCTCTAGGCCAAAAAGACCCACTGGCAAGACTTGTCGCGCAGAACTACTGGTACGATGTCATCGCAGACGCCGGACTTCGCTATGGCTCGAGTTTTCAAAGATTGTCCGAGATATCCACCGGTGCATCAGATATGAAGGCAATTGCCTCAGGTTCAGAGGTGGAAAACACGGCGAAATATGTCCTTCACCCGGCGACAATAGAACAGTGTGTGCAAATCTTGATGATCGCCAAAGCTCAAGGACAAGGTCGAAAGCTACGAAAATTGTCAACACCGAGCTACATTAAAGACCTTGTGATACGGGCCGGCGTAACTGGAGCATTGAGACTGGAGGGGAAGTGTACTAACACTGGACCGAATGGTTTTATTGGCGATGCCTCCATGACGTCTAGTGAGGGTCGATCGGTCCTTTCTATTCAAGGCTGCAAAATGTCTACTATCTCCAGTGACTTACAAAAGATGCAAAGCAAGCTTTTTTCGACTACGAAATGGATCGATGCGACGCTGAAGACTGCCCTTCGCCCTGAGAAGCGGATCACCCTTTTACTGCCAAACAGTAGCAACCCCTTCTGCAACACCGTTCAAAAGTACCTCAAAGACAACAAAATCGACTACGACACTTGCAGTCTAGAAGACGGTCTACCGACAGGCCAAGATATTATCTCACTTCTAGACTTTGGCGAACCTCATGTGTACAATTTCACCGAAGCCAGTTTCCAGAACTTCACCACCAAGATGTCCGCTTTCAAGGGCTCTGTGTTGTGGGTGACGCCCTCGGCGCAGACGGTGTGCAAGGATCCCAACACGTCGATGATTGTCGGGCTAGCGAGAACGCTAAGAGTGGAATTGAGGAAGGACTTTACCACCGTTGAGGTGGACAGTGAGGACCCGGACGCTACCAAAAGAATCTTCCAGGTGTACCAAAATCTTAAGAACCGACCTAAGAGCAAAGATGTGGATCCCGACTATGAGTACGCAGTGGTGGATGGAGCAATCAAGACACCCCGACTGCACTGGACCACGACAGAAGAGGAAATTGCATCAAACGCAAGCAGTGGAGCTACAGAAATCCCCGTTAGCTTCCGGTCCGATGCGTGCTACTTCCTTGTCGGAGGGCTGGGTGGCCTTGGCCGGGAAATTTCCCGCTGGATGGTGGAGAATGGCGCTCGCCATCTCCTCTATTTATCTCGCTCCGCAAAAGAGAGTGCGGACACCACACCTTTCTTTGACGAGTTAAGAAGCCAGGGATGTTCGATCTCGACGTTTGCAGGGAGCGTAAACAGTTTGGAGGATGTGGAAGCGGCCGTGAAGCAAGCAACGAAGCCAATTGCAGGTGTCATGCAAATGTCTGCCGTGATGAGGGTAAATATTCACATTCCCCCCAGAAACCCAAATATACTAATCTCCTCAACAGGACAATTTCCTATCACAAATGACATTCAACGACTGGCAAACATGTGTACAGCCCAAAGTAAAAGGAACGTGGAACCTCCACAACGCACTCTCCAAGTCGCCTCTAGACTTCTTCCTGCTCTTTTCCTCAATCTGCGGAATCACTGGTCAATGGGGACAAGCCAACTACAACTCGGCCAATTCCTTCCTCGACGCCTTCGTAAAGTACCGCCACGGTCAAGGCCTCGCCGCGTCCGTCATCGATATCGGCTTCATGGGCGGTGTCGGCATGGCGACAGAGAACGCAGCGCTCGTCACGAACCTCAAGAAGAGCGGGTACTACTTTTTGTCGGAACCGGACCTTATCGATGCCCTCGCGATTTCCATTGCTCATTCCCGACCTGGAGACGCAAAAAGCCATTTTGCGCTCGGTATCACTACTACGAAACTCATCACTGCACCTAGTTGTCGGCCAGCATGGAAAAAGGACGCGAGGATGTCGGAGGCTCATCAATATACCCCGCCGGGCGAGCCCAACTTGGAAGAGGTGAGGAGTCTTGTTGATGGCGCGCTTGGAAATGCTTCGCGTTGAGGCGTTACATGATGCATTTCGCACGCGAGGATCTATATCCATGCTTGATTGGTATGGGTATTGGTACACCCGGACATCTATCTCAACGCGCTAGCACATGTTCATGGTCAAGTTTCGCCCCCATCCTCCGCAACGCCCACGACCCGTTGAAAATGATTGCGACAAAAAAAATCAAAAAGAATAATGAGAACACGAAGACAGAAAAAAAAACTGTTGAAGAGTAGATTGGCCTCCGCCGCTGCACAGTAACATGATGCAATTCCAGCCCGATCACCCAAACGAAACATAGAAAGAAAGAAAGAAAAGAAACGCCATCACCCTTTCCTCGCCGCAATATTATGACTCTCAACCCACGCCAACGTCTTGGGTGAAAGCAAATCCAAATCGAAATGCTCATACCCCGCACGCCCAATCCTTTCCATCCTCTTCAAAAAGTCCTCCACCGACTCCTTCTGTCCCTCCGGCGGAGCGAATAATCCCTTCTCATCATCATCAACATCTACATCATCTTTGTTATCCGTGTCGCGAATCGCCTTCTTTGACGTCTCGATAGCCATTCTCGCCTTCTCGAACAGCTCGACGGACGACCGGTACATTTCGGCGACTTCTGGGCGCTGGCCCTCACTGACGCGCGCGAGGGTTACGAGCATGCGGAGCAGCGATTGGCTGAGTTTGAGGTCGAGGGCTGCGGAGGCGTTGGTGGGTTTGGAGAGGGTGTAGGTTAGGAGGGTTGTGCTGGCTGTCACGTAGATTGGGAAGACGGCCCTGATTATACGTTAGTATCGGTTACGGGAGGGGGAAGAGGGGGCCGAACTTGGGTGGGCGTCGGGGAGAAGGGAAGGAAAGCGGGCTTACCATAAACAGGCGTAGTTTCTTCTCGGAGTTGCGTCGAGTAGGTTGATGGCTTTTCGTGCTTCGTATGTGATTTCTGGATGCTGAGGTATGGAGAGCTCGCAGTTCATGGGGAAATTGGGCAGGGAGTTGTAGATGGTGGAGATGGCGTTGAAGTACGAGAGCTGGAGAATAATGGAGTATACTCCGTCGTTTCCATTTTCTTGGTGGTACTCAAAGATTTCTTCCGGAATCTTCGCTTTCCACATTTGAAGGACTTTCTCCAGCTTTCGCGCTGCCATTACTCGTTCGTTGGAGGGTTTGCGACGAGCTCTGACGGAGCATAGGTGTTTGTATATTTGTCCTTGTATTCTCGCTAATCTGATTCGGAACGCAAACACTTTTGATTCTTCTGATGGACTCTCTGAGGGCATTTCCACGTCCATATCATCATCGTCTTGTGCTGGGGGTTGCCCCGTTGTAAGACTGAGATCTTTATCAATTGTGTAAGCACTCCAGAATATCTGCTTTCGCTGCTCAATCTCAGAAAGTGGAAGTGTAGAGTTTTGGTAGCTTCTATGCAATTTCATTCTTTGAGCGAGCTTGATGGCGGAGGAGATTAGCAAGGAAACCGGTCCCTGGTTAGGCGATCCAAGGAACAGGAGAGCAAGACCAATTAGCGCCTGCACGGACTGAACTGATGGCCCCATGGTTATCAATTGATCACTGACTGACAAAGCATTTTGGAAGTATCCCCAGGCTTCGAGATCTTGCTCCTCTTCGGTAACTGTTGTGCCTGTGAACCGATGGCTGAGAGCTAGTACCACGTTCAAACAAGCCCACCAACAAGTGTTGTTTAGGTTGGACTCTGGATTCTGGTACTTGACAAGGAAAGTTTCCCGATCAAATATCGGAAAAGCGGAGTTGAAGCCCCGCAACGACTTCTCTATCAGAGCAAGCCCTTTGTCCACTGGCGGGAGGGGGCTGAAAGGTATGTTCCGGTTGTGCGGATTGTCATACAAGAACAATGGTGCAGTTTGATACTCAGGACTCTCTGCAAAGATGGCTATGATGCGTTAGTTGGGTATTGGGACAAGCCCTGACTGTTACGCACTCTTCTGGATGGGTTGGCCAAAGTCCATAGGTTGAAGGAAATCCTCGGTAGGCGATGTATATTCAACCATAGGTACATCCAATTCCATTTGCGGGTTGTGATACATCCCAGTCTGAAGGTGATATGGAGTGGCTGTTCCCGAGGATTCAGACGAGCTTTCCCCGGCATGTTCTGCACCAGGCTGTCGGGCCATGGCGCACTTCAATTGCTCCTCCATTCGCTTCAGTCTCTGTTCCAAATCTTGGAGATATTTGTCCCTTGGAAGCAAGTCGTTAACGAGATTCATGGCGCAAGCCCCACCACCCCTCCCAGGTTCCGTCGAATGGCAGGAACTTACTTGGGTGATCGCCTCGGTGTCCGTTTCATGCTTACAGGTGTGAAGTGGCATGGAGTTTTGTATTTAAGACATTGAGCGCATGTGTCTGCAACGATCTCGCAGCGTATCTTTTTCTTCCTGCACATGTCGCAGGCCTGCATCATCTCAGGTTATGGGACATTCAAGAAGAGCTCGAGTTTACGAACTCTGATCACGAGAGCTACTTGTGGCTCCTCCTTCCTACGGCTCCCATTCGTCATCGTCCGAGACATCTTTGGTTCGCGGCACAATGGATGCGGATATTTATTGGGCTCAAGAAGCGATACTTGGAAGAGGCAGTTTGAGGTGGAGTTGTGTGAAGTGGTGTGGTTGCTACGCCGTCTCCTCCGTCTTACCACACACATCCCAGAGGCTCTGCACCGCTTACCCCCGCGCAACTTTGTAATCAAGTTTGATTGGCTGATAATTACTACAGATGCGCTAACCTCCGTACGGATGCAGAGCATATAGCTGATGCCACGTGACTTTTGGAGGCCCCCTACATACGTGCATCCATGGCCACATACGTAGATAGCGTAAGCTTTACTGTACCCACCACATCTAACCAACACAGTCAGGAATGCCAAGCATGCGTCTTACGCCCTATAGTCACAGAATCACGATGGCCGCACCGAGTTGTTGCCGTTCGGACATTGAGCATAGGAGCCAAATCCTTTGCCATCTTTCACGAATGGATAATGATAGTACAAAAGCCTAGACCACGAGATCGCCGTGCCCCAAAAACCAGCTGAAAAAAACACTCAGAACCCTACATACAGTCGTAACAACTAGCCGAAGAAATTGATTAGGAGAGCAGCAGATCTAAGGGACAGGGGGCGGAAATGCTAGGCGTTGAGTTAGGTTTGAGGCTAATGTTGGCATACACAAGTCGGGTTATGATCCGCACCAAACAGGATTACAGCCCCCGTAATCCTTATCGCGCTGCGGCCCGCGCCCGCCTGTTACGTGGCGGCGTAGCCTCTACAGTATGCACGTAGTTCTGCATGGGTCAAAGTCCGGATACATAGTTACCCCACAGAGTTTATGGCTTACCATGAACCAACGGACAATACACGGAGAGAAGAGGTTTAATGTCATTCGATGTGTATACGACCCCCACATTTCTATCCAAAGAAGTGGTATCGTTACATGTGCTGGCTGGCAACGGGCCGATTAGACAGGCTCAGGTCATCAAGTTGATACCCGCTTATCCGTATTCCAGAATTCTACCCTGATTCCTTCCCTCGACGTGAACAGGTTGGGGGCCTTGACTGGAGTCCAAACTACGCTTATTAAAGATGTGTTCGCGAGTCAAGTTCATGCGCCGAAGCCGAACACATGTAGATCAGTGTTGGAGAGTGGAGAGGACGAGTGTTAGGGCAAATCAGCATTACACGTTTGCTCGGGTATATCGTATCGAAGGATTCCCAAAAGACGAAAGTGGGAAACCAAAACAGGACAGCTGGTTGTCAGATTCCCCATTCTCAACCGGCAAAATGATTCCACAGCAATGATTATTCGCAGGAAATGACGTGATGTCAGCTGGCAAACGGGGCCCCTCTCTGCTAATTGAGCGGCTTTTCATCACAGTAGCGGATTTTTTCCGTGTTATGCACATAGTATCGAAGCCTCCTCGTTCTGAAGATACTGCATCGTCGTGACCAGGGCCGATAACGGCTATCTACGGTGATTGCAATGCCCGTCTGACGACGCGGCGTTGAGGATGGCGTTGCGGGTGCATACAAGCATGTTACAAAATATCCCTGTGACTTGGGGTGCACTTCGTATTTCGTGTTCTGAAGCGGCAAGTCATCATCATTGTGGAGAAAAGCTGGTACCTTCCCAACATGAATCGCAACTCCGTCTCGTACGGACAGCAAGGTGGTGTACAACAAATCATGTCGCATGCAAGTTCGGTTGTTGGTTATTGTATTCACCCAATCGATTTTGGGGGCAGAGTATACAATATATGTCTGCTATCGTCCGCTAAGTAACTAATGCGCGCTCCACTCCGCCTCCCCCTGCTCCTGAATCCGAGTCAAACGAGGCCCCCGTTCTAAAAGTGATTCCCCAAGTATTCGGGAATTACTCATGCCCCACATACGCCGCGGTTAGGATGCACCGGCTTTTCCCACATCACCTCGCGAGGTAGCGAGGTAAGTTCGGGCAAAAGCATTGCGAGGCATAGTGGGTTGACGAGCACATTTGATCTACCTTACGGGCAACCGTTTCGCCGTCTTAGTGGTGGAATATAGTGCGTGCCATTCATTGTAGGATCATCTTCCCTTGATCTGCTGCGCAATGCGCGTCAACTCTAGTACATCCGATAGTGGCACTTCGTTTTCAAGGTTGAGGCGACCGAAGATGCCGCAACCCATGCTCAAGTACGCGATGCTCTTCTGTGTCCCACTGCTGCTCGCCACGTCCAGAAATGTCATGCATATGGATACGGCTATCAGGTCGAGGAATTTACTATCTATGTGTCAGTAAAATCGCCTCATACGTAAGTGGGCTCGGCACCTTACCTGTCTAGTACTTCCAGGGACAGAACTTGATTCGACGTCGCCAGCACCACTTGGGCAGAGTTCACACACAGCTCCATACCTTTCCTGCGCGCCTCTTCTGATACTTTGCCTTTTGACTGAACTCCTATCCACGGGAAAAAGATGAGAAAGATGGCTTCGTGATACTGACGGAACATGCAAAGTGCCATATGTCGGATCTCGTGATCTCCCATTATTCCCTGGATGTCTGCTTTGTGAATCTCTTTGAGTGCAGGTGGTAAATGGCTTCTCCAGTCCTCCAGAAGCTTGAACGATAGATCTAGCTTTTGTTCTCTCTCCGCAGCCGACTGCCGTAAGCCTCTTTGACTGTACAACAATGATGCCGCAGAGCCTATGACCAGAGCGTAGAGACATTGGATAGGAAACCAGTCGGTGTCTTTGGTCGCTTGAGGGGGAGCGTAGTCGATCCAGTCGCGATCTAAAGATGAAGAGATTCCCTTTCGTAACGAGTGGGGGACTTCAATAGAGTACAAAAACCACAGGGCTCTCTTTGCCAGATCGCGTTCTTCGCAACTTTTGTAGTTGCTTCGAATCATGTTATCGTTCTCGAGATTCAGTGTTCGGGCGCATTTTATTGCGCCTGCAAGCAGCTCAGAGTGTGCGGCTTCATTCACCTGCTCAGAAATGGTTGTCTATTGCACGTATTAGGAGATGTCTATCCAGCGATCAACATCGAACTTACCATAGCTAGAAGTGTCTGACGGATTAGCCTTGGAAACCACATGCGGGGCAAGAGTTTTCTTACTTGGAGTTTTAGCAGCGTGTCAGGCGAGCGTAAGACGCTGGCGTGCGAGCTCAAGGCCACCCTGGCATGTCGATCGGCTTCTTTCTTCTCGTTGGGGGACACAAAGAAACGCCGGCTGCTCTTCAAGAAGGCGTGGAATCCGAACGCCATTACAGAATCGATCAAAGAAGTCAACACAGGATTTCCCTGAGGTCGCCCTCGGGCCTCTTTCATGTATTTGTGAAAATATGCTCTAGTCAAGAAATTGGGGACGCTGGTAAATGTCAGATCAATCCATTGTTGGTACTCGACGCGCGGTTTTCGCTTACCCCACGGGCTGCTCGAAGCAAGCTTATCGATGTCAGCGTCAGCAAATGCCGCAAGTTTTTTACGCCCTTGGAGATCAACTCACCACTTGTGCAGCTTTCCATGAGCGCTGCATCGTTCCAATACCATGAAGCGCAACTGGGTTGGTCCTCGCCATCTGCGCTCACCGGGATTTGCTGGTTGTGCGCGGGACTAATACTCGAGAATATTTTCTGTATGTCTTCTTGCTCTGTACTGTTCAACCTCTGATTCGAAGTGTGTTGCCACGAAAAAATTGCATTAAGAGAGAAATTCACGCTCGGTACCGGGTCTGTGAGTTCCACCGGTTAGTTTTTCGGCCACTTCTTTGCTGTCGTCGTGAAGCGAATCGCACTCACCAAGGAAACTCTTTGTTGAGAGCTGCGCGTACAAGTCAGCATATTCAATAGCTTCAACTTTGTTTCCTTCCAGGCGAAAAGGACGCACTTTGTCATTAAGGTCTAGCATCTTGATCATATCGCCTGGCGGTTCACTTAGTTGCATTGGTTGAGACAACTGACTCAGATATGGCGGACAATCGTTGTCGAGCGCTGAAACTGGGATCGGATCGTTTGATGGGTCGAGGCCATCGGGGGCGAAAGGTATGTCGAAGTCGAAATTGCAGTCCTCATTCACGTCGAGGACAGGCCACGAAAACTTCTGGAAATCAATGACGTTTTTAAGCAACGTCCCTTCAGGGTCCAGGTCGAAGGTCCAGCTGCAGTCGTTGGAATATCCGTCCACAAGGCTCTGCACACTGTGGTCGTCTGAACTAGACGTGTGTGTATGGGGGCCAAGTTGAACGGTGTCATTCGAACTAACAGAACTCGCATGGGAAGGAAGCATAGATTCAGGCGATGGTTGCCCGAGATTTGAAGTTTCAGTGGTGGAACTCGTGGAGCTACTACTCGACCCATCAGCTTCTTTGTCGGATGCTGGTGATCTCTTTGGTAGTCCTGACCCTACAGACTTTTTCGAAGCCTGCCGTTTCTTTGCAAGAGTGTATTCGCATTCTTGATTATTCCTCTTCAAATGGAAGTTAGTCGCAGAATAACGGCCGAGTGGGGAGGTTACGTACGCGACAATTCATACAGGGAGTGCCTCCGTCGCCTGGATGCATTCAGTGGTTATTCTTTGCTCAGTTGCTGCAAGAAAGAGATACTCACATCGCACCTTCTTCAACTTGCACATCCCACACGCCCCTCTTCTTCGCGGCGTCCATCTTCTCAGTGTTACTGGGGCAGAGTTGGCTGAAAGGGCCTTGTTTTCGGTGGTCTTGCGACTTGTCGGTATCGGCGCAGACGGGGGAACAGTCTCGAGCTCCATCGCCTCCAATGCTTCTTCTATACAGATCTTTTTTTGGGCACGGCTCAAGATTTAGTATAACTACTTCACTTGGTGATTTTCTGAGCATGCTCCTCCCTGAGGTGTCCAGATATTGTAGGTAGAAATCCAAAAGCTGATGGCGGTCCAGCTGGAGGTCGGGACTCACAAAACGTTGTGTTCTGTAGCACAGAGCCTACCACTTACGCAACATATGGACAATATAAGCTTATTGCAGGTGAAATCTTACTGGGGTACGTATAAGGAACACTCCGATGTTGGTAGGGGGCGCCCTGGTAAATGCTTGGTTTATCAGCGCTAGCAGGGAGTGTGAAGGCTCCCGCTCCGCTCCGGAAGGCTTTCTTAGCTGCGTCAAAACGCTGCTGTAAGATTGCGAGCTTGTCATTGCTTGCCACACCCGCTTGCCACCAGCTGCCTAATCGCAAGGAGCTGTTTGCTGCGCTGACTCCATCAAGGGTCATCTGCATTTAATATATCGGTTTTGATACTTATCACCACTGGCCAGAGGTAGTCGCTGGAAGTGTGCTGAGGAAATAGTTCTGGCGGTATGCTCAGCTCGAGCTTTCAAACTCTTTCGACTTCGTTTCCAAACCTTGACGCTTGTATTTGCTCGTTCCTCGAGGCCTATGTATGCAACCTTGATCGTATTTCGCATTTATATATAACCTTACACAGCCATACTAGTGCAGATTCCGTTGTGCGACGCTATCTGGTCGGTTTCTTGATCAGCAGCACCAAACTCGTTTATCGGAAAGGCACCTCACCAGGTGGATGACTATCGATACCAAGACGACGAAAGAGTGGAGGAGTGTGGAAGGAGGATGCACGCGTATAAAACTATACGCTTCTAGGTTATGCAATCCACTCCCCAGCTGCTTCCCCATGGTGGCTGACTGCGAACTGTGGTATCTTCGCCATCCTTGCAAGTTCACACTCTCTATCTGCACATCGATTGCTTTGGGGCATTGGGCTTTAGGACCCAGCGTGTACAAGGGGCAACGCATCGGGCCATATTCATGTAGCTGCATCTGTTGTAGAGCAGCATGCATAACCGACGATAGATAGCAGCACAACCCATGATTTTATGCGAAGCCGCGGTCCAACTTGTCTTCTGAAACTCCCACGGCTTTTTGACGTGCAGACCGACGTTCAGCATCCCTGCATGTGTTGGTATCGAGCGAGCGCCGGATGGGGAGGGCTGGTGTACGCCGTCAGCAAGCCACCAAGCAGCAATGACATAGTAGGAGCTGTAGGATGCTGGTTCCCTGCTTGAGGCTCTGTAACGTTTTTTTAGAACCTGGCAGATACTATAGGTGGTTTAGAAGAACGATGGCGGCCGAGTGTGTTTTCTGTGTAAAGAGTGCTGGGACCATGTCCGTAAATCTAGAAACGACGATCATTTACACTATTAGGGTTATCAGGCGTCCTAGCCTGTTCCTGCCTATTCTGGGATACACTTCGAAAGGAGCTGCTGCACGTTCTGCGCCCAATCTACCATGTATGCCACTGGACACTCATAGTCTACGTCCACGCGTGGGGGTCAGTCCGTACAATGATGGATCAGCATATGTTGTGCATGTCGTTGCCGCTCCGCAACTGATGAGTGTGTGGGACAATGCATATCGATTTCCATGTAGGTATTCCCCTTCAGGAGGAGATGCGTGTTAGACTATTCTATACTGACTGTTCCACATGTGCAGCCACCCCAACAGCCGATAGTCGACCGGTGAGCTGCTATGGCTCAGCGCAATGAAACGCGCTCGCCGATTTGGCTTTTAAGCGCTCATGGGCTCAAGAATAAATCGGCGAGGGCATGCATTAGTTGTGGAAATCTTTAGAGAATCAATCGATTCTGATGCACGCGAATGCAACCCTCGATCAGAGCCAGTCTGATACATCTGATACGGCTTTTACACTCGACCGCTGTGATCAACTTCACACTCGCTAAAGCCAGACCATCCCTAGTCAGCGAGGCTTTGATTCAGATGTGGGCTGCACGACTAGTAGGCGCCAGGGCGAACGGCAAGCATGCCACCGTCTGTAATCAAGATGCAGCCATTCACAAAGGAACCTGCTCTGGATGCCAAGTAAAGTATGGCACCGGCAATATCCTTGCATACAAGTTAGCCTCTGATCAATGCAAACTGACGTGTGGGCGTACCTCTTCTGTGCCTACTCGGGTAGCGGGAATCCCCTCCCATGGCATAGAACCAGGGATGCTGATATCGCCTCCAGGGGTGTGCGCCTGCTCTCGTCTAAGTTTTGCACTCATTTATCATCGGAAAGAGAGATGCAACGCTCCGTCACGTACCTCGGTCATCTCCGTAACGAACATGCCAGGAGCAATTGCGTTGGCCCGGATGTTGTGTTTAGCAAATTCAGACGACAAGGTCTTAGTTAGATGGTTTAGAGCAGCTTTGCTGGCATTGTAGACATAGCTGGGAGGCTCGAGACGATTCAGGCCGCCAAAGCTGGTAGTGGAGATAAACTGGCTCTGGAGATAACCGCTCTTTCCAATACTGTCGGCGTGCGTGTTGCCGGCACCCAACAAGCCTAGAAAGGCGAGGAAAGTAAAGTAGGAACCAGCAATATTGGTGCTAACAACCTTGCCCGCGTCGTCAAAAGATTGCTTGTTCCACAGCTCAGTTTGAAGTTCGTTGACGGTCTGCTCCGCTGGACGGGGCGCCATGTTGGTGACCTCGCCAAGGAAGCCGCCATTGGCGACGAGCACGTTGATGAATGGCGTTTGCTTCTCGATTGCCGAGACGGCGGCCTCCAAAGATTCCTTGGAACTTATATCGCATGCCACAGGGATGAGAGTGCCGTTTTTCTGGAATGCTGCTCAGTTTGAGGTGAGAGGATGGGGAGAGAGAACAGCCGTACGGCTTTGGAGGCGGCTTCCTTGAGCTTGGCCTCGCGACGACCAAGGATGAAGACCTTGCTGGCACCATTGACGTCCAAAGCATGAGCCATGATCTCGCCCAAGCCGGAGCCGGCACCCGTGACCACAGCCACCAGACCCTTGACGGAGAAGAGCTGGGCGGCGTCGAGTGTGGACATGATTGCAGTCGGAGGGGTTTGTTTTGGTTGCAGGTGGTGAGATTGGTCAACGGCTGATATCAGAAGGTGGGTGCCTTGTTGGAGAAGCGAGGCTCGATATGTAGTTGAAGTGCGGAATGAGGGCAAAGTCCACGGGCAGGAGATGTCGTCAACCGACAGCGGAACGATCAGGTAATACGGGGGTACAGAGTCTACAGATTCGACAGTAGCTGTGGCGGTGGGGCAAGGCGGGAGTTTGCGTACATGGTGTGGATAGGCATGTAGTGGTGAGTACCCTGGATGGGGATTTGCATGGGTGCATGGGGGCCTGGGGGCGAGGGGTGTGGGGTGCGGAGTGAGCCAAAATCCGCACTCAGGGACGTCGCACACGATGCACATGATCGGCGTCACGCTTTCGCTTAGAAATGCCTCCATTCCGCTCTCCGCTCCCTGCCTGTTGCAAGGGTACGCGGCCCTCACCTCTCGTCCACCCTGGCTGGAGACAGCTAATGAGCTGCCTGCAATGGGACAAGAGCTGCTTGCATCTCTGCTGCCTTTATACACACGACTGCAGCTGTCCGTCGTCTATTGATCGTCATTACGTTTGTTCATCGACGAGCGCGCCCATCGTCAAGGAATCCTCAAGCGAACACTCGAATACGGCTCAATCGACATCTTCGCAACGTCCATTACGAAATACGGCCATATCACCAAAGAAACCCTTGGTCCACTTGTCGGCTGATCCAATGCTGAGTTGAGCACACCAACAGCCATCCCCTCGACCCCCCGAGCCCACTCCTGCTCCTTGGATGCACCACTCCTACATACTGCTAGGCAAGCCGCCCTGAAGTCGACGCGAATTCTCCGGCAACATGCACCAATCACGCCACCGTGCCCAAGCCTCTGTGACATCACTGCCCTTCAGCTATCTCCTTCCTTCGCTGGAATCCCTCTGATACCACCTCAAACTTGAGCACCGAGGCATACTCTGGACCCAAACTATATTCGCTCTATGACCAAGAATATGTGTCCGGCACGTGGCAAGCTCACAGACATCCAGGACTGCCGTCACCTTGCCCACCAAACTGATAAGCCTCACACTATGGAACGAAAAATTAAGCATCTCCGCTTACAGCCACCCGGGTGTTTCTTCCTTCCCGCCCGGCTTCTGCTTTACGAGCAAAACGGCACACAGTCAGATTGTCTCGAATACAATAGCACTATTCCTTTCTAGGCTTGCACCCAAAAAAGCCTGCCCAACACGGAAAGTCGAAAGTATAAAACTGCCATTGGTGTTCAAACATCTTGTCCACACCATCCCCTGGGGCATTCGTTGATTTGCCGTCGTCATGGAGTTCACCAAGCGCCAATTGAGACTCTCACTCTTTACTGCCACGTTCTTTAGACTTTGCCACTCTACAGCTACTCTGGAGCAATGGCAAACCTTGAATGCAACATTGGGGGGTAGACTCCACGCTGGTGTGCCCATTGCCGAATCATGTTTCAGTCAGGTCAGCACCAACAACGGGACTGTTGAGTCCCAGGTTCCCAACACGGAAGCCTGCGCTCAATCTCAGGAAGGCTATCATTCGAGTACCTACATCACTGGCCAGTTTGGTGGCTACACCAACGTCCGTTCTCAAGATCCAGCATATACGAAAGTATCTATATTGACCTCTGGCTAGGCAAACTGGGCGACTTGCCAGAAGACTGCCCAAGGGTGCTCTTTGGACTGGCTAGATCCATTCAACTCCACCGTCTTTGCAACCGGACAAGTTTGCCACCAGGGCAGCGTCCCACCCTTCTACATCGATGTGAGGAACGTTTCGGATATTCAGGCAGGCCTCAAGTTCGCCAAGATAACAGGGACACCCTTAACTATCAAGAACACAGGGCATGACTACCAGGGAAGAAGCTCGGCGCCGGGGTCTCTTGCCTTGTGGACACACAATATTAGGCCAGAAATCAAGCTTGCTAACGAGTTCATCCCCGAGGGATGCTCGGCGCCGGTACAAGGGAAAGCAGTGACGTTTGGTGCTGGCCAACAATTTGGTGGTTTGTATGATTTTGGCAACCAGAACAACGTGACAATTATTGGGGGAATCTCCTCTACCGTCGGCACGGCGGGTGGATGGATTGCCGGAGGTGGCCATAGCCAGATCTCTAACGCGTTCGGACTAGGTGTCGACAATGTTCTGCAGATCAAGACTGTCCTTCCTAACGGAACACTCATTACTGCCAACGAGTGCCAGAACCAGGACATGTGGTTCGCACTGAGAGGTGGTGGAGGAGGCACATTCGGGGTCAACTACGAGATGACATCCAAAGCTTGGCCTGTGACCAGTCTTCGCGTCGCCTTCGTGACATTCGACTCGTCACACCCCACAACCACGTCCACGTTCCTCTCCATCATGATTGAAAACGCAAGTCGATGGGCGAAAGAGGGCTGGTCTGGTCACTTCTACGGCGGCGCAAATTACTCGCAAGCCTCGGGCTACATTCTCGCGACCCCTCTCCTCAGCAAAGATGAAGCCAGCGCATCCATGCAACCCGTTTTCGACAAGCTATCCGCATCGCTCGGCAATGTAACCCTCACCGCCGAGATGAGGAACTACGACACTTTTTACGATTTCTACGAGGAAATCCTTCTGCCTGCCGGTCAGCAAATCGGCGTTGCAACGGCCTTTGGTGGCCGACTCGTCCCATCGTCTTCCTTCGAAGGCGCCGAGAACCAAGCCAAGCTTCGCGATGCACTCTTGTCCGTCAAAGCCATCCTCACCTACCCGACTCGCAACACCACCGACCCAAATGTAGTCAAATACGGCGCCCCCTTCGTTGTGCAAGCCGTCAGCCCTAACAATTACCCCACCACAGCCGCCAACGACACTTCCTCCATCCCGCCCGTCTGGCGCGACAGCATCTGGAACGTCGTTGCCAATCTTCCTTTCTCAAACCAAGCCAGCGCCGACGAAATCCAGCGCGCCTTCCAAGGAGGCCACGAGGCGGCTGAAGTCCTGCGCGAAGCTATGCCAGATAGCGCCGCCTACTCGAACGAGGCGGATCTGTACGAGACGAACTATACGACCTCTTTTTGGGGTGAGAAGAATTACGAGAGGTTGCTTTCTATCAAGAAGGAGATTGACCCTGATAATCTGCTGACGTGCTGGCATTGTGTCGGGTGGAATCCCGATGATGCCAAGTACGGATGCTACCCTACGCTGAGTGCTTGATTCAATCGCCACTTCCGCAGGCATCCTACGTACCAATAACAATCCAAAACCATCCATCCATATACACCTCTTCTCTACCTCAAAACCATAAAAAGATGACATCCAAGGACACAAACTCCACGCGGAACTTACGTGATCGAACTCCGCCCAATGAATCGTTCTCTCGAGGTCGTCTCGATCCACCCCCACACCCCTCGGTACATAAACTCTGATAAATATATCCCTTCGCTTTCGCAACCCCGTCAAAGCAACACAGCATATAAACTTCCCTAACACGAGCATCTAGACCCTTGCAATAAACTCGAACTTCAGATGCGAAAAAAGACGTGTTTTTGAGAATTTTATTTTTTTCAGCTTCTGTTCGGATTGCGCCTGTGTAGCTTTCACAAAGCTATTATATCATCGTACATCGTGTTAGTGCAACGGACTTCGTATTTCCCCTCGGGGATTTTGCTTTTTTGGGGGGTCTGGTTTCGTTGAGTTTAGGTGCAGCTTTGCCCCATGTCACGGCATGCGAGTAAAGTAAAATAAAGTGCATCAAGAGTAGAGAAGCTGAGTATACGAACGAGCATCAACTCCCCGGTCCTATGTAGTTACGCGAACCCTCCTCTACCTTTGAGAATAATAAAGTTGGATGAGAGCTGAACAAGACCCAAGAACTTTCGGTGAAGAAGGCAGCTGAGTTCAGACATACATACATACACCTACATGAAGCACAAAGAGAGCAGCTGAAAATATAATGCTTAGCTAGCAGCTAGCTCGCTGGGTTGGTAGAAGGGACGTGCAAGTGCAACAACGAGAATTTAAATGGATACGAAAGGCGCAACCGAGGTTACATGTTTTGGAAATCGGTGAGGTGAGTAAGCTGAGATGATTTGCGCTGGGACAAGGGTGCTTGTGGGTAGCACGTGAATTGGCGAGGCGCTAGCGGATTTTACGTGGAGTTTAGGTCACGATGGACGCGTCACTGAGCGGCGCTGAGAGCTCCTATCTTCGGAACTGAATTGGGAATCCAGTAGATGGGTTAAGTGCTGTGGGTGAAGAGGGCTGCGATTTGTTTTTTACGGATGGACTTTGAAATACTTGTTTAATTATGTTTATTGGAGGTTTGCAGTGATGCAAGACGCGACCTCAGGATTCGATTTCTTGGGGTTGTAGGATAGATGTTGGGAACACATTATGATATTATTGTATATACTAATATGCTATTGCCTAATATCTCATCCCTTCCCACGACAGCCTTCCACGGTGCAATTTCGCAAACCCCATGCTCATCCATGTCCTACAAATGTATGAATGTCTCGCTAACCTAAGATGCACAGTCTCAAGTCCAGACATTAGGCAACTTATCCAAAAGCGTCCTCTGGAATTCCGAGTCAGAAACATAACTCTCGTTACCGCCCGCAAGCTCCAGCCAATTCAGCACACACGTCTGCACAAACTCGTTCTGCACGAGGGCAAAGAACTCAGTCTTGCCCGCATCAATCTGCTCCTGGGTCGGGCCGAGCCTGCGAATGGCCTTCTTGTTGGCGGTGATGGCCGTGTACGGGAACAGCGCGATGCGGGAGGCGAGCGCGTCAACTTCTTTGCTGAGTTCCTCGGACGACTCGTAGTACTTGTTGACCCAGCCGATTTCGGCGGCGCGCGGCCCTTCAATTGGGAGCGCCGAGATCATGTACTCGTTTGCGTAGGCGGGGCCAATGACTGAGGTGAGCTGCTCGATACCGCCGACGTGGAGGACACCGCAGACAGCTTCGGGAGCACCGAAGATGGCGCCGGGGCCGGCGTAGCGGAGGTCCATGTTGAAGATGAGTTCGTTGCCTGCGGCGTATGCAACACCGTCGATCTATCGGATCATGTTAGAAATCTGTGGGTTTTGAAAACGAAGAGTAGGTTCTTTTGGGCATGCATACCTCGGCAATAAACAATTGAGGGAGAGTGCTGAGAAGGCTTTGGAGGTGCCAGAATCGGAACAGAACAGCGGTTCCGTTGACATTGTTGTTGATTGGGCCGGGGGGCAAGAAAAGTCTGATGTCGAAGGTGTCGATGAAGTAGGTTTCGAGGGCGGATGCTACAATGACTACCTTGACGGGAGGGTCGCCATTGCTGTCAACGGTGCTGTTCAGAGATTCGAGCAACTCGATGAAATCCTCGATGAAACCCTGGTCCGCCAGATTGATGGGACCATTGTCGATGCTCGTGCGGAGCACACTGTTGTTGGGCCCGAAGGTCTTTATTCCTATCGTGCCAAATGATGTGCCATTGCTAGCTTGAGCTTGAACGCAGTGGAAAAAAGCAGCGATTGCCGCAAAGATCCAAAGTCCGAACATTGTAGATGGAGAATGAAACGCAACGATCAATTGGTAGGGAATTATTACGCAGTCTCACTGCTAGACGGCTCAATTGATGGTTGAGTGCGTGGAGCAAAAAATCCAGGCCACCCTTTTTTCCTTTATAAGATGTGCTAGCTGCGGGGAACGGAGCGGAGACATGAAGCTCCCCCAGGATCCACAGGAGAATAACAAATGCATAAAGTGTGACGTAACACAGGATTGCCCAGAGGTACCTTCTGCTCGCATGGCCAATATTTTTTCCCTTTGGAGACGATCCGAAGTCGACGAAGCGAGAAGGTCAACAAATGAGTTCCCTGCCTTGAAGAAGCGCGACCAGGGTGAAGCTGACCAAAAGAGCATTTCAGCGATCAGGGGGAAACAAACAAAGCCGTTTGTTTGCTAGAAGCCGCATGGGAAGGATCACACAATGGTACGTCGGCGGCGTCGATTGTTTCTCGTGCATGGCGATGGCATGTCGTATAACTCGTGTACTCACGAATCGGGTTAGTGCCATGTGTTTATTAGTCACCTTGCCCGTTCTGCACCATGCGGATCCTCCCGCTGCCGTTAAGCTACGCGACAAATCAAGGTCCGCTCCGCTCCGGATTGCTCAGCAGCCCCCTGAACCTCACTCACCCGCCCTCACTCGACTTCAATCGCATTCGATCGCATTCCACGCTACCTGATCAGTTCACAGCATCTATCTGCCCCGCTTTTCCATTCCACCAGCAGCTCAGCTTTGGTACGCAGGAATACCCGGAAATTGAGTGGCCTCTACATGTGCAGGCACCAACACTCCCCCCACCTGTCGTTCCTTCAGAGACACCGGCTCAGATAACCAAGAGAAACATCATGGTCAAATGGCGCCAGATGGTTGATAAGTGATACTTTTGTTGAGACAAGGCGACGTCTGTCAGCACCTGGGAGGGCACTTGAGCTTATCTCTTGGTCACATGACCTCCATGTACTCCGGTCCAGTCCACAGACGTCTAGATGCAGGCTGACCGCCCAACGTTCGACATGCACGAGCTTGAGCACGTGATCTGCTATCAGTACATCCTTCGAGAGCCGATGGCCAATCACAATAGCTCTGCTTACCGGATTTATGCTCCGGATAGCCTACGCCGCTTCGGTAACCGGCAGAATGTCCAACATCCAACATCCAACATGCAGCAACCGGACCTGTTTGAGGGCCACACCCTACGGCTCCTGGCAATTCACTCTCTTCCGGATAGGCAGGCGGCAGGCTCCAGTGCGATACCGGCGCGTGAGACTCGAAGCGAAGTTCCTGCCCCAGTTTTTGCCTCTGTTGGCAATGAGGTGGTACGAGTAAGACCGACTAACCGATTTATGCAACTCCCCCTCCAGCATTATTCTGCGTCCAAACCAACAGGGCGATATCCGGAGCAGCAATAGGCGTCCAGGTGTGTGTGGCAACGGCCTCAGAGAAAAATGTATGATGATTACACCAGTGGAAGCGGAAATGCAGATGTATGGGTGGTGGCTACATCAATAGCTGTAATAATACAAACTCGACCATCGTCTCCAAGATCTCACTCAGATTTCCACAGACTCTGACGGTGGTTTGATTCCTGATCAGAGAAAAGAGCAACCAAAATCCGTTTTGTTATTTCCCTTTTCGACATCAATTTACCCTGGTGATAATAGAAGTGAGAAAAAAACATGGCCGAGATTCCTAAGAAGTGCACTGTGCTCGTTATCGGCGGCGGCCCGGCCGGTTCCTATGCCGCAGCGGCCCTGGCACGTGAGGGCATTGACATTGTCCTCCTCGAAGCTGAGAAGTTCCCGCGGTGAGTGCAGTCACGTGAAGCACAAATGACGGTCAGTGATGATCACATACTGACTCTGCATGGGCAGCTACCATGTAGGCGAGAGTATGCTTCCGTCGATTCGGCCCTTGTTGCGATTCATCGACTGCGACAAGAAGTTTGACGATCATGGCTTCTACATAAAGGTACTCCAATTCCAATTCAACTTTACAATAAAACAGCAAGACATGAGATGCTGACGTGTGGAATGAACAGAAAGGAGCAACATTCAAACTCAACTCCAAAGCACCTGGCTGTAAGTTACCAATTTTACCCAATCACATGCTCCTCGCGAAACATTCGAAAAAAAAAAGAGGAGAAGACAAGACACTAACAGATTCCAAAGCAACCGACTTCATCGCCGCAGGTGGGCCAGAGAACTACGCCTACAACGTTATCCGCTCCGAGGCCGATGACATCCTCTTCCGCCACGCCGGCTCTCAAGGCGCCAAAATCTTCGATGGCGTAAAAGTCACCGGCATCGAATTCGCACCCTCGGGCCTGACCGCTGCCAATGACACCGAAAAGGGCCTTCCTGACCCAGGCCGCCCAACCTCCGTCACTTGGACCACCAAAGCTGGAGCCAGCGGTACCGTCTCCTTCGACTACCTCGTCGACGCTTCCGGCCGCAATGGCCTCGTCAGCACCAAATACCTCAAGAACCGCCAGATGAACCCCGGCGACCAGCTCCAAAGCATCGCGAACTGGGGATACTGGACCAATGGAGGCCAATACGGAACAGGCACCAAGCAGCAGGGTTTCCCATACTTTGAAGCGCTGTCTGACCAAACGGGTTGGATCTGGTACATCCCCTTGCACAACGGGCAGGTCTCGGTTGGCGTCGTCAAGCACTCCAAGGCTCTGTCCAACATGAAGAAGGAAACGGGCATGGATAGCAAAGGCGTTTACAACCACCACGTCAAGTCCAACCCGGAGATCAGCAGGCTGTTGAAGGATGGCGAGCTGGTCAGCGATATCAAGACGGCGTCGGACTGGTCGTACAGCGCGGGTGCGTACGCGAGTCCGTATGTGCGCATGGCGGGCGATGCGGCCTGCTTCATCGACCCGTTCTTCTCGTCGGGCGTGCACTTGGCGTTGAATGCTGGCCTGTCGGCTGCCGCGACGATATGCTCGTCGTTGAGGGGAGAGACGTCCGAGTTGACGGCTGCCAAGTGGCATTCTAGGAGGGTCGATGCGTCGTACTCGCGCTTCCTGATTGTCGTCACCAGCGCGCTGAAGCAGATTCTCCAGGGCGACGAGCCCGTGATTTCGGATTTCGACGAGGGCGATTTCGATCGCGCGTTCCAGCATTTCAAGCCCGGTATGTTGTTGGCAAAATAACGATTTCCCATTCATTCATTCATTCATTCCTTTCAAGTTCCCCCGTGCTAACAAAACCCGTACAGTCATCCAAGGCGCCGTAGACGTAAACACAAAATTCGGCCAATCCGAAGTCCTCCAAACGCTAAACTTCTGCATGGGCGCCCTGGCCCACAGCAACAACTCCAAAGCAAAAGAAGACATCATGGAGAACATGCGCGCGCTCGCGGCCGGCGAAAAGGGCGAAGTCACGTCCGCCGAATACAAGCTCGCCATCGAAAAGGCCGAATCCATCCTGTCAAAGGACCAGCTCAAGTACCTCAACGACATCCGGAACCACCAGAACGATCTCGTGCGGTTCGATGTGTTGAATTTGGACGGCGCGTCTGGGTTCGATGTTTTGGATGGGTACTCGACGAACCTTGTCACGGGGCAACTTGGGTTGAAGAAGTCCAAGTAAAGGATTGAATTGAATTGGATGGGGTGGGGTTTGAGAGTGGGTTGCGTTGGTTGTTGTATAGATAGATCTAGAGAGCATGTTGATTATTAGATCAACTTAACGACCTATATAAATTTGAGCATCGCGTCATCAATCGCTTGAAATTATCCCTCTGACTTCCGACTTCTTCGCTCTTGCCTTGGTGCCCACACTCAAGTACCTTGAGAACTTCAACAATAATTTGAAGAACGAGCTAAGAAACACCATCTACAACGCCTTTATAGAGCACAAAGACGAGCACCATGTAAGGTTAGCCTTAACAAGGCTGCTTGTTTTTTATTGCTCTACAAAGGCGTTGCAGGGCTAAGCTTAGATCCTGCTTTATTTTCATACTCAATAAAGGCGTTGTAGATGATATTTCTTAGCTCGTCCTTCAACTCATTGTTGACATTTGTAACCTCAGCGATAAGGTAATCAGCGTTGATTTTTGCACGGCTCTGTGTCATTGGCGCGGCGTTGGTGTGAGGGGTTGATAGAAGTAAGTAGGAAGCCTTGTGAGAACTCTGCTCTCTTATAGCAGAGGGCGACGAGCGTACCATGGTTCCCAACCTCAACACTACAAATCCGTACATCTCTACTGGATTGTTAGGACGTTGTATACGTCACTAACGTCAAATGCGCAAGTCAATTTACGAACTTCATTTTATTCGATCTTCGCCAAAGTAGAGAAGACCGTATTTTGGCACATACATTTCTTCTGAAAATATCCGCCGACATAGAGTCGGGCTATGTATGCATGTATTCTTACAGAATGGATATATATCCATTTCACTTCACTTCATCAAAAGAAAGCACACCACCCGATATACATGCCGGCCAACCTCCATGGATCCCTGGCCTGCGCAATCAACCACTCTACATATCCTTCGACGCTCAACTTCAGGCTCTCGCCTCTAACCTCACCCTCAACCTTACCCCTCACCATTTCCAACACCTCGCGCGGGGTCTCAGGTACACCAGGGATCCTCTTCTTCTTACGCTGGCCGACAAAGTCGGTGGTAGGATCATGCACGAACGTCTCTAGAATGGTGATGAGGGTATCGAGATGCTGGCGGAGGATCGAATACGTGATTTCAGAAGTAGCGCGGAACGGGCCCTCGACGCCAGACGGACCCATGGCATCGACCATGTTGTGCGTGAGGCGAAAGGGGACGAGTTCGGGTTTTTCAAACGTGAGGCCCTTGTCGAACAGGCAGTTGAAGTCGACGTGGAACGTGCCGCCGTTGCCTTCTTCCAGGAGCACGTTTTCGCCGTGGCGATCGCCCAGCCCCAAGACGTGGCCGACAATGCTCATGACGGCGCACGAACGCATGTATCGCAGGCGCGCGGCGAACCAGGCCTCGGGTTCAGGGAATGTTTCGAGGAACCATTCAGACATGACGGAAGGAAACTTGCGAAGGATTTTATGGGTGAAGATTGGGGTTTTGGACGGAGAGGAAGAGGCTTCGTTGAGGAGGACGCGGATCTCGTTGTAGTCAATGTTGATGTTTTTCTGACGGTAGAGACGGATGATAATATCGCGCATGGGTTTGAGGCCTTCAACCCATTCAATGGCACCGCACTCCTCATTGAGTGGCGTCACAGCATAAGTCTTGATATAGAGGCGGCGCTTGGTGGACTCGGTATCGCGCTGGAAAGCACGATTGATCATCGCGTTGAACTCCATGAGGCGTTGGTCCTTACGGAGGTCGTCTTTGGGTTTGCACATGAGCCCGTAGGAGCGGCCATCGGAGCCTCTAACGACTAGTTTACGAGGCCGTTGCAGGGAGGACAGCACAAAGACATCGTCCTGGAATTCTGATATAGTGATGGTTTCTTGCGGGAAGGGGTTGTGTGCTCGGATTGTCCTGCTGTCATTTCCTGATGGCAACGTCGGTGTCATGGCAGCCTCAATAGGCACTACGAGTGCACACGGCGCAAGAGACATCCTAAATCCAAGGTCCCGCGACAAGCTGACATGCGAAGCACGCGGCTCTACCTGTGTATCACAAGCAAACAGCAGGGCATCGGTGAGCTTCTGCCCGTGTAATATCAGTGATCTCAGGTCGATATGGCTGCCCTTTCTCTTTCCACTGTCTCGCAGCTTTTGCAGTATGATTGTACCACGCTGGCGACGGCCATCTTGGGTAGAATGAAGCAGGGCGAAGAGGCTCCAGAGGCCTTGTTGAGGGTATTGAGCCATGACTTTCAAAATGATGTTTTGTAAAACATCGTATACATTCTTATCGGGATGACTGATGCGTGATATGATCTGTGGAAGAGCGGTGTACCAAGGATATGCTGGCATCCGCTCGTTTGCATACCTCTTGATATACTTGTTGATAACGTCAAGATGATTGACCTTGTGCTGGAACAGCTCTTTGTCTCGCGGTAACTTGGGCTGCGTGTTGATGACTTCAGTACCCATGTCGAGCCACAGCGTGATCATTTTAGGTATCGTTTGATGGTAGTATTTTGCACCATAAACCGTGGAGCGAGCAAAGTTCTCCACCACCAACTTTGTCAGCTCTCCGGCAACAAAGACTTGCGTCTGTTTGGGGGGCGGCATAGCCTTTTCAGTTTCATAGATCTTCAGATAGTACCTCCCAAGGTAGTAGTGACCCTTGTCCCACTTCGGAAACATCATTATGCCTTTGCCGTATTCTTCTTTGAGAACATTGTGATTTGTTTGGCCTGCTTGATCGAGCCACTTTGCGAGGAGCAGTTGGGCGTGCGCCTTCACGCGGTTCGGTGTTTGAGCCCCATCAGCTACGGCAGTTGTGACCGAAACGGTAGGATCCATAGCTTTGAGGTCCCTTGTCTGGAATGAGTTGCTGATGATTGCGCCCCGGATATGTTGAATTGCTTTGCGATGATGTCCTTCTTTCCACAGCATTTTAGAGTACTCAATCTTGGATGCATCGTCACCAAGTTGCGACGCGTGCAGAATCGCGTTGAAAGCTGCAGGTGTAAAATCACCTTTTCGAAGCAAGCTCGCCGTCGTTAGCCATGCCGATGCGATGTCAAGTTTGGTGAATCCGATATCAGATAGCGTCATGGCAGCACGGCGCACCCCGAGGAGGTACTGTTTGTCGGAGGTATAAGCCCCAATAATGTCTAGCCTCCTGTCAAGATTGTCCAGTATAGCTTCGCGCACTGGTTTTGCGTATGATGACATGCCGCTAATAGCATCCAATTCATAAAGGGTATGAAGCTTGACAAGCTGGTCGTGTGAAGCATGCAGCGAGTCAGTAGCCGTAGGCGTCAGACTTTTGGTCAATGCCCCGCGCAAGTCATCGATGTTTTGCTTGAATTGGTCTTCGTTACGATGTTTGAGTGAAAGTAAGGCCTTGCCAATGCCAACGTTGAAATCCGAGGATGCATTGGCTGAGCGGTGAGAAGGGAAATTTAGTATTTTCTCCAGCTGGTCCCATCTACCTGAAGACCAAGCTGCCTCTGCAGCGAATGGTAAGGTATTGGGTGAGATGGAATCTGAAGCATGAAATCCATCTACATAATTCAGAATAGCATCTGTGCACATATTAGCGGCACTACCGGGAAATGATACTGCGATGCTTACCATATTGACCCGATTCCTTCAAACAGGTCAGGAGATTGACTTGCGTTTCGGGGTCTTTAGGCTTCTCTGCCAGAGCAAGCTCATACCAGCTTTGAGCAGCAGTCCATCGTCCAGCTTTCCGATCCTCCATAATCTGCTGTTCGGAATTCAGGATCTGCAAATGAGCAGAAAGACCCTCAACGCCATCAGGCTCGTCGATCTGAGCGTAGATATATTGTAGATGTTGCAGCATATCATTTTTCGCAAAGTGTTCGCCGACAGCTTCACTCTTTGTCTGCTCTTCACGGTAGTACTTTTCCCAGTGAAAGAGTGCTCGCGTGTAAGATCCGCACTCCATTGCACGTTTCGAAATGATCTTTGCTGGAATCTGATGCAGAACCCCTTCCAGCTTGCTGACTTGGACGACAAAATCCGTCTCGTCTTTCTCGGTCATGCCCCTCCCGGTTTTGTGGGCTGTCACTCTTGTTTCGGTCCTCTTCTTTTGCTTTTCGTGTAACCAGAGGGCGAAGTAGTCAATGATTTCGAAAACATTCTCGCTGCACTGCTTGATGTTTGCAGCTTCGACCTGGTCCGCCGTCTGCAGATCAGTATTCAAAACGTTCAACAGTTCTTTGACAATGATGTCCGCTTCCTCTTTCCCATCGAGCACCGCACTCAAAGCTGCGAAGGGCAATATGAAAGATGCAATCGAAAGATCCTGACGCCGCAAGACACTAGCCACGCAGTTAAAGATGATTTGCGCATTCGGTTCCTTGGCCTTTAGCAGGAGATCATAAGTGAATTGCCGGAGCCATGTGCCATGACTAATCTCGCGCGTGAAGATAGGGTACTGGACTTGCGCATCATCGGTCTTGTGACGAAACGAGTATCGTGATGACAAGAACGGGGTGACTACGTTGCGAACTGGTTCTGGCATCTTCTCCCAGCGTTGCATGGCTGTGGAAGGCTGCGAATAGCGCGCCCTCTGCGTCTGGGTTGTCATTTCTCTTTTGAAACCGCACGCTTTGCACAGCTCCTGCATGAGATACGCAAGAAAACCCTGCGACTGCGGATTCGTGGTTGTGAGAAAGACATTGACTATAACGTTTTCCAGCATGAACGCCGCAAAGTTGATACCTTCGTCTGCGGACTGAAAGTTGCTGAGCACTAGAATACGCTTCTTTTCTCTTATGGTCTCAATTCGATAGGGGTCAAGCCCACCTATTATACCCAGACACTGTGCACAGAGACGCGGAATGTCCATGTCCTTGCCAGCAAATCGGACGCATGCATCCAAAAGTGAGCGACTCAGTGTGGCCAGAGCGGGAAGGGGTTTCTGGCCAATCGCAGATAAGTGTAGCTTGTCCTGATGTTCCTCGAGGAATGGTATGAGTTCTTTTAGTGCTTGTCGAACCACAATGGTATTTTCATCGTTGCAGCGCGCGCCGAAGATTCCGAACAAGACTACAGGTTCAACCGTTGCCCGAATTCTAGTCATCTCGCCTTCCAACTTAGAAAACACTGGAATGGATGCCAAGGACGGGATGTAGGCTATACGCTCTTGTAAGGTGACATTGTGCTGTGAGCGGAGAGTTTCAAGAGCTTTGGCGGCTTTCATTTGACTCTCCTCCGAAAAAGACGGCCAGTTGTGAATGATCAAAGCGAAAGTTTGGTCGATGATGGTCTTCATGTGCTCTGTCTCTAATGTTACAAGCAGCGTGGTCCACACATCAAACGCTTGATCGCAAAGGTCGGGCGTGTCCATGGCTGACTGGAGACAGGCTCGGATCTGTAACTTTAAGACACTGTTTGTTCCACGGATAGAGGGAGTCATCTTACCTGAGGGAGTGCAAAACAGCTATCTTCGGCAGCCAGATGAATCAATTCTTTGATAGCTCCGACACAGCGTCGTTGTTCCGACAGCGGCTGGTTCCCAGTCGAATTCTCGATGACATTTGAAAACTCAGTCATGACGCCGAGAATGTGAGTGCTGATGAAATTCGGTTCGCACTGCGCCAATGCATCCCCTGTCGACTTGCTCTTCTTCATGTCGCGAGAAGTTTCACCAATATCGTTCAGTGTCGCTACCCTGGAGAACCCGTCGTAATAAAGCTTCTTATCATCGTTCCCACATTCCGCGGCCAGCTTCAGCACCTCGCAAGCGACCAGCGCAGGCTCCTGATGAACAAGATCATGCAGCTCCTTTTCACCAAAGCGTGACTCCACCGCGGTCAAACAGGCCATTGCCTGCCGTTCGACATTCCCGCCTTTTTGACAAAGTAACAGGGCCAAAATACGTGCAAGATGCACCCGCGGTTGCATACAAATGTCTCCGACGGTAGTCCTCCTGGCTTTAGCGATCCTGTCCAATATGTCCTTGCGTTTGTTGAGAACCAACACAGCCAGGATATCTCCATGAACATCGCCAAGAAACTGCTCAATGCTGGTTCCAATCAAGTCGCATATATACTGGGCTTTCTGCGGTTTCTTGAGAAGCTCGTCGACGACGGAGAATCCTATGGTACGCCAATAGGGCTGGAACATATCTTTGCACGAGATGCCGAGATCGTAGGCAAGAGAAGACAGCTAGTGATGTTAACGATAAGATCAATTGCACGGTAGCTCAAAAAACTCATCATACCTCGTTGTACGCGACTCCACATATCACAGTGTTGGGATGACCCAGGTAGTTAACAAGTTGGCCGAGGATAATCTGTCGTTCCACCTGACCACAAACCCTGAAATTCTGTCAGTAAAACGTGCGGGCTGCACAGCATAAGTGAGCATACCGAGCTGCTTGACCATACGCCATGACCAGAGTTTCTTGAATACCAGGTGAGTTGCGCTCAGACAACTCGCCAAAGAATGCCAATGTGTTCTTACGGTTCCTGTCACGGACAGGCTTAGGTACACTATTCCGAAGGAAAGACATGAGCGATCGTGAAGCCGCAATTCTAGCCTCCCTTAGAGATCTTGTCAGTGTTTTGAGAAGCCACTCTCCCAGCGAGCTATTGAGACTGAGATACTCGGCGCAGGATAAGTGATTGAAGACACGGCCAATAGCCACTGCCATCAGGATGCGTGATTTCGCAGACTGTTCGAAACGCTCTTGCTCTATCACCGCTAACATCCCAGCCACGGCATCGACCCAAGCTTCGTTCCCAGAGTGGGCATCCCAATATTTCAGTGTACCATCCTGCTGAGCACCATCCTCATCGCATACACTGCAGTTCCAGTCTCTCCACGTCCCCGAACGTACGCCGGAAGACCGCAGAGACTGGGTTGCCGCGCATGCAATCTTGGAGAAGGCCAGCAAAATTTCTCGCTGTTCTTGATCCGACTCCTCTTTGTCGCTGGACATTTGCGAATATTTTCTCCTGATAGTCTGATCGAGACCAGAAAGGTTGAGCACCGGTGATTCTGACTTGCTGGTATTGAGCAACACGACCAGCTCCTGATACGCATCTGCTTGTTTGCCTTCTCCGGCTTCGGCCAATGTCTTGCGGCGTTTTGCTGGCGGCTCTGATTGCTTCTCGTTCTTATCGCGGAACACTTTGACTGCATTGAGAGAGAGGTAGTCTTCGTTGAGCTCTTCTGACAAGAACACATGCTCGTTATCCGAACACAGATGCGATCGCAACTCTTCCACTTCTGCCGGCCAGTCCCCTGCTGGCGTCCACAAGCAAAGAGAGAGTTTCAAATCCCTATGTAAGGAAACGAACATGCTCGTGTCCCGACAGAAATCAGCGATACTAGGCTCGAGACCGTCTCTTATAAGATGCCCGAGCCGGAACAGCTTATCGCCAGGGGGTCTGTCATCAGCTATTGTGTTGGAGACACCGCGTAAGTGGTTGAACAAAGCCGCAAATCGGATCTGAGTCGCCTCTTGACAATGTGGCTCGCAACAATACTGGAGTAGACTGACAAGCGCCGGCATCAAAACCATAGCAGATTTTGCAGAGCAAGAGAAGGAGTCCTCAGCATCAATCCGAGGCAAAGCAATTGTTTCTAGGAGCTGCAGATACGTCGCTTCGAGTTCCAGTCGCAAAGAGACAGTTGCAGAGATGGCAATCCAATCCTGGAAGCAGCGCCAAAGGGAAACAGTGCTATCCAGTCCCCACGGTTGGAGTCGTTCATGCGAAATAAGGACATCGGTGCCAATTGGAAAGAGCACTTGAAGGAGCTGGAAGCCAATGTAGATTGCCTGGAATGGCGACGTGATGGTTCTCTGCAAGCCCTCGGGCAAAGCGACAAGATTCTGACAGTCAGGCCAGAGCTGCATGATGCTGCTCGAGCACGGAAGATCGACCTTGAACGACGGCTCATACGAAGAGAGGTTGAGCGTAGCGGTCGATAAAATACTCTCGACACATGACCGATACATCTGCAGCAACCCACGAACATGATGCAAAGCATCCGCAGACCTCCACAGTGCTATCACGCAAGTCCCCAGCAGAGATCTCACATCTTCATGAATCGGAGCCAAACTCTTCAAACCCAGCAGGCCCAGCAGCTTGGGCAGCAACCATACGACAAGTGGTGGTCTGGGTGCCGCGTCGGTTGTACCACCGTCCGTTTGAATAGGTGCCAGCAGCAATCGCGATCGCTGGAGGAAAATGCTGCTCAATGCCGCAAGACACACGTGACCTTGTTCATTCAAGTGTGCGGAGGATGAAGACGACGCAGAGAAGGGATCATCCGTAGTAGATAGAGATACGGTAGCAGCAGCAGCAAAGAGCGGATCCAGGCCGCCGTTGGTGATGGTAAAAGCAAAGGCGATGCACACGTCGTCTGCATCTTCGAGCTCCGGTTTGCGGAGAAACTCCTTGACCTGGTCGACGAAGGAGGCCTTGTCCGCAGAATTGGCATGGTGGGAATGGATATTAGCTCCATTGCCGTTGTTGTGGGCCCGTCGCGAGTCCTTGTTCGCTGCGCTCTGGATTATCTGCGCGGGGATTGTAGAGGGCGGTGGAACGCCACCATTATTCGAGGGGTTGTTGCCAGGATGAATTGGATGGTTGGTTTGTCGTTGGGTGGCATTCCCGCCTTTGCGGGCCATGATTTTACGTCCTTCTATTACAACGATGCAGCATCGCGAGAGCTATAGGTTGATGGATGATCCGAGGTGGTCGCGTCGCTGCCTGTAGATGAATAATGGCGGGGGTGGAATTGTAGGTACGTGTATCTCGACACAAGGGGGCGCAAAATGACCCTCTTTCTCCTCTTAAAGTCGGTCTATGAACCAGAGCAACCGAGAGAAAGATCGATACCCTGATCACGAAGATGTGTCGATATCCTATCCTAACCGTTTATAAATTCACGTCCACGAGGTCTCTTCGACGTGGATGACGCGACTCCATCGCACTTCCCGTGACCCGCCAAGCCACTCAAGCTACAGCTCTCCATTGCTCTCTCCCCACACTCTCTCCACCACTTCACACCCCCATCCCTCCCATCCGATTTCCCCCCCAAAAAATGCCGTCCTTCCAAAGCAAATCCTTCCAAAAAACGCTTCCGCACACCTTCGCAGCGCGCTACCGCAAATTGCTCCAAAAACACCCCTTCGCGCTCTTCGGCCTCCCCTTCCTCGCTACCATCGTCGGCGGCTCGTTTGCGCTGACGCCCGCCACGGCATTGCGCTACGAGCGTTACGATCGCAAGAACCAGCAGGTTAGCCAGGAAGAAGCCATGGGCTTGAGAGCCGGTGAGAGGAGGAAGGTGGATATGAAGGAGGAGTACTATGTGAGTTTCCTTCACTTGTCGCCTCTTGTTTTTGCGCCACTTTTTTTTCCGAAGGGGGGGAGGAGGGATGCAAAAGAGATTGTACTAATCCATTTAAACAGAGACTGCAAGCCAAGGATATAGATAACTGGGAACAACGCCGCGTGAAGCGTCTCCCCGGCGAAATCGACGGTGTGCTCGAATAATTAACAATCGTCCATTCGAAATGTTACACTCGAAAAGGAGAAGAATGCTTCTCTCCCTTCGTAGTTCCTCTCCGCTCCGCCTTCTCGTTATTCCCCCTACCACGAGCCGTCATGAAAACAATGTGAATATAAAGGCATAGAGAAGGAGAAAAAACGAACACTGGCTCAAACAACGACCTTGACATTTGCACTCTCTCCATCTTTTGCTAGGCTAGGCGTAACTATGGTTGGATATTCACCCACATCACACGGCATAGCAAGCAAGGGCTGAAGGAAACAAGAAAGGGGGAGAGAAAAATCAAAGGAACCCAGCAGGATATATCCCTTTGGGGAAACGGGGAGGGAAATGCCAGATTGGGCGAAAAGAGCGAAAGGAAGGTAGAAATAGCCAGGAAGGATGTCTTGATGTGTGCCATATCTGTACTTATATACATGCTGCGTAAATTATTGTCATAATCACATGTACCACCACCATTTATTAGTCACCAGAAAACACTGTGCTTCATGGATTCTTGCTCTAATCTGTATTTGATATGCTATAACATACGAACACAATTAGGTAGTAGATGTGTGCTGCACGCGAGGGTGCCACTATTAATTCTCCTTTCATGACTACACAGAAGACCAGCGTCTAGTGTTGCGTGCCCATAGGGACCGCCCCTGGAAAAAACAGCAAACAAAAAAGTGCACGTCTATCGCATCCTGGTGATCGTGATCATCTCAGCATAAACAAGCCCACGTCCCGGTATGTCCTCGAGAAGGAGCTCTATAAGGCCCTGAAAACTAAAAAGTATAAAGATAAGAGGTATAAGGTGAAGAGGGAGGTGTCGTGTGTGGATGTGGGTGTGGGTGCGTGCGTGCGTCTTTGCCAGCTAAGACTCCTGCAAATGCATTGCTCAAGAAATTGCTGCGAAAGTGATCGGGAAGCAGATTGGAAAATTCCCCCAGTCTGATGTGGGATAGCAGAAAAAAGACTATGTCCTGCCGCAAAGCGTCTACTGCTTGATCTCGTAGGTTCGTCGATACATGTCGTCGACTTTAGAGAGGTAGTAAGTACCAGGGAAGAGGGTGGATGGGTCACCCTTGGGGGTGAAGTCCTTCTGGAGGTGAGCGTGCTCACGGAGTAGGCACATCTAAGGAAGAAACCGGGTTAGTCAGGCTGCTTCTGCTTGGTATCCGGGCTAATACTCACATCATCATAGGTCTGTGGGGGCACAACGCGGCGGGAATCGAGGCGGTTCTGGACATCAAGCTGCTTCTGGAACTCGGTAATGCTGCCCCGGATCTTCAAAGAGAAGAGGGAGGAAGCAAGTCCACTACCGTAGCTGAACATGCCGATGCGCTTGCCAATGGCTCCCTCGCCGTCAATGTGGGCGATCAAGCTGCACAAGCTGCCGTACACACTGCCGCAGTACATGTTACCGCACATGGTTGGGACTTGGTTGCTAGGCTGAACGCGGGCAGCAAATCTCTTCTTGGAGAGTCCCATGAAGGTCTTCTCAACGGCCTTGTCGGTGACGGACGTAGCGTAGTCGAGATCCCTGAGCTCACCAGGAACTTCCGCAAAGAGCGGGTTGGTAGGGTTGGACAGGTAATCGTTGTAAAGCATGCGCGCGTACGACTTGGAAACCAGCTTGCAGGTGGGGGCGTGGAAGCACATGTGGTCGAAGCGGTCCAGAGGAGTCTCTTGCTCCTGAGAGTGGCCATTGGTACCGTTTGACTGAGACTTGAGAGTCTCCTCGCGGGCGTTGTAGGCCTTGTAGCAAGCATCGACAGCTTCGGTGTAGCAGCGGAGGGAGAAGTGACCATCAACAACGGGATACTCGCTGGTGAAGTCGGGCTTGTAAAAGTCGTAGGCGTGGGTAATGTATGAGCCGCGCAGACCTGGCTCAACGACGATGGGGGCATCGGGGCCAACAAGCATGGCCACACAACCAACACCACCAGTAGGACGAGCGTTGCCCTTCTTGTACAGAGCAATATCACCAGCCACTACGACGGCGTCACGGCCATCCCACGCCGAAGACTCGACCCAGGCGACTGTGTTGAAGAGAGCATTTGTTCCGCCGTAGCAGGCGTTTACTGTATCCACGCCCTCGACGTTGAAGTTGCCAGACTCCTCGAACAATTGCATGAGGACCGACTTGACCGACTTGGACTTGTCGAGCAGCGTCTCAGTACCGACCTCCATGCGGCCAATGTTCTTGGGGTCAATATTGTACTTCTTGAAGAGCGAGGAGACGGTGGTGAGGGCGATCGAGTAGATGTCCTCGCGATCGTCGACGAAGGACATTTTGGTCTGGCCGAGACCGATGGTGTATTTTCCCGTGGAGACGCCATCGAACTTCTCGAGCTCGGCTTGATCGACACACTGGACGTCCTATTAGAATCGTGGTGAAGAGTGGGCAGGAGAGGTGTGATTGGGGCGTGTGAAAAAGAAGCACGCTGGGGGAGGTGAAAAAAAGGGGAGCAGGTGTGTGGAGAAACTTACCTGGCTGGGGAAGTAGATCTCAATGGCCTTGATGCCAATGTTGGTGGGACGAGCAGCCATGATGGAGGGTGAGTGAGGATGTGTGCGTGGGCAAGAAAAACGGTGTAGGCAGTTGTGGTGAAGTGGGAGGGGGAGGAAGAAGAAGAGGAGGAAGAAGAGAGGGGAGTGGGAGGGGGAATTGATAGATGGTTATGCTGGTGGGGGCAAGGAACCTTCACCGCTGGTTATATAAGAAAGGATCTGGGGGGGTGAGACAAAGCACAAGACAGCACAGCACACAAATGGTAAATTGCGGTAGGGACTTGTTGGATAGCGCGAGTGTGTAGTGTAGCGACCTTCGGCGAGCGTAGGGATGTGGCAATTCCCGACGCCTGTGGGAGGGAGAAAGGAGGTTAGCCTGGATGGGACTTTATGTCTGTCTTTCTTCGCTCGACTCAGCCGATTCTCCACACGCCAATGAGTGGGTGGCTAGAGAGAAACTAGAGCATCGATGATGGTTGAGTGCGCATGTGTGTGTTGTTCCCAACTGTGTGTCCACGACGCTTTCAAGAGGAGGAAGCAGAGACAGCGCAAGGAAGAAAAAAGGTGGTTGACGCTTGGCGGGGCAGCCAGGGTACCGTATCTGTCTATCTGAGTACATATGTACCCCTCACTCGCTTCCCACCGAACCAACCACCGCTGTTGGTATTGTTCATCTCTTTGTGTGCTGTTCGGGGTTTGAAACAGCAGCCACTTCACCCTTTCCACTGGACGTGGTCATGTCTACATGCATACCTGCATGCTCGAGTAGCTGCTAGCTACAGGTTACCGCGCTGGTCCTCGCCTGTCATGGAGCGGGGGTGACGCGGCGGCGGACGCGGTCACGGTCCTCTTTGGTTCGTTGGCCGGATGAGGAGAATCATTCTTTGCCTGCTCAACTAACGGTATCCATCGCTCAACCAAACCCTTTGCAGAGCTCTCTCGACCGCAAGAAGGAGACTTGATGGCACGGCAACGAGCAATGCCCTGCAGAGCCTGCCAAACAAATACATTCAGGTTAGCTGCGAAAAAAAAAAACCCGTACATGGCCAGATAGCTGCCAGCGCTACAGGAGAAAGCGCCCACGACCTTTCTGCAAGGGGAATAGCCCAGGAACCGTGGCTGCTCGCACAGCACAGAGTGGGTGAGTAAGCGCCTCCTCGTGTCAACGGCCCTTGTCTGCTATGTCTGCTCCCCTTTCCTGCTCGGTCCGTTATCGAGTCGAGCATCTCATGCACAGCTACATATGTACGTACGTACGTATGTATGTACACACTCGCAAGCACAGTCGTATGACTCTGTACCTACTCGAGTACGCAGCATCAACATTATGCACACAGCACCATGTACCGAACCAAGTACATACATACCTACATCCCTACATACGTATGCACACGGAATTACGCGGTACTACGCAGGTCGGATTGCATCTAGTACATGCTCATGCACGCCTGCCGCTGTCATCCAGCCAGCACTGCCTCATCCCCTAGATAACCACACTTCAATCCATCCCGCCAAGTACCTACACAACTCCATGTGCAGTCTGTACATGTACATGGTCACCTACATCAACTGTCGAGCATGCTGCATATCCAGTTGGGGCCAGCGTCAACCTGTGGGGAGAAGCCTGAGTGGGCAATCTAACTACTCAATATACCTAAAGGAACAATTGTGTGAGGGTGCCGGGCTACGATCCTACATGTCCATGTCCATACCTACTCAGGTACATATGTACGTACATCTATACCCGCCTGGCACATGCCAGGCGGGCGCAAAGTGTGCGAACAATATATCGATAGAGGTCGAGTCGACAATTTGCCGTGCAAGGTGGATAAATGCGAGGCTGCCGTCTGCCCATCCATCCCCATATACCGTCATCGTCCATCAATACCATCACTCATACATCATGCGCCCGCAATGGATGAGCAGCACATGTACATGGTACTGGCTGATCAGCATCATACAATTTGCAAGTACAATGAATCAACAGGCAGAGAGAGCAACTGTGGACCCGTGGGTGTACATAGTAAAACAAGATGGAGGGTAAACGATTGCTGGTGAACGGCAGGGGGTGGCGGTCATCGGGGAACTTTTGCCGACCTGAAACTCGCTCACCAGCAAAGAGGAGGAACAAGCAGTTCGGTGAGCACCACCCATCAATTGATGCAAGTATGTAAGTATGTAGGCACTAGAAAAACTCGGCTTGGTTGAAGGATTGGTGGTGGTATCGGTGGTGGTGGTTGTAGGTTCGCTGTGTCTTCTTTCTGCCTTGGCGTGGCCTGCTTGGGCCTTTCCCTGCGTGAGTGCGTGCGTCCGGCCGTCGTGCCTGCCCTGCCCTGCCTTTGCGCCTGCCGCCGCCCGCCAGCCAGCGAAAAAAGCGTCCGTGTGTCTTTGTGTCTCATCTCAACCCCAACCAAACCACTCGCTCGCCCATCCACTACCACCACCATTACCCATCGCTATCTCGACACCACACACGCTCACTCGCCCGCTCGCATCACCGTCTCCTCTCCTTGCCCATCGCATCCCACCCATCACTATTATTAACACCATCATCATTATTGTCCCGCCTCCCCTCGCTTCGCACCGCCGGCCAGCCAGCGCGGGAGGGTCCAGCACAGCAAAGACGGGGCGAAGCAACTGCCGGCACGCTCGCTCGCGCGAGGCTTTACTTGGAAGGGGGTGATTGAGTCTGTACGCTCGCTCGCTCGCACGCACGCACTGCAGCGCTGCAGCACTGCGGGCTGATCAGGAGGGACCCGACGGACACGCCAACGACGCCGACATGACACGCCCTAACGACAACACCCAAAAGGACGCTGACAGCCCCGACTCTCCCCCCGAAGGCTTCGAAAATGTCAACGTCTTTGACGACGAATTCGCTCTGGATCCTGATGAAGACGACTTCATGCCATCCGTGTCGGATGGCTTTCGCCCGACCAACCTCACCCGGACCTCGAGTTCTGGCTCGGCCACGAACCCCAAGCCTACTTCAGAGACGGACCTTCGTCGAGTAGCCACGCGCAACAGCACCGCCAAGTCCCCCTTTGCCAATCGCGACACCACGCCTGCGCCCCGGCTCCCTCCACCGTCAACGTCGATGCAGAATCGCGACTCCATGAGCTCCACGGCTTCGTTTGCAACCACCGCCCAGAGCGAATTGGGCACCGGCCCGAGTCATCCCTACGCCATGTACGCCCAAAACACAATGGTCCGCAGCCCCAGCATTTCCACCGCCGCCTCGACACACCAGCCGCCCGAGTCCCCCGTGGCCATGCAGCGTCCCACTCACCCCTATGGCATGTACACGCAGAATGTCGTAGTCGAGGACGAGCCGCCTGTGCCACAGGTCCAGAACTCAATTCCTCTTGGTTTCACCGGACTCAACGCGTCAGTGGGGACCGGATATCGCAGGCAGATTGGTCCGGACGGTGAAGAGCAGGACATCATTGGGCCCGATGGGCACACCGAACAGCTGCCTCCGTATTCACGATATCCAGAGGAAGGTCCGACCAAGGCTTCGCTTGCTGCCGAAGCCAGTGCCACTTCGGTCGGTGCCATAGCTGCTGGGCCCAACTTGATAGACGAGTCCAACGATACGCTACTCGCCACCTCTGCCTCCCCTTCGCCTTCCTCGCCTGTGTCTCCCATCGCTCATGCCATCCCACCACCAGCAACCATCACCCCCGCACTTCTGCCGCAACAGCGCCCGGAAACACAAACCGGTAACACGGCTGCCCCGCGAGCACCCACCACCTCCGAATCAGCTTCGCTGCTTACTTCTGACGACGACGGTGTTCTCAATGAAAAGACGGCTTCCATCTCAAATAAGCAGATTCCATGGCGAAAACGGAAACTATGGGGCAAGATTCCAGTCACGATGGCTCTGATGGCTGTTGCGCTTCTGTTGGTCTTTGCCGTCGTCCTGGGAGCCGCCATGGGCACTGTGATCGCCAAACAAACCAAAGACGACGACGATGATGAGAAGAAGAGCAAGCCTAGACCCGAGGACCCCCTGTCTCAGAATGCGCCCTCCAACACTTTCTTCGATGCTACGCCGATCCCCACACCCACGAATTTAGCGTCTTTGCCCGATGGCCAGTTTTCCCTACCTCTAGGCTTTGCGCAGGAGAGCAGTCCTGGATGCTTGGTCCAAGGCAATCAATATGCGGCTTGGTCGTGCAAGATGTCGTTTGCCCCATTAGTACTTACGGTGGTGACGGGCGAAGACAAGTTCGGCCTGTCTCTAGAGTCATTCCTGTCAGCCGATGGCAGCATACAATACGGTCTGCAGCCCCCTTTGGCTTACAACCAGTCTCTACACCTCGTAACCGATCTTGATTATAAGGGATATGGACCGGCGTGGCATTTTTCAACCGTATACGACAAAGTAGTTGTCCTAACTCCCGACGAATTTACGGCCGGTAGCTCTTTCCGCCCTCGCCAAAATGACAACAAGTCTTACAGACATCGTTTCCAGGTGCAACCTGGCGACAACCCCTGGTTGTGTTTTTGGAATTCGACTTACATCGAAGGCTACATCTATGTCCAAACCAACTCGACAGCTGCGACAGTCAGCGGCTACCCTACGCCAAATCCCACCGATCCGTTCGGCCCCATGCAATTCCCTTCAACCGGCGCGGGCTTCCCTTCTCCGACATCGACCACGACGGTCCCGATACCCACATCCACCACATCCACAGGGTCTGCCAAGCGGAAACGTGATGAGAACTCACCGCCATTCCCTCGCCTTCCCCCTTACCCACGCACAGTGAAGATCGAAGAACGACGGCTTCCCAATGGCCCACAACCGTACTGTCAGAAGATGCAGCTCCTTGACAACGGCCAACTGTCGCCCGTAACAAACAGCAACGGCGACAAGATTGTTGTCCGTCTTCAGGAACAGGATCCCTCGATAGATGAGTACACGCGCGACCGTTCAATCGATCCGTCACCGACAACGTTGACGACAACTACGCGCAAAAGAGCGCGACTCGACCGACGTAGAGATCCGCCGGATGCGTGCCACTGCCAGTGGATGTTTCAATAGCAGCGTGTTGTCCACATTCCCTGTGGATTTTCGTCTTGTGTGATGGCATTGCTCGCAATCTTTCTGCATGTTCTTTCACTTGCATTTTGCCAAAGGGTACATTTTCTCGGGTTCCGATTCGACGGTTTTTTATTGAGTCAGCAAGCATATGGCGTACGATACCACGGGAAACATCAGTCTTACAGGTGGCAGACAGGTCCATCTTGTTCATTCTTGACAGGAGATTTCATATCGAACCCACATTGGCGGCGGCGTTCTTTTTGGGAGGGCATTTTAATTCCTCACAACATTCTTGGGGGCAGCCCTTTTCTTTTTTGATTTGTTTCCTTTCCTTTCTTTTTGCAGCATGTTGAAACCTATCGTCCGGCAGAACCACGTGTTACCGTTTCCATACGTTACTGTTATCTATCTGCTCTCTGGCTTTTCATTCTCATGTATGTTTCCTTTTTTTCATTACTATTGCCATGTATCCTGGGTGTGTGTACAGGGGGGAGCATATATCTATGTTTTCCTATAGTCGGCTGTCGTATTGTTTTTCTTTTGTAACGTCTAGTAACCATCTACCCATTTACATATGTACCTACATATCTGCCGTAGTAGAAGAAAGGAAGGAAGGAAACGAGCATGGGCGATTGAGTTGGTGGGTGCAAAGCGAAGAAGCAACAGCCAGAGAAGCAAGTAAATATCAATAAGAGAGGGGAGAGGGAGAGAACAAGAAATAGCATATCTTCATTGTATTTTGACAAATTTGCCACTTATCGCCATAAACCTGCTCCAGTCTTTTTATCTTAATAACTATAATGCATGGGATAATTAGAATCGGAATCGTGCACATAAGTCAGCCCATCTCACACGCAATCAACAGACGCCCTGTACTCTTGGCTTTGATAAGATTGATCAAACTCATTCGAGGTCGGAACAGCAAGTACTCTGCATGCTATAGTAAAACGCCCTCTCACTGACTGCAACTTCAGAGCTGCTATACACATGCTGCCTGCTATAACCTCGAGTCTATGGGAACAATTCATGTACATGAACAAAAGGAGAAAGTAAAAAGCTGCTGACCGCAGTCAATCCTGATGCCCCGCTAGTGGATGACGGTAATCCACAGGCAGGAAAGCGAACAGGAAAAAAGAGGGGGGAAAAATCATGTCAACTGGGTATCATATGCTAGGGGTAACGAGGAACAAAGAAGGTAAGAGAAGACGATGACTCAAGTCAGCGGGAAGCGATCTGGGACGACGACGCAGGCTGGTGTTTAGCCTTGGACTTTGATTTGGGCGCGTGAATGTCCATGGGGAGGATCTCCGTCTTGAGCTCGCGCGTCTTCTTCTGCTTGGGCTCGGGCGCCTTCTCGTTCTCCTGCACGTAGAACTTGCGCAGCAGCATGATGGCTTCCTCCCTGAAGATGCCACCGTAGACAGGATAAGGTTTGTCGACGCTCGGGCTGGGGAGAATCAACAATGTCAGCGCCTGCTCGAGATTGATCGAGGATCTGAAAAGGAAGAAGGTAGAAAGAGAAGGATGAGAAGAACAAGAACGACTCACTCGGAATGGATATTCAAGACACCACCCGTGCCGCCGAAACGCTCGTTCCAACAGCCGAAGTAGACGGCGCGGATACCGTACTGGCGCAGCATGGAAGCGCACATGACGCATGGCTCGACGGTAACGTACAGGTCAGTCTGGGCGAGGGTGCTGACGGGGTGCTCGGAGAGGATGCCGGCGATGGCGACAAACTCGGCGTGGCGGGTGCCGTTGAGAGTGCGGTTGGTCTCGTTCATGCCGCGCCCGATGATTTTGCCGTCCTTGACGAAGACGCAGCCCACGGGGGTTTCGTCACTGTTGAGGGCGAGCTCGGCCTGTCACGGGGTGGGGGAAAAGGCATGAGTCAGTTGGCTGAATCAATTGTATAGCAGAAAGGAAAGGAAAGGAAAGGGAGAGGAAGGAATAGTCACCATGTTGATGGCCTCGCGCATGAAGCCTTCGTGGCGGGCTTTTTCTTCAGCATCCATTGTTGTTTGTTGTCGTGGGTCTGCCATTGATATTTCGGGATGTTTTTTTGGGTCTCGCAATTTTTTTTTCCCGTCTTCTTCTTTTTCCTCGCAATGTGCGTTTGCGCAGTGTATAGTCGTGTGTTCTTTTTCTGTGAGATTGGAGAGTCAGATGTGTTTCTGTTGAGAGGAGTAGCAGGCAGGGGAAGTGGTGGAGAGGAAAAGAAAGAGCAAGCACTTGGACGTTGTGGAGTGGGTTGTGGCTGCCCAAGTAGGCAACTTGTTGATAGTCGGAGAGGGAAGGCGCTACCGAGTAAGTAGGTACGTACCTGCCTAGGTACATAGATCAATTATCATCGCCACATTGCTATGTACCTACCCAGGTACCTAGGTATGTACTTGGTGGTCAGCCTGGATGGTGTCTGACAAACTACTCGAGTACACAATAAATCTCCACAGCACAGTAGTCAGGGCAAAGGGCCAGGACCCTTTTCCAAACGCAGAGTGCGCCGTGTTGTTGTTTCGTCCAGGGAAGGGTCCTCTGTTGCGCGTTGGTAATTGTTTCCATTTCTACTTGGGTATCTGTTGTTCAAACACCATACGTGGCTCTTCACGAGCATGTTCAAGTGGAATCAATGTATACATATGCATGCATGTTCTTGAATGCTGGACAATGTGTACTACGGAAGAAACAAAGAAATCAAGAGAGGCAGTGAATAGCTGACTAGGCACTTGGGTAAACGCCAAGTCGGCCGTTGCGTTACGTGGAACTTGTCTATTCTGGAAAGCACCCCCGGTCCGTTGCGCTACTCCGCCATCCGCCATCCATTGATCTATCCACCCATCCATCCATTCACCACCCCATCATCGTCACCTCTACCACCAGGCACCCGCAATCCGAACATTGCCGCCGTCCGCTGCAGCGCCACTACTTCATTACGCGTTCTCACTCGCCTCTCTCTACAGCTATATCCCCCTCCCCGACCACTCCATCTAGCCTGCCTGCTTGCCCTTTGTACTCCGTTTCTTCGATTCGGCCTGAGCTGAACATTTCGCAAACTTGCACCTTTCACACCACTCTCAAGCTTCCGGAAAGCCTGAACAGCACCCGCCCAATTCTTCATCATGGGTTTCGCCGATACGCTCAAGGAGGAGATGAAGACGAGGAATTTCAGTAAGACTAGCTCCTTCTCGCACAACTACATCTAGGCGTGCCCACTAACATGTCTTGTCCACAGGTATTTACGCCCAATGGTCAGTTCTTGCGCGAACCTCTCTCTTGCTCTATTGCCCTAGACGTGGCTACTTGCGCCTGCGCTGCGATACAGCTCCAGCTCCACGCACATCGCTGTGCTGACACAGCTGCGCCTCCGCCCGACTATCCTCTCAAGTGTATATGGCGAGCGTTGGAATCACAACAGCATGCTGACATTCCGAATCCAGGACCGGCATACTGTGCATACTCATCTGCCTCGCTGTTGGAATCTCAAACTTCTTCTACCTGTTCAAACCCATCATCATCCTCTTTGCCATCTTCTGCATGTACGTTGGCCCCATAGCTACATCTTCCAACCTTGTATTTTGGCTAATCCATTGGCAGAGTTTCCGCCTTCATCATCATCTTCCTTGAAATCCCACTTCTCCTCCGAATCTGCCCAACCTCGCCCAAATTCGATACCTTTATCCGCAAATTCGAGACAAACTTCATGCGCGCTGCCATCTACCTCGCTATGAGCATCATCCAGTGGCTTAGTCTTCTCTCCGGGAGAGCAACCAGCCTGGTCGCCGCCGCCGTCTTTCTGCTCATCGCTGCCGGCTTCTATGCTCTGGCTGGTGTCAAGAAGCAGTCCTTCCAAGGCAGCAAGGCTCTAGGTGGCGCTGGCGTGGCTCAAATGATTATATAGATGGACATGCAGCAATGCATCTTTGCAATCGCAATTAGGAATGAGGACGATTACTTCACCAGTTCACTCGCGTCGAGCTCATGGTGGGCGCGATCTGTTCGGGTGTGCACGAGCGATCGATCGCGACACACGGTCAGGAGAATTATGTTTTGTTTTTGTGTTCCATACGAAGTTTCTGGTCAGGGTTGGGCAAAACCTCGGGTTGTACCATCAGTATTCGACGATAGCTAGGCGTTTACTTTTTTCCCCATTGTTCTTTTATCCTCATGTAAGGTTATCATGTACGGCATGTTCCGTGGGCGAGCACTGCTTGTATGCGCGCGTACGTGTGTGTTACTAGGCTGCATTTGTTCGCATCAGCAAGCAAGCAACGGGTTCGAAAAGATGGGAAGCAGCATTATGGAAAAGCAGTGCAGGTGAAAATACATAAACTTTTCTGTTGACTCTGTATATCATGAGCTGGGACTGTTGCAAGCAAACAGGGCAAATGAGTGATTATTATGAAGACTCTGCAGGTAGCTATTGCATGCATAAACAAGAAGGTATACTTTTACACGCAAGCATACATCTATATATACACATCAATATCAGCCAGTACCATGCAGGTCTGTGGCTGGATGTGTTTCATTATCCTGCTTCCTTGCCCTCCTTCACAACCTGAAATGGAATGTGAAGTAGAGAATGGCACAATGACGCACAGAAAACGTTAGCCTCACTTTCTCCACTTCAAGGAACGCGCAGCATCAGCTCCAGCCCCAACCCGCCAATAACTGCACCTCCATTTCCCATTTCCAATCCCTTTCCTTCAACACCAGACTCCTCCATCTCACCACATCCACATTGCATCATGAGTGCTCCGCCGACGATACCTCCCCGCCCGTCCAGGGCCCAGAACACCCAATCACCCCTCAATGACGTCCCCAAGATCCCTCCGCGTCCCAAACGTGCCATTGAGCGATCCGTCTCGCCCAACCGCAACGCTCGCTCGCCGCTCAACGACCCTTCATTCTTGCACACCGGCCAGCTACCCAGGGACAGCCAGCTCTCGCCCGATGTGCCAGCCCGCCCTCCCAGCGTCAGTCTGCCTTCGCTGGGCCAAGAGGGCATCGAGTACGCCAGCCTTGACGACCTCTCCAAGACCCTCTCCAACCAGCCCGAGGACTCGCCGCAACAGACCAATGTCGCAGACGACCTGCCTCTGCACGCCCCCAAGGCTTCGGTGCCGAGCTCCACGGCCAAGAGTCGCATCCAAACGGTGACCCGCACCGATTCTTCCCAGGCCGCTGCTGCTGGCTTTGGGAATCTGACTCCCGACAGCAAGGTCAATCCCTCCGACTCGGGTCGCTCCCTCTCCTCGGCTGGTGGGAACACACGCCCCAGCTCCATATACAAGGATAACGATGAAGAGGAGCACGGCATTCCCGAGATCGGGGTCCAGGTGCCCATGTACCCGCACGCTGGTGACGTGCAGGCGCCCACTCCTGGGCCCACGGACCCACCTCCATCAACTGGCATTGGATTCTTCAACAAGGGCGGTCAGCCTTCCCAGCGCCATCATGGCCGCACCAAGAGTGGTCGCGAAATCTTCCATGGCCCGCCTGGCAGCTACGGGTTACACGGCCATGGCAAGATTGGCAAGGACGAGTTCGAGCAGTCGTGGTATGCGAAGCATCCCGAGGACCTGAAGCGTGAAAAGGCGGGTGAATATGGGCCGCATATCCAAGAGAACAGGAAGGATTACAATTGGGAATCGGAAAAGCTCGACAAGCTTGTTCATGCCGCCAAGGGAATCGGAATGGGTATGCTGTTGCGGGCAGTTGTGCCGACTTGTATCTGATACTAATGATATTCACAGGCACCTCCAGGGAAGCTATCAGCACCCCTGACGAGCAGATTGGATACATGGCGAGTGAAGAGTATGCCTCGAGGATGGCTTCTCCTCGTCCTGCTTCATCGGGACGTCCTAGCTCGATTCACAAGAGCCTGCCTGCCACCGAATCTCCTCTGCGCCACTCCAAGTTTCCCGAAGGCGCTTTTACTAAGCCAGAGGCAGCTGAAGCTGAAGCTGAAGAGGATGTCATTCACATTGACCCTCCTGCACACCGCTCAAGTAAAATCCATGGTGGTGGCTACGACCCACCTACCGAGGACCTGGGCCCAGCAGGCGGCAACACCGAGGAAGAAGGTGGCTGGGTCACGGAACGCGGCTATGGAATGCCCATTCTCGCCTCAGATGAGCTCAAGAAGCACGGCCCGGAAGCCGAATGGAGGCAACCTGCCATCGATCCGGAGCTCGAACGCCGGACGAGCGGCGAGTATACCGTCAACGAGGACGGCACCCCGGCCTACATCACCAAGCAGCGAACACACAGCAGGAGCTCCAGCCGCAATGCCGAGAGGCAACGATTTGTTCCCAGCCCCGCCCAGTTTGACAGATCTGGCACTCCTTTGGAATCGACCAAAGAATACGAGCCCTTGTTCCCCGAGGAGGAGCACCAGGCGAAGAAGGCCAAAGGTCCTCTGGATAAGCTAAAGCGTCCTGATCTTGCCCGCCACCACTTTCCCAGCCAGGACACTTGGGAGGACACTCCCAGCAGCCACCAGCTGGAGACGACCGTCGATACACCCCAGGCTGAAGAAGAGCCAAAGAGTGCCATCGGTGGTGGCGGCGTCGATGCTGGCCAGGTCTTCGAGAGCCCAGAGAACGAGCAAGCCCGAAAAGAGAATATTACAAAAGAAGACCAGCAGTCGTTTCTTCCCGATCACACAAAACGCTTTGCGAATAAGCACCTTGAGAAAGAGCACCTTACTCGTCCCAACTTGCAACAGCGCTTCCCCAGCCAGGATATCTGGGAAGACAGCCCAGACCAGATGCAGTTGGAGACGACTGTGAGCGGGCCCCAGACTCCAGAAACGGGTGAATATGCCGAAGATACGCCTGCTTCGGCAGCGAAACCATCAATTCCCCCCAGACCATCAATACCAGCGCGGCCGCAGAAGAAGGAAACATCTCCCGTAGACAAGAAAGCCCCCCTCATTCCTGAGCGACCCAAGCCTCAAGTTCCTGTCCGACCCAGCAAACCTCTGACCAAGTCCTCAGAGAAAGTTCCTACCATATCTTCGGAAGATGGTGGGGAGGCTGCGCCTCAAGTCAAGGCCAAACCTCCGGTTCCTGCACGTCCTGGTGGTAGCAAGATTGCCGCACTGCAGGCTGGATTCATGAAGGATCTCAACAGCAAACTCGGCCTCGGCCCACCTAAGGTCAAGGAGCCTGAACCGGAGGAGGAGAAGGAACAGGAGCCAGCGAAACCCCTCTCTGATGCTCGCAAGGGTCGGGCCAAAGGACCGCAGAGGCGGAAACCCACGGCCTCACCTGCCCCTGCGGCGACCGTGACCTCGCAAGTCGCAGTACCACAGCAGAAGCTCGCCATGGATATCGTTACCACTGTTTGGTCCATTGGAACCGATGGCGAGCTTGACGTGCCATTTGCGCAGCTGTCCGCTAAACTCCACGACGCGCTCAAAGCTCCCAGCCAATCCCAGACCGATGCACCAGCAGCTTCGGAAGAAGTGCTAGATAAGGAAGAGCACGCCCAACCCGAAGAAGCCAATCTCGAGCCGACGCTGGTCAAAGAGGCGACTCCGAGCGACCCTACTGCTAGCATCGACGCCGCGCCAGAAGAGCCCGACGAGCCTATTGCGGGTCAGACGGTTGGAAAATCTGAACCTATCACGGCGGGCGCGAGCGACGTGGAGCCTAAGATTGAGAATCTTGCACCCGGCGGTGGGGTATCGTTGGACCAGAAGCAGAGTCTCGAGGGAGAGATTGTGAAGGAGGCAACCGAGAAATTGGCTGTTGGAGGCAGTGAAGAGAAGGCTAAAGAGGTTAGCAGTAACTCATAGGCTGTATCTTGGCGAAGAAGAAACATGGTTGGGTTTGTGTATAGGCCGTTGACGAGGAATGGATGACGTTGTTGCACGGTTTGGGGGGATTGTTGATGGCCATCTGACGAGGGCCGGCTCATCCACGCAATCAATTAATCAACTGTGTTACTATGGTGGTTGGGTAAAATATATATAGCTAGTCTTTTTTTTTTCTTCTCTGTCCCTCTTTTCAGAGTTTTGATAGTTTGGAATCTATTTGTTTCCCTTCTTCCTTCCTTCAAACCCCCCCTTCTCTCTCTCGCTGTCTTTATACTAATCAACAAATCTACACACTATTTGTCTTCCCTAGTTTATTTTCTAGGCCTTTTTTAAAACCTAACATGTACTCTTTACCTTCAGTGCTCACTCAGCACGTAGAAATTTACAGTTTTTTGTTTCTAGCTAACTAGACTTTTGACGTGTTTACATTGCTTTATATATAAATAATTTTTTTATAAGAAAAAAAGGATTTCATTATCTTTAAATATATACAACAAATAAATATGTCATGTTATGTTTTATTCATTTACTTATTTTTTTCTTCAACATAAGGGGAGGAAATCTAAAATCTTATAAACAAATATGATAAAAATCTTTATATAAAAATAAAAATAAAATAAGAGGGCAGCGCTAGAAGAGGGCAAAAGGGCCTTTATTCTTCTTGCGTTTCTTATAATCTACACAGACGTTTTAAGCGGGGGGTTTTATTTGTTTTTAGGTTATTGTATTGTTCTTTAATATTTGTTTGTTGTTGTTGGTGGTGTTGATTAATATCGTTGTAGTGTGTAGAATTTAGGGACAAAGGTTCGACCTGGGGGGTGGGTCTAATATATATCTATCAAAATGTATGTTTTGGGTGTCCAAAGGGGCGTGCATGGCGTGCATGGCTGGGCTTCACAAGAACAACAAATATGAGCGGCGAAACATTAGAATAAGCTGATGGTTGGTTCATTCTCTTCATCTCCTTCCTTCTTCTCTCTCTCCTATGTACAGTTTTCCCATCCATCCAATTCCTTGAACTTGGTAGTGCATTGCCACCCTCCCTTGCTTGCCCACACATAAGATCTCTGCTACACGATCATGATCTGCTCACCCTTGCTTAGAATAGAGCAAGGAACGCATAGAGATAGACATGCGAGCAGAGCAAGGCGGAGCACAGTACCAGTCCAACTCCCGCCGTGCAAGGACAAGAAGAAAACGAGTAGAAGTAGCGACCACATGTGCGCGAGGCACAATAACAGGAAAACATAGAAAGCGAAGCAATATCATGGGGGAAACAGAGTCTCGGTGTCCGCAGGAAACATTGAACCACGCAATGCAATTACTGATAAAGGGGGAAAGAAATGGGCCCCCGTGACAAAACTCCTATGTGCTGTGTGCTGACGTGAAAAACATCCACCTTCCCACCCAAGTAGAAGGTAAAAAAGTGTACCCCAATAGGAGCCGCCGTGAACATATATATGGTGGTAGTGAGCATGAATGATGACATGAGACGGCAACGATTGCAATCTCATCCCCCAGGGTGAAAACCCGAAACCATCAGCCCATCAGTTACCCATCCGCTGTGTATGCCAAGCATTGCTGACGAGCAATTGTCGTAGACATTCGAAGTCGCCACAGCGTTGAGATCAGGAGAGAAAGACTGCAAGGCAAAAATACCCTCCGGTGGTATCCAGAACGAAATGAAGACGAAATGAAGCAGCTGTCGTGCCGTCATCACTTTTTTGAATGGCAAAAATGCCGGGAAATACAAGCATGTAGAGTTAGTTAAGAGATGGGCAGAATGGATAAAGAGTCGGCAGGCTAGAGACCTTCCTAGACGTCGAAGTTGCCGTGCGAAAATATTTCGTGCTCGTTAGATGGGATAACTCCGCTCATGCGGTCTCCCCTTCCGGCAGGCTTATCCCATTCCGGGTCTTCTTTGTCGTCTTCATCCATTCGCTCCAGGTCGTTCTCACGATGCTTGAATTGTTGCTCCATGGTGCTCTCGTCCACAAAGGTGAATCCCTTGAAATTGGCTTGCATGGTCGGTGACAGGGGAGTGGAAGCAGGGTTAACTCCGGACGCCAAAGCAGCGGCACGGGCATTTAGTGAGCCATTCCCGTTGAGAGCATTGGTGAATTCGGGGTCGAAGTTTGACACGTCTAGCTCGCCCTTGAGCTTTGGCTTGAACGGCGGGACGACGTTTTTCTTGGAAAGAGCATCCCAGTCGATATCGGCAAAGAAGGGGTGAGCCTTGAGTTCCTCTGCATCGCGCTGGGCACCTAGTCGGTGCTTTGGATTCCGGTTCAAAAGGCCCTTGACGAAATTCCGGCCTTCAGTACTGAGAGCATCTCGGGGAAATCGAACTTTGCCAAAGGCAATGTTCTTGTACATCTGCTGGGTATCTTCCGCGTAGAAAGGACTCCAGCCGCAGCACATTTCAAAGACCAGGACTCCAAGGGACCAAAAGTCCACCATCTTGGTGTAGCCATGCTCATCCAGGAGGACTTCAGGGGCCAAGTATTCTGTTGTACCACAAAAAGTGTTGGTGGTAGCATTTTCGGTGATGTTCGCCTTGGAAAGACCAAAATCGCAAAGTGCGATGTGACCTTTTGCGTCCAAAAGGATATTCTCAGGCTTCAAGTCTCGGTAAACAATGTCGTGCTCGTGTAAGTGCTGCAACGCAAGGATGAGCTCCGCAATGTAAAACTTGGCTCGCCCTTCCTGGAAACGACCCTCGCGCTGTAGATGCCAGAACAGTTCGCCACCCGACATGTAGTCCGTCACAAGATACAGATCCGAAGGGGTTTGGAAAGAAAATTTCAGGCCCACGATGAAAGGAGACTCGGCCATTGCCGTTCGCACCAGGATGTTACGTTCACCCAGCGTATGTGCTACTTCCTTCTTTTGCACAATCACTTTCTTGGAGAGCACTTTCATGGCGTAGATTCGTCGAGTGTCTCGCTTGCGTACTTGGAAGACCTGACCAAATGTGCCCTTGCCGATGAGTTTGAGTATTTCAAAATCTTCCGGGCCGTAGTGCTTCTTGTCGGTCTTGTGGAAGTTTAGCCTCAGATGAATCTCGCCAGTCACGTAGTCTTCCTCGCCATCTCGGGACTCGAGGGGGAACCAGCCGTCATAAGGCTTCTCGTATTCGACCAGATTAGGGCAGAATCGAACGTGGCCCAAGAAGGCTTCGCCGTTGCTACGGTCGTACACAGAAATGTCAATTTCGGAGTGATCGCCAACAACATCACTATAATCAAAGTCAGTCGTTGCAGTGGCAACACATGTAAAACTCGGGTAAGCTTACAAGTCAGCCTCATGCTCCCATTCGGGATCCGTGACTTCTTTGAACACGCCCTCCTCGCGAGGATCCGAGCTCACACCATTGTTGCTGCTCTGTCGACTCCGCATGGGGATCGCCATGGGTCTCCCTGAATCGCTGTCAGTGCGGCGAATGGCAAGTCCGGCCCGGTTCGGGTCGTCCTTCTTTGTAGAATCATTCCTGGGCCCTTCTGAAATGTATTCGGCCCATTGGAACTGGCACACAACATATGGGTCTATGCTGGGACGCAGATTGCGTCCCTCGGAGATTGAGACGGTCAGCTTGCCCTTGGGCGTGCCGATGGAAGGCGATCGACTCTCCTTGGACTTTGCACTCGAGGCAAGCGAGGTCTGGGACAGGTTCGAGGTCGGCGGCCTGCCCTCTTGGGAGCGCGTGCGGGGAGTCTGGGGAGGAGTGGCCTGATTTTTAGGCGGCGCAAAGGCGCCTTCTGTTAGCTTCACCGTTTCTCCAGTCAACTGCGAGGTTGAGGGATGTCGGGAAGTGGAAGACGCGCTGGGAGTGGGGCTGGGCAGTGGGTTGCAGCGCAGACGATCAGACTCGGCCTCCTTCTCTTTCGGTGCAGCGGACGCATTTTCCTTGGACTCATCTTTGACCGCCTCTGCTGCTACTGCTGCTGCGGACGAGGGTGTGGTTGTGGAGGAAGAGGAGAAAGAGGAGCAGTCTGAAGAAGAAGAAGGGGCAGGTGCGGGGGAGGGGACCGCGGATGACCTTCGACGGGGGATCAGAGAATCACGAACCTGGCCAAAGTAGCTATGAAGGATACCAGGCAGTCGCTTGTCGGTCGGATCGGGACGAGGGGTAGATGCACCGGGCGGGGTGGAGCTGTTTGAGCCGATCTGATCGTGCTCGTCTTCATTGTGAGTTCTGGCATTGGGGGTTAGAAAAGAGCTCGGCATGGCGGCGTGGGTGACGATGACGTGGACGATGAAGGTGGGGGGAGAGAGAAGATGGAAAAAAGAAGCGATGAGAGCAGAGGAAGCGGAAAATGCAAGTGGAGAGTGGGGCAGCAGCTGCTAGGTGGGCGAGGTAGTGAGGATCAGGCGCACAGCGTCAACAGCGACAACAGCGACCTGAATAAAAGATGAGAGGGGAAGATGGGCAAGAAAAGAAACAAGACGACGGCGTGCGGGCAGACAGGCAGGCAGGCAGGCAATGCAAGCGTGCAGCGGAGGCGAGGTGGCGGCCACAGGCAGGGCGAGGGAGAGAGATGGAGAGCTAGGTAGCTAGCTAGCTAGCCATTATCCAGTGTAATGGCCCAGAAGGTGTCGATGGTGGTTGATGGTGGCTGCGGGCGAGTGATGCAATGGTTGGCCCACACGGGGAGTTTGTTTGGTTTGCCGAAGCAGCAGCGCAGCGCAGTGCAGCAGTGGTGAAGAGCAATGCAGACAGACAGAACGAGGACGGAGAGTGGTTGTTGGCGGCGGTGGTGGTGGTGATGGGTGCGGCTGATGATGGGGTGATGGCTGGGTTGCTATTCCGGGAGCAAGCAAGCAATATGGATGGCAGCAGTAGAGTCATCCATCACCACACTGACCCGACGACTGATGGTATGCCAATGCCAATAATCCCATGACGGTGAATGTGCTGCTGTGCTGTGCTGAGCTGTGCTGGCTGTACTGACTGTGCGTGCGTGCGTGCGCTGGGCTCCGCTCCCAATCAGGGAACCCAATCGGGCATAAGCGAACCCTGTCTGCCGCCGCCGCCGCATCGCACACTAGGAGCTATGCAGTTGCTCTCCATCTCCCGGATCCACGCATGACGAAAGAATGGGTGGATGCATGGATAATAATAGATGAGGGAAGAAAAACAACAACAACAACAACAACAACAAAGAGTGCAGCCAGGCAAAACAAACAGATTCAAAGCAAAGAAAAGGAATAGAAATAAGAAAAAAGAGAGGCTCACCTTTGCATCATGGCCTGGCGCAGCAAATCCGCGGCGGGCGACGCACCACTGTTGGCCGTCGAGGTCATGTTGCCGAGTGTCGTGGGCGGCTTGCGAAGATCGGCTGCGGCGACGGCTCGAGGGATGGAGAGGGTCGAAAGGGTCGGCACAGCGCTGGAGCTCTTGGATAGCACCGATCTGTGAGGCCGAGGTCGCGTGGGTGAACTGGGCGAACTGCCGCTTTTATGCGTTACAAGCCTCGGTCGGGACGCGCGAGCATCAGTGCCTGCACCTTTGGAGTTTTGGTATTGCTGCTGCTGCTGCTGCGTGTCGAGCTGAGCCGTGGCCGAAGATGAGGCTGAGGAGAGCTGGTTGCGGCTGTGGTGGTGGTTGTGGCGCGTGCGCGAGCTGTTGCCGTTGTCGTCCTTGGTGTCCTTGGTGATGCTGCTGGCGTGGCCTGGGTGGGATGGATGATGCCTCTTCTTCTCCTCTTCAAGATGCTGCTGCTGCTGTTGTTGTTGAGAGGAATGATGACGATGCGGAGATTCGCAGTCGTTGTTGCTAGGGGCGGCTGACGAGGAGGAAGGAAACGAGAATGGCGGCAGGATGGCCCGCGACGACGTCGTCATAATATCAATCAATCTGGCTCGAGCCTTGAGCCTTGCTGAACGTCTCCCTGGATAGCTGACGGAAAGGCCAGGCAGGGACCGTTGGAGCGGCGTTATGCCAAAACGAGGCCGGCGCACTGTAACTCGAGAAAACTCTGACTTCTAGCCTAACAAGTCAAGGTTGAAGGCACAGACAGACAGGCGCACCAAGGCAAGTCAAGGCAGGCAGCCCGAGACGACCACCACACCAGCTAAGATGAAAGCCAACACCAATCAATTTGATTGCCTGCGATCCTCTATCGGCCCTGTTCGGCTTCCCGCTAAGCCGATGCGTGATTTTTCTTCGGTCCCTTCTTCTTCTTCGTCTTCTCTGGTCCTGTTTTTTCTTTTCCCGGCTTTCTCGCTTTCTTGGACTATGTTGTTCTTTGGACAAAGGATGGTGCCAGGGGGGCGGTGAGAAAGTGTGAGATGGAAGAGAGGGGGGAAAGGTGGGTAGCGGGGGCGGACAAGGTTGTTGGTTATCAAATCGCGATAGACAGATAGTAACAGAATATCACTATCTATCAATCCATCAATCAAGCAATCAATCACCGATTGAAGAACGGCCGGTGGAGAGTCTTGGGAGTGGGTGGGTGAAGGGTCCTGTGCGGAGATGGCCACAGGGTGGGTAAAGTAAGGTAATGTAGTCGAGTCGGCCAGAGGACGCGCGAGGAGAGACGGTCAACCAGAATTAAAGGGTGAAAGAGTCGTACAGGTAGTGGTAGCCTGAAGGCAAGGTCAAACTGCCAGTCTATGTATAGGTGAAAGCAGAAACAAACAACCGCCACTGGCGTCTCCCGATGGCAAGCAATAAATGGATCTTCGAGTACCTACGCAGAGATAGCAGGCAGTTACATAGGTACACACTTGGACGGCGGGATCGAGGGAGGCCTTTTTTTTGGTTTGCAAATGACAGCCCTCTGATTAGCCATCACCTACACATGTACCCTACATTTATTTGTATTTACTAACCAACACCCCTCTACATGCACACTTGCATTCTGTGCATAACAGGCACATGGCACCCGACTACACATCCACTACCTACACGCTTGGAGTACTCGGGCGAATAGTAGTATATCGATATACACCAGCTATCAGAATCTTCTCCCCCTTTACTTAGGGGGCGGTCAACAAATGCTCGGGTTGATTCTATTTTTTTTTCCTTTCCCTCGAGATTGAAGCTGCTATCCGATGAAACGCCAATGTCGCCCTCCGCACGTTCACCGCCTCGCGCGTCATTCGCTCGCATGGCCCGCTGTGATTCGGTCCCCTACCTGACTACATGCGCCTACATGACAGGTACATGCAAAGGTCGTGGACTTGGACTCACCAAACCCTGGCGCCTCCCGGCTCCTCGTGTGGCCCTGGTAGTCGTGCCCCTGTCCTCTGACGTCTTTGGTATCCTCCCAAGTGGGTTCACCTTCAAAGCGTTCTCCACCACCAGCCCTACTTTTTGGGTATCTTTTGCCCACTAAGCACTGCCAGGCACCCTCATCCGCCCGGTGAAGCACGCAGCCAGCGCGACTGACACCCGCTCGAAACAGCGGCGCCAACAGCGGTGAAGCTGTAGGGGTCAAGTGCCCCTCGGATTGGATGGGCGAGGGTCAAGGTGGGGGTGCAATTTGGCCGTGGGAAACCGACCTGCACGATTGATTTGACTGACCACAGAGAATAGATGGATGAATGGAGTGATTCGGTGCGGTACGGCACGGTACGGTAGTTGCTGTGATACCCATCATCCCACGACAATGCAATGCAATCCTGGGATGCCTGATGTAGCGATCCGTGCCAAACAGGTTTTGCCATTCACCCATCCTTCTCGGTGCTTCTCGAGAGAGCTGTGCGGAACTTCCTAGAAGCGGAACCTGGCGCGGCTGATCATCCGGTGAGCACCTCATCGTGTACATCATTACTCCCTTCAACTTGAACGCTACCTACCCCTCTTGCCCCATCCATGCATGGAGAAGGAAGATTCGGGCGATTGCGGATCGGCAACAAGAGTGGGAGACTGGACATGTTCATTCGACTTTGAAAAAACAAAAACAAAGGGCTCGTGCGAGATGGCGACAGGTGGTATACCCGTCCAGATAGATTCCGAATTTCCAGAAAGAAGGTAGTGTGCAAAGATCATCGTCAGGGTCGGCGCTAGCAATCAAAAACTCCGTCAACTGGTCAATCGAACACATGTTCTGGTGAACACGGGAGTGAGGTCACGAGGCATTATGTAATCAGTGCCGCCGCCGCCAACGAAACAAACATGGCCATGCTTCAAAATCGCGCGCGCTCGATCGACAAGGCCTCAAGCACAACAACAACAGACTCCCGCACGCACGCACAACCACACGCACATCCTCAACCACCATGTCTGACCGCGAGTTTGGAGGAAACGATGACCTCTCTCTGCCCAAAGGTACGCGCATTCTTACATTGTTTTTCTCCCCCTCTCCCCACTACGCACGCTTTCTTCCACGAGTAGACCTGGACTGATGACTTTACAGCGACGGTACAGAAGATCGTGTCCGAAATCCTGCAGTCGGAACCCGGCATGACATTCGCTAAGGACTCGCGCGACCTACTCATAGAATGCTGTGTCGAATTCATCACCCTCATTTCCTCCGAGGCCAACGAGATCGCCGAAAAGGACGCTAAGAAGACGATTGCATGCGAGCACGTTAAACAAGCTCTCGAAGAGCTCGACTTTGGTGCCTATGTCCCGGCTGTCCTTGAGGTCGCCGCCGACTACAAGAAACAACAACAGGTAGGTTTTCCCTCCAGCCCCTACCTTTACTGGGGGAACAAGGAATAAACGAATGATGTGTTATGCTAACGCACCACCTCGCAGAACCGCGAGAAGAAGCAGACCAAGATCGAGAAAAGCGGCATGACCGAGGAAGAGCTCATGCGCGCACAGGAAGAGCTGTTCCGTTCCGCGGCCAATAAATTCAATGCTGAACCCTCATCGTGAAAAAAAGAATAAAAAAACGACAACCATATACACGATCTATACTAAACTGTTCACCAAGACACAGGTACCCTGGCAGGGTAGATCCTGCAAAGAGTATTTACGATGCGTCTTTTTCTAGCAGACTCCGGTGTCCTTGATACGCACACATACTTCCACGGAGCGGCGCGCTTGTTCTCGATCGCATCAGCCCCAGCAAGGCAACGATTGTATTTTGGCTCAAGATTCGGGATGCACCGTACGTGTTTGTATGATGCAGATGCACATGCCAGAATCAATAAAGGGAGCTGTGTTATGCCATACCTTGAGAAAGCCAGTCGCTTGACTGCCCTGCCATCTATTATCATCGGTGTACACAGACAGGCGGCGGTCTTTGAGGATGAGAGGAGGGGTGATGAGAGAAACAAGACCCTAAGGGGAATCCATATGATACCACAGGACAATTCAACTACATCTGTACATTAAAGACAATTTCCCGGATTCATATTGATTCAATAACAAACTGCGCAAACAAAATCGCTGTGTGCAAATGTACTTTGTTTGATGCACTGGTTGGTCGGGTTGCGCCAAGCTCATTGACGCGCCCTGTGACGTTGGGCCTGACATCTGAAAACCACCCCCACTCCCCCGGACCTCAGCCGCGACAGTTCACTTGTGACAACCCATCCACATCTGCCTACGCCCATCACGATACAACCCTCTCGTATATCCCGCAAGCTCAACTCGACTTCCCTTACATAACCCTACCACCGCTCTTTGGGGAACCACGCCACCACCATCATGCCGGACCGAAGTGCTGCCGCAATGAACTTGGCCATCACGTTGAAGGTGAGGCAGCTCATACAGACCAACAGCACAAAGTTTCTCACACTGGACAGACGAACGCGAGGTCCCTGACCCGGCAAGCAAATGCCGCTAAGAAGCAAGAAGCACTGGAGCGGTCAAAGATGGAGAAGGTAAGTGATTCGTGGCGCAACTGGGGCTGGGCGAGTCTGCAAATCATTGACACCACCTGCAGGAAATGAAGAAAGGTCGGCCACAGATCGCTCGCATTCATGCCCAAAACGCCGTCCGAAAGCAGAACGAAGAGCTCAATCTGCTTACACTCGCCTCTCGAATCGACGCAGTCGCCAGTCGAGTGCAGACGGCTCAAGCACAGGAGCAGCTTGCAAGAAACATGGCTCAGGTCAACAAGGCCATGGAGGTTGCAATGAGAACGACAAACTTGGAAAGGGTGAGCAATTCTTCAGTCATCGCGTTTGATCTCTGGAGATGTTCCATAGTGGATAAGCCTAGCTGACTTTACAGGTCACCACCATCATGGACGGCTTCGAGAAGAACTTCAATGATCTCGATGTCATGGACGAATACACTCGCGAAGCTACCTCGTCTGCTACTGCTGTCGGTATGCCGCAAGATGATGTGGACCGATTGATGGCCGAGACCGCGGACAAGGTCGGCGTCGAGCTAAGCCAAGACTTGCAGCAGGCGACTCCCGCGCAAACCAAGATTGGACCGACTGAGGAAGAGGAACAAGGCTTGTCGGAACGTCTCCGCGCGTTGCGCAGCTGATTGGGTTCATCTTGTGGCATGTTCTTCCACGCTTTCATGGCATGTTAAGGATTTTTGGCGTTGGGGGTTTCTGTCCAGTACTGCGCGAGGCTGGGAATGATATCAAATTTATTGCTTTTTTTTTTTGGTTTCGAGATCTGAGGTAGCTTTTCTGCGCATTCTAAGGCTCATCTTCTACTCTTAACATCTATTCGTCCTTACTTCTCCCGCGAGAACCTTATCCCATTCATGCACACCAGAAGAAGAATGAGAGCAACCATGCCTACGGAAGCTGTGGACATCAACATTCGAATGAAAGTAGACGGCCTCGCTCACGCCCCCTCGGAACCAGAACTAAACAATAGAAGGCGAAGTCCATTATACGACGTACTGGCCCTGGTATGAGAGACGTGAAGGGAGAGGTTGGTTGATGCTCCCCTAACTCTTCCCGCTAGCTATCCCAGCTATATCTGCCTCTACGAATTTCCCGTCTCAACTCCCTCTCTATTCTCACTCTGCCCAACGACAGCTATTCCGTTATTTTCTGATTACTTTCACCATGTTTCTAAGATGATCTTGAGTGGAAGGGGTAAAACTGCTCTGACTTAACTATATCTAGTGGTCTCAGCAACAGTACAGCTCCAAACCTATCTAGATGCCTACTAGAGATAGTCTTGTGCTTGTGAGTCTTCATACTTTGATGTCGGTGTTGTGCTTGGTGGCGTGTCTAGATGATGGGCTTGAGTGATTCTGGTGTCATGGTCAAAAGATGCATGCAGCGACGAGAGAAGTGCGCGAGCGCTACAAATGACGCGTTTTACAAAGAACAGCCTAAAGCGTTGTTGTCGAGATGCGAGTTGGGACAGATCTTGAGTAGCTAGGGGCCGCTGCAGGGACATGCGTATGAGGGATGCGCTATGTCGCCGGGTTGGGTGTGATGCTTTTTTGCCATCTGAGGGAGAAACGGGTCGATGGGAAATAATATACTCGTGGTTGGGGTTTTTCTTCGTTGTGGGGAGTAGAAGGGCGTTTGAAGCTTGGATTGATATGGGTTTGTTGCTGGTGGGTTTGGTGTTCACTGATAGGTGGACCAACTAATCAAGCACGTCAACGTTGGTTGTATAAGAATAGGCAAAGGAAGTAGCTAGAGAGATGCAAGTAATAACAGCTACAGGCTTATATATATATATATTTATAACAGAGCTGCCTTAAGTTGCTTCAGAAACAAAAAGAACTAGATACTCCTTGTTAAGTAGTCTGTAGGTTGTGTAACTAGGTTACCTAGATAATTGACAACACAACTCCATCAACTCGAAGTCCCGGTGCTGGATCTTAGATGAACCAACAGTTACTGAAAAACACCTGAGTGGTGCTTATCACGATCATGTGAGACGCACACACACACATACACACATACACACACACTTAAAGGGAGCTATTATCCTTCATGGGTTTAAAAGAATTGAACACATTGCAAGCTTATGTTCTGCTTAGGTGTTGCACCCTGGCCCAGTGCCGAAAGCAATCAGCTCTTGTGGCTCTTTTTTGTGCCTGCCTACTTTTTGTCACCATATTTAATTAGTTTTTTGAGTCTAGGAAACACTGTAACTTCTAATCAAAAGGAACTCTAATCATTCTTAAAAAAATGAGAAAAAAAAACTTATGTTCTCCAGTGTGAGTTTCCCACTTTTCAATTCTGATTAGCATACTATGAATAACCGGCACTAGTGAACGCAAGAAATTCGCTCCTATCAGTGCAGGGATGCGTTGGAACGAGTACCTTATATCTCTTTTTCGGTGGAGTGTTCATAATGACTCAATAGGCGACTTCTCGATTTGGTTCATCTGTTTTTGTTTACTGCAAAGCTTGTGTCAAGGCATTATTCGCTATTATGTTTTTGGTGCCTCTATTGTTATACCTGTGTTGCTGTGTGCAGAATCACCCAAACTACAACCTTCAATTTGCTAATCTATTTTGTTCTAGGATTCTACAGCATCTACACGTCGTCATCAAGCCCATCATCGCCCTCATTTTTTTTCAGGAGATTATTCTGGGATAGCTAGACAGTTATTAAGCTTCGAGCTCATGTGGCGTGAGCATTTCCCTCATTGTTTGTTCCCGTTGCAGTGGCCAACTCTTCCACTTTGTTCGGAAATCTTCACCCTCATTGTAAGGCCAGATATTATCGAAGACTAGAAATTTTCCTTCTTTAAGCCTAAGAACTGTTAGTTCGACTGTTCCACGACTTTTTTGATATATGTTTCATCGGACCTTATCCTACTATCCTGCTTAGACTTTTCCTCTGGAGGTTGCCTATGTTGCCGAGCTCGATTCCGTTCGCGGAGCGTTTTTGATAGCTCTACAATGTGTAGACCACCAGTGCCATCTGGCTTCGAAGTAACTTTGTAACTCCGCGAGAGTTCGTTGATGATCACGTTGAGATCAGTCGAAGAGTGGTAGTAAGATTCGCCTGCGCCATAGGTCTTGATGACGAGAGTTTGAAGACCGTCACGACTGTGGTGCCCTTTGATGACACCCCAGATCTGCCTGACCAGATCCTCATCCAAAGCTGAATTCACCATTTCCATTTTAAGGTGACCATTGTAGCGTTTTGGAGTCCCCTCGGGTAGCTGTATCGCTTTGTCAAAATCACTCCAGTGCTTCTCTGGAAGCAGGGTGTATCTTCCACCATTGTTGCAATCGAGGTTCAGCGTCAAGTGCTTTAATCTCTTCAGCATACCCAAAGCCTCGTAACAGAGGACCTCTGCCTGATCTCCCATGGTTCTCCTCACTGTCAGGGTAAATTCTGATAGGTTCGGCGAATTAGAGGCCAAGCGTTCCAGAAGTTGCGCCGTTATCTTTGGAGATGGTTCCGCCCTGTCGTCGTTTTGGTTCCATTGTGGATCGAATTTCAGCCTTCGCAACGTCGCTCCATGTACTTTGGCAATAGTGTCCAATTCCGGCTCTCGAAATACTCCGGAAATATCGAGCGACCTCAAGGGAGGCAGATTATGAAAGAAGTTCTCAAGTGCTAATTGCCAGCTATCACTTGTTGCCTGCTCGATTGGTTCCAAGGTAATGTTCAGCTCATCGAGTTTTGGGAAGGGATTGTTGGACGCGACATGGGCAAGAAACGCTTCGTCTTTTGTGGTAAGAGTCAAGCTCTTGAGGTTCGACAAGTCTGCCAGCCCCTGCCACAGCTCTAGCTTGGGAATATCAATCGAGCGCTTGTATCCGAGGATGCGTAAACTTTCTAGTCTTGGCTTTCGTTCATCTTTGCCTTCTTCCGCCTGTGCTTCGTCGTCTGTGGCAGGAATGAATCCTCTCCACTCTTCCCGAGGCTGTCCTCGTAGCGCTACATTCATGAAATTATGTTTCCACGGATTATGTCCCGTTATTCGTACGTGTTTCAAATTTCGGGGGAGTCGCCCACTGCGCAAAGGAGCAAGCGTTTCGTGATCCGTTATGGGTCTAGCAGCATAGTACGAATGAGTGAAAGCCAGACTATGCAGACAGCTGCTCTTGACTATTGCATGTTCATCCCAACCTATGGTATGTGAATAGAATCTTATGGATTGGGGGCTCTGGAAATGCAGGCGGCATCTTGGATGGTGTTTCTCAATTGCGGTTATCAAACCGGTCGAGCTGCCCACCGAAAATTGGAGAACAACGTCTGTGAGATATTTAAATCTAGCCAGAGAGGCTATAAATGGCGCACGCATTTGTTCCCCTTTCATCTGGCCTCGTTCTACATTTCCGCGGTGGCGTTTATCCCAATCACGGTACCAGATGGGCGTTCTGGATTTAATGAGATCATAGGCTGGTGAAAGCGGCCAGATTTGTGTCTGGATTGGTTTAACAGACCGACTGCGAGTTTGGTACTGTTCTGGTTCTTTGAAGTTTATGAATCTATGGGGCGTAGGTAAGCAAAGTAAAATGTGTCAAGAAATTCCACAACAGCGCAGGGAAATAAAAAAGAAAGAAACAAGAACAGGAGAGAGAAGGATAACAGGGTGTGTTAACAATTTGAAATAAAAGTTTAAGTAAACAAGAGATTGAACGGGATACGCGATGCAATACGCCAAAGCCTTGAGCAGCCATCTCAGGATTCTGTGCAGACATACCTAGTATATCGTAGGACCTTGCTAGTAAGATCATCATCCGGCAACAATCGATCCAAGTCATCATGAACTAAAGATGTATTTCTTCCAACACCCCACTGCATACCACGATAAAAAACGGGCTCCGCCGCCGCGCGCCATGTCCTCGAAACTTGCCGTAAAGCCTTGACCGAATCGCTGTCGTGGAGCTCTGCGGCAATCAGGCTTTTAACGTCTGCTGGTAGGCCTTCTAGATCAGACATGTTCGATGAAGTGTACAGAAAGAGACTAGTGTCCGAAGGCGGTTTTAATACTTCGCACTCAACGGAGGATGTGAGGCTGAGCAATGGGCGGCCTCAGTTAGGCGTCTACTTGGCGCGATGAACTGTATTGTCCGGGTTCGGTAAGAGTACCCGTCATGCAGGGGATCACTAATATGCTACATATATATATTATGGGGTTCAGCCCACTATAGAATTGGCTATCAACGCCCTGTTAGTATTTAAATCAATGTTTACAGCCTAAGGAAGGCACGTTGAAAGGCTATTAAATAGTACGTCAAACTGCATATGTAGAAAGAGCGACCGATGGCCTGTTCTAAACTCAGCTAAAACCACCAAGGTAGTCACGAGGTCTATCTGGAGGTAGAGCCAACCAAATTGCAATATTCTACCAAGGTTCCTGAACTCAAGAAAAGGATTCTGGTACAATGAATTCTGTTCATGGTCGACGCTATACCGGTAGTATAGATAAACCCTCGTCTGTACTAGGTCTTGTAATCCTCTCGGGGATGTAAACTAAGTCACCCATCGCTACCACACGAGTGCCTGCGATCTTGGTTATTCGTTGTCTGAGCGATCATTGTCAATCCATTGAAACCCCATCCTACTCCATGAAGAGACTTCTATCATAGAACTTGAAACTGTTACTAGCCATTCATTGTGTATCATCTCGATCGATCAAAAGAAGTGCAAATAAACAGACTTATGAAGGGCATTCCCACACTCTGGGGCCCGGGGTCACATAGTCCCTAGCATCCTGCGTATTTGTATCCCACAAAATACCTTTATCAGTCTTCCCATACGCACCAGGAAACGCAACGAGGTCGCTGGAGCCGGGACTAACAGACCCTCCACCCACAACCTTGACTTGAGTGCAGCTCGGATAAAACTGGCATTTGCCTAGCGTTTTACACTCGCTCATCGCCATGATCTCATGCCTGATCAGATACTCCCCATCCGGAATGCACTGTGGCACAGTGACGTTCCACCAGTACTTTTGAGTGTCGAGTTGCTGTGTTGCCCATCCATTCTTGTACCCGTACTCGTCGATCTTGAACCACACATTACCTGTGCTTCCTGTGAAAGAACCACAGTCTGGATCGCATCTAGCCATGTACGTCAGTATTGGCCCGCTGTGAGGCCACCCTCCCCAGTAGATCTGCAAGTTTGACCCAGCGGTGATTGTTCCCGTGCGGGAGACTCCGTTGTCGTTGAGCGGGACTGCTCGCGCGTTGCATGTGATGTCGTTGGAGAGAACGTCCAGCACAGGGCCGTCGTAGCCTATTTGTCGCGTGATGTTGATGGCCGGCGCGGTCCAGTCGGGTACCTTGACTTCTGGGAATACAACATATGTGGCGCCGTCGAGCTTCAGTTGCTTGATCCAGCTGCGAAGGAGAGTTAGCTTTGGCGTTGCTGTCGCATTGGTGTGTCTGAACGTACCCATGGCATGCTACTTCAGACACAAGGAGATTGATGATAGATAACGTTAATATGGCTGGATGCATTTTGGCGAATTTGCGAGAGTAGAGGTTGATAGAATGTATAGCTTCAATATCGAGCTAGGTATTGTAACTAACTTATGAGTATAGTTTTAGTCAATCATTGAGGTCTATACGAACTATCCTCCTACTCAAAAATTCGATCACTTCGTTGATATATAGACCGTCCATCGGACCTGACCACTCCAGTATCATATATTGCGCCGGTGTCGTTGGTGGGTTTCGGCTGGTCAATCAAAATGCTCCATCATTTTTTCCGCCATTCCACCAATCAGTTGCAGCGAGTGCGCTACACTTTGCACCTCAACACACGGCATGGAGAGATCCGACAGAGCTAACATAGACTTGCCAAAAAATGCCATCTCGGAAAGCTATTCGATCGTTTCTTGCACTGTGATAAGACGATCGAATGAGGGGGAGATACTAGTTCGGGGCAGATCCTAGGCTTAATATAAAAACTTCGCAGAATTAGTTGGGTAATCGAATCATGGGGTGACATAAAGAATTACCCCTTTTAGGATGCCCTGGTTGAAAATGAGCCATACTACTTGCATAGAGTAGATAGGAGCTTCTCGTTTGTGGAAGAAATGTCCCGGGGCTTGCGTAACGAAGTGTCATGATCGGGAAGAACATAGCCAACTAGGTGTGAATAGGGTTATCATTGCATAGGCATTGGCCGATAAGCACGGGGTATTATACAATACTTCGAAATTAGTGCGTCTCTGGCAACAGGACATCAATCAAAGCTGCCTCAGGAACATGTCTCCTATGCTAATCAATATTATGACTTGTGTGGCAATGCTCTGTACTTCAAATGCATCCTCACGCGGTTGACTCGGTCCTTTCAACAGCAGCCTGCTTCTCCGACTGCATCGCCTTTTCCGTTAGGGATGGCTTGAGCAAATCAGCCTTCTCCCGAGAGAATTGACGGCTGGAGACTTTGTGTTCGAACAGCAGATCAAGCTCAGAGTATGTCAAGCCATGGGACTCGGGTAGGCGGAAATAACCCCAGATGATGAAGAGCACAGCAATGCCAGCCCAGAAGAAACCGCCCTTAGCACCCCAGTTCCATTCATTCTTGCCAACCATCTTCGGCATGATGGTGTTGGTGACGAAGACGATGCTGTTGTAGGTCGCACGAGACAGGGCGACGGTCTTGACACGGAGTTGAGAGGAGGGGATTTCGGCAGCGAGGGTGTAGCAGATTGGACCGATCGAAAGCTGATATTGTCAGACTATGCCGGAAAAAGAGTGGGAAACATCAAGACTTACCTGGAAACTAAAGATCATGAGAATGATCAGGATGCCGCCAGCCATACTAGCGCTCTTGTTGGTCTCGGGTGCAAGACCGATAAATCCGACAATGAGAAGAATCAAGGAGATGACGGAGAGACCGATGAGATACATTGAGCGACGGCCAAATCGGGTCATGATCCACCATGCGATGAAGCAGCCAACCAAGCCCAAGCAGTCCTGACCAATGGTAAGGTGGAAAGAATCGTCTTGGCTAATACCAGTGCCCTGCATGAACTGCGTACCGAATCCCATGAAGGGAACACCGCTGATATGAGTATTAGCAAATTGCGTCACGTAAACATTTGCTCTGGAGCACGTACCATAGTGCCTGGGTAACAAAAGCCATAGCACTGATTTCTGTGCGGTGAAGATCGCTACCGCGGAACAAATGCCAGTAGTTTGTACCAGCGCTGACCTCTTTCTCGAAAGCATTGGTGACGACCATCATCTCGATATGGGAGTCGAGATCAAACTCAATGCCAGCAGAGGGGGTAGTCAGAGAAGCGATTGCGGCTTTTGCCTCCTCTACGCGTCCCTGGCGAACAAGCCACCACGGGGATTCTGGACAAAGCAGAGTGGCAACAAGAATGGGAATAGGCCAGATCCATTGGAGAGCAAAAGGAATGCGATAGCCCCACTGCGTTGTGTTCTTCATCAAGCCAGTGAGAATTCCGGTGGAGAGAAGACCTCCAATGACCCAACACATGTTAATCCAACTCGTCATGTAACCACGGAGATGGGTAGGGCAGAGATCAGCGGCGTACGAGATAGCAAGGGTTTGGAAAACGCCCCAAGGCAGGCCTTGAATGATGCCACCGATGAGGAACATTTCGAGGCTGGTTGAAAAGAAGGGAATGAAGACAGCGCCAATCATTGCGAGCATGCTCACGATCATGGTCTTCTTGTAACCGATCCACTCGGTGATGTAACCGTTGATGATGAGACCGAGAATGCATCCAACCTGAGGAAGGATTAGCATCTTTGGAATAACGCCTTGTTCAGGCATGGGGACGTACCTGGGTTCCGTTGAGGATGATGGTTTGCCACCTTGCGGACACCAACGGATTGCCATCGGCATCTTTCTGGTCTCCGAATCTGTTCTTGAACGGATCGAAGGCGAAGAATTTGTTCATCAAACTCGTGTCGTAACCTTCCATAACGACAGCAAGCGAGATGACGAAGGAGAAGACAATAGCCTTCCACCAGAAGCGGATGCTCTGGCGAACCGTCATGTTGTGTTCATTGCTGATGGCGGCATTGGTATCGTCCTTTGAGGTCTGGGCCTGGTTGTGTTCGGCCACATGGCCATCGAGGTTCTTGTCGGTGAGCGACATTGTGGAGTGGGTGCGATGCGGTGAATGAAAGACCGAAAGTTGAACACTGGCACATGAAGCTCAACATGGAGGTCCAGGACGTTTATATGTACAGCTGGCGGCGGACCGATACGGGCTAGTTGCCCAGATGAAATGAGATTCGAGGCCTCACAAGTACGGCCAAGCTTCTACGTTGAGCCATGGTGACCCAGGGAACGGGCTGCCATTTGCGGGGAAGACATGGGCGAGCGGCCCCTGTCAATTTCTTCGAGTCCCCGTGGGGATCGTGGCGGCGAGTTGATGTTAAGAGTTTTACCAATTTCCCGCCGGTTTCCCGCCCCTAAGGTGACAACGGGCATGGTGGTTGCATCGGACCGGCTTCATCGCCCCTTTAGGTTTTGGCCATGGCATATCACGTGAGCTCCAGCCGACTGGTGGAGTCATGCAGCCGAGGTCCTATGCGAATTGTAGACTTGATTCAGTTCTTCAAACCCGCCACTTTTCCGCCGCCTGACCATATACGTACATACATCACCGCGTCAATACAGACAGACAGACAGACATACATACAAATCTATACCAAGTAGTATGCGAAGACCTTCCGCATGCAACACGTGCCGGTAATAAACTTTCAAAGTCCCGCATGTGCTGTCATGGTAGACAGGACCGAACAACTGACTAACTGACTGACTACCTTCCAGTGCTCGACGACGCAAATGCAACTATCCCACCACTGGCGACTCCTCAGTGTGTGAGTATTGCTCTGCTAGGGGTCTATCATGCATTCAGGCGCCGCCTGAGGGGGGCTTCTATGCTCAGCGACAGGCCAGACAGGAGGCTGCATCGTCCCAGGCACTCTCTTCAGCGCAACCATGTCATGAGAGAATTACACGTGATCATCAAACTCCACATGTCGCTGCAGCACTGCCGCAGATATCACTTCGGCTCCATCTGGTCGGACTCTATTTCGACTACATCCACGACCAATTCCATTCCATGTTCCATCGTCCCTCCTTTACCCAGGACGTAGCCAATGACCGCACTCCTGCCATTCTCCTTTTCGCCATTTTTGCCCTCTCATCCAGGTTCTCGGATGACCCACTGTATGCAGGAATTGACCCCAAAGACCGAGGGGAAGGTTACCGGGCTACTGCCGAGAATCTCCTCAACATACGCGACATCACACCCATAACCGTACAGGCTTGTATACTCCTGGGCGCCTATGCGGCAGCAAGTGGTGATACTGATGTCGAGAACCTCTACTATGGCCTCGCTGGTCGTATTTGTCTTGCACTGGATCTACCAAACCGACCGGTCGCCAGCTTGCTAGAGCGCGAGCTCAATATTAGAGTATGGTGGACGATTTGCATGGTCGACGTTTGGTCATCGACCGCTGTAAGACTTCCACCGATTATGCCTACAAGCAGCAATGCCCCGCTACCGATAGATGAGATCCCATTCTCGTCCATGAGCACCGACATCATCTCCAGCTTCATTAACAACCCGGCAACACACCAAACGCCGCTACTCGCCGAGATGATCAAGTTGAACAGATTACTGGCCAAGATAGTCGAGCTAAATAGTAGGTGCGTCTCCGAACACCTTGAAGGACAGTCTTTGGAGCTGGCGGTACAGGAGTTGTCTCGTGAATTGCGGCATTGGCTCGAGAGTCTGCCGTCACATATGAGAGACACGCCCGACAATTTCCAATGGTTTGCTTCCCGGGGTCTTGGCCGGTTTTTTGCAGCTGTATATCTCGGATACTATCACTATGGTCAGCTCCTCAACTACCAGTTTCTGGGTGCAGAGGCTTCAACTATACCCAGCGTTTATGCCGAAGACTGCAAGCATCATGCTATCGGGCTATGTGAAATTGTCTATCGATCCTTTGCCACCCCGGGAAGCGAGGCACTGTATTCAGCTGTGTCGCACATTCTTGTCATCGCGTCGACTGTTCAAATCCACACATTGCTTTTCTCGGGTGATGAGAGACAGATCCGTCAAGCCAAGTCTCGACTGGAACGCAATTTCGAGATACTACTACAACTACGATCCTACTGGCCCAGTGTGGATAGTGCGATGAGTCGTTTGCGTGCCTTTCATCAGACTTGTTTACGAAGCAAGGAGACGAGCTTCGTGTTGGACCGATGGCTGTTGCGATTTCTGGTGCAATTCGCACCACACATGGAACTTGAGCCTAGAGACAACGATCCCGACTACCAGGCACTATTGGCGCTATCAAAGCAGTCGCCGCTGTCTACTCATTCGGGGACCGATCTTGTGGGTTGAAAAAATCCGTTTACATTTTCTCTTGGTGTTTCATGGCTCCAACAAGGTCCAGTTGAGACAACAACAAGTCAACTGGTAGCTTCTCACAAAGCACTGTACCATTGCTGCATATTCAAATTTTACATCAATCGGACTGTAAGGAAGAGGTGGACTGATCATGCAGCCATGCCATTGATTTCGCGCGGGGGAGCTCCCCGCATAAATCGTTGGGAACCCCCACAATCGCGCGGCATTAGTGTTACAGGTAGCCACCTAGCGGCGGAAAACAAAGCAACTTTCCCGCCTACCGTGGAGACAAGTGGCACTGGTTCGACAACACATCAATGCTGAAGGCTATATATGCTCTGCAATTTGAGAGCTCACTTCGCATCTCATCCTCCTCGAAATCAACTCCAAAATGGCACGCATCCACAGTACTGCCGCCACTGCGACGGCAATCATTGCTGGCGTCTCTGCAATCAACAATGGCCTGGCCGTAACGCCACCAATGGGTTGGGTAACAGATAATCTCCAACATAATTCAAGTTGATTCGCTAATATGAAAAACAGAACAACTGGAATGCCTTTGGTTGCGATGTTTCGGAAGAGCTTCTCCTCACCACTTCCGATCAAATCTTGGGTCTGGGTCTGCGAGACCTCGGCTACGACTACGTCGTCCTCGACGACTGTTGGCAGGATGTCAACGGCAGAGACAAGAATGGAAAGCTCCAACCTGAGCTCAGCAAATTTCCAAATGGCCTGAGGTCCATATCAGACCACCTTCATTCCCAGGGCTTCAAGTATGGAATGTACAGCAGTGCTGGGGAGATGACCTGCGCCCGGTTCGGTATGTGCAACTGTGCGAAACTTTCTATTACATGGTGCTGACTCTCTTTAGCTGGCTCACTTGATCATGAAGTTGATGATGCCAACAGCTTCGCAGAATGGGGCGTAGATATGTTGAAGTATGATTCGTGCTATCACATGGGTCGCGTTGGTACGCCATCCGTGTCTTTCAATCGCTTCAAAACCATGTCAGATGCGCTGCGAGCCACCGGAAGCAACATTTTGCTTAACCTCTGCAATTGGGGTGAGGACCTTGTCCATACTTGGGGAATGTCCATTTCCAACTCTTGGCGCGTAACGGGCGACATCTACGACTCCTTTACTCGTCCTGACGACTTATGTGGCTGCAACCAAGTCTCTCCAGGTGACGTGAATTGTATCGCTCCGGGTACACATTGCTCTGTTCTTTTCATTGTCAACAAAGTCGCACCATTTGCCGACCGTAGTATTCCCGGAGGCTGGAGTGATCTGGACATGCTTGAGGTCGGACAAGGCGGCATGACTGACGAAGAATACAAAGCTCATTTTGCACTCTGGGCGGGATTGAAATCTCCGCTCTTCCTTGGGAACGACTTGCGAGATATGCCAGCCAAGGCCTTCACCATCATCAACAACCCAGCCATCATCGCATTGAGCCAGGATCCACATGGACGATCCATGACCCGCGTACGACGCGACACTGATGTCGCGAAGGACGAATGGGGCGTTGGTGAAACTCACGTCTGGGCCGGTCATCTCCAGAATGGTGACCAGGCCGTGATCATGGTCAACTTTGGCGGCCAAGACGCTGATATGGAAGTTTCCCTTGCCGAGATCTTTATACCATTCGGACCCGGGGGCGCAGCACCACACAACAAATTTGACTGGGCTGTCCACGACCTTTGGGCTCACCGTATGCCGGAATCTACGGCCGAGTCTGTTCTTGCCGCACCCTCGGTGGCTGAACGCGCCGCCTTATTGAAGAAGGCCAATTGGTATAATGCAACCGAAATCCCTTATGCACAGGGTCTTCGAGACGAGGATCCCCGATTATTTGGTGAGAAGGTGGGAGTGGTGAAGGCGGGCGGCGTACTGAAACAGAAGGTGAAGAGTCATGCTGCGACTGTTCTCAGATTGAGACGGATTGCCAAAGATGGGGAGAAATTCAAGGGGAAGAGCATTGATCGTGTTGCTAAGGATGAGCTATGAAGCGATTGGAGGACTTTGAGAATATGCTAACCTGGAACGGTACTTTGAAATGTATAATGTGGGGAGAAATGCGATAATAATCCATAATGACAGGCGTCGTTGTTGTGTTAGACATAATGACAAAGATTCGTGTTGGCTGCCGAAATTTACAAGTCACAATCGCAGTGTCCGTATGTGATGGATCTGGGCCATAATCCATAGATAGCTCATCTGACCCATGAACTCATTGTCCACGGATTATCGGGTTCATAAGGAATAAATATCAAGGAGCAGACTTGAGGATCGCCTGATGAAGAGGTGACGGTGGCATGATCATGATCAAACCACCCACCACCGCGCTTACGTTTCTCAACCGCTTATCTACAAGCACACAATTTCACCCATCTCCAATGAGACGACCACGAAAGTTTTCCATTGCCATCACAACTGTTCTTGGTATCGCTTTGGCGTATCTATACATAAACATCAATCGCGGTACGATGCCAGTGAGCCAGCATCCCCAGCCGCTTCCGAGACATTCCCCGAAATGCATTGTTGTCGGAGCAGGTCTAGCAGGACTCTCGGCCGCCAGCCAACTACTTACCCACAACATCCCCGTACTCCTCCTAGAGCGTGCGGCGAAGCCAGGTGGCAACTCGATCAAGGCGTCCTCGGGGATAAACGGCGCTCCAACACGCTACCAATCTGGAGCCGATGATGCATTCTTCTCGGATACGGTCAAATCGGCGGGGAAAGCTATATATACATGGACAACCCATCGCGAAAAACTCATCGGTGCGCTGACGGATCAAAGCGCGGGTGCCATTGACTGGCTGGTCGACGAGAAGTTTGTGGATCTGAGTCAAGTGGCGATTCTGGGAGGCCATTCGGTTGCTAGGACCCACCGGGGAAAAGGAGGGACACCGCCTGGGTATGCCATAATCTCAGCACTGCTGAATAGCTTGGAGAAATCTCCCCTCTTCCGCATTCGCACAGAGTGTACAGTGACCGAGATCCTGAAGGAGAAGTCGAGCGTCAGTGGTGTGCGCTTCAAGTGCAAAGATGGAACCGAGGACGAGAGAGCCAATGGACCAGTGGTGTTCGCCGCAGGAGGTTTCGGCGGCGATACACATGGTCTTCTTACCAAACACCGTCCTGATCTCTCCGGCTTTCCGGCAACCGTCGAGACGCGCCCTGGAGCTCAACCTCTTCTCACGGAAGTCGGAGCGCAGCTCATCGATATGGACCTGATTCAGGTCCACCCTACTGGCTTTGTAGATCCCGCTCAGCCAACTCTGTTTTCAAAGTTCCTCGCGGCAGAGGTGTTGCGGGGCGAAGGCGGAATCCTGATGCGCAATGGGGAACGATTCGTGAATGAACTCGACATGAGGGAGAACGTAACTAGTGCCATCACTGCACTCCCCTCAAACGAAAGCTCGCTAAAGCAGTGGGATGTCCAGTTAGTTCTCGATGAAAGCGTGTACCAAGCATGCAAGTCGCACGTAGACTTTTACATCTTCAAAGGCTTGATGAAAAAGACCCATCTATCAGAACTCGGCCCTGCCGCTCTAACGACTCTCCAGAACTATGTAAAAATCTTCTCAGGCGGACAGAAAGATGAGTTCGGACGGTCAGAGTTCTCGAATTGGGGTCTGTCAGACCCAACACCTGAGTCTGTAGTGTATGTTGGAACGGTAACACCAGTTGTACACTTCACCATGGGCGGCGTGGTTGTGGACGAGAACGCCCAAGTCCTCGATAAGCAAATGAATCCAATAGAGGGTCTATGGGCAGCCGGTGAAATCACCGGTGGTGTACATGGTACCAATAGATTAGGAGGCTCGTCGTTGCTTGAGTGTGTTGTTTTTGGCCGAATCGCTGGGAATATGTGCGCAACATACATAGGCAAAGAAGAAAGGTAGGATACACGAATAAGCTGTAATGGCAAGTGCTTAACATACGTAATCATACACGATGAAGAGATTGTTGTTTCGTCCAGGTTTACGACAAGTACTCTATCTCCACGACATGTTGGCGGTTGTTGTGTGCGACCTTGGCAGTCTCTTTCGGGATTTTCACCTCGAATGACATCTCCAATCCTGGGCCTTAGCAGCCTTTCAGCTCAGTCTCTTGATATTCAAATAATGAACTGAATAAATTTCTTTTTTGGTAATCGCCTGTTTTTGGTTCTATTATGGTTATCATAATCAGTGTATCGCTGTGCGTAGGATCACCCAAGCTCCAACCTACAAAAAAACAATCAACCTACAAATTACGAAAAGAATAAGATACGGTATAGATACTTTCAATGCCTAGATTACGGTGTATTCCCATTTGACTTTAGGGATTTTCCCCATCAACATCATCATGGGGTTGGAGTTCGTGTTATTCACCGACGTGTTTTCTAGAGAGCCGTTGCCTCCCATTCTGTTGATTAACGAATCCGCTTTCGTGCCCAACTCCTTGTGTTTCTCGATGTAACACAACTGTCGACAATGCATTGAGCCTAAATGCAGGCGGAAGGTGCATCATATAGAGCCATGAAGTAAATGGCGGTCGATGCCGACAACAGCAGTATTGCAGAAGGATCAAAACGGATGTAACCTCCACAACACTGTTAATTTTGATAGATAGCTTTTTTATTGGCAAATAGCTGTGGCAGTTATCTTTCAAATGGGGCGACACGAGCGATGAGCAATTAATCTAGCTGTGTTTATGGGAGCCAGTGCATATGTGATTTCGGACGGCCCATATACTTGATTCGATGCCGTGAGGCCAGAGTACTGCAAATACAAGTTCTGGAACCATGTCAGCGGCCAGACGCGGCTGCTCACTTCAGTGACTATTTGTGTGCCCGGGACCCGCAAGAAACGCCGCATAGACTCCGATATTCTCTTTCGAAGAGACGTCCATTTTCCAAAACTGGATATGATGCCCACTCGCGAACTGCGCGCTGGGAGAAACAAGCGCTTTGGCACAAGCAACAAATTCATTGCCTCTTTGAGGCCCACGGCCTTTGGCAGAGAGGACGAACGGAGTTCATGATATATATGAGACCCGACATTGAAGATGCCCGTGTAAACGCTTGGTTTCATCCAGGCCATTGGTGCGAAGAGAAAGCGGATGGAAAAGGAAGGTCAAGTTTTGCAAACATTGCAGCGGTCCGAACAGGATTAAGAGAAATCATGAGCTCCGAAACCCGTAAGCGGTGGCTCGTGCTTTGCTGAAAACAAAAGAACAGTCCTGCGTCCCTCAGTCATTGTTGGAATATGGCATGTATCCTCGGTTTGAAGTCACTCAGGCTTATGGTTAAATAAAAGAGAGGCACAATCGATGCAGAGACGATGAGCAAAGAAGCGGTTACGCTAAAATCTCCCCGTCTCCTAATTGTAATAATAATAGTCGCTCCGCGCGATGCTATGTGCATTGGCCCCCACCATGCATTGCTGGTTGCAGTGATTAGCCTGCACAGATTCCCGTGCTCTAGTTGCCGAGATGTTCATCACCGCTTGAACAAACAAGCCCAACCTTGGCCGGCAAGTTGCACACCTCATTCACATCTGGGCATAGACTTGCGCTGCTTGACCGCGTCGGACAGCGGACCTCTTTCTCAGGCTGCAACCGCACTGACCATTCTTGAAGGATTGCAGACTAGACCAGATTCATAGCTACCCAAATTCTCTACTGTCCGGGGAAGCGTTCGAGATCAATGTGCTTACACCGCACTGCCACTGCTTATGTTGTTCAAGCCTGGTCGACGCATGCCGGTTGTCAGTTTATAGAAAGGCCGAAGCTGACAGGATCCGAAATCCGCCTCAACCCCGGACCTCAAGTCATCTAGTCTTATCACAGAATTTCAAGACACGGCCCCCTCGAGTAGTGAAGGACAAGTCTTTCGTACGATTGGCACCCGTAGGCAGCGACCGCTCTCAGCGCCTGAGATGCAACCTACATTATCCGGATAGATTGGCAGCATGTGTTGGTAGTAGAGTAGGCCTGAGTGGCAGTTTAGGATCGTAAGTGTACAGCGTGAGCCATATGCTAGTAGGATTCAGTCTCATTAATACTGTCCTGGTGAACGCAGTACTGTCTTACTGTCAACAACTTCCCAAGCAAGGCGTGATCTTACGCCTCAATCCTTCAGATAACCACGCCTCAGCAAACTGAGTGCCGAGACTAAAGCCTCTTATTGAAAGAATACTTATCTCAATTTCATACGTGCCTGATGGTCATAGCCACATGTGTGAAGTGCAGAGACAGATCGGATATTCGACAAGGTGTCCTGTAATTGGAAAGTATACTATAGATAAAAAGATCTAGGCTACAGAATCAGTGGAATATTTCCAGAAAACATTAAAACGAGACAACTTCTTCCCAGAAACCATCACATCTAGTACATCACAACTGCCAAACGGTTGTTCGAGGAGGCGATATCTGGAACTCCGGTACCGCCTACGATATATGCTTTCGGTTGGCCCACAACCTTGTTCATGTACTCGATTGCTTTTAGGTTAGGGCCACCAAGCCAGTTCCCTTCCGTCGAAGCGATCGCGCGGGTACCGTCTGGCTTCTTCTGGATAGCATCTGCGGGCGCGCCGGTGACGACCTATTAATTGTTAGTATTTGTTCAGGCAACCTCTGTTCTTAGAACATAATCGATGAACTTACGTCGTTCGTAAAGCCGTTTAATTTAAATGGTGCCTCAGTAGAAGCAATGGTCGCCGCTCCGTCACAGCCTTGCTGTACACTGATGTCTCCGTGTGCGCCACCATCATCGTCGGCCTTGATTTGGAATTCTACCCATGTAGCAGGAATGTCTTTGCCCCTTTGCACTCTTCCCTTGAATGTGAGCGGCAGAGGAACGTGTTGCGAGGCTCCTGCGTTGAGAGTGACGGACTTCAACGGCTTGTCGAAGTTTGCTCCAGCCTCCCCGTTACCGTTCCAGTAATTGTCAAAGAAGAAGTATGTCTGCTTCTTTTTAGACTTGTTGGTAAGATCAATACCCGGGCCAGAATCCGCCCGCGTTTCGATGGCAGCGGCAGTGGTGTCAGGCTGGCCGACGGGGAGGGATGATACAGTGACGGTACAAAGCGCCAGAGCGAGCAGATTGGAGAACAACATGATGTAGGTTGAATCGTTGATATTTCCTCGTGGACGAGAGATTTCCGGTGTGTGTTCTGAAGTTCTCTAAGGGTATCACAGAAAAAATGTAATTCGAAAAATAATAGAATAAATGAATGACAGTGATGTAACGATTGACGAAGGAATGAATGGAATCGGTCGAAAGACCAGGCAAGATCTGAATGAATGGAACGAGATGCAGAAGAGAATGAGATGGAGGAAATGCGGTCTTTTGAATAACTCTCCATGTCATCAACGAAAATACAGCCTGACAGGGCCTCACCAGCTCGTTCAATACAGCATGCATTATGTCGGACACGGGGTAGCAGGTTGGGTTGGTAGGGGCGTTGGTGAATCTCATCTCCGGTACGCATGTTGCCTGCTCAGTTACGAAAAGGGAATATACGTAGCTGACCTGTGTTGTTTTGGAGGACTTAGGCGCCGCAAATGTAATCTTTCTGGCTGTTTCGAGGTCGTTTTGAGTGATTGGGCCAATAATCTTCGAGAAATGTCCGTATGCGAGGCCACCTGCCGTGCTCACTATGCCAGGATTCGAGATCCCTGTCCCTGAACATACGATTTCGAAACAAATCAACAGGGTAGACCTTTTATCCTACGCTACCAAATTTTCACTTAAAAGTCAAGCTTTGAAAGTAACAAATCTATAGCCTTGGTTTTACTAAAATGTTCGGTGGACATGCCCTAGGATCTAACGCAACATGAGAGGGTACGAATTGTGAATCGTAAGTTGGAATTTGGGTGATCCTACACACAGCAATATGTTTATAATAGTTTTAAACATAACTGTATTGTAGATTGCAGCGCAGCGCAAGTACCAGGTTTCAAAAGCGTATACTAAATCCCAGCCTAGGTCTACAAAGAATATATTTATTTCATGCTGGAGATGGATCGGCACACATTTCAGAAACTTTCTGTTCCTGTGTCAATTCAATCTACAGCTGCATGCCTGGCTTGTATAGGTGCACCGGAGTCGTGGCAGTTTTAAGGCAGGGGGTCTAGATGCTCCGATTCTTAGGAAACCCCGTTTCAAAGGACCCATTACTGTGGCTAGTCTACGTTGAGGTCCTTCAGTAGTTCGATGTCTCCGGTTCAAATGTTCCCTACCGCTTAGGGCTCAGGGTTTTTTCCGGCCCCGGCGGGGTGTTGCTCCGGAGCAAACACCCCAGAGCTTTCATCATCACCTTATTCGAGAAGGGGAAAAAGCAGATGTGCTCCGAAATCACGAAACCTCATGGATCATGAGCTAGCCAATGAATCACCTGGAACCACTTCCCAGGGACATCTAAGAATTCCATTTAAAAATAAATAGATTTTTTTTGGTGGGAGTTTGAGTGCTCTTGTTACAACAATAGAGGCACGACGAAACAGGCGTAATATTACCAAAAAGAATTCACCAACCAAAAATAACAAAGATATGTCACCAACACAACCCCGACATACCACTTGAAACTTAACCTCGATGAATGAGTTCCGAATTTCGACATAAGAGAGACATACCAATTCTGTTAAACACAGCACATGGCAAGGGTGCTCGTCACATACTCCTCAGATCTCTACGGCAAATCAAACACAGCGACGAGCGGGCTACAACGACTAATGGCGTGCTGACCATTGGGAGTCTATCGCAGAAGACTCATGGCTAGCGCTTCAGGCGGCCGATGAGCGCTCCCGCCATGGAGAGGGGGTTTTTTTGCACATGCTTTTGATTAATCTATCAATTGGGTAATATGCATGTAGAGCGCATACATTGGAATAAGAGACTGCGAAAGTTGAATACTTGTTCGAGGATCGATTCTTATCACATCAAAACCACTAATAACAGTCTGTCATATATACCACACATTCAGTGACATTGAAGGAGTAGCAGACAAGAAATGAAAAATTGAACCGCGTTCGCGTAGCTTCAAATCTTGAAGAGGGTGGCGTGTTACGACAAAACGGAAAAATTCCAAGCCCTCTGTCTCTACGTGCTTGATAACTAACGAGGTCATACGAGGCGATTGGGACCAAGGGAAACCTAGAATCCACAAACAATGGAGCTCGCTCGCATGGAACGTATTCCCCTCATATAGGCCATGCAGTCTCTGTATTCTGTTGCCCAAACTCCCTCGGCAGCACATGACTGTGAACTGGCCTTGTCCCTGTTCAAGCAGGGGACTCACTTGCTTCTATCCGGGGCACTCGTCCTACTTGGTGCCGCGTTTTTACAATCGACAACTGGTCAACCGCTTGCTCGGAAAGACTTTGCAGAATCAACAAGTTTTTGGCTAAGGGATGCGGAATTGCTGATGGATGAAAAGTCGTCACGAGGGAGGTTAACTGCTGCGTGTTTGTACAGTAATCTTCCTATTATATATAGTCTCTGGTGAGAGTTGGGCTGAGAGAAAAGATATGAACGGAACCAAATTTTCTCGATTTCTGAAAAGCTAGACGTCGCACGTATATAATGGTCCACGTGGTAATTTTTTCCCATGGGGTACATGTCGAGATGGCGACATCGCACCCACACCCCCACCTCGAGAGATTCTGGCTGGGAGAAGACGAATGAAAAAACGAGCAGTATCTTCGATATGCACACTCGTTTACCTGAACTTATAGCTCCCTTTCCAGATTTTGCTGGTCAATTGTAAAGTCTTACGTTGTACCGCCTGTACTGTCCCTCCAGGCGATGGTGCTGCAGAACACCGAGTACTTAACAGGAGTTATGCGTCAATCAAAAAAGCACCTTTGTACGGACGTAAACCACCTGTATACCACAGGTTCGGAGAACAGATCCCGTCATGCATATGGAGACCCCCATTAAAGGCCCCATTCGTGTCGGGAATCATGATGCGTCAGGGTGATATCAAAGCCTTTCGAAGATGACGACTACGATAGCTTCGGTGTGTACCAAGGTATGTCATACATATGAATTATTTTCATAGAATTCTTTGGAATGATGGAGACTGGTGAGCGGCTGGTTGTGTGCGAATTATATAAGCGTCCGAGCATTTCCAATGACCGCGATTTAGGCTTCTCATGGCGGGAGAGAGTTAGAGCCTCTCGTCCCAAGGCAGGGGATTTTGCGCGAGTGAAAGCGAGGTCATTTTTTTGTCATATATGTCATTTTCTTTTAAAGGCCGCCTCGTATGGTCGGCCGTGCAACTAGATTAATAGTGTTTTCGCGACTACTTTTGAGCCGTTCCACGGAGCTTTGGTGGCCGGCTGTGTTATCCACTCCCCCGTTATAGCATCATTCGTTATTGATTGGTTTCGCCGAAAGGGTATCGTACATGTTTGAATCAACATAATTGGTCGTGCGCGTTCAGTAGCGTCGCCGTGGGCCACGGGGTGGTCCTCTCTGGTTGTCGGGGAAGCCAAAACGGCCGTCCTGGAAGCCCCCGTTACGTCCGCCACCATTCATGTCAACGTCCATGTCGTCGAAAGACTGCTGAGGAGCACGTGTTGAGGGGCGCGCATGCAGGGCAGATGTGTTGTTCTTGTGGTACACATAGAGTACCTTTCCATCAGCCTAAATAGACGTTAGCAAGAGACGTTGGATGAGTCAGGATGGTTCATTTGCAAAATAATACAACGTACCTTCTTGCCATTGAAGATCTGAATCACGTTGTCGGCACCATCCTTGGTTTCGAAGTCGATTTCAGCCATGACGGTCGGTCCAGGCGTGATGACGCGCGCGCTCAAAAAGGAGCCGTGTCCATGGGGAGCCATGACTTGTTCGATATCGCTGCCGGTGGTTCCTTGCGCAAAGTTGCTGGCGACAATCGTGTAGGGGCCGCGGCTTGCGACACCCTTGATATTGAACCCCGGACCATCGTTGTTGTCCCTCGCATTTTGAGCGTTCTTGCCCAAATTAGAGGTGAATCTGTCGAAGGAACGCGTGTTGCGATCGATTTGTGAGGACGAGGCAGTGCGGTTCAGGCGTTTCGGACCCGGGCCATTTGGGTTGTTCTCTCGGTGCAGATCGTGTTGCCATTTCCCGTCGATGCTTGCAGCTGGCCTGGCCGATGATGAACGCTGTTTTTGAATACCGCTGGTACGACTCAGAAGGGTAGGCTTCTGGTCCCTAGGGCGAGCAGCGCCGGCCCCAGATCCTGAAGCATTGGCTTTGCGCGCCTGGCTTCCGAGAAACTGCTGCGCGATAGCCTCCCGCTTCTTGCGATCGCGAGCAGCCTTGACAATGTCGGCCAGAGAAGTTTCCGCCATGGCGTTCGAACTCAACAAGAGTTCAGGGTTGCTGCTGGGTGATTGCTGCGTGTACGAGTGCAGGCGAAGGAGTGGAACGGATTGATTGATGCGAGCGAGTAATATAGAAACAACGCTCCTCTTAGCTAGGCGCGTCCGCAGCCATTCGCGCCAGCTTCCGACTGCGCCAAGCCCTTTCTTCTAGCGTCGTCGGAACGGAACAACCCCAGCCCCGTCCCTGGCCTAAAACCAAAACTTCTGCGCGCCCGAAGCTTCTGCTTGTTCCTTCGTCCATCATCACGCTTCAATGTAAGTTGCACCACCCTTTCTTTCCCTCCTCCCATATCTTCACAGGATGAACTTTCGTGTCGCCCCTATCATACATATAATGGTGATTGACTCCCTAAGCCAAACGGGATATCTGATCTATCGCAAACTTTTCAACTGTTTTTTCCACAAAGTATGCAATCTTGGCATTTGCGCTGACCAAAGACAAGATAGGTTCGCCATGATACGAGATGGATGACATGACGGTATGGCCTCCAGTCTGGACCGCCATGGGGCAAGGACTGCCTGATAACTCCAACAATCCTGCGCTTACTCTGGTACGGCCTCAAGCGTTACGAGACTTCATACCTTGAAGGGCAAATGTGCCGTATAGACCACTTTGCGCGGGATTTGTTGGGGTTATCGGGCTGTAGCATATAATGTAAGACTTTTATTTTCTTCACCACCCGGGCGCTTTCATGATGAGCAACTCTTAGTACTATCAAATACCGACCTACCAGTGGGGATTTATTTTGTTCGATTACCTGATATCCATTCCTTCTCGCAAGCTTTCTTGGTTCATGGTTGCGCATTGGTGCTAACAAGTTTCAAGGTCCTTCTTCCTTGATCTTCTGGATAAGTGTTGACTAATCTTGGGGGCATGTTTCAGGTTGTGTTCTGGTACGTTATATTATTTTGTCTACGTCTCACGCCCATTGCATGATGATCAAAATACTCCATGCTAACACCGAGGGGGCAACCCTGATGTTGGAAAAAATGTATTGCTTTTCATCTTTCGACTGACTTGCATCTCCATTCATTGCTTGCTATGCCTGAATTGATCTGGAACCATGGCTGACTTTGGAGTAACAGACTATCAACTCTGTATGATGTACAGTTTGAAGAGAGCCATACAAGCGTCGCGATGGATACCTGGTATCGGAGAATATATTCATCACTTTTTGGTCATCACCGTAGCTTAGAAAATTCGAATGTGAATGATGTATGCTGCAGCAAGAACTTTTCCTTGTGCGATTGATTTGGGTATATTGCGATGTGCATCCGGTCCGATATTAACTTGTGCTCCTGCCATTACATCCTCCGCCCAACGACGCCGTCTTCAATCTGCAAACGGTTCCATCCGAGCAAACAACCACGTTGTCACTCAAAGAAACGCAAGAATTCCCATTCACGACCGAATTCAAGCCTTGACATCGCCAACCTTGAGCGCTTCTCCAACAACGCTCAACTCCTTACCGGCACCTCCATAGACCTCGGGGATACCCTGGCCCAAGTCCACAGCCAGCTGATTGCCATAGCTGAGAACCGTGAACTTCTTGACCGTCTCCTTGGCCACGATGAGCTTCATAGCCTGGAACAACCAACCCATGACGACGGGCACATTGACGAAGAACTTGCGCGAAAGGGTCTCGGGGTAGTGGCGGCCGAGCAGGTTGATGGTGGCTTTGGACGCGGCCTTGACGGCCGGGTCCTGGCGCAGGAACGAGACTTGCAGGTAGTCGTGGACTTGGAAGCCCTGGTACGGGTCGGGGCCTTCGTTGTAGTTTGGGATGGGCTGGGTAGCGGAGCTGAGATTGAGCTTCTGCACCGAGCGCTCCATGAGACCCACGCGCCAGCGGAGGAAACTGTTTGTGGGTTGTTAGTATCTCGTGTTCGTGAGGGGATGTTGCGCTTGCAAGGGGGAAAGATGGTACTTACGTATCCAGATCGCCAAAGGTCTTCTTGTTGTCCTTGACTGCTCCGTACTACATCCGGAGTGAAGAAGTTAGCGTTGTTTACCAAGCTGTCGAAGCATCGAAATGCAAGCATCTGACTTAATAACAAGAGGAAAAAAATACATACGATGTTGAAAGTGACGACGTCGGTCTTGTTAGTAGACTCAGGCACGCCATCAACAGTCAAGATATAGCCCAAGCCGTCGAACTTGTCCTTGTCGAACGTCTCACCAGCAGCCGTGACGGGATCAAACTCCTTGCGCCATTTCAGCGTGTCGAGGAGCTGCTGCTTGGCCTTGTCCAAGTCGTTCTGGTTGGCGCGCAGGAACTTCTGCAGGATGAGCTTGGTGTGGAACGCGTTGGCGGTGGATGAAAGCTTGATTCCGTAGATCTCATCGTGCTCGGCCTCTTTGACAAGAGCGTCGACTTGCTCGAACAGCTTGGTGAGCGGGTGCTCGGCCGGGGTCTCGGGCCAAACCAATGCGGCAGTATCGGTAGTAGCGGTTGCGGGCTCCTCCTCTACGGGCTTCTTCTCGTCGATGGCGATATCCAGCTTCTTTAGCTCGTCGACGGGAGCAGCTGGTCCGGTAGCGTCCTTGTCGCTGGCGGCGGCTGGAACCACGGCTTCCTCTTTGGCCATGCCATCACCACTGTCGACGGGTGCAGCAGCTTGGGTGCTTGCTACCGTGGCGGGGTCGGCCTGCTTGACGGATTCAGGAACCACATCGGCCACGGTGGTAGGAGTGACGTCTTCAGCTTTGGTAGCCATGTTTCCCGGTTGGATCTGGAGAGAATGCCGTCAGGGTCTGCCCTTGTTGTCAACCTTTATTTTTTTTTTCCCTGGGGGCGTTGTTGATGCGGGAAAGTGAGACAAAAAGCAGAGACCCAGCTGGCGCGATAGATAGGCTTTCCGATTATCTCCGAAGCAACAAACCTCCGAGCTTCGCTTTGATTGGCTGTGTAGACGCTCCAATGCTGCGTCACCTGTAGTTTGCTTTTACCTATGCAGCAATTCTATCAGCTCCAGTACTGTCGCCAACTTGATGCATCTTGATTACTATCGACGTAGGCGTTAGGCTGATCCTTCCTACCTGCCCGGTCATTCCCGGCGTCTTGCCCTTGTACATGACCGATATGGCATGCTATTCTCCATGTAGAAGTCTCCCCGTTGATTGGCTGACAGCTACAACACTGGTCCCATTAGGCATTGTAGCTCTAGTATAGCTGACTACGCAAGTACCAAGTCAATTGAGTCTTACTATTGGCTGCGTCGTATAACATGGTCCCCAAGTCCCGCACTCCAAGCAATTCACCCTTTATGTAGCCAAAAAGCAGACAAGTTTCTTGGAAATCAAGATTGCCCTATCTCATTTCCAGCATCTAGTTCGCTCGCGTGAAATGGAGATGCAATGCAGTGATGTGTATATATACCTCAGCCTCCGGTCGAGCCCAGCCGTGTGCAAACACATCTGCTAAGTATTTTATGCGGCGCAGCTTCAAGTTCATACGAGAAAGGGGAGTATCTGTGAACAAACAAAAAAGACTCTATCATCTATCAGCTTCCAGCCCAATTCCGTCTCCCTGACAGCCGTCCAAGTCGACACTGCAATCCACCATGGAAGAAGAAGGCACAGTGCTGATAACAGGCGGAAACGGGTCCCTCGCCATCCCAGCCATCCAACGTATTCTCTCCGAATACCCGTCTTACACGGTGATAGCCACAGTCCGCAACACCTCTGACCAAGACGCAAATACCGCCACCCTCCTCAAAGCCATCGCCGCGTTCCCCGCCGCGAAATGCCAGCTCCGAACGCTCAATCTGTCGCGCCTCGCGGAAGTATCTGCTTTCGCGGACTCCATTCACGCCGACATCGCCAACGCCGCTATCCCAAAACTCGTGGCCGTCATATGCAATGCCATGACGTGGTCGTTGAACGACGGCATCAAGCTCACCCCCGACGGCCTCGAGACTTCGCTAGCGATCAACCACCTCGCGCATTTCAGCTTGGTGCTGCGGCTCGTGGGGGATCTGAAAGCTGCCAAAGATGGGCGGATTGTGTTTCTGGGCAGCGATGCTCATTCTAACCCTGGGTTTGGAGGCCTCAAACCGGAACTCCCGCTGGATCTCCAAGACCTTGCGTATCCGCCGCCGGATAAGAAAGGCGAAGAGGCTTCGAAAGGGTTTTATAGGTACGGCATGTCCAAGTTGGTGGGGATTATGACGGCGTATGAGATGGAGAGGCGGCTTAGAAAGGTACGAGCTAACCTACTTCCTCCCTCTCTCTCTCTCTCTCTCTCTCTCTGAGAACTTTTTTTCACAGTGGACGAGCTAACTAACGAACCTCAGGATCCCCAATTCGAGAACCTATCCGTCCTCACTGTCGATCCAGGCGGTCTCCTAGACTCTCGAGCTTTCTCCCAGGGCGACGTGCCGCGCATGTGGGCTGTGATGATCGGCATCTTGGGCTGGCTGCATCCAGTGCTCAAGTACCTGCTTCCCCAAGTGCGATTCACGGCGACTGCGGCGGCAGGCCTGGTGGATATCGCCCTTCATCCCCGATATGCCGGCAAAGCCGGGTATTTCGTCATGGATAAACCAGCGGAGAGCAGCAAGGCCAGTCGGGACGAGGAGGTCCAGCAAGCGTTGTGGGAAAAGAGCGTTGGATGGAGTGGTCTGGAGCAGAAAGATTCTGCTTTGCGCTTGTAAAGTTCTTGCCTTTATTGATTTTGGCTTTGGAATCGCTGCGTTGGCGTGGATTAGTCGAGATTTTGTTTGCTGTTGGATTGTGCGTGGTTCTGCATTGACGGTATGTACAGCGATGATGTACCAAAAATAAAGACGAGCAAGATTAAATATATTGGCATTCAAGAAAAGCGAAGAAGACCGTGGGTAACGGATCGAGTCGACCTTATAGTCCCCTTAGCCTAATCACATTATCTGAATATCTTCACCTGGGCTTTTTCTCATTTCCTCCAGTAAAACTGCCTTTTCCTGAATATTAATCACCGCAAGGCCGATCCGTTTATAACTCTTTTCCATAGGCCGGAGGACTAAGCAGTACAGACGAATCTCGGGTTCTTGATCCGTATACACGCTATATACAATAGGTAGACACCACACATCTTGCTCTACGATCCCACCTCCGCTGTATTCGTGTTCTTCCGGGTGATCGGTATGAATCACGCTCTCCTGGACCTTTGTTGGCGGAAACTTGGTTTGCAGGAATCGAGGGTCGATATCGCCTAAGCTTCTGATGCGTAAAAACCCACCGTCGGAATACGTATTTCTATACACACGCGCGGGCATCTTTGTGCCGGAAAGTATCAATTCGATTCCTTGGGTGTTGGTGAATTGGTCGACGGTCGTAACGCCGTTGTGTGGAGTGGTGACTCGAGATGAGACTAGTATTGTACTGTTCGACCGCATGTCTTCAGAATCTAGGAACACGCACCTCGCATCGACGGCGGCCCAAGACCACGAGGGTGTGTCTTTTAAACATTCGTGGGATAAAGTTAGACCCGGCCCCGAGACTCGATACCAGAGTAGACTATACGGAAGCTGTTGTTTCCATATCCCAGCCAGATATTCCGAGTTGAGACCAGCCAGCTCCAGGAGGTTCTGCAGTCGCTTTGCGATTGCGGAGACGGCCACGAGCTTGTCATTTGCATTCGTCAAATCCAACTTGGTGTACTCCTTTAGCAAAAGGTACCAACCACGAAATAAGTCATTGTTGTTATTTTGAGATTGGGGGGTTTCGGGGTAATCCGCGAGGGAGATGAGTGTTTTCCCAAGGTTGGACGGCTCGTGCTTTCTCAAAGAAAGACTGGGCTGCAGCTCCGAAGCATGCAAGCTGTGGCATTCCCAGAAAACCTGACGGCTGCCAAAATACAACACTCTGGGCGAAAGAAAGCGTTCCTGTCGCGCCTAGTCAGTACATTACCTAGCTTCTGTTCCTAGACACCTCGAACAGTATGGCAGACAGCGAACTTACTTGTAGGACCCACGCCCGCTCCAACAAGGGCTCTCCGCGCCACGATGCGATAACAGATGCATCTGTGGACCGCAGTCGATACGTCACTGGCTCATGTGGACTTTTCCAGCAAACCTGAACGGTGGCCAAGCACAAATCCGAGAAATCGTGTCGATTGTAGAAGCAGCCACCGCTATCGTTATCCGAACCCAGCGCAGCGATGTTCAAATATGAATTGCTGTACACCTCCTTCATACAAGCAGATTCAACGCGCCAATCGTCCAAAGAATCTTGCTGAATACAGAACCGATCGATCCAAAGATAACGCTCGCCGAGTCTTTTCAGAACTTCGAACGCGTCTTTGAATGTGTTCGGTAAGATACTAATACTTTGTTCCTGCTCTAGAGAGCTCTTGTTAGACTGCGTAAGTATGAGTTTCTCGTCCCATTCTTGCGTGCCCCAGCAGTGACTCAATGTCAGGTAGTGCGAACCAGCTTCCACTTCGCTTCTAGACACCACGCGAAACGAGCAATCGGACTCATGAACCGTGAGCTTTAGGAGTCGAGTAGGGATAAACTCGCTGTTGTTTCTGGAGCCGCATTGGTCGTGGTCAACGCAATCTTGAAGCCAGAGTTCTATGACGCTCCACGTTGATGAGCTCGATGTGCAAGGCTCGATGCTAGGTAGCAATGTGCTATCAACTTCCCCCCAAATTTCAATAAGCGCAGTAACTTTCATATCGACATATCAAGAGACGTACCTTGAAAAGGATACAACTGCTGACTAAGCCCTCCGTAACCATCGTGGACGAAGAACGATACCTGAGAGCCGACGTCAAACACATGTCTGAATCCTATCACAGACGCAAACCCCAGATTCTGCTGGAACCCCGGAAAACTCTCCGGACAGAACCCTTTACAAATATGGCAATTGCGCTTTCGAGCCTCAAGCAAACTTTCCTAAGACGTGTGATGGCCGTATGCCCAACCGACGAGATCTTTTACTCACATCGGTCCGCGTCAGTGCTTACATCTCCCCGCTGCTACATTGCCACATACCATTTGGATCCCGCCTATTGTTTTGCAAGTTTTCGGTTTCGGTGAGGGGGATGTAGACATCGGCGTGGAAATACGGGTGAAGCCACGTAATCGAGCACACGCGTTTTATTTTCAAAGGGTCGCAGATGTGCCTCAAGGTGTCACGGCAGACCTGGCAGAGCATAGTCGATATAAGCGAAACTTGGAGCGTGGAGAACGAGATCGCATATATGTGGTGTTACTACAATGTTGATTGAATATGTTTTAGAAGACTGGCAAGAGTAAGACGAGATTCGCTTCCCTAATCAGAAGACACTAATGCCAAAATGTATGCTTGTGGGGTTTGATAATCTCTGACTTCGATAAGAGTAACAAGCCACCAGCACTTCTTGTATACCGACTAGTCAATTCGTATGAAGAAAGATCCGTTAACACAGCAAATGCGTTTCCGATTATGCCATACACGAAAGAGACAAGAAAAGGATAAGCGGAGAGATCTGGGCTGAGGGACATTGGACACATATGCATACGACATCGCAAAGTTTTGATCTACAGTGTGTGGGTCTCAGAGATTGACTACAAAAACAGACAATATACAATACGACAAATACAACTGGGAATATGGCACTACATCCAAAAAACGCTGAGACTCATAAGTCATTTCCCTTCGGACCGACCCACCAAAGCATACCAGAGCCCCCCTTTCCGTGACAGAGTATTAAAGACAGAGCTATAAAGAATAAAAGTCATTGAAATCAATAAAACAGCGTTGGCATTCGATCATTCATCCCGCTCCTTCGTCCTCTCCTCCTCGCCGGGCATCAACGTAGCGCGATCGACCAATCCTTCTCCTCTCAATACACCCAATGCCCTTCCAACAACCCCACTGTTGACGCTCTTCGGTTTGAGTTCGTAAATAATATTTGCAGCCGCCAGACTCGCCACAAAGAGTAGCACATCGCCATTTTTGACGCTCTTCCACCATCCGCGCTTGATGCCGACTTTCCACAGCGAATCAATGCTCATGCGTGTAGAATACAGCGCATTTCCGCGGCCCTGCTTGCGCTGCACAAAAGCCCACATGCCGCCGAGGAAGCCACCAAGGAACCAGCGCTGCGTAGGGAGGAAAGAGCGGGGGAAAGTATGTTGGAACAAACAGATGGAGCCCCAGGAGGTGCCAATGGAACCGCAGATGAAGAGCGACATACGAAGAATGGATTTGGCGAGATTGTTGGTGGCAGACATTGGCGAGGCGAGAAAGGTTTTGTAGCGCGGAATGCTGAGGGCAGTAAGAACCAGGGTGAAGAGGCGGGCGATTTTGGGAAAAGCTTTAATCCAGTATGATAGGTAGGTGCGCATGCAGGAAGGGTCGTTGGGGTGGAGAAGTGCACATGAGAGATTTTTTATGGCTGGATGTGCAGGTGATGTAATGGGTGCTATTGCTGTGAGAGAGCGAGGTAGAGTTTCGGAATTGGGAAAGAGGATGGGCGAGGTGAAAGGTAGCCAGCGCGCTTTGGAGATGTGAGCCAAGCTATCGACGATATCAAAGGTGCCAGGCCATTGGAGGTCCATTGGATATGCGTCGGGGCGCTCTTGGATGTATTCAGGGGAGTTGTCGAGAACGAATCTGCCGTATGAAGCAGGGAAGCAGTCGCGGTCAAAAACAAAGGCGTGGAGAAGCTGGCCGCAGGACAGTGGCATGAGCATCCAGGAGCCGAACCATGAGGGTCTGTTGCGAAAATAACCCAGCTCTTCCAGATAGTTGTAGCTGAACTCAAGAGTTTGCGTGAAGAAGTAGAGTGCGATTGTGACGCGCAGCTGGTCGCCGGAGGAGACTGCAAGGAAGAAACCTGCAAGACTCGATCCGATGGCTGGGGCCAGTCTGGAGGTCAAAGATTTGGCGACGCGTGGATTGCGGCGCCGAAACCCCTTTGCATCTGGGGTCAGGAGGCTCTCGCGCAGACGAGTGAAGAAGCGTCGTAGCAAGCGGTGGAAGAGGAGAATGAAGGACAGGGAGCATGTCAGACGGACGTTGGGCGATTTCCACACGGGCAGCCGCTGCTGCGTCTTCTGCACCGTCCTTCTGGCAAAGAGCTTGGTGGTTATAACCTCCCACGCCTTCAAGCCGGACATGGTCACGACGGCGAGTCGCAGCGATGCCCTGACGGCAGCGGCATTGAAGTCATCCCCGCCTTTGCCTCCTCCTGTACCCTTTCCCTTGGAGACGATGGCATCGTACCGACGCGGAGGCGGGGCGCGCTTCTTGACCGCTGAGGGCGCACGAGAGAGGAGGTACTGGTGCAGCAACTGGTATTCGCGGGGGCTGATGGTGTATCGCAGAGCATTTCTTAAAATGGGGTCGACGCCCCGTTCCGCCTTGCTGCTGCTACCGGAGGAAGGTGGCGTGGAGGCGCTGGAAGAAGACATGCCGGTCGCCGTGTATGCAGATGCTCATTGAAATTGCCATGTATCGGTGGTGATGGTATTGTTGTTGTTGTGGATCGTAGGACGGAGTATGGGGTAGCTGGATCCATGATCCCGGAAGCGACAAAGAATGATATGACGACTTGCCTCGGCTCGGCTTTCATGAATCGCGGGCAACGGGACAAAGAGCTGGCACGTGCGTACACATGTCTCTAGGTAAAAAGAATGTCGACTGCCATCTCAAAAAGTAGATTGCTGTCAGGTGGTGATAAAGCTACCAGCCCTATAAAACGGCAGCAATCGGATGGATGGATACATATACATGCACATTAACTGACTATTGGCTATGCTCGTTCGCAAGAAATATCCGTCGTCTAACCAAGTATCCACTCGCCAACCAAACTTGTCGGTATTATGCCCAGTACATACCAACACCAAGGAACGTCTCTCGAAAAGCAAAGAATTCCCCACGCTTCTTTATTCTATCAATACGCTCCCACGCTACCTCCCTCTCTGGCCAATGTCTCAAATACCCTAGGAGGCAGTTTGTACCGGATCAGCCCGGCAAACACCATCAAGTCCTTGGCCTTTTGCAATAGCTGGTCTGCTAGATTTCTCCTCGTAGGATCTTCATATGTCCCACTAAGCAATACTTCGCGATGTCGAGAACAGCAACCGATGCACCAAAGCAACACATTGCCGATATTGCGAGCGATTTCAGGTCGGTATTGCGAGAAGTTGTTGGCAGATGAGCGAATATCGGACAGATTGCCGCGCGCCTGCAATGGCAGGAGGCCGATGTTCTCAATTTGCTACGCAATCATCAGTATATCTTGTAGACAAAGTATCGCTGCAGGGGCGAGGCTTCACTTACATCAAGGGCTTCCATGTATCGCCCAGCTTCGATGATCTTCTTGATCTTGTTCAGCTGGAATAGGACACCGGCAGTATCGCGGTTATCTCTCTGGATTTTCCTCCACCATGTCTGCTGGGCGTTGTAGAGGGTAATGACCTTCTCCGCGAGATCTACCGGATCGTCTGTAGCAAGCATACTGAGGCTTGAGGAGGATAGCTCAGGTGCCCGTTGTTCGACAGTTGCTACACGCGGCCTCAAGGGCTCTAGACGTAGAGGCTCTTGGCCGAGCTCGACGGAAAGAGCTTCTGATAGCGCATGGTTGAGAATAGACATCACACTGTCATACTCGCCCGCGAGATGGTTCAACAAGACGGCATCATTTACACGGCCATTGTCATCTGCCACCTTGGCTGCTTCGCGAATGATTTGGTTGATGAGGGCATCCTCTCCAGTCAGCTTGATCAAAGGTGCTCGTTCTTGGATGAGACCGGGGGTGGACTGTCCGTTGGACCTGACATCGCCCAGGAGCGTCGAAAATTCCCTAGTCTCCAAGACTAGTTCGCGGAGTGCTTCATGGCAAAGCTCTGCCTGTTGTTTACCAGCATCCCCGGGAAGGTCTGCATTCAAGCAAATCAACACGAGATACTCAGCGGCGGCGTCGGGTCTAGCTGCACGGAAGTCGCCTGTGTAATATCCGACTACCCTGCCGAAATTGAGCTGAGGCAGTTGCTTGGTCGTGTAGGTGAGTATCTCCGCACCAGCGGTACGCCAATCAGACACCCGCAAGAAACCATAGTAATCGAGGGCGATTGAGAAGTGGACAGCCGAGATGTAGTTGTGTTTGTAGAGGAAGTTGACAGCTTGTTCAAACATGCCTGCAAGCGTGGCCAGGTAAAAGTAAACCCCGTAGCCGCTGCCAGACTCAGTGTCATCGTTCATGAAATGACGTTGACCAATTCCTGTGGTAGTAGAGCGGATCTCATCTAAGCCGAAAATCTCCCCTGCGTTCTCTTCGGCACGGTTCCCTTCACGTGCCAGGTTGAACTGGAGCCAAATCCAGTCTTCCATATTTTCCTTGATGTGGCTCAAATTTCTGCTACTCAACTCGCAACGACCGAGGATTTTGTAACACGCGAGACGGAAAGGATCGTTTGTAGGTCCTATGCGCACACGTTGCGCGTGCGCGTTGCCGATTCTCTGCTGCAATTCTGGGCTGAGCCTTCGATCCGGATCGTTTGCATAGTAGGTGACCGCAGGAAGAAAATTTCTGTCCGTATTATTGAAGAAACTCTTCTTCTCTTGCCCGTATTCAACCACGTCTTGCACTAAACCGGCTCGGAGAAGGTAGAACACAGTGACCCAGGGAAATTCAACTGTCGTTGTTTCCCCATTTGGACCGTATTCTCCAATGGTATTCAAATAGTCAATGTCAACCCCCAGCTCTTTATGAGCAACCTTGGCTCGGACAAAACCCTTGATTTTGTTGACGTTGGAGGGCGCACCGCCGGGTCTTGCTTCCTGGGCGTTTTTCTCCAGAACTTCATTGACGCTAGCCATGAATTTCTTCTCCAAATACTTCCGCGACCCGTCGAGAATCCGTTTACGGTTGTTAACGCTACGAACCGAGTTGGGTTGCTCATCCAAGTAATCAGTTTGAAAGCTACGCTCCTTCGGTTGTCCATATCCTGAATTGTCTAATGACTCCATATTCTCGCCAGTGATAGAGGCCAGCGCTTGATAAGCATCAACGAACCAGTCCGAGTTCTCTCCATGAGCTGCTTTCTCTACTTGAGCAAACTCGTGGAGAATAGGGAAATGTGTCTCTCTCAGCCTTGTTTCGTTCAACCTTTTGATGGTTTCCATAAACCGCTCTTGTTTGTCCCGAGTGTGGCGATCACTGGGGCCGTTTTGCCCAGCGAATGTCGATTTGTCTTGGGACTCGCTGTGGCCATTTCTCTGTCCATAAGGCGACATGACCGAGCCAATGACTGGTGGTGGACCATGGGATGCAGCAAATGATGCACCGTTGACAGAAGCTCCCTTGGAACCCATTGATTTGCCTTTACGCGCGGATCTGCCAAACGCACCACGAGCGGTACTGGCACCAAACGTACTCTGTGATGCGGCCATCTCCTCACTTTGCCGGCCTAGACCAAAATGCTCGTAGATCTTCTGGCGCTGTTTGTCCCATTCGATCTGTACGTTGTCTTCCAAGAAAGTGTCAAAGTCTCGTTTCGATTGTTCTAGCCCCTCCTGTATCAATGCCAAAGTCGACTGCGAATGAAGATTGGAGAGATAGCTGTCGACATCGGTATCCAGAAAACTTGTTGCAGCTCCGGTAGCGTTGAATCCAGCTTGCGTAGAGAATTGGTTGAGATCGCGAAGGGTGGTACCCGTCTTCACACCGGATGCGGAGAGCAAATAATGTCTAAAACAATCAGCTTCGCCCTATTCATAATCTGAAAAGATGGACTTACGCAGCACGATCCTGCGCCTGATCGGCCGAAGGACCGCCAGTGCCTAAGTTGCGAACCTTTCGAGCTATGTCGCCCAAGCCTAGCTGAAGAGCTGGCAATTCGTCGAAGCTGGACAGCCCGTTTTCTCCGGCATTGCGTTTGCGACCGCGTTCGAGCAGGTGATCAAAGTGAGCTGAACGACCAGTACCGGCGTTTGACTGTGACAGAGGCCCCCCGGTTTGTGGCGCGGCCTGCGAGGTACCAAAGAGTGAAGGTTGTCCCGAGCCAGCTGATTGCTGTGTGTTCAGCAACGGGTTTGTTGTCGAAGTTGATTGCGGTGCTTGCTGGCCCGCGGGTTTGGAGAAGAGACCCCCGAAACCTGAAGACGCGGGCTGCGCCTGTGATGTTGCGCCTCCCAACGACGGACCCGGTGCTGCTGTCGATGCTGGTGCAGCAGCACTCGCTCCGCCAAACAAGCTACCACCACCCAGTCCACCGGATGCTGGTGGTTGCGAGGTTCCTTGTGAAGTACTGGCAGGCGTACCACCCAAGTTAGAAAACAACCCACCAGGTTTTGTGGTAGCAGCTGGAGTCGTCCCTGAAGCGCCGCCAAACAAGCTAGCAGCCGGTTTCGATGCTTCGCCGGCAGCCTGAGCACCTCCTAGATTGGAGAACAAGCTGGGTGTCGAACCGGAGGACGTTGTTGTCGTTGTGTTCCCCCCAAACAAGGGCTTGAACGCGGGCGCACCAGAGGACGAAGGGGCACTCGATGCAGGGTTATTATTCCCAAAACCGCCGCCGAAAAGCGACATGGTGGCGAGGGATGACAATGTCGTGTTGTTGCGCTGGCTCGGTGTGTTGATTGCTTCTAACGAAAACAGAAAACGACGTCGCGACAGCTTTGAGCTAGCCAGCTAAGCTAGGTGATTGCGCACGGACGAAGCGAGACGCGCGCCTGTTAGTCAGTCCTCCCGCAGGTATCCAAAAAGTACGACGGTTAATCCAGGAACTACACCTTTTGCTGATGAGCTACTGATTTTTTCTGTTTCAAACATACTTATTACTCTCGGAACCTTGTAAATCCAGAACTAAGAAAAATTCGAAGCTCCCGAACGAACATGCTTTACCTATTTGGAGGACTTGCCTCCGTATCTGCATATATATTTTTTTTTCTAACGGAAAGAGTGTCAAAATGAACACCATATACTGATTGCTGCAGCTTCATTTTTGCATCAACAGTTCAAGCTATCACATGGAAGGTGGCCATGCTGCGTGATTGCCGTGCTTGATTCGCATTGGTACAATCAATTGCAGTTTGTGTGCAGTAAACGACAACCGCAATCAATCTCGTGAGCAACGGGGCATTGGAAATTGCAATTTAAATAGACACGCTTCTTGCTGAGGTGTAAGGAGCAGTAACATTGCGAATTGATTGCTTCTTCCATAGACCCAGTGTTAAACCACATTCAATGCCGAACCCCATATACGTACCTGTACCCGCCCCGTGGAGGAACAGACCAGCCGAATATCATCGTGGCGCAGGCTGGGAGGTGAACGGCACCCCGATCAAAATCAAGCAGAGATACTACCACTATGTCTGGCCCAAGGATGGAAAGAATGGCTCAAGATGGGGTCGTGTGAAAGACATCTTTACGGGAAAAGGGCCCGACATACATTGCACGGTGGGCGCCAACAAAATGGACTATATGTTCCACCGACCGCGAAGGAACCATTGGAGCTTACACACTAATCTTGATGCACGGGGTCCAAATTGCTCGCTTCTCTCTCCGGACGACAAAATCAACGAGATGCGCGAGAGATCCGACGTGAAATACGACTTTCGTACAAGAAGATTCGTCAAGCCTTACGGGGGTATGTGGACAGATGTCAGGTGGCAGTCGAAGCCTTGGACGAAGGAGGCTTATCCGGAGGCTTATAGGGATGTACGTGGAATCTGGTGGCAAGATCCATACTATTTTCCACCAAACCGCAACGTCGGGAACCATCAGACTTGAGTTCCCGAAGCGCCCGTTCGATGGCAGTGTATGAGCTACTGTTTACTCTATACAGCCCTCGTGGAAAGCTTCCCATTCGGAAATTGTCTTCTCGTTATGAGCAATCTCTCGGCTCCTACGGGCCACTGGCTGCGAAATTTGACTGTCAAATAGTTTATTGCACTTTGCACATTTTTTGCTTTTCACAGTCTTGTAGGCAGCAATCATATCCTGGGCGTTTCATGTTAGTATGAACATTGAGAATAGCAGATACACATGTTCATCCCATGTTCACAAACTACGTCCCGGAAACAAAGTGATAGTTTAGACATACCAATAAATAACCCAAGTCGCTTTTATGTGGCCGTGTACTGACGCATCGGGTGATTGTTGGTGCAGGCTCTTGTGTGCCCGAGCACAATATTTGTAGTTTCTGCATGCCTTCTGGCTCTTGTTCGACCGTGATGTGGAATCCGAGTCTACCAAGATCCGACACAAGTGATATCTGCTATGGGTCAGTCCAATATCGACCATACTCCGTGTGGACATGTCAGGACAAACCTTGAAGCCGCGATCTTCGTTCTCTGTTTGGACATGTATTTTATCATGCTTGGCCTTCCAGTCTTCTACGATCTTCTTCATATCCTCCTTGCTCAAATCAAATCCCGGTTCGCTTTCGGTCTTCGTCTCCTTCCCCTCACTTTGTGTATCCTCCCTCACATTTCCTTCGATCCCCACCCAGCCATACTTGGACACTTCAGCACTCATCGTTAGATCTCCATTCACTTGCAGGCTCTGCTTGCTATGCGCAAATATATGTTGAACTTTCGGGTCCTCCCATTGTCTTCTGAAGTCTTTCATGTCATTCCCTGCCGCCGCGAGATTGTTTTTAAATGCGTTGAACATGGACGGTGTGAGTGGAGAGTAGAAGGGCTGAACGACACGGGGAATTGTGAGACGTAGATCATCGAGCTATGTAGAGAAATAGAGTCAGTTATGCAGTCCGAACAGCTCTCAAAGCTCGACATGTCAACTCACTTGCGCCTGCAACCGTTCAAGCCGCGCGAGAGCAGCGGAACATTGCGACTCGTCCCATGTCGCAGGGTCTGTGGTCGTCATTACTTGAAGATATATCCAATACAAATGTAAATCGAAGATTATGCGATAGAAAGAGTCGATTCAGAACCGGTAAAAAAGGTGGCGAGGTGGGTAATCCATTTGCAAACGGTGATGACGGTGGTAAGGATGGATGGGGACGAGCATGGAATGGAGCTCTGTCCTGGGGTTGGAAGCTAACGCCCGCGGAGATTCTAAGCCCGATTCGTGCAAGTGTAAGTGATCCTAAATCCACCGTATATGCTTGAGTTGATAGCAATCACTATAACTTGATTGGAATGATGTCGCTGAATTTCCAGCGGTTCACAAATCAACTGCAATGCAATCATATACTTAAGTATCTATAGGAAATCATGAATCAAGTCCACAGTTTGCACATACAAATGTTTCAAAATAATATAGTACATGATCTATCACCCCGAATTCCCAGTCTTATAGCTTGGCCTTTTCTTTGGGGCCAATGAGTGGATCATACACGTTGCGACCCAGTGTATCTTCCGGAACAGTAGCTGTATGCATGCTGAGGCCCCGCGTGTCTACCAGAGTTGGGTTCAGGTCAGATATCTTGGAGGCTCCGATCAATCGCATGTTCATCTCCATCTCGTCTTTGAGTAATTGGATCGCACGATCCACACCTGGCAATCCGTATGCTGACATGGCATAGAGGAATGGTCGACCGATACCAACTCCCTTTGCGCCTAGGCATACAGCTTTGATGATATCGGTTGCTCGTCGCACACCGCCGTCAATATATATCTCGATCCGATCTTGCCAACCCCGTTCGCGAAGAACAGGCATCACTTCGGCAAGCACTTCGATGCCGGAGCGCGCAAAATCGAGTTGCCGCCCTCCATGGTTGGACAAGACAACACCGTGTACGCCAGCTTCGATAGCGCGGATGACGTCCTCCACACACTGCACACCCTTAAGTAAGATGGGCATCTTCGTGATACTCAGGAACCATGGGATGTCTTTCCAGCTCAGGCTGGGGTCAATAAAGGATGAAATGGCGCGTGCAGCACCTTGACTTCGATCAACATCGTTGCCTGATGATGATTGAACATTGGAACCGACATCGGAGAACTTGGAACGCATGTCTTTTTCACGACGCCCCAGCTGCGGTGCGTCCACGGTGATGAATAGACCCTTGCATCCACGCTTCTCGGCATGCTGCACAATCTTCTTGGTGACTTCGCGATCTTTGTTCACATAGAGCTGCAGCCATTGTACCTGGCCATCTTCAGCGGCATCGACGATTTCATCAAAAGAGCACGATGCCAGTGTTGGGATCATCTGTACCACGTTGTGTTTCTTTGCGCCTCTTGTCAGGATGACCTCGCCCTCGGGATTCCCAAGTTTCCCCAAAGCGGTTGCGGTAATGTAGAAGGGGATATCGACCTTGGCTCCGAGCATGGTAGTGGAGGAATCGACCTTTTCCACGTCAACGAGCACTCGTGGTCGAAACCAAATCTTGTGGAAAGCACTGTGGTTTTCGCGCATAGTCTGTAAATGCACATTAGTTATGGGTGCAGCAAAGGAGAGTGCATCGCCTGGTGGGTCTCACAATCTCGTCATCGGCACCGCTAGAGTAATAAGCCCATGCCGATTTCTTCATGGTCTTCCTCGCGACAGCCTCGAAGTCCATCAGGTTGTAGCACTGCTCCAAGATGGGCATGGTCTCGATGCGCTTTTGCCTCTCCTCTTCCTCAGGATCAAACTCTTTTTCCTCGTGCTCAACGGTATTCATATCAACCTCGCCCAGGTGTTTTGACTTGTCGAGGTACTTGTCTAGGGTGTCGGGCGGATGTATAGGCTCGAATTCCTCGGTCGCGTCCTTGCCTGCATACTTGAGTATGATCTTGCTCCCTCCAGGGTGCTCAGGGAGAAACTCGGTCACATCGTAGGCGCGACCATGAACAATGACCCAGCATGAGTCCTTGTTGTCATGCTTGGCGACATCTTGGCCTGTGAGTTTGACGTTTTGCGTATTGCTGTTGTCGCGATTCATGATGGCGTTGGTGGAGGCGGACAAGGGTCACCCGACGAGCTGATTGAAGAGCGGACGGAATAGGGCAAACGACGACAATTCGGATTTCCTGCCAGCAGGCTTAATTGCAATGGGCGGCAGCGCTTGATTCTTATGCTCCAATGTCGGCTCCGATTACGATGGGTGGCGAGCACTGGCGTGAGCGGAAGACGCAGGATTGTGACGGCAATGATGTGTTTGGGGCATCGCCTCGGGCCATCTCTCCCCGCACCATCGGCCCGTGCTTGGTCTTGTCTCGAATCGAAGGGGCACTGGGGGAGGAATACCTGCTCAAGTACCTGACAACGGCGGGCCGGGCGGGGGGAAGTGTGGATTGGAAATGCGGCATATCTCATTTGGCCTTTTGTTTCCACCGTGGATAGATGCCTATGTAGGCATTGTAGGGTTGCGCATGCATATAGGTACGTAACAAGCCGCATGCACAGCCAACTCAATACAGTACAGCGCAGGCACATAGCTAAGGTATGTACGCATGGCCCGATGGCAAAATGGCACATTGCCATGTCTGACAATAGCACAATGTCATGGCGTCGGATGTGGGGAAGCAAAGACAGGGCCCCCGTCTGGAGTAAACAAACACGCACATACAAGATCCATATGCAGGCCAATATTGACGCCGGCCTCGATGGGTACCAACGCCAGCAAATAGGTGCATGGAAACGACAGCTGGACGGCTTGGTGTGCAATATCCAAGTCCTGTAGGCTTGTGGTTTTTATTTTTTGGGTCCCGTCTACAAAAAGGATCCATGTCCCCTCTTCCCGCGACAAATGCCCTGACTCTCCACACATTCTGCTCTGCTCTGCTCTCGACCAGAGTACTCGAGCACGTATTATTTGTTTATCCATGCATGCACATGTCCATGTACATGAGAAGAGCAAAGACATGTGCCCAGCCCGCAATACATACATACACATCAACAACGCCTTCCCTTAGTTATCTAATCACCATGCCCGCGCACGCTCGAATCCATCTCGGCCAAAGAGTCACACGGACATGGCTCCTCGTCAAGCCAAGCGACCCGCTCGCTGCCTGAGCCAAATCGTCCGTGAGCCTGCGTGCGTGCGAGCGATCCAGCACATGGCCAATTCTCGTCTGCTTGCTGCTATTTGCTGATTGCCCATCCATGTCCGTGTCGGCCGTGTTATTCACTTCCGCCTACGTCAACCCCCCCGTGAGACCTGCCCTACACAGCTCGTCTGTCTCTTCACCACCGCCTCTCGCCCAAACACACACCATGACAACCTGGCGACACTGCTATTGACTCCACCGGCTCGGCCGTACCTATCTATCTATACCCACCCCCGCCCATCACCACCACAACGTGGCCCTCGACCACATACGTACACCTACACCCACGCACACCATTCCCATACCGCCCATCACACATACGCCTTCCACCCGAGAAAGAAGGAGATAAAGGGAGGAAGAGAGTCAACAAGAGTAACGGGATCCTGTTCACCCACCCACACACCCACACGTTAAAACCCCACTCGCCTATCCTCGCCCACGCCCACTCGAATCACACATACAAAAAGGTTGCACCGAGCAGCCATGTCCATGGAGGCCAAGATCGTGGTACTCGGCAGCCAGGGAGTCGGCAAAACCTCACTGGTCCACCGCTACGTCAAAAATGCATTTGCTCCGCCCTCGACCCAGTCCACAATAGGTGCTTCATTCCTGACCAAGCGCGTTGTCGACATCGACACCTCTACTATTGTGCGCCTGCAGATCTGGGACACTGCGGGCCAGGAACGGTTCCGCTCCATATCCAAACTATACTACCGAGGTCCGTTCCCACATCCTCGTTCGCGTTTATCGCGTGTCATATGCTGTACATATACTAACCCCCGAGTTCCTTATAGGTGCCAACGCCTGCGTACTCTGCTACGACATAACCGACCCCGCCAGTTTCGAGGAAATGGGCCGCTGGCTTAAGGAGCTGAAGCAGAACCTGGGCGAGGACATAATACTGCACATAGTTGGCACCAAGTCTGATGTAGTCGCCCAAGACCCTTCGAAACGACAAGTCCCGTTCGAACGTTGCATCGCCTACGTCGCCGAGCACCTCTATCCCCACCAGGCAGCTGCTGCGCAGAACCAGGCTGTGTCTGCAGGCTGGCAGACTGGAGGCATGGCATCACCGCAAAGCAATCGGTCCAGTGGGTTCTGGGGACAAGACATCGGCTGGGACTGTTGCCACGAAATCAGCGCCAAGGATGGTGAGGGCGTGGATGAAGTCTTCCGGGTCATCACACGAAAACTGGTGGAGCAGCAACAACGCAAACTCGAGGAAGAAAATCGTCTGTTCCAATTGGCCGGTGCCACGCCCGGTGCAAACGGAAACGGGAACCCCAATGGCTACTTCGATTACCCGGCCAACAGCAACGGCAGTTTCCGCGTCGGCGCTGGCGACAAGAGGCGGAGCTGGATGGGGTTTCCGACCACCCCAAATGTAGGCGGCGAGCAGAGCCAATGGGAACAAGACATTGAGCGGACCCAGAAGAGCAAAGGGGGCAGATGTTGCTGAGGCCGCCCATGTGTGTTTTCCCTTTTCCATCCCGCCTACCACAATCCCACCACAGTCCACAATGGTTTCCCCTTAACAGCGGTTTTTTTTTGGGGAAACCTGTTTCGCGCAGGTCCCCCAACGACCATTGGCTTTTTTTTTTCACACATTCAAACCCGACCCTGGATAGAGATTCGGTGCCTTGTTGATCTTCGAGATACCCCTCCCTTGTTAGATGATCCCACATGATCGTTTCCAAATACCTCTTTTGCATGATGCATGCTCTCTTTTTTTCCTTCTTTCCATCAGTTTGACGGGTTCTTTTTTTTCACTCCTGTCCATGTTATTCCTCTATCTGGCGAACCGCTTGCTAGAGCAGTCTGACACTTTTGATTACACGTAGGTTCTTTACAAAGTTTGTTTGTTTGTTTGCTTAAAGCACTACAGGTTTATCTTGTGACTGACGTATGCTCCCCGGCTTTTGCATATTGGCGTTGTGGTTGTGTATGTATGTGTGCGTGTTAATACTTCTTTATCTTTCCTTCTTTTTTTTCGTCTTTTTTTTTCCCCCCTTTCTAACTCATCGCGGTTTTCTTTCTCTTGTTACTTGCCGGGGGTTTTTTTTTTGTTCGTGTAGATTTTTAGGGAATTGCATCAGCGCCGTTGCTCTTTAGCTCTTCGATGTTTTTTTATATGATGAACCTGGATACTTTATCTGAAAAACTACATGATTTATTGTTCGCACTAGACAAGGTGATGTACAGAAAAATTTGCAGGAAACATGTATTACGGTTTCTATCTATATAATCACATGGATGGGTGGGTATCTTAAGTTTTCGCGGACCATTGAAGCAGCGACGGCCACAAAATCTATCAAGGATCCGCTCTATCGCCAGTCTTTTTTGCAGATAAAAAAAAAGAAGAAGAAGAAGTCAATCTAATCCAGGGAATTCCCCCCCAGAAGACATGGCCATTTCCAACCGCCAGCACCTCCTTCCTTCCTTGTCTATGAAACATCCTTCACTGCGGAACCTTTTGACCATGTTCCTCAGATCGATCAAAAACCTTTATCCCGAATTTCCAAACCTGCTCCACGCTCAATTTCTTATCCCCTCCGACGGCGCCATCCGCGAGATCCAACACAACGAGATCAGCATCCATGCCGGCCCTCAAACCACCCTTGACGCTCTCCACGCCCAGCATCTTCGCGGGCGTCTCCGTGACGGCCCTCAACCCCTCGGACAAGCTGGCGCCGGTCCAGTTCAAAAAGTTCTCGACGCACTGCACGAGCTCGATGCTAGAGCCGGCGATTTTGCCGTTTTCCTCGAGCGTGAGGAGCGCGCCGGCCTTGACGATGCGCGACCCGTTGGTCCAGTCGTACACGCCGTCCGGCATGCCGGCCAAGCGCATGGCGTCGGTGACGAGGACCAGGCCGTCCGGGTGCGCGTTCCACGCGATCTTGATGGACGTCGGGTGGATGTGGATGCCGTCTGCGATGATGCCGAAGTACGGTTTCGGTTTGACCGTCGAGGAGGCGGTGCCCAGGAGGCCGAAGATGCCGGGGTTGCGGTGGTGCAGGGGCCGCATGGCGTTGAACAGGTGGGTGATTGACGATGCGCCGGCGCGCATGGCGAGTTTGGCTTCTTCGTACGTCGACTCCGAGTGCCCGATTGACACGCGGATGTTGCGCTCTGTTAGGGCGGATATGGCGGGGAGGGCGCCGGGGAGTTCGGGCGCGAGGGTCACGAGTTTGATGGGGGATGGGGCGTTGGGGGGGAGGTTGTGCGGGCCGTAGACGGTGGAGAGGGATGAGAGGCCTGCGTGGGGGGTTTGCAGCACAGAGATGTTGTGGATCCCGTTTTTGGTTGGGGAGATGAAGGGGCCTTCACAGTGGGCTCCGAGGGATTCGGAACCCTGGGCGGCATTTCGAGATGCGCCTGAAGGGCCGAGGAAGGGGAGAGCCTGTGATGTGGTGGTTAGTGGTGTTGGCGGATAACGTGGCGGCCTTTGAAAAAGGAAAAAGATGGATGCATACTTTATGATATACTTCGGGTCGTTGAGAGGTGATGGTGGGCATATAAGAAGTTACACCTCCACGGACCAGATTGCTATTTACCATTTGGACTCCCTTGCGGTACGCTGTGGATCCCTCGGATGGTATGACGGAAAAGTCGAAGCCATAAGCACCGTTGAGTTGCACATCGATCAGACCAGGGGACAGAATGCGACCGGCGAGATCGACTATGTCGTCGGGCGCTACACGTTGCTCGTACAATATCTCTTGGCCATTCAGGATCTTGCCTGTGACGGAACTGACCCAGAGGTCGCCATCTACCAGCTCATTGCCTTGGACAAGCAAGCAGTTGGTGAACTTGACGACCCCGGTCTTTGGGTGCTGCACCGTGGGTAACACGGTCGATGGCATGGTGCAGGGGAGGAAGCCAAATGGGATGGGATTGTTAGTAGTAGGGATATCAAGGTATAGGGTGAATGCACAACAAGTATAGAAATGGGCCGGAAATGGAAAGGAATGAGGAGGATTCGGATGCGGACTGAGCTAGTTGCTCGACCTCGTGGAAAGCCAGCAGGAGGCTACATTTCTTTTATTGAGGACTACAGACACGATAGCCACGAGCCCAGTGACGGAAAAGCCGTGTCAGGTGGAATAGGTCCGAAGCAGAGCGACGCATAGCTAGGGCAACGTTCCAGCATGCTCGGCCGTGATTTGCAAGCGGCTCCATGTCACAAGAGTCCCCCACCGTTCGCCAGCTAGCATCGTCGCAGTAGCATCCGACGTTGTATCGGTTCCCGACGGTGTGTGATGATGGTGGTGATGATAAGGTGGACAGAGGAGGGATGTTGGATGAGAGGGGCAGGTATCATCCGAGGATGAGGTGCTGATTAGAGGTGGCCCATGCATGATTAAGCGCCGTGGGGCAGTGTGAATGCTACCGTAGTACCTGGCATAGGACCTCCTCTCCCCCCATCTTTTCCGTTTCCTGCTAACAAGGCCGAATCAAATCACGTTTGCGCCCCGGGACGCCTGGACGTAGATCCGCATCCTGTCTTCGCCCTCCAGACTTGCGCGTCCAGTGCGCTATCGTGGTGTCTTCTCCCGTCACCATGGCGGGCAAGCCCGAGAAGCTGGACCCCGTATGGGATCATCTCGATAGGTGCGCTTGATAGAATCAATCCAACTTTTGCTTTTCTTTCCTACGCGAAGGGCTACTGACCGGTCCGAATGCAGGACCATGGTGCGCGCTCGTGATGATTGTGTCTTTGTGTCTAGTCGACGGGGGCTAACCAAATGATTTCGCAAAGGGCCAATTGTTTATGATGGGCTTTGATGGCACATCCGTCACCCCACACATCAAGACACTCATCGAGGAGCACCATTTGGGCTCCATTCTGCTGACTGCCAAAAACTGCAAATGTGAGGACAATCCGCCCAAGTCTCTCAAAGCATGTGGCGGGCAGCTCGTTAACATTCAAGTACCTCGCAGCCGCCGAAGAAACTACAAAACTATGCTATGAGCTCCAAAAAATTGCTCACGATGCCGGTCATCCGGTCCCATTGGCCATTGGTATCGACCAGGAGAACGGAGGAGTCAACAGCATCTTCGACGAAATCTACGTCCGCCAATACCCAAGCAGCATGGGCATCGCAGCAGCCGGCTCCACAGACCTAGCCTTCGAAGTAGCAAAGGCTACAGCTCAAGAGATATCTGCATGCGGCATCAATTGGATATTCGGGCCATGCCTAGATGTACTAACCAACGCGCGGAATCAACCGCTGGGGGTAAGAACCGCTGGCGATGACCCCCAGGAAGTGTCGGCGTACGGCGTCGCTTTCATGAAGGGTTACCAAGAAGCCGGCATCGTTACTCTGGGAAAACACTTTCCATCATATGGCAATTTGGAGTTTCTTGGATCAACTTTGGACGTCCCCATCATCACTGAATCGTTGGAACAACTAAGCCTGAGCGCTCTAGTACCGTTCCGCAACGCCATCCAAAAGGGACTCGATGCCATGATGGTAGGTGGCTGTGCCATGTCATCAGCAGGCCTCAATGCTATGCATGCTTGCCTGTCGGATCAAGTGGTCGATGGGCTGCTCCGTAAAGACTTGAACTTTGATGGCGTCGTCGTTTCCGAGTGTTTGGAGATGGATGCTCTTAGTCACAACATCGGTGTGGGAGGGGGCACTGTCATGGCTGTCAATGCTGGGTGTGACATTGTACTATTATGTCGCTCATATTCATTCCAAATGGAAGCTCTGAAGGGACTCAAGACGGGCATCGAAAACGTCATGATTTCAAAAGACAGGATCTATAACTCGCTGCGGCGGGTACTGAAGATGAAGTCCAAGTGCACATCCTGGGAGAAGGCTTTACATCCCCCCGGAATTAACTATCTCGAAACACTACAGCCATCACACACGGCACTTTCAACGAGAGCATATAATGGCTCCATATCGGTAGTGCGCGATAAAAACCGATTGCTGCCGCTGAGCAACATTCTCGATAACGAGGAAGAATTGCTACTTCTAACACCTCTGGTCAAACCCCTAGCCGCATCTGCTGCCTCCAAGATCCTCTCAGAATCTGCCAATACCAACTCGCCCGAGCCTGCCGCTTGGGCACAAAGCTCATCCGTGATGAGCGGAGAGCGTGTGTTTAGAGAGTTGGGCAGATCCATGGCTAGACAGCGGAATGGCCGCGTGTTGCACACGTCTTACACGGCGAACGGCGTTCGGCCAGTGCACGAGAATTTGATCAGCCGGGCCAGTGCGATTGTCATTGTAACGGCGGATGCGAATCGAAATCTCTATCAGTCCGGATTCACAAAGCACGTGTCGATGATTTGCAATATGCAGTACACAATTGGGGGCGAGAAGCGCGAGAAGCCTTTGATTGTGGTGGCTGTCAGCTCACCATACGACTTTGCAATGGATTCCTCCATCGGCACGTACATCTGCACATATGATTTCACCGAGACGGCCTTGAACTCGCTGGTGAAGGTTCTATTTGGCGAGTTCACACCCACAGGATCTTTACCTGGAACCATCAGCAAGAGTCAGAAGCTGCACCCTTCCAAACAGCACTGGCTCGTAGAAGCCTTCAATGAGGATCGAGATGCGAATGCACTTGACACGCTGATCACGGCGGTCATGGAGGGCACACCACCCAACCAACGATCTGAACTCTCGAGCGCTACGTCAAACTCATTCATACTGCATCATCAAGAGGTTGAAGAGTCGCACTTTGTAGTGCGCAACAGCAGCACTCAGGCCCTCTATGGGTTCTGCTCGACGTACTTTTTCAAATCAACGGGGACGGGCGTCATCGGCGCGCTGTTTGTGGATCCGGCGAGAAGGAAGCTCTCGATCGGGCACTCGTTACACAACAGAGCTATCAGAACCCTTTTGCAGAAGGAGGGCATCCGACGATTCCAGCTCGGATCCCGGCTGCCCAGCATCTTTTTGGGGATCCCCACAGGGCACAACACGGAGCGCAAGCGGCTGCGGTCTTGGTTTGCTAATCTGGGGTGGAACGCAGCGCTTTCGCGACCCATTTGCAACATGGTGGCCCGCAACCTGCAGACGTGGACGCCGCCGGAGGGCATGGCGAAGAGTCTTGCTGGGGCAGGTTCGCAGTTTGATCTCGTGTACGGGTGGGACTTTGCGGGACCGATCCTCGACCACATCAAGACGAGCAACCGGCAGGGGCTAGCTGAAGTGTACAAGCTTGCTCTGTCGGACCCTACAGCTTGCGGAATCATCCGGGCAAAGCGACCGGATGACGGAGCTCTCGTGGGCACGGTGGTGCTCTACAACCACCAATCACGACTCTCGGAGTTTATCCCTCCGCTGAAGGACCTGAACGAGGCAGCAGGGGGCATCTCGTCACCGGTGATTTCACCAGGCGTCGGGGAATACTCGACGCTGTTGCAAGGACTGGTTCTGCTAGGGATGCGGCAGATCAAGGCGCAGAGCTGCAATGCGTGCCTGCTGGACTACGTGAGTAGCGGCCCGTAGCTCTCCCGCTTGGGCTTGTCACTACCGGAGCTGACACGGTGCTAACGATGATGACAGATGGACGGCGACGGCAACTTTGACGGCTTCTCAGCCATGGGGTTCGAGGTGCTGCACAACTTTGAGGAAGTGAGCTGCGACGCAGCAACGTGGACCATGATCCCGCCGTCGTGATGATGGGAATTGACGGAGGACGAAGCGCGTCGGTCGGGACAAGGGCGGGAAAAAAACCAATGTCGCACGGAGGGGAATCTTTGACTATTGACTATGGAAGGCTAATTTGGGAAAGTGGGTTGCCAAGCAGGTGTTTTGCGGATACATTCATACCCAGGCGCTAGTTGAAGGTTTCCTGTCAGTACAGTACCGTACATGTATGCGTGTGTATAGCTGTCCCCGGTTGTCTATTGGGCTGGATGCGACAAGCACTGCAGTGATGAAAGGAAGCTATTTTGTTTTTTGGGGGAAAGACACGATGCAGTTTCTCCGATGTCGCTGGGAGGAGACGAGTATGGATGAAATGCAAGTGAAGACGCAGAGAGAGAAAGGGGGGCTATTTTTGGCAGCGTAATCCCCACACCAATGTAGAATCAATAGTTGACTTGAGATGTAGCATGGCAACTTGTTTAACCAGCCAGGTCAGTGGGGGAGGAAGAAGATGATGATGATGATGGTGGTGGTGGGCATTCCCTTGCTTTGGCTCAGCTTGTCCATGAGGTTGGGTGAGCTGCATGTGATCGGATTCGGGCTCGCCAAAGCGTCGCACAGCGTCACGACGCGGGTCCCAAGAGAAGAGCGAGCGACAAGAGAGAGAAGGGGAGAGAACAGATGATTGACTGACGGACTGGTACATTGATAGACGGGTGGATACACATACATGGAGAAGAAATACGGGCTTATCTGGTGTCTGTCTGTCTGCCTGTCTATCTGCCTGCCTGCCTGTCTCTTTGGCTGGTGCGTGGGCATCCGTTCAGCATACATACATATCTTTATCATCAATCCACCATCACCATCCATCCATTCATCATCCTTCTTCCCTCATTCTTCCTTCTGCTCATCCATCATCTGTCTCTCTATCTATCTGTGCAATCTATCGCACTTACCGCATCCTGCAATCCTTCCGCATCCTCCTCTGATAGCTGGCTACCCAGCACGTCAATCCTTCGCCCCCAGCCAGCCTGCCTGCCTCGCCTTGCCTTACTTTGCCTTCTTCCCGCCCGCTTAGCTGCCACCACCGACCACTACTTGCCTACTACTGCCTACTGCCTACCGACCGACCGCCTGCCTGACAGACAAACACGACAAACTTCAGACTCCATACGCCAAACCGCCTCCGCCTCCACCTCCAGCTGTCTCCACTCCACCCCATCCACCCCCGCCCTTTCATCCACCAGCCGGCCATCCCTTCATTTAATCGCCCACCGACACTGGCTGGCGCATTCCGTCGCCCGCTTCCCACACGCCGCACGTGGACGCGGCCGTGGACGTGGGCCATATCTCATCCAGATACATGGCAGATAGATAGATATTGTCCCTGATTGCGACTACAACCACCTACACCCTATCGCATCGCATCGCATCGCCCACCCCAACTGCAACTGCACGTCGCTGCTAGCGCTCTCGCCCATGCGCGCATGCCCTGCCTGCACGCCGCAATCCTCATATATCCGGCCCTGCTAGCCATTCATTCGTTGCTGCCGTCGTCGCCGTCGTCACCATGGACGGCTTCGATACGATTACCATGTCCTGGGGTGCCCCAATGTCACTCCCCAACGTAACCGGCCTGCCGCTGGACCACCTCGACCAGCCCTCTAATTACGACGCTGAGACCTTCGTCGGGTAAGCCCACAACAAACCCACCGTCTTGTCTCTCTCGACCGCTTCCTCCGCCATGAACCTCTCCTTGCTGACACTGCTGCGCAGAAGTGAGGACCAATTCGCACACCACCATTTGGCCCACCCCCCGCCTATCAAGCGCTTTTCCACCCAGTACGACGATCCCTTCTCCGATGTCCTCAGCACATACGACCAGCAGTCGCTGCACCCGGACCATGCCCACAACGGCGGCCCCCAGCCCGAGAGCCCTAGCATCGAGCGCGACAACAAGCTGCTCAGCTTTTCTCCCTACCCGGTTCCCTACGGCCTTCTCAGCTTCGCCATGCAGCGCGTCTCCATTTCCATGTCCGCCCAGCTCCATGGCATGTTCTTTCTCGCCGAGTCCCCCTGGGCCGCCTCTGGCGACGTGAAAGCTGCTCCCTCGGAGCTCACCTGCTACCGCCGCAACCTTTTCCAGATCACCGGCACAATCACGCTACCGAGGAGTCTACACTATCTGTTGACCGAGCAAGGGGACCAGATCCCCATCATCGGCCAGGACCTTACCATATCAGCAGCCGAGTCTCTCGAAGGCAATCCCGTCAAGATTATATCGGTGCCCTGGAAAACCCCAGCCGCAAACGCCACGGCGACCGTGGATGACAAGAGCGAAAAGGAGCCCCCCTCGTTTCCACTGGATCTATCAACGGGGCAGGATATGGATCCCGAGTATGTCAGTTTTCCCATCAGCTGGAAAAGACTGCAATTCCGCATAGCCACTGCCAACAATGGCCGGAGAAAAGAGCTGCAGCAACACTTTGTAGTGCGCTTAAAGGTCACAGCAACACTAGCCACTGGTATCAAAGTTCCCATTTGCGAGGTTCAATCGGGTGCCATAATCGTGCGCGGACGGAGCCCTCGAAATTTCCAATCTCGCAAGGACATGCCGATAAGTGGTGGAGGCGGATCCGTTCGCAAAGCGCATCCTCCTGGACCCACCAGGGCTTCCACTGGCGAAACGAGCCAGACGCCGCAAACTTCTGCTCAGAGCAATTCTGGAGTGACCAAGGCCATGGACTCATTGCAGCTTCCTTTTGAGTTCAATTCGAATGACCCGCTCCTGTCTCCCGATTTCAGCCTGGACTGGAAAATGCCTCCAGGCCCCATGACTGCGATACCGCCGGATGCCCCCTCGACTGTTGTCGCACCTGTCACACCTTATGCACAATCTACTCCGGAAATTTCCCGGAATTCGGTCCCCCAGCGAGCCAGTATAGCCCCTGTGTCACTCTCGCTGACCGACGACGAGCCCAAGAAGCCTGCCTCTCCCTCGGAGCATCTCAGGAAGCGAGCGACCCCCGTGCGCCCCTCTTCTTTTTCCGTTGGCTTGATCCACAGCCCCGACGAAAGCGCAGACCTGTTGTACGAATACTTCCCCCTCGGTTTGGACGACTGGATGCCTCCTGTGGACGCTGTGTATCGACCCCACGTTGTCCATCATACCAACCTCCCCCAGGACCCTAAAGTCTTGGCCGTGAAGAACAAATCCAAACGCTACTTTTCTGACGCCTGGTGATAGAGTGGTTCGTCGCGCGATACCCCACATGCGCTTGTCTTTTGTCCGCGCGATTTTCTTTATGCGTCGAATAGTTCATGCTGGAATGCTGTTTTTTTTTTCGCATGTCACCACTATTCGTACAAACTGAGATGTACTAATTCCTCGATGACGATGATAATGATGATGATGGGATAATTGGATATGGAAGCTATTCGTTTGCGTATATGCGTCTTTTGCATGGAAAAATTTTCGTTCGAGTCTGTTGCTCATGGCTGAAACAACGCATATCGACTCGAACTCGAACCGAGCACGATCGAGGTACCACCACTAGCCAGCCGCAGACTATGCCGGACCCGGGGTCCATGGGAAAGAAGAGGGAGGATCTTTGAGACGTTGATTGCGCAACCCGATCGCCCAGCCAGATAAGTGGCGTATGTACGCCCGGCAGTGGAAAGGGATCCAAAAGCGAAGATGGTCAATGGGAGTGATGGCGATGATATACGATGGAAGCAAGGAAGAGGAAACGGATAAAGAAGACTTGTTCAATCTTTCGTTGTCAAAACAAGAGGGCGCATCAGGCCAGAAGAAGCATCACAAGGGTCGCATGTGTGTGCCCGAATCTCCAGAAAGGAGCAGAAGCAAGAGAAGGACGGGGAGTGAAGGAAGAAGAAGAAGAAGAAAGAAGAAGAAGAAGCTGGCTGCTTATTCCCCCCATCATCGTTGGATTCATCATCATCGCTCCCAACTTTCCATGTCTTAACCCAAGAACGAGCAACCGAACAGCGGAGAAATAGTATATATATAACTTAAAACGGACATTTTATATAATCCCTCAAATACTACATTGTTTTTTTGTCATCAAAGACGCACGAGCCGCACATGCCCCATGCTGTATGTCTGTCCCGCAACGCAACGCAACGCAACGCAACGCATTTATTGATTCAAAAGCCAGAAAAGAAAACGAAAAAAAAAAACGAAAGAAAACAAAAAGACGACTGCATACATACCTTCCTTCCTTCCATAGCAATTCGTAAATCCTCCTTCTTCTTTTGTTGTCTTGTATATCCATGGGTAAAAACGCAGGACAAGACTGACTGACCGACTGACCCCACTGTATACGTTACTGTTACCGTTACATGCTTCGGTTGCGTGGATGGATGGATGGATGGATTGAAGGAGGGGGGCACAGGTACATACATATTATGTACATTACATATGTACTCGGCCTTTTTAGCTCTTAGCTGAGCTTAGTCTTAGGTCTTACTCTTTTTTTTTCTTTTCTTTTCTTTACTTTACTTACTTGGCTTGCTTTTTCTTGTAAGAGGCACATAACAGCGTATTTGCGTGCTTTCCTCTTCTTGTTATTATTAGAAGAACAAGCAACAACAACAATAATAATAATAATCTTCAAAATAAAAGTTTAATTTCCCTTTTTTTTCTTTTCTCTGGAATCTTAAAAAGTTTGATCTAGCGGGGAGAGAGAGTAGAGGGAGAGAGATGTCTCTAAAGATGATTTTGAATGGGGAATTGAGGAAGGAGTTAGGGGGGAGGGGGGTTGATGGCAAACGACAACAACAGCATGACTAACGATGATGATGATGATGATATATTGCTAGAAGACGACGATGATGATGATTGACATTGGAATAAGTGACAATGATGATGATTGATGAATTTGAAAAATGCTCCAAATCATGAGGATGATTGATGACAGTTATGCAAGAAGGCGGGAAAACGTACAGAAAACGCTCCAATGATGAGAGAAAAAGAAAAGAAAAGAAAAAGAAAAATAAACCAACCATCGCGTATGTTACGTACAAAAACTAACGCTAGAAGGGGGGTATAGTATGAAGCAAAACCAAGAACGTTTTTATTCACGAGCATTCAATTCCATCGACAGTTGAACCAAAAGACGATCCAAACAAAGCTTTCCGAGAATATAACAGTCCCCCTCCCCCCTCCCAAAAAAAAGGATAGGAAATCAAGAAGGGGGAGGATATGACTGGCTGTCTGATTGTTTGATTACGCTTCATCTTCGAGGCAGCAGACGGCAACGGCGGCGCCGAAAATAGCCGACTCGACGGCGATTTCGAGCGCGATGGATTTAGGCTCGGCGCCGGACGCCGTGGTCAGCTCGTCGAGATGGGACTGGCACAGGCCGCGGAACAGCGGGTACTTCTCGATGACGGAGCCGTTGCAGCCGATGGCGAGTTTGCCAGCGGCGGCGGGGGTCAGGCCTTCGGCGGCGATGCGCAGGGTCCAGAGGGCGTGGATGCCGGCGGCGAGGAAGGCGGCGGCGCGGTGGGACACGAGCTGCGAGACCTGGCGGACAAAGTGGATGTCGTTGTAGGAAGGGGGTCTGCTGGAGCTGTGCTTGGTGTGGAACAGGGCGATGGCGTTGCTGAGGTTCTTGGACTCGTCGAGTTCCATGGCTGCGAGGGTTCCCGTGTCGAGGGCGTAGGGCTCGTTGAGCCGGTCTGGGATTTCGCCGCTGAAGAGGCCTGCCGACCGCACGGCGTCGACGATGATGAGGCGCACGATTTCGCCAAGGTACCGGCCGCTGATCATGTGTTCGAAGGGCTGGAAGTCGGGACGGTCGTGGGCCGAGTTGAGCTGCTCGTCCCACCTGGTCAGCGGGAAGACGTCTTTGCCGAACATGCTGAGCTCCGTGTTGACGAGGACATGTTTGGCTTCGTCGAGCCATTTCTGCGGGTAGCCCTTGTACTTTGAAGTCGCCAGGGCCGAAGTGGGGAGGTGAACGGCAATGTTGAAGCCTGTGCCGAGAATGACTGCAAATCTAGTGGCCGGATCCTCATAGGCACGTGACAAGAGGGTTGCTGAAGAATCGTTGACTATGGAATCGAGGCGGACGGGTAGGTTCTGGGCCAGAGTCAGCATGTTTGCAGAGCGTTTTGGTCTGCCAAAGTCACTTACCCGTTTCCTGCATGGGGTCATGATTAGCTCACTCAGGTCCTGCCCAAGCGTGCCTTCTGTCGCGAGGAAGCCTTTCCCCATGGTGAGTAGGTTGCCGCTACGAATTGATGTTTGCCTATACAAGAAAGAAAAAGGGCAGGATGTTAGTCAAGATGCCAAAAAAAAACATTTACCACGCACGCCAAGTTGGGGTCAACATACTCTACGGGGAAAGACCACGCTAGGCCCATTGCGAACTCTTGCGAGCCATGGTGAAGTTTTTCGACTTGCGGGTCCGAAATGGCCGTCTCGATTTTCTCGGCCATCCAGTCGAAGAAAGCACTGCCGCGCAAATGGCGAACGGAATTGTCGATCTTGTAACTCTTCATGTTGACGATGCGCATGCTCTTGGCACCGGGCTGGTGGCCGGACAGGTCGACGACGGCGATTCTGAAGGTGGAACCGCCGACATCGAGGGCGAGGTAGGTTCCCTTTTCGGATCCGGAAGGGAGCTTGTGGTTGTAAGATGGCAGCATGCAGATGTCGCTGGCCTGGAGCTTGGGGGCGAACTGGGACTGCAGCCTTTGGGACATGTGCAGCAGCTTGGTGGGGGCGAGGGGGGCCTCGAGCAGACGCTGGACGTCGAGCAAGACGTCGTCCATGGTTCTGTCGTAGGTCCGCACTACATCTCGAAGACGCTTTCGAGAGGGGAACGAGGGAAAGACGGAGTGGATAAGCGAGGGGAGCATGGCGAGACGTTCAAGAGCCGCTAGTAGGCTCTGCCAAAAGTCGAGCATGGGTTTTATATAGCGGCAGCGGTTGGGATGATCTGTGGCGGAGGGAGTGCTGGCGTGGGAGTTGATGGCGCAGTCAGACTGGGAGCGAAGGGTCATCCGGGGGCTTTTGAAGGGTTTCAGCAATGGGAAGGGTTGCAGATGACGAATGCTGATGGTGTTGTAGCGTCGTCTGTTTGTTTCTTTTTTTGATGGGGGAAGGTTGTTTGCTGGATCTGTTTCCAATTGATGGTGACAGCGGTGGGGGGGTGAAGGGGGAGGGGGGAGGATAAATGAAGGAATGGAAGGGTAGATGGGTGGAAGGGTGGAAGGGTGTATGGATGTTGAGGGTGGATGGCACTGTAGGTCGTTTGCAGATTGGGATATCAGACAGGTAGACAGGCAGGTAGACAGAGTGGCAGTGGCAGGCACGACACTAGACGACACGACGACACGACACGGTACAGGGCAAGAGTGGTAGTAGTAGCAGCAGCATTGATTGCAGTCGAGCAGCTAGCCAGCCAGCCGGACAGACAGACAGACAGGTAAATAGGCAAGGCAAGCAGCAGCAGCAGCAGAGACGGTCTGGTATGCAGGCACGGCAATGGTGTGGAAGTTTCAGCGAGCAGGGCGGTGGCATTTGACAGGCAAGCGATGTCGCAAATGACCACGATCCAAGCCGTACCACCACGGAGGGAGAGAAGGGTTGTATCGGCTAGGGGTACGTGGGCAGGGGGAGGGAGGAGGCTCCGGGCATTGTCTGGCGGAGACTGGCTGGCATGTATGGGACTGGGTATGGTATGGTAAGGTATAGTATGCGCTGGGCATTGCAAAAGGGGCAGCAAGAGTGCATTGTTGTAATGTGGTTGTTGCGTGGAGAGTGCAGAGTCTGGAGAGTGGAGCATGTATGTGGAGCATGCTACCGTTACTTTGCCTAGGCCCAAAGCGGACAGGCGGCCTAGCCCCAACCGGCTTATTCCCACGACCATCATGGCCATGGGGTTGCAAGGTGACAGCCCCCATCCGACACCACTCTGGATTCCATGTATACACTTCTCCAGTACGCCCCTTCGGTGTAACCAGCCCGTTATCTATCTGCTCATCCTTCACCCCCTTTGTCATCAACCATCCACATCCGCACCTGCTGCATGAGGAAGGTATCCACGCCCCATACTACTCTACTCTACTCTGCTCTGCTGCACCGTCTACATGTTTTCAAATGTTTCATGCCCCTGCCTTCCCATCTCCGCGCCTACCTAGCTTACCGGCCATCGCTTGAAACACATCCATCACAATCCATCAATCGATATATACATACATATACATATACATATATTTCAGGGAGAGAAGAAGGAAAAGATCAAGATATCACGTGAAGAGCAAGCGAGTCCCGCAGATACATAGGTACATAAGCAACGGCTAGATTGTACACCGCTATGGTATTAAGGATAGGAAGGGTATAATCTTGCAGAGTCTCAAATCAGCTCCGGCCTTGAATGACAACAAATAACGATAAATGACCGCTAAAAGAACAGCAACAGCAGTAGCAACAGTTGGCCGTATGGACCGCTCCAACAATTTACAAGGCAAAGGGCACGGACCAGGGGTGGAGCGCCAATCGCCTTCTCCCCCCTCCCGCCCTGTGCCACAAACATACTTGATATAGACAAGATCAGCCGTGCCTCGCCCATTAGACTTTGCCCGTGGTGTCGGCGCCTGGGGCAATCACAACCGCTTTGGCTGCGACTTCATCTATAGTCTCGTCGGTGAACTTGACGTCCTCCTCGAGCGATGTCGTGTCCTTGACCTTCCAGAGTATGACGGGGAGTGCGATGAGCAAGCTTCCTGCCAAAAGTCCCCAATTGATGGCGAACATGGTCATGTACTCGGTGCCGGCGTCGTCGAGAGCCCACGTGATGGCACCACCGGCAGACTGGATTCCCTTGTAGAAACCGGCAAAGTTGGCAAGCTTGCGTCCGTTGTTGGTGAGCGCACCCATGAACCTGCTCGTTGTTAGCCATGCCCACTCCGAATGCTTCGCAGATCAATGCAGATGAATAGGTGATTTCAGACATACCAATAGACACAGGTTTGCCATGCAGCGTCGGTGAATCCGTAGAAGATGTAAAGAGCAAAAGGTCCTCCAAACCCGTCGTCGGTCCAGTCCATCTTGGGGTTTGTCTCGTCTTTGGCCCACGCACGGTCGTAGGTGGTTTGGAACTTGTAGCCGCAGCCCCATACAATCATGATGACGGCAAAAAGCGCAGCCCAGGCGAGCTTGGCGCGCATGGTTCGGCTGATGCCCTGGAAATCAAGCGCAAACCCAAAAACGTAGGCACCGACAATCTGGAAAAGATAGTAGACGACGCCATTGAGGGCACGTGTGCGGACATTGAAGTAAGCACCATTGATCTCGGTGAAGTGGTAGACGTAGAACCAGTTGGAGGCAAGGAACATGGGGAACAAGGCCAGGATATAAGGGTCAGTGAAAAACGTCTCCCACAAGCCCATGATTTCCGACTTCCAGGATGGGTGTTTCATGATGATGATTTTGGATCCGTCGTCGCGGATGACGCTCTTCGCATCGACAAGAGTCCATGCCAGTCCGGCGCCGATGAGGGTCAGGACGAGGAAGCCGACATAGGTGCCGTCATTGACATTGCCAGCGTAGGTAACGTGCATGTTCTGGCCCAGAGGGATCAAGCTACCGATGACGGCGCCCAAGTTGAAAATCATCCAGAACCACGAGATATAACGACCCTTTGAGTTCTCGGGAGGGTAGGACATCATAATGGCACCCTGGGCGCACCACAACAGACCGGCGCAGACACCGAGAAGGGCGCCTGCAAAGGTGGTGAAGCCGAGGTTTTGGGTGTGGTTGTAGCTGAGGAAAGAACCGACGTAGACGCAGTAGCCGATGCCGCCAAACGAGAGGGCGGTGCGGATGCCGAGTTTGTTGGTGAAGGTGCCGGCGAAGAAACCGACGACGGAGAAGGTCGAGTACAGGGCCGTGTTGGCACGGTTGTTGGCCTTGGGGTCCATCTGGCCACCGCCGCCCATGCCATTGAGGGCGTTGAACATGCCCGGGCACATGAAGCACACAAAGGAGACAATGACGAGCTGGACGGGCGGCGAGGCATACCAGGGAAGCTGGAAGCCGAAGAAACTGAGGCGCTTGTATTTCCACGAGTTGGGGAGGGCCAGTGTATCGGTGGCGTCGGTGCTGTAGTCGCCCGTCTTCTCAGACGCCGTGGCGACTTTGGCATCGTCTTGAGTAGCCATGGTGGAGGATCAAGCAGGCAAGACAGACAAAAGACTGAGTTTGGGTACCGTCGGCACAAGGCAAGTCGCGCAGTCGAAGGGGATGTGGTGCAGTGGACTCCCTGGTCAGTTGAATGTTTGTTTGCTGGGACGAGGGAAGGGTTCCCAAAAAAACATGGACGGGGTGGAGGGAGGGCGAGTGGGTCGACGGGGGACTTTAAGCAAGCCCGGGGCAGGATGCTTTCACCCTTCACACACGCTGGAGCTAGGCCGGATGGGGGCGCGAACGGCGGCGGGGCGGGGGTTGCTAGAGGAAGGATTGGGTGGATTGATTGATTGAGTGAATGGCGGGAGGGAACAGAGGAGGGGTTCGTGTGCGTGCGAGCTGTGCGTGCACACGCGACACGACACACCCTTGGGGGCCCGACATCTGGATTGATAGCGCTGATAGGAGGTGGGTACAGCTAACCAGGCAATTGTTGCTCCCGTTGGTTGGCTGCTTGTTTGGTTATCGGGATACATGAGCAATGATACTCGAGTGTTGGCTGGCTGATTGCCTGCTTACTTGCTTGCTGACTGGGTTAGCAGTTGACTGTTCGTGGTAATCATGCGCCGCCACGGCCTTGCATTGATCTTCCAACCTACTATCAACCACCACCACACCACTTCACATACATTACATACAACCAACCAACCGACTGCACAATCGGTCGGACTTTCCATCATGTGAGAAACACCAGCGGAGATCATCGAGCATGGATGCCGTTTGAGCCCTGCATGCCCTGCCCGTACGCCCCCTGTCTGCCCGTGTCTCGGGGGGAACAGATCCTCTGGAAAAGAAATAAAAAAAAAAACGCCTGACCTCAAAGATAGATGTAGAGATACGATGAAGGGTCCGGGCGTGTCTAGCTGGCCGGGGTTGGTTACCTTGGCTACGTTACATTCCCTCGGGCGCAGTGAATGGTGGCGGCCGATTAGGCGGAGAACGTTGCAAGCGGGAACGAACCGGGGGGGCCAACAACCCCATCGTCTCCATCATGTGGTCTTGTATTCTGCCTCCAAGACGGATCGATATCTGCATCCATGTATCGTATATGTGTGTATGTGTGTATGTACATGTGTAAAAAGGTCGATGGAAACATGTCGCTAACCGCTCCCCAACCCCCCAGCAAGTACACGGTAACACTCGAATTTGGTGACGAAGCATTGGCGTGTTGTATCACCATGACCACATCCACGCACCCTCGCACTGCATCCATCCACCACCATTTCTCGGTCGGCTAGATACTGACCTGCCTAGCAATCGCCATCTCGACTGTACGGCCAAAACAGCAGGGCCGATTCGGTGGGCCATGCAACGACTTTCGTCTCCAACGTCCTTGTTCCCGTCCACCGTCACATTGTGGTCATTTCCTTCGCATCTCGCCGTGACCATGCAATCGTTGCCGCAAACAAAGGGAAAAATCAGGATTGAACCCCGTTTCATTCGAGCTTGATCCACTTCCGTTATCTTGCTTGCTTGCTTTGCAACATAACAGCTTCAGATAAATACTGTCCTGTCCAACTCGTTGCTTGTTGTTTCTACGAAAGCTGCCCGCCCGCCGCATATAATCACACTTCCATCCCCCCTCTCGCCTTACACAAACACAACCGCACTTTCTTACACCATGTATGTACATGTGCATATGCACTCTTTGCCCACCAGTGACCGCGTAAATTTTGGCTCATCACTCACCGCAGGCGTTTAATCATCAGAGATGACCCTCGCACTGCGTCAAAGTACATCGCAGACTACATCATTGGTGCATAAGCCCTCTCTCTCTCTCTCCCCAGAAATTGATACCCTACATTTGATAACATGTGTACCATTGTACATATATGTATCAATTCAACCCTCGCATTGCATGATCTTTGGGCTGATGCAAAGTGCACCGTGTATAGAACGCATCAAGTCCTTCAACCCTTCGCCTGCGCGGCCTTTTGTCTTGGGCTTGCCTACGGGGAGTAGCCCCGTGCTCATCTACCAGAACCTGGTCCAGCGCCACAAGGCTGGGGAAATCTCCTTCCGACATGTAGTCACCTTCAACATGGTAAGAGATTTGGTTCTATATATATTGATGCCCGATGCAGCTGCCCCCCTTCCTCCCCCCTGGCCAGCCTAGCGCACCCTTGCAAACTCAGCGTAGCACGTAAATGACCGGGGGGTGTGGAGGTGGTGCAGACATGCATCGGGGGAAACAAAAATTCCCAAGACAGCGGGCTAACGAAAACGCAACGGTTGGAAATGAATGTAGGACGAATACGTAGGGATCCCGCGCGAGCACCCGGAAAGCTACCACAGCTTCATGTACCAGCACTTCTTCTCGCACGTCGACGTGCGGCCCGAGAACATCAACATCCTCAACGGCAACGCGACGGACCTCGAAGCCGAGTGCCAGCGGTACGAGGAGCGCATCAAGGCCGCGGGCGGCATCGAGCTGTTCCTAGGCGGCATCGGGCCGGACGGGCACATTGCCTTCAACGAGCCTGGCTCGAGTCTGCGGTCGCGCACGCGCGTCAAGACGCTGGCGTACGACACGATCCTGGCCAACTCGCGGTTCTTTGGCAACAAGCTGGAGCAGGTGCCGCGGATGGCGTTGACGGTTGGGGTGGAGACGGTGCTGGAGGCGCGCGAGGTGGTGATTATCATCACGGGGGCGCACAAGGCGCTCGCGCTGCAGAAGTGCGTCGAAGAGGGCGTCAACCACATGTGGACGCTGTCGAGCCTGCAGCTGCACCCGCACCCGCTGCTCGTCGTCGACGAAGACGCCACGCTCGAGCTCAAGGTCAAGACGGTCAAGTACTTCAAGAGCATCGAGAAGGTCGGCAGCGAGCTCGGCTTCCGCCAGATGCTGCCTCGGAAGCGCGACTCGCTCGTCGAGGACCAGCTGGCTCCCTTTGTGCCCCAGACCCAGCAGCCCGATTCCATCTCGCTGGTCGTGCCGACGCTGGACCAATCTCGCTCCGCCAGCCCCGTTCTTGGTCCCATGAGCGCCCGCCTCGAGGACAAGGAGGCGAATGCGATATCGACGCAGGCTTTGGAGTCTCTCGGGGAAGAGCCTCAGCTTGCGTCCATGAGCGCCCGCGTTGCAGGTTGATGTTGCACCGTGCTCCGATTCAACACACTGGGAATATCAGCCCATGTGATGGTGGCACCATGAACGTCGGAGTTGATATCATGTTACATGCACACGCTCGCTCGCTATAGAAGCTCGCAATATTTTTCTGTTTTACCTTGTCGTACTTGGCATTTGGGAAGGTGAGAATTTTCTAGATTGTGGGATATGGTTACAGGTCATTCGTTTTTCATCCTCAAGACTCACCCGGTAGCATTCACATGATTGGGTCATCATAGTGGTAGTACAGGACGGGTCGCAAGTCAGGCATTCCAGATTGCTTCTCTCGCTGGCACTGCATGGGAGCACTCACTCATCTGTTAGATTTAGTTTTTATTATCATCATTGATCGAGCCACGTTTGTCTGCCGTTGCCGTTGCTGCTGCTGGTCAGGCCGGTGTGTAGGGGTTTGGGCGGTGCAAGCATGTTTTAGACGGCGTTTTTCCAGAGATACCCCGCGTACTCCAATGTACCACATAGATTCTTAGTTCGATATCTGTATGTATATGTATACTCCATCTGTGTTTTATTGCGCATCAATCCCAATCTGTGTTCACTAAGCTTTGGTTTCAAAGGCCGTGATAAGTTTTGTACATCACCAATGCATGCCAGGGTGTCCTTTGACCTCCGGTACCGCGAGAGATGTTTGAGGGGGAGGCGGAGGAAGTTTCGATTACTGGGTAACTGGGGAAATAGCCAAAGCGGTGCCCTACTTTGCAAGTGGGACAACACACATGTCTCGATGTGATTGTGACCTAAAACCGGCACATTTATGAACCCAAGGTAGTTCCCATTCTGTCGTTTCTTCCTTCCTTCTGGAATGGACATGTACACATGCTAACATGAGACCGAATCGACAGCTGTCCAATGTTGGGAGGCACTGGTTCTCGGAAATATCTCGTGTGAGTACTACGGCGTCACCGGCGATTGTGCGTAGCGAGCTATGGTACCAAAAACAAAGCCCTCTGGCGAAATGGCGCTTATTCTTTACCGCCAGCGACAACCTGAACGAGCAAAAAGAGACCAATCATCCACCAGTACCTGCAGCCCGTTAGCATCGCGCACAATTTACCGAAATGCAGGGCGAAGAATACTCACTTTTGTAGGAAGGATTTTTCCGGCTCCTTTGCCTCGATCTTGCCCTCGGCATTCAACACGATAGGCTTGTTCAGCGTTGGCTTTGGTCCCACAGATCTCTGCACAACTTGCACCGTCACATCCTTCCGGTCGCTGGCGTTCGATCCGTCCTTTGCACTCGCAGTAAAGCCAACATGGTATGCTTCGCCTTTCTCATCCACGTGTACCACGAAATTCTGCTTGTACAGCTCCGCAAAGCTCGCTGCTGATGTGACTACACCGCGCCACGACTGTGTCTTTGCGTCGTGGAGGCCGACACGAACCAAGCTGTCAGGAGAATAGGAACCATGCGGAGGAGTATAAGAAACGATGGATCCAGTGGACGATTCGGCATCAACGTCTATCTGCGCGAGCGGGACGGGGGATGGCACGACTGCAGACTTGGGGGTTGTGGAAGCCGCGATTGGGTGTATGTAGACTGTCACCGTAGACGCGAGAGCTGCAGGTAGCAGCAGGAGCTTTGTCAGAAGCATTGCGGAGGGATCAGCGATAGGAAGCGCGTGGATGGTGACTTGGTTGACGATGATGTTGGGTTCAAAGGTTGGGGGTTGCAAGTCATGGTGTTAGTAAGCGGGCGATAGGTGGAAATCAACGCTAAACTCCATCGGGTGCTAGATACCTCATGCATCGTTCATACCCCATGTTTTCCAATGTTGTTGTCTGCGGAGGTGAGCGACTTGACTGAGCGACACACGTAACGGCCTCTCTCTGCTTGACTGTCCGCCAGTCTCTCCGGTATCGCTCGTGTCCAAGCAAGCGGTCAAGAAGGCGACTCGGCTTGGAAGCCATTGGTGGCAACGCAGCCCTCACGTGTACCCCAGCCCGCACCAGTTGTTCGTTGCTCTGTGCGCCAAAAGAGTACCGAAGTACCCGAAGAGGTCGTGATCCCCACGCCGTGGACGCCAGTCGCTGCTGCCATAAGCTCTGGACCCTGTAAAGAAGGACCCACCCCCACTGTCAATGAGCTCATCGTGCCTTCCTCAACATATTTTTTGGTTTGGCTGCCAGTAATCCGTCACTTAAGTGCTTAGGTAGAGGAACAGCACACCACCCCCAAGCTTCCTTCTCACCCGAGCTCCCTCCTCCTCTCCCTGCTTCTTCCTTCCCCACCATCATCTTCTTCGAGCAATAAGACATTGACCATGGCAGCTTCACGCCATCTATCCACTGACCCTCGCAATGAACTTCGTCCATATACAGAGCACTACATCGGTATCGATGTTGGTACCGGTAGTGCGCGAGCGTGCATAATGAATGACCAGGGCGACATCGTTGGCCTTGCGTCGGAAAACATTGGCCTCTGGCAACCACAGACTGGCTACTATGTATGCTGCTGTTTCTTAATTCCCGTCTCCGTTCCAATTAAGCCAATAGCACCCGACTATGAGACAGCCTGCTCATAATTGCAGGAACAATCCACTTCAGACATATGGCGCTGCATATGCTCTTCCGTTCGTCGAGCAATTGACCAACACAACATTGACCGAACCACCATCCGGGGAATCGGTTTTGACGCGACCTGCTCGCTCGCCGTCTTCTCTCATGACACCGACGAGCCCGTCAGTGTAACGGGTCCCGATTTTGACAACAAAGATGGCAACGACCGCAATGTAATTCTGTGGCTCGACCACCGTCCCGAGGAAGAGACACGCAAGATCAACGCCACCAATCACAACCTGCTCCGCTATGTTGGAGGCAAGATGTCCATCGAGATGGAGATTCCAAAGGTGTTGTGGTTGAAGAACAATATGCCCAAGGAGCTATTCGATCGATGCAAGTTCTACGACCTGACGGATGCCCTCACCCACATTGCTACCGGAAGCGAGACTAGGAGTTTCTGCAGTGTGGTATGCAAGCAAGGCTTCGTGCCAGTCGGGGTCGATGGGAGCGTGAAAGGGTGGCAAGAGGACTTTCTCACAGATATCGGTCTGAGCGACCTGGCCGAAGATAACTTCAAGCGGATGGGTGGCGTCGACAATGTGGTGATGTTCCTCTCCGTGTTTCAGCGTATACACTAGCTAACACCAACGTAGAACGGCCGCTACCTGACAGCTGGCGAGCTTGTCGGTCATTTGAGCGATAAAGCGGCTTCGGATATGGGTCTCCAGCCCGGGATCGCAGTCGGAAGCGGTGTCATTGATGCTTATGCTGGCTGGATCGGGACGGTTGGGGCCAAAGTCAAACTTGACGATGACAGGCTTGATATGGAAGCGCCCAAGAACGATGTCTCACAAGCCTTCACTCGGCTCGCTGCGGTCGCTGGAACGTCCACTTGCCACCTCGCCATGTCCCGCGATCCAGTCTTCGTGAACGGTGTCTGGGGTCCTTATCGAGACGTTTTGCTGCCAGACTACTGGATGGCCGAGGGAGGCCAAAGTGCAACTGGGGAGTTGCTGAAGCATGTGATCGAAACACATCCAGCATTCCAGGAGGCACACTCGGTGGCCGAAACTTACAATACTAACATCTATGACTTCTTGAACGAGCATCTCAAAGACATGGCAGAGAAGGCGAACGCACCACATGTTGCTTGGCTCGGCCGCCATTTCTTCCTATACGGCGACCTGTTTGGCAACCGATCTCCTGTCGCAGATCCAGACATGAAGGGCTCTGTAATTGGTCTGAGTTCTGACAAAAGCCTGGATGGTCTTGCCTTGTACTACTATGCCACCATGGAGTTTATCGCCCTGCAAACCCACCAGATCGTAACTGCGATGAACGAGTCGGGACACGTCATCTCGTCCATCTTCATGTCAGGCTCTCAGTGTCAGAACGATATTCTCATGCAGCTGATTGCTTCTGCGTGCGATATGCCCGTACTCATTCCTCGTTACGTCCATGCTGCTGTTGTCCACGGTGCAGCCATGCTGGGTGCAAAGGCCGCCAGTACAGACAAAGAAGGCAACAGTGAGCCACTGTGGAACATTATGGATAGGTACAGCAAGGCGGGCAAAATGGTGAAGCCAGTGGCGGATCCAGCTATGAAGAAGCTTTTGGAAGCCAAATTCAAGGTCTTCCTGGAACAGTGCGAGAGTCAACAGAGGTACCGTAAAGAGGTAGATGCGGCCGTCGCAGGATGGACAAAAAGCGACACAGCTTGAATGTGCTGCGTTCAGCTGTAGATGTTTCTCCTCAAGTGAGCATCACTAGCCAATCAACCTGGAATACCATGAAGCTACTGACCAATCACATCTTTGTCGGGTGTACTTGTACTGATCTCGTCTTCACATGTGAATTGATGTCGTCGTGAATGTAAAGAAGGAGATTTTCTAATGTGCATAGCCACACCGAGCCACAAACGCGTCGAATTTACGCTAAGCCGGATCAGGCCTGTTACGTCACCTTTCGCCCCTCCTCGTGGCTTCTCTATTCGACGTGCCCTATAAACTTACTTGTTTCCCCAACCCAGTTCCCCTCCATACACCATAACATCCTCCCCGAGCAAACAATTTTTGATACTCGTTACACTTTCAGATTACTTCCCAAGCTCCACAGTTGATCCATATTGAACCAACCAACTCCGCCGTCCACCTCCCCCACCATGGCTTCCACCGTCCACGTTGAAAACATCAGCACCAAGACGAGCGAGGAGGAGATCAAGTCGTTCTTCAGCTTCTGCGGCAAGATCTCGAACATTTCCGTTACGCCGACTGACAATGACTCACAATCTGCCTCCGTCACGTTTGAGAAGCAGGCAGCCGCAAAGACTGCTCTATTGCTCGACAACACCCAGCTCGGACCCAACTCTGTCCACGTCAGCTCCGCCAAATCGATAGATGAGGTTGCTGGAGAGAAAGCTGCATCGGCCGAAGAAGCCAAGGACGGCGAACACCATATCGAACAAGAGGAGAAGCCCCGCGCCCGCATTGTCGCTGAGTACCTAGCCCATGGATACGCCATCTCCGACAAGGCCATCGAGCGAGCGCTAGCCATCGATCAGCAGCATGGTTTCAGCACCAAGTTCACTTCTGCCCTCCAAAACTTCGACCAGCGATTCCAGGCTACCCAGAAAGCTCAAGCTGTTGATAGCAAGCTTGGCGTGACGAACAAGGTTGCTGCTGGTTGGCGGGGTGTGTGGAGCTACTATGACCAGGTGCGTATTGCTTTTTGCATTGTACCATCATCGAAACCCACTTATTTATAGTTTGCTGACTTTTTACTCCTGCATTTTAGGCTGCCGGCACACCTACTGGTCAGAAGCTGAGACAATTCTACGAGACGGGCAACAAGACTGTGTTGGATGTGCATAACGAAGCTCGTCACTTGGCAGACTTGAAGAAGAGTGACACTGGGAAGCCTACGGCCGAACAGGCCAACGTGCACACCCTCCCTGGATCCGACAAGACCCAGTGCAATTGTGCATCAGAGGCTGGCAAATGCCCATGTGAACCCGGAAAGTGTGCGTGTTCGGGTTGCGCAAAGGCAGGAGACAGTGCACCTTCCGCTGCTGTCTAGGTCGTTGGGGCCGTGTTTCAATTAGCATGAAGGAGAGCCCAGGAAAGTGCGGTATACTACTCTTCTGAACAACGTGTTATGGTTTATGAATATGAATTTTGGCTTGGACTGCATGTCACGGAATGAACAAGGGATTCGGTTTTTGAATTCTAGCCTACCAATTGTTTGATAGCACTGTACACCTGTAATCGGTAACAAAACGTACATCGCTGGGTGTGGCACACCTCACGCTAGTACATTAACTACATTTTCTCCTTGAACATTTGAATCCAGTGATGAACAGTGTGTTAACATACCTTTACAGTTTGAAGGAAATTATATGGTGATCAAGGTTGTAACAGAGCGTTTACTGCCAAATGCCTACCTGGATACTTTTACCGCTCGTGTTGTTGCGGAGTGACCGAGTGCGCTGTCACATTAAAGAATCCTCCGATTCCCATAACACTACACACATAGGCAGTTGTCATGTACTCCCGCGCAGCATGCGTCTTTGCCAGAATCCTCAGGCAATTTACTGTCCTTCTTATACTGTATGTACTGTGCCAGATCTCATCGACCGCCATGATCTCATAATCTCAACAACGTCTCATGTATATCTGTTGCTTCGCCCTTGGATTGAGATCTTGCACTGCATGATCGCCGCTGACACCAACACTATCAAGACATGCATTGAGAGTGCTGGATAAATAGGGCCGGTAAGGAGGGATACGATGGATTAGAATTAAGTGCGCCTGGCTACACTGCGACATTATATCGTTTGAGGATTTGCGTTGTGGAGGGGGGTGGTAACAAGCTGGGTTGGCTTTTTGGATGATGTTGATGGGTTGATACGTTGGTATTGCTCGGTGGCGTGTCAGGGTGCTCTGGGAAATTTATAAGGGTAAGACGACATGTGTAGCACAATACCAGAACTTGATCAAGAGTATCAATGTTCATTACAGTCAAGTTTAGAAATGAGCAAGAACAAACCATTTTTCAATCCCCATTGACCCCCCTCCGCGATCCTATTTCTCAGAAGTCCCAGCCACAGGGACAACATGCAGCGCGAGATCGACCTCGGTACTCGCAAACCTCCTCGCGCTAATCTTGCGTTCAAACAGCACATCGAGCTCCCCATACGTCCTCCCCCTTGGCTCCGGCAACCGAAAAAACGTCCACAAAACGACAACCCCGCACGTCGCCGCCCAAAAAAACGCCGTCTTGGCCCCCCAGTTCCAACTCGCTTCACCGAGCTGGTAGTTTGTCAGGACGTTGACAACGATGTTGGACATGTTGTACAGGGCGCGAGCGAGGACAATGGTTTTGGCCTTGAGCCGCGTCGACGACATCTCCGAAACGATCGAGTACGTGACGGGGCCAATGGTGAAGTCGTAGATGAAGACGAAGAGGATGAGCATGCCGCCTGTCGCCCATTTCGACGCCGCCGTGTTGGAGAGGGAGCAGAATCCCACGATTAGGAGCGTTAGGAAGAGCATGATGCCCCCCGATAAGTGGATGGTGCGCCGGCCGAGGTGCCGCATTAGGAACCATGAGCCCATTGTTCCTAGGAGGCCGAGGGCGAGGGAGATCATGGACATGTTGAAGGATTGGATGGTTGGCCTGGAATGGGAGGTTAGTGGATATGGGAAGTTCGATCAGATTAGAACAGATACATACAATCCGGCTTTTTGCATAAAGTAGGCGCTGTTGGAGATATCGTTAGTACGGGGGGTTTTTTTTTCTTCAGATTTCCTTGGCTATGGTTCATGTCAAGGGTGGTTGGAATGATGCCCTTACAAGTATCCCATGATGTTCGTTCCGCAGATTGTCTGCGCGATCCACGCAAAGCATACAATCTCGGTCCTCCTCAAATCGTTCCCCTTGAAAAGATCTCTCCATCTCGTCCCTGCGGTGATCTGCTTCTCGAGTTCGTTGGTGTGCTCAATCATGGCGATCGTTTCGTCGGCGTTGAAGTTTGGATTCTTCTCGGGCGACGTGAGACGGAGCAGTGCAACTCGGGCACCTGCTCTATCACCGCGCCGCACATGCCACCACGGGCTTTCGGGGGCTAGGAGAACGCCTATCATGATTGGAACAGGCCACTAATCACCAGATATTACCATTAGAGCTTGTATATTGATGGGGACAAGGAGAGTGACTGACTATCCATTGCAATGCGAAAGGAATGCGATACGCCCATTCATCTTGCCGAGTTACGCAACCACGGTTCACTCCTGCAGCAATGAACTGTCCCATTACCTATAGTTCGTACGGGATATCTGATCAGTCAAGTTCAAGTAGGTTCGTTCCGGATCTGGCATCAAGCTCGCATGATACTTTGATACCATTTTTCTCCATGGACAATAACTCACCCAACACCTACATCAGGTTAGTAACTGTCTCATTTCAATTCCGGTATGATTGGTAATTTGGTGTTCATCCCTGAAATAGTTGGGGAAAATCCCAAAAACCTAAACTTACATATTCACAAACGTCGTCAAGATCGGCCTGAGCTGAACAGGTGCTACTTCCGAAGCATAACTAGTGCTCAACGTTTGGAAACAACCCCAAGGTATGCCGCAAAGTACCTCTCCAATGACCAGCGTCTGGACGTTCGGCGCGAAGAACAAGATGAAGATAAACGCAATCATTGAAATCAGAGCTCCAATCATAGTCTTGCGGTATCCATACCGCTCACTGACGAATCCATTGATGATGAGCCCAATGACCTCGCCAGCACGCGCGCCGTTAGACCTAATATAAACTCATCAACACGGATACCATACATCGACCATGTAGTACACAAGAGCGGAGAAAACGAGACTCACAGCGCACTTTGCCAATTAGCAGGAACACTCCACTTTCCCGTCTCTGGATTCTGCACGCCATACTTCATATTGAACTGCGGGCTTCCGTACAGTGAGCCCAGCAGCGCGAGATCGTATCCTTCCATGATGAGAGTGCTGGATAGAACGACAGACCATCCCACGGCTTTGGGATAGAGCCTTATTGCTTGCTTCAGCGACATTTCCTTTTCGTCGGCGGCGGCATGCTGAGCTTCTTCTGTGCGGGTGATGGGTTTGGCGGCCTCGGTGGAGGCTTCGACTTCTTTTGTCATTGTTGGTTGATTGGCGAGGGAAGACTTGGGAGGAACGTGGAATCATCAAAAGCAGACAGAGCTGGAGTAGGAAAAAAAAACAATCAAGACTTGGCTAGTTTTGTGGCAGACTCTTATATTTATGCATCGTAATATTCGAATGGTGAGGGCTTCCCCCCCGAGGATCAGATGACTTTCTCTCCACGCAGCTCTGGTTATGCGGGTTAGCGAGTCTCACAGGGAATTGATAGACTCCATGGCAGACCGCCTGACGGGCACTATGCCTTTAATAGAGCGTTGGGCCGTTGAACATGCATAGTGGCGGTCCAGAAAACCAATGATTGTACTTCGCGAATGCGGAGGCCAGCGATCGGGGTGTTTTTTCACACAAAGTCTTGCGGAGGCAAGGCGGGGCCAAGGCGGAGCCAAGTCGGAGGTGTCAACTCGAGGGCGGGGGGTTCATGGTCGCGCCCATGGGGTTGTATATTGTTTAACCGACTTTCCAGGTTAAGAAGCGCGTCCACATGGAGCATAGCCATGGATGATTCCACAGCGAGTGGGGGGCGTGGGTGTGATTATTCACACGATTCTTCTGATAAGTATTGATCCACCATCAGACCCGAAGAAGCATCAGTCTTGCAAGCAAAAACTTTTACCTATCCTTGAATTTTTTCATCACCTACGCAGCAGCATGTCACCCCATGTAGAGCATACAGAGCACAAACGCGTGTGGTGGAAAGAAGCAACCTTTTACCAAATCTACCCTGCATCCTTCAAAGACAGCGACGGCGATGGCTGGGGCGACATACCGGGCATCCTCGAAAAGATCTCATATATAGCATCTCTCGGTGTAGATGCGGTGTGGCTGTCTCCCATGTTCGACTCGCCACAGGTAGACATGGGCTACGATGTGTCCAACTACGAAGCCGTGTACAAGCCTTACGGGACAGTTCAAGATGTCGAGAAATTGATCGAAGCCTGCCATGCAAAAGGGATGAAGCTGATTCTGGACTTGGTGATCAACCATACAAGCGATCAACACGCGTGGTTTCAGGAAAGTAGGAGCTCAAAGGACAATCCCAAGCGAGATTGGTACTTTTGGAAACCGCCACGGTTCGATGAGGAGGGGAAGAGGATTCCGCCGACGAACTGGCGAAGTTACTTTGCTGGTGGAACATGGACTTGGGATGAGCACACGCAAGAGTACTATTTGCACTTGTACGACAAGACGCAGCCGGATTTGAACTGGGAAAATGAAGAGTGTCGCAAAGCGATCTATGACTCGGCAATGCGGTTCTGGCTAGACAAGGGCATCGATGGGTTCCGTGTGGATACCGTCAACAAGTATTCAAAGGTCACGAGCTTCCCGGATGCGCCCGTGACGGATCCAAGTAGCGATGTGCAGCCCGCAGCGCAATTCTGGTGCAACGGGCCCCGAATCCACGAGTTCATCAAGGAAATGAACAATGACGTGTTTTCCAAGTACAGAACTTACGACAGCCAGCCATTGGTTACTGTGGGTGAATTGTCACTGACCCCTGAGCCAGAGGGCGTGCTGGAGTACGTGAGCGCAGGAGTGAAGGAGCTCGACATGGTATTTCAATTCGATATTACCCATTTGGGACAAGGACCACCAGGGTGTGATAGCAAGTATGACTTCGCTGAATGGCAACTACCGGACATGAAAAGAATTGTAAAGAAGTGGCAGACATTCATCGAGGGCAATGATGGATGGAATTGTGTTTTCACGGACAACCACGACAATGGAAGAAGTGTCTCACGATTCGGCAGTGATGCACCTGAATACCGGGAAGCCAGTGCAAAGATGCTTGCACTGTGCTTCGCGGCGCAGACCGGGACTTGGTTTCTGTATCAAGGCCAGGAGATTGGAATGATCAACGCGCCGAAGGATTGGAGCATTCAAGAAGAGTACAAAGACGTTGAATCGCAGAACTATTGGCTGGAAGCTACACGGGTATCGGAGCAAGGTACAGATCCCACACGCGAAGAGCGTATCGCAAAGGGTCTGCAGCTCATGGCACGAGACCATGCTAGGCTGCCTTTCCAATGGAACTCCGGCGCGAATGGTGGGTTTTCTACAGGAACGCCATGGATGCGGGCACATGATCTGTACGAGGAGATCAACGCGGAGGCGCAAGAAAAGGATGCCAATAGCGTGCTGTCCTTTTACAAGCGCATGCTGAGATTGAGAAAGGAACACAAAGACGTGTTCGTGTATGGCAGTTTCGAGTTATTAGACCTTGACAACGCGGACACATTTGTGTATAGGAAGGTGTATCGGCAAAAGACAGCCCTGGTGGCGGCGAACTTTACACCGCTGTCACAGCGACTTCCTCGGCCAGATAAGGACATGAAGCTCTTGGTGAGCTCGCACTCGAAGACAGATCCAGATGAGCTGCAGCCGTTTGAGGCAAGAATCTACATTGACTATTAAGGGTATCGTAGTTAGCGCCACCTACCAATCAATGGCATACTGTTGTAAAGCTCTTCGAACTCTCGTCCTATCCAACCACCCGTCTTTCCATCCCGACCCACTATGCCGAGTCCTCCTGCTAACCACAGTGTTGTAAGCATGGCTGATAAAGCGTTGATAGCATACCACCTCCGTTTACGAATCAGATGCCTCTTCGACTCAATCTCATTGACTTGAGAGGGGGCAAAGCCCAGCCACTTGGCCCAGCCCCAGGTAAAGTGCCAGGCGCCAACGCCAACCATTGCTGTAAAACCAGCAAAGGAAACAAAAGGATGCGATGCAAAACCGTGACTGATGTACGAGAGGCTTATCATGGAGTTGTCTCCGTGCAGATATACGGGAAAGATTCTTGTTGTCCACAGATGAAACCCAGCCATGGGGATCAAAGCGTATCCCAGTGCACTTGTGCCGCTCAGTGAAGGCCACGGTATAGTCTTTCGATCGCGATGGGTCTCGGCGCCATATCGCTTCAGAGCTTGCCGCCTCCGGTAAAAGCGCAGGGCGATGCCGGAAGAGATGTGGGCGATAAGAGGAAGGGCGACAACGAGAGGTTCGGTCAAGGCGGATTGGTAGTAGGGACGAGTTAGGAGGAGATAGCGGTTGCTCTCCGGGACAGACCTCGTGATCAGAGGTATTATGGATGTGTTTGCGATGTGGAACGAGGCGAAGACGGTGAAGGCGTAGGAAGAGTATTTCTGGACACGTTGAACTGCAGCTTCATGTCAGTTCAAGGGTTCCACGTGCGTAGGGTTCCGATAGGGAGTTGATTACGATAGTATGCCGGTCCATGGTTCCCCAGGCCTAGCGTCGAAGTTGTGGTTGAAGACGGCGGAGAAGGGAAATAATCGCCTTTGAACTCGACGGGGGTTTCTTCGACGGGTGACGGCTCGACCTCCATCAAGCCAATAACACCGCTCTCGTTGTCTGCCAGCGGAGGCAAGTCGGACTGTTCCCCAGCCATGATGCACGCTTTCTATCGTCGAATTGATATGAAGCCACTCGGGCGTCGCGGGTTTTGTAGGTTTGCGGAATTAGCATGACGTTGATTCGAGGAGACGCCGGCGTCCGTGCGTACCGAGGCTGCTAGGGGCCGACTACCTGCTTGCTGTAATGGAATTCTAGATCCGCGTCTTGACTTGAGCCTCAACTCTTTCTCCACCTAACCCCAACAACGGCTCACATCGTCGCCCGTTGACCCCGCGTGCTTTGGAGGGGAAGGAAATTAATTTGTGACTTATCCAGGCGCAAATTAATTCCCGCGACGGCACTGCATCGAAGCTGCCCATTGCGCCCTCACCACGCTAATCAATATGGCTCCAGTATGAAACCTCTACCCACCATCACTGATTATTGAACATGCTCGACTCACATCTGGACAGCGCAATGCTCCTCTCCCGAATGCCGTCAACATTTTCAACTGCACCCTCTGTAGCAAAGGCTACCCTCGCCAAATCGACTATGATAACCATCTCCGCTCTTATGACCACAACCACCGCGCCCGCCTCAATGAAATGTCAAAGCTGACGGCCGCTCACGAGGGCGAAAGCAGCCGTCCCAAGAAAAGTGTCATCGACATGCGCAGTCTGCCAACCAATGACTCCGGAAAGGTAGCCCTGGGATCTCGGTTCACAAAGATTGGAGGAACTGGCGCCGCAGGTGGTGGCAGCAGGTTCAAGAAAGTTGGAGTGGCCGTGAACGACAGCCGAAGTGGACAAACGGATGATGCGACTGCACCCGCTGAGATCATCAAAGAAGCTGCCAAATCGGTAGAGCCCACGACTACCGACGCGATCAAGGTTGCTCCAGCTTCTACCGTCGCTCCAGCTGCTGACCACGTGATCATCAAGCAGGCAGGCATACCACCACAAGATGGCGATCTGGTTATGGTTGATGCGGAGGAAGAGGAGGAGGAGGATGATGAAGTCATCGACTGGGAAGAGTATGATGTCACCAAACCTACGGGCTGTGACCACGCAACCTGCCCAGGCTGCCCCTCGACTAAAACTGAAGTCGATGAGGACGGATGGTTGATTCTGGGCTCAGCTTAAAGGAGCGAAAAGGAAACGGCGTACCGGACACTATTTTGAGCAGTTTTTGCTGCAGGGCGATACCCAATAGATCACAGGCACACAATGAAAAGTCACTACTATCATGCGAAGTTCACAGCTATACACCCAAAACCCACACATCACCATGGAAAGGTTTCCACGACTTGCTGGTCTCGGCAATTGCGATGATGTTGTGCCTCAACCATGATGTTTACATCCATACTCATCGGCTCGATCCGAGTAGATGTTGCTAAAAAATCCTAACTCAGGTGTGACACTTGTCTTCTGTCAGACCACCGTCCGGTGCAACATGTCTACCAAGGCTTAGCTACCTTTGGTTGGTGGTTCAACCTTCACGCTTAAACGTTTCAGAATGCCATCGGCCGTACTGTCATTGATGTTGAACAGTGCGACGAGCAACACACCGACAGTTGTTGCGATGATAGCGCCCTGGGAATCCAATCAGTATAACTATTACCATTCCTATAGGTTTTACTTGCTGTGCACTTTGCTGTCCAGCTTCCTAGCCCGATCAAAGGCGTGATCAAATACAACTCGTACCCAACCAAAAATGTCACCCAAGAATAATGCATCAGCATCATTGGCGTTTGCCAAAGAAACAGCAACCACCACGACACTCTCAGTTCCGGTGCCCCTGGAACCTGCTCATCTTCAGAATACTTGAGTTTCTCAGGAACCAACACCGTGAGCATCGCTGTTCGTGTTTGCGTATTCACGTCTCCCTCTTTCGGTATCTGCGCCAGCAACCGCTCATGCGACGAGCTGACAAGCGACATGATCGAGAAGAAGAGACTGCAATTCCAAGCTACTCGAGCAAGCCAGAAAGCCTCCACCACATCGGGCCAAGATTTCGCGCCGATGACTGCTGCGGCCGAGAGCGTTGCCTGCGGACTGTTCGTGAGTGCAGGTTTCCTTTTGTACGTACGAAGAGGGTAAACAAAATATACTTCACTCACGGCTCTTTGCACGAATCGCAACTCCAACTCCTTGACTTTTCGGAACTCGGAGAGTAGTTCTCGGACTACTGGATCGTCGTGCTGGTGCGTTTCTATCGCGGATATGGGATCGATGGTGTAGATGTGCAACGACTTGGTGTATGTGAAAGTGAATAACAAACCAATATATTTGCGAGCCGTGGCTGCCATTTTCATCCTCATGGTCTATGGATGTGAGATCGTATCTTGTATAAGCACGTAGATGGATCATATTTTGAATTTCGGTCGCCAGGCTGAGACATCAGCAGTGGACTGAACTGAGGCTGATTTGTTGGCACGTGTACATATGATCATGTAGTATGGTCGTTTGATTGGCTGATATTTAGCACCCAGCCTCGTCTTTCGTATTGTTGCTCTGTCAATGCGAGATTTGCTACGATTGAGAGAAAGGGGGTTCAGTATCTTTTCCTTGCCAATGTTATGAGTGTTTGGTACATGTGGTGTCCTCTTCCAATCTAGTTGAAGCTTCTGATTTGGCCAGGGTCTGGCTACATAATATCACCTTTACTCGTTATCTTTCTGTCATCTTGCGCTTTTTGGACGATTATTTCACCAGTCTTTCAAATATAGGAAATACTTCAACTTCCAATCATAAAAAGAAATTACACGCATTAGTTTCTGTGAGGTCAAACTAGAATGATAGAACAAAGCCATGAATCAAAAGTTCACGTCCTATGTTCCTATCGAAAGATTGTTCTTTTGTACATGAATAAGGTGATATAACTATCAGACCTGGACCTATTATTCTTTCGTCTTTCATTCCCATTTCGGAGCTCCACCCTCTGATCAGTAATTTGAGGATTGAAAATAGCGCTGAGATGTCAATAGTTCCACCCTTTCTCTGCAAGTGCAGCTTACAATAACGGGTTACGGTGTGCCTGTTGAATGTGCCGATCTACAACAAATTCTGTTGTTTGCGACCTCGCGTGTATTTTCGATCTTCCTGACAACCTATCTCAAAGAAGGCACAATGACAAGTTCGATCTGATTGAGAGTTCACGATGGCAATAGAACCCGTGTCACCCATACACTACTAGCGGGCGAAAGAGTCACTCGATTTGCAACCCACCCACAAAGAGCCCATACATCGTGACCTAGCATATCCCGACGTCAGGTGAACCAGTGAATATTTCGGGCAAATCTGAATGAAATCCGAATTATCGCCTTCTTCCCCCGAGTGAAACTAGAATTGAGTATACATGCCAACCTGCCAAATTACACTATTCTTGCGTACACCACACTCATCCCCGCTCCGTGTCCAGCTCGGAGCGCTTTTCTACATCATCGGAGCTTCCGGGGAACGGATGACGCGGAAGAAATCAAGGAGAAATGCACCTAGTGCTGGAGTACCATAAGCGCTTTAGACCAACGACGCAGGTGTATGTCTCCAGTAGCCGAACAAGACATCATCGAAACAACGACTTGCACTGTAGTGAATTTTGAGTAGGCGACTAGGTAACGTCACAGATGCGTTAGTGTTGAAGCGGCTCAATTCTATAGTCTTGGCTCGAACCATCAACTGTAGGATTCGGCCTGTTCAACGGCATTAACGACGCTATGGACCCCACATACGTAGGCGATTTCTCGGAAGAGTATTAAGGAAGTCGAAGATTGGTTCAAGAGGCGGGGGAAAGACCTAAGTGCTGACAAAGCTTTGGGAAAGCAGGTCAAGCTATCCGGGGGGATTGTCGGGTAGATGCTCCTCGGCATGTCGTCACACCACGTAGGTAGCAGTCTATATCAGACTAGCACTATTAATTCCCACAAAATGTTCAAGGGGGAATTATGTTAGAGCAGTCATGTATAAAGTCTTGCTTTATCGCCCTGACTGTGACATTGAGTTAGGGTCGTGATACCAACTGGATACGCAATGGTGCACTATTCATTAACGACAGCGCTTTGCTGTCTCGTCACTTTGGTGTACTCTCAGAATGCGACTTCGACATACTCGCAACCAGATGTTCCTACGGGTGTGCCATTGCCTGGAAATTACGAGGGGAGTCTGCGTCCCCAGGTGCACTTCAGCCCTCCGGTCGGGTTCATGAACGATCCAAATGGAATGTTTCTTGATGAGAATGGAACATATCATCTTTACTACCAATGTCAGTATATGCTCCCAACGGACATGCTCGAACATACTCCTAAACCTTCCAGATAATCCATCAGAGAATGTGGCTGGCAATCAACACTGGGGCCATGCTACTTCCCAAGATCTGTACACATGGACGAATCAACAAATTGCGTTATTCCCCGGAGGACCGGACGAAGGCATCTTCTCCGGCAGTATTGTAGTAGATTCCAATAACACATCAGGGTTCTTCCCGAACCAGACGAATGGCGTTGTAGCTCTCTATACACTTAACACTCCTGATCGCCAAGTACAAGACCTTGCATACTCTGTAGACGGCGGCTACACATTCACCAAGTATGACAACAACCCAATCATTGGCAGTAACACGAACCAGTTCCGCGACCCAAAAGTCATTTGGTATGAGCCGACACAGCTATGGGTCATGGTTGTCGCCTATCCGGTTGATTTCGAAGTGGGTTTCTTCACGAGCCCAGATCTCCGAGAGTGGACGGCCGTGAGCAACTTCACCCGCTTCGGCGTGACCGGATGGCAATACGAGTGTCCCAACTTTGTCGAAGTGCGGGTGGAAAACAGCACAGAGACTCGCTGGGTGATGCTCGTCTCCATCAACCCCGGAGCCCCGCTCGGCGGATCCACCTCCTGGTATACCATCGGCAGCTTCAACGGCACGCACTTCGAGCCCGATGACTCCACTATCCAGCTCACGGACATTGCAAAGGACAACTACGCTGGCCAATTCTTTTACGGCCTCGGTGCTGATCAGGACCAGATCACTCTGGCCTGGGCGAGCAACTGGCAATACACAAACGTGGTCCCGACGGCGGGCAATGAAATCGGCGATGGTTTCCGCTCCGCCATGACCGTTCCTCGCGGCCACTTCCTCCGCGACGTCCCCCGCAAAGGCCTCACCTTGCTCAACTACCCCTGGAACATCCACTCCATTGTAGATACGGAGTTGGCTTTGAACAACTCTTTCCAAAACGGCTCTGTTGTGCTCGACTACTCGGACGTAGAGTCAAGAGCCATCTACTTCGAGGCCAACATCACGGGTCTCGCATCTTCAGACATCCTGGCTGGTACGCTCAACTTCACCTTCACCTCTTCCGTCTCCGGGGAGTTCGTCCGAGGCGGCTTCTCCATCGCCCCGGACAATAACCTCTGGCTGGACCGCGGCAACACAAACGGATTCGACAATCCATACTTTTCCGATAAATTCTCAGGCACTGCCCTGTACAACGAGGACGGCGATGGCGAGTTCCGAATCTCGGGGATCGTAGATAGGAGTATCATCGAGTTGTTCGTCAACGAGGGAGAAGTCAGCGGCACGAGCGTGTTTTTCCCTACAGAACCGCTTGATATCATGTCGCTCAGTGTGAAAGGGCTGAACGAGGCGGCGAGTGCTAGTGTTGGGGTGTGGGCGCTTAAAGCGGCTTGGTTGGATCAGGCAAATGCAAATGGGACTGTCTTGGGTAATGTGACGGCGGTTTGATTACGAAGTTCAGATGTTGAGACAGGCCTGAAGAAGCTCGACTTGGAGGTTCAGATATCATCTTTTAGTAGGGCTTACTTGATGTGTTTCACTTAGATACAATCTATTGCTTTCAAGGCGACGTAAACACCAACCATTTATCGTTTTACCTCTCATCTACATCTGTATTATTAACGAAGTTTATCAATCAAGACAGTGAAGGTTACAGCAGGTTCTGAAGATAAGTCGTTCATTTTGATCGTAGTCTCTTGTCAGCATCTACCTAATCCTCTTCAAATACATCAATAGCTACAGTCCAAGAGCATATCCAGATAGTCCAAGAATCAAAGAAGCTTTATTATCTGTTCCTCGAGACATAGCCCTCGAGCCTTTTATCGTACACTTCTCACCCACCCGACAACACCGACACTATACCCGACGAGTCCGCCAACCCTTTCCCTCTCACGCTTAGCCTCGTCCTGCCACTTGCGCAGCGCATCCACCAACTTCGCATCCCTCACCACAACATCGCCATGCAATTTTAAGAAGACACTCATCCAAGCCTGTACGAGCTCGTAGTCTCTACGCTGCTCGAGGCGCGCGGTCAATGCTTGAATGAAGGTGTGGAGTTCGGTGTATGGTGGGGTGGCGTTGAGTGTGCGAATGGCAATATCTGCGGAGGAAGGGGGCAGAGATGAGAGGTATGTGAGGAGAGGGGTGTACGCAGATGGGGATGGGGAAGTTTGGGCGGCGGCATCAGCGAGGTGCTTTGTGAACACGTTGGTGGATGCTGCGGCTGAGGATTTAGAGGCAAGTGCGGAGCTCGCTATGCGCGATGCTTGATTATCTGAGCTGTTGGTGGGCGGGGCGAGGGAATTTAATGTGTTGCCGCTGTCGCCATTCGATACAGATGTCTTGTCGTCGGGATTTTGCGAGGTGGACGGGAGGAAGAAGGGCGCTTTTTCGGGAGCTTTCGGGGTTTCTTTAGGCTTATTACGCGCACGGATGATGTCGAGATGGAGTAGGGTTTGCCAGCGGGATTTAGGAACCAGGCTGAGCGTTGTGATGCCTTCGCTGAGTTGATCCATAATGGGGACGATGGTTGCGTTCTGCTCTTCGTCTTCCTCTTGCGATTCCTCGGCAGCTGCGTCGACGAGGGCAGAGCCTCCTTCGCCGGAGGCGGTGGGTACGGTGGTGGTTGTGATGTCGTCTTCCGATATTTGCCGCGTTGATACGTGTGTAAAGAGCGTGCGGTTCGTCCAGATGTGCACGCCAACTTCACCATCGAGGGCAGTGGCGAGGTACTCCCCAGATGGGGAGAAGGCAACAGCAGTGCATTGGCTGGGTAGCTTCATGGCGTCGATGAGATGACCCGTTGGCAAGTCCCAAACCCGAACCGAGGAATCAGATGCTGCAGCAATGATCCACCTGCCATCTGTCGAGAAAGTATAATCCATAATACGGAGCTCGGCATGAGAACGTGAAGCCCACAGTTCTCTAACCAGCTTCTTGGTGGCAGTATCAACGACACGGATAGAGCCGTCATCGCAATTGAGAGCTACCAAATCACTATTAGGGTGATATCGTAGGCCGAGGACCTTGATCATGGGGTACCAATCGATCTCATGCAAGAGAGCGCCGGTGGCAAAATCCCAAAACTAGAGACATCGTCAGCAAGCATTCAAAGAATACAGAAAGAAGTATAATCACCTTGACTTTGCCATCGTCACCACAGCTGATGACCACCCGATTCAAACTGTCAACGGCAAGACCTGTCACAGCTCCTTTGTGCCGACCCTGGCCTTTGGCAAACTTCGGCTTTGTCGGCTGATCAGCGAGGACCAAAGCGTCTTCCTCTTGAAGCTGCTGAAGCTTCAGGTTTCTAGCTTCGTTCGGGGTCAAGCGAGCAGGAAATCTTCGTCGATGCTTGCCGGACTGAAGATTGTACATATCAATTGCTCCACCCGCTGAGCCTATCAACGCAAATGTGCCGCATGGAGAGATTGCGACGCTCTGGTTTCTGTCAGTTCAGAATAGTGTGTGGACTCGAGAATGGACTGACCTTGACCTCAGTTGAGTCACCTGTGTCGAATGTCCATCTGCCTGCTCGCTTACGGCCCCAAAACCAGGTTCTGGCAGACTTATCTCCCACATGGCCAGTGACAATACTTTCCCAACCGGTCATGTTGGCCTCTGTTTGTTTTTTGCCCTTCTTTTCGCCCTTAACCTTTGAGGAATTCTTCCAGATACCTGTCACACCAGGCATTGCTCCAATACCGCCGTCACGATTGAGCGAACAGGCCATGCAGGTAATGGGTGCGGCCTTCAGGCCTTCCAAGCTGGTATGAAGCCTTGAACTAGAATCACTATCGAGTAATCCCATCTTTTTTGCCTTCTTCTGGATTGCGCCCTGACTAAGTTCGGTGCTTTGACCGTCACGACGGAGACTCCAACCCCACAAACTACGATCGCGGCTCGCGCTGAGCAACCACTTCCCCACATCATCGGAGCCATCCGAGTTTGACGGTAGAAACCTAAGGGAAGAAATCGGCGCTGCATGGCCGCCACGGGAGTGCAGGATGCGGGGAACCGGTGAGAATGGAGACTCGTCGAAGATCCAACTTTTTAATGAGTTATCCAAGCCGCTCGTTACAACGACTGCTTGGCCGTAGAGGAATTCGACCTTGCTCACACCTCCTCCAATCCCTCCACTGGCAGATGGGGGAGGATTGTGAGCTCCGCGCAGTGTACCCATCTTGCGACCGTTGTTGTTGAGATCCCAAAAAGTGATATCACTGCTGTATCTGCTTGCGGTGGCCATGACACCGTCTTTCCTGCCGTCATCGCCTGCGCCTAAGCTGTCTGTCCTGAACGAGATAGTGGTAATGGGTGCTTTCTTCGAATTGCCCAAGTTGAGGCGCATTATCTCTCTGTCGGTGCGAACATCGTGAATGACAACGGGACCTGACTCGTACGCGATGGCAAGAAGCGACAGGGCCGGAGTCGGTTGCAAGGCGGTGACTTGGCCGAAATCTGAAGCCGGAGGAAGCAAAGTATAGAGTAGCTTTCCCGTGTTCACATTCCAAATTTCCACGGAACCATCCTTCCTACCCAAAAAGATCTTGTTTAAGAACGTGGGCATGTTACAGACGCAGCCGGATAGCGGACTCGAAGAGGCGCTTTGTAGCGTGGTGTAATGTTCGAAGGTGGAGGATTTCCACACTTCGACCGTGGAAGAAGCGCAACCTATGATCCACTCTCCAAAGGCAAGTAGTCGAGTGAAATTTTCCGCGGTTCCACGAGGTAACTCGAGCTCAGCCGTTCTTTTTCCACGCTGGAACACCCACACGCCTCGCTGGGACTCTGTTGTTGCACCACCCCACGCGGCAAAAACATTCTTTTTCCATGCTAGCGTTGCGGTGATATTTTCTGGTGTTTGTGGTCGAGTGATGAATACTAGGTTCAAGCCCTTCTTCAGGTCGTACGTTTGCAGCGATCGACCGACGGAGGTAGTGATCTGAAAAGTCGTATTGCCGAGCGCAAGGGAGGTGAAAGGGACATCGGTAGGGGATACGAGGCCAACTGTCTATGAATTCCGTATTATCAGCAATTGCGCCGGCAAGAAAGTCAAATGCTGGGGACTCACTCGAAACGGCGCAAATATTTTAGACCTGCGGACAGCGGTGGAGGTTTCCTCGCTGCGAACCTGTAACTTCTGGCGCTTGGACACAGGACCATTGGCAGCCGCTTCTGAAAGTGTGGAAGCAGGCATTGTGGACCAGGGCTGAGCAACAGCTGTATTAGTCGTGTTTGGTGAGGTTGTAGCAGTTGTCCGATATATTGTTGGAGTTGGAGAAGATTTTTGGGCGACTTAGATCAGATCAGATTAGATAAGATTAGATTAGATGGGTGGAGCAAAAGATCCAATCAGAAGTCGGAAATGGTTCCCACCACCCTGCGGCACACTAAGGGAACTAATTGTACGAACTGTAATGCTGCGACGCAGCTGCGTGCAATGATCTACCAAGGCCAACCAAAAATGACTTACATCCATCTTTTCCTTGATGTAGCCCTCACACATACTAGACATTGCTTTCCATCCCCAAAAGACCCCGGGTAATGCAGACTCGAGATTGATGATCCAAGGGCTTGGATTACACGGACTCAAGAACGACATGAATCATCAGAGAAGACGGAGAGCATGTCGCGAATGCTCATCCGTTCTCATCACAGCATCCAGCAGGACTCACGGAGCTGGGGATGAGTTGGACTATGATTGTCAGCGGCGTCATCGCTACGACTATGCATGTGCAGGATCTCAAGGACGTGGAGGGAGATGAATCCCGAGGGCGCAGGACGGCGCCTCTCGTGCTGGGAAACGCGCGAGCGAGATGGAGCATTGCCGTCCCGGTTGTTTTTTGGTCGGTTTTCTGTGCTTGGTTCTGGGGGTTCAAGCATTGGAATTGGGCGGGTATGTAGCTTGACGCTGTATCACGATTGTTGGTCGAGCGGAGGACAGGGAGACATGGCAGCTGTGGGCGCTTTAGACAGCTACTCTATATGTTTCACGGCTGGCTTGGTATTTTCTTTCATGGTTTTATATGTATTGATCTGATTTGACCAATGGAGTGATGGATTAAAGGTACTCTGTCACGCGCTCGTTATTCCAACTTGTTGCGTGAGCCATGTTGATAGGGTAATTGAATTTTGTAGCTGGACGTCCTTGTTCGAATAAATCGTCTTGAATACGTATACACGTTCTCATCCACCGGTTTTTTAAGCCATTCCACATGAGATACAGTATCAGACGGCTTCGCAGAGTATGTATGATATATGGGTTGATGATGAAAGCAAGATCGACACTGCAACATTGTTTTGTGGGATTGGTCGTATTCCGGCTGTGGCTGCATGCCGCTCGTACTCTCTCGCGCGAACACGCAGTACAATAAAATCTACATATGTACTTGATGTATAATGTAAGCACTCAAGCACCTAGATACGTATGTGTATGTAGCGATCGACGTAGGTGCGTGGGGTACGTGGGGTACCGTGCAGTAGAGTACAGTACACTAAACAAGTGCCTCGGTTCCTGGCCTGCCCCCACCTGTGACCATGCGTTCCAACCGTTCGTACTCTGTCTGTATGGTTGCGAATTCGTTCAAGTATCAAGCAAACAGCAGCAGAATTAGTCAGAGAATTGCATTTTATAGCAGTGAGCCGGAATAATTTCGATGGTGTACTGTGCTAACTTTCTCCTCTTATGGTCTGGTAGCCCTGATGTTCGAAAGGTAGCTGTCTCCTGGCAGTATTGGAGTAGTAAGTAACTCCGAGCAAGATTTCCTTTGCAATCAAGTAAACATTGTCGCCAATCCAGCCAATGATGTTACCAATATCGCATGTTGATATGAATATATCTTTGCCAAGTGAAAGCATCAACATGGGATACAAATGCTACGCATACATACATGTATACATGTATACAGGCTACGCAAGAACCTAGCTCACAACGTGCGCGGTACGAGAGCTGCCGTTGGACAAGATTGTTTCAAGCCACGTCCCTCTCCCCTCCAAAGCACAAACGACGTCATTGCTGCTGCATGATATTGATTACCTATTTTTCTTTGCCGAAGGAAAAAAAAAGCAAACATAGCCATCCTCTCTTCCCTTTAAAGTCCGACCGTGCGGCACTGCGGGCTTATGGAGGAGCAACAGCAACCACCACCACCACCACCACCACAACAACCTCAACGACAGCCGCAGGAGCTCGTACGCACCGCCAGCACCGATGCGCCCCCGTCATGGCACCCCCATCTGCTGGGCTCAGGAGCCGGCAGCTCCACGCCGGCCGCCAGCAGAAAGGCCCGGACGTCGGAGCCAGAGATGGGCGGCGGCAGCGTCGAGCGATCTAGTGTGTCGATGCCACCGCCCGCCTCCAAATCCCTCCCGAGGCAGTATCCAACCCGCCGCCCCTCCAAATCCTCCGACCTGAGCACCATCTCCACCGCCGTGGACGACTCTCATTTGCATCCAGACCCGCCCCAGCGCCCTGCCAATCCCTCTGTCCCTTCTGCCTCGACCCTGGCGCCGCTGACGGACGCTCGGCACACGCGATCAGAGCCTGACGTCGAAACAAACCGCCTGTCTTTTTCCTCCCTATACTCGATTTCCTCCACAAACATCTACCCCCACAATACACGCAGGATGAGCACAACCCTGTCTGCCGCGGGCTCCGAACCAGACGGTGAGCCATATCCCCAATCTCGTGGTAGTTAGTTTTTGAGCAGCGAGGCACAAAAAATAAAAAATAGAATAAAAAGTTCCAACCAGAACAGGAAGAGGAGGGGCACGCGGTCCACCATGTACATATGCATATGGCACCTGAGTGCAAGGGAAATCACAAAACTACAAGCGGGATCCGCAGATGCGGTTCGCACACCGCTCGTCATGTCATAGACGGACAAGAGAAGCGATTGCTGACTTTTCTCACATGACAGGAACCACCACAGCGACGTCGTCTGTTTCCGTCACCACCAATAGTCACGGCAGTCTGAACCCAAAGCTGTCTCCTTCTCCTACGCAAATGCTCTTTCCCCCCGACCAGCAAACCGCGCCCAATCCAAATATGAGTCCGAATCCCAACGCCTCCCCGAATCCGACCTCAAACCCCGCCCAACCGCCCACGCCCACCCTCACTCAACAGCATCCTCAGCCACCCATTGCTATCCCTCGCCGCTCAAGAAGCCGTACCGCCGCCCAACGTCGTATCAGTGGAAGCACAGCAGCCAGCAGTCCTGGCAGCAGAGAAATGCGTGAGCCTAGGGAGCCCAGGAAGCCCACCAAGGGCATCATTGGTGTCTGCGCACTCGAGTCCAAAGCCCGAAGCAAGCCTGCAAGAAACATCTTTGGTAAGCTGGTCGACAACTTTGAAGTTAAGATCTTCGGCGACAAGATCATTCTGGACGAAGATGTCGAAAACTGGCCTGTTTGCGATTTCTTAATCTCCTTCTTCTCGGATGGCTTCCCTCTGGACAAGGCAATCGCCTATGTGCGCCTTCGCAAGCCTTTCTGTGTCAACGATCTGCCCATGCAGCAGGTACTTTGGGATCGCCGCCTGTGCTTGATGATTCTCGACCAGCTCGATGTACCTGCTCCCAGGCGTGTTGAGGTCAATCGAGACGGTGGACCGAAATTGCAGAAGCCCGAACTGGCAAAAATTCTCAAAGAGAAGACAGGCGTGACCTTGAATGGTCCTGACGGCACTGGAGGTTTTACAAAACCGCCAAAGGTGGTTGAATTGATTGACGACAACAACACCATCCGAGTGGACGGCCAGACCCTCACCAAGCCTTTCGTGGAGAAGCCGGTGAGCGGTGAGGATCACAACATCAATGTCTACTACCACAGCCGGGACGGTGGAGGCGGCCGCAGGCTTTTTCGCAAAATCAATAACAAAAGCTCCGAAAAAGATGACACCCTGGACGTCCCTAGGTGTATTACCGATCCCAACAGCAGCTACATCTACGAAAAATTTCTTCAGGTGGAAAACTCGGAGGATGTGAAGGCATACACAGTCGGACCAAACTACTGTCATGCCGAGACGCGCAAATCGCCCGTTGTCGATGGGTTGGTTAAGAGAAACCCGAGTGGCAAAGAAGTCCGCTACGTGACAAAACTCAACGAGAGCGAACGCATCATGGCAGCAAAAATCTCCAACGGATTCGGTCAGCGCGTGTGCGGTTTCGATCTTCTACGAACTGGAGGTCGCAGCTATGTCATCGACGTCAATGGTTGGAGTTTTGTCAAAGACAACCCAGACTACTACGAGAGTGCGTCCAGGATTCTCAAGGAATTGTTTCTCGACGAGATTTTGCGCAAGGAACGGAAAAACGTGCAACAAGCCGCTGCTGAAGCCCAAGACGAGTCCGTTTCCAGGAAGAAAGGTTTCAAGGATATGTTGAAGTCTCCTAGTATGTCAAAGTTGAAGGACTTCAAGGATCAACACCACCTCCCCCACAAACGTCATTCGACCACCATGCCTTCTTCTCCCGAGGCCTCCCTGAGCACCACGCCCACAGCATCGTCCCCGAGCATTGAAAAATCTCAACATGCTTTGCTTACTTCCGCCCCAGGTGCACTCAAATCAGAGTCGGACCTACTTCCTCCACCTTTGATCAACGACAAAGATGTCGAAGCCGAAGCCGAAGAGTCTCAATCTGAGGAACAGCTCAATATTCCACCTCCAGCATCTAAAGCTCAGTGGAAATTAAAAGGTGTTGTGTCGGTCGTTCGCCATGCGGATCGCACTCCGAAACAAAAGTTCAAATACACGTTCCATACCAAACCATTCGTTGATTTGCTCAAAGGACACCAGGAAGAGGTCTTATTGGTAGGCGAAGCTGCACTGCAAAGTGTGAGCGAAGCTGTCAAACTAGCCATAGAAGAGGGCGTAGAAGACTCCAAGAAGCTACGCGAACTGCAGATTTACTTGAACAAAAAGGGAGCCTGGCCTGGTACCAAGGTCCAGATCAAGCCGATGTTTCGGAAGAGGAGAAAGGAAGAACTGGCCCCCGGTGATCTGGCTGAGCGTTCACCAGAACGTCAACGATCAGGATCTCTAGATTCTAGCGATCTTCTAGATCCCACCGCCAAACGAAGTGATTCCATGTCTGGTGTTACCCTCTCCCGCATTACGGCAGCCGAAAACAACCTCATACTGGACAAGTTACAACTCATTATCAAATGGGGAGGCGAGCCCACCCATTCCGCACGGCATCAGACGCAAGACTTGGGCACTAATTTCCGGAATGACCTTTTGCTGATGAACCGAGATGTCCTTGATGATGTGTCCATCTTCAGCAGCTCCGAGAGACGTGTCACCACGAGCGCCCAGATATTCGCTGCCGCATTCGTAGACAAGGATCAATTCCCCGCCGAGAATATTCAGGTCCGCAAAGATCTTCTTGATGACTCCAATGCTGCGAAGGATGTCATGGACAAGGTCAAGAAAAAGCTTAAGACGCTTCTTCGAGCCGGAGACAAGGCACCTCCCCAGTTTGCATGGCCGAAGGATGCCGCAGAACCCTATATTGTTGCCAGGCAGGTTGTGGAACTGATGAAGTTCCATCAACGCGTTATGAATCACAACTTCAAAAAGCTGGAATCAGGTGCCGTGTCCTCCCTTACGGCCGTGGTAAACCCTCCCGCAGATGGCCCTGCACAAGGCGCGCTGGCCAATGTCACCAACATCAACCAAATTCAGTCTAGGTGGTGCTGTAACGAGGGCCCTGAGCTCTTCAAAGAACGCTGGGAGAAGCTTTTCAAAGAGTTTAGAGATGCCGACAAGGTCGATCCTAGCAAGATTTCGGAGCTTTATGACACCATGAAGTTCGATGCTCTACATAACCGACAGTTTCTGGAATGGATCTTCATCCCGGACTCTTCCTTCTTGGACGAAAACTCGGTCGCAGACGGATCGAAGCCGCAAACATCTGCAGACAGCCAGCCCAAGGCTTCGGGTTCATCTTCCGAGAACCTGTCGAGGTCAGATTCGAAAGAAAGCCATCCAGAGAAACCAGAGCGGGGCAACATTGCTCATAGAATGGGCTTCAGACGCAAGTCTGAAGTCATCAGCAAGGTTGTGGCGGCTCCCACTTTCCAACATGAGTCGTATTTCAAACTTCACGGTAGCAACGGGGGCGCAACAAAAGCACAGGTCGATGCACGCCTAGTCAAACTCCGAGAGATGTACCATCTGTGCAAGGTCTTGTTTGACTACATTGGCCCTCAAGAATATGGAATTGACAACGAAGAAAAACTGGAGATTGGTCTGCTTACTTCCCTGCCTCTTTTGAAAGAGATTGTGGAAGACCTGGAAGAGCTCCAGGCTTCGGAGCATCCAAAATGCTTCTTCTACTTCACCAAAGAATCGCACATATACACGCTTCTGAACTGCATATTGGAGGGCGATATCAAGACCAAGATTGCCCGCAACGCCATCCCAGAGCTGGATTACTTGTCGCAGATTGGCTTCGAACTATACGAATCGGAGAATAGCACCACAGATGAATCACCAAACACTTTCAATTACAGTATTCGCATCACGCTGTCACCCGGGTGTCACACATTTGCGCCTCTCGACGTGTAAGTTTTTTCAGGTCTGTCTAAGTAGATGTCAAGCACTAACACACGTACAGGCAACTTGACTCTCGACACATGATCGGCTTCGCACCACGACGCAGTCTTACCGCACATCACGACTGGAAAGAGATTCTGGAGACTCTTCGTGCCAAGTTCCATACGTAGGTGTTTTGCCCGATTGCACACATGTCAGTCATGTTGCTAATTTTTGTTTGCCAGTGTCAAACTCCCAAAGAGCTTTGTCGCCATCAACCTCAGTGAAAAGGTTCCCGACGCGTTTGGCGAACGCAGGGGCAACGGTAATGGGAATGGTAGTGGGAATGGGAATGGGAACGGTAATGGCAAAGGCAAAGAAGCTGCGAAATTCGAATCCCACGGCGATGAGCTGGAAGCCCCTCTTCCACCGCCCGCACTAGATGAATAGACGGATTTTTTTCTTTCTGGGTCTGTGCATGATCCATAATAAACGTCTAGAGAGGTCAAGGAGTTTTTTTTTTCCCTCCCCCTTTGGTGATTGCCTGTGATTTTTCATCCCGTTCAGTTTTGCAAGGCTACACTTTGTTTTCTTTCTTTTGAACAAAAATCACTTGCTATTTAATTGCATTGTTGGAACCCCCCCGCCTTGAGGATTAATAGTGCTTTGCTCTTAGTCGATAGATAGATGGAATGGTATGATTTTAATTCTAAAATGCCTGTCTACGATTAATTGCATATTCTGTGTATGCACTGGGCTCTTTTAATGGCGGTGGATTCAATGTCTGATCTTTTCTCTTGAGTGATTGTGTGTGCGTACGTAAATCACTGTAGTAGTGATAGTGGTGTGGAAGCTATGTACGCTTTGATTTAAGATAAATCCAGAGAGCATGCCCCCCAAAAAAAAATTAATCAAGAAAAATCAATTAATACCACGGATTTGAAGGAGCGCGAGAGTCGGATGCACAGTGTGCAGTGTGCAGGAGAAGAGATGGAGAACAAAACTCTATTATAAAGAGAAGAAGAAGAAAAAACAAATCCATTGAAAAAAAAAATATCACAATAAACCTGAAATTCATCATATGTACAAAAAAAATATCGCTCCTGCCGGATGGACTGACTGACAATGCTAATGATGATGATGCCATGCATATTTCCCATGGTTGCTCCCGTTAAAGTAGATGGGAAGATCAAAGCGCGCTGAGAGAGACAAGAGAGAGAGAGAGAGATGGAAACAAATTGTCAGAAACGCGTAACACGCCTCCTTGTTTTTATTCCTATTCCTATTCCTATCCCCCCCCTTTTTTTTTTGCCTGTCCCATCATCATCATCATGCATAGAATGTTCCAGAGCCAGAAGGTCAAGTAGAAAAGTTTCAAGATTGCGCGTCGCGCATACATATACATACATACGTACGCATGAAATCGCGAGATTCCGTTTCAGATGAATGAAAAAAGAGGGGGGGAATCCCTTCTCTTTTTGCAACTCAGCTTCGAAAAATTCGAAACATGAGCAGATAGATATTTACCCAGATCGATGGGTTTGATCCAGTCTTTGCAACAAACGCCGAAAGAGAGAGATGGAAAAAAGAGAAGCGAGTGTTTGGACTGAACAATCGCTTGGAGTGGATAAACAAAAACATGCAGTCCCTTAAACGCACATCCTTTGAGAGGGGTATCTGACAAAACCAATAGTAAAGAGAGAGAAGGAAAGAAGAGTGGAGAAGACCTAAACCAGACGGGCGCTACAGAACTGGACAAAAAAAGCTGTATAATAAGGACATGGAGGAAAGGAAGAGAGGATGCAATGCCGGGATGGAATAGAGTTCAGTGTTTAGGTTCGCAACGGCGGGGGGGATCGCTGGCAACGGCGCCGGCCCGATTGATGGGTGGGTGGCTTGGCGGGGATCCGCGCGCGCCTGCTGCTTTTGGGGTGGAACTATTGAATTGCAGCCAGCCTTTGGGGAAAGGGCCGAACAGTGTTGGTGCGAAACTGGAAACCGCCAGTCTGCCCGCCCGCCCGAATGCAAATGTCGCGTGACCCTGGGAGAGATGCTGGCGGGAAAATAGAGAGTAGCCTGGAGGAGACGGCGGCTCTGCTGTGGTAGCTAGCGATGGCTTCATTTGAAGATGCTGAGGGACAGCCTCTTGGACTTGTGGCGCATCTTCTTGAGGATGCTGGGACTGTCGAGCTGCGAGGACGTCGACGAATGGCGCACGCTGTCGGGGCCTTCGCTCGACGTGTCGCTGGGGCTGCTGGCCACGTTGGGTCCTTCCTCGTCGATCTCATGGAGAGTTCCGGGATAGGCGGAGGGGATCGGCGTGGGCTCTGCTGCCACGGGCACTCTGAAGTACTCGCTGACGCGGGCGTTCAAGGCGCGGTTCTTCTCCTGGGCCTGGATCATGGTAATGCTTGAACTGCTGTCTGTCCGGGTTAAGCTTCCTCGGCGGAGCTCTCGGCGTGTGGTGTTGAGGGTCAGGGAAGGGCTGCGAGACAGTCCGCCCGAGCTAGGAGCACGGTCATTGCCGACCAGTCGGTACTCGGAGTTGGAGAGATTCCAGCCTGAGCAGTAAGGGCAGAAGTCGCATTTGATCTCCCATCCGGAGATGCCCAGTTTGGTCGGGCAGTTGGAGAGGTTGGTGGAGGGAGTGCAGGAGCGCGAGAGGTGGTACCAGCGGTGGCGGCAGGGCTGGAGAGAAACGTTGAGTTCGGCGATGCACATTGTGGAGGTGGATTCAGGTGTTGTCGACAGAGGTTCGGATGGGGGTGTTGTTGCCTTGAGGCAGGTTGGCGATGGCTAGCGACGACGTTTTGGAGGCCGTGTTGAGCTTCGTCCTTGGGGATGGGGGAAGAGCAGGAGAAGAGAAGAGTCTTGGGAAAATGATGACGGAGGCGGGTTCAAATAGACTTTGAGTGTGCGGGGGGTGACGGTATGAGTGTAAGGGATGGGATGATGCTGGGGTGGATTTATACAGGCTAGTGGTGGTGTAATGATGCGGAACAATGAGGCCAAACGGGGATTGGCTAGCGCGCAGCGTTTCTGGAAACGGGATGCGCGGACCACGGGGGATGAGAAGGTGGACGAGATGGCGGGTGGCAGTGCAGTCGAGTGGTCGTGGCACTAATGGAGATGGGGATGGTTTGGGGTTGAGTGGTTGAGTGATTGCTGGCCGTGTTTATGCTTTGTTGGTGCAGTGAGATGTAGGGTGATGGAGGCAGAGCTTGATGTGGTTGGTGGTTGGTGGAGGTGGTGTTGGTAGTAGTGGCGGCGGTAGGTAGGCAACGACGGAGTATAAATAGGAGGACTCAAAGGACAGATAGATACAGAAGGCTATTTGGATTGTCTGGGTGTGATGCAGTGGTACGTGGAACGCGAGGATGACTGGGGATTTATTGTTAAGTCAGCCCTACTAATAGTATACTAAGAGTATAGCTAGTATGGGGTGGACGAGTCGGGGTCCTTTTTTGGTGGTGGATGGGCAACAAAGTCTAGAGCGTCGGGATGCAATGGGGCATCGGGTTCCCTTTTAACTGTACCAAAGTGCTGGGCAGCGGAGGAGGGCAGAGAGACTGAGACAGAGGCAGACAGGATGCAGACAGGATGGCATGGGTGGTGGTGATGGGTGGTGGCCAGAGCGGATGGGGAGTGGAGATGAAGCCCAAGGGCCCGCTGGCCGGATGCAGCCTGGCGCCCTCGAGCAGCACGCGGAAAAGGACAGGGAGGCCCTGCCGCCTAACCAGCGTCCCGGGCCCCCGTCGTGCTCGGCCTTCCTCTGCCTCCTGTTGCTGGCCTCTGCTCCCCCTCTACCCATACCCATACCCGTACCCATACCTGGCGGTACACTGTGTAGCAGCAACAGCTATCGCAAGCCATCTCTCAGCGCGCGTGTTGCCCAACGTGGGTCCCCCTATTGGCCCGGAGCCCGCTACTTAGCTACTTAGCTACTTAGCTACTTACTCACTCATCTCGCCATGACAATCAAACAGAGCCATCAAGCTATCTTTGCGCAACACATCATGCCATGACACGACATGGCATTGACGAGATTGATTCCGCAACCACCACCACCACCATCATCACTCCCTGCTGGCTGTCTGACGACGACGACGCCGCCGCCGGAACGCCGGCCTGGGGGCCAAGGAGGGGGCTGCTTCAATCCCTCGCCCTTTTCTTCTTTATCCTGCGAGAAGCCCTGAGACGCCAACAGGGATCGACGCAAACACCCGACACTCAAGGAATAGTCAAGACGTTGGTGGGAAGCGCATTCATCTTGGGAAAACATGTTCCAAGCCGTTACCAAGAAACAAGTCTCGCTTTCCACCCGCCATCCCGGCAGCGCTGCCTGTCCACCATGCATCGGCTGTGCTCGTGTCCTACTCATGGTCCTACCGTGTGCCACCGCCTGTCCCACTCGACTTGATGGTTGCTTTTCGAATCGCCCGTCCGTCATATCCACCATCCACTATGATTGATGATGATGATGATGATGATGATTGTTGCTATCCAAAAGTCCGTGCATCAGCAACACCGGGGTTGCGTGTTGCTGCTGCTGCTGCTGCGTGCTAAACGAGGCCCGCGGACGAATCCCGACGATCCTGCCTGCGCCCTACACTTTGTGAATAGCCGTCGTATGAAGTCATGCCTGCTGTCCTGCGCACGGTCGAAGAATACAACAATCCTCCCTCCCTCTACCATCTCTACCGTATCTACTATAGTATCATCCTTCCTTCTTCTTCTTCCCGCAGAGATTTTCAGGAGACCCGCTCCTTTCCTGTTGAGTCACCGCTTGCGTCGCCTCGCTACCCAACCTCATTGGAACGGGGCCTCACGGTCTGACCTCACCGCCGCACGGACTGTCGTTTACCCTTTCTCCATTTCTTTTCTTTTCTTTTCCTCCAAATTGTCCCAACTCCTTTTTCGCTGCCGATCGACTGCTAGCACGTTTTCTTAACGGCCCGCTGAGAGGTGCGCCAGTCCTCTTAGCGGTGAGCGACGACGTGCTCGCAACGACAGATCATCATCGTCACTAACACACATGCATGTGTGCATGCATGATATACCGCCGAGTTGTCTCTCGTCATCGCATACCTACACAGCAGACGCATCAGGGGTGCCGGCCAATGCTATCAGATAGCAAGTAGAGCTGCATCGGAAGCTGAAAGGGAGAGCTGCCAACAAGCACAACATTCCGTTTTTAGTCGTCTCACCCTCCAAGCATCCAGCATCCATAATATCTGTCTCCAGTCTCTGATAAGGACATCCTCCGTGCTCTTTTACAAATCAGATCCATCCTCTTAGCAACCTGTCGGTGAGATCCTCGATTGATAACCATCGATCAATCAATCAATCAACAACATGCACAGCCTCAGCGCCACGCAAGCGCCTGATAGGCTTTCACGTGCCTCGCGTGCACATCATGTTATGTTATCGTGCGTGCACGCACATGTGTATCACCCACACTGAAGTCCCGCCCTTGGCACCTCTGGGCGTCCTTGGCAACGAGCTTCTACCCCACCAGATACTCGCGCCGTCAACACCACAGACCTGCCCGTCACGAGATGGCTCACTGAAACCGTCCCGACACCGTTCTTACGCCATGTGGCCCGGCGAGAGGAGCTACGCCTACGACCAGCCGGGGAAATCAAATCACCAAAGCATCTCGTGACCATACCAACCGCGGTTTCCATCTCAGTGTTCGTTGCGCAGAACCCCCCGTCCTACCTTTAACCTCTCAGCCTCAAAAAAGAAAAGACATGGTTACGGCTCTCGTACATGCATAGCAGCAGATAACCTGCTTGCTCCGGCACAACTAAAAATACGAGCAAGACACACCATTCGCCCATATCCATCAACTAACCCCAAAGCCATCACTACCCCGCAAGCCCGCTTGTGTGGTTTGAGACTGGCTGCCCGTTAACACTGACAAGCGCATCGTCTCCATGCCCCGTAAGAGGTCTAGATCAGCTACTGACCGACCGTAACTGGGCCCGTCTCGAAACAATGCATATCTGTATGCCCTCTGACGCTTTCCCACAAAAACCCCCGCAAAACACGAGTCTGCTCCAAGATACCCGCCTCCGCTACCCAGACGCTGTCTTCTCAAGGCTCGGGGCAGAAATGCCGGCTCGGCAGCTTTCCTTAGCTCTCCTCTGCATGTGTGTCAGGCGGCTACCCTCCGCCGTGCACGCGAGTAGGAACATGTAACAAATCTCACGTCGATCAGTCAGTCAGCGTACTGTACGCCTGTCTATGCTTTTCATCTCCAGATTCGAATCTCTGGCATGAAACTTGTCCTGTCCTGGGCCGCCCGTCGTATCTTGTTTCATACGCCTCAGTCCTCATGCATGTCCACCCATGCGTTTTGCGCTGCACTGTGTGTCCTGTACTTTTGCCGTGGTAACCTGGTCCAGCAGCAGCAAGAGAAGGAAAACCACCATCCCTAACCCAATGGATCACGCTTACTTGGTGAGCATCTCGCTCCTCGCAAGTTCCCGCAGCTTGGAAAGGCTTGGTACTGTCTTGGCGAGCCACAAACTCCTCTTCCCCAAAGCAATGGTATCCTAGCCCTCCGAGGCGCGAGCTCATGCATGCCGAAAACGAAAGTCGACTCTACCACGTTGTCCGGTCCGAAGCTCATCGCTATTCGCTCTGCCTTCCATATTCTCTCCCGGACCAAGTCGAAGGGAGCCTTAGGTGCCCAGCGTATCGTGTACATTATCCCGAGCCTATCACTACCGCAACTGCTCACCCCAAAGTCTTCCCTCCAACACGTCGACCAGTGAGGTGCTTCAAAACCTTCTCAACTTTCCCCATTCATCCAGCCATGACATAACATTGTTGATCCAAACTTCAGAATCCTTACTCCGGTCTCGGGTACAAATCCCAGTCATTACACGAGGTCAATCTTTTCCCCAGGACTTGTAGCTGGCCCATCTTAGAGCGGCTCCTCGTCCTCCTCATCCCCTTCTCTCCATAGACATGGCATCAGCTCCGCTCGAGGCCGCAACCAAGTCAAACGCGAGGCTCGATCCCGCGACGTCGTGTTCATGACATGTGCCGCGCTCATGGATGTGCTTACGACTCTTGCGGGCAGCTGTACCGCGGATCCACCCCCAGACTCGGCTCGAGACGTCTGTGGTGTTGCAATGCATGTGTGTGTGTGTGGACGACAATGCCGCAGTGGCGTAGTAGACAAAGTGTATGACAGCCGCACTCTGAGTGGACCCGTCACGACCCATCATTCCCTCTGGCTGGCTTTACGTAAAACAGCGATGTAGGTAGTTGTGTTGCACCACCATGTGCTTGCTGCTCATCTTGGTGACGGCTCGGCGACGTGAACAACGTAGGTGGTGTAGCATGTCGTTCTTGGGTGGCTTTTTGACAACTGCCGACGTCCTCGAACGGTGGGGGATGGGAGGCCGTGGCAAGTACGACCCATCTCCTCACTCACTCACTCACTTTCTTACGACTTAGCAACGAGACCCCGTGTGAGAAATCCACATGGTGAGTCTGTGTGCAGATCAGCTTGCAGCCCGTAAGAAATCCTGCATGGGTAACTAGTGTGTACATTCGGCATACCAGCCCAGGTAAGAATCCTACATAGTTCAAGTAATGTGTTAATGTGTTTGTATGTTATGTACACATTAAGCAACACACACCCCCTGTGTACAAACCCCTCCCCCTTCCCACCAGCAAGCGCCCCCCCTAATACAAAACAAAAATGAAAGATAAACCGGACCTCGTAGCTGCTACACGAACAAAAAAAAAGAGGGAGGGGGGGGAGTAAAATAACAAACACTTATACTAAAAACCCTTCCTCCCCCCCCCTAGAAAACAGAAAAAGATGGTTAGTTACCTACTTAAAAAAGAAGAAGAAGAAGAAGAAAGAAATCTTAGTTCTTCTTCTTCTTCTTTTTTTTTATACTTGTAAGTTTTGCTTATAAAAAAAAGAAAAAGAAAAAGAAAAATTTCTAGCTTTCCTTGTATATATATATATATATATATATATACATTAATTGGGAATAAAGAAAGAAAGAGAAGAAGAAGAAGAGAAAAAAACACCATATTCTCTTATGTATGAAAACTTAATCAATGTCAACATCCCATTTGATTAACCATCTATCCAAATATATTTCATCATTCTCTTCTCACAAATTTTTCTTTCTTTCTAATATCAAAGTACAGCTAATTCCCGCGAGCACGGCATACATATCCAAACAAGCTACTGCAACAACCTCAACACCTTGACCAAATCGCCCGTGACACCCATAGCCGTGACCTCACCGCCCGCGCCAGCGCCCTGGATAATCAACGGGTTATCCCCATACCGCTGCGTGTAAAACGCAATAATATTATCGCTGCCCTTGAGCGCAGCAATCGGATGCCCCGTGTCGAACTTCTCCAGCCCAACCTTGACCTCGCCCTTCCCCACATCCACGCTCCCCACGAACCGCACCACTTTCCCCTCCTTCTCGGCATCGCGCTTGAGTTTCTCCATGCGGTCGTCGAACTCCGGGAGCCGGGCCAAAAAGTCGTCTCCGTCGGCGCACGCCTCGAGTTCGGCCGGGATCAGCGATTGCACGGGGAACGCGGCGGGGGAGTCGATTTCGAGGCCCGCGAGGCGCGCGAGGATGGTGAGTTTGCGCGCGACGTCGAGGCCGTTGAGGTCGTCGCGGGGATCTGGTTCGGTGAAGCCTTTTTCCTTTGCGGTTTTAACGGCGGCTGAGAAGGCGGCGCCGCCGCCGGATGTTGGGGCGAAGCTGTTGAAGAGGAAACTCATTGTTCCGCTGAAGACGCCTTCGATTTTGCGGACCGTGTCGCCCGTTTCCAGGAGCTCTTTGAGCGTCGAGAGCACGGGGAGCCCCGCGCCCACGGAGCTCTCGTGGAATACCCACCCTCCTGCTCCAGAGCCGTTGCTGGCGGCGGTGAAGATGGAGCGCCAGAGGGCGTAGCTGGATGAAAAGGCTTTTTTGTTCGGGGTGATTACGCTGATGCCTTTGCTGAGGAAGGTAGGGTAGGATTCAGCGATTTCTTGGTTCGAGGTGTTGTCTACGAGGACGACTTTGCCGGGGGCTTTGACGAGGTAGTCTGCGAGGTTGGTGGGCGGGAGCGTGGGTTTGTCCGAGGCGTGGAGCTCGGATTCCCAGTTGGAGAGGGATTTGTAGTCGGGGTGGTAGAGGGCCTTTTTGGACGTGCTGAGGTAGATGAGCGAGAGGTAGGTTGGGGACGAGGGGGATTGGGAGAGCTTGGAGGCGAGCTGTTGGAGCTGCGTGAGGAAGCATTTCCCGACACCTCCGGCACCTGTTTATGGATCAATTTTGTTATCAAGAGATTAATGCTTCGCAAGATGTAAAAAAAAATTGTTGAAGAAGGAGTCGGGTATGTTGTACGGACCGATGACTGCGATGAAAACCTGGCGAGGAGGAGCCATTGTTGATGGAGTATGGGAGTCAATGTTTCGAGGATGGATAGAGAGGTTCAAGATCTGTACGATGATGCGGGTTTTACGGGATCAGAGTCAAAAAAAGGTGGTGATTGTGCGTCCGGTCATGGCATATGAAAAAGCGAGCATTTGAATGTATTCACCCCGCGCGTGCCCCGCCAGGTTGGAAGCTCCGACCGCCGACATCGCCCATCCTTCAGCCCTACGTACGTAAAGCGCAAATCTCGCGTCACAGCTCCTAGCTAGCTCACACTACACTACACTCCTACACCACACCACTCCACTCCACATACCCCCGGCTCCCGTGCCATGTCTTCAAAAGACGCCCATCTCTACGGCGAACGCCCGAAACATCGTACCAAGGCCAAGGAAATCTCTTCCACGAGCGCCCTCGCTTTTTCATCCGCACTCTCCGGCTTGATCAAGGCATCATCATCAGGATCAACCGCCGCAACCAAGCCCACGGGTAGCCGCGCGCGAAGCCAAAAGGACGACATCTTCAAGACCCACAACAAAGGCGTCAAGAAGCGCGCGCTGAAAGATGTCGAAGAAGTCGATTTCGCTCAAAAACACCGCGGGCGCACGGCCGATGAAAAGGCCGAGGACGATGTCCACTACAAGCGCACCAAACGACGCATGGAAGAAAAAGCACGCCTGTACAATGCGCTGAAACGCGGTGATGTCGAGGATCTAGATGACAGGTACGGTGTCGACTTTGACAAGAAGTGGGCGGACAAGCAGGAGAAAGGCGGCGCCGACTCTGCAGAGTCGTCGTCGTCGTCGGACTCGGATTCCGAAGAAGAAGAGCTGGTGGAGTATACGGATGAATTCGGGCGCACGCGCAAAGGGACGCGCGCAGAGGTGGCGAGGGAGGAGCGGAGGAAACGCACCCTCGCTGCTGACGAGCCCGATCGCTTCACGGCGCGGCCGAGCATGCCTTCGGATATCATCTACGGCGACGCCATCCAGGCCGCGGCGTTCAATCCAGACGAGACGATTACACAGCAGATGGCGGAACTGGCTGCGAAGCGGGACAAGGAGCTTACGCCTCCGCCTGACACCCACTTTGACGGGCACGCGGAGAAGCGACAGCGGGGCACGGGCTTTATGCATTTTTCAAAGGATGCGGAAGAGCGCAAAGAGCAAATGGCCAACCTCGAGAAACAGAGGATGGAGACGGAGAAGGCGAGGAGCAGGCGGAAAGAGGAGATTGAGAAGAGGAAGGCGATGATTAGGGAAAAGAAGAAAGCGATTGATGAAAGGAGGGCGAAGGGTCAAGCAGACAAGTTTTTGAATGACCTTGGGGAAGAGCTGTTTGGTGAGAAGGAAGAGGGCTCTGAGGACAGAGCATGAGTAGGGCGAGTCGGATCAGCGGCGCAGTGGGATATCCTTTTTACACTTCATGATACCCGGGAAACTCATTATCCAAATTTCTCAACCACAAAATTTATCAATGTTGCGTCTTTCCTTCGTTCCTTGGTACAACGAGATGCGAAGTCAACAACATTGAGTTGTGTCTATCACGTGACGATGGACCTTTCTAACCATTAACTTCAAATATCCCTGCTCATGACTTTTGAGCTTCATCAATCGTATAAGAACGGGCACTAACCCCTCTCCTCTGGCTAAATGAATCGTGCTCCAACAAGAAAAGCCGTCTCAAAAGCTTGTGATGCGTGTCGTCGCCGGAAAACAAAATGCAATGGCTGGGTGCCATGTAGACCATGGTACGTAATATCCCCCAGCATACCGAATGCACAACAGACCACCTGGCGCTGTATTTCCAGGCTTTGCAGGTGTACTGATCTATACGAACCTACTCAAAACTGACCTTTGTATGTGTGAATCCAGCACCTCGGCAAGCCTGCCCTGCACCTTCAACGTACCCCAAAAGCAAGGCGGCAACAGAGGACCCAGAGCCACGACGCTGAACCAGCTGCGCAAAGAATACACTAGCAGCAGCACTCCTATTCGAACCGAAGGCGAGCTCGATAGGAATCATGCACGGAACGCGCAAGAGCACACGATACCGCCGTTGTCGTCTACTGGCGGCTTGGGCCCGACCGATTTAGAAGCACTCCCCATTGAAGCCTGTATAGAAGCTTACCTCGATCGAATCCACCCCATTGTGCCGCTTTTAAACGAAGACCTCTTGCGGGATGAAGTTTCAAAAGCCTCGATTTCCCCGGCATCGAAGCAGTTCGTCCTCTCGTTCTGCGCGTACGTCGTCACGTTTGGTAAAGTCCTGAGAGAACCTTCAGCTTCTCCATCGTTATCATCGACAACAGCAGCAGCAACATCGATATCCGACTTCGCCCTCGGACAACAACTCGTGGATTCCGCTCTAGCTATTCAAAATCCCCAACGTATCACGCAACCGAGTGGATTATCGGTGTATATATCTTTTTTCTTGTACGGTGCGCACGCGGGCATGGGCATGTATCGGCCAGGCTGGTTCTACCTCCGCGAAGCCACGACGCTGTTCATGATGCAGAAACCGGGTGAGAAGGAATGGTTTACACCGGAGACTCACACCCGCGTGTTTTGGATCTTAGTTGTGTCGGAGAGGTAAGGGAACTCAGCCTCCCCCCCCTTTTCTCTTTCCTTGCCGTTGTGTACCTCTTCTTGTTCAGAGCTGGATAGCTAGCTAGCTAACGTTCATGTCGCACTACCTGCCTATACAACAACTCCCACAGATGATGAAAAGGACGAAACTGACCTCAACGAAACAGAGCCCACGCCATCCGCCGCCAACGCCCTATAACCCTCCAAATCAACCCTTCCACCCCTCCCCCACCCCCGCCCCTAACCCCTCCAGACCGCAGCCTCCACCACCTAGCAACCCTCTTCCGCCCCTTTGACGAATCCTTCTTCTCCCTCTGGAACGACGCCTCCCGCCGCGACTGCAGCAAAGACTGGCTCCTCTCCCTCGAAACCCGCGTCCGCACCGCGCTGCTGCCTCCGCTTTCTCTTCTAGACGACCTGTCTTGCGATCAATTGGCGAATGTTCGAGTCTCGCAGCTGTGGCTGCAAGGCAAGCTTTATGAGCTTTTCCCGAGGTTTGGGTTTTTGTCGAGTAGGGAGAGCGTGTATGAGTGTTTGACGTTTGGGTATCCGGTTGCGGTTGCTGGGGCGCTGTTGGATCATGTTGGTGGTGGAGAGGTGGAGGGGAACGGGAGGATGACGACGACGACGAGGTTGCCGGCGCGGAGTTTGTGGGTTCATGGCGTTGGTATGGTATGTCTTTTGTTTCTCTTTGTTTTGTTTTGTGGTTCTATCCGCCCCCCTTTTCTTTCTCGGATCTCAAGTATTACCAAATCCTGCTGTCGTCGTTGTCAGCTCTGTAACTTCTTCACAACCATCCTTTTCTCAATCCCAACCCCTAATACCCTCCAAAATCCCAAAACTAACCCTTCTTTCTTCCCCCAGACAGAGAAAATCTTCGACATAACTTGCGCCCTCACAGACGTTTTCCCTTTCCTCCCTCCCCACCTTCCCTCTACTACAACTCATGCCTGCACATGCTCCGCCACCTCATCATCACAACCCACGTCTCCTTCCATCCCTCACCATCCACCTGAAAAACCCCTCCAACATCTCCGCACTCTGACGAAACTCCTGTCCACTCTCCCCTCGGGCCGCGAGAAATTTGTACCTCTTCTTCTAGCTAAGATACGAGGATTGTTACAGCCTTGTGTAGTGGAGTATATAGCTAAGACTGTGGAAGAGGATGAGGGGTTCTCTGAAAATGGGAACGTGACGTTTAGGTAATGAAGGAGAAGAGGAGGAGGAAGGAGAGAGGAAGGTGTGTTTTACTCTATTCTTCTGTGTTTTTCTAGGCTAGCAGATTCTAGACAAGTATCGTAATTTTGAAGTTGGAGTTTGGATGTTTATTTGAGGGATAGCTGCGAAATCTATAACTCCCTCTCTCTTGCCGAGTGTTCATTCTAGCTGTTAGCTTAAGTTGGACATGCTTACTGTTGCTGCCTTGGATGCTATGGATTTCTTTTCTTTTTTTTTTTTAATTTTAAGGGTGAGGGTCGAGAGTGTCTGGCAAGCTAGCGGTGTTTTGCTGTTATCTTGTTGAGCAACTACAGGGTGATAGATAGCAGATAATCTTTACGCTTATTTGTAAACATGACGTTGTGCATGATGTGGTATGAGCATTCAAAGTAAAAGAGCATATTGAAGAAAAGTCTGCTTTTAGGTTCTAGTTTAAGGCAAAGTTGGCAACGAAGGTGGTTCTGATGATGTTCAATATCGTATGTCGAGTTGTGTTTCAGACGAGCAAATATGTATGATGCTAAACATGTTTGACAAACAACATCCATAGATTGATTCACGTGCCTCATCAATACAAACCCATCACGCTACTATTCACCGTGACCTAACGTGTGCCAGCAGTCAATCAGCCAGACGCAACCCACAAACAATAGCCATTCCTCATATCAAGAGAGCAGCAGTCCGCCTTACTGCAGCACAAAGATTACCCTACTCAGCTCCTTTCTTATCTACTCCCTCTCTCACTCACACAAACTCGCACCCAGCAGAATGAACGCCAACGACGGCCAGAAAAAACCATATCACCAAAGCAGCAGCAGAACGCTATCGCCAGACCCACAATCCTCCTCATCCATCCCCTCCAATCTCTCAACACGACCACCAACGACAGTAGAGAGACGCATTCGCTCCGTACGCAACCTCTTGGAATCCGCTCTCCTCAAACTCAACACCCTCGAAGCAAAATTCGCACAACCCGCAGCCTCCCAACACCAAGAGCACCTACAAGAGCAAAGCGGTTCAGACCCCGATACCCAAAACACTACATCAGAGACCTTACTGCGACAAAACTACGCTGCTACACGTGAAGACGATGGAGGGGAGGCAGAAGTGAGAAGCGGGATGATGTCGCCCGAGGCCTTCTTTCCTATGGATCTAGAGAAAGAAGAGCGGATCCGTCAAGAGCGCAAACAAGCCCTTCTCGAAGAGGAAGCGCGGGAGCAAAAAGAAGAACAAGAGCAGCAGCAGGCTCGTTTGCAGATTCAGAGGTGTGGACAGAAATATGGTGGGTTTTGGTATGTTTTGTTCACCTCACCTCCCTTTCTTTTACCTTTTCTTCTCTTATCTTTCCATCTACCGTCTTCCTCGTTACTACATCTATTTTTCTCTTTTTTTACCCCTTTTGCCAGGACTTGTTTTTTTTTTATGTTTCTGCTAGTTCATTTTTTTGACTGGTGTTTACAGCCCCAGATGTACGCAACGCATCAAACTATCCTGTTTCCTCGACGCGCATTTCACGTGGTGCATCACGCACGGGCGGATGGCGGAGAGAACCCACGAGTGTGCGATGACGCCGTTCAGAGATGAGGACGGGAACGAGATTGAGTGTACGGTTGTTATGTCGAATGCTTGGGAGGATCATTTACCGTGATCTCTGGGGATAAAAGGTTAGGCTCGAAGAATGTTGGAGAAAGACCGAGGGAGCTAAACCATACCAAAAAGATTAAAAAATCCAGAATTTACAAAGACTCCACAGCTCCACACACGCAAAGCCAGCTCCACTTTCAGTCCCAAACTGCACAACAATAGACGGGGAAGAAAAAAACGCGCGCGAATCCAATCTTTCCCTCTGAACACTGCATTTATAAGCGCACTACGGTCAGCGCAGTCACATGCACTCCTTACAGATCCGTATGTGAGAAGGTGTTCGCCCTCTTGGCTAAGTGGTATAGCGTCTCACTAGTAAAAGCTATGAGAAGATCATCAGTTCGATTCTGATAGAGGGCAATCCCAACCTCGATTCCTACTGCGTATGTCAGTTGAAACGGGGAAAGCTGTTTTAACTTTCTTTTTTCTTTTTCTCTTTCCTCACCTGCTGTTCCTGTAGTAAGTTTTGCGAGTCATGCCATCCTTTTGACTGGTAAAGAGAGAAGTGGAAGGGTGATCTTAGGGGGTGATAGAGTGAATACAATACCCAACACCGTTTATGAAGAAGCTACTTAGCAACAACAGTTGATGACCATTATGCGTGACAGACAGGTCCTCTTCCTCGCTAGAGTCGGAGGTTTGAGAAAGCAAAAGGGCGTTTGTGGACAAGGACGAAAGCTACATATCATTTTTCTTAGATCTCATACGCCCCATTGAGCTATAAGAACAGAAGACCCTCTCTAAATCGATGTTTATCAAATGTCTATATTTAGTACGATGATGATTTTTGCAGCTGTATTCAGTAGCCCCACTTATAATCTCGAAGTAAACTACGCGACTCTCGAAGCGCTCGGGCTGCATCAGCCGCAATATTTTATTTGTATTCTGGATACGCGTAATAAGGAACACCAGGCTGTTTTTGAGAAATAGTATATACACCTTTGATAGCTTGAGAATGAAGTTTAAGAATGAACATAGTTATCGCACTCTAGTGCAGCACGACACTGTAACAGCGAAGGCCTGGATAAAACGAAGCATGGGGCGTACTTGAACATTCACTGCCTACCATCAAAAACATATGAATTCTGACCAGCGGAGTTCCACCGTTCATCACATCTCACGACCCCATCTATCTCTCTGCACAGATCTATTTCTGGCTTTTTGGGTAGCTCAGTTTCTGCCAGATAACATGCTCTCAATATGCCTCCTTGCAGCATACCTCAAACGTCCCCCGCAAGCGCTTTAGCTTCTTACCTGTGCCGGCGGCAATGCGTATTTATTGTCAGTTTTGGGAAATCCAATCGCAGATTTTAGTAGGGCTAAGTAGCTTGGCAAACGGGGCCGCATTCAGTCAAGACGTCAGACTCGCATAGCTTATACGAGTATTTGGCCCGCAGCTTACACGATACCAAGGAAATATCACTGTTGCCTGCCAATTAGAAATCGATGTATCTATTTCATTCGAGGCTGAGCTTGTGAGAACATAACATGATTCCATATCAGGGGAAGACCAAGCCCGAACTTGATCTTTCAGCTTTGCTGCATGTGGGGGTGGATATGCTTAGTTTTTCTTCGCAACATAGCTACCCGCCGCTTCTGTCTGGTCTATTCCCGAGAACAGAAGACACTATTCTTTTCGCACATCTGAGCCTGCCCTCAGGGGTTGGTACACCGGTATAACTTTTTCAGTTAGGTGGATTGATCATTTTTCTACCGCTTATCACCTATTCCGTCCGACGTCCGTGTGCTGAAATCCCTGTCTAACTTTAATTATGCGCCAGCGTTGAGCGAGACAGCGTCAAATGGACTGTACAACTCCAAACTCGTACTCTTTGTACTAATCTGTAATGATTTAGTTATAGCTCTTACATAGTGAGGGTGAGACGCGGTGATTGCGCCCAGTAGATCATCTCGTGAGGGCGGGTCCAGCAGCGCGAATGTCCGCAGATTCCCTAACACAGCGCATGGGGCTTACAGTAGGTGTAGCACGAAGAATTGCATAGTTGCATTGGAACTTAGATGTTCAAGTACTTAAGTACCGCCGTGCATTACTCTTTCCTCATCATTACAAACTGACAGTCATTCATTTTTACTTCAGATTCTTCCACTTCACTCTTTTAATAAGCTCAGACTTATAATTATCTTCGCATTGCATTACTTCTTGTCACTCGTTTTACCTAGTCCTTTACAAAAAATATCTTCTCTGCTTCACAATGCATCTCTTCTCCACGAAGGCGGTTCTACTCAGTTTCGCTAGCTTAGCAATCGCTGATAGCTGCACTGAGGGCCCGTTTGTCAAGGATCCGCCCAAAGCCGGTGTGTTGCCTCCAAGCCCTGCCTGCCACACCCGGTGGGACAATGGCGAGGTTATCGTAGGAGTGGAAGCCTGGGCCGCCAAGTTCCAAATGAAGGCCATCCGGTTCAAATACTCGCAACAGGGCTGGGGCCCAACCCTCGGCACCGTGGATAAGCATTCGGAGTACCATGCGGTTGGAGAATGGAGCGCATCGGAAAAAATCAGTACGTCACATCCGAGAAACGCCTCGCATGAGGTGGATCAATAGAGCTAACCTGTGTTGCAGGCATTCGCATGTGGAACAACAAGCCCGACGATGGCGATCCAGTGGATGCGGTCGGCTGGATCCAAATCTCGAAGAAGAAGAACGGAGAGAAGCTCCTCGACATCGGCGGCGACCCCAAGAAGACGGCCAAGACAGAGAACTACGGCGCCAACATGGGTGGTGAGATGATTCTTGGAGCCCGTGTTGGATCTGGAGCATGGCTTGACTATCTTGAGTTTAATATGCTGAAATCGCCAGTCGAGAAAGCGGAGCTCACTGATGTGAAGATGAACGACAGGCTTGAGGACGTTAACAAGAAGCAACAAGGCATCGACAATGTTGACCTTAAGACTATGTACTTCGTCAACGAGAACCCTAAGAACGGTTCCAACATGATATACGGTCAACACATGTCCACCACGGAAAAAACCAGAAAGGAAATTACAACTGAAACGACGAACGAGTGGTCAGCGGGAGTCTCCATCACTGTCGGTGCATCCGTCGGCATCCCGCTTATTTCAGCCAACGTCGAGACAACGACAAGCGTCGGCTATGCGAACACGGAGTTCAAATCCGAAACACTCGAAGAAGAGGATGTAGAGACACTTGAATGGGACTTCAGATGTGACCCCGAGACTCCTCTTCCTCCTCAGCGTGCTGCCAAGTGTGTCGCCAGGAGTACCAGCGGTGACTACAAAGGATCCTATGTTGGCACTGTTAAAGTTGAGTTGAAGGACGGATCAACCTACTCGTACAAAGAGGCTGGGGAGGTAACGAGCCTGAGTTTTCTCGATGCTAGCGCGTCATGCAAGGAGATTGATCTCAAAGATGTCCCGAGCGGCGCAACAGTTGGCGAGACCGAGGAAGTGAAGAATGAGAAGAGAAATCTCCAACACTTGCGAGTCTTCCGCCCGTAGTCAGGGAAGGCTGTAGAGGGATTACAACGGGCTTGGTCTTCGTCGACAGGAAATGCTTGGTGTCTGTAGATGAGGAAATTTTTAATGTTTTTTAGGCAGATAGTTTGAAGAATTTATACATCGGTGTTGATTGACAGTCGCTTTTGACATTATGAGCGTTTACCATATATCTGTAGCCATATATATTCCGAAACGAGTGGATGATCTGCATACTGAAATCCTGCATTGATCAGACTAGAAAAAAGAAGCAGCATGTATCGCCAAACCAGCCAAAGGATAGGACAGAGTCGCGTTCTGCGCAGCTGTTTGCTGGCCTATCTATTTACCATGCTATACACCACTCCCTCCATCGCGCCTTCTATGCACTTTCTGGATCATGCGCGCTTACTTCGATCTCGACACGCATATCGTCTTCCCCGAGCCTGGCAGCCCCAATGGCAGTCCAAATGGGCTGGTGGTCCGGCATCCATTTTTTGAAGTTCCGCGCCATCGCGGCCAAGGCCTCATTGTTGAGAGGAACATGGTAAGAGTTGACACGGAACACCTGCGACCATCCCTTGCCACCAGCGTTCTTCAGTGCAAGATCAACATTCGCAAATGCCTGATCGATCTGGGCATTAATTTCGGTATTGTAGGCTCCAGTTGAAGGATCCCAACCGCCTAAAAATCATAACGTCAGCTGGGCTCCGAGTAGCGGGAGAGCGGAGCCATACCTTGACCTGAGCATTCGATTCTGTCGCCCACGCGGACTGCTTGGTTGTAACCGTATAAGCCGCGGTTTCTTACACCCACACCATCGTATGCGTAATATTGGAGATGAGACATTTTCGAGAAAGGACGAGTTTCGACGTAGTATTGGAGGAAGGGGATATTGAATCGAGGTGGCAGTTAACTATATCTTTGGTGGGTAACGTTGACATTTAAATAGCCCTCTACTTGACCCAAAAGATGAAGTAAACCCGGCATTGCGATGTGTAATGTTGAAAGTCTGCGCATTCTCGACCCGTAGAGAATGGGCTCGAATGGTTCAAAAATGGAATGATTATGGAAACATTGGACCAGAGACGGACTTTAAGCCTTATGATTTTTTACTGCGCAGATCTCATACCCAACCGAATGTTTGAAGGTCGCTTAGCTTGATTTATCAGCGAGGCTTTACATCTCTGTATGTATATAAGATATTAGTTCGCAGACTCTAACCTGGCTTCGGTTAGCGTGAGCAGAATGATTATCTTATATTGTTTGCATGGAACAGTAGTATTCGTATCATGCTAGGAGAGACTGATCGGCTAGTGGTATACTATACGATCACAAGTGTTCCAGGCTTGCCGATGAATTTTTAATCCAAAGCTTATCCTCGTGCACTACTATACTCAAGGTGAGATAATACTATCTGCTCTCCTGACCCCCTCCTGACATTCCCTTCTGGGACTGATTTTCTCTCTCTTCAAATACCTCACAAAGTACTCTTTGATTTGCGTTATAGATGGAAGCCAAAGGCTAAGAAACAGAACGAAGGCGACTTGAAGAAATTAACAAATACTTCTTCTGTATTCATCGACGCTACGGAGTCGGTGGAAGTTGATATGTCTGAGTATGACTTGCAGCGAAATACGACTATCGCTTTACCGCCTAGATGGCAACCATTAGTTCTGACACCCCCTATCTGTAATCAGTAGCGCGGGGTCTCTCTCAGGGACAAACTCGAATGCTTTCTTTCCACTTGGGTTGCATGCAGTGCTCTTATCTACCTTAACGTAAGAAACACGAGGACCCATCAGCTGTAACTGAATCTCCGATAGAAAGTTACTGGTTCTCAATCTCTGCGTGTGTCTCCCTTTGCTAATTCCTCGTCTGTTCATCGCAGACCAACCTATGACGATATATAGAATAGATCGCTGACCGAGGTGGCAAAGAGTGAGCGGCACGCTAAACTGAATCGCGGTATTCCAAATCTATAGCAATCAAAGTGGTTGTGCAGCCCTTGGTGCGCTCAATATATGATATATGGAGGCGCGATAGGTCTCACCGTTTCTGTGAGTTGACAATATTGATTACCAGAGGCGGATACTTGGTGCCCGTGAAACGGAATGATCCATCCATAGTCTTTTCCCCTCTATCTAAGCATCACTGAATCGAATGTTGGATGTAGCCGCGATCCTTAAACGCTCTATTACCGGGCTTATCTCTTGCTGGCACTGCATCGTGAAATATTTCAGCTCTATTTCCCCTCTACTACCGGCAAGGCAACCATCTGTATGTATTCGAAAACAAGCCCTTGGAACCTTTTCCTAGAATAGAGACCAATATTGGTTCCATGTGACAGTCTGAAAGGTACTTTGCGGTAAAGACCGCAGCCCAGCGATATCCTCAATTAGAATATAGAGCCGCGCAATGCAGTATAACGCGGCCATAGCTGCGAATGGTATCCAAACACGAATACGTATTACCAGCAACGGATCTTTGTTGGCGGACATGTTGCGCAGCCGATCAAGCAAACCCATGTGTTGATTTGGCTGTGGAAAACCAAGCTCTACAATGTCTCCATAGTCGTTTCCATGAATCGTGTTCTCAGCCTCCGAGGCTTTTTTGAATCCAAACCAGCTAGCTACGCTAACCCTATGCTGCTGCCAGAATGCCAGGATCGGCAACAGCGTAAGAACTGCTAGAGTGATGATGGCCGAAATTCTCCACAACAAACATTCGGTGGCGGTCGGAAACGGGAAATTCCACGCAATCATAAACATGGCGCTGTATGCCGGTACTACCCAGCCAGCAGTGAGTTCCCACTTCAGGTCTGGCTCATGGAAACTGATTGATGGAAAATGGTCGGCCTCGGTAGGTTTCGTGATGGTCGATGATTTGAATATTATTTTGCGCAGTACGTGAATACAGCAAGCCCAGAATTGGCTTGCTAGCCACTCTTTGCGGTTGATAAAACTCAATGGTGTGAGTCCGAAAGACTTGGCAGAAGTGTGTTCTTGTGCCAAAATACCGGAGAGATCGGCATAAACAGGAACAATGAAAGGTCTTGGGATGTCCATTGGCTTGTGCCACCAGCAGATGGAGCAGCAGGTCATGAGGAATACAAAGGATAGTGTGGTCAACTCCATAGTCGTAACAAACAAATCTTGCGCAATACGCCCAAAGATATTGACAGTGAACCATGTCGTCTGGATGATGGCGATTGCCCGGGTAAAGCTGTCTGCTTTGTTGCGGTCGTCGATATCGGCTTGGGTGATGGTTGGCAGACTCATGTAATTGTTTCGGACTAGGTATAGCAGCTGGTCGACATCTGCTGGAAAAGTTGGTAAACCGTTCTGCTTTCGGTCCCGAAATTCAAGATGAATGCCACCCATGTTGACGAAAAAGCAGTGTCTTAAAGTCCATTCTGTGTATCCTTGCTTATGCAAAATTTTCTTCGCGCGCCATGCTTCGTTGAGCTGTCCCAAAGCAGTTGCGAAAATAAAGTCAGGGCCCAGCATGGAAAGGAAAAAAAGCTGTATTTTTCCGGAAAATTTATGCCAGAGGCCTTTCTTCTGGCTCGGGACGTTTGGACAGACACTTGACCAGCAAAGCAATACAACCGTTCCAAGGCAAGTCTTGACGATGTCGTAGGTGCCGCGAAAATCGGGACCAGACTGCCAGCCGTGTCTGACCGTGTCGACTTCCATGCTTGCTGAATATCCTGCCTGCAGATCTCATAGCCTAAGGATCTGCAAAGGGTTCAAGCGTGGTTCCCCGCGCGTGTCGCAGTTCGTGTAAAAAGGGAAAGGGAAAGGTCACGTGAGCAATGCTTCCAACGTCTCAACATTGAATGTTCTTCTGGCGTGCGAAGACGACATAACAAACAACTATATACGCATATCGATATCGTCCAGTTAAGCAAAAAAGGCAAAGAAAAACCATTCTCGAAGGAACCGAGCATTTAACCGCCGAGCCTCCTGAGGTACAGATGTCAGCATTTTGTTGAAATCTGAGCGACGTGAGCCAATCGGTGAAGCCACGGCCACTCGAAGCGCCAACCGGTACGAACATACATACATCAATCAGTTTAATGCAGCCGACGCGCAGTCCGATTTGTACCATACAAAGATTACCTGCGTGTTTCATAGCGATTATCAAAATGCTATAGACACGTTAGCAGTGTCAAACAGATACAGGGAGTTGCAGCACGGGTCAAGAAAACACACAGCGCTTACGATTACAACAAGTGCTTCGCGAAATGTGTATGCGTAAAGGTAACGCTTTGAAATTTACGCTTGAAATAGCACTTGAAATTTTAATCCCGTCACCACTTGCCTATTAGTCTGCATAATGTACAAGACTCAATACGTTAACAATATTTTCGACTTCATACTTGCTTGTCTTTGTAAGGGTGGGGCGCGGTGCTTAGAGGACTGGAGCTAAAGCACAGTGCATATCACTAGGTCAGTATGTACATAAGCTTTGAATTAATTATCTGATATAACATACGACCATAGGACCATGAGAATAGATGTTTCTCTCTGACTCTCCTTGTGCTCAGTGATGCCAGCGAGTTGTTGCCGTAGACGTCGTTAGCTCGTGGTTGCGCACGGGCCAGCTCAGAACCCGAGAGTAGTTCATCGCAAGACATTTGCTATTACAACTTATACACCATCACATCCCTCACGCGAACGACACTTTCTACTGCTAGCCTCGTTGAGTGCAGTAGCCATGTTCTGTGAAAAATCATCGTCCGATCAAAGCATCTCCCGCCTAGGTTATCAGCCAGGCTACATCCTTCGTGGAATGATATCGCTCCCGGAGCCGGCGAAATCATCAGCCATCAAACGCAACTCCATATCATCATCATCATCATCATCATCATCATCGGTTGGCCTTCTGGATATCCTCCCGGTTGAGCTTGTACACTGCACATTGTCTTTGCTGGACTTTCAGTCTCTGTCGCACCTATCGCGGGTCTCGCTGCGAGGCTATGAATTGGTCAGGTCCCTTCCAGCATACCGAAACCTGATAGAACATGCACCCCATTCTTTGGCAGCGCTCAGTCATATAAGACTCATTCGTCGTCATTCATCACAAGCAACCCGCAGAGCTCTATTATCAGAACGTTATGTTTCTTGCGGAGAAGTCGGTGCTTTCTTATTTCTTCTAACTTGCAGGCAATACTGCTATAAATGTCTATGCAGCAAAATGAACTACCGTACTATATTTACTTCTCGCAATCGTCGCATCTAATCCAGCTTAGTACAAAACAGCGGCAGCGGTGTGGCTGTCTGCTGACAAGCCATTGCAAGCGACAATTCATACGACTTTATTGCGATACGATACTGTTTTATTGAAAAAACTGTTGTCAGAATTCCGAACAGAATTGTCAGTAAGAATACGCCAAAAATTGCTACCCATAAAGTTGCAAATTGCGGAAGATTTCTTGTGTCGAGTAAAGTCTGCACGATTGTCTCAGGTGGTCCATTGAAGAGACTGGCTAATGCTACCATGTTATTGCGCCAATGATGGAAGTCGTCCGTCTCTGTTGCCCGCGGGAGTTCTCTCGGTGCAACGGCCCAGAATTGCACTTTTTCGTCTTTGAGGAATGCTTCAGTTTTGGGGTCGCCGAAAGGGAAGAGTAAATCAAGAGTGCGCAAGGCTTCGTCCAGCACGTCGGGCGGCATGATGGTTGAATCTGATCCTTTCCGATGATTAATCAGGCTGATCTTGTGGCGGTAGATGGTAAGGCTGCGATGGCCTCGGGGTCCTTCCAGCTTCAGGTGGTCAACTAGACTGTCGGTCCAGCGTATGTTCAAACGGCATATGCTCTTTAGGTTTACGACCGTAAATGAATCGTCGAGTGGAGAGTTCCTAGAAGACCATCTAGTCTGATGAGGTACGAACTGACTTCTGACCATCTGATCTAAAGTATGCGCGTCCGCCCATTCCACGAGGCTGTCACGGCCATTCCGCGGTCCAACGATGAGCTGCCTGGAGCATACGTTGATCCCAAGCCATAGCCTGACAGCGAGTTCCATGGACCGCGCAACATCAGAATCGCTTGAATCCGAGTAACGCTGTCGAAGCTCCGGAATGAGTTCTTGCTTCGTCGAATGCCGCCTATCCCGCAAAGTGTGGATATCAAGAAAGAGATCTGGAAGATCTCGCGCCGCAAATTTTTCCAAATGCGGGTAGAGGCTCAGCAGAGTTTTGCCGAGGAAATAAAAAAAGTCAGAGTATTCCTCATCAATCAGATCAGGAGGTGTAAGTCGTAAATGTGGCCAAAAAGCGTTGATTAATCTGCACTTGGAGTCTTTGTCCATGTTCAGGAGGCGTGTCGGCGACGATTTTGAGAACAAGTCCTCCCGACAAGGCTGCGGAACGACTAGTGATGCCATGGTGGAGTCTTCGCTCATACTGAAGTTGGTTTCGCTAGAGGGTGTTCGCTATATATGTCTGTCCATCCAATTATGTTATACTTTGATGGGGCTGTGCAATACGAAGGCTGTGTCGCTTTCATTTCCTACCCCGCAAATCCGAGCTGAGACGTGACGGTATTTCAACTTCTACCATCGCTCGAGAAGCTACGCAGAACTCGATATGGCTCTCGCATATAGAGAACCTGCGATCGACATTAATTTGCCATCGATGACGGATATTCCGCTGCAACTTGGACTCATCAGCACAGATGACCAGGCGCGAACGGCGAACAACGGCCAGGCTCCCCGTATCACTACTTCGCAATCCATACAACAGACACAACGCAATGAGCAGACGGCCAAGAAAGCAGACTTCATCAAAGTAGTGTCGAAATCGGTTGTACACAAGATAGACAAGTACTATGTTGGCCCACTTCGAGAGTTACCAGCCCCGCAAGAAGTACAGGAAAAATGGGAAGCGAATGTCAGGCCTGGCCTCGAACAGCATATATGTCAGGCGACAAGAACCCTTTCCAAGTCTTTAAGAGATGAACAGGTCATCACCGAAGTGGTGCTATGCATGGCTGGTAGACAACATGCCTTGTCAAGCCTTGCGACGCGGGAGACATTTCCCAGAAGATCGCTGTTACCGAAGGGTTCAGTCGCTCTGATCCCCATGGTCTGGATTTATTGTGGTAGTAGAAAATGTAGAAGGAGAGTCGTCGATTGTCTGCAGAATCTCTCCTACTTGACCCATTTCCTGGAGATGTTTTCCATGGAGGCACCTCGTGTTTCTCTCGAAGCGCCCTGGCCTGCGTCAGGACGGATACCACTTGCTTTATCTGAGTCACCTACAAATCTTGTAGAGGTATCGCTTACCGTGTATTTGACACCACATCGAGTCACACATGGAATTCCGGCCAAATTCACCGTCAGTGAAGACCTGACGACTAAAGAAGCCACTTGCATCATTGGTGGGATGATCATGGTGAAGGACAGCCTCTACGGCTTGACGACTGCGCATCCACTCACGACAGCATTCAGTGACGCCACAAGGAGCACCACAAAATTATGCGATAGCGACTTGTCCTCAAGCGACGAGGAGGATCAAGTGTCAGACGAGGGCAGTGAAGCAACCTCTGATTCGAATTCTGACCACTCAAGATCACCACTGCGACAGCGGAATTTACAGAACTCACCATTTGAAGGATCTATGGCATCTCCAAGTTCATCAACGACCTCGCACATAGTCCCTCATCATGAGACGATCGACTTGCCCACACCCCGTCTGCTCTCATACATAGGACAAGCAACAAAAGTTGGAAACTATAACCTGCCTCAGATGATCTCCCAGGTCTCAGACTTTGCTCTTATTCATTCTGAAAGGATAATCGACCACTGGAATGAAAATGTACCATACCCGGTAACTAAGACCGCGAGTAGCAAAGAATTCGTTTCAGGTGGGGTCGTCATAGCCGCAGGCACTGCGCAAAGGTTGTTAGGCTATCTGTTGAAGGATGAAGCATCGATTATTCTTCGAGGAGAGGTTGTACGCACCAGGAAGATACAGATTGATAAGCCCGGTGGTATGCTGTTGTAATCCGAACAAAGGCAAAGCTAACCATGATTATAGAGAGAGGATGGTCAGGCTCCTGGGTATACTCGGATAGTACATTGCTCGGCATTATCTACGGAGCGTATGACCATAGTCCATACCTACATATGCTTCCCATCGATGATGTTTTCTCCGCCATTGGATGTCTGTTAGGGACTCAAGACGTTCGTCTTGCTAGTCTCGGTGACATAATGGAAGTTCGCAGAATCAAGACAATGCATCAGGCCCAAGAGTCATCTGCTCTCAAAAGGCCCCATGATACAAGTTCACAGAGTATATACTCCCATGAGAGCAACAAGAGAAGCCTTCTTGACGAAACCAACATATTCCCAGCTACCGAAAGGCTAAACGGGCAGGCCACCGATGCTCACATGAGAAAAACGTTAGAGTTGAACGAACTCAAAGAATCCTCTCGGAGCATCAAGCCCAGTACATCAGTTTCTACGGATTCAGTGTTAATGCTGGACAAAGACGAGTCTAAGCAGACGCCAATCGTGAACGCTATTGTCGATGGGAAACTGAACGCTACGCATCCAAAGCCTGCACCTGCATCTCCCAAGCAGCGAGCGGATAGCTCGCCCCAGGTACCTGCGGTGAACAGCATCATGATATCGAACCACCGCGAAGCAGGGACCGCACTCCAGCACGACTCCCATATCACCCGACCACAGGTGCCCTTTGCCATCGACACATTTCAGCTCCAGGACGACGCTATTGTAGACTCTACCGGGACCATCCAACAGAACTTTGTCTCTTCATCCGTAGAGTCGCCGATACCGTCGCGGGATGCCTCGTACTACTCATCCCCAAGCTCGAATTTCCCCTCGACTGTCTCGATGTCGCGTCCCGTTGCTGAGAACAACCAAACGAATTCTATTCGCAATAGCATGACTATGCATACTTCCAGCTTCAGCAATGGATACGGTCCTCACCAATCAATTAACTCATCGACTTCGGTTCACACACGGGATATCACCAATCATGGTGACGCTGATAATACTATGTTTGGCGCAGCTACTGACGGTAATGTGTCATTCGTCGAACCTTCTTACGAGCCTCATAGGTATAAGAATTTTTCTCAAGTGCCCCCGTCTCCATCAGATATTGAGTTCACATTACTAGACGACGGCATGTCTATACTTGAAGCCAATTGGAAATGGGAGAGTGATCTAACAAGCCATTTGAACCCTTCTCCCACTCGTTATCGTGCTGGACCTTCTCAGGAAACTATCACGGTTGAGCCAACGGAAATGGAACCTTCATTACAACGTTTTCTTGATGACGATTACGGTGAAATCAGAAGGCAGGAAGTTCCCCAAACAAATTCCGTACTCAACGCTGGAAGTCCCATGTACCAAGGAATCCTTAAGATGAATAAGTCGTTGACCAACTCTCCATCCGAATCTGGCTTCAATTTTGCTGCTTCATCTCGTCCTCATAGCCCAAGCGGAACAAACCAGAGACGAAACAGCATGCCGACGACATGTACTAATTGCTTCACCCAAACCACACCGTTATGGAGACGGAATTCAGATGGGCAACCGCTCTGCAATGCTTGCGGTCTATTCCTCAAGTTACATGGTGTCGCGCGCCCACTATCGCTAGAGACTGAGGAAATCAAGAGGCGTAATCGCACCCGTTACAATCCCCAAACACTCAGCTCTGGGACCGAATCAGAGTATTCAAAGTCCACAGATGCCTTTGGTAGTAGCGGGACGACTACTAGTAGCGCTAGTGGCATAACGAATATCAAACCAGGCAGAATGGTCCCAATGACGCCTGCCGCTACAGAACCACAGCCTATAGAAGCTGTTCAAGATCACACAAAGAACAGAGCTTCTAAGCGATTATGGTACGAAAGTGGAAGTAGTGATCAAGAGATAGAAATAGACGATTTAGATGACATTACTGGCAAGGTAGGTTCCACAGTGCGTCAGAAAGGTCGAACGACTGCTGTATCCGATACAGTGCCACCTCAAAATCTTGGAAAAGTACCTATGGGGGCCATGGGTCAGGGTTCACAGCAGACCGGACCGCAAGAGTGGGAGTGGTTAAGGATGAGCTTATAATAGCAGTCGCCGCCCCATCACGTGATAGAATGGCACTGAGTGACGAGGGGGGGCCTGTCCATTGATGCGTGAGGCTCTGGAAATTCTGCGCTTGCTCGACTTCTCAATGTCGTGTAGCGATTCGCATACGATATCGGAATAAAGAAATACAGAGATGTTCCTGCGGTCGTACCTGCTCTGCCGCTAGTGGAAAGGATTCGATTAGAGCATTCTTGGGCGAACGACGTCGAGCAGCGCTGGCCCTCGGCTCCATGTCCCAGATGTTAAAAGTGCTTGAGATCGTGTAAACTGCGCGAAAGTATGGGGTGTCTCTGAGGATGAATGGAACTTGGAGGTGCAACATCCGCTTCTCAAACTCGCGCGCAGCAAGAAAACATCGGCAGATGCTGTAACTCAATAATTTGTAAGTCTTACGGTACTTCCGCATGACCCTAGACTTATTTAAGCAGGAAAACGGCCAGAGTCGAACCGACGTCACTTGCGCGCTCTGCTTCGCCCGGTTGCGTTGTGGAGTCAACACGTTGTCGCGTTCAACCCGAAACTCACACGCACGACTCAATCTACAGAGCTCTATTATCAGAACGTTATGTTTCTTGCAGAGAATACAGAGCTTTTCTATTTCTACTAACTTGCGAGCGATGCTGCTATGAATGTCTATGCAAAAATCAATCGCTTTGGGTAATCCCTACGGGTCTCGCTAGTATTGATTTTACGTGCTGAGTGAGCACTGAAGTAAAAAGCTTGGTGTTTCAAAAAAGCCTGCATGTGGGTGTTTTAAAAAGGCGGGTCAACCTGATGACTAAAAAATGTTTCTATCTTACAGTATCTCAATCAAAGCGGCTACCTGTTATGCGAAGTATTCATGGAGTTCATTTCGTTAGACATAGAACTTTTCGCATGCGGCAACTCAATTCGACAAGTGTGAAGGCGGCGAAAGAGCTTGGAATCGAGACTTATGGCGGAAAGCCTTACTTTGAAACGCTCGGGAGAAATTACAGAGAAAGACTATCACATATTTCGTTGGCTCCAAGCCGCGCCGCTGCAGGCACCCTATTCTATACTGCTTTAGTGTAGCATTCTCACTGCTGCTTCAATCTGTGTATGCTTACGACAGCGGGCCGCAACGTTCGCTCCAGACGGCTATACGTACGTCGATGACTCTCGATGGAATGAGCATTCGCGCCATTGGAGCATCCAATCTCCACCTACTCATGGCGTAGACGTGACACAGGTGGCGCTGAAGCGTTACTGAAGCACCTCCGGGTTTTTTTCCATTGATGCGGAGAGAAATCCAACATATGCTAGTACTATGTATTCCTTTTAAAGGAAGCTACCAACAGGTGCCCGTTCACGGTGAAACTTATGCAGGATGATTCTTTGCCTCCTCAAATTCGGGATTCCGAATTGAATGTGCCTTAGCCCATCTAGTCAAGCTGTCAAAGTCACGACACCGATGTGTAGTGTCGAAATCTGGCTCTTCTCCGGTCCGAGTACCATTTTTATATCTCATTAGATACGGAGTCGTATCCCCGTGACACGTTAGGGCCAAACGTAGAGTTTGAATGCTAAATATTTAATGTTTGTCAATACTCAAGTTTTAGCAATCTTTTGGTCGACGACTTACCACTGATCAATATAAACCCAAACCATTTCTCTTGTGGCATTCAGTGCTCGGTTTTCAGAGTAGTCCCAATAGTCGCGATATACAAATTGCCGGATCAAATCCTGGAAATAGTCAGGCTATTTTGCTAGGATATGATATTGGTAATTTCAATACTTACTAGGCAGTAAAGTTGATGAAATACTTCGAAACCGCCAACGATATCCTGGCTGGGGCTTATGCTGGACGGCAGCCGTTTCCATGGCTCCTCTTCAGATTTGTTCAGAGCACGAAGTTTACTGTAGGGAACCGGCATTGCAGCATTGCCTGATCGTCAGCAGAATATTGTACTCGATCTTAACCAACATACCAATATGAAGGTTGTCCCACGCTTCCTCAGTTTCGACTGTTGGGAAGCCTGAATATGGAGAAGAATGGTTCAAAGAATTTTCGAAATGTACATCATGATAGCGGACCGCCTCTATCATCGGAGCTAGGAACAAATGAGATGTGAGTGGTTTTTTCTACAATTGATAAGAACTCACAGCAAACTTACAATACACCGATAGCTTGACGGCGCAATCTATATTAGAACAAGTATTGATCTTTCCTCGATACCAGATCATAGATATAATCCAGATAAGCAGACTAGCCAACCAACCGTAGGCATACATAGAATAAAAAACAGTTTCTCTTCCTCTCTCGCCTCCCATCGAAGGAACTCGTGCGTAAGAGAATCTCATTATACTAGTTGTTGAGAAGGTAAAAGGCAGTGACAAATGACTTAGTCTATTTGTTAGTAGAGAAAACAGTTCTATAAACAAAGCTGTCTGCAAAGCAATGCTGGCTTGCCTTAATTAGATCTAGGTCGCACCACGAAGCGGAGTCGCCGACTGCAGGATGTCACCGAGTCAAAGCTTAGACGGGGTACAGTAGTGATAGGCAGCAACGCTTTACCTACTTTGGGAGGTGTTTAGATCGCAACGCATGACAAGTCACGCACAGGAATCCTGTAACATGAGATGCATTCTGCAGAGCAGCTTGGCATCTACGTTTGCGTCGACACGCTTCATAGTTGTGACATGCAGAAACTATAAGTAGTTCCAAGTGTGAATTATTGATGCTCCACTCCATACCAGTCATCCTGACCTCAAACACGCAATCTACGTTCTAGAGTCATCACAGCCATGGAAATACTTGCACGCTTGGCCACGGTCATCCTGACCTTGACTACCTTTTTCATCCCATCGAAGGCTATACCGGTTGAACCTGAACTCAGCAAGCACGAGACGTAAATAGCTCCGCCACGATGTTTTATTGACTCCGTTAACAGAATCCGCTCTAGTACGGCCGCCGATGAATATATGAGTGCAGGCCTTGCATGTAGGCGTGCTTGATGCATTGCAATTAACTGTACGGTATTTGCTCCTTTTCATCATCAATGTGTCTCAAGAGCGATTTAGACTGACGTCCTTACTATAGGCGAAGTTCAAACCGTGTATGTAACCCACTCTAGGATAGACCATTTCTCATTTGTTGCGCGAGTAATCGTGTTTAGGCTTACTTCTATGTAGTTAATGCCGATATCATCAGTCTCGTGAGTCGAATCCAGGGTTTGGGGTGTCAGCTTGGGACTAGACAGACATGCGCAGTTACAGTATATCGTAAAATAAAGACCGATTTATAGGCTTTAATCAATCTACCTGTGTTTTCCCTTTTCCCCACTGCAAAGTTTTCATAACCAAAGTCTATTACGAGGGGCGCCCATCGGTACATTCCGAAAAGATGCCCACATCGATCAGTGCTATATTATGTTTACTTGAGCTTATGAAACCATTACAGACATTTCTTGCAGTGTGCCAATCTGTTACTGCACATCACACTCCTAATTAATCTTCAATCGCTCAATTTTCGAAATTGGTGTTCACAGCCCTGAACTCTTATGTCTCTTGGCGTTGCATTCATCGCAGAAACATTGTGCCAAGGCCTCCGAAAACTCTATTTTCCACAAATCTGCTGTTCGCAATTTCCATTCTCGCACATTCCCACTATCATCAGCCGTTATATCGTGATCTAGCATATGACCCAGGTAATTTAAATGATGATTGCGATAGTTCGATGGCCATAGTTGATGTGTGTGCCAAACTAAGTCAATATCCCACGTTGGTACGAAGTATTCGGTCGGATACCGTTTGTGTAGAAGCAGAAAGCGTAGGTATCTGTTCCGTGAGAAATCCAAAGTAGAAACAGTGGATTGTTTGTTTATCCAGTCCAGGTCTCCTCCACTTCGGATGAAGTTACAATGACTACGCATGGTATGGAACATGTCGACACTCCAAGGTCCGTTACCGTTGTAGGTTTGTTTGTCCGGTACTCCTCTTGACGGCAAGTTTGAACCAATACCACGGGAATTCGACATCAATGAACCACCTTCTTTAAACGGCGTTAAAATGTCAACAGCAGAACTAGGGAAGTCGTAATCAAGACCCGAAACATTGGTGAAGTGCCTTTGCACTATTTCTGGTGCATCGAAATCGAATTCAGATGTTCCAATACAGTCGTTCTAGAAAAGTCAACAGGTTGCCGAGATATTTTACTGAAAATAACGTACAATGAGTTTTAGAGGGAACGCATGGTTCCACAGCGTCAACTTGCTCCATCTGTGACAGTCTTCTAGGTATGAAACCGGCGAAAGCACATAGCTGTGCCATACCATCAAAATATCTGGTCTTCAATTTAGTCCTGAAGTATTTAATGAACCTGAGAATGGCAAGCTCACCTAGTGGAGGGAGAAATCTCCCTTCGAATGGATCACTCCGGGCGTCGTCATCAAACAATTCCCACCATATCTGGAATCTTTGAAGACTAAGATTGAAGATTTTATCGCGGATGGATTGCGGGGAGTCTTCAGGGTTATTCAGCGATAGACAAGTGTTTTGTTTAATTAGAAAAGCCTCAACGGCTTGGAGAAAACGGAGTTCAAATGCACAATCGGATGATGTAGGATACCTATTCAAACTAGTATGAGAGATAAGGGTTGGCCATCGTATGAAGTACCAAGCTTGGAGAGACTTCCATAGATACGCGAGTAGGAATAATGCCGTGGAAATCATAGCGACAAATCTTTCGCAATTAGTTCTGATAGTTGGGCTGGCTGCAGGGTAAGTAAAGGTAAACCTAGGACAAAGACGATTAATTGCAAATAATTGCGCTTTAACTATTGTGGTAAGTGATTTACCTTTCCAGACTTGATGGGTTACAAGACGGAGTCGCCGACGGTGGATGTCACCGAGTCAAAGCTTAGACAGGGTATAGTATTGATAGGCAACAACGCTTTATCTATCTTGGGAATGATCCATGATAGAATTTCTGAGAGTTGGACTTGGCTGGTTATCTCCAGGAACGATATTTTTCATATCATCATTCGGAATCACTTTGTCCTTAATATATGCATAGCACTCTCGTTTACAAAAAAATGGATTTCTCACAATCATTGAGCCAGACCCGTTATCAGCCTCTTTCTATTGAAAAATCATTGCGTAACAGCCAGTACCTCCGCATATTTCTTCTTTTAGGTGTGATCTTTGTTTACTCACTAGGACTTATATATCTGGCTCCATCTCTATCTTCAAAATGCACAAACAATCGGTTTGTATACTGTATGTTTTACTCTAAGGACTACGGCATCCCAGCTAACTTTGACTGGTCAGCTCCCGCTGAGAACGCAATCGATTATCATCGCATCACAATCGATGGAGATGCGGTCAACAAGTATAAAGGAAGTCCCTCACCAGAACTTGATAAAGCATGGCTGGATTTGCTACATGGTATAGACATCTTATATTGATGTCGAAGAAAAATAAAGCTTATGTTGATTCAAGGATTTAAGATTCGGGTTACAGCAGAGGAGCTGGATGCGGTGAACCGAACGTCTACAAATGCTGAGGATGGCGAGGGCGGTTATCTCGCGACATTGGATGTTTTTCATCATTTGCACTGTCTTGTAGGTCATATTAGGATGACTGATTCAACGATCTAACAAGTTTGCAGTGGAATGTTAGGCATTTCTTAGCCCCCGATTATTATAAAGATCAGGTTGATCAACACATTACGAAACCTGGAGAGATATATCCAACGCATATCGGTGAGTTTACCAGAGTATGACAGAGCATAGGCCTTACTATTTTAGATCACTGTCTTGATTTGATACGGCAACACCTTATGTGCCAAGGTGACATATCCATGTATACATACGATTACATGGAAACCGATCGGACGAAGATTATGCCAAACTTCAAGGTGGAACGCATGTGTATGAACTGGGAGCACCTTGCGGCTTGGATTGAGAAAAGGAGCTACTAGATGCGTATTGACATTGATGGGAACGCAAAGGCCTGAACAAGACAACTTTTGATTTAATTTCTATTGAAGGTGGTGGGACGTTTGAGCGCTATCGATTGCGAAAGTTGGCCCCTAATATCATGTCAAATTTGATTTTGGTTGTAGTCCATTGGGAATTCTTCTAGGAATGCAGCTTCGCACCAGATCAAAAGCCGAATTTCTTGGGCATATCACGCATTGCCATGGTGCACGGGAATTGGATCTTGGCCAGGAATGAAGTCATAAATGCGTGACAAGGACAGTATGAGATACACAGAAGTACATAAATCAAGAATGACAACCAATCCAAACGAACAACCCAAAAAATAAAATCAAACAACCTATCGGCATCGTTGTGGGTCTTTGAGGTCTTTCGATATCGGCAACTCTGCCTTTGAGGTGGGTAGGACAGTGTTAATGGAAGTGGAAAGCCTTGTAAGAACTCTGCTCTTTATAGCAGAGGGCGACAAGCGTACTATAGTTCTTTAACACCCTCAACACCACACATAGTTCAGGGGTTTGGATAACGTCCGCGGTACTCGGTAGTGGCCTTGTTCTTTTTTGGCAGGTGTTTCGCGCAGTAGTTGCGTGATACTGAGTTTATTATGTAATCATCGCATATTCTGTGCGGCACAAACACTTAGTATTATGAAAAATAACGAATCTGTCTTCGCGCTCTAGGCAGGATACATGTTCTGTAGTTATCACAAAACTGCTAAGTTATTATTTGGAACGGCTGCGTGTGGATTGGGTGAGGACCTTAACACTACAGCTCAACAATCTAGATCAACTCCCTAGTTGCGAAAAACAATGTCCTCACTATATGTAATAATGCACTAAAGATTCAACTGTTAGCTGTATAGACGGTTGCACTGTTCGAGTTCTCCCTTAGTCTTGCATCCGCATTAGTACAGGTGCCAGACTTGCGTACATATTGTTGCTTGGGTTCAGGGCTGGAGTGTGAAGAGGTAAGCGTGGGAAACCAAATCAATTTCGTGCACTATTGCAGAAAAAAGGTGGTCCTTGAGGGGAGATGATGAATTAAACGTACAGCAGAGTGTAGTGGAGTTTCTAATGAGTGCTGGGTTGTAAGCTAAGGAAGGATTATCCGGGACTAGAATAGCTGATTCGTCAACCAGAAGCGTAGTTACAATTTCGAGGATAAGAAAACTGAGGTTCTCAGCTACTTTTATATTCTGTACAACACTCGTAGAAACGCGCTTGCTCAGATATGCAGTCTAGGCGCCTGCAAGAATTTGCCGCCAATGCAAATATTGGATCCTATGACACAGATCATGGGAGTTGACTGCCGCGCGACAAGTGAAACGAACCCCTAGCTCCCCTTGTTGGCGGCAATCTTATTGCCTCACCCAAACAAACTACCATGGTCGGCCTCCTAGAAATCTTACCAGCTCCCTCGCCAGGACACTGAGTGACGAGCGAAAGGTCAGATCTCCCAGGTCCGTGCGTAGCGCCAGAACAATTTGCAGGGCGCAGACAACCGCTCATTATCAGACAGCGAGCAAGGGAGATCTATTTTCAAAGCATGCCAATCTCCCGCATGTAGTAAGACAAGGTTTAAACAACCACTGCCCACATTATTCTAGCGAGTATTCAGATCACTACTTACACGATATATCGCTAGAGGTCTTGGCGGCATACCAAAAGCAACAACTCTTCCAAACTTTGCAGTCGTGTCACTCAAGTTATTTCATAATCTACTTGCATCACGGGAAGCTTTATTGTCTACGCAACTTTTCTCGTCGGCAATGAAGAATTCCGTACCAACATCCCAAATCGAGATCCTCAATCAACTCATCGATGACGAGCAAGGTACATATCGCGTCCGGGCGGGACACCGAGTCCACTATGTAACCATTCCCACCTCCACATTCGACGAAGATACAATGTGCCGCACATACCTACTGATTCCCCAGCTCCCCGCCTTCCCCGACGAAGACTGGACCACAATGCACATCTCCCGTGGAATAGATGGCGTCATCGAGTCGATACTCTCTCACAAGCCTCTACCTGAAATCCACGAGCCGTGGCACCATCGCCGCATCGACGTCCTTTCATTGAAGCGTACCAAGCGCCATCGATCAAATGTTCACGAGGTTTCGTATGAAGACCGACCAGCGATTGCAAAAATCGCCTTGTTTGAGTGGGATTTCCAAAGGATTGAGAATGAAACTATAATATATTCGATCATCAACAAGCATCAGCATCAGCATCCCGCTGAACCCCCATGTGCCCCGGAATTCCTAGGTCATCTGACAGAGAATGACAGAGTGATTGGGTTCTTGTTGGAGAAAGTAGATGGAGAGTTCGCTTCCATCGAAAATGTGTCGGATTGTCAGAACGTGCTTCACAGGCTGCATGGAATGGGCTTGATTCATGGAGATGTCAATCGATACAACTTCATTGTCGACCAGTCACACAAGACTGTGCGGATGATTGATTTTGAGCACGCAGAAGAATTTGATGAGACAAGGGCCCGTCAGGAACTGGAGTCATTGGCTTCCGAGTTGACTGAAAACACGGGACGAGGCGGTCCCACAGTATCGATCAATTAGTTCTCTTCTAAGCAGTGGAATTAACCACTAGTCATACCCCCTTTGCTTAACAATGAATGATATCTCATCTTCTAAAACCCAAATTCTGTAGTAATCATTCAAGTAGGCAAATTGCTGTAATCAAGAATCTATACAGACATTTCACTATCTCAGACCTAATTGCAAGGGCTGATTTTAAAGCAAGCGATATTACTGGCCACCAATCACCCGAAAAGCTTGCTCTTCTAAGTGCAAAATTACCGCGATAGTAACAATATAATTCCTTAATTGTTCGTGAATGAGAGAAGCTGCTCAATTCTGTGGTAAGCTGCATGTTCATTCGCCAGGGCAATCTTTTTCGCGCCTCGAGGCTTGCTTTGATACGTCCATCAATAGAAGTGAAGCAAGGTTGAAGCGACCCCGCAGGTTCCCATCGCTTATAGAGTTCAGACCTACCTCTCTTCCAGCCTGCCCCCGCTTCGCTGTCAAGCACTATCGTCTCGATACTCAGAATGTTACTGAATCTTTGTGTGTATTCGTTCCTTGCCATGCCGGCTAGACAACACTAGCTAATCCTCTTTGCAGCCACAGATATCTGCCTATGGTGTCCAGGTGATTAGATCACAAATTCCTCTCGATTACCCTCTTCGTTGACACTGGAGTACACAATTAACCTTTCAGAAAGATCTTTGTTCTTGTGAGCGACCAGGCTGAACTTTGCAAGCAGATGCGTCCTAACAAAACAATGCGTTCCTTTACCAAAACACATATGACATAAATCAAAGTTACCACCATCACAGATATCGCAATAATAATACATTTCAACGCATCGCTCTCGGCAAATTGCACAGACGACAATATTGTTACCATAGGTGTCTCGAATCGCTTCAAGTCTCAACAGTTTGTCCTTTACTGCAGTGCCATTGCAGTCTTTAGAAAGAACGCGTTCGTCGCTGTCGAGTAAATCAATTTGTCGGAATATTTCCTCATCCGTGGGGAACATAGGGATTAATTCCCATGCAGCCGGTCTCTCGCGAGGACTTTCCTGGCGACATAGTGCAATAATTTGATCTAGGTAGTCCGGGACGCCTGCTCCAGCTTTTGGTAAAGCAACTGGGTTTTTATGTATGTTGCAATCAGAAGGCTTGTTATTGCATCCAGAGAGGGAGCAGAATGTTGAGGCTCCTTGTTGATGCTGATCGCGGTAAAGATGCCATAGCAGCAGACCTAGTTGAAAGACGTCAAATTCAGGTCCGACCTCACCATTTCCCTTCTCAAAAGCTTCTGCACGGTATTCCGGTGGTAATAAACCATCTCCCCCGGGTATACAGGGATGAATGCCTGGTGACAAGCCTAAGATGATCGCATCACCATGCTCATCGATGCTGATACAGTAACTGTATGTTCTTAGTCCTCCAATAACCTGGCATCGTTCGTGATAGGCTGCAACGCCATGAACAATCTGTTTGGCCCACTTTTGCCTTATCGGCCATGGTATAGGTTTGCCTCTAGATCGATGAATGTCCATGAGTACAAACATCGACCCTTTCGCAGGGGTCTCTACTAGCATGCCTTTGAACAAGTTTGTCTCGGGGTCTATGACCACACCAATCATCTGCGCAACATAAGAGGCACCCCGAAGGGCAATGCTAGACTTAATATTACGGAGCAGAAGTTCCATTGATGATTTACCAGCAGTGATAGTCCGATATATAACCCAATGGTTGTCAACGTTTGCTACTAGCAAGGTCCCTACCAAATGAGCCGTGACCAGAGCGGTTTCTGGAATCGTTCGAACATTTCGATGACGAAGAACTTCAGTGGAATTTCGGGTGTTGTTCTCAGTGCTCGTGCCTAACATTTTTGTGAGGCTTATTGCTTCGAACTGGCTGTCTTTTGTGGCAGCATCGGGGGCTTTCACTAAGCTCATGTTGATCTCCGTATCGTCACTGACATCCGGATGCTCAGCTATGGTCTTTTGTAGGAGTGAAATAACAGCTTGGGGCAGCTGACGCCATCCAACATACGAAGTTTGCCTCACTTTATTCTGTGCCACAAATCTCCAGTAGACGGAACCAGTAGCGACTAACATTCTGAGTTTGATGCGCACCCAGCGACGTTGATGTTTTGCGACAAGGAGATCCTGCGTAAAAGTAACAAACATAGAGTTTTTTTCCGTCTGATAGCACGAGTAGCAGACAATTTGTGGTCCGATGTTTTGCATTGTGTATGCCTCCGGGAAAAATGAAGACAATATCTCGAAATAACCGAATGGAGCTACTAAGACGGATAACATTTGCGTAAGCTTGTGTATTAGCAAGCGCAGACCCGATGAATGACTAGTACGGGTAATCTCCATTTGCATTCGTGCTGAATTGCTGATTGGTTTGGGATTCTCTTTGTGCTTGAGCGAGGACTGATATATGGCTGGCAGGTTTGTTGAACCCTGGTAATCTGAACTGTAACTTTGCGTGCTTAGAGTAGTTCTCAGTCTCGCTTCTAGCCTTTGAATCGTGCTCTACATCTAGATATTAGTTAAAAGATTTGAAGCTAACCAGAACTACACTGACCTGTAGGGATACGAGTTCTTGTATAGAATCGTTGCAGTCGGCATCGGAAAGAAGTTCAAATTCGACCGGTGCTATCCATTTAGTCAGCCGCTGTGTCTATAGAGCGTGGGTAACTATATCATGAAGCGATCTACTGCACTTACTATGTCTGGAGAGTTCGTCATACAATCTCCTCAACGCTTTTGCTTTCCCTTCCCCATAAATCATTGGCATAGTTACATCTAGAATCCCTAGGAGAGAGTAGACGTGATCTTCTTCCCGTTTTGTCGCACGTGCTTTTGCCCATCCTAACCTTTCCTTGATAGTGCACTCAGCTACAGGACGACCGCGTAAAACCTCTAGACTAATACCAGTAACATTAGAGATAGATGTCTCTAATGTAGACTTGGTACCAAGGCGGACCCAATCTTGCGTAAAAAATTCAACATGTTTTGGCGCAATAAGCTCTTGTAATGTCCAGCCTCGAGTAAACCATCGACTTTCCTGAAAAGTTGATTCCCAGGAAATATCCGGAAGATGTTCTTGTATTGAAACGTCTGAAAGGTAGACATAACATATAGCTGCATCTTGGTACCAGCGAAACATTGAGTTAATAGCCTCTTGAAGCTCGGCGCTACTTGATTTATCAATGCAACAAGTATCCACCCAAAAGTATTGCAATCCATCCCGCCTGACTTGTTGTCCACACGACTGAATCTTCTTATAACCCGACTTCGCTTTTCCAGTGCTCTCGTTGAATTCGCTGAAAGTGACCTCATCACCGTCCTTCCAGGTATGTGAAAGTATCGCGTAAGGCGGGATCTCATCGTCGCCAAATAACTCTCTTGTCAAGACTAACTTGTCTTCGCCAACGCATTCCAGAAGGCGCATTTTTCGATTCCAGTTTTTCGATACAAAGAAACATGACCCGGGGGGCAGATCGAATGTATCAGGCCGAGTGAAGGTCCATGAGTCTGCTAAACCCTTCGTCCGCTCAAGATATGCGATTCAGATGTCGATGATGAAGATGGAATCATAGGAAAATGGGAACGGCGATTGCAAGCAAGATGACAGGCATAAAATCCGATATGAGTTGATGTTTATGAATGTGAAGGAACATCGCTAAAGTGAGCTGACTGAACAGCCGAAGGTCGTGACACAGCAAGGCAAAAGCAGTGGATGCAGGGTAAGGATGTGGCGGACAGCCACTTTGTCAACATAGTGGAACTTCTGGTGCCACGTATTTCACCGTTCGCATGTGTCATGCAGCCAAGGGTATGTGAGTTGGCGATGCTTTGTTCTTAGTGTCGTTCGAGCAGAAGTGAACAAACGCCTAGCACCAACAATGGCCGACCTTCTCCTACCCTAGCCTTGCATAAGAGGCGTTGAAGACCTTCTTTCGCTGGAAAGAGATGATCTGAGGGATTTTCTGCGCGTAGTTGTTTGAACACCTACACGGCCTTTCGAAACCCATCTAGTCTGCACGGTCACTTTTGATATCCATGATATAACTCTAACTCATAGCTTTCTAGTTAGTCCATGTCATGGACATCCCCCGAGGCAAGAAAATTTAAGTCTGAGCGAGCCACAGGTCTCACTCTCTGCAGCGTTATGAGATAACATAATGTGCATAAGGACTCAAAAACCGATCACATAGCGACAGCACGCATCAACGCCTAATAGCACGCCATCGCAAGGTTACCTTCCCGATCGCCATCACTGTTGCCTAGCACTAGGCAAAAGGCTATATTCATTTCACTGGAATACGATGCGATTACGTGGGCTATACGGCTTCATCGCGCACTCAAGCATCATAGGCTTGGATTTACCCCGCTTGCGTCCTTGCGTACGGAGCTGATGATAAGGACTCGAATTTCTATAGGTAGTGTTATGACGGTGTGCATTTCAAAACCTAGCAATTACAATACAAAGACTGAAGCCACACAACAGCAAGGCACATGGGCTGAATGAATAATATGTAGACCCTACCAGTAGCGGGCGGGCCGGCCCGGCATAACCTCAACAATTCGCTCAGCCTTGTAGCCCAAGCGATTCCTCTGGCTTTACCAGAAACCCGTGTGTCGCCCAGGCAAATGAATCCACATTTCTCTGAGAAGATAAGGGAAATACATTTAGCTTGTGAGCCAGTACCAAAGAATGCCTTGAGTAACAACCTTGGATCTTTGAATTGACATAGGGCTTGCTCACTCGATTGGAAGCTGTGATCATGTGCATGATGAAATCGTAAGTCACGACGAGCAGACTCACGGCCCCTCTTATCATTTTGTAAGGTTCCATCTGAACTCTTCTGATATTGGTGACCGATGGAGTCTTTTGTGTTTATGTTATCTTGCATTTGGTGCCAAGGTTTACAATCTTGTCCTTGAGGTGCACGACGAGAATACGGTGGCTGAATTGCAATGTCAGGAGAAACTTATGACCGAGAGGATCGAAGCTTCCGATAAGGCTCGCAAAGACCTCCAGCTGAATTTTAAACAGATTTTTCAAGAGAGCGAGAAGCAATATTTGAGCACGATAGCAAGTATGAAGGAGGATAACCGCCGCATCTAGAACGAAGCGGAGCAAGAGCGTGCGCGGCTCATAGTTGAAGCGCACCTCGAGCAGGCAGCATAAACGGAGGAACTCAAGCGCGACCGCGATCGTCACGCAGAAGAGCAACGCAAAACAAGACGTGACATTCAAGTAAGTCTTGAGGCTTAAGCTACTTGAGATGGCGAACAGCGTGAAGCTCAGGCAAAATTCGAGCGCCAGCTCGAGGGATTTTGGCTCTGCTTTTATGTAGTAAATAAAAATGTATAGAAAAACAGTGATTTGATGTTGTATAAATTGTAGAGGATTAGGTTTCGATACTCCTAAGAAGTCTACTGCTTTGGACCTTAACACTAAAAAGTCTTAGAATATGAAAGTAAAGCCCAATTTATTGAGCAATTATAATGCTACAATCAAGAAGCCATTTAATAGTACCTGAATGGAATGGAGTAATAATATTTTCATGATTTCTTAGTTATTACTTGTCTTTTAGTCTATTTGTTGTTGTAACCATTTGCTGTGTGTAGGATTACCTAAACTCCAACTCAGAATAAGAATATGCATTAAGACAAGGTTTAAACAACCGCCGCCTATATTATTCTAGCGAGTATTCAAATTAATGGATCGACGCTCAAAGGTGTTGAATGGTCCTTTCTGCACAGGGTTGGATGCTATAAAATGCCCGCACCCTGTACAGTTCAGGACATATGGTCAAATGGTTTCAGAATTCATATCATTTAGAGCCCTGTGATAGGTGCATAAATTTAAATTCGCGACTCTATTCAGCCCATATCCGCCTTGATAAAATATTTTTTTTTCCCTACACAGACTCCCCTGCCCCGTTCACGGACAATACAACGCCGACGGCAACAGTGTTTTTCATGTCACGAACAGCGAAACGTCCCAAATATGGAAAACTATCGAATGCCTCAACACACATAGGTTTCAGAGGCTTTATCAACACCCTGGCAGCATCGCCATTTTTCAGATGTCCAGGTTTCTGCTCCAAGACTTTGTTCGTACGCTTGTCAATCTTTTCAAAAAAACTCGACAAATTTACACGCAATGTGAGAGGTATGACAGTCGATTACCGGGGTATAGCCACGTTTTATGTCTTTTGGGCTGTTGAGTATAATTATGTGGGCAGTAAAAGACGCAACAGCCTTAGGAGGATCCTGCTCCGCGTCACCGGCAACCATGCCTCGGTGGATCTTGTTCTCAGGGACATCAACCTTGAAGCTGACACTATCGCCAAAGATGCCTTGCTCAATCGGTATTTCCGTCTCCAAAGATTGTACCTTAGCGCTCGGCCCGGCCGGGGCAAAGATGATATCCATGCCTGGCTTGATGACACCGGATGCAACGCGGCCGGCTACAACTGTGCTCCCATTGATTTTGCTGACAGTTTGGACAGGAAAGCGTAGAGGCGAATTGTCTGGACGAGAAGAGGGTTCGATCGCATCGAGAGCTTCGAGAAGAGTTTTGCGGTTTGCATTATTCTTGTGCACACCCTTATACCATGGAAGGTTGCTAGAAGGAGTCATGATGTTGTCGCCCTCGCGATGAGACATGGGAACGAAAGGAACCTGGCTAGCATCGTAACCAATCTTTTTGATATATCCAGACACTTCGCGAACAACTTCAAAATACCGGTCTTTCGACCAGTTAGTAGCTTCCATCTGAGTAATGCCGATGATTAGTTGTTTCACGCCCCAAAGGTGAACAAGGAGAATGTGTTCGCGAATCGGTCCTCCTTCAGAAAAGGCGCCCTCAAATGCGCCGACATTTGCAGGGACGATGACAAGAGCGGCGTCTGCCTGTAGAATGCGCGTGAACATGCAATTGATGAAATCTTGATGGCCGGGTGCGTCTACATGGTATAAGTTATTTCCTAAGATTATATGGGAATCGCGGTGGCATACCCAGGATATTAACCTTGTATCTCGCCGTGGTAATACCCCAGAGGAAAGTATCAACTGCTTTACCACGTTCTATTTCATGAGCTTCCTGAAGAGCGTGTTAGCGTTATTAGAATGATATTCTTGGTCCAGGTCTCATTAGCCGGGTAAGAGCCAAATTACAAGCTGTAAGGATTAAATGTTTAAATTGTACTTGACTCTTTTCAATGAAGAGCGGTCTCACCTTTTCATAACGATCAAGAGGGTTTGGATCTTCGCTTCCAAGCTTGTGCATGAGATCTAATGTTCAAGGTTAGCAAGTCTATATATCACAGCTGATGAGAGGAGAAGACTTACGTCCAGTGTTTGTCGACTCGCCTGAATCGACATGCCCAACAACGACTACGTTGATATCATGTTTCACGTTGTTACTGAGAACTTTTCAGCAACTTGGAGTGATATGTATATAGTTGCGTCTTCAACACGCGGCACACAGCTTACGTACGGTGGCACAATAATGGCTATGTTGTAATGTTGGTGCAAGCACAGGTTGGAAGTCTTTGCAATCCTTCCCAGTGAAAGTTTGATAGCTGGTTACTTATAGAACAAGTCGAACAAATTTGCGGGACGCATAATATATAGTACGCAAGCATACGCTGCAAAGCATTTGCGGTGAAGTTGGCTGGGCATAACGCAAATGCAATGCAGGTCATTTATCCTCTTGGTTACCCAATTACGCATCTATATGGCGGTCCGGTTGGTTGTGAAAGCGTTAGATAGTAGACCTTAATATTGCTTTAATGATGTCATGGCTTGAGTAAGAATGAGCGGTGAGAACTGCTGGCACTGTGTACGCGTAGCACTCGTAGAAGCCACTGCATAAATCTAATTGGTTTCCATGGTTGTACCCTGCATAAGGTAGTAGGTCTGTCACAAAGAAGGCTAATCAAGACAGTCAGAGTTAATACAACACTGCCTGTACCTGAATGTAAGAGGCTGGGGCATACCTAGTGTGACCTTTCTTCATTATGATAGGATACCTTAGCGTCGAGTACAAGTGCAGAGCCTTCAAGATCCCGCGAACAAAAACGCGTTGCTCCAGTAATGCTCCTCTTGCATGTTGTATTGTTGTCTAGGCCTTAGGCAATGACGTTGCACTGCAGATTCTGCTGGTAGCAGAATGAGAGATGATCCTGTTTTTCCTTCGGTAGAGGGAAGTAGTGAATTAGTTATCTCGATTGAGATGTCGTCGAAATCAACTTCCGCTCTCAACAGCGCGATAGATTTTTCTGGGGAGAGAACGCTGACGAGTTCCGTCCGGAGCGTTGGTCTGCAATCAGACCGACCTGAGAATACATTCCCTTCTCAGGCAGACCCAGAATTTGCCCAGCACTCAAGCTAGTCTATGCCGAAACTGAATACATTATGGTGCGAATCGTTGGAGAATTTTCTAAACTAGAGAATAGGGATTATGTGTTGCAGTGGATGGAAGAAAGGAGACTTACGTTCCAGAGTCGGAATGGTGCAAAGGTTGCGCTTATTCTCTAGCAAGGCAAGGGAGTTCTTTTGCAACCTTGCTGTTTACACAGTTTCTTCTACTTATCCAGTTTAATTAAGTAGAATAAAGATAAAATAAGGTTTCTTTTTGCTTAGAACTGCAGCTAGTTACAGAGAATAAAACAGTTATCCTACATTCTCTCCTTAGCTACGCCGGAACGTCTGGGTCCTAATTGCAATATATCAGGATAGCGAACCCTAAACTTAATTTTTATCAACTGACTTTAATTCCCCTACCTATACGTTAGCTAGAGAGTCGTCTCTCTGCAGCATGGGGTGGAAATTCAGTGATACAGGCGCTTCAGGCTTCACTGTTGTTAGTTAGGTCCCTGCAAACAGCAGTAAGGTTGAAAAAGATATGGGCGGTTGGTGAAGGGGAAACAACGAATAGGTATATTGGCGGTGGATGATTCATCTGATATCACATACGACCATAGGACCATGAAAACAGAGCTTCCCGTCCGCTCAGCTGTACTTAAGCATGGTACCGGCGGATTAGTAGTCAGGTGGGTGACCACTGGCGAATACCTGCTGTTGTATGTTTTTTTGCATTTTTGTGGTCAGTTAGGGAAGGGGGCATTTAGGTAGGTGGTTGTGTTTGACGATGTCCTGTTTGTGGGGGCGAGTGAGATGAGGCGTGCGGGATGACAAGCGACAGAACAATAAGTGAGAGTGTGAGCTACAGGTAATTTTTTGTGTGATGAATCGTGAAATCAGACTGTTTTGTCCGTGATTAACCAACGCCGCGCTATGCCTGCCAGGATAAAAAGGTATGGATCATGGGAATGTGGATGGATGGATGGATGGATACGAGGTGGTTGTGACTTTTGCTCCCGCCAGCTCCTTCTTACTCGTCCATTTGCCATGCATACTCCATCTTTGCGACATTTGCCTTGCGATTCCGACTCTTGAACCATTCGCTCTCAAACCCATTGCCTCTATCGACGCCGTCCCATCGATGGCCAGGCCGTATGCCGTACCGGTTTGGTTGAAACCCACCTTTGTACAGCGGTTTCCCCGTGATGCTTCGCCCAGCTTTCTTCTTCTTAACGAACCCCGCAGCCGGGTCGTTCCACCTGTCTCGGTCCTTGAGCTCGTCGTTGAGCTCCGCGTCATCCGCGTACCGAGCAATCGTGACGCCCTTCGCATCCTCCAACTGCTGTCTCCGCTTCACAGCTTCCGCATTCTGCACGTCGCCACGAGCGGCTCTTTCCTGCTCCCGTTTCTTCTTTTCCTCGTCCTCCAACTTCTTCCTGGCCTCTGCGCGCTTCATGGCTACGTTGATGATTCGTCCGCTGGCGTCTCGGTAGATTGTCTCGCCCGCCCCGCCGTCTTTGGCTGCTTCGGCCGCCTCCCGCTTCTCTGCTTCCAGTTTCTTCTTCATGGCTGCTGCGACCTGCGCGCCTGTTTGGAGACCGGCTTTCGCACCGGATTCAAGGAACACGCCTTCCGTGTCTACCATTTCGGGGGCTTCGTCCTCGGCTTGCGCGGCATTTTGGCGGTCTGCTACTGTAGAGGCGATGATTGCATCTGCGGCTGCTGCGTCGGCGGCGATTTGCGCGGCGGTCGAGGGTGCGGCGACGCCTACGGTTGTCCAGCCGGGGGCGCCTTCTGAGGGTTTAGATTTCTTCTTCTTTTTGGATTTGCTTGAGAGGGTCATTCCGGCTGCATTCCTAGCGTTAGTAAAGCGCTTGCACTCGAAATGGTGGGATACTGCGTACCAATTGTCGGCGCATCGTCGTCGTCGCTCTCGCCGCCTTTGTTCCAGCCAGAGATGTCGTCGTCGTCGATTTTGAGGCCATCTTTGTTCTTCCGCTTCCGCTTTTTGGACTTTTTGTCTGAGTCGGCGGTCAGGTAGTTCTTTGCGAGGTAGTCGGCGAGCGACATGGTGTATCTGAATTCCGAAGTAACTGAGCTTCGGAAACTTCGCGGAGCAGCGTAAGACGCGATTACATAATCTGAGTAGTCACGTGACTTGGCGTGACTCTGGTGTCGCTCGATCTGCGTCGATCGAAGTGGTCATGCGCTTGCGTCCTTCTGATGCAAGCATACAAAGCTCATGTCATCGGTGGCCACCATCGCGATCCCATGCGATGACGCGCAGAGAACTTTCCGATGAGGCGTGGGCATGGTACAGCGCTGTCTACGAGGCAAGGATGCCCGCGAACCAACTACGTGCTCGAACAACGAACGTGGACTGACTGTTGTTGGGAGCGTCTGCGTTTAGGCTGTGCAGGAGATTCCATACGGCAAAGTCACTTCATACGGGCATATTGCTAAACTACTGGGGAAGCGTAGGCAGTCTCAGACCCCCCCTTTAGACGATGACCAGCCGCTGACGGTAGCTGATACATGGACATACTAGCCCAGTGTCCCAGGTACGTACACTAGGGCCCAGACTTCACGACAAACCAACATGCCAACAAGACATGACGTGGTCAAAGACAGGTCGGAATGTGCCTCAAACAGCTGCCCTCAGCATCAACAGACGCAAACAAGAAAGCGCCGACATGGCACAGCGGCAACGTGCCCTGGCAGCGCGTGATTAACAGCAAAGGCGGCATCAGCCCTCGGTTAGTCCAGACCCCCTTCTCCTTTGTTCCATGCATGACGGCGTTGTTTAACCCATCGTCGACAAAGAGGACCATCCGGTGCAAGCCGCCAAGCAAGCGCCCTTCGAGCCGAAGGGGTGGAGGTGGCAGAGGGCGCAATGGGAGAACTCAGTGTAGACCTGCACGAGTACGGGTGGTTCCCCACCATGCTGCCTAGCGAAGAGGGGGAGGTGGAGTCGGATAGTGGTGATGAAGAGGATGAGGATGCGGCTGCATATCACACTTGATGGATGATGGAACGTGGGATACGAGCGGGCGGGTGTATGATGGGTGGTGGTGATAGGCATCCCCGCAGATAACAGAGTTCAAATGCAATCAACGACTCAAGCTACCGTTGACGTGAGACATGGGTATAATTAGATGAATGAGTCGGCTGGCTGGATAGATAGACGGCATCGGGGCTGGCCGGGATCTGTTGAGAAGCTACAAGCGCATCCGGGGGTGGTTGATACAGAGGGCGAGCAATGCAAGGCGGGCGATCCGGAGTTACAGGTGTGTGACTTTTGCTGTTTGGCCGCTTGGTGAGGCTATCAAGGTGGATGGTGGTGGGAAAGTAGTGTATACCAGACGGCTGAGTCAGCGAGTCAGTCACAGACAGACAGCTCCGCCTCCCACCACCAGCCAGCCGCCCACGTTTGCGCAATCAAGGCGCATGATGGCCGATAACATCATCCACCCGAACCACCTCAAGACCGCCGTCTGATGATCGATGGTGACCATGTCTGACGGACCTCGGCGAACCACCCGGCTCACGTGGCCCGTCTCCTCTCACCAGCCGCCTTATCCTCTCTCACGTCGCTCTTATCGCCCAGCCAGCCAGCCAGGCACAACAAAGAGAAACCACATGTGGGGAGCCTTGACGTACTCTCAAGCTCATAAAGCCTCCCCTGCGCCGCCAGTGCTGTGCTATTGATTCAACCTCCCTACTAACTACTTAGTCTACACTATCCCGCCCTTCCATCTGACCGTGTACCTGCATCGCCACTTTTGTTGCCTTTGTACCATAGCTCCGCATCACTGAGTCACCTTCACCAGTCAGACCCAAGACAGTCGCTGCCTGTCTTCCTACCAGTCACACCTTTCCCTCATTCCATCCATCGCTTCCTTCCGCCTTTGCCAGCTTCGCCTTCCCTCTCCTTGTTCCATTACTTGTACCAGTCACCTCTCTCCCTCTTCCTCTTCTCCTTCTCCACCACCCGCAACCTCTCTATCCAATCCATCTAGCAACCTACAATCCAACCTTGATCCTGCAACCTCTACCACACCGTTACAACCGGTCGCATTCAATACCCAACAACCATGTCGTCGGAGCAGACCTACACCAGCGATCTTCGTAGCGGAGCCAAGGAGTTCAACCGCGATAAGAACTCTCGGAGCAAGTGGGCCCACGGAACCTCTTGGGGACCTGGACGCCGCGTCGATGAGAACCGTCCTCGACCCGCCAAAATCCTACCCACGCCCAAGTAACCAACCCCTACTTGTTTTGGTCGGATGCAGTTGCTGACACAGGTCTAGAGTCACCTCCGGCTTCAACAAGGCCCGCTCGGCAGCCAAGAACGACATCGTAGATGCTAGCGACTCCTCCGCCGACGAAGACGTGGAGCACCCGTCTGTAGCACCAACCCCCGACGCCGAAATCACCTACTCCTACGATGCCGAACGGGGCCCTTCCCATGGTAGCCAGATCCTCAGCCATGCCCTGACCCAAGCCGTCGAGCGCTTCGAGGTCCGCCAGACAGACAAGTTGATCAAGGACGAGTATGAGGTCTTGGATCTCAACGCTGAGCCGCTGTCACCGCGTCCCAAGGTTCTCCGAAAGGGTCTCTCTCCCGAGGATGAGGACTACGAATTTGTGGATGCCTGAACGTCTCCATGGGTCTTGTCGAGCTTGCTTCTTGTGACTGATATCTCCTTTTTCTGAGCGTTTTGGCATGTGTCTTTTCTAGGCGTTACGACACGGACATTCACATCGACGACAACATTATACCCCCCATCGGGTATTGATTCCTTGGGCTTCTTCATTCTGCATGGTAACGGTTAACGGCAGCATCAATAGGCGAGCGGTCGGCGCTTTCTTAGGACTTGAGCAGCCCTTATCTGGTTTTTGGCTTCTTCTCCTGTTCTCTCCTTGTGCCTCTTGTGGTATCACTGCTGTATCATTTTTTTGGTCTTGCGGTGCTTGATTAGTGGATGAGATCTGTGTTGTCTACAGACTTCGCTCCTTTTCCTCGTTTGGTATATAGTAATGGAGACGCATGGGCGGCATGAATTCATGTCGGCCGAAACTCAGATCCGAGCCTCGCCCCCTTTTCTGCTTTTGATAATTAGTGATGGGAATATGCGCGACAAGATTCCATGATGCTCCAAGACTGCTGCATGGTGGTGTGTAATGGCGGTGGATTGCTGATTGATAGCAGAAGCGAACGCGTCATGACCAATCTTGGCATGGTGGAATCGACAGGGGTAAACGTTTACGTCACTGGCTGCCGTCCCTCTCAGTCGTCTAATCAAATGTCAAATCATCGTACCATCCACATTATCTCAACGACGCGTCACTGTGCTGTGCTGCGCATTCTCACATTAATAATTCACTCTCTCTTGGAAACACGAGAACCGCCCGCCGCCGTCACCGACAACACCGGCTACAAATCCCACCCGTCCGCCCTGCGTTCAACACCAGCTGCCCCTGTCATCGAGACCACGAGGAGCCTGCATGGGGTCATAGCACAGTCTTAGAAAACTCGAAGAACCAAATTGGAAGAGCAGGAAACAGTCAACGATAACACAAACACCCGCCTTCGTGGCACCCCCAAAACCTCACTATGCCCGCCGGAAACCGTCCACGATGGATACTCGTTCTCCAAGCGCAAACATGGCGTTTTCTCATGGGCATCGGAATGCTGCTGCACAAGCTCGCACGCCCGATTCCCCCACGTCCATCCTTCACGCGCACCATCGATGCAACCGTATCGCCGCTCAAGGGCAAATTCAAACTCCATTTCTACGTCCCCAAAGACTACAACAGGCGTAGGAAGCTCAAGGGCGGCAAGCCCTACCCGTGCGTCGTCAACTTCCATGGCGGAGGCTTCTGCTTGGGCACAGCAACGGACGATGCGAGGTGGGCTCACACAGTCGTTGATCAAGTGGGTGCCGTGGTGGTCAGCGTCGCATACCGTCTGGCTCCCGAGTTTCCCTTCCCGACCGCAGTAGAGGATGGCGCCGATGCTGTACTCTATCTCTCACAACATGCCGACGACTTGTTCCTGGACGCTTCCCGTTTTGCACTTTCCGGCTTCTCCTCGGGCGGCAACATGAGCTTTACGGTGCCGCTGTGTCTCCAGGGCGAGCTTCTAGATCGATCACCCGACGGAACAAAGATCCCAGATCCAGGAAGAAGAGGAACCGTACCCTCGATCAATATTCTCGCACCGCCTCCTCCCGCACAGCTCACTGTACCAACCAACGCAACGACAACGCCAAACTCTTCGCGTATTCCTTTAGTCCGCCAAAGGAGCAAGATTGATCGGATTCAACTGCTGCGCCAAGCCGGCGTATCTTCCCTCTCCCTCGTCTCCTCATACAAAGACAACGGCATTCTCGCAGTCGCTACCCAAGGATCCCCCGCCGAAGCCAGGATCCGCGGAATCGTTTCTTTCTACCCGCCGACCGACTACACGCAAACGCGGGCCCAGCGCCGGGCGACCTGCTCCCGAACCGACCAACAACTGCCCGCCGTCTTCACCGAGCTCTTCGACGACTCGTATCTGCAACCCCCCTCCCTCGACCTCGGCCATCCCTGGCTCTCCCCTGGCGTGGCTCCCAAGGATATGCTCGTCGCTCTTCCCGACGACATCGTCATGTTCTGCTGCGAGTGGGATATGCTATTGGCGGAAGGCGAAGCGTTCAGGGATAAGCTAAAGACCGACTTGGGCAAGCGGGTGCATTATCACTGTGTGCCTGGTGTGCCGCACGGTTGGGACAAGGCGCCGAATCCCCTGCGCGAGAGCCCCGGCGCGAGGGACCAGTACCTCGTAGCGTGTAGGGAGTTGCGGAGAATGTTTGAAATTGAGAGTGATTCGGATAGTGCGGCTGATGTATAAAAAGTGTTTATTTTCCATCTCTTTATATCTTGCGCGGGTACTTGGCTTATGTTTTTTTTTCTTAGTTTCTGCTCTTTGGAATGGTTTTCTTACTGTCCCTTTTATTCTATCTATTTTCTATTCTGCTTGCCACTTTTTCCTACATTTAGTCTGGGGGACTTTTTTCTAGCGCGTTGGTACATATATACATGTGAGCATTTCATGGGGCACGCACACGAGGGTTAGTACACACATAGCATAGCAAAGGATTCTTCTTCTTTCTAGGGCAGGCATACAATATAATTCTTACTTGTTATCATCTGACCTGTCTATTCATCTTGTACCAGGTAGATGAAGTTTTGTTCGTTTGTTTCTTAGTAGCGAAGAGGGATATAGAGAGAGGGGGTAGTCAAGCTGCTTCATTCGAATGCCTGCTTTTCCAAGGACGATTGAACGAGTATTGGGACTACACGGTGTAGAAATCGACAGATCCCCTTCCTCCATTCAAATGTTAGTATCTTATAGAATTCCTATCTAGCTCTTGAAAGGGTACAGCGCCCTGACGATGTACAGGATCGTGGAGTGAAGGAGGAAGCGACGGAACGCTAGATTTCCCGTTCAGGAACTCATATAAAAACAGCTCTGATATTATCAGAGAGTTTGTTTGCATAGTAATTTGCTTATTATAGAGCTGTACAGTGACAGGAGGAATGTATAACGGCGTGATGCTACACAGCTATGGTAGCGATCTGCAGCACGAGACGGCCTGGTATCGATAACAGCATTCATTCATGGGGACATCCCACTTTTGCCAAAGTTGAACCTTATCTCTGCTACGCACCCAGAAGCAATGTCTCAATTTCAGCATCCTCTCTCAATCAACACCTGCTTCAGGTACGGGCAGCTTCAAGAAGTCTTCAGCCATGGCAATCACGGAACATGACCAAATCACCACCACCGGTGGCCACGAAGGCACCCCCGCTCAACCTACCATCGACCATGCCACAGCTCAGCGTATCGTGCGCAAGATCGACAGGAGAATTATGCCCATTTTGTTTTGCACGTACCTCTTCAACTTCATGGACAAGACCATTCTCTCTTCCGCGTCAGTCTTTGGTCTGAAATCGGACAATCACCTTGTGGGACAAAACTATTCCTGGGTGTCGTCTGTGTTCTACTTTGGCTACTTCTTCTGGACATACCCCACCACGCTCCTGGTCGCTCGTCTGCCCGTAGCAAAATACATGACGGGCAACACGCTCTTCTGGGGCGCCGTCGTCGCGCTCACAGCCGCGTGTTCCAGCTATGGCGGGCTGATCACCGTACGGTTCCTCCTGGGCATGGCAGAAGCAACAATCTCTCCGGCACTCATGTTCATCACAAGTACCTGGTACACGCGAGATGAGATCCCGACACGCACTGGTATCTGGTTTGCGGGGAACTCGGTTGGCGGGCTCGTGGCGTCTCTCCTTGCTTATGGCATCGGTCATATCAAAGACCATGTACACCCGTGGCGCTGGATGTACATCGTCTTGGGCATTTGTACTTTTGTGTGGGCCTTTGTCGTCTTCTTCTACTTACCAGACGGCATCTCGTCTGCGCGCTTCCTCACCGAAGAAGAGCGAACCTGGGCCGCAGACCGCGTCGTCATCTCGGGAACCGGCAAAACAGAACAAACACGCTGGCGATGGGACCAAATGCAAGAATGCCTCGTCGACCCCAAAACCTGGTTCCTCTTCATCCTGGCTCTAGTCTGCCAGATCCCAAACGGCGGCACGCAGAACTTTGCCAACCTCGTCATCAAAAGCTTCGGCTTCTCCAGCCTCCAAAGCACCCTCATCAATATCCCCTACTCCCTCATCGCTGCCGCCTCCATCTCGGGCTCCGGATACCTCGCCGGCCGCTTCCGCAACATGAACTGCATCCTCGCATCCCTCGTCGTCCTCCCGCCCGTCGTAGGCAGCGCGCTCATCGTCTCGCGGGCCTCCATCCCCCACGGCGCGAGCTTATTCGGGTACTTTCTCCTGTCGACGGGCTCGTCGGCGCTCCCGCTCCTCCTGGCCCTCGTCCAGACAAACTTCCGCGGCGTCACCAAGAAAATGACCATGACGGCCTTGATCTTCATCGCCTACTGCGCCGGCAACATCGCCGGCCCGCAGCTGTTCAAGGAATTCGAAGCCCCGCACTACTGGACCGCCTTCCGCGCTATCATGATTTGCTATGCCCTCGTCGTCGTGCTGGCTCTCGCGCTGCGCGTGTACCTGCAGTTCGTCAACAGCAAACGCGCGCGCGAGGAAGGCATCGTGGGGAGTTCTGGCGCCGCGGGGGCTGTCGGGGCCGCCAAAGTCGTCGATGATGCTCGCCGAGGTGATGGTGGCGAGGCTGCTGCTGCTGCTGCGGGCGCCATACAATTGACCCCCGAGGATTATGACGATGTTACCGACTGGAACACATTTGGGTTTCGATATCGGCTCTGAGCCGTCGTCGTCGTCGTCCTCATCTTAGGCGTCGAAACCTGCGGGTCCGACGAAGTAAATAAAACTCCTCTCCACCCAATCCATGTCATTAGTTATCTCTTCAGTCATATATAAACATAATCGCATTCAAGCCATATGCCCATCTACCCCAAATCCATCATCTTCCCGCCCAAAGATTACAGTATCCCCTGCTCTTCCCCCCCCTCTTAAACACCCTACTCAAATAGCATTTTACTATATAATCCCAAAAAAACCTTTAATAAAATTGAGATATAACATATACTCTTACCAACACATTAAAAGCTAATTTTAGAGTAGGCCCGCCCTTGTAATATAGCTATCCTACCCGCTTTTTTTTTTCACCATTTAGTAGAGATTGATGGGAGATCCATAACTCCAGCTTACTAAGTTAACATACATAACATCTATCTAACTATGCCATCGCACCTAGCAAATACCGCAGACACCAGACAAACTAACTTTAGGATAACCTTATTTTTATATAAAACACTGTTTACTTCTAATTTTTAAAAAAAAAACTTAAAAACTACATGTAGTAGTATAAGAAGAAAAAGAAATAATTGCCTAAGACAAAAAACGTTTACTTAGTTAATTCTCAAAATCTCTGTTTTTGTTTTGGGGGAGGGGGGGGGGTTGGGGTGCTAACTATGTATCTATGTTTATTTGTTGTTGTTGTTAATCCATGTCATCAGATCCCATCCATCCATCCCCAAACCAAACCAAACAAGTGAAGTTCGAACAACAAACAAAAAAGTAGATAGATAGAATGAAATGAGTAGATTGATTGATATGATAGACTAAGTCCTTACATATGTAGATAAAGGGGGTATATTCGCGTGTGTGCGCCAGAAACAATCAAAAACCAAACAAAACGAAAAAGCTAAACTAATAATGTCTAAAGGAGAAGAAAGAAAGAAAGAAAGGAGGAGGAGAGGGAAAAAGGAGGGAGAGGTGTGAGGTTCCTAAAACAAAACCACACAAGTATCCTCATTACTAACATTCAAATCCCACTCCTCGTCTTTCCCCGCTACCCGGCCCCATATACAATTTACCTCTTTGAGCAGCTTGTCGTTTATCCCTCCTCCTCCTCCCCCTCCCCCTCCCCCTCCTATTCCTCCCTCTGTATTCCCCACCCTCCCACCCCTCGCATGCTCCATAAAAATATGATTCATAAGCATCTCCACATTCCCGTACACCCCCGTGACAACCCCCAACCCCGTACAAAGCAAACACCCATACGCAGTAACTCCTACATCGGCGCCGCCAGCATTAACCCCGTTGTTGAGTTTGACAACGGGGGTCGGGTGGAGTTGCTTGACGTGGGATTTTGCGAGGAACAGCCAGCGGTAGCGGATCCCTGTGCTGGATTTGTGAATGCGGGGGTCGGGAGTGATAACCTCTTTTTCTTTTTTGAGGGGGTTTTTTTTGGAGGAGGGGGGGAGGGAGTAGGTTGCGCCTTCGAACTCGCAGGCGCGGCATTGTAGGATCGTGGTTGTGCTGTACATTCCTGTTGGGCGGGTTTCGAGGGCTAGGCCTTTGGGGATGGGGTTGGTGGCGGAGAGCGGCGAGGCGCGGATCGTCCAGGCGCCTTTGCAGTAGCCTAGGTAGTTGTTTTCTTTGGATGGGGTTGTGTTTGCGGGGAGGAGGGCTGGGGTTGGTGTGGGGAGGATGGATTGGGGTTGGTGTTGGTGTTGGTGGTGGTGGGGTGTAGACGTCGGGAGTGGGGTTGTTGAGCGGGATGAGGATTTTAGCAGGGAGGTGTTGGCGATGTGGAGGGGGTTCTTGAGGTGTGGTGTTTTGGGGAGGAGGTTGTGGAGCGTGCTGTGGGATGTCGGTGTGTGCGGTCTGGATTGAGAGTTGTGGTGATGGTGGTTGTGATGGGGTGTTGGTCGGTGGAGCGTGTTGGAAGGCATCAAGTGATTCTGATGCTGGTGTTGGTGGTGATACTGGCCATTGCCGTTTCCTCGTTGGCCTAGATTCTCTCCCTCGTCCAGTCTCTGCTGATTCCAGGGGATAGGAGGAAGAGGTTTGTCGTCTGCGGCCTTGAGCGCATTCGTTGGTGTCGTCGGCGTGGTAGGTCGTGATCGTACCGCGAGCGGCGCTACAGCGAGAGAGTCCGGCCTTGCAGAACCAGGAGGAGTTGGTAGCAACGTCGTTGTCGTTGCCTTTGGGGTGTGCAGATGCCGTGACGTGTCCAAGACGCCGGTTCCCGTGTGCTGCTGGAACGAGGTTGGCCGCTGGAAGTGCTGTCTAGGAGGTGATGGCGGTTCAGCAGGATGGGCGTCGGATCCGCGCGAGGACCCGGATCCGTAGCGGTATAACGATGGTGGGTCGGACGACATGATGGTGTGGTCTGAGTAGACTGACGATGAGTTTGACCAGCGGCGCAGCGAGGGCACCGAGTCTGGCTCGTTGGCATGGTCGCTGCTGGGGGCACCGTTGGTGCGGTGCGAGCTGGGGAAGATGTGCTCTCTGTCCTTCTCGTCTCTTGTTGGCGACCGGAGCATCTGCATGGCGGCGTTGTCCAGAGCCGTCCTGTCTCCATCGCCGCCGTCCATGCCCATCAGCATGGCCAGGGTATCCCTCTTGTTCGCTCTCGTGTGCCCGTTCAGCATCGCAATGGTGGATCCTCTGTCGTAGTTGAAATTCAAATTCTGGTACGCAAGGATAAGCTCGTCAATCTCCTCCATGATGGCGGTTCGTTCCTCGGGTGACTTGGACTGCAGGAGGAAGTTGAGGGCTGGGTGGAAGTCTGCATTTTGAGACGACGTCGATGTCCGGGATTTAATTTTACCCAGGCTACCCACGCTTTCTCTCTCTTTGCGGTGTGCAGAAAAGGATCGGATGCGGTCGAGGGCGTGCTCTCCTGCAGGGTTGCTGACTAGAATAGCATCTTGGTCGCCTGGTGGAGGGCTCTGCGAAGGCAGCACCGATATGATTGAGCCTCGCGAGTCTCGGGATATGCGGGGCGAAGGCGAAGCTGATCTCTGGTGCAGGGGTGGCGATGGCTGCGCGAACAGCACCCGTTGCTTCAACTCGTCCAAGGCCTCGATGGTGGTTTTGCGGTTCGTAATGGCGGCCTCGTGCAGCGCAGGCAAGTCGACCACGGCGCTTTGGTAGTCGACGGCCAGCTGCAGCCCGGCAATGATATCCGTCTGGATAACCACAATGACATGGTGCAAACGGTCGCGCGCAAGGGCTGGTAATTGGGAATGTCAGTTTGGAGTGTCTCTGCTGGGATTTTACCCCGGACTTCGGACTTGGGAGGGTGAGGACAGACCGTCTCCAACGCGCACGATATCTCGCATCTGATTCATGGCTGCATAGTGATAAGCTACTTGTGTCTCTGCAGTCTGGAGAGACACTTGGAGCATCCGCCTCTCGGACTCGAACTCGTCCCGAGAGTCTTTGTCGTCGTCTCCCGGGTGGTGCCGGGGCTTGATGCGCGTCGCGAGCTCGGCTCCATTGTGGAAGGCTGTCACGATGGCCGCGACAGCGACGAAGATCTAGCAATTGTTGGTCAGCCGTGCACTGGATTAACCGACTATATATGCGCGCTGCTACTGTTCAAAGATGGGGCTTTTTTGGTGGATGATTGGGAGATAGGACCTACATCGTGTCCGGACATGTTGTACAGTAGTGAGTTCTCAGCGTAATCAGTCTTCACTCGCGCCTCGCGCAGTACGTAGTCATCTGTAATAACAAACGGTAGATAGCTATGCAGTCGCTCGACAGTCCAAAGGATACGCAGAAAAGGTGGTGAAAGGAAAAACCAGAAAGAAAGAAAGAAAAAAGAATAGGCAGACGGCGAGGGCGCGATCCTTAAGTCCTTGTACCTATCCAAGCCAACAGTTGGTTATCGTATCGCACACAACGAACCCGCGCCTCGATTGGACCAGTCAGCCTAGCTTTCTCAGATTGTCGTGTACAGTTGGATAAATACGGTACGTCTACGCATTCAGGTTCACCGACTTGTCTCGCTGCCCTGCTCTCCCGCAGCTCAGCCCTCTCTCCAGCCAGCCTGCCACCCACGCGAGAGAAAACCCCGCACACCGGCCGTCCCGCGCGTTGCCTCCCACGATGACGGTATTCAGTCAGCCTTGGAGCGATCAACAGGTGCGCTCTTACCGACTATCTACTAAGTACTTAGTGTAGTGACGAGCTGAAGTCTTGCGTCTCCCCGCACTTCTCTGGGTCATGGGTGGGGGGAGTGTGGCTGAGCTGTCAGCCTCTTGGAGGGACATCAGGCGGTCAGCGTTTTTAACGTTTCCATGTTGGCAATATGCTTTTTTTTTGTTGGGTACGGTGAGCGAGGTTACATGTATGGATGTACAGAATGGTTACATCAATGGCAGAGATTGGAGTTGTACATGGTTATGCTTCCTCGCGCGCAACCACCGATGGATATTGATGCATGGATGGAGAATTCGGTAGAACCTCTTCCCTCTTCCATTTTTTCATGTATGCGTTGAGAAAGTTTCTTAATATTGCCAAATTGACTACCTTGTGTGTTGACTGGGCAGTAGCTTTTGTCAATTTGTGCAGTCTTCAAATTTGCATAATATAGCGGATGCGGAACGAGTGTAGTGCCGCCGTCAAGTGTCTAGAGCACAAGTTTAAGGCCACCCTCTCACGGGATTGAGTTATTCGTTTAGGCGCATGCTTCAAAGAACAGAGTATACATGTATGATAAGGGAAAAGCTTGCATGTTACTGTGATATAGCTAGAACTTCTAGGGAGAGCAAAATAGTAGACCATATCGACCACAATCATTCTCGGATTGCTTGCGTCTAGCAAGATCAATTTGGGGGAATATGAGGAAAAGACCGCAGCAATCATCAAGCTTTACAAGCAAATTGTAGCGCTTATCATACTGATTCAAAATCGAGCCTCCAGTGCTGAATCGAAATGCTGGAGATATAGAGGTATAGTCGGCGTTGATTCAAAGCTTCGTCCGTAGGTACAGAGAGATGCGTTGCGAGTATGCCTAGTGAGCGGCTTAAGTTTGGCTCTTTTGTCTTTCCTTTTCTTCCCTCCTAGCGGCTTCATCACAGGAAGCGCAACTTTTCCCGGGCTTGTAAAATGTGCCATGTATTTCACACTGGCAGACATGTTCTTTCTTGAGGCATCTTGTTGAGCACGCCTTCCTGCATGTGGGGCTGGATATTATTGTTAGTTCATAGCCTGGCCATGGTGAATTGAGTAGAATCTCTCACCAGTGATGAACCATCGTGGTATTAATTGGTTATGATCTTGATTTGAGGGATTCGTTTGGGCGTTGCGGGTGATTTCTGGATGGATGTTTTGAATCTGTCAGCTTTTTGGTATATCAGGAATGGCAGGATTCGCTCCATACTTTTATACTTGTCGATGCTGGCTATCTGACCAGTAAAGATATCCAAGATATCTCGGTGTAAGCGCCCTACGTATCTCCATGTTTCCAAATTGGGAGTTTATGAGGCAAAAGGCTGAGTGCGATGCAGCGCGGCTATATGTCTCAACTGGAAGACATCATACCATCCTATCGATTGCACTTGTGCCGAGAACTGGGTTTCTCTGATAACCTTTCTATTCCAACTTGATTGGTATATCTACTTCCAAATTGTTGTTACGGTTTCATCGTGAGCTCTGAGCGCTTGCCCGTCAGCAGCTCCATATGAGTAGGTAGTGCTGGCGTGCGGCGTAGCTCCAGCCAGGCGACAGGATCAGGCTACCTTAGCTATCTTAGGGCGCTAAGACCATGATGATCTATGAACCAGGCAATGGAATGGCTTCATATAAGTGACTCTATTCATAGCTTGGCGGGCTTATGGGACGATATGTTCAAGTTGACAATTTTGGTGTACAGCTCCAAATGCCAAGGCTTCGCTGGCGGGGTGGTTTCTTTTGAGTAACCACGCATTATTTAAGTCTACCACAGTCACCTAAACAGCGGCCGTGACCAACTTAAGCTTCGAGTTGAGCCCAAACTTCCACGAGCAAGACGTCTTTGCGTTTTAGAGACAAAGATACAATTGTCCAGTTTGATCCGCATTTATTGATAATTCGAGGCAGCCCATCGCAATGCAGACCGGCTCGCCTCTCGAGGCAAGTACGCGACCTGAGCTTTCCAACGATGAAGCCGACCGCGTTGAAAAAGCTCGCGATGAAGCAAACAACGATGGAGCAAACCACGATGAAGCAGGCAACGATGAAGCAGACAGCGATGAAACAGACAGCGACGAAGAAGAAAATCAAGCGTTCTCTGAAGTTCTGGCTTCTATACGGCAAGAAAACATTGTGTCTTTCTGTATCGAGACTCGCGGGCGTCTCGACCCCTCGTTCAGCATCGAATCGAATCCCTCTCAAGCTCAGAACGCCACTCTCGAGCCAGTAATATTTGGCTCTTATCATGCTATTTTTCCGGTGAAATTTCATGATGAAGTGCGCTGGATTCTTAAGGTCCCTGCCGTGGGAACCAAAAATCATTTCGACTCTTCCTCCGCCGCTGCCCTCAGGTCCGAGGCCTCGACCATGCGTCTGATCCGAAAAGCCACATCGATTCCCCTTCCAGACGTCTTCGCATTCGACGCCTCTCTTGACAATGATCTGGGCGCTCCCTTTATCCTCATGAGTTTTGCGGAGGGGGCTTCGGCGTATGACGTCTGGTTCGACAAGACCATTGCGCCGGAGGAGATGCATGCTCGTAGAACGCAGATCCTAGAAGATCTAGCGACGGTCATGATACAACTAGATCAGTTTGCGTTCAAAACTGGCGGCGCGCCGGTCTTTGATCAAGACGGGACCATCGCGGAAATCGGTCCCATGAGATGTGTCGACCATCAGCGCATGCTTGAACGGTTCGGTAAAGATGACGAAGACGAAACGCCATTGTACTACACCGCTGGCCCCTTTGACTCCCCTCGAGCGTTCTACCGGCAGGCTATAGATAGAGAAGAGCCTTCCACCCAACCTGTGTACCAAGGAGCCCGGAAACTACTCCAACTATTTCTCGATTGGATTCCTGATCTCCAAGCCGAGACACCATTCGTCCTCGCCCATCCAGACTTCAACTTCCAGAATATCCTCGTTTCGCCACAAGGCCAGCTGCAAAGTATCATCGACTGGGATGGTGTTGCAGCTGTACCTCTCAGCATTGGGAATAAATCACTCCCTTCATTCCTCACGCGGGATTGGGACCCGGCCATGTACGCATGGAACGAAGACATGGAACGCGGTACTCAACCCGATGGACTTTGGGAAGATTCACCAGAAACGCTACAGAAATATCGACGGGAGTATCAAGAGCTGTTTCAAGCGCGCTCTTCATCTCCATCTGGGAATAACCCTTCCATGACCAAGCTCTCGCTATATGTACAGAACTTGGTCATTGCTGCTGAAGACACGATGTGTCGATTTGAAATCCTTAAAAAGTTTGTAGAGGAAATCATGCCATCTGTTCTCGACATGGCCGAGGCTGGCGAGAGGGCGACACTCGAGGAAGACTTCAACGTGTTTGATATATCGTCCGGCTTGGCGAATGGTACTTTGGAGCAGAGAACTACTGACCTCCTCCGAAGAGGGTTCGAAACTCTGCTGAGCTAGACATTGTGTAGATTGGTATTTTCCCTGAAGAAATGACAAACTTTTTTTTCCGGAAATAAGTTTGTGTGTGAAGGTGGCCTCTCCTGGGATCGTGAAAGCCGGATAATCAGTCAATACCACGCACGCTCCATGCAAAAACACCAGAATTACTCTTAGAACTGGTAGTTTACATTACAAGTAGTATTTCAATACTATAAAAAGCAAAAAAATAATTATAAAGCTGTATATTACTTATAGTAGTAAAGAATTATATAGAACTGTATAGTAGGCGCACGGGCTTTATTACCCGAATGAAGCCTTTCATTGTGAAGAATCTCCGTATCCTGACTTGCTTTCACCATTAGTGAATAGGAACTAAGCGTGATAATGATTCATCGCATTTCCATGCGGCACAAACACTGGGTATTAAAAAATCACACGATAAATCTGCCTTTGAGCTCCAGGCAGGACTAGTGAATAGGAACAGAATACACAGTGAGTTACGTAACTGCGTTCTCTAAGTTTCGCAAAATCTTGAAATGTATATTAATTTCTGTGAAGAAGTCACGTCTACTATCGTTCACATGAAGACCTGTTGGAGACCATCGTAAGCTATATGTTTGCGAGAATGTACTAGGGAAACACAAGTATCAGCGAACGACAATCTCCCGGGTTATCGGATTCAAACACACAATCCAAATTATACAGCAGCATTGTCCATTGGACCTATAAAGACGGCGACAACTGTAGATTTACTGCTGGGTATGACATGCCGCCCTAACCACAGTGCAAGGACGACACCGCCGCAAGAGTCTCCAAGCGGCCACGAAAAAAAACAAAAACAAAGAAAAAGTCGGGCAGATTTCCTGCTCGATGACGGTACTGCAATTAGAACGCTGTGCATTGATTACTCCAGACCATCTCTTTATATAGCCCAATTAGCATGCCGCAAACCTACAGACGCAAAAACCTTGAATCTAACTATCTATATCAAGACACAATCGTAGTGGTACATGGTAATAATACCCCGAGATCGTGGTACATGTCATGCCGCGCCATGCGATGCCGTTCTACGTCCTGAATCTTCGCAGCCCATCTACATATATATACACATATACTACAGTTCCAGACATCAAGTCGAAAAGCTAGCCAGTACATTCACCAAAGGAACTCAGTCTCGCACATCTTCTGTCCCTCGCCCATCCAGTGTGCTGGACTTGTGTCCAAGGGGAAAGACCTCATATTCCAAATCCGCGCGAACCGTCTAGCTGCCTGCTCGTCTTCAAACTCGATCAACCAGCGGTTGTAAACGCGGTTCATGAGCATCTGGTTGAGTTGCTGCTGCTCCGAGCTGCTGTTACCACTGCCGCCGCTATTTTCGAGCCCCAAATCCGCGTCCTCGAACGGCTTGTTGGCGTTCCACGCTCGAGGGTTGTCGGAAGACACCGCTTGCACTTTGGCTTTGAGGTCCACCACGTCGCGGAGGCGTCGGATACCCTTCTCTTCGTTGTGGAAGGGCCACGTCAGTCCGCGCGAGTATGCGTCCGTGCGCAGGACCTTGTAGATGTCTGAAGGGAGGGGTTCATGGCCTTCAATCTTCAAGAGGACTTTGAAGACAGACGTCTTGCTGTTCTTTTTCACCGGCGACAGAGATTGTACTATGGGTGTGTAGCCTCCCTGTTCAATGAGCTTGTCTAGCGACGGGTTGTACGGTTTCATGACCATGTTCAGATTGAGTGGTGTGCCCGCTGGCTTCAGAAGGTACGAAGATGTTACAAGACCAAGGTCTTCGCCATTTTCTATGAATCCTCTGGGCGGAGGAATTGCGGAAAGTATGGAACTCGGTTGGTGTAACTGGCATAGTTTGTGTAGCCGGCTCGCGTTGTTCTGGTAGGCTAAAGCCGCCTCGGGGGTCCGGAACACAATGTAGTAGAACGGCAGTCTCTCCAAACTGATGGGATCTCTGCCTGGGATGACCCGGACGAATTCGCCCTCAGAAGCCCACGATTCAATATGCTTTCCCTTGGGAATGATGCGCCGGAAATCCGCTTCTGTCAGTTCAAGGCTGGTGTGAAGAAGTTGCAATGCGGTGAGCTGGTCTGTACGATTTTGAAAAGACTCGACAAAGCGCTCGCGGTCCGTCTTCGACCTCTCAGGCTCCGTACGTCTGATTAATGGTGTCTCGTTGGGAAGGGTGAGTTTGGGGTATGGGTTGCGGTTTGAGTAGTGAGGTTGCGCCCAATTGTATGCTTCTGGGAAGAGCTCCCTGAGAAGAGATTGATCGTCCGCGTCCGCAGCCGGAACAGTCTCTCCTCGATCAGATGTAGATCCCGGATTCGCGGGTCTGGGATCCGTGGTGGTTGACGTATCACGCGCTGGTGTGTCGTCTGCTTTTCGATGCGGGGTCTCTGATGGATTGGGTGATCGCATCAGTCTCCCACCGGTGTGAGTGTGGTGGATTGGTATTTGACGCTCTACGTTTCCCTCTGATTTTGCTTTGTCCAGGTCTATCGCTTTGACTGGAGCGGTATCTGCAGACTTTGCTTGTGTTGATGGTATATTGGGGAGTTTTGAAACGCCCGGTTCAAGCGATACCAGTGCATCCAGTTTCTCAGAGAGTAGTTGGACCTGTTGAGAGAGCAGTTGTACTTGGCTTGCCATACTGACATCTTGATTTTGCGCAGGTGCCCGCTCAATTGAAGACTTATTTCTGTCGCCTGTGCTATTTATTGATTCACGCCTGGGAGGATGTTTGAAGACACGCCGAGTTCCCGAGTTACTTGGTTGAGCATTATCGTGCAACTGCGTTCCTACTTCTCTTTGTGAATTATGGGCTCGATGATTCTCCACGGAAGCATTCATCGAGCGCTTGAGCAATGGCTGCGTCAAGAATATCATCGACGTAGAGCCGTCTCCCTCTCCCAATGCATTATTTCTGACCTGGTGGAGGTTCACGTTTATCTTATCCAGTATTGGCCTCATATGGGGCGATTGCTCATTGTAAAGTGAGCAAGAAGTCTCCACGAGCAACTGTATGATTTGGCGGTATTTGGCTGTCGCGCATTGCGAAACTTTTGTGACCCAGAGAGGTGCGATCACGGGCTCGAGGACGGAGGTGCGCTTGGGGTCTAGGATCTTGTATATCCTCGCAGCGCAGTCTGGATTTTCTCGGGCATGTGCCTGTGCCTGCGCTCGTTGAGGAAGCGGAATAAAGCAAGCTCTGCATATGTAGCCACCGGGTTGGGCATGATTGATGCAGGCGTCGCTGAGGAGGCGGTGGGCTCTCAGGGCGTCGGGGGAGCGGAATTGGTGATGGCAGCTCACACAGACGGGGTTTTCGGTCTTTTTGGAATAGGGACGGGGCGAGGATATCGGAGTCGAGGAGGAGAGTCTGTCGTTGCCGTCGTGGCTGGCATCGTCAGGGCTGGATGCAAGCTTGCCGCGGGAGTTGTCGGTGGCCTGTCGAACAGGAACAATGCGAGCTGGGCTCTGTGGGCGGGGACGGTAACATGGCCTCAGAGGTCGAAGCAGGCGCGGCGGTAGCATCAATTCCTCCTTGTCACATTGCACACACACGCCCGAGATGTGCTGTCTTCTGTCACGTCGATGTTGTTTTTCATGGCGGATGAACTTTACTCTCAGTCAGATCAACCAATCATCAGTGCGTACAAGTGTCTTATGTAAGCGTCACCATATCGAGTCTTGTCGTGAGCGTCACTACCACAACTATAGCACTTGAAAACATGGTTCTACCGACTCTTATCGTGAACCCTTTGATATGATGGCTCCTGCTTGCATATGGAGTCAAGATTTTGTAAAGTCATGCATAGCCCTGCGGTTATATACATCTGCGACAGCAGATTGTAGGACCGTGGTATCTTCCTGCTCAGTCATAGATGCCTGCAGCTACCATACACGTAAATATATAACCAGGCAAAGCCACCATCGGTTCTCTTTCCTATAAATTCGACTTGAGAGTTGTCTCGCGCCTATGTGGCTACCTGGCGATCTGATCAGGAATCATCCGCTTAGTTTTCTTTACGTCTTGGCATTGCCCACCTCGAACCATTCTCAACTCAAGATACCGACTACCACCAACAACTCGCATCCATGGCTTCCGCCTTTGCACTGCGGCCGCTGGAACGGACCGTCGCCAATCAATCCTTGAGAGAGGGATTCCGCGTGCATTTGTCGGATAAAGAATTCAGAAATCTCCGCCTTGCACATGGCGACCTTATTCGGGTTTCTTCACTTCGTGGCTTCTGTGGATATGCAGTAGCATGGTCGTTCAAGCCAACGAATGCGGCGAGCAAGCCCTTGGCCAAAGTGTCAGACCTGTTGCGTGACACTTTTGGCCAACTAGCACTAACTGACAGCATCTTTATTGAGAAAGCGCCGGAGGCCTGGAAACCGCTAGATTCTATTACTGTACGCTGTGCTGACCTTTCGGATGCATTGAAAAAATATGACTCTACGAGAGAGCTAAAATATTGGATCGGTTATACTTTGGGTGAGTTAGTCTGCCCGATGCCTGCTGCTGTGGACTAATGCCAAGCAGTGAAGCTGGATATTCTGATACCCGAAGGCGAGTTCGAAATCCAGCAAGAAGGGCCCAGAAGTAATCGCAGCCTGAGACTACGTGCTTCCGTCACAAGCATGGAACCCGCACCGGATGGTGATTACGCTTTGTGTTATAAACCCGAGGTAACCCGAATCATTCTAGAAGGTGAACCACCTTCTCTACAAGAGCCAACACTGGATACCACTCCATTGGAGCCAGCTTCCAAAACGCATACGGCGTTACAGATCAACAGTGATGGTATCGGAGGTCTTTCGGAGCAAATCACGACTATCAATGCAAGACTCAGCAAACTTACCACCCCTGGTTCTCAACCAAAACATCCGCGCAGGAACCCTAGATGGACCTTCCTCATTCATGGGCCTGAGGGATGTGGAAAGAGTCTTTTGCTTGATCGCCTGGCCGAATGCTCTTGGCACAAAGTCTGCACAATCAATGCGAATTGGCTGGCTGCCAATCGTAAAGAGTTATCTGAAGTCTTGTCCACCGAAGTTTTCACCGAAGCTCCCGAAAAGGAACCTACATTGGTAGTCATAGACAGGCTAGACACATTGACGCAAAAGAGCGAGGATCTTGTCGAAAGTCTAACACAACAAATTCGCAAACTCAAGGGAACGCAAATAGTGGTGGCTGCGACAGCTCGCAGCATCTTCGACGTTGATGCCGGTCTCCGCTCGCTCTTCATGGACCAGATGGAGTTGCCAGCACCCAACGTCTCTCAGAGAGAAGACATGCTGCGGCAGATCTGCGCTGCCGAACAAATCACACCAGATTTCGACCTTGCCTACTTTGCGGAGCGTACACATGGGTTTGTAGGCCGTGACATGGAACAACTATGTGACTTGGCTTACCATCGCTGCTATTATCAAGGCGAGACAGGCGAGGACGGCGAAGAATCTTCACAAACCGTTGTAAGGACGGAGGATGTCGAAGCTGTTATAGATAAAGTGCTACCCACGGTGCTCAAGGGCAGCGTTCTGGAAGTGCCCAAGGTCAAATGGGCCGACATTGCAGGGGTTGACCATGTCAGGAATCTATTGGAGGATATGATTGTCCGCCCATACAAGGTCAGTCCGTCATGCTCCGGAAGGGAAATCTTGCATCTAACAGCCTATGCCTAGTACCCTGAACTCGATGATAAATTCGGCGGCCCATCGTCGCGCAAGGGAGTGCTGTTATATGGGCCCCCTGGATGCGCGAAGACGACGATCGCCAAAGCGATTGCAACGGAGTCGAACCTCAACTTCCTCGCGGTGAAAGGCTCGGAGCTTATCAAGATGTACGTTGGAGAGTCTGAGCGCGCGATCCGCGATATCTTCCGACGAGCACGTGCCGCGAAACCGTGCATCATCTTCTTCGACGAGATGGACACGATTGGAAAATCGCGAGATTCAACGCAGGACAGCGGGCTCAACGTTGTGGCAACCCTGCTCAACGAAATGGACGGCATCGAGGCGTTGAAGGATGTGTTCATCATCGGAGCTACTAATCGGCCTGATGTCCTGGATTCGGCACTAATCCGCCCCGGACGTTTTGACTCTCATATTCACATTGCGCTACCAAACCAAGAGGCCCGTCGCCAAATCTTCGAGATCCACACCAGGAACTGGCCACTTGCATCGGACGTCGATCTGGCAATCGTCGCGGCGCGGACAGAAGGCAGCAGCGGGGCCGACATTGAAGGTCTTTGTAGGGAGGTGATTGATCTGGCCAAAAAGGGTTATGTGGAAAATAAGGAAGAAACAGTCAAGATGAGCTATTTCGAGCAGGCGTTGGCTGAGCACGTGCCACACACGGGGAAGGAGGAAGCCGCACGATACGAAGGGTGGCGGCCGGGGAAGTCGCTCTCAGGATTCTAGGTGTTGATGCGAAGACTGGATGGCGCATGATAGACTATAGAGAAGCAGGCTCACGCGTAAAAGTTAATGTTGACACTTTTTTACCCACTCTTGTGTGCTTGGATCACACACACCCTGAAAATACGAGCTCGGTATATAGCACTCTGGCTATCCACATGGCGTGGTGGCGTGATGGAACAAGGGCGCATCGTTGCTGCGACAACGCCTAAAGCACACTTGGACGAGAGCGCCGCAGTGTCGCGACAATGAGCCTGTGTACACATGCAGCTCGATGACGCCACGCATGCGAGTGCGAGGAATTAGCCGCGTGCATACATGCGCACGAACGAGGCCATCCATCCGCCATTTTCCTAAAACCGCGACGGTCCGACGGGGGGGAAATGCTCAGCAGGGTGAGATTAGGAGGCGTTTGGCTAAATCTCCGAAGAACGACGAGGGGAAGGTATCTAGGCATGTATGTATGGAAGAAAAAAAAAATAAAAGGCCTGCCGCCGCCGCCACCACCGTTATCGGTAATGCGCCGGTCGCTCTTACGTTGAACTCATAAGTTTTTTAATGAGAAGCTCGCATTTGGTCCACTCGGGATGCGCGATAATGTCTTTCTTTTATAGGTAGGTAATGAGGGGTGGAGCATGCGGTGATGAAGATGGGGGCTGATGAGGAGAAAACGACAAAGTAGAAGAAATCAAAAAGGGTCTCGACTTCGTATTCTGGCTGACGTGCTGGCTGACCTTACCGCCATGTCATCTCGTCCCAGGCAATTACGTACATAGATGAGATGATGTATACAAAAGGTACGCTGTTGGTTTGAAGGATTTCAACAGCGAAATTCGGGGCGCCGGCTCTGCCTTGCGAAACGTCGGAGCGTGTAGCTTGATTCGCTCTCGCATCAGATGAAATGGCCCACGACGTTTGACTCCACCATGGATAGTGCCGTGTCGCAGATTGAACTCGACCGCCAATCATCCCCATTTTTATGCAACCCCTGCTCCGGTCGTGCGTCGTCTTCCGATCCTAGTCTCATCCTCCATCCCTCCACTAACTACCCCATCATCCTCAGCAATTTCTCGCCCTGCGTGGCTTGAGCCGGTTCCACTAGGCATCAAGGTCGCGCGACATGCTGTTTCCCTTGCTCGTAGAATCGTTGATGAAACTAATTGGCTGCTCATTACCGTACTCTATTGTAGACAATCCACCCATCCCGCCTCTCCACCTTTCCCTTCCCTTCTCCTCTCGCACCATCTCTCTTTTCCTTCCCTTCACCGTCTGTCTCTTGCGCAACCGTACATTGAACATCCCCTCTTGGCTCTCGGGAGAGCCGTCCATTCCTTTTCCAATCAACCACTGTCTGACTGACTGTCTGTCCATTATCTTCTTTTCCTTGTCGTTAACACGCCAAATCCGTCGCTGCTCCCACCCCACATCCTTCTTCAGCTTCTGAAACCGACATTATGCCTGGCCTGCTGGGAAGATCGAAGTCTTTGCGCCTGCTTCGAAAGGGCGGCCATGATGGTCCCCACTCACGAGAAACAGACAGGATAACGCCACAGTTCTCCCGCTCCCAGGTCGATGTGCGCAGATTAAAGGAAGCTTCATTCCCTACCTCTGGCGGAACCGTTGAAACTCCCGACATGATGCAGCAGCGACCACAGACGTCGGGTGGACCTGGCGACCGTACAGCACCACCGTTCCACAAGAAAGTGAGACCTCTTCAGCCGCAGCCAGATAATAGCTTCGATTTCGCGCCGCCGCTGTCCCCCGCAAAGCCAAACGCCCTCCTCTACACTGCAGAGGTCTACGAGAGTACCGAAGGCATCATCGGCATCGCACTAGGGAGCCCTACCATGGCTTCGCACTGGAACGTCTCTTCTCCTGCTCCTGATTTTGTCACCGACACTCGAGGCCCTGTCACTCATATATCGTCGGATCACCAACCTACAAGCCAGCCCTCGGAAGCTGGCACCGCCCAACCGCAGCCAGATACAATGGCCAGGCCCAAGTTGAGTCGGTGGAAGTCGCTGTTCAAGAAGACGGCACCGCCTCCTCGTTTGCAAGAGAAGGAAGCCTTTTATAAGCTGGCAAGCTCCATGCCGCCTGCGCGCGCAGACAGCCCTCAGGACGAGGAACCACCAAAGGAAGAGCCAAACGTGCAGTCGCCGGCGTCCTACTCGTACAACCCTTCTATCCGAGAATCTCGAAAGCTTCCCAAAGGACAGCCGCAACCCGTGGCCGACACCCGGCCGAGAGCCTTGACACTGACCACTGGCCCACCGAAACCAAAGACATCACTTCTACGCTCCGCCTCCAACGCCATATCGCCCAGATTTCCCAAAAAGTCGCCGCTTCCCCAGGTCACGGTTTCCAACGACCCAAGTCCTGCGCCGGTATCAGGCAAACCCGCCGAAAGACCAGTTCTCGACGTTGCCATTCCCGAAGTGCGCATGGAGCGATACAGCGTCATGTTCAGCAGCCTCTTGCAGCAAAACCAAGATTCCGACTCTTCATCCAATCCTACATTCACTCTTTCTTCTCCTGTGCAAAAACCCCAGGAGTCCTCCCTATTGCAGCGTCGGCAAGCAGAGCAGCTGAAACCGCTGGATCGACTATCTATAAAGGTACGCATGAATAACCCTAAAATAGGCTTCCACAAATTACGGGAGCAAAATAAGGTCCCCAGCCTGAGGCTGACACAAGATCCCCCGTAACAGAGTTCCTCCCAAAATAGCGGCCTGAAACCCCAAAGGCGAGCTACGTCGCCTGGCCACCACGCCAAGTCCCCGTCCGCGTCCCTGTCGCTGTTCCCCTCACCAAACACATCACGTGCGCCGTCACCACGCAGCCTTCACACGTCGGTCCATCGCCCGCGGCCATTGCAACGGTCTCGCACAAACCCAGCCAGCACTGCGTCCCCGCAAGACCTCACGTTCCCATCGTCGCAAAATGAGGAAACGAGAATCGGCCTCGCAATCACCCCGGGAACTCCATCGCAGGAACTCACCCCCATGACCAGCACATCCGTGATGACCACCACACCATCCAGTCGCAACAGCTTCGAATCCGACCGCGGTGCCGACGAGGAAATCATCACAGTCCGTCGCCCCGCCGCAAAACGACCAATCACATACAATCCCATCGACGACAAGGAACCGGAATGGGACATCATCGTGCCCCAACAACGCGCCGCCCCAGAGTCCCAGTTTCAGTCTCAGAAGATCTCGAAAGCCGATGCGCTACGCTCACATCCTTCGGTCCGGCGCCCAGGCGATGCCTCCTCGCCATCCTCATCAACATCTCCTTCTTCCGCGCCTGCGCCTGCGCCCGTCCGCGAAGAAGATCCCCAACACCACCACCACCCACCCTCCTCCGCGCCCCTGGAAAAAAGCATCATAGCAACCGCATCCCCCATAACCCTAATCAGAAGCCCCAGCTCCGCCCGCACCCAGACAATCACGCGCTCCGCATCCACCGCGAAATCGAGTTCTTCGTCGTCGAGAAGCGCGGGCGCGACGGTCGGTGTGGCGCGCTCGATTTCCGTCTCGCGCGCTCGCAGTCCAATGTTGGCGACGCCCGGGAGTGCAGGCAGCAAAGCCGTGTCGGTCGCCTCGCCGAATGCGATTGGCGGTGTTGATGCGGCGAGACTTGGGGATGGGAGGGCTCTTACGCCTACGCTTGTTGAGCTGAAGAATCGGCGGAGTCAGAGGGTTATGGTTGTTGATGCTTGAAGTCGAGTCTCCCTCCCTTCCTTTCTTTCTTTCTTCGTTCGAATCAAGTGCAAATTCCGAAGTCGTGGATAACACATGAGAAAAAGTCGGTGATGAGATGGATAACTCTTTTTTTTTTCCTCTTCTTAAATCTTTAGAAGCCCAGGCGGTTTTGTTCGTTTCTTTATTCTTCTTATCGTCATGCTCTTTCCTTTTTTTTTATTCATCGAAACGGATTGCTTAGATAGATCCTTCACTCCTATACGCACGAAGAGGAGACATGTCCCACCCCCTCCCTCTCTATTGCGTCATCCCCTTCACCCACCCTCCCATCTCATTTCTCTTTTGTCTTTATTCCGTCTCGTTATTAGCATGCATAGTCTAGGTTATCAGCGATTGGACACCCGGGGCCCCCCGTCCCCTCTTTTTTTTTTTTATTCATCCCGGGCCATCTATCCAGAAATCCAAAACCCCCGTCATCTACAAATACCTACCTACCCAAGCCATGTCCTCTCTCCATCAGCGCCGCTCTTCCGTGAAGACCTAGCAAAACAAAAGAGAGAGAGAGAGAGAGAGAGAGAATTAAACATCCTAAGTTTAAAAATGTAGGTTCTGGAAGATGAGAAAGTAGGTGTCTGCAATCAACTATAAAAAAAACGTTGAATACAACGTTTGTTCTGACCCCTTTTCACTAAAAGTTTTTATATAAAGACTATATCAAATTGTGCTACTAACATGTTGTACTTAGTATCTATTAACACTGTAAGTCTATAATGTTTTGATTGTCTTCTAGCGAGTTAAACGTTGAGTTTTGCTTGTATATAGTAAGGAATGCCTCTACGCTATTGCGTGCTTGCTTTCCAACATCTGTTACTCATGTTCTTCTGGATCGTGTTTGATCTACGAGCAACCAGAAAAGTCGGAATCATACCAGTCAAAGTATTCTTCGTCTGTCGTCACGTCATCTTCGTCTGTGTCAGCCGTTCCGCTAGAATCGAGCTTGTGCCATTGGTCTAGATTAGCCCTCTGCTTTACCGATGGCATAAACTGGTTCTCGTAAACTGCCCGTATGGCATTTCTCGTCTTCCATTTGAAGGTTCCTGGGTGAGATGTGACAAACAAAACGGCATTAAAGATGGCGTTCTTGTGCTTCTCGTTGCTCTGAAACGTGTCTCGTAGCATAGAGTAGATCAGCTTGAACGCGGCGTCTCGGGCTTTGGATTTGTCGCGGTATTCATCGTAGTCTTGCGCGGCTTTCAAATCTTTGATGATTTCGTTGAGAGTCCGCCCTTTACAAACATCTACCTCGAGGAAATCATATGTATCACAGAGGGTGCGGTAGAGATTAATGTTGCTGGAAATTGATCGGAAACACTGGCGGTAGCCCGATTCTATCCCTTTGAGGGCGACATCGAAAAGAGGGATCGCTCCGTAGGTGATCTCCGTTGACTGAGATGATTGATCACTGCTGTCGAGGACCAGTGATGCTAAGCGCGGGATCCGAGACACGTCAATCTCATATCGCACGTTTCCAATTGTGATTGGTGTCTTTGTGGCTGATGTAGTGCTTGTTTGGGCCAGCGTCTAACAAGATCATGTCAGACTTGCTCATTGCCAACGTTTTTACTGACCTTATACTGATCTTCCTTCTTTTCCGTCAGCTTGTCCTCGGTGATCTGATTTCCATCCTGCAATTCTGCGTCTTCGGACCTCACCGGAGCTTTGTTATGTTTGCTGGCGATGATATCCAACTTCATTCCGCCCTCGTACCTGACAACTGCAACCTGATTCTTACTCCTTTTCACCGATTGAATGATTTGATTCAACAGATGACCGAGACTGCAAAGAAGTTTTTGGTTGCTTTTCTCCCAATCTCGGACGTTCTGGGTCATATCTCGAACTTTGACATCATTGAAAAGGCCATTGACATAATAACCAGAAGTCAGGTTTGGGGTTTGTGATATCCAAAGCTGAGTTATAGTCTCGTCCGTGTCTATGCTCTTGCTAGCAGCTCGAGTCTTGATTTCCAAAATGGAAGAACAGTCTACCTCTATTCCTTCTCTTTTAACTGTAATTTTGGGCGTGTATGCTGGTGCAATAGGGGAGCCGGCGAGCTGGAATCTTTCCAGTAAATGTGACACGGAGTCAGTCGACGCATCCTTCTGGACTGCAGTCCGTTCTAATACATGGTCAATGTACGCATCAGTTTCATTTCTAACCACGCATCGTAAACCACCGAAGCTAAAACTGACGATTCTGTAATATCCGGATGTTCCGATTGCGCTTTTTGTGCACGCCTTCTCGAAGTTGCGACCATAACCTTGGAAGCCTTGAATGAATGTTGTGTTCTCCGTTTCTATGCGCGTGAACAGCGCCCTCTTTCCTTCAACAATTTCGACCTGTATCTGAAAGGAATCGCTTGAAGATCCATCGAGGAAGCGGAGAAGTTTTCTTATATTGTTCCGATCCGTTATCATATCGACACTGTCCATCTCGAAGCCAGGGCTCTGGGCGAATATTGCACTGAATAAGGGGTCGAGAGGTGCATCGGGTACTCGAGCCGCATTTTGATCAATGTACACTCGTCCTGAGTCGGGTTCCAGTTTCAGTGCTCCTGCCGGCGGTGACCAAAGAGGCGGAAAGCCTACATTGGTTGTTAGCACGAAATGTTGAATAATCCTCTCTCGCAAAAGGCTTACCGGGCACTAATATAGTTGGTGTTTCGCTATCGAGCCAGTTATAAGAGGCAAGATACTTGAAGTCAGTGATGGTTGCATGGGCAGGGTCCCCACGATCATTCAAGTCGGAACGAAATATTGTGGCAATGACTTGGGAAACCATGTTCGAACTGAGTGAATTTCTTTGGCGTAAATTGATAATTCTGAGATGTAATAGAAAATGTCAAGTCTGGATGACTCACTCCATCCATGAATGTTGAAGCGAATGGCCGATTTATAGCACCGGTTGATGTTCGTCTACGCTCGAACAGCGCATAATTTGTGTAACGTTTCACAGCAGAACCTGGCATATGGTTGAGCTGCGTTTTGCGTGAGGAGCACATTGCTATTGGATAGATGTGGGGATGCCCAACGAGCGGGGAAGATTCCTTGAAATTGGAACGTCGAACATTCCGATTTCTGAAGCATTCACACCGATAATGATCGTTTGACATTTGATGGGTTTGAAGCTAAAGACGCTGAATCTTGTCTGCCTCGGTCATCTACTTGCTCTAACAAGAGATTAGATCTCTTTGCGCTAGGCTCTTTCCCTAACCAAATGCGCTTTACGTGATTTCTGTGTTACGAAAATCTCAAGATACCTTTCAAATACACGCACTCGTCATCCTTGTTAAAGTCAACGAAAAGCCTCTGAGACTCTTGGGGGGGACCAGGAGAAAAATAAGTATAAATCTTTGCTGTTGTTCTATTTGTATTTATTTGATCCTCTTCCACCTCTTACTACCTTCAACCCCCTTTCTCCCCTCCCTATCTGCTTCTACCCTCTTCCTCGTTCCTCCTTTCGCATCCACCCACTCAAGGATAATCATTCGGCCAGCACTTCTCCTTTGGCCACAGCGCCTGATCGTGGCTCAGCGCGTGCGCTTCCAGCTGGGCTTTATTCGTGTTTACGATTTCGCGCCGGCAGTTCTGGCACTAAACATCCCCGAAACCAGCCCGCGCGGTTAGCTGGGCTAATCATACGGGGCACACACACATACGCAGACGCAGCGAGATGGAGGGAATGGGAAGAGAGCAAGGTTTGGAACAGAGGGAGGGAACGCAGAAGGGTATCGCAATATCGCGAGTTGCATAACAAAGCTTTGTTTTTAAAGAAAAGGGTTGGTCTCATACGATGGATGTTGGCTTAGGCGCCTTGACGGGGAGGCCGTTTGCTTTGACGGGCGCGCGCGTGCCTGCCTTTTCGGCTTTTCTGTGCTCGCGCTGGACCTGTGTGTGTGTGTGTGTGGCTTTGGTTAGCTGGTGTTTGGAAGTAGGCGGGGTACATGAAAGCAAAAAAAAAAAAAAAAAAAAAAACTCAAGAATGCAAGAGTCCAAAAGCCCCCCTCTAAAAAAACGGTAGAAAATTGGTAGGTGTGCTTAGGTATCACATCACGATTCCAAACAACGTACGTACCCTGTCTTTCTTGGAGATTGGCATGGCTGGTTGCAACCCTGTGTCTCTGTATATCTCTTTCTGTCTTGTGTCTTTTTATATTATTTCTGGAAGGCGGGGAATTTGTGGTTGTCGATAGGCGATGTAGTGAAGGCGTAGTGCGTGCAGGTCCTCGAGGAAGAAGGGGAAAAAAGATTTTGGGGTTGGATTGGGGGAACGCGCTAAGAGGCGCAGCTGACCGTCGTAACGTTACGGGCACAGCAGCGTAGGCGGCGGCCAATGAGATAAAGTAAACCTTTCTCCTGTAACATTTCCCCTGACGCTCCCCATTCACCCATTTCCCCCAACCCAGAACCAACCAAAAAATATCCTACCTCTCTCTTCAACCGCATACACATCACATCTCATCCTATCTTATCTTACATCCAATTCAATCGACGCATTTTGTTTCCTCCCCTTCCAAGCCGATGCTTTTTTTCCAACGCGCCACGTGACGACGCGCATAACCACCTGGGCAGTTGACAACATTTGAAAGTTCTCACATCACGGTTCCATGGCACGGCGCATTTGTCTCACCCCCAACTGAAAAGGGATCATGTTCGTCCAGTGACGACTTTTTCCCATCGTCGTTCCCCGTTCCCATGTTCCTGCATCTTCCCATGGGCTGTATCACGTGAGAACAACAATGGTCAATGTGACTGGCTGAAAGTCTGGTCTCACGTCTTCGATGCTTTCACTTCGGGTTACGCATCAATTCCAGGCAACAACTTCGCCCAAATCGTGCCCATCTATGGCATCTCCGACGAATCACCCTTGGGCTATCAAAACCCCAATCTCCTCTGCGGCCGCAAAGCTTTCAATTCGCTCAACACCACTGCGATTGCCGATGTTGTTGCGGGAGAAGAGATCGGGTTCCGCGTCATGAGTAACGAGGAGATTAATGCGGGGTTTGGTGATTTTGGCCTGTTCTACCACCCTGGTCCTGCCCAGGTGTATCTCTCGCGGGCCCCCGGTGATGATCTGATGTCGTATCATGGCGATGGGGAGTGGTTTAAAGTTGCGTACAGTGGGCCGGCGCGGATGATGAGCATTGGATGCTTTACGGGAAGACTGATGTGAGTTCATTATCCTGTCCATCCTTTCCATACACAATTCTCGGGCACATTCGCGTTTTTGGATTTTCCCTAGATGATATCAAATACTCACACCGGGTGCTCGCGATAGTTTAATTTCACGCTCCCTCGCACCACTCCCCCTGGAAAGTATATCATGCGTTTCGAATACGTCTTCCCCACCTCCCTGCCGAACTACGCTCAATTCTTCCCTAATTGCGCTCTGGTCAACGTCATGGGTCCTGGAGGCGGTACCACCCCAGGCCCAACCGTCAAGATCCCAGACTTTTACGACGCCAATGACCCAGGTATGCGTTCCCCGCTACCTGTCACCCACAACTGAATTCCCATAAGGCAGCGGCTTGAAATGTGTTGGACTGACGTGTTGATGTAGGGTTTTGGTTACCTTTTAACCAGGAATATCAGAAGCTTCCACCGGAATCGATGAGGATGACTGAGTATAAGCTTGTTGGTCCTCCGCTTTGGAGGGGTTAGATAGCCACATGATTGAAGGAGCAAGATGTAACGGAAGAGCCTATTAGCGTCTCCTGGTAACTGAATGATGTCGGCGTTCTGTTTCGCGGCGCAGTCTCCGTCATGTTTGCTTTCACCCCCCGAGCTCAGAACACTCCTAAAGTCAAGGCAGAAACAATACATACATGCTCAAAACGTACATAAGCTTAGCTTCTCAGATAGAAAAGATGGAGGTTCTCAAGGGAGCAGCGTGAAGTACGTCTGGTAGATAACTACCACACTGGCGGTTGTGGTTTGAGCCTGTTCTGATCAATGAGATATGGCACAAACCCGAATACTAAAAAGGACATTGTGGAGTTATACAAGGACTTCATGTAGTAAAATATCCACCATATACTGACTCTCTAAGATTGTGTTACGATGGGCGTCGTATATTTCTGCAGTGAGCAGTTAATGAACTTGTTGACCTATCAGTATTTGCAAGGCAGCTAACCAAGCTGCCAACTGTGCATCTTCCAAATCTTTGTATGAGTGTCATCGTTTCAAATTCATTCCTCATTCAGATGGAAAGACGAAGCCAAGAATTCCACAAGAATAGTAGTATGAGTGTGAAAATCTTGTAAAGGCTGCATCATTCGAGCCGCATCCCTACGTCGATCTGAAGCTTTTACTACAAATCTCTTCCGCCAAGAAAAAGCCAACAATCGCATCGCATTAGGAGTCTTGATTCTCCAGTCTCTACAATACTGCTTGGTATGCCGGAGATGGGGGCGGAATACTTATGACCCGCATTGTCCGCCAGGCAACCAATCATATGATTAAAATCAAGGATTCCTAGGTACCATCAAAACGGATAGAACGGCTCGTACAATTCCTTTAGTTCTTGGTTGTATATCGCTAAGTATGGAAGGTTGGCACGCTAAACTTACACAAGCACCTGCGTTTACCCATTCCTATCGCTTGCGCACAAACCCCTGAAGGATGAGCAGGTGTACGGGCAGTGCCTGACTTAAAAGTTCTGCATGTTCGCCCTTTGGGTACCGCTCGCAAAGTTTCGAATCTAGACATTTTGCCAAGATGTTACTCCTATCTCTGATGTCGACTTTCGCGGCTTCTGCTGCAGCGCAGATCACGACTTCCATGTGGGCACAGTTACGGTGGGACACAGACAAGATCGGTTATGTGGGTTCGGTCATCGATGTTCAAGGCGGACGCACCACAATCGATATAAAGCCGGATGATGTGCGTATCTTCTCGTCGCAAGTAGTTCATTGATCTGTCAGATAATTTCCAAACTTTCTTTCTCGTACCTACTGACTTTGACCTGTATTTTTAGGGTGTTCATCAAGTGGCCCTTGGTATACCTACCACCGCCAAGGAGATAGTCACTATCGCCCCAACATATTATGGGGGAGTCTATAACAACAGAGAGTGGAACGGAAAATTCCATACTGCTGGAGAAATCAAGTTCGCCTGCGAGAGGAACGTCACCGATTCTGTCGAGGCAACATGCACAGAATCATACGGTGCCGCGATGGGCATCTTACTTCAATGCCAGGACCTCCCCACTAGGTCTACGAAGTTCATAAACACCGTCACGCACGACTACCCTTCGAGAGGGACTTACTCGTCAGGGTTGGAGACAGTCACCCGCACTCCAACAATTGTGCCGAAGCCCGGTCCGCTGCCGTCTTGGTGCGCTTCTGGTACTGCTGCTGCCAGTCTAGCCGGTACATCCGCGGAGAGCAGCACCGTGATTTCATACAAGAAGGAAAACTTTGGCTTCTATCAACTTACTATTACGGCGGGCCTGGAAAAGCTGGAAGCTACTCCGACTCCAGATGCATCAAGTAGTACGCCAGCGTCGCAGAACAGAGGCGCTTCTGTACCTGCGAAGACTGCCGGACCAATTGTGGCCGGAATGGCTGTTGCCGCAGCTTTGATGGTGTAGCTTGGCTGCATGGAGATTTCGGGGAGCGAAGACTGCCACATGATCATTATGGCTTGAAAAAACGTAGTTCATTCATAACTGGATACCCAAATTTTTGATCTTAATCAATGTAGTGTCAAAATGCCATTTCAGATAATGTCATACATGGTTTGTCTGCTCGAGTGCTTGCTCATCTGCGCTCTTTGCGACGGGTCCGGCTACATTGCCGCGTATCTCGAGTCCCATGGTGGGAGTGTATGCTCGATAGTGGTGGTTCACAGATGGGAAAGCTCTGAAAGACAACAAGGATTGAAACGGACATGACTTCAAGCTGAGACTCAATCCATAGTTATGGATATGGCATGTTTTCACCGTAAGTGTATACACAGATGACTTTCCACATTGAAACCTGATTTACAATCTGTCGTTTATTGCATTTCCGCCAAATACACCTAATATATGCTGACGCTATGGCTGCCAAAAATGTGCGCACATGTCTGTACCTACAAATAAATTGAGCGAACGAAACTACTAGAAGGCTACTCTCTGCCCTAAGAAATGTTGTCGGCATTCAAGAAACTAATCACTAACTCTTCTACTCCTATTGACAGATTGCCAAAGAAGCAGCGACCCCATTCATTGACGAGACTTCGAACCTCCAGACAAAGGATCTGACACTAGTCTCCTCTGGAGCACTCTCCCCAATGCAACCAATGCTTTTAGAGATTGCATTGACCGATTTGTTAATCTTGTCCTGGCGCTAACGAAACTTCCTAGTAAGAGAGAGATCTTTCATTAACACGTAAACCTATCACATTATCTGCCACAATCTAATTCACTTATGTAGAAACTGTCCACAAACGATACATTTTTTGTTCATTCCGTCCCATCAGTATCCGAACGTTTTGCGGCATTGGATACCACGGACAAATGTTCAGTGCAAGATTTCCCCAGCAATGAACCAAACCGCGAGGCCAGGCGGCAGGGAAAGATCAACGAACACGAATCCACAGCAAAACTATCAGCACGCGGTCATGAGCTAGAATGCTCACAAGTGGATGAAATTGTGCGATGCGGCAATGTGTTTAAATCGACCTGCGAGCACGCATCGTGGGAAGTAGGTCACTGGAAAGACATTGACGAGTGTTACGATAGAGACGAAGAAGATGAAGAGTAGTTTAGAAAAATTAGAGATCGAGAGCTAAAACTCTACAGTATCAAGAGCCTGAGTGTCAAAATCCCAGGCACATGCCAACTTACCCACCCTAAAACCCCATCTTCACAAGCGCCCTGACATTATCCGTGATAGTATCCTCCAGAGAAATCCAATCATCCTGACCACCCCACTTCTTCAGCAGCGCAAGTGGCTCGCTCAGATCCGTCGACAAGCTCAGCATGGCCAGATTCGGTAAATCATCGATAAACTCCCGATCAGGAACAGCTTTGCGCATGATTGCAAGGATATCATTCCAATTGCAGAACTGCGCCCAAGCCTGAAGTCGCGCATTCTGCACTTTGGGATCAAGAATAGCAGCGACGTGGAGTAGCGCTACATCCTTGACATTGATATTCAACGCTATTCGCACTCGAAGTCAGCCACCCCACTCCTCTCTCAAGACTACGGTCGAAGGTGATGGGAAGGTATACTCACTAGCAGGCATTGACGACAGAAACTCCACCTTCCCCTGATACAACGACCTAACATGAGCAGCCGCAACCTCAGCATGGCTCCTATGCAGCGGCTCGCCCATAATCGCAGCCGGCGAAACCGCATTAACAGCATACCCGGGTTTCCTCCCCCTCACAAACTCCCACACCGCCTTCTCGGTAGCGACTTTATTAGCCATGTACACCAACATGCCGCGGCTAGCGTCATATGGCGGAGGCGCCCACGCCAATTCCACCGCCTTGTCGTTCCACGTGTCTGAACCCACGTGTGTGGGGTTACTGGGGACGGGCATGGTCGCCGTCACAATCGAGGACGTGTAGACGAATTGCTTGACCGAGGGTTCGTTTTGCGCGGCTTCCATTAGGGAAGTCGTGCTTGCGATGGTTTGGGGAATCACTTTGTTGGGGTCGGGGTTGAAGTCTGTAGCAACTGCTACGTGGGCGACCGCGGCGACGCCTTTGATAGCTTCGTCGAAGGCGTGGGGCGCGCTGAAGTCTGGGATCACGACGAGTTCGAAGGAGCCGTTGGTGGCCTGTTGCTTAAAGGTGGTTTCGAGGAGCCAGGAGGCTCTTTTGAGATCGCGGACGGTGCCGCGGACGCGATAGCCTCGAGCGAGGAATTGTTGTGCGGTGTGCGAGGCGACGAAGCCGTTGGCGCCGGTGATGAGGATGATGGATCCTTTGGGGATAGAGGTTTGGGGTTCAGACATTTTGAGGTGTGGAGCGATGGTTTCTGTTTTGATATGTACTAGAGAGAATGTGTCGGAGATGTTTGAAGCTTCCAAGAAGATTGAAGAGGTGATTCTGTTCTTATTTTACTTATTGTTTGACTATAGACCATCTTATATACTCGTAAAGCACTGGTAGCATCGTCAAGAGGGCATTCACTTCGGTCCTACACATTACAAATGCCTTCTCATGACAAATTCAATCGACCATGTTCGAAGCCTTTTCTTACCTTGAAGATTCAAGATACAGACCACGTCTTTCTTAGAGAGGAAGTGGTAAGGCTTGGCAGGATAAGCCATACTACATTGTTTACCGTATGCAGTATAGACGCTAATACAGCAGTATATACGAACTCGGCGCTAATGTAGCCTGCAGGTGATTATCAATCCATTCTACCCGAACCGATATACACAAAAGATAAACTCTCAAAAATCATATCTTATAGTGTATGTTCCCGCAAGGCTTCTCCCCTTGATCCAAGTTCATCTTCTTGTTGATGCACACATTATACATGGCTTCCAAAAACCCATTCAACATCAACATCTTGGGTCCGCCCATTAGGTCGACTAGTCTCATAGCTCCCTCTACATGGCGCCCAAACATAGTCCCGTCGCCAATCCACATCTACAACATGCATTCATTAGCAAAAGGTCTGAGTAATAAAAGCAAAATGCTCTCAAACGTGGTTGAGCTCACCTCATCAAAAGCCAACGACAAAATCCTCGTAAACGTGATGTTCTTGTCCAAAGCCTCATTAGATAGAGCTTCGATGACAAACCGCACACACTCGAGTTTATACTGTGTAGCTAATTCGCGGTACATGCGAGTATCTTGCTTGCTTCCCTCTAAATGCCGACACGCAGAAAGTAGGGTACCGTACAAGAACCCGGCGTCTGTGAGAGCGAAGCGTGTCCAATCCCTGATCATGCGGTCGCACATGTTTCCAATGCTTTGGAGAGATTTGCAGTCGCCCGTCATATCTGGGACTACCACTCTCACATCTGAACACAATGGTGGTCGCGCTGGTCAATTTGATAGGTAGTGACCAGTGATAGAGGATGTGAACTTACAATGATCAAGTAGAAAATGCTCGATGGGCTTGAATGGGACGACGAAACTCCCAAACGGATCCCGTCGGTCAGACGACAGTAGGCCCCATGGATTTGGTACAACGTCTGTTTTCCCTGCATTTTCGTGGCTGTTTGAACCGCTGTCGTCGTTGACACGAGAAACATTCAGCGATTTTTCCCTGGCATACTTCTCCGCTCGCGAGATCCTGGCTCGTGCATGTGCTATGCGCGCGGCATGCGAGTACACTTGTCGCTGCGACTTTGCCGGTTTCGTCCCGTCCACATTGGAGTGCTGAATGAATTGAACCTTGACGATTTGTCGTGTCGCCATGGTGCTGGAATGCGAAGGAGAAAAATCTGGTTGCTTGATCCAGGGCGAGGATTTCCGAGAGGACTTTCGACATTCAATAACCTAAATTGACTGGAGCGTGTGGAGCGATGACGGATTAGTATAAGGGTGAAGCAGGGTAAGGGTTGGTTGGCACGCTGCATGTAAGATTGATGCCAAGCAGTGGTTTTTCCCGTTGCGGATGCTGAGTGAGGGAACCTTCAAATCAAATCACGGTAAGCTGGACTCGTCGTCGAGCCTCATCAGCATACATTGGCATCTCACGTATACTATGTACATGTACGGGCAAGTCATCCGGAAATAAGCGAGCGCGGTGAGTTGTCATTACCTACTTATTCAATCTTTTTGTCACCGTTCACTTTTTGTCAGGAAACACTTGAACTTCCAATCTAAGAGAAAAAACTTAAACCTAATTGTTTCTTTTACATGAGAGGGTATCGCATTGAATAAAATCTAGCACAAACATGCAGATATGAAAGGGAGAGATTCAAAAAATTCGGATAGTGATACGTACCACAGACAATAACAGATGAATATGGACCCTTACATCTAGAACTGTCAGGCAGTTCGCTATCTTCGTACTCTGAGTGATGATGCCGTGTCTAGTACGCGATGTACCAGTGAATCGTTGCTTGGAGAAACACCTGATACTATTGCTACTCCACAGCATAAAAAGATAGAACAACAAACACAGTCACTTCAGTGCCAGACATTTGACCAAACCAAAGGTATAGATTAAATGGGATGGTTGTTTTTTTATTCATTATGCGAGGGTTCCCTCAACCAAGGTAAACCACTCTCTCTTCAAGCGCAAGCAAGCAAAAGAAATCTATTTACAGCGACGCGGTCCATAGCAAGATGGACTCAAAAGGAAAATAGACAGAGAGGGGACAGGATAACCCAAAACAAGAAAATGAAACGCTTAGATCCTCATTACCACTTTCCTTGAAACAACAACAAAACACCAAAAGCTATGCACAAATCGCGATTTACAAAGCGAAGAGGGCGAGGACGGCACCCACGGCAGCGGGGATCTCGAAGCGGACGGCCGAAGCAGCGCCGGTGAAGCCAACGGGGGAAGTAGGCACAACAGCGCCAGTGCCAGAGGGAGCAGCACCGGAAGGCTTGACGGTGGAGGAGAGCCCAGAGGGGATGGGGTAAGGAGCAGATGGGGCAGCTGCGGTGGTCTGGGCAGGAGCCTCAACAGGGATGGACTGCACAGGCACGATGTTGATGGGCTCGTAGCCAGGGGTAGGGGCAGGAGCACCAGGAGCAGGAGCCTCAGGGGTGTTGGTGGTGAAGATGATCTGAGGAACGGTGTACGAGGTGGTTCCAACAACAATGGTGGTGCAAGGGATCTCAGGAGCAGGAGGGGCAGGGGCAGGAGCAGAAGGAGCTGGCGCCGAAGGAGCGGGAGGGGCGGGAGCAGGAGGAGCCGAGCCAGAGGGAACAGGAGCTGAGCTGACGGGCTTGGTAGCAGACGAAGCGGGCTCAGTGGGGGCAGGCTTGGTGGAGGTGGCGGGAGCTGGGGTAGGGGGAGCAACGTTGATGGGGATGTCCGATGGGCAGTTGGTGACGATTCCGGGGTTCTTGGGAACATCAGCAGCGCAAATACCGACGAAGTACTGGAGAGCCTTGGCGGCGTCCTCGGGGGTGGCACGGGAAGCAACACAGTCGATAACGTTCTTGGTGAAGTCGGGGATCTTGCAGTAGCAGGCAGAGTCGGTGTTGTCGTTGCACTTGGAGTCGATCTGGATCCAGGTGTTCAAGCACTTGGGGAGAACCTCAGGGCAAGAAAGAGGGGGATAGACAGGAGCAGATGGCGACGGGCTGGAGGTTCCAGGGGCGCTGGACGAAGGAACGGGCTTGGTAGCGGAAGACTCGCCAGGCTTGCTGGACTCGGCAGACTTGCTTGGGACAGGAGCAGTCGAGTAGACAGACGAAGATCCAGGGGCAGAGGAGCTGGGCTTCTCGGGAGTGCCAGGTGCAGAAGAGCTGGGCTTCTCAGGAGTTCCTGGGGCAGAAGAGCTGGGCTTCTCAGGAGTTCCTGGGGCAGAAGAGCTGGGCTTCTCAGGAGTTCCTGGGGCAGAAGAGCTAGGCTTCTCGGGAGTTCCTGGTGCAGACGACGAAGGAGTTCCTGGTGCGGAAGAGGTGGGCTTGGATGGGACGGGGACAGTGGAGTAGACAGACGAAGATCCTGGCGCAGAGGAGCTGGGCTGGCTGGGGACTGGCACAGTCGAGTTGCTGAAGTGGCTGCTGGTGGGCTTGCTGGGAACGGGAACGCTCGAGTAGACAGAGGAGGAGGCAGCAGAAGAGGTAGCAGGCTTGGTGGGGGCGGAAGAGGAGGACGAGACGGGCTTGGTGGCGGTGCTCAAGGTGCTCTGGGAAGAGGACTTGACGGCCGACGAGCTCGACTTGGGGGGGCTGGAAGTCTTGGGAGGCGATGGGGGAGGGATAGGAGTGTACTTCTTGCCGGGTGTGCAGTCGAAGTCGATCTTGTGGAAACCGATCTCGCACTTCTCCTTCTTCTCCTTGCCGGAGCTGCCCTTGAAGTGGACCTCGACCTCCTTGGCACCACCGCACTGGGTGTTCTTGACAGTGGTTCCGCTCTTGGAGCAGGCCTGGGTCTGCTTGCAGGTGGAGCCGTCACCCATCTTGTAGTGGAACTCGAGCTCGGCATCGTGGTCGACGGAGACGTCGATCTCCTTGACAGAGAAACCATCCTTCTTTTTGTCGCAAGAGAACTTGGCGGGCTTCTCCTTGGAGACGGTGTTCTTGACGCACTTGGAGTTGAAGGAACGCTTGGTCAAGTGATCACGCTTTCCGAACTTGTTGGCGCACTCCCAACCACCACCGAACTTGAAGTCACCGTAGTCGAAGTCCTTCTGGCCGTCCTTGAGGTCGGACCAGTCAAAACCCTTGTTCTGCTTGTCGGAACACTCGTTGTTGTTGTATTGGGGAGTGTTGTATCCAGAGGCACCACGGTTCCAGGTAGCGGCGACCTGCTGGGCGGCCAAGCCCGAAATGAGAAGAGCAATAGAACCCTTCATGTTGATGATGCTGGTAAAAATGTGCAGTAAAGAATGCTGGGGGTGAATATAATTAAGCACTGCTTGCAACGAATATAGTGGTGAAAGAGAGTCTAAAGGCAATGGAGCAAGGGAAACGAGTGACCTTGAACCAAGCTTTTAAAAGATTAGTTATAGTAGAACAGAAGCGGAGTTGCTGCGATGAAGAGAAAAAAAGAGAAAGGAAAAGCCAGACGGTGCCGGACCTATGTAGATATAGACATGTGGACGAGAGAGGAGGGTGTCCAATGCACGGACATGAAACGTAAGCGATGAAACGGAGGACAATTGTGGACACGGGAATTGGCGATGGACAAGCTTACACAGCCACGCAGTTTGAGCCAGGGCTTGTCATGCATGAATGAGTGGATGCTGGGAAGGGGGGCGACATGGGGATTTGCAGCTGGCGACGTTGTCCGTCGACTGCCGGCCTAGCTAGAGTGAGAGTGGTGGTGGAGCAGTGGGCTCAAGACTGGACGCTTGTGGAGTGACATGCCGGAAGCGAGCATTGACAGCCAGCTACTTCTGAAACACGCTCAATCGAGGTCCTTGGCAGGAACCAATCAGTTCATCATCCTGTCATGGCCGGATTCATTGGCCGCGGATAGATGAAATCGTTGTTCACATTTAGAAATAGAGCGCTGCGTTGGGTGAAATGAACAACGACGAACGTGGTCAACGGGCAAACAGCAAGCTTCAAGCAGACAACACCAACAGTACCTCTCTCAGTCCGAGACTTGTCTGTTCGCCCCCAGTCCGTAAGCGACACCTGATTGATCCAAGCATCAGTATTCATAGTACGTACATAGTTCGCATACATGGGCGGCGATGCTAAAACAGATCCAATAAACCCCCCTGCACACCACTGGTCCAAAGACGGCAAACTCGTCCTGAAATGGGTATCCGTCCAACTCCGATTCAGGTACCCGCGCGCACGCTTGCCCGTACAGCAGTCTGTACATGGTATTGTTTGGCCTCCACCTTCAGCGATCATGTACAGGCGGAAAAGGAATCGAGGATGAATACACGCAATCACGTTGCATGAGCTAGCCTGTGTTTCATACTTTACTCCATGAAGAGCGATGCTTTTCTTTTGCTGGCTGACCTCGCCCCCATATGTACATGTATGTATATACATGTGAGTGTGTATGTACAGTAAGCGTGAGCATAGTGAGCGCGCTTCGGTGAGCAGGCAGGAAAGGGGACGAGCAGAAAAAAGTATATAATAACAGAACGCGATCGTACCTAGATCGGAAAATCTACACAACTGCACAAATATGCGCACATCAACCATTGCAACAGGAACTGACACTGGAGAAGGGGGAATCATGATGCCGCCGAATGTAGCAGCCACCGAGTGTCATCTATGTGATATATGCACGTCAGGTCTCGATTTTTTCCTCAGCGTCACGCCTCGCTTCGCCAACATCCAGTTCCCACCCCCCACAAAGTATCAAGAACAGGAAGACAATACTGAAAATCCACATTCCTTGTTTTTTTACCGCCCATCTCCAACAAACTCCCCAGACTCGGACAAACTTACGATCGCCCAATCTCTCTCGCACTCACACTGTAGTCACCCCACTTAAACGCCAACTCCATAGAACCCAGCGAACTCCTTGGCTACATGGATTCAGGTACTCCAGGTACCACACTACGCACGAGAGACTTTGCTCGTTGTATCCCTGTGTGAAAAAAAACAAATCCCCAGAAACAAGAAAAGACTGGTCGCTCCGTGAGTGTGTATGGACAGACGGACGGACTTCGCACACATACACACACTCACGGAAAAGCTAAGACTTGCCCTGAGTATACGCTAGACACTACATACCTGTCTTGGGAGGTGCGGCCACCGCGCACGTGTCGCCAACTAGACAAGTCCACATCGCTCCACGATCCACCACCACCCGAACCGCAAGCTTGGACTTGTGTAGTAGTGGGTAGTAGTCAATGGTCTGGTCTGGTCTGCTTATGCAGGGGGAGTGGGGACCTGAATTGGTAGGTGAAAATGTCACGACGATCAGGATCAATCAATTGTGAAGGAACAAATGTCACTCTCTGTGCTCAAAAGAGCATGTCGTCAAGGCAAGTTAATGAAGAGAAGAGAAACGGAAGCAGGTGGGAGATCAAGAGAGAACTACAGTGTCTTTTTCTTTTTCTTTTTCTTTCCCCCCTTTGTCGAGTAAGCACGCATTGGCAAGTAGAATCCGTCAGCAGCCTCCGACTGACACCACCACATGTGTGCATTATTCCACTTGATCCCAAAAGCCCTCTGTATGTACTGCGGTAGTATGTCGACACAGCACACAGTCGTCATCCAAAACAAAGAATATCCACAATTAAACGGCACGGTAGTATGCCACTGACAAGTGTCCCAACGCCCCAAAGCAACTGCGCATGAACATCCAATACCTCGCTTCTACAAGAACATCACCATGACACTTTCCCCCTTTGATATGTAATCATCGAAGAACGGGAGACGAAAAAAAAAAAGAAGGCGGGCGAAACATACTGATTGCAAAAAGGGATAATAATCTTGGATCCACAACTCGAGCACCATCGGAAAAGAGTAGACAGAGCCACAACAGCACCAGCAACAAGGAACAACAACTCCTGAACGGTTATTCTTCCCCTCTTCCCGGTTGCTCGGGGTAAAAGTAGGCGAATCGCACGCAGCGTATACGCCTGGAAAATTCCCAATTCAAGGTTAGCAGGGAAAGACGGGGGACGTATGCACGCTGACTGTGCTGAGTCGAGGTAAACTCCATGGAGGGCAAACGTGCGCGCCGTGCCATCTCTCTCCAAATCCTCGATCCTTTTTTTTTGTCCCCGTCTTACCATCCCGACCGAGCCCAATCGTACAAGCGGCCTGTTTTTGCTTCTTTTTTCCAAACACGCAAGCACGGGGCAGCAATCGCTCATGTTAGATCCGATGGCCGACCTCCGGGGGCGCGCGCGGAACACTTGATCAATTCCAATCGTTTTTTTTTTTGCTTCTTCTTGGGGGAGGGCCCTTGTTTCGTACAATATAACACCGGCCGGTGGACGCCTGTGGACACTGTGACCGTGACATCTTTTGCCCGCTCCTCCGTCGAGTCTGCTTGGGCCGTTCATATAACTTTGTTGCATTTCTCTTTTAGTACTTGGTCTCTTGTTGGTGCGTCGCTCTACGGCATTTCGTCTCTCGGTTTCAGGGCCGTCCGGGACTCGATAAACTTGGAGAGACACTGGTTGTAAAGGGTGTTGATGCGTACGTGCGAGAACAGTGTCTGGTAATAGGATGATTGATATTTGATTGAGCCAAGGTTTTCATATTGATGGCATGGTCGCAATACTCTGCAAGTATGTATGCCTACTAAATCTATCTGCTTTTTTTTTTCGTCATGTCCGTTCCCAATGCCCGTGAAGTAGCACTCATTACGTGTAGGAGAGTACCGCGGGAACGGCTAACCACTAATAACCCCAACGCCAGAAACCCCAGGCCGTGATGGAGATGATGTATGGCTCTCGTTTGAAACGCCGTAATCCAGTGCAAAAAAAAAAAAACGCCGATTATCAATCAAAGGCTGGACTAGGGTTACGCAGTCTCATGCCCTATCAAATGCCCCAACATAGAAGATCATCGTAAGATCCAGCCGTCCCTCTAAGCATCTTCTTCCTCAACAGTGATATGCACCACACTCTCCCTCCGCGTCCGACTCTTGCTCAAACAACAGCGCGCCGCCGTCTGAACCCGAGTATTGCAATTGGCAGCTGCACGGCTCATGAACGGAACCTGCATAGCGCCCACAAGTGCAACCACGGCGGATGCCCACCAAGCCAGAGGCGTGAAATGCAATTCAATCGAGAGACCGTAAAGCAGACCGGCGATAGGACTAGCCATTGTTCGACAAGCGGCTCCTGTACTCGCAGCGAGACCGTTGATCTTTCCAAGCTGGTTAGGCGATGGCGCAGCCTCCTTGATCATGATTAAGAGGAGTGGGTAGGCGACAATGGACGTCAAGCTTCGGATAGTGAGGCATGCGTAGATCCCTGGGTAGAGTAGGTTTTCCGAAAGGAGAGGAAGGAAGGGTACGATGATATACGCCACGGGATGGCCGATAGTCACCAAGACCAACAGTTTCCAGACCCCAAAATACGAGGCCAGGAGAGGGAACACTGCGGCCTGGATAAATAGCTGGATCAGTCCATTGATGGACATGATGATGCCCACGTCCTGAAGCGGAATACCCAAGCCCCCTGCAAACGAGGCCGGCGAAATCTTCGTGATGAGAAGCTCGTCTGCGCGCCTGTCTTGGAAGTAAATCGGTAGCAAGTGATCATAAGTCATCGAATGGTAGGTGAATATGCCAAGTGCTACGACAAATGTCATGACTGTCCTAGTGATGATCTTATCATTGATAGGAGGGCCTTCGATCCACTCGCCGTTGGACTTGACACGCCACAGCTCGTCGCGCTGCATATCGACCGTATCGAACGTGCCATAACATTCCGCGGTGAGATTTGCGGGCGCATTGGCTGTTGCACCTTGGGCAGGAAGCAGCGGCGTCTGTACAGTGGATGCATTGTCTGCCTCAGTATTCCAGGGTTGCATATCCGGATGCGTCTCCTCGAGAAGTAAATAGCCAGCGATGACAGCAACCACTAGCAGAGTAGTGCAGATAAGGTTGGGAAGGAGATACGGGAATCGAGCAAACACGCCAGAGGAGGAAAATAAAGACGGGAAGTTGTTCGTCGGCTCAGCGAAATAGCCGCCAATGGAAGCTGCGCAATCAGCATGGCAATGGTACATTATGAATATGGGGGAGAGTACTTACGTCCGATGATAGTGCCAATACTCCAGACGAAGGGCATGATAGCATATGCCTTTGCTACAACATAGGTCAGCCAGCGTCGAGCTTAAAGAAGATGGCGAACTGACGTTCGTGGGCAGGATTCTTGACCAGTTCACCGACCATCGACTGGATAACGCCTACATTTCCATTCAATATTCCGCCGACTATGCGACCAGCGAGAGCCATCCAAAAGCTGGATGCAAACCCGACGATGAGCAATGAGGAGATGGTGCCGAAGCAACCTACGATGAGAATCGGCTTTCGACCTAGTCTATCGCTCAAACCTCCCCAGTACCTAAGACCAACCGACACACGATCAGCAAACTGCGATTTACATAATTCTGTGTCAATTCCTCAACGTCCGAAGAGAATACGTACATGCCGGTACAAGCTTCAGCAAGCGAAAAGGCCGAGATGAGGATGCCCGCAAAGAATGGGCCTTGGGACTGAGGAATGCCATAGTGGGTGACGAGCTTGATGGCATACGGAAAGATGGAAGTAAGAGCAATCGGCTCTGCTACTCGAACGAGAGCTGCAGCAAGCAAGTGTAAGCCTTTTTTCAGTATAGGGCACCATGATACACTAAAAGAACAGAAGAAAAGCGCTTGCACGATAGAATAAATCGGAAGTACGCACCGAGAAGGAACAGTTGCACAGCGGGGAATTCGTCCGGGTCGCGGGGGCTTGTTCTTTTCTTGGTGAGTCCAAACATATCCTATAACCTGATCTGGTTCTTACGTCTACGCCAGCAGAGCAGCGAGTGTGGCGGTGAGGGCTATCGGGTCGTGTTGTAAAGATTTGTGCACTCTTGGTTGGCTCGTTTCGGGTGAGATGGTCGAATGCGGAAATGACGAGGACAAAGATGGAATGCAGGAATGAGGATCTGGAGTGGTTGGATGCGGAAAGAAAGTATCAAGAAAAAGCAAAGAGAGTAAGAGAGTGAGAGAGTGGTGAGGAATGAAAAGGCAAACAAAGTGATTGATGGGTGGCACGAAGGAAGGAGAAAAGATGGGGCGAGTCGGAAGGTTTGAACAGTTGCCAAGCAGCCAGTCGGTTCCAGCCAGTAGTCGGTGAGCAAGTTATTAGCCACCTGCTCTGCACATGGACTATCAGAAGCTACTTGTCGATCTATCAAAGGGGCAGAACATGGGCAATTGAAGATTGTTCAACCTGTCTCTCTCCCGCTGAGCAAACTGCGATGTTGTAGTGTATCGAGGCAATCACCCACGCCTATGTCCCTTGTCGCTTGATTCATCCGTCAAACTTGAAATGTACAGCCGTGGATACTTGGCTACTGTACATGGGCGTAGAAGATGAGCATGGAACATGGCATGGCATGTTGGGGAACCCTGTTAGCACATCCGTCAGTGCGTGGACGGATATGTTCCGTCTCGCCTACAACGCCTGGATATGATGTAGCATTGACTGAATTGACCATCAAACACCCCCAAAATCAAACTTCTTGGTTGTCACTGCGCGCCAGTGTTTGACATTGATCTGCGTCATCTCCATCTCATCTGCCACCAAACACACAAAAGTGTCAAGGTCAGGCATGTGCCGCACTCAGTGTCACCCAAATCAACTGTTTGATACTGATGCCCTCGTATCTTTGCACTATTCTCGGAAAGTATACACGATTGGCCAAGTACATGTACTAAAAAAGTCAATTTTACATCTGATCTGTCAAAGGCATGTGATTGCGACGTGCAGTCTCCTTCCAAGCACTTGAGGTTGATCCACCCAGATGTCAATTTCAATTGCTCACATGTTCAGTCAACGGAAGAATCATTGACCGCGTAACCGATTGAGGACGATCAAACAGCTAGTCATGTTCGATGTCTTATATTTTCTTTACATATTCGAAATCATGCGCACAATCAGTTCCGGTACTATTTCGGTCACGTGACTTCGCGAAATCTGCTGGATCGCCTCCAGACTCCCGCAGAGCTTCACTGTCACCACGCGTCTGAAATGCCGCCCACCCTCAATGTCCCGCCTTCAGCATGCCAGCCGACAACTCGATAACATTGTCCGCCACTCCAGTCTCAACGCCGTCGTAGCAACTCCAAATCGCGCGTCCATTCTCGCTGCCGCCGAATCAGCAGACAATGCATCATCAGGCCATGATGTAGACAGCCGCAGCCCTCGCGGTCGAGTAATCCTCGTCAAAGACAACATCTGCACCACCGAGTTCCCAACCACAGCTGCATCGTCAATTCTAAAAAGCTTCAAAAGCCCCTATGACGCTACAGTTGTCAAATTGCTGCAAGATGCTGGAGCTCTCATCGCGGGAAAGACCAACATGGACGAGTTTGGCATGGGCTCGCACAACATGCATTCGTACCACGGCGCCACCAAGATGAGCAGAGTAGCCGGAGAAGAAAGGAGTGCAGGTGGAAGCTCTGGTGGCAGTGCGCTGGCCGTCGCAATGGATCAATGTTGGGCGTGAGTCGACCTCTTACAACTTTTAACGACATGGGATTCGAGGCTGATGACGAGTAGAGCACTAGGCACGGATACAGGCGGTTCTGTCAGACTTCCCGCTGCATATACCGGTACTGTAGGCTTTAAACCCAGCTATGGGTTGCTGAGCAGATGGGGAGTCATCGCGTATGCCAATTCACTCGACACAGTGGGCATTTTGGGGAACAGTGTGGATAGCGTCGAGGGTACCTTTGGTATGTTTGAGCCTTTGCAGACACATTTCACATAAATTGATTGCTTACCACATGTCACGCAGATGCAATCAACGCATATGATCCACAAGACCCCACGTCTCTACCTCTCTCAACTCGCTCCCGCCTCGGTCAACGCAAGACCTCGTCTTCTTCACTGAAGATCGGTATCCCCTTGGAATACAACATTTCTACTCTGAGTCCTGCTGTCCGCGAAGCATGGAAACGATCCATGCGGCAACTTCAAGAGCGTGGGCATAGTCTCCACACCGTTCGTCTGCCTGCGACTCAACACGCGCTGTCAGCGTACTATGTGCTTGCCCCAGCCGAAGCATCTAGCAATCTTGCCAGATACGACGGTGTCAGATACGGCAGTAGGGCTGAGGGAATAGACGGTACACCCGAAAGTGTCTTGTATGCAAAGACGAGAGGTGAGGGGTTTGGATCTGAGGTGCAACGCAGAATCTTGCTTGGTGCTTTCACGCTCAGTGCGCAGGCGATTGACAACTACTTCATCCAAGCACAGAAAGTAAGGAGGCTGGTTCAACAGGACTTTGATCGCGTTCTCCGAGTACCCAATACACTTGTCGAAAGCTCCACAGAGATCAAAGATGAAGGTGTCGATGTTCTATTGTGTCCGACAGCCCCGACGCTTGCGCCTCAGCTGTCCGAGCTGCAGAATCAAGATCCTTTGCAGGCGTATGTGAACGATGTTTTCACAGTGCCCGCGAGTTTGGCTGGACTCCCCGCTATCAGTGTCCCGGTCGACGTGGCTGAACAGAGTAGACAGCCTGAACTGAAAGCACAAGGCATCCAAGAGAGTGCGGGTATGCAAATCATCGGGCAATACGGCGACGACAAAGCTGTCCTTGACGTTGCAAGAGAGTTGATGGAAGCGACGCGTGTGTAACCCGACGAACGGACGGCAGCTCCATCTGTATATTCACTAAGCAATCATCTGTACGATATTCACACTTCACTTAACATTGCATCACGTTTGCAGCTACACAGTGTATCATGACAACTTTCTTATGTCAACTTTACATTTGTATAAGCTCCATCTATCTCTCTCGTGGTCTCTAGAATTGAGTAGTCCCTTGCTTATCCAAATCCCTACTCGTCAACCCCGACCAAGATCAAGAAAAGGTTGTCCCATGCTTAGTGGTTGCAGGATCCGCAGTTGCAAGAGTTGCACTCGCCGCCGGCACATTTGCAGGTGTTGCAGTCGCTGTAGCACAGAACCTCCATATCAGCAATCTAATCTCCCCTACTCCATGGAAAAGGAGCATATGCATGCTAGATCAACAGCCAACAAGAGAAGAGGAGAGAGCCATACCAGGGAGACATGATGAACAAGAGTTTGATTGATTGGATGATATCGGTCGGATACGAGAGAAAAGCGTTGATTTGATATGTGAGATTTGATTTGAGTCTGCAGGTTGGCGAAATCAAAAGACATCAAGGTGCTTAGCCAGACCAGTATTTATACTCTCTCTCGCACCTCTTTCCCCTCTCTTACTCTATCTTCTTACTCGCGGCCTTTCTCCTCCCCCCCCCTCCCACTCTCTGCGGCAATGAGGCGCGTCATCAACGAGGGGAGGGCATGTGAATGTCCCCTCCAAGGAGATACCTAGATGATTGATAGACATAACGACAACACACAGCACATACATACATGCCACCCACGCCACATGACACCCACCAATTCGACGAGGTGGTGCCGAAGGGCTGGGTCCTGGGCCAATCTCAACAAAGACATGCCTGCCTGCTATGCATGGTAATGGCACAACCCTCCTTGGCCAGGCCAAGCAAGTACGGTACAGGACAACACAGCACACTTCACTTCACTTCGGGCCTGGGATGGACACGTTGAACGTAGTCAGCCGTACAGAGCCGACCCAACGAGCAGCAAGTGTGGATGCCATCTAGTGAGCGATACGACATGCCACTCACCGATATCCTATCCCCCCCTCTCATACCTTGCCGTATTACCGCATGTGTACCGCCCAAATCTTATATCTCAGTCGGCTTTGAACACCACCGTTTATCTTGTTGCATACCGTACTCTACACGGATGCCGATGCCGAACGAACGAAACCCAGGCTCCCTCTTCTCTTTCCCACCTGAACGAAAAAGAAGTCGTGGATACCGCGCTTACTCTGTGCGTCTTTCTTGAGAATACTTCGTTACCTGGTTTAGTTGTCCATCTGACAAGCCTAGCGGTTTGAAACGCTCCCGCAAAACTTGACATGAAAAGGAAACCGCCGAACAAAGAGGTGAAGAAAAGGCTTTAGACTAATGCTAAGATACCTACCTACCACTGTGCCACTACATCAGGGGCATACCTCTCACTTTCCGTATCATCTGCCTACAAACAAACCAGCGTTTTCCAATCTCGAAATTCCTCCTCCAAGAGCTCAAGAGCGATCCGTACCCTCCTCCAGTCGGGCACGTCCGTATCCCGAAACGGCCCGAGTCAAGTTCGCCACAACCCCCATTATCAAATCTCCAAATGTAATCAAATGGAACATTCGGTTAAACGCGGGATCCAGCCAGGATCAACCCCATCTCAAGAGAAAATCACAGAGGAAGCCAAGTGAGGGGTTAGCTCGAGCTCCGTTACGAGATGCAGTTTACCCCGCACGCGGGTCTCTCGACATCACCGCGTGCGTGGACATGTCACGCATGAATGTTGTTCCACATCTTCTGTTTGCACACACGAGGGAAGCGCTGCGGGATGTTTAGATTGGGGGTTGGTGCAGCGTGGGAGGGAGACGGGATGGGATGGGGTTTTTTTTCTGGATCGGTCTGGGGTTATAGACTGATGGTCATGTAACCGGTCTATCATAGTTCATCGCGGATGTCACTGTTGTTTGCAGGAATCCATTCGCATCCCAAAATTATAATCATACTAAAAACTAGATTGATGGTGTTTATTATTCCTCATACCTACTCGAAGATACAAATCTCTACGAGAAAGAATGGTAGTTGGGATCCGTAAATAGTTCACTCTGAAAAATATATCAATATCTCAAGAGAAAGCTGAATCTGCACTGAAGTTGAACTTTTTAAAAAAAAAGAAAAAGAAAAACGCCAATGTACACATACACCCTCCTCATCTAGAAAAAGAAACAAAACAACAACAAAAAAAAGCAAATCCCATACCCTCCAAATCAGGTATACCGAAAGACCAACAACGCCCCCGCCAGCAAGACAACGAAACCAAAACAACAACAGCAACGCGTGCACATGTCTAGCCTGATGAAGTGTTTATGTATGCGAGAAAGTAGATTAGATTAGATTAGATATGTAGATAGGCCCTTCAGGGATTATGTATGTGCTGTACAGTACAGGGGGGTGTTGCATTAAGATACAACGGGAGCATAGTGTACTACAACTCTCCTCGCAAATACAAGAGCTGCTAAGAATCTACTAGAGCCTTCTATTTGTAAATGATAGATAGTACACCTGAGCTGTGACATCCCGATGCGACACCCCCCCCCCCCCCCCCCCCCCCCCCCCCCCCCCCCCCTTGTAGGTGGGAAGTGGAATGGGATTCGGGATAACACAGCACTACACAACACAGCCACTGGTGTGGAGAAACAAACCAGAGCTGATGATGGAACAAGGAGTTATGTGGAAGGTTCGTAAAGTGCGAAGTCGTGTACGCAGATTTGAGTAGCTATCTTTTCTTTTTTTTTCGAGGTTAGGTTGTATAGAAAGGGAGGGGGGGAGTTCTTGAATGGCATATGCTGCAATCGTTCTCGCATAATGAATATTTGACAGGTACAGTACATATGAAAAAAAAATCGCTATTACACCAATTGATTGTATCAAAACATTTACCAAAGGCCGTGGCTATGTACCGCCCCTCCTCTTTCCATAATTCATACATGTACAGTACATGTCTGATTGCATGCATGCATACAATCAGATATCTAGCTGCATACGGATATCGTCGCCGAGCCTCCACTCATCCTCGCGAGCGGTCCTCTCGAGCGGTGTATGCAAATCATCGTCATCGCTCCGCCGACTCACATTCGTGCTCGTGGAACTCGCAATGGTAGGCGCGGGACCCTCTGCTCCGCCATAGCTTTTACTGCGTCGCTTCTTGAACCAGCCACGCTTAGTTTTTGTGCTGACGGCGTCCCCTTCTGCCTCCGACGCTGCAGAGGCTGCGTAGTCGGATTCGTTGCGGAGGGTGGCGTCGGTGCCGGTTGCTGTGCTCGTGTTGGAAGAGAGCTTTGTGAGGGTGTTGGAAGTGGACGATTGTGAACGGATGTGCGAACGTGAGGTGGAAGGAGTAGGGGAAATGGATTCGGGAGAGTCTGCAACGGGCTCGAGCTTGGGGGTGGGGATAGGCGTGATGTCTGTTGACGGCGAGATTTCCACGAGTTCTGCATCGCGGTACCACTTTCGCCGGCGGGTGTAGCGTCCCCAGCCATCTTGTCCCCGACGGCCGTCTCTCCACTGTAGAATAGTTAGCGTAGGTATTGGTCGAGTATGCACTCATGCTGGCTTGCCTTGTTATCGTAATAAATCCAACCAGCTTCCTCGGCCGAGATGCCTTTGGCGCTCTTCCCATCCTTCTCGCCGCCCTCAATCTTCCACTGGCTACCATGAACCCATCGCCATCTCGCTTGCCCCCCTTCTACCTCGGGGAGCTCAAAATGGTCTTTGGGGGGTACCGCGTTCAAATGCTCGTCTGTCCACGAGGCGCGTTCGTACGCCAACATGGATGATGTCCACCCGATCCCTAGCCATCTCCTCTGGTTCTCGTAAATGCTGAACGTGAAGCGAACACCCGGCGAATCCGGTCGCCGTTTGGCAGCCAACGACGACGCGATTTCTTGGGCGCTCTTCCTCCGCGGAGGCAGTCTGGGAGCTCCATCTTTGACGACTGGCTCGATGTCGCCAAAGTCAAGCCCTGTCAGGAAAGTACACACTCTCCGAACCGTCAGAGACCTCCAAAGAATGGTTCTTGACACCCGCGCCGGCCGAGAGTGCCAGCTTAGTACCACAGTCCCCACGGCCAGCACCACCCGTTTTGTTGTAAGGAGGTAAAACGGTGGTAGGGTCAGGAGAATCCAGAGAGGCAAGACGAAAAGTATGCGAATGAACAGAAGGGTCAGGGCGGGCCTGGTGGTTGCCGACGTGGCCGTCCGTTGGGTCGATAGGAAATCTGTCAAGCGCAGAAAGGGATCGAGGAGGATGTTGCATCGCGAGGTCAAGAGTTTCAGCGTGTCGACAATTTCTTCCAGACTTTTGTGGTGCTTGATGTTGCTCTCCGAATCAGCTCTCCTGTGGCCCTTTTGTCCCTTCTCGCCCGTGAAAGAGGTGGAAGAGAGCGGCGAGTATCTCCGGGCGTACATTCCAAGTATCAGACCCAGCACCACTATGATGGGTCCGGCGAATCTTGTAATCGCGTCGCCGTAGAGGGTGATTGCCCAGAAGCTCGCCACGAGCAGGAAGCTCTCCCATGCATCACCAGTAGTCCATGTCAGCAACCCCACCAGCTTATTCAAGGGGAGGATGAATGGATGCGAATAGGCCAGTACACGGGTGATTTGCGGAGGCGTTGCAGCTAGCAGAGGCGACTTTTGGTGGACGAGGATGGCGGAGCGGAGCTTTGTCTGGGGGGTTGTTTGGGCCAGCGTCGCGGGCGAGAAGGCGGCATATGTGGGCGGGTTTGGATCGGCGGTGGGCTGCGGTGACGCATCGCTAGTGGAACGAGAGGGGGCAGACATAAGATCTAACCAGGGGGTATCTGAGGATGCTGTATTAGCATGGCCAGCCGGCCGTGGTGGGGACTGAGTGTGTGTGAAGCTGAACGAGTTGGGTCACTTGCCAAAGGCTGCCATGCATGGAGAGGCGCTGCGTCATAGGCCCGCGTCGTCTAGGGCGAGAAGCGCGCCGTGTGGTGGAGGTGCTGTGCAAAGGGCGAAGAAAAGCAAAAATGGCCGCTGTGACTTGCACAAGAATCATGCAGTCAGGCCGGGTGTGATTCATGTGTGTGAGAGACCAGGAGGGGAAGAGAGAATGGCGCTCTTCAGCATACATGTAGCCAACGTCGACGGACTCGCGTGCCTCCAGGTTTGAACTGAGAGCATGTGAAGAGCGGATGACGGACGGAAGCCGAGCCTCCGAGGATGTCAACTACACATGTAGGTAGTAACAATAATAATGGCACTGAACGGTTCGTGTTGATGGATGAAAGAAAGTTGATGCTGTAAAGAGAAGAGGATACTGCGCATTGTCTTCATCGCTGGAGCCGAATTCAACATGTGCCAACATGTGCCAACGTCGGCGCTCTTGATTGACTGTCTGCATATTCCGATCTGAGCAACAACAATCATGAAACTACATGTGTCTACTCATGAACGTCTGCTTGAATCATAGAAATCCTACGCGCACTCAAGGGAATGGGTTGCGTTTACTGTTTGCGACATTCTGTACATTTATGAGCATTGGATGATCTGGACGGTGATGTGATTGGATGTTGCCCCAATCACGTGAGACCGAAATGTCCCTGCATCTCTCTGGATGGCGGCGACGCTCGAATTTTTTGAACATTGAGCATCCCATCCCATCCCTTCTTCCCCGACTGGCGCGCCTCCATCATTGCTCAGTGATACGCTTCACGCCCTCGACACTGTCACATTCGAATTACGGCCGACCTTGAGAATCTGCCGCAATGGCAAGTGCACTCCGTTTCGTCTCTCAGCAAACCCGAGCAAACCCATCTAACAGCATCTCCAGGCGCATCGCATAATAACCCAAGTCGTCTTCTCTGGCGCCCGGATAATAGGACGCGCCGTCTCCGAGTCGTACCGTCAGGCCGCTGCCTCCCAAAAATTCGCCGCCGCAAACCAAAAGAATGGAGGCGGTAGCTCGTTCGCCTCCTCCAACATCACCATGGAGGAAGCCTGCAAAATCCTGAACGTCGGCCCGTCCAAGATGGGCCAGATAGATTTGGAGTTTGTGTCGGAGCGATTCAAGCGGCTGTTTGACCTGAATGACCCGAAGAAGGGCGGTAGTTTCTACCTACAAAGCAAGATATTACGAGCAAGAGAGCGGATCGAGCGCGAAGTCCAAGGATACCAACGGATGGCAGAAAGGGAGGCCGAGCTGAAGGAGGGATTCCAACCAAAGTGGACCAAGGACTCCAAGAAAGATGCTTGATCGGCTTCTACATCCACCACTTACCGCCCTGGACGCCCAGCGAAGCTTCACTCGGGCTGCTACTGTTGCAACCCCAGGGCATTTCCATGCATTAGATGGCGTTCAGAGACTAGCATAGCATTTGGGTACGGGCGCTGCTGTGCGTGCTGAGGGAGTCTGGGATGCTGCTGTGATTTTGTTCGTGGCACTTTCTCCGCTCTCCCGTGTAAACTTTTGTACATCTACTTCCCATTCGATCGTGTTATTCCATACTTATGTGCCATGTAGTTTTTAGAGCCGAAGGGCGCAGCCGTAAATAATCTTATTGTATCGCCCTCTTCGTGTTGATGGCATCAAGTGGCCACTGAGTACTCGAAGGCCACCTGCACGGGCCACATTCGCGCTAGTGCCTTGGCGCCACCAAAGTTGAACATTTCATCACTGCCGCATTCTTGCGCCCACATTCTTCTACACCTCAACACTATCCCCGCCTTCCGTAGCCTTCCCCTCACCCCGCCATCGCATCTGATCCGCACCGACCGTAATCAGACTGCGAACAATCACCATGGCCGATTCGTATCGCCCGTCGAAGCGCGCGGCGCCCACCGGCTCGCTTGCCGATCGCGTAACTTTTGGTGGTGACAGTTTCCGGCCCGGTAGAGATGGTGCAGAGTTCACCTACTCGTCCGATAACCGTGGCCTTCAATTTCCACCTACCGCTCCCTCTGACGTGAATCAGCGAGGTGCGCCGCGTAGATTGCCCAATCGCCCAGATGCGCCGGGCTCCAACCGCAACTTTTCGCGTGGCGGGGGCAACTCGAGGCAAAATCGTGGTCGAGGAGGTGCGCGCTTCAACGCTCCCCACCAACGTGCCCTACTTCAATCCCGCGACGACACCATTGAACACGCTGTCGGCGTCTCTAAAAGCTCCAACAAGTTCAATCTGGACAACCTCTCCGAGGACGACTCCGAGGCTGAAATGGATATCGAGTCCGACGACCAGTCCGATGACGACGCCGGCGGCGGTCCAAGCAGCAAGCGCAACACTGCGCGCGTGCAGTCCCAAACCCGTGCGGATGGCGACTCTGTGCCTAAGTGGTGCAATCCAGATCCGTACACGTCGTTGCCACCCCCAGAAGAGACTACTGGAAAGCGAGTCAATTTTGTTAAGCTCATTCGCAAGGCCAAGAATGATGCCGCTACCGAGCAGGCAGATGGCACCAATGCGGTCGCCGCGAACGATGATTTCATCTCCTTCGGCGCAGATGCAGACGGTAATAACGCGGGCGACGAGGACAACGAGGATGTCGTCTTCGTTGGAGCCAATTCCAGCAATCACCGACCGACGTCCGGATCTCTGAATGACTTATCGCGCCCCCCACCCCCACCTCCCGCAGGTCCCAGCCAGTCAAACAATAAGCGCAACAACAAGCGCTCTGCTGAGAGTGCCGGCCTGCCAGATCGCCCACAAAATCGCGATGTTCGCCGCAGGCTGGCTGACTCACAGGTTGGCATCGTTCCCAGCTGGCGACCCCGTTCCGACGATTGCACTCCCTGGCTTACCGACAATCGCTATGCATACTTACAGGACAAACCTATCATGTGGTAAGTCTCATGAATCGAAACGTGACATGATGTAGATCGAGATTCTTACTTTCTGTAGGCTCCACAACGAGATACTTGACTTCTATGAGTGGATCGCCCCACAACCCAAAGAGGATGACATACGCCGGCAGCTCGTTCAGGACATCGATGCCAAGTTCGACAGACGCCAGTTTGCGTACGACGGTGGATTGGAAGCATTCGGGTCGTACCCTACTGGGCTATATCTTCCGAGTGCCGACATGGATCTTGTGTACAGGACGCACCGGTACCGCCAAACTGGTCAACAGATGATCACAACATCTACCTCCAAATTACACAAAATCGGTAGGGCACTCCAGGATGCGGGCGTTGCGAAGAACCTGGTGGTCATTGGGAAAGCAAAAGTCCCCATCATCAAGTTCGAAGACGCCCGGACCGGTATACAAGTCGATATCTCCTTTGAGAATTTGAGCGGCGTTGACGCTCTCTCGACTGTCAAGCGCTGGGTGCATGAGTACCCTGATATGATTTACTTGGTCTCATTAGTCAAGCAGTTCCTCGTCATGCGAGGGTTCAACGAGGTGAACACCGGAGGCCTAGGTGGATTCAGTATCATTTGCCTGGTTGTAAGCTATCTGCAGCATGCACCAAGGCCTAATGATGTCGGCGAGGTGCTTCTCGGCTTTCTCGACCATTACGGCAACAAGTTCGATCTCGCGACGCAGAGGATTGTCATGCAACCACCAGAGATCAAGCGCAAGGTAAGAAATCACTCCCCACTATCCAGCCAGTTGCACGTGACGCTGTTCAAGCCAAGAACTACAAACATTTGAATTCATTACCAAAGGGCAACTGTTGAAACTGACAATCGTAGGGCACGTGGGGAATTGATGGACGACAAGAGCGAGCTGATGGGCTCTCCATCCAGGATCCTAACAATCCACAGAACAACATCTCTGGGGGCTCTCGCAAGGCACACGTCGTCTTCGACCTGTTTGCACAGGCTCATGCTGATCTAACCGAAAGGATGCGGCAGATAAGCGACAAGGAAATCTCCGTCAACAGTATCCTGGAGCCGGTCTTTGGCGGTGACTACCGTGCCTATGATACTATTCGCGATCACTTGAGAAGGCTGTCGTAAGCTTACAGCATGTGAAGTTCAGAGTGCCCCATCTCCACGGACTCTATCTAACATTCTTGACCATGAGACTGCTCATACTCAGCTCTGCCTTCCAAGGAGTATTCAGTAAACCCGATTCGCGGTGTGGATAGAGGCCAGCTGCACATGTGTCACCGACCTTGATCAGTAAAAAAGCAAAAAGAAAAAAAAAACGTATCGAAATTAAACGCATGGAGGATTGGACCTAGCATATCGACTCGAGAGAAGCTCCCGGATTGTGTTCGCAACGAGTGTGCTTTCCTGCCATTCTGTGTTTGACGATCCATGAGTAATAGTATTCCGAGTGCTCTTTTACGGCGTTGTAGATTATGGAAAGCATGTATGGTGCTTCGGCAACGGCGAGTTTGTGGCCCACGGTATTGTGGCGGTTTCATGTTTTCCTACAATGATACCCATGGGCATTTGTTCTATTCGGTGCCAACGGATCGATCCAATGGTCCGGTAATCCTCCATCCGGGGGGTTTTCCAGTCGCACCAGCTGCCACCCAGCGTTGTTCCTTCCTGTGGATGACGATCCCGTCGCGGTCCTACGATTGAACCTGGGTGATTCTTTTCTTCTAGTGTTTTCATAAATGACTGTCTGATAGTTTTCTCTACCTTGCTCTTCCCCTCCTTCTAGGCTTGACTGTGTACCTTTTGGTTTGAACAACTGACTTTTACCCGGTGTGGGTTAGGGACGAACGATACTCGGCGATGGTGTGGTGGCGCGATAGATATCACGATCCCACCAGGAAGTCTCGAGTAATTGGTCTGTAAGACTACCTTTTCTCATTGAGTGGCATGCTGAGAGCGTGCGCTTGAGGAGGAGCTTGGGTGTGTCTGGGTCAAGGGTGTAGCGCCGAATCGAAGAAGGAGCATGTTGCAACCGGTGGTGATGAAACATCTGAGATTTATATATATGGTGATGGCATTGTTGCCGGGTATCATTTATCTATCGATTCTATCCATCTATCCATGCAAAAGCATCCCAACTCTCACCACCAGCCCAACTCAATATTCAACAAGCCTTGCATCAAAAAGCACTCGACGACCCAGCACTAATAAAAGCCGGACTCCAATACTCATTTTCCCCAGCCTGACAATCAACCCACACCAAGCTCCCGGCCATCAAATCATCCACCACAGCATGAGCCCTGGGCCTCTCCCAGCCCAAATTAACCTGCAACATACTAACGGTAACATACCCCAACACCTGGACAGCCTCGAGCACGGTACTCTGATCATTATTCAACTCCTTGGGCACGCTCCGTATCAAGGTGCGATGCCCAATCTTCATGAGGGAGAAACACGACCCCAGCGGCGCCAGCGAATCAACAGCGCGCTGGATATCGTCGTCGGAAACAGACATGCTGGCCCCCAGGACCCCAGACCGCCCCTTCTCGATGCGCGCCCGCAGATCCGATACAGAAATCAACCCGCCGTTCTCGCCGCGCGTCGCCCGGCACTCCTCCACCACCAGCACCCCCAGGTTGAAGTAGAAGTCGTTGACCGTGCTGCCGAGGACTTGGGTCCACAGACTCGCTGCTCCCCCTCCGTCTTTGGACCCAGAAGAAGAAGATGATGTGTTGTTGCCGTAGCTCGACGCCAGGAAGTCGATGTTGAGCGCCGAGCACATGCGCGCGAACTCGGCGCGGAATTCGGGGTTCGCGCGGATGTCTTTTGCGTGGGTTAGGGCGAAGTTGTGGAGGAGGGATTGGAAGACGGAGAGTTGGGTTTGGAGGGTAGATGCGGTGCGGGCGCGGAGGGCGGTGCCGTGGGCGGTGTAGTGGTGGGTTTGCAGGCGCGATGTTGTTAGGGAGGAGAGGCCGGGGGTGCGGCGGCGGGAGTCCATTCTGGGGTTTGATGTGATGGGTGTTTTGAGAGTTTAGGAGGGGATATAGGTTGGAGAGGGGGTTGACGGTGGTGGGGTTTGTTGGAGTGTGAAGTGTGAAGTGTGAAGTGGTGGTCGGTGATGGCGGTTACATTCCGCTGCCTCGGCGACAGATGAAGCAAGGCAGGCACGACATGGCACGAAAGAAGAAACCACATATTCTCTCGCTTTTCTTCTTTAGCATCTCTACTCCCATAATTCTTCTGCTTTTTACCCCGTTTTTCTATACCCATTTCCACACTTCATGTCGTCCACCTCCAACATCGTGGAGCAATGATGGCGTCGACAAACCAGCGGCCAACACATGACGCAACGGCTCGCAGGCATCGGAGATTACAGGCGCTTGTCTGCTCGCAAAAGACCAGCAGTGAACAGCAAGTCATGCATGCCTACAGACTGCCATGTCCTGTCCTATCGGCGTCGTCACCTGCGAAGCGCTGCGACGGTTGGTGGAGCCAACTAGCCATCGAAACCCGCCCGCGTCGATTCATCGAACCTGCTAAGTCCTCGACATTACGTTACATACATGCATGCATACATACAGTACAGTACCGTGCCAGCATCCAGACGCAACAGTGAGATAGCTAGACCGCCGCCCCAACAAAACAAACAAACAAACAGCAAACGCGGGCTGCTGCCTGCCGCCGTCATCCCCAACCTTGATCCCCCCCCCAATGATCGACCCGCGTTATTCAGCAAAAGACTCGAGTGATTATTTTTACCGTATCTGATCCGCTGACTCAGTCCTCCTCCTGCCGTCCGAGGGCTGTGTTGTGTTGCGCGCGCCTCGTTCCCGTGGGCAGCGGTAGCATCCAAGAAGGCTCGATTTTTTTTTGGTTTGGCATTTCACGTGAGCAGGACGGATATCAGTCCACAGCAGCCATCCAGCCAGCCAGCCAGCAGCAGCAGCACACCGCGCAGGCTGCTTCCCGGGTAGGGGAACCCTTCCTTCACGATTCTACGCCACACCAGGTTCGAGACGTTTTTCCACGTCTCTGCAATGGATCCCGCCACCCACACGCACTGCATCCTGCTAATAGACCTGCCCCCTGCCGCCCTTGCCGGCATCGATCTCCTCTCCTTCACCACCACCCCGCGCTTCCGCGGCGTCAAGAACCTGCCCCCAGGCCTTCACTTTGTCTTTGCCGCTAGCGACTCTTCCCTGGCCGTGCGCCATGGCGCTTGGTTCTACGTCTCCCCCGGATCCGGCCCGCCCCAGGTCTTCATCAAGAAATGGAACCCCCAAAATGAGGAGCTTGTCGCCGAAACCTCACAGACGGCCGTCCTGACATGGAGGGCAAATCTGGGCAGCATATGGAAGGACGGACTAACCCCTTACCGCCAGACTGTCAAGTCGAGAGAGACGCAAGAGGAGGAGGATGAAGATGCAAGGGAAGAGTCATCAGACTGGGGCGATCTTACAGAGCGGATATCGCCCTCGCTCTTGTCGCGCATCAACGGCCTCCAACCCGACCACTGGAACCTGAGTTCCGCATCTTCTGCCGCCATAGATCTGGAAAACATACCAGGACTGGAATCAACCAACGGCGCCATGCACTCGGAGCAAGAGCTCAAGTTCTTACCGGTGGATCTGAAGCGGACATGGAGAGAAGGCGCAACGGGCCGTGAGCGCACTGAAGCTGCACAAGACCGCTCCTGGGCGCTCGGTGAACTGGTGGAGAAGGTGGGACAGGGCAAGGACCTGCGCAGTCGAGAATTCGAGGTGCTGGGCGAAATGCAGTTTTGTTTTCTGATGGTCCTGACGCTGAACAACAACTCGTGTCTGGAGCAGTGGAAGCGGTTGCTGACGCTGCTGCTGACCTGTGGTCAAGCTATCAAGGAACGCTATAACCTGTACATTGAGGTGCTGCGGACTTTGCGGTTACAATTGGGTCATTGTGGGGATATGGAGGGAAGCATGTTCGACATGGGTGAGCACGGCGGCGGCTTTCTCAAACCGCTTCTTCACAAGTTTCGGAAGTCGTTGGGTGAACTGGAGTTTAGACGGAAACCGGACATGATGGTTGAATTCGAGGAGCTGCAGGAGTGTGTGCAAAAGGAGTTTGGGTGGGACCTGGACGACTCGCGATATCTGAAGCGCGGCATGATCGATCTCGAGGATGGCGAGCGCGTGGAGATGGATATGAATGGTGCTGACGAGGACGACGAGGCTGGCGAGTACGCTCCCACGGTCGTGGAACTGACGCCTGCGCAAATGAAGGAACTACATAGAGATGGGGCAGTGGCGGACGAGTATCAAGATGATGACGGCGGAGACGTTGATCAAATGGACACGCGATACTGAAACGTCAGTGCCACTGATGATCGGACTGGCAATGAGCTCCTTCGTCACAGATGATGGAATGGAGTGCCGCATACAGACGGGCCGTGCATTTCCGGTGAGTCACATGGGGCGAATTTACAGTACATACATGACATATCGGTCGAGATTATTGGGAGTGGATCAACAAGGTCCAGGACAAGTAAGCACAAGCGAGCCCTATCCGTCTACAGCTCAGCGACTGCGCCTTGATAGCAACTACCAAGCGGGGGGATGCAAGGAGATATATGTCGATCAAGCTTTCACCTAATAACGGCCACCACGCTACCATTGCCTCTCGCTTTCACGCAAGCTAGGGAATTGGAGAAGGACTGGCGCTTACTGTGTACACAAGTTTCCATCGCTTCTTTGCGTGTGTTTTATGGAGACCCGGAAAGTGCTGCACGGCTGCTATAAAGACGAACGGTCTATTGGGCAATGGCATATACGAAGAAGAATGGGAGCTACGTCCCGTATATGTATGTGACTAGGGTCCGACCAGTTGTATCGGCGGGTCGCGTCCCACCCTTGGATACAGGAATAGCAACAACACGCACGAGTTAGCAGCTAGGCGAGAAACCCGCGTGCATGCATACATGCAATCAATCACTACCATGCATATGCATCCCGACTCTCTTTCTTCTATACTTACTTTGCACCGTCACGTCTCAGTACCAAACATTGCACCGTTGTCGAGGGTTAATTCTATGCTACGGAGTGGACAATTCAAAGTTTTGCAGTGAAACTGCGTCTCGAATGTTAAAGGACAGAGCCATCAGCCCCTGAACAAAGTATGTCACTCGAGCACCAGCTCGTATCCAATGCGATATGTCTGGTTACAGAGGCGTACACCGGTCACACATGACACGAAGGGCTGGCTCTGGCGCGTCAAGATACGAACAGCTCAGGAGTTACAAACAATCGACTGCTACGTCCTAGTAGCCCCATTGAGACCGCCGTCATGCCTGTTGGCCACTATTTGGGGGCCGGAACTGCATTTTCGGCGACGATTGGGCTTGGCTTTTGCATTCCCCATCGCTTTTTATTACCCGTTCGCTAAGGCCTGTGCGCTAGGTCGGCTGCCTTGCCTGCGCTGTGAGGGGGAACTGAGAAAAAGGAAAACAGCGAGGATTAGGGATTGGGAGGACGATGATTGGGGGTGAGATGAGACGGAACGAGGTCTGATGCCTAATGCGACAGGTTTTTCTTCTTGCTATGGCAGTGTAGGTCAGGTCCCCGAGACTCGATACCAAGGAAAAGCATGTGCATTAGCCATCCGCCTATCAAAGGACACCGAACCGGAAAAGAAGGCTGTGCTATGCTTTGCACCGCCAGATGTTATACCGGGGGGTCATGGTAGCTCAAGGCTAGCCAGCGCCTCCTTCGCGATATTAAATCAAATACGCGCGCCCTTCTTTCCACTCCTCCTCTCTCCCCGTTCTGTTCAATCGTCCTCTTCGACTCTTCCGATTAATATCTTGGTATAATCGTGCCGCTGACTCACGGCCTTCTCCAACTCCAGTCAACTATCCCACCCACACATTTCTCTTCTATCCAACTCCTCCAACCACCTTCACAATGGAGAAGCAAGGCGGTAAGTTGAATCCATTCGCACAACAACGAATCAATTCTCCACCACATTTCCCCTTTCCCTCCCAAATACGAATTCCCTTTCAATAAAGTGGCTTGCTCAGCTGAACACCCCCACCCAAACCACCCCCATCCAAGCTAACAACCCTTCTTATATATAGTCCCCATGAACCAATTCCCCCAATCCCCAGACACAACCGGCCAACCCCCCGTCTACCACCAAGACCCCAACCACCCGCAAGCTGGCGCCCAACAACCTCAATTCCCGCAACCCCAAATGTACGCGCAGCCCCAGCACCCGCAGCAAGCCTACTCGGGCTCCCCCGCGCCAGGCCAGCAGCAACAGCCAGGCTACCCGCACCCCGATGCCGCTCGCGCGGGCGCAGCGGGAGCGCCTCACCCGGGTATGCCGCCCCAGCAGCAGAGCGGCGTCCAGTACCAGAACGCTACCCCCATTGCCAATCTGAACAGAGGTCCTGCGCCTGCGGATTGTCCTGCCTGCGGGCAGAGGAGCATGACTAACATTGCGTATGAGACGGGGAATACCACGCAGTATGTTCCTTTTTCTTCTTATCCTTTTCCTCCACTTGCCCTTGAAAACAACAAGAGTGTGAAATTGACGTTGTGTGTAGCGCCTGGGCATTTGGTCTCTGCTGCCTCGTCTGCTTGGGATGCGTCCCCTACGTCATGAACTCGACAAAGGATGTCCAGCACAAATGCGGCAAATGCGGTGTTTTGCTGGCCACCTGGCACAGGAGCGGAACCACAGAGGTGCACATCCACACTTAGGAACTGTACTCCTTTGTTTGAACACGACTTTTTTCTTCATCTATTGAAATGGTCGTGGGAGATCCTCTTTATCCAAACGGGGATTCTACCCAAGAAAAAAAGAGTAAAGGGAATTAGGAATATGGACAGGATGTTTCCCTACGCCAGCGTCGATTACACACTGTTCGTTTTCAGAGAGCTGGCTGTTTGGTTCCGGCGTTTTTGCTTCCATCGCCATCCATGTCATCGTCTTCGTACATGTACACATTGCGCGTCGTATTGTCATTATTTCTTTTCTGCGAGATAAGATGCTAGGAGCGGCGGTGGGGGAAGTTTAGATTCGATGGGACCCCCCAGCGCGGTGTCCATCCAAATCTTTCTTTTTTTTTTCTTTTATTTGTTCGAAGAGTGAAGTTCAAGCGACGAGAGAAGGGGAGCGGGCAGGCAAACTTTTGATACCACTGTAACAACTCTTTTTTTTTATTCGTGCGTGTGTGTTTGCGTAGATGTGTGTGTGTGTGTTTTAATCGAATCTATCTGTTGTTTTTGTTTTCCATTTTACTTGTTTCTTTCCCTTCCTCTTCTTTAGAAAGCTGTCTTAGGGAAGATAAGAAAAAAAATTCATTCTGCTCATGTTAGAGTTGTTATAAGCTGTGCTTGTAGGGAGACGATGTGTAAAGTAGTGATTGATATATTAGGGGCGGTTACATATGTACCTGGCATACCGACTAAAGATAACCTTGCGAATCAACTCAGCAGGACTCTATAATTATTCAACACTATTTTTACAACGCATGTGTTTTTTACTTTAGTGTTTACTTAGCACGCTACAAAAAAAATTAATAGGGACTCTACAAGTACAGCTTTTGATATGTACATTGCTATAACTGTTTGGGGATACAGTAGCTTATCTAATTACCACAGGGCGGATATCATATAACAGGAGGTTAGATGTACTATTTATTATTAACAAATAGAACGCTCTAGGAGATTCTTAGCAGCTCTGGTGTTTGTGAGGAAAGTTATAGTATACTATGCTCCTACCAAATGCGATCCTCATGCGACGATGAGAATGGAAGCTGCGTAAGGACTTAGTCAGCAGTTCTGCCCTGCGCCTCCTGTTCTGAACTACATCGCTGCCTGGCACTCTCTAGGCAGAACTGCTGGACTTGACCTTCATCTCTACTGTCTAGCTTGTGTATGTTATAAAATGATTAGTATAACTTTATTTGGTTAATTGACGTTTACCATTCTTCTTTTCGCGCTTCCTGGGTAGAGGGTTCAACTCAATTACATCCGGAACCAGCAATGGCGAACAATATGCCGCTGCCTGATCTACCTCTCGAGCTCATCCGTCTCATCATACGATTCACCTGCCAAAGTTATAAGAACTATCAAGATGTCAGATATCTCAGTTTGCGCAGGATCAACCGTTCGTACACTCCTTCTTTCCCTTCCCTTTATATCGCCCTCTAACAAGGCAACAGAGTCATTCAACCTAGAAGTGCTAGAAATATACTACCAGAATGTAGGGGTCAACATTAATCTAAATGAAATGTCTATCCGGGAATTGCTGCAAATGCCAGATGTGTTCGCGGGCCGCATCTTGCAAGAAGGCATGGGGATAAATGATTCGAGAATATCCGAGTCCTGTAGCCATATGCATGCTGTAGCAGATGTCTTGACTGAGCAGTTTGAGCGTGCCGGTAACCCTTGCTTTCGAAAATCGATTCTGCACGACATCGGCCGAGCAATCTTCAAAGTCCGCCCTGATGATGCATGGATCTGGATACATGTTCTCATGGAACGAAAAGAGCAGCCGACAGAGCCATGGGTGGGACCCATTGATCGCCATGAAGCGATGCGCATGGCTTTCGTGGTAGCAGTTGCGATGAATCGTGAGGAAGTCGTACGCCAAATGCTTCGAAGAGGAGAAGCTTCAGCCACGGCTTATTCTCGATTCCTGCATTCTCCTCTGCCACCGGCAATCAAATTCGGCCACGAAAACATCTTGAAGTTGCTATTAGATGCCGGCGCGGAAATTCCCCGGCGTCCGTTTGGCATCGAACACGACGGTCCTCGTGGGGAGTTGTACAGCGCGGTGACAGCTGCTGCCAAACGTGGGTACGTTTTCCCGGGTACGAAGTAGTATCAAGATCGCACGTGGAGTGGCGTTTTGAGACCTGCATTACTCACTGAATCGGCTCTGGTTGAGTTAAGCTGACTTTGTATCCGCGAATTCTAGGTACACTGGCGTGCTTGAGCCTTTGTTGCAGCGCGACAGCACCAAAGAGCTGACTCACCAGGTTCTCAAGTTCACGGCGCAATTCGGGCACTGGGATCTCGTCAATCTGATTATGGACCGCCATCTTACGCATGAACAGTGGAATATCACTCTCACCAAGAAGAGAGTCGTCGAATGCTCCTGCCATCCAGGCGAACCCGATACTTTTACGCCCAAAACCATGCAAAGGGTCGTCCAATGCGCTGCGAGAGACGGCAAGAATGAATTACTACTGCGGCTAATCCGAGGTGGGCTGATAGTGCGCAACAACGCCACAGGTACAAAAAAGTTCCCATTACAGCTAGCAGCTGAGGGTGGACACTTTTCCACCTGCAAACTCCTACTCGATCACGGCGCACTAGATGTTCCCGAAGAATACGAGGGCGAGGTACACAACCGCAACAGAGTAGACTCACTCGTTCGCGCCGTAGCTACAGGTGGCAACATGGACATCCTCCACTTATTCCAGAACCGGGGGCTTTGGAGCCGCACATCTGCCCTCCAAGTCCTCCCCATTGCCGCCGAAAACGGACATCTGGAAATGGCCAAATACGCTGTAGAGCACGGTATGGATTTCCCAACCAAGCGCAAAACACTCAGCAATGCCTATATCCACGACGCGTGGGGCAATGCGCTCTGTATCCATTGCCAAAGAAGCACATACCAGCATGATCTCCGCTACTTTGCGTTCCTCCGCGCCGTAGCATTCGGCCACATGCATGTCGTGCGATGGCTCGCGGAACAATTGCACATAAACTCGGATCAAATCCGCTCCATGAGCGACTGGTCGAGCACGTATGCGCTGCGCTACGGAGTCAAGGACCCCATCTTATACATCATCGACACGGGCAACATCGACATGCTGCTCCTCTTGCAACAATATGTCGGCAAAGGCGAAGAAGTTCAAACGAACCCGTTCCACGAGGATGAGGATACGGTGTTTGGCACCAGATGCAGGGACCGTGTCGTTAATCTTTCAAGCCATTATCCCGTCGAGCTTGGGCTTGGGAGGCGCCCATTCCGCGAGTATAAGCTGGGAAAACGGCATCTAAGGGAGGAGGTTTATCGGCTCGCGATCGGCGAGCCCTGGTGGGTGTGGAGTTGATATCAGTAAAGGCGAGTATCCATGCGCGTGGGATCGGCAGATGTAGACTCCATGGATACGGCAAAGGCATCGTCGCACACCGAAGAGGCTCATGCATCGTCCTATATACATACATATGTATGTATGATAAACCTCTCAAGTATGCTATATAAGTCAGAAACGCCCATCTCCCAACCGTCACATCCCATGTCACTCCACAACTAGTCCTTGGAAGCCCCAGCATCCGTGCTCAACAAGAACGCGATTCTTCTTAAATTTAATATTCCCCTGCTCTAGAACAATTAGTCCTATTATAGCTGCAATTTTTTGTGCATAAAGAAATTTCTTAGCTGCTACATAATCTTTATTATTATTGTTAGATGCTGCTGCGTGCTTAGCAAAGGAAAAGGTAACGTTCCTCTCGTGTAGACCAGCCTCGCCGGCTATGCCGCGCAGCACCCGAAAGTCCCTACAGAAGGTAGGATAAGATGAACTGTTGTTTGTTTTGTGAACAGCTCTATAGACTGGATCTGTTCTCTGAAGCGCGACTCCATCCCTTCCGCTCGTCCCTGTGGGTCCTCTCGCGGCTGCCATGCATCCTCGCTCGCTCTTTAGTTGTCACCTCCCGTCCAATATCAACTTCGACGTGTAGATCTATCGCCCTGTGGTTGATTCCGTCCTCGTCGACTGTGTCTATGTACATATCTCTGGTTACTTTAGCGCGGTCTGGGTGCTCATACAAGTATTTGACAGCTTTTGTGTCAAGGGGAAGATGTAAGTCTTGTACAGCTGATTTTGTAGCTCTCTGGGTAGCTTTATATTTGCAAGTGGATGTTTTAATGTTAACTGCTAACACAAAGAGGTAAGTGAGTGCTTTGGAAGTGATTTGAATTGCTTTGTCGCTAACTTGCCTTGGGGATTCTGATCGGCGGCTGCTGCTGGGTCGAGGATGAGGACTTTGGTGACGACTTGTTCCTCTTCCTTTTGTTCGAGGCTGCTGGTTTCTTCGCCATTGTGTCTTTGAGGCAAAGAGATAGGAGAGAGAGAGAGAGAGAAACAAGAAGGAGGGGCAATGAGGGGCGAGCGGTGGGTGGTCAGGTCGCGCCTTCCCAAGTAGATATCCCCCCTCTCACTTTGACGCCTTGACACATTTCCATCTCATCCCTTCTCCATCAACACGGACAAGACCATTTCATCCCTCTTTCATTACCCGCTGAATCTCGTTTATTGTCTTTTTCTTTGCTTTCTCTTTCGATTTTGCAGCTCGGCAGATCGGACCGTGGCTAACCCTCATTCTCGCGTCCCCCGCTGTTGTATTGTATGTATAATGGCTACCGCAGACATGCCTGATCCATCGGATAGCGACTATGACTCTTCGGACCTGGAGTTCGATATGCCCGCCGCGTTCGCGGACCGAGCATTTGGTCAAGCGTCCATTGATGCCATGGATGCCAATAGGCATACTCTGCGTGTCTCCACCAAGAGAGCGATCAAGACACTGCAATTTCGAGATGGGACTTCTCCAGGTAGTTTAAGGCATAGCGCTCTCTGGAAACGCCGCTTCAATTATTTTCGGGAGCACGTACTGAAGCAATGGCCCAAAAAACCGTTCTCGGCTCCCTGGATGTGATTCGACTCAGGAATACAAATCTGAGCCTGGTCTCGCCTATCACTTATCCGTACATCTCCACTGGATCGTTGGGACGTCGTATACGTCACTACGTCAAATGCGCTCGCCTATCACTTGAGGACCAAACACGGCCTGAGTACGGCTGCAAGCCGTGATCCATATATGTCTAAGGTCGGGGGAGTCTGGGAAAAGCAGCGTTGCCCAGTGGTTGGTTGCAACAGCAGGGCTTTGCACAAGGACCGCTTTGCTATGAATGAGCACCTCACCTCCAAACACGACATGAATAAGGACGAGGCTAAAGCCTACATTGCTGCCAACTGCTCCATGAAACGTAGGGTCACTACAACTCAGGACTTGAGGAAGAGGAAGACCTTTGTGGATCTAGTAGAATCTTTGGGGAGCGTCGAGAAGTCGTCGGACCTTGTGCAGAGTTTCAGCGATGGTGTAGAAGGGCTCTAACTAAAGAAGAAGGAGAAGAAGAAGGAGAAGAAGAAGGAGAAGAAGAAGCAGAGAGCTGCTGTCATGACCAAGAAGAAACAAACACGAGCGTGATGATCCTGCGACTCAGTGTTCCAGAAAGCAAGAAAGGAGGAGGGGGTTTCATGTCGACTCAAGGTACCACCGGTCGACTAGGTCCCTTCAGTTGCTGTTATCTGAACATTTTTTAATACTCATGTGATGGTCGTATTTCCCAAGAGTTAGTTTTTGAGGAACTTCAAGCATGTTATTGTGGACATGTTTAGAAGGGTGAGCTGGCGAGAATTATGTGCTCTTGTCAGCTAGTACAATAATTTAGTAATTATCACTTTCACATGATTAATGATTGCAAGGTGTGAGAGATGTAGGTAAGAGATGTAGGTAAGAGATGTAGGTAAGAGATGTAGGTAAGAGATGTAGGTAAGAGACATATAGGTAAAAGACACATAAGTGAGAGGCACATAAATGAGACACGTAAGTAAGAGACACATAATTAAGAGAGATATAAGTAATTTAATATTAGACTATAGCATGTGACAAGAGTTTAGAAACTAGCAGGTAAAGAAATTCAATAGGCATGTATGAGATGAAAAAGAATATCTGATGATTAAGAGACGGGAAACCCTGTTTGCTCCTGTAGATATATGTACTTGACTATCTATAGACAGTCACAATCAGAAGTGGATTTCTAGAATTCCATTTATTCTTGGTCAAATTGTTACACTCTCTACTCTCTTCCCCAAGGCAGGGTTTCCCCCCCAAGATGCTACGTCTTTTGGAAACCCCAAGAAACAGCTCTCATATACCTCCCTACATACTAGCCTTCCCCCTGCTCTCAAACGGCAAAACCAGCACCGCAAGCCCAGCCGCTACAAACAAAGCCCCACTGACATAAACCGGCGCATTCGTCTCCAAATCCGCAAACATGGCGACAATAGGCGCCATGATGCCAAACACGCGATTCGCCGACGCGGTAACGGCATTCCCCGTCCCACGGTCTTTGGTGGGGAAGATCTCGGGCGTGTAAGAGTAGAGCACGGCGTACATGATGTTTGACATGAAATTGTAGGCGCAGTTCCAGCCGAGCAGGGCGGCCGAGTCGAGCGCCGTCGTGCTGCAGAGGATAAACGCGCCCGTCAGCACCGTCGAGGCCGCGAGCGTGCCTTTGCGCCCTAGCGATCGCGTCTCGACTAGGTATCCGCCCAGTAGACACCCGGGGACGCCGAGAACCGCGATTATGAGTGAGTTGCGGTAGGTTAGGTATGTGCTTCCGTCGCCGAATTCGGCGCCTCGCGTGGCTTGGACGTACGGGAGGAATGCGTTGTAGAGGGGGAAAGCGAGACCGATGAAGGCCCAGATTGTGGTTATGAGGGTGGTGGAGAGGATCAGGGAGGGGGACGCGAAGAGGGCTTTTAGGTGGGAGGCGTCGACCTTTTGGAGGTTGCGTTTGAGGGCTGTGGAGACGTGGGATTGGGTTGCTGCCCCGGTGGGTGCGATGCCCGGTGAGGATGACGATGACCCGAGATTATTGCAGACTTCGAGGTCTTCGAGGGTAAGGGGGCTTGTTTTCCCGTTGCGACGGGCGACTTCGTGGACGATTTTGACGGCTTCGGCGTCTTGCCCCTTGCCCATGAGGAATTTGGGGCTTTCGTAGATGGTGAAGCAGACGAAACGGACAAAGAACATGATCATGGCGACCCCGCCCATAACAATCATGAAGTAGCGCCAGCCCATGTTCTTGGATTTGGTGCAGCCGCCTTCTTCCTCCTCTTCGCACGTCAGGTTTCCCAACAGCGGCCACGCCACGAGCGTCGCAAAGACTTGAGCCAGCGCCCAGTCAATACTGAGCACTGTGAGAAGCCATTGATGAGTAGCCGGCAAAAATTCTAAAAATATGCTGCTATCAACGGGCAAGTTACCGCCGACTCCTATGCTCCAGAGTGCTGCGAATGTGCCGATGGCGGCAAAGTTGGGGGAGCCAGCCGCGATCAGACCGAAAACGGCGGTGATTCCTATGGTAAGGTTGAACGCCCATCGACGCCCGAAAATATCACATCCAAAACCCCAGAAGACTGCGCCCACAAGGAGTCCGATATTCTGTGCCAGACTGAGGAAGGGGGCGCGCGTTGGGTTGAACTCGTTCTTGACCGGAGTGAAGATGAGCGATGTGACAATGGGCCAGAGGTTATCGGAAGCCCAACCAAAACCAATAACTATAAAGAGCTGTAAAGAAAGTATTAGCATGCGTTATATTTGTCGACAGTGTTAAAATGGTGTAGCGTTGTTACCTGCCACTGATATCGGCCCATGCCAATGTCCTGGATTGCCTTGTTCAAAACCTTTGCTTTTGCCTCATAGACGGGATCCAGCGAGCCTTCCATGACTGCTGCTGGGGCATCTTGCACCACTGAAATGTCGCGCGCATTGCCCTTTGGCTGCTGGTCGTCGGTTGGGTGGTCGGATACTTCGGCCATTTTCGACTCAGTCAAAATCCCTTCAAACAAGCTCGATATAGCACACGACCTGGTGAGTGCGAAGTTTGAGTGCGGAAGAACGTGCCTATGTAGCGATAAAAGATATACAGTGGATCATGCAGGCGGCTCCTACAGCTGCCTGTACAAGCTTAGCGGCCCGTACCACGTTGATTCCTGTTGGCGCATTCGGGGTTCAGATTGCAACATCTCGTCTAAATTCACGTTATACGGTCGCAAGAGGTGGCAAGCTGTGCGGGACCAGACGATTCGCCCCACCGGTTTGGATCCCCGCGGGACCTATTCGCTGATTGACCGGGGCTTGCGGCATGTGGCATGGATGGGAGAGACATTATGCAGGTCGGGGCGAGCGTGGGGTAGCATTTCCGGGCTGGAGATTGCGAGCGTCGCTCCGGTTACGCGTTACGAGATGGGACTTCGGAAGAGTTGAGAGATGGATGACAAGACGATATAACCGATTGGAAGTTGATAGGACATCCAGCCGAGCCCATCACGTAATGTCACGTGTGCGAACGTATTTGCCTGTGCATGTTAAGTACTTGTGAATGCTCGCGTGGGTCTCATCTGAGTAGATAGTGTCGTCAATATAGAACTGATATCGATAATCGTAGCTGCATTTTGCGTTTTCTAATCGTCTATGCTACTACGGTGTTGGCACACAGAATGCTGTAGCACCTCGTTCCAGCAAAAGCCCAGGACTGCATGTACGACTTTCCCAAGCAGCACAACGTACCTCCTATTTCCAGAGCTTGCTCAAACTTGTCGCCTTGTCGTCGTGCTTGTTCAAGACCTTGGCAGTCGCAAGGTCAAAGTCTTCCTGCGTGACGTGCACTCTTCTCTCGCGCAGTGCGTACATGCCCGCTTCGGTACAAACTCCCTTCAACTCAGCACCCGAACACCCATTCATCTTCTCAGCAATCTTGGTAAGATTGATGCCGCGCGTCAAGTTCATGCTCCTGGAATGAATCCTGAGAATATCGGCACGGGCTTCCACAGATGGTGGGGGGAATTCAATCTTTCGGTCGATTCGGCCAGGTCGGAGAAGCGCAGGGTCCAGGATGTCGAGACGATTCGTGGCCATGATGATCTTGATGTTTTTGGTGGGCTCGAAACCATCCAGCTGGTTCAACAGCTCCAACATGGTCCGCTGCACTTCGGAATCACCACCTGAGCTTCCCTCTACACGGCTCGATCCGATGCTGTCGATTTCATCCATGAAGATGATACTGGGCGCATGTTCTCGCGCCATGACGAAAAGCTCGCGGACCATTCGGCTTCCCTCACCAATGTATTTTTGCACCAACTCACTTCCAGACACTCGGATAAACTTGCAGTCTGCGTGATGGGCAACGGCACGTGCGAGCAGCGTCTTTCCTGTTCCTGGAGGACCGTACAGCAAGACGCCCTTTGGTTGTGCAATGCCTAGCGATTCGAAAAGTTCTGGATGTTGGAGACCGAGCTCGATGACTTCCTTGATTTCCTTGATCTGCTGATCCAGACCACCAATCATGTCATATGTACTGTCCGGTACCTTTTCCACCATCATGAGAGATACGAGAGGGTCGACTGAGGAGGGTAGCATCTTTTCAAGCTTGTAGGAGTCGCTGAGCAGCGTCACGCGCTTTCCGACGGTGAGTTTGGTGATGTCGACGTTATCAGAAATGTCCACGACTGTTCTCTCCCGTTAGCAATGGCAATTTCACTTTTGTATACAAGGAGGTCGACCTGCCATATTTGCCCTCGGGATGCACCTTGACCAGGACCTTCTTGGTGCCCATGACCTTGACCACCTCACCAACATAGGACCCCGGTTGCTGGAGCAGGCCGAGTTCTTCCCGCAATAACCGCACCCTCGAGTTATAGTCGTTCCGCTGGGCTTCGAGACGGCGCAGGACAGCCTGGCCCTGTATGATCTCCAGCTTCATGGCCTCGATCTTGTTGTGGTAGAAGGTGTCGAGCGCCATGTTGGTGGCGGCGAGTGGGGGCGTGTGCGGACAGGCGCGGGGATCAGTCTGTAATGGAGAGGTCCTTTAGAATAGGGCGATGGGTCGGGTACGCGGGAGACGGGATATTGATGATGGAGTGGTGGGTAGGTAGCGAGAGGCGGAGATGGGGGATGGGGAGCTTCAAGCAGAGTGTCGTCAACATGGTTACCTATCGTGAGGTGGAAGCTTTCGGCTGGGGGAGCTAAGCCAAGATAGGTAACGTGTATCTACTGGGGTGTTCCGCTCCGCTCCCCTCACCCCGTGCATTAATGTCTCTCTCGGAGAAAATATCAATATATTATGTATGTATTTATATATATGCGATGAAGAGAAGTATCACGTATAGTATCGGCAGTGGGGAGACATGTTCCCTGTTGGTTACCTTCTGTCATGTGCCTCTGTACATACATATGTAAGTAGTGTGCATGTGGGATGGTGAGTGAAGTTGATATCTCCACTCATTCTGACTATTCCGGTTGTTAGTGCTATTCCTTTACCCTGTTGGCTATATACTTGGTATTTATACATGTTCTCATGACATGGAAACAAACATGAGAAACGACAGAAACACACTGCGCGGTATCGTGGTACGGAGAGGGTAAAGGTATCATCATCACCACCATCAACATCCAACGTAGAGTACATGTAGTACGCAGTTGGCCTATCGCGGCTCTGCACAATAATCAGCCAACCGGAAATCCATCAGAAGATGCGGACGCTTATGCGCGAATGCTGATCCATTACACACACCAGCAGACAAAGTCATCTGCATCCATCCATCACCATGCCATGGATGCATCATGTACAGTGACGCCGCCCCTCCCCACCACCTCTGAGCTCTTCCAACACCGCCTCTCTTCCTTCTTCCTCTCTTCTCCCTTCGTCATCTCTTGCCGCTGCTGCCGCCGTCATTATTTGATTGGAATTGCCATGTATGAATGCATCCATCTGCTGCCTTCCACTTTTCCTTCGTTGCTGGTCGTCCGCTCTTGAGTCGTAAAGAGCGTGGCTGAACGGTACTAGCACAACATCGATACCGCGAAACCTGCCGGCCTCCCGCAACGTCCTCTCTCAGTCTGTCCGACAGCAAGCCACCTACACCCATACGTATAGGAATATACGTACACACGAAACGCGCGCGCACCTATTCCCCCCCGTGCAATACGTCCGCTTCCGCTGCCGCCATCGTTGCACTCAACGCCTACCCAGCTACACACCCGCGCCATGGGTGAAGGCGATCGTCCGCCCACGGCTGCTGGCCCTGGCCGAAGCGCCTCTTCGTCTGCAAACATCTCGCGCCGGGGCTCCGACTATGGTTCCGATTTTCCGACCGCCAGCCAGCTTGCTTCTGCCACGAGCTCAGCAGAGGGCGCTCGGCGTCGTCAACAAGGAGCTGCTGCCCAGGCCCAACCGGCAGGATATGGTGCGAGATTGCTTCCCATGCCGCTTACCCATTATTTCCCTCCCATTCACTTACTCGCACCCATTTGGAGCTAACAAGCCCGTGTAGGGTCCATCACCTCGCCCATCGATCGCAGACAGAACCTCAACCCCTCCGATCAGCAGAAACCGAAGAAGCCCTCCATGAGCCGCCGCTCCACTTCAGCTCGATTTCCCCACAAGGGCCAGGAGTTCTCAGTCGACGACGCCGAGGATGAAGTGAGCCTGGACCAGTCCGAGGTCGACCAGCAGCAGCCACAGCAGCAGCAGCAGTCGTCCCAGAAGCAACCCAAGCCTTCCAAACAACAAGCCCCCGGGCAATCGCTGCGCAGCAAACCGTCTACGGTGCGTCGTCGGACAGCAGCGCAACCGCCAGCACTTGCCACTGTTAGCTCACGGGAAGGAGATGATGAAGATGCGGGCGACTCGACCAATGAGCCTCGAGTCGCAGCGTCATCCGCAGACGCAGATGCGCAGCCTAGCTCTTCCAGCGAGGACACACTCGAGGTCGAAGACGATGCCGCCAACACCCCGGTAGATGAGGACGAGGACGATGGGGATATCAGTGATGCCGAAAGCTTCACGCTCAAGGACCGTCAAGAAGCCATCAACGTGACACATCCCTTTGGTATCAGGATATGGAAACCTGCCTTGTACAAAAAGGATCGCTCCGTGCAGCGGAACGCCGAAGGAGATATCCACTCCACCCCAGGTCTCTATGTTAGCAACTGGCTGTTACTATTCAACTTTGCGTGGACTCTCGTCTTTGGTTGGTGGCTAGCACTTCTTGCTGCCGCTGGAGGTCTGCTGTGTGCTCTGCTCTGGTTCGCCGATAGCTGCACCGAGTATTCGCATCTGCTGTTCCACCTTGCAGGCTACCTGTTCTACCCATTCGGCAGACACGTCAAGTTATTACAGGACGAGGCATACGCGGAAGAGGATGAAGGCGAAGGACGCAGTATCAGTGAATACGAACAATGGCAGAGCGGCGACATCGAGGAAGGCCGTCTGTTCTTTGGTCCTTCCGAAGGCACTGGATCCCTCGTAGGCCGAAGGAACAGCATCGACTCCACCGACGAAACCACTAGCCTACTCGGTAGGGATGGTCGTGCCAATCTCGTGCACTCGGACACTGCGCGCACGAAGAGACGGCTGTTTGGTCGTGGTAAATGGAATGTTGGGCGCGTTGTTTTCTTCGTCTTCTTCTACGGGTTCTTGACTCCGGCCCTCTTCATTGTCTCTGGCTTATGTTGGTTCCTTGTTTTCACGATTCCAATGGGCAAAGTAACGCTTCTCCTATTTGATCACCTCCGAAGACACCCGCTTGCCCTTTCCTTCCATTCGGACGGCGGCAATATTCGACGACCTGGCGAGTCTTCATCTATACTGCTATGCACCTACCGCGCTGTAGGCATCAAGTACTGGAAGTACACCATCGACGGGACTAACATCTTCCTCATCAACCTTCTCGGTCTGGTTGCTTTTGTCATATTTGACTACTGGGTGCTCGATGTTGCGCTCGGTCTGGATATCATGCTAACAAATCAGTTCCTGGTCTTCACGTTGGCTTTGTTTTCCATCATCCCATTGGCTTATTTCATTGGCCAGGCTGTTGCATCTATTTCCGCCCAGTCGTCTATGGGAGTAGGCGCCACAATCAACGCCTTCTTCTCCACCGTGGTCGAAGTTTTCCTCTACTGTGTTGCTTTGAAGGAGGGGAAGGCTCAACTTGTCGAGGGTAGTATTATTGGCAGTATTTTTGCCGGTATCCTCTTCTTGCCAGGACTTTCCATGTGCTTCGGTGCTCTTAAGAGGAAAACCCAACGATTCAACGTCAAGTCTGCTGGTGTTACATCGACCATGCTGCTCTTCGCTGTCATCGGCGCTTTCAGCCCAACCCTGTTCTACCAGATCTACGGGAGCCACGAATTGAATTGCCACCAGTGTGTCCGACATTCTCATCACTTACCAATGGAAAGCGATTGCCGACGATGCTATTACTCGCAAACCCCGGCAGTACACGACAGGTTCTACGTCGAAGCTGTGAGGCCGTATATTTGGTTCGCATCCGCCCTGCTGTTCTTTTCCTACGTCATTGGTCTGCTGTTCACCTTGCGAACACATGCTGCTGTCATCTGGAGTACTGAATTGGATGAAAAGAAGGCTGTCGACCTTTCTTCCAGCCAAATGACAACCAGTGGGCACCTACCCGACTTCCCCAATGCGCTCACCAGGCAGGTCACCAGCAACTCGATAGCGCGTGGGGACATTCGGAGCAGCCAGCTCTACAGGCGCATCATTGGACAAACTCTGCAACAAATGGACGATTATCCTAATGCCGAAGAGACTGAGCAAGGACGACCTGCATCGAGATCGGACAACCAGACCCCACATGTTGTGCCTCCCAAAGACGGAGACGAACACAATGCGTCTTCTGCGTTCCATCTGGACGGCCTTTCTGAACGGGACAACCAGTCTCTGATGCGACAGATTACAGAGATTGCAGCAGCGACAACTGCTCTGGCGACTCGTGAAGTTGTCAAGGCGCCTCGAAAGACTGCCCATTTAGCTCAATCGCAGAACAAAGGACACGCCGAGCGACCGCATCACCACAGAGCACCGACTGGCGAAGGCGTTGAGGAAGCTGCCCAGCCAGCGGCGGGTGGGCACGATGCGCCGAACTGGAGCAGGGGAAAGAGTTCCGCCATCCTTCTCACAGCGACTGTGGCATATGCCGTCATCGCCGAGATTCTAGTCAATACCGTAGATGTGGTGCTTGAGGGTTCCAACATTGATGAAAAGTTCTTGGGGATAACGCTGTTTGCGCTGGTTCCCAACACGACCGAATTCCTTGTAAGTTGACATGCTATAAAGTCTTGACGAACACGGCTAACCGCACCTTTGTGCAGAATGCCATCTCCTTTGCCATGAATGGTAATATTGCATTGTCGATGGAGATTGGTTCAGCATACGCGCTCCAAGTCCTGCTCCTCCAGATCCCGGCGCTTGTTCTGTACAGTGCATTCCATATCCGCTACATCGACCCATCGCAGGTCATCCACCAATCTTTCAGTAAGCTCCAAACACAGATCCGTCGCACTCCCATTGGACAGTCATGACTAACGGCAATTTCTGCAGGTCTGATCTTCCCTCAGTGGGACATGGTCACAGTCATTCTATGCATCCTTTTACTTTCATACATGTACGGCGAAGGCAAAAGCAACTACTTCAAGGGGTCCATCCTCATCCTCTCGTACTTTGTGGTCATTGTTGGGTTCTACCTATCGAGCTTCAACGATTTCGATCGAATGGGAGTGGATCCGATGGATAGGTTGGCGCTTGGTGGGTTCATGGAAGCGAATCAGCAGTACCAGTCGATGTCATTCAAGACGGCGGGGCGGGGAAAGAGCGGTGCGGCTTATTAAGTCATGGACGCTGGCGGATGTAGGGGAAGCAGAGGATAATGGAATGGAGTGGGGGAGTTTTTATGTTGTTGGATCGGGCATCTTTTTTTTGTTGTTTTGGCGCAAAGCAAAGCATGAAAGCGGGCATTACCTACCATAGCATAGGCGTTTTTTATTGGAATTGAATTGGAACTGGAACTGGACTTTTGAATTGAAATGCTGATGATGATGACATGAGATGAGGCTGAGATGTGGACGGAAGCCCGCGGGAAAGGATTATTAAACACATGGACGAAGACAAGCGAGGAACGAAAGAAGAGGAGAAAGAAGTGGTGCGATAAACGAGACGGGACAAGACCAAACAGGGGCGAGAGAGAGCGAGTTTCAGGACGCAGGATATAGACAGAATGGACGGGGATGGATGGACATGTGCAGAGAGCAGTAGCGGGCGATCAGCGCTGCAGCAACACGCACGCACGCACGCACGCACGCGCGCTTCACGTTGGCCACCGGTACCATGGCCGGCCGATGAATGAATGATGCATTCCAAATCCCGCTTTGCTGTCTCTTGTATTTCCCGGGTTTCACTTGCGCCCGTCTCTTCCTTGCTTTGGTACACCATACATGGGCGTTAGTGAGCGGGCGAGCGTCAGAGCGAGAGCAATTCTCAGCGCCACGGGCCTTTGCGTCTGACGGCATCGTGTGCGGATTGGTGTGCTGCATACATATATAAGTACATATATGTCTGTGTGTCTGTACGACCATGTACATGTGCTCCATTGTTCGCTGTGACACAGTACATACACACACCTACTAAAGAACTTGGGGTGTATATATATACTTAGTATACATACACTCGTATTCCCCGGACCACACCCCCGCGCGCCCTTTGTCGAGCCATCATTCATTAATTCCCTCTTGCATATCATTACTTGGTATAAGTAATAGATTGCTACCCGCCGTCTCGGCTTCCATCTCATCATCTCAACCACTTCTCTCCCCGGCTTTCGCTGCTCTGCCACCCACCGGATCGGATCGGATCGCTACCCACTCCACTTCCCCATGCTGCAGTAGCCGCGCTTGCATACCTCATACCTCACACCTCACACGACAACACCACCTCCACCTCCGCCTCCACCACCATGTGGGCGCAAACCCTCCAGCGCCTCCCTTGGCAGCTGGCATGCGCCCTCTTCGCCATGGTCGCCGCCGCCGACATCCAGCCTTCAAACTCCTCAGTGCCCGGTGTTCGGAAAGCAGACCTGGACTATGGCACCGGCAACGACACCTTCCTCATACCCTGGACAGAAGCCTCGGGTCGCACTGTGAGTTCACCCACCTGCTACAATCCTACCAAGTTTGCTAACAAACCTTTTCTCCATACAGGCTGACATTGAGCTGTTCCTCACCACCGATACCAATTACCAGAACCTGGCAAACGGCCAAACCGCCTTCCTCAGCTGCGACCAATATGCCGGCAATCTTCAGGCCGCAGACATTGTGGAAAACATTTACAACTCCCGCAATTCCAGCGGTGTGATCCTGTATAGCGCCTTCAGCAGCTGGTGCAACTTTACCACCACCCCACCCCACCCGGATTTTCCCTTGTATTCGTCCACGACACAAGCCATGTCGCAGGCACTCCTCGTCGCCCTGCGCGGCCAGCCCGATGGTCTTTTGGCTGCAAAAGTGCAGATGCTTTCGCCGAATGGTCAGCCCAGCGGCCCAGACGATGGCGGTAGGAACCAGAACCCTCTAGGACCTAGTCCTTCCACGGCAGTCGCTATGATTATTCTCTACAGCATCACTGGTATCATAACCGCTCTCTTCTTGATCATCATCATTACCGGTGCCGTGCGAGCCCACAGACACCCCGAGCGTTATGGACCGAGAGACGTGCTGGGCCGTCCTCGCCAGTCTAGAGCAAGAGGGTTAGGAAGGGCCATTCTGGATACGCTGCCGATTGTCAAGTTTGGCGAAAAGGAACAGCCCAAACCGGCCGACGTGGAGCTGGGTTCCACATCCGAAGCACGAGGGGTGGACGGCGCTACGTCTGCTGAGACGACCGCTCCCGCGGATCCCGGTGTTCCCACTACCACGACAGGAATCCCGGCGACCACATCCACCGATGCCACGAATGCCCAACAACATCAAACCACCGAAGAAGGTATCGCACCTGCTCAACCTGTGGTTGCTGGGTCAGCTTCTACGGGAGATGGTGCATCGCCGGACGAAGGGCTGGGATGTTCCATCTGCACCGACGATTTCGAGAAGGGGCAGGACCTGCGCGTTTTACCCTGCAACCACAAGTTCCACCCGGAATGCGTGGATCCCTGGCTCCTAAACGTCTCTGGCACTTGTCCACTATGGTACGTTCAGAACGCAATTCCCTGCACTTGATATTCTTGAAACTGACACTGTCATTAGTCGTGTGGATCTCCGCCCCGTAACGTCAAACACCTCCGAAGACGAGGACCAAGATCCTGATCACCTCGCTCCACCTCTAGCCTCCGACGCCGACCCTGCACACCGTCGTCGCTCAGGTCTTCACGCCCTGCTCTCCTTCCGCACTCGTCCATCTGCCTCCCCTGAGGAACGCATCTCCGCCCTCCGTCGCCTTCGCGAACAGCGAAGGAACCTCTCCAACGAGGGTGTAGCAAGCGGTAGCGGCCAAGCAAATACGAGCGCCGAAGATGTATCTGCGAATCGTAGAAGCAAGAGGATGAGTGCGCGTCTTTCGGACGTGTTTGGAGGCGGGAGACGACGCAATGGCCGTGAAGCCAGCCCTCCTGCTCCGGAAGCGTCCGAGTCGACGACTGGAGGTGCGGCGGAATCGAGTTCGCAGCAGCAAGGGTCATTGCCACCACATTCTGGCCCTGAAGCGCGTGAGCAGCAGCAATAGAGGCAATCGTTTGTTTCGTTCATTCTCGGCACAGGTCTGGATGATCTGGATCCCCGGGGGCAAGACCCTTTGAGCGTCAATGATTTTCCACATTTCTTCTTGAAGTTATTCTTCTCATCCGTACATATACCCACTCACCCATTCCCACCCATTTTTCTATCAACGGCATCATCACGACATACCTTTTCTCTTTGTCTCTCATTGTCATCATTACCACCGTTATGAGGGAAGGGAGGCACCATCATCACATTTCAAATATGAGCAAGCATCTGTTCCGGCGTTCGATTTGAGGTTACACATGTATGTAAGCAGGCGTTTTTATTCTCGAGACGGGCGGTTTTTTCTCTTTTATTTATCGGGAAAGCATGGTGGACACGGATCTGTGTTTTTTGTTTTCCTTTGTGACAGGGAATGGTGATGAATATCGGGTGCAGGGCATAGAATTCTGAGTTTCTACTACTGTATATGTTTTCATGCCTGAAGACGTCTTTGTAATGTGAAGCAGGGTATGTGCACAGTACGGAATATGTGATTGTATTATGTTTTGTGTTGTGCTCATATAACAGAAGGTACTTGATTTTGAGAAACTTTTTACATGATTATATTCTTGCAGACATAGGTGTCAGCATGTATAGGCAGAATGTAGATGATGCATGACGGTGATGACAGGTGAGCAGGTGACTGGTGACGACGCTCCAAGGCGGCAAGCCACACACAGCCAACACAGCCAACAAGACAGGCAACCCCGTTGGTTCGTTTGCTTGGCGCTCGACCTTGGGCCAACGTCAACCCTCTCTCCTACCTATCCACCTACCTACATACATACTCACCTACCTACTGACTGACCTACTGACTGACCTACCAACCACGTAGTCAGCAACAATCACCCAAGCTCCTACTCATTTGCTTGCCAGCCTGCCACCCCGCAAACACCAGGCACATACTCCTCTCCTCTCCGCCCGACTCTACTCTACACAACCACCCACCTTACACCGCTGTCGCCCATTCCCGCCTTGCGCTCCGCCGTGCTCCACTAATCGCCGCCTCCAGCAGCCCACTATACTACACCACACCAGGCGCGTGCGAACCGCCTCACGCCCATTCACCTCTCCTGTCTTGCCTATACTCTAGTACACCACCTCACTCCATCCCCACAACATGGCCGGCACAAGGAATTACGACTTTCTCGTACGTCTTCTCTCTCTGAAACCCCTCACTCTACCCCCTTCGTCCCCCACCCCACCACCTTATCTCCGCTCTTGAATCGCTTTGCTCACATACGCCAGATCAAGCTTCTGCTCATCGGTGACTCGGGCGTTGGCAAGTCCTGCTGTCTGTTGCGCTTCAGCGAAGACTCCTTCACCCCTTCCTTCATCACCACCATCGGTATCGACTTCAAGATCCGTACCATCGAGCTGGATGGCAAGCGCGTCAAGCTGCAAATATGGGACACTGCAGGCCAGGAGCGATTCCGCACCATCACGACTGCATACTACCGCGGCGCCATGGGTATACTGCTCGTCTACGATGTGACAGATGAGAGGAGCTTCAACAGTATGTGTCCACTTACGACGCCTTTCCCACCAACGTGTTCGCTAGGCTAACCACCCCGTTCCAACAGACATCCGCACATGGTTCTCCAACGTAGAGCAGCACGCAACAGAAGGCGTCAACAAGATCCTCATCGGCAACAAATGCGACTGGGAAGAGAAGCGGGCTGTATCCACTGAGCGCGGCCAGGCTCTCGCCGACGAACTCGGCATCCCCTTCCTCGAAGTCTCGGCCAAGTCCAACATCAACGTCGACAAGGCCTTTTACAACCTCGCGGCCGACATCAAGAAGCGCTTGATCGACAGTGCACAAAAGGAGACGGCCACGAGGAATGTCGATGTCGCGGATCCGGGCGCCGGCGCATCTTCGGGCGGCAAGTGCTGTTAGGAAGTGCGTGGCGTGGGCGAATGCGATTGCGACGGATTGGTATGGGATGGAGCTGGATGCTTGAAACTGATGGCAAGGCTTGACAACGAGTGGCAGGCTGCGGTGCTCGCGTGGAATCACGAGGTCTGTGGGACGAGGGCATACTTGGTGAATGAGTGAGTGGCTAAGCGTGCAGACGGGCACGCACTTTTCAAGAAAGCCCTTGGCGAGCGGGTGGAAATAGGATTTTGCAGAACCGCCAACGGAAACGACTGGAAAGAGATGTGGATGTGTGGCAAGCCTACCTGAGCTTGTTCGCCGTCGAGGGAAATGTTCCCCGAGCGAGTGAAGGGAATCTTTCTTTGGTAGGCAACATTTTGGGGTTATTGGGTCAGTGGTGGTTGTTGTTGCGCGTGTTGGATGGATGGCTGTAGCTATGCTGAGCAACACGGCAAGCAGGCACTATTGCGATTCAAAGGGAGATGATGAAGATATACAAGCGCGCACGTGTGCGGATTCCTGGGTGATTTGTACAAGTCCGTTGTGTGTCGCCATGTATTCATCTCTGTCTCGCCCTGTCTTTTCTTTTCCTTTAAATCAACGCGAGTTTTTGTACCGTTTGTTCCTATTATAGAAGAGTCTTGGTCATTTCGTTTAGTTTGGTGCAGGGGTTCTGGAGAGAGATGGGGGGAGTTCTATAGGCGTTTTAGTTCTTTCTTTTCTTTTGCCAGTCAAGTATTCTAATATAAGTATCTACGTTATCATCTCGCCCGTCTTGTTGGCGGTGTGTCCTGTTAAACAGCTTTAGTCTTTCTCCGTGGCATGGAATTGCATGACGTTAATTTTTTTTTCTAATTGTTTGTTCTCTGAACCTAACCTTGGGTATATATATATGTATATAAATCGCTCTCTTCAATCATCTACCCGAACCCCGAACCCCACCTCTTCTTCTTCTTAGTCACACACCAAAAATGAATCTACTTGGTAAACCACCTCCCATAAGCCCACCTTACCCTCTCCACAACCTTCATCTGCCTCTCGAGCCCAACGCGCACATCCACCAGCTCATCCATTTCGACCAAGAAGTCGGCAAACACGCGGCGCGGGAGGACTTGGCCCGCGGCCTGGCGCAGCAGGTGCACTTCGCAGAGCAAGAGGCCGTGGTCGCGGTACGACATTTCGCCGAATTCGGTGGGGGAGGCGCCGACGAGGATGCGGTCGATGTTGCGGAGGATGAGGAGGAGCGACGTCTGGTGGGAGAATTGGGTCAGGCCTTTGCGGGTTGTGAGGAGCGAGGTTAGGGAGCGGTAGAGGGAGAGGGAGATTAGGAGGCCCGGGGTGAGACCTATGAATCTGTTTGTTCGAGTTAGCTTTGTTGGAGTTGAGGCTTTTGTCAAGGGCTGAGGTGGGTTGGGGTCAGTACGTACCCGAATAACAGTTCCTGACTCTTAAGGATCGAGTCGATGCCGCTCATGGCTACTTCTACATCGACTTTGGTCTTCTGGACTTGGATGAGCAGCGCGCTGGCTAGATTCCCCATGATGGCGCCTTTGACGGGACTCTGGATGTCCTTCTCGTACGCTTTGAGCACGGGCGTGAGATCGCCTTCTCGCACTTTGGCGCGGAGCTCCGAGATCTGCGTCTCAGTGAGCGTGGTGGTGCCTTCCGGATGCGCCACAGCGAAATCAACGACCATGCGTTCCAGACTCGCGCGGTCGGATTCCAGACTGCGTTTCGAAAGGATCGACACTTCGCTGTCTTCGTTGTGCCGGATCGTCGCGATGATTTTCTTGGTCGGGTCTAGGATCCAGTTTGTGTAAAAGTCCAGCACCGTGTGGCCCAGGTCGCGGATCCAGGTTAGGATCTGTTCTCTGCGCGTCGTGATGATGCGGAGGATGGTCGTGGAGGAGACGAGGGCGAGCGTCATGGGCAGCCAGTATCGCACCAGCCGCGAGGGACGCCCGTTTTCGCGGACCATGGCGTTGAAGTTGGACGAGTATTGGGGGAGGGCGTGGGCAAGGAGGTTATGAAGGCGCGCTGCTGCGTCGGCTGGTCTGAGGGACGTAGCGGTTCGTTCCCCCGAAGACTCGTGAAGTTCGTAGTACAGATCCTCATGCGTGGTGGCGGCCACAGCGTCGTCGAACTTATCGATCGGAAGCTCGCTGTCCTTTACAGTGTGCAGCACAGCATCCATCAACGCGATGCTCTTTGCGACGGTGCTTTTCCAGCGATGCCGTTTATCAGCTGTGGTGCCGTACTGGCTGGGTGATTGGAACCCGTCTTCATGCATACTCTCATTGCTTAACCCTTCGCCTAGCAACACCCCCAACGCGTTCGCATTCATCGTCTTGATTCGTTTCAGCGCCTCCGTCTTCCTCCTCCCTTCATTCCTCACAAGCGCCAACGGTCCGACAACCTTTCTCCGGATATCCGCAATACTCCTATCCCGAACGGCTTCGCCGACAAGCCCGTAGAACTCTCTCCAGCTGTCCGTCGCTAGTCTCCCGCCGCGCGCTGTGACATCGCGGTAGATGTCCTTGGACCAGTTGTATAAGCGGATTGGCGAGGTTTGGATGGAGTAGAGCCCTGCGAAGCGGTAAGTCGAGACGATGTCGTCCCAGTACCATATATCATCTTCCAGTGGGATCGTTTGGTCCAGGATCGTGGAAAGGACGGAACCGTAAGCTTGTGTTGTTGCTTTGGAGAGCAATAGCCACTCTAGCTCATGCTCGTACGACGAAGAAGACGAAGCTGAAGACCCGGAGCTGGAATAGTCATCGTGATGCCGTTGTTGCTGCTGCTGCTGCTGCTGCTGCTGCTCTTCGAAAAGGCTGCGACAGGTCGTGCAGCCGGTGCTGTTACTCGCCGATGACAACCCAGCTTGCTCGAGCACAGCCTGGATCTGTTTGGACGGTACGAGCGCATTTTTCGCTTTGGCCGAGTTTGCCGCCGATAAGCTCTTGATGAGGCGTTGGAGGTGGGCGATGCGGCCTGCGCGCTGCGGATCGTGGATCTCGTCGGTGGAGAGCGAGGATGCGACGACTGAGTGTCCGCTTGTGGAGAGCTGGAGTCGGTCAAGTTGGGCGTCGATTCGACGGACTTGACTGTTGTTGTGGGTATGTCGTCAGCTCATATCCTCTTCAAGCGTAGTATAGCAAAATTAAAGGGTGAATATTGAGTGTGTATATGGAAATGGTGCATTCAATGATGCTACAGATGACGGAATAGCTGAAGCAGACGACGAGGATGCACTTTTGGTGATCATCCGAGGTTGAAAAGCAACTTACTCGACAACAAAACTCATAGTCACCGGCCTGCCTTGTCACCGCTGGGCTGGAGTTTGTGTGGTTGTCATTGATGGCGACGAAAGAGGTTTCGAAGTGGAGTCTCGGAGTGTGATGTGCTGGCCCAGCATGTTTTGGGCATGGCCTCTCCTCACCCTGACGTCGATCTAACCGGGGAGCTTGGGCCAATCACATCACGGCATCTCCGAGGTGCACGTGTGGTCGTCTTGTAAACATTGAATTGTGTCAAGTTGTTGTTGTTGTTGTTGTTGTTGTTGTTGTTGTTGTTGTTGTTTTAAAGCCTAGATTAATTGATCAGCCACATGTAAGACTATATTCATTTTCATCTAGTATAATGATATCTTTACCGGCGTGTAACGTGACTTTTTGTGAACACACATGGGCATGTGCACAAAACTGTATCTCTAACAGATAACTGTGTTTTCGAAAAGAAAATCCATGTGCTTTTATTATACCTACAAATGTATGTGCCCGGAGTTCATAGCACTTAAGATGCACCAAAGTGCAATTGTATTTGAGTTGTGCCGGATAGTTGTAACTGCGATGACCAACAATCACACAAATGGAATATTCAATCTTTATAGTATCATCATTTATCGTTGCCTATTAGATGCGCCACCAAGTGAGAAACAGGAAATACTTTCACTTTCATGCTCTTCAACATGTTCATTTATCACTGTAAACCCATCGCTGTGTAGGATCACTCGAACTTCAACTCAGATTTATGCTCTTTGACATAATGTAAAATAGACTTGTGCGTTGCTCTGCATGTAATTAATCGTGCTGGAGCTCCAGAATTTCTGAATATCGCATTTAATCTGCTGTATTTGCTAATTCTCAGTGGACAAAGCCTCAAACTACGCATCGATTAATACCATCCCGGGTAGCACCACAATACGATTGCGTGACAAGCATTTATACTGAAGCGAGTTTGCTCCTCGCCCTCAAAGTACTCCCTTACTTGAACAATAAGTAGCTGGTGTACGTTGGCTCCCTAGAAACATTAGAGGCTTCAGGATCGACAACTTACGGGAAGGGCAGCATGGTCGATGTTAAGAATGCTAGCAAGCATGAAGCCTATTGGTAACAATCCCTCTTGTACTCTGCAATTTAATCATGTTCAGAGCCATGTTCAATACTTTAGGACTGACTTTGGTCTGAAGGCTACAACGAATAAGCACTGCGCAGTTGTGTTGATAGGTATCGAATTAGCGGCATACTTGGAATACGCGGCTATCGAAAACGTACGAGACCCTAGAACAAGAAGAAAATTGTCCAAAATCTTGTACCACATGATTCTTGTTATGATCATTGACTTATACGATAGTGAATAATATAGTTGCGATGATGGGTACGACCCAATGCAAAGACAAATAAGCTGTTTACTTAAAACTAAAACAACGAAAAAGTGGGAAAGTGTCGTGGTGGAGGAGTGTAGAGGTTAAAAGCCGTAATCATAAGATTGAGGAACAAAAACTTGAACGGGATATATAGAAAATTGAGTATCGCTGTGATTAATGACTTCTTCTGCACGGGCGATTCAGACGCAGAGTGATATTTAGGGTCGTTCCTACTTTTACGAGGGGCTAAACCAGGTACACAATTCTAATTAGAGGAGATCTTCGTATGTGAGATGCAGCGCAACATCAGGTGCATATACTTGGATAAATCTTCATAGTCTTGTGGGTACATTGTGCAGATTTACTAGCATACCGAACGCTCTAGCATTACTGCGTGTACCAACGCGGCTTGTTTTGAAAGCAGTAATTCGCAAGTAAGCAATCTACATTACCCGATTTCCTCTAAATTATAGCTCAAGCCATTACGTATTACATCCTACGGTCATGAGACGGCTTAAATCTGCAATCTTTTGATCTGCATGTAGTGAAAGGGGGTCGTTCATCTTTATGAGTTGAAAATGGGATGACGAAAAATATTGTAAGCTGAGGGAATGCATGCGCAGGCTGTGAGTCTGATTGATATTGGAAGTATGTGGCGCTGCTCTATCATGTGTGGGCGTTCTGAAGATTTTTGACGACTTCTGGCGCGTGATACAGCTCTCAATGAGCCCCCAACAACGGAGGAACATACCCAAACGGCGGAGCATTTTTTTTCTTAATCCCTTTTTTCACTTTCAATTTGGCGATCATGACAGTCTTATACGTAAGGATGCTTTGCATAAGGAAGCCCTGACGCGCTCCCCACAGCTTTCATTTACCTCGGGAGGTGCTCGGAACATTGAACCAAATCCAATCCTCTGGAGCATTATTATCAAAATTCATAGCCCGTAGAGATTCAAATGCGTCTTTTCCTTTCAATTCCGTTGCATCATATGGTGTTATCAATACTCTGCCATTCGATGACTTCCCGGATTCTGGCCATTGGCAAAAGTAGCAACTCCACTACAACACCGAGTTTACACAGATTCTCACATTGCTCAAAAGTCAAATAGTCCCCGTCGTCTAACCCGCTACTCTGCAATATCTTATCCACTCTCCCTGGTAGATTTTCTGAATAATTCGTCAGAGTTTCTAAATCTTTCTGGGCTAATTCCATGCTCTCTACATGCTGTGGTGAGCCATAGGTGAAAGTGTCTCTAGCAAGTAGTTCCGGATGATTTGGCCAAGTTCGATCATCCAACGTATCATAACCAAGAACCTTGACATTTTTGCCTGCGTCGAAAGACGTGAATTCCGTGGACCAAGTTGCGTGTGTCTTGAACCAGAGGACCCGAGCCTCGGTTTCTACTGAAACCTCATTTATCTCTTTCCGAGAAAAGGCTTTGGCCGATTTAGTAACATGTCCTATACAATGTCAATCGGCGCGAAACTTACATGAGGCACTAAGAAGCATTCCAGTGTCGGCTCCCAGAATGTATCCCGCCACATAGTAGTCCCCGAAGCATTCTTGAAAGCTTTCTAGACCAGATTGTCCGATCAAGGCTGCCGCTGAAGTGGTCAAACGCGGAGTTCTCTCTAGGTCAATACGCCCATATCGACACGTTGTATGGATCGATCTCTTCTCGCTCTAATCATTGAATCAGCATTGCACATTGACCTTGTCATAAATACTCACATCAGAATTGCTTTGAACTTGCTGGTCGAATGTACCCTTGACACTGACTTCTACGACGGGAACTGCCGGTGCGATACCAACGCCAAATCCACACACGGTATGATCATTGCTTTGTTCCTCTGTGAAAGTCTTTTTAGAAACAAAGGTTGAAGTCGTTCCGCGCTCGGAGTGAAATGTCTTGGCTGTCATCGCAAGTTCTGCCATGAGAAAAGGTGACTCTGTAGCCCATGGATTGTGAGTGAGTTGACGGCTAGAGTGATATCCTGTCCCAAGTCGAATTGCAGCATGATTCCAAGGAAGTACAATTGGCAGACCTGCACTTGCAAGGCGCTGATATTGATTTTGGGGGAGATTGGCAAGGGCTGAAGCATCTAGATTTTTGTGACGCTCTGCCGATGAATCGGCCATTGTGTACTGAGAGGAGAGTATCCGTACAGTCCTTGGATGAAAGAGTGAAAATCAACATATACAAAATGGGCAATCTTTCTCATCCTGCTCGTTTGGGAGCGATATGCTCTCCAAGAAGATGCAATACAGTATGCTACGGAAGGTTATCCACAACCTTGGTGCGCTTTGAACCAAATCTGGTTTTAGTGCATCTCGTCCGTCCGCCTGAACCGTTGATTTTTTAATTGAGCCAGACAACGATCATCGATTGTTCAAAGTGGATGGTGGGCGATCGCAGAAAACAGCTAGTAGCACTGCGACATACGTATGTGTTTCTACTTCAATCAATGCATGAGGGAATCATTACCTACAAAGTCTGAGGTTGAGCGGGGTGCCGCTTCAAACGCAATGCAACAGTTCGGCCCGACTTGAAGACAAGCCAATGACTAGCGTCATCTTCAACGTGAATAAGACGTATACGCCGATCAACATCTCAAAAACCAAAATTTCGGACATGAGCGAAACATTACAACTCAGTTCATAGCCTGCAAGGTCCATATGACAAAGAGTTTGGGTCAAATCAGTATGCAACGGTCATGAAAAGAAATGATCTTCTAATGGCTGATTGCCTCAATTGTCTCAACATATTATTTCACACGCTGTAAATTGTTGATGATAGCTGTCGGCAAGCTGGAGAGGAGACCCGCCAGTCGATCACCACAGCTGCCCTGATCTTCTGTGAGGCTGAGCAGCAGCCAACCAATTCTGTGTTTTTGTTGGGAATCATGATAGGGCTGTTGACTGTACGTTGACGCGGCCACGCTGGTGTACCATGCAACAGAAGGAAACGCAACATGATAATTACGACCACTTGACCAGTATCCTGAAAATATATCCAGACGTCCCACCTGACAGAATTTCGATCCATCAACTTCATCCTGCAACAGTAACCTTACAAGATGTCTATCCAACTTGTGCCATACAACAATGCTATGCGACTTGGGCAAGGGTAAGAGCATTCGTTTTGTCATCACTCAAGACTTTTAGGCTTACCCTTCAGTTTCAATTCCTATACTCAAACGATTTGCGTTGATGACGCGGTGATTGTTGATCCAAAGCGTGCTGAAAATGTGCTCACGAACGATGGCACCACGATGAGGATCTTGTCAGAGAAGAGCAATGCAATCAGCGTCTGGAACCGACAGCGAGAGATTATCAATGATGACCGAGCTGAGAAGGTTACCAAAAAGGACAAAGCTGATGCCATCGAGGATGGTTCTGAGGAGAAGAAGAATATCGAGAAACAGAAAGAAAAACCAGAATCTAGTGAAAGGCGCGCTTCGGCATCTGAGGAAAGTGATTCTTTTGGGGGAACACCCGAAGACTTGACTGACCAGGAAGACCTGAAGCCAAAACCCAAGGACAATAGCCATGGTAAAGATGAGGAAAAGCCCAAAGAAGATGCACCCACGAAGTCTAAGGACGATGCACCTACCAAGGATAATGAGCCCAAGGAGTCCGGCGAGAAGAAGAGCAAATCCAAACCCACCAAATCTGACAATAAAACTTCATCAAAGTCGACTGACGAAAAGAAACGAGAGAAAGAGCAGGAATTGTCAGATGAAAAAAAGGCAGAGAAAGAACGCAAGCATTACGAGAAGAAAAAGCTCGACGAATTGCGCAAGCACCAGGAAGAGATTGAAAAAGAATTGAGGGAGGAGGATAAAGAGCTTCGAAAGGAGGAACGCGACGAAAAGAGGGAGATTCGCAAAGAAAAACGCGAATTCGATGCCGAAAGACGACGGGAAACTCTCAAGAGCATTGCTGAAGCTGCCAACTTGAAGGCAGCAAGCCTCAAAGATCTCAGAAAGATTGCCGATGAGAATGCATTTGTGAACAGAATGACTGGGATGTTGGAGAATGAGAAGCGATACATATTCGACGGTACCGGATCTCGCGGACCCAGCCAGATAGTAACCTATACCAGTCGCTTTGTCGATCGTCTGAGTGACGTAACAGACGACATGTGTGTCTCAGGTGCCCTCTCCATCAAAGCTGGTAAGATTGGCGGATCTGGCAAGGGCTCGTTTGTAGACTCGGACAAGTTCAAAGAGAGTGATTTGAACTTTTTTATATCGGTCAAGGTAGTCAACCAGACGATCAACTTCAAAGACGCTCTGGTCTACAACCCGATTCGAGGAATCTCCGGCGACGAATTTCGACCAGTTTTTGGTGACAGTTTCATTGCCGGTTTCGTGGAGGGTGGTGAATTCAACGCACTTGTCAGCATGAAAATTCTGAACAAAGCTAAAAAGACTGACATTGAAGCGGAAGCAAAGGTTGCTCTGACTATGGGACCTGTCCAAGCCAGTGCTGAAGGCAACGTCGGAATCGCCAAGTCCAACCTTGCTACCAACACCGAGACGACAATCCAGGTCAACTGGTCAGGAGGAGGCCATATCAAACCGATGGAGCAGCAGTGGGATCTTTCCAGTCTGATGCAGGCTGCCGCTCGTTTCCCAGATCTGGTCGCCGACTGTCCTCAACGTACGTATGCCATTCTAGGCAAATACGACACATTGAGAAGCTTTATCGAAACACTGCCCGTGAAAATCAGCCCTTTGAAATACGAATTAGCTCAAGCCTATACTAATTCTCTCTTGGATTCTTTCATGAGCTACAAGGCGCTTTACACGAAGCTCGGCGAGCAGATCTCTGCCGTCCAGAAGAAGACTCTGGAAATTGAGGCTTGGACAGAAGATAAGATCATTCCGACGACAAGGTTCGGGATCAACACAGCGATGGCTATTGGTCCTTATATAGAGAAGAGTTTTCGGTACGATGCCTCGGTCAAGGGTTTGGGCGATGCTCGCACGGAGATTCGCAAGCAGATGGCTCGTATCGTTAACGAGGTTGACCTGATTGAGAAGGACCCTGAAATTGCAACAGACGATAATCACGCTGAGCCTTTTCAATCTCCGTTGGCTTTTGAGGCACGTCTACCGGGATTCAAGCTACCGAAGCGCTCTAAGCGTTCCGCGCCTCCACTTACCGGGGTACCCATCGCACCCGACGTTCAAAACAACACTCAGAGCGACGAAGAACCCGTCCTCAAGAGCGGCGACCTGTTTACCGAGGAAGAGAAAGCAGACTTGTCAAAGATCGAAGAGGATATGCCTGGTGTAGCCCAGCAGCTCCGCGTGACGAATGCGGTTGGCTTCGTTGAGAAAGTCAAAAAGCCGACAGAGGGAGAAGAGGACGCTGAGCCTGCAGACGATGGGGACGGCAAGACTTTGAGGAAAACCACTCGATTTAATAATCTCCAAGTCATGAGGCCGGACTGGAAAGTACTTACCCTCGAGGTGCAAGTATTCGAGGGTGCAGTTTCGTATATTGCCATTTCCTACACGAATGGATTGTTGATTCAAAATGGAATAGTAAGTGATCCCTCTGTGATCTTACTTGTAGATGAAACTGATCATTGTAGAAACACAACTCTGCCGATTCCTTTAGTTTGGGGCCGCTGAAGTACAGTGAGCGGATCAGCTTTGTGTCCATCGAGACCGGTGAGCTAGTTCACAATGGCGAGGCAGACATCCGCGTTACGGCTATCGGGCTGTATACAAACCGTGGTCGTTGCCTCATCGCGACCGCCCCCACAGAGACCATGGGAGATGGAAGGTTCAGAAAACATGCCCTGGAGTATCAAAACATTCGCTTGGTCAATGTGGAAGCGCCCGTGGAATACGGTGCGCTCATTGGATTCTTCGGCAACCACGAGGAAGGCCGGAGCGACATCGAGTTGATTTGCCGACTTGGTCTGATCTGGGCGGCAACAGAGCCAGTCAACGTACCCGAGGAGATCAACAAACCCCTTGGAATGGCTGGGACCATAATTACCCACACAACTACTGCACAGAGTGGTGTACATACTCCTGCGTGCTGGCTTTACATGGATCAATTCGTCGCCCGCGAAATTGTCAACTTCCCTGCTTCTTACGCAGAGCCGCCACATTTGATTTTGGGTATCAAATCAATCGCAGTCCTTCCCGAAGCGCGTGTAGATGCAGGCGGTGGCCTCTTAGCTGTGAACTCCCAAAACTTCCGAGTCGTATATGGATCTACTGATAAGAGCTTCTGTGAATTGTCTCTAGTTTGGATGTCAATACCAAAATCCAGTATGCACATTGAGACGAACATTGGTGAGTTTGAGAAGAAAGACATGGATAAATTTGACGATCAGGATTGGAGAGGGCGAACGACCAGAGTGCAATTCTCAAAACCCTTTAAACAGCCACCAAAAATAATTACTTGGCCTGCTAGTTTTAACATGGGACCGGAATCGATTTGGCATTCGTCCGATGGGGATGACAGGGAGAAGGATGGTTTCACTCTCGAATTCTGTTACCACAAAGATGCTGAAGATAAGATCAGCGCTGACGGTCAGCAAATCGGCTGGATGGCATTCGAAGAAGATGAGATTCCCGGCCGCATCCAGTACGGCCGTATCGACACACTCTCTTCTCACGTTGACTTTGAGAAAAGCTTCGACAAAGCTCCATCTGTATTCATCTCTCTCACTAGGATTGAAGCAAGACGTGTACAATCTGCCAGTGCATGGAGCTTTGACATCAAGTCTGATCATATCCAGGCTAGCGGATTTGATTTCTCCTGTGAGGTGTCTAATCTAGATGTTTCAGGTGTACAATTCTGTTGGATAGCTGTGGTTTAGACCGGAAATCACTTGCTCACAATCAAAGTTTGTAGGAATCTCCTTGTATCGATGGTTGTATCTGTTTTATGTTGTATATGAAACTAGTTTACGTTTGCACAGGTCTGCGAGGTGCCTAATCTTGGATGTTTTTTCGTTTAGTAGCGCAGTAAGTACTGGGGTCTCTTCTAGTCCTTGTCTTTAGTGTGGCTGAAAACATGATAATTGCTTTTCCTGCAAATCCCTATTTCCACTATACCTATCTGTATTATATTGGTTGGACTGAAACCGTCACATAGACATAATAGCAAGTATGCGCTAAGCGTAGTAGTAAATTATCGCATTTTCATGCGGCACATACACTTGGCATTGAAAAAACACACGATAAATGCCTTCGAGCTGTAGGCGAAAAGACAAACATGTTCCATAGCAAGTATGCGTAAATTCAGTGTGTGAGTGCTTTATCAGAGGCACTCTTATAGTTTATCACGCTATACAAACTGAACCGTAATCGCGCGTAGCTGTTGTGTAGTTAATACTCTCCCGCTGATAGTAGCTTTCTTGTTAATATTAGTGTACTTTGAAGTAGCTCCCCAGAAAAGGATAATATGCTTGCCCATCAGCATTATAGTAATAGGGCGATGGAGGGGAAGATGAAAGAGAATATAAAGTGGCTGATTCGTTTGAATCCGGACACATTGAGCAGTCAGGGTGCAGAGTTATTGCGATAACTACTAGCCATCGATATTGACGCGGTGAATGGCGATTCAGATCGTGTGGGAAGAACGGTGAAGTACAGGGAGCTGGGAGTGAGCGAGGTTTGTCGAGTCATGGAGATGATGGCGCTGTGAGCATACACATCCCCTTGCCATAGTCATAATCGCTAGCCATGCTACAAAGAGAATCTCGAAAAATCAACCTACCAACCCCATTTACCCGTTTTCAGCGAAATCAATCTCAAACGCCTCAACTGAAGCGGAACTACAAATGTTCTCCGCGTCAACTCATGAGATGCACGATAAATTAGCACTTAGCCTACAATCCCAGCAGATTTATCAACACCCACATATATGGCAGGCAGATGCTCGTGGGGTGGTTGTCACGACGGGAAAATAGTCGCTTCAAGGCGTCCAATGATCATTCTCTTAGACCGTGTTGAGGGGGTTTGACGAAGGCGTGTTAGAACAAACCTCGGAATGAGCTATTTTTCCAGATACGAATCTAGATATTCAGAGGCTGAGATACTTATTTGAGACTATAAACGTTGGGTTATTCCAGGCTATAGTACCGTATATGTGGCTATCTATGAATTAATCCTCTCTTCCGCCTTTCGAATATCTACAGAGCCCACTTTCCAGCCTATCCCGTCCACGCTACAGGTTTTGGCTCAGCATAGACTCTGATATCATCTGGGTACCCCGGCTTTGTCTCATCATGGAACCAAATACCTTCATCTGTCAGTATAGGTACTCACACAACTTCTCATTTAAGGTATGGGTACGTACTCGGATCGTCTTCTTTGTAAGCTCCCGGAAAGCTGATAAAACCACTCGGACTGCCCCCACCTTTCCCAACGATATCGACATGCGCGCATGATACAAACCACTGACTCTGCCCTTTGATCCAATTTGGCATGAAATGCTCGATGCGCATGACGTACTTGCCCGGGGGCGTTGTAGCAGGGATGTTGAACTTCATAACAGATTCGTTTTCAAGTTCCCACGTCGTGCTGCTATTGGGTCCAGCGAACGCGATCTTGAAAAATGGCTGGCCGGTAACATCGTAATCGCGAAGATCATCGATATCTGCTGGTAGCGGTGAAAGGAAAACTTGTCCAGGCCCTTCGTGGAAAATGATGGGTTGCGCGTCGCCCGCCGAGTCTGGAGACGAAAGATGGAATCCGACTTGGTCGCCTGCGAGAATTGTCGCGGTTTGGATGTCAGGATTTCGGACCGGAAAGGCTGATGCTCCGCATACGATGTCTGGGCTGGAAATTTCGTACACGGGAAACGACCTCGACCTGGTTGTATGGGTGTTGTCAGTGTTTGTCAGCATCATGTGGGATACGAGGCGGTGGTCAGTACCAGAGAGGCCCGCCTGCATTTACAGGGACCCTGTCTCGAATGTATTGCATATCTGTTGATAAGCTATTATTTACGATGAGCTTGCTGAAGAGATCTGTGATCTGTTAGCATGTATGGCGGGACACGACAAATGGAACGCACAATGGCTGTGCACCCCATGCGCGAGGGCCGCAAGCACTGGGATGGATGCAAGCTTCGTATTTATCGTACAGTGTGTCATCCTGGGTTTTCAAGGCGGATGTCATTTGTCTATGGATGTCCGTTTCCTTGATCTTTATATTTTACTTGCTCTCTTCTCCCCACAGACAGAACTATGAAAGTGGGGAAGCATGCATCTTGGGTAATGCAATGCATGCGCGGTGTAACCTGATCTTTGGAGCGATGTAGCTTCTCTAGCAATATTTTAAATGAAATCTGCAAAAATACGACACCTTCATTGCAAGGAATATATGAACACACCGTCTTCATGTAATATGGTAGACGACCCTATATTGCGCAGTGCGGCACTCGTACGAAAATAGATTAACAAATCGCCAATGCCGGAAAATCGACATGATGGGTATTGCATGTTTCCAACTCGGGTCATCCCGCCTTTTCGATATCGCCTGGATCACATCTGGCTTGTAAGAGTCTGCACACACCATTGCTTGTGTAAAGAGGAATCTCGAAAACTATGCCTGAATTTCGACGGGTGCACTGCCTGGAGTCTGGGAGAATACGTTTTTCTAGCACATCTAGCACACAATATCGGTGCATGATCCTATCAATCACAGTGAATTTGAATCACAAGTACGGCTTTTGTTATCTCTATTGCGAAAATTATAAGCGCCTGATTCTCGATTGATACGTTTATTTGTGCCAGCTTAATGCGGACTAACGCACAAATATAAGTATCCTGGTCCTCTTTTCCTGTAACACCTAGAGAGTGTACTTCACGGATGCAGCTTCCAATGTAAACCCAATCATAGCTAACAGCCAGAGTAGGGCGCTCGTATCGCCCCCACAAACCCCTCTAGCCCCCGCTGTGCAACGATGACAACTTTAGGGGCAACATCTTATTCAGTGCGCCAAGATTTCTATTGTACTCAAGTGTCTAGTTCAAAGAATAAAATAAAACTCATAATTCATTTAAAACACAAACTAAAGACTAGAGTCGGTAAACGAAGCCCGTCCGAGGTGTTGTTTGAGGTTGGAATAGAGTGAGTGTACCACACTCCTGAAGGCTAGTTGCAAAAAAAAAAAAAGGCGGATAAAAAAAGTAATTTGTAAGCAAATAAGTGTATGAGAAAAGGCGGAGAAAACGAAGTCAGGAAAAGTTTCAAGTGGTGCCTTTTGCAATCTACAGTAAACCATCTCAACATGTGTTGTTTGGAGGACCGATCGAATCTGTTTATGCGCAATCTACGCTTACCTTTATTCAAGCGAGGACAGGACACCCGTGAAAACTGGCTTGATAATCTGAAGTGTCTGGAAATTTACTTATATGATAACGGGATGCTTTATCACTTGCATCTTGTTAAGGAACCCGCGCGGGCGCATACTTGAGAACACGCATTTAGCGAAAGAGACTGAATCAAATACCGTTTGGCATCGGTCTTGGGAGGCTGGTCATTTCATGCTTGGAAGAATGATGGTACTAATTCGATTATTTGATCATCGCATATTCCATGCGGCACAAACACTTGGTATTGAAAAGTCACACGATAAATCTGCCTTCGAGCTCTAGGCAGGAAGAACGATGGAAAGTCTTGTTTATTAGTTACGGCAGTCTTGAATGGTCGTAATCAACATTACCTTGATATAGTTGAGAATCTTCAGTGTGATGATTGAAATCCACGTGGAGTTTTTAGGATAATCCAAATCTAACTGTACGCTGTATAACAAGTTGCGTCCTTGACCGAAGTCCAATGTATCGACCGCAACCGGCCTATTTTTCAGTCTGCTTCTTGATGTTATTCCAATCCATCGCCAATGCCCCCAACATCGCTGCGCAGCTCATTGCCAAGGCTATATCAAAGGTCCTAGTCAATGCTCCATTATATACGTGCAACACAATATCAAGCGCCTTAGCTGGAATAGCGTTCCTCAAGTCAGTGGCCCCAGACTGTGTGACCCATCTAATATCAAATTCAGGCAACACCCTCAATCCCTCAACAAGCTTGTTCGAGAGCACATTTTGCCCCACCGAGACAAAAATTGCGCCACCGAGCCATTGCGCAAATAACATCAAGCTCGCTCCAATTGGAATGTCTTGCTTGTCAAGAACAGTCTGGACAGCCATACTGGGTGCTTGCATTCCTAGACCAAGACCAAAGCCGTAGACGAATTGGTACCCAATCCACTTGGCTTGACTAGTATTCACCTCAAAAGTCGTCAACAACCCCATACCGACCGACATCAATACCGTGCCAAGGATCAGTGGAACAGCATAGTATCCCACATTCCCGGTTATCGCCCCTCCAAGTATCGATCCAGCAACGAGAGAGAGCACAAGCGGGAGAAGCCGAATGCCGGATGTGTACGCCGACACACCTTCGATCGCCTGAAACCAAGTGGCGAGGAAGTAGACGACTATCATCATGGAGGCGCCGGAGCAGAGCGACCAGTAGAACCCAGCTGCTACACTCCTGTTCCTGATGATCCGCGGCGGCACAGTAGCTTCATCGCCTTTCCAGACCTGGATGATGACGAATCCGATAAGAAGGATACCAGCAAGAGTGAGAAGTAGAATGATGCGGTAGTTGGACCACGCATAGGTGGCGCCGCCCCATTGTAGGGCAAGTAAAAGGCAGACAATCCCTGGGAGGAAGAACGCTGTACCGATGGGGTCGATCTGGCGAATCTGAACGGAAAGAGGCTTGCCAAAGTCGGGCGGGGTAGGGATGTGGAGGAGGAATATTATGGCTGCGACAGCAACTCCGCCGATGGGGAGGTTGATGTAGAATCCTTGAAGGTTGAATTAGAGGGATTAGATGCACACGATTGAAAAGACTTACCCCACCGCCAGGTGACATGAGTAGTAAACGCTCCTCCTATCAATGGTCCCACTACACTGGCAATGCCAAAGACAGCGCCAAACAAGCCCTGGAACATAGGCCGCTTCGCGAGAGGAATGGTATGAACTATGATGACGATAGATCCGTTGAAGATCCCCGCCGACCCAAACCCAGCTATCGATCGTCCCCAGATGAAGGCGACAGAGTTGGGAGCCGCACCACATATGGCTGAGCCGATTTCAAACAGCGCAATAGCCAGGAGGAAGACATATTTCGTGCTGTAGTACACGTAGAGCTTTCCAAACCATAGCTGGAAGGCGCAAGAAGTCATCATGTATGACGAAGCGTACCAGCCAATATCTGTAAGCGAATGAAACTCGTTGGTGATTTGTGGTATGGCGGTCGCGATAATGGTGCGATCCTAGCCGATATTAGCATCTGATTTGTAAAGTTGGAGGACAGATCCTCACCAACGCAACTAGGAATACTGCCAGATACAAGGACGCCATGATGAGAGTGAGTTTCATGCCCTTGGGGTATGTCTTGTCGAGGTCGGCTTTCTCGTCCATGCTACGCGCTGGTTGTGCAATTGCAGGAGGCGTGCTTGCCACTTGGGCTTTCTCGGGGTCGATTTGCGTCATGTTCGACGGAAGTGCCGTAGCTGCGGTCATTTGCTGTAACGCGGGATTGAGGATTTTGCGGTCTTGGTTGAAGAATTCGGGAATGTTTTGGGGGAGGATCAATCCAAAAATGGAACGAGAAGGAAACACATCAAATAAGGAAGGTTTCAGAAGAGGAGAGAGTAGAGGAGGCGACGAAGAGTTTGCGAGACAGGACCAGTTATTTTATTCAACAAATCTCGGGACCGAAGAGGACGTCAACAAACCGAGAATGGTTTCGGGGTCTCGGGGCTGTTTTCGGGCCCGAAGGCGCAAGGCTCAAGTGCTGAACGCCGCATTCTTTTACCCGCACCTTCCTCTTTCTTGAACAAGATGATTCGTCCTTCACATCTTTTTATAGTACAGTTCTTGCCATCTTTTATAGTTGAAATCATTCGATTTATTCTAGGGATTCCTATACTCTTCAACAATGTCTGACTACGCGATTACTCCGTTTTCTCTCATCGAAACCCCCATCCATGCCCAGAAGAGGCTTTCCGACGACAAAAAAACCTCTCACTCCTATGCCCAAGGCGCGTCCATTATGGCGCTAGTTCACAACGTCATTATACGGGGTCTTGACTCAGTCTATCTACAAGCACCTCACGTGCATGAAAAGGACTTTGTTGACTTCATAAACTACGCGGCTTGTTGGCACGAATTCACGTCCAATCATTTCCGAAACGAAGCGGAGAGCATCATCCCCACCGTGGAAGCAAAGTGCGGGGAACAAGGAGTGCTTGATGAAGATCTGAAGGAGCACGAAGCTTTTGCTGTTGGTTTCGACGAGTACAAGACATACCTAGCTACTATGGCAGCGAAGCCCGGCGAGTTTGATGGGAAGAAGTTGACAAGCATCGTTGACTCTTTCGCGCCCAAAATGATGGAACATCTAAGGAATCAGATTCCAAGGATGTTGGAGTTGGCGAGGTTTGGGGAGAAGATTCCCATGTTGGAGATTATCGAAACGGAGGGAAATCGCAGTACCCAGCACCTTTCCAAAGCTGGGGGCATGATATTCTTCCTCAGAAATTTGGACTTGGGCTATGAAGACGGGCTATGGAAGGACTGGCCTCCTATCCCTAATGCAGCGCGCTGGGGCGTGTTGAAGACAATAGGGAAGTGGTATTCTAAATGGTGGGTCTATGCTGCATGCGACGAGTCTGGGCAGTTGCAGAAGCTGCATGCTAGCTACCATTAGAGATGAGTTGAGATAGTGATGCAGTAATAAAACTCACTACACGTGTTGATATCACGCGTCATGACTGTGATCATGCCGTGCGTTAAGCATGAAGATATCTCATAAGTCACTGTAGAAGTAGGGTCAAGTGTCACGCCAGGTGGAGAGGGCAGGTCCAGGTAACGTGCCCATCATTCTCAACTGCCCGACGATGATGAGCACTCCGGCACGCAATGCACAGCAGCATGTACGAGCTGATGAGCGTGTCAACCACGCATCAAGGAAAACTATCATCATGTGTCGTGGCAGGTGAGAGGTGAGAACCGGGCGATCGGACGATGGTAGTAGGCTACGATGGCAGTGCAAATGGGATGAGGTGACGGCTGTAGGGGGTGACGTGTTTCTTTGGCAGGATATGGAGCCTACCAGTCCATGAAGCTGACAGGGGCTTTCGAGGCGTATTGGGGCTGCAACTTTTGACGCGGCGGTGACGGGGCAGGGAAGTGGTAATGGCGATAGAGTGGGTGAGGTAGGTTGCGCTCATGGGTGAAGGTCATCGTGATCAACGGGATCTGGAAGAAGCCCGCGAGTATGGGCAGACAATGCGTCTTTGGACAGGAAGTCTAGTGATGTGATTATCTGTTAGCCATTGTGTATGCACTCGAAAGCCGTTTGGACATCGCGTTGGTAGACAGTCCATGGCCGACAGGTCCTGATGATGGACCATTGCACTCAATTAAATGATGAATAGAAGTGAGCGGAAGTCGTGTGTCATTTCGAAAGACGGCGCATTGAATGCCGCGGTAGGACCAGACCGCGGTGGATGTTTCCACTTGAGATACGGCAAGCCTGGAGTCAATACCACCTACTGTCCGTGGGAGAATTTGCGTGCATCAAATATGTATCCCTCAATCGCTCGTGCAATTCGTTCGCGATCCAGCTTCTACCTCACGTCTGCGTAGACGAAGTTGTGTTTTGCCGGATCCCATCGTTTTCGATGCTATTGGTCGCATGAATGTAGTGATACTTCCTTCACAAGAACGGTCGGCTGGGGCGGCTTCGGTGATATCGCGATGACGTCTTCGAGTGGGGAGCGGGCGCAGACATTGGAAAGCTAGGCTTGGGAATTATTAAGATTGCAAGTGCTCCTGATGCGCGTAATGGATGATCCCGTCATATTTCGTTGTTGTGTATTCCCAGCGCAATACATCTTTTTTTAGTTAGGCGCGCGCATGCGAAAGGGTCCTGGTGGGTCTATCGTGCATGCGGCTCTGCGTTAGCGTACCGACCGGTTCTTGCATTAGCTCAGCCTTATCATGACATCCGACTTTGAGCGCCGAGAAGAAACAGGGAACAGGACAGACTGATGGAAAACTTATCCATCGCACTGCTACTTCGATGCGCTATTTCTTATGTATCTAGTAAGCAATTTTGACCTCGTTGACTTCCTTGCTTTACGGGCTATGACACCACGGTTACACCAAGAAGCGCGCTCAGTTGTTGAGCTATATCCACTTGTAGCAATCTATGGGAATGAGTGATGGTAAGCGATAAGAGGACACCATAATGATTGAAGATATCGTGAAGTGATTAGCTAAGGCAAAAAACAACAGCTGCCTGTAAAGGCAATACCACCCTCCCGAAACAGAGCATCTCGTGAAATGTGCCGGACGTTCAGTCGGCCCGTATATGTGGAGCGGAATGGGGTCTATCAGTTGTATCCAGTAGGATGTAGTACATGGTGGTGTGTGATTATGCGCAACAATGACTGATGCTGATGCTGCTGGTGCTCATGTCCTATAAAGGCGAAAACAGCGACTGAGGGCCAGATGGACGGTGAATTCGAGCGGACAAACTAGTATGCAATTACGGGTCGAAGGGATCATGGCGCGTAGAGATGTCGAAGACCGCACGGGCTGCTTCGAGTCGGATGCCGGTGGTTGTCGATGGGCGAGGCGTAGTGGGGAACATGTCCCATGGGACTGGGATTTTTTGTTAGCGTGCCGATACACTACACGAAGCTTAAGCTGACTTTCAATCAAACTGCCCTTCGCAGCTGATGGAGATGTATCCGTTGCACTGATATTTCATGCGCTGTTTCGCCTGGCCAGTTTCACGGGTCGTGAAACTACAGCTACCAAGCACATCATTTAATCATCGCAATTCCATGCAGCGCGCTTAGCTGTTGAGCTACATCGACTTGCAATGATCGATCTATGAGAATGAGATTTCCGCCCGCGATGCGAGACGTAACCATCAGGCCGCCTGAAATGATAATTTAGGTAGAAAAGAATCGAAAAGAGCATCAAGTAAGATGTGCCGGGCGTTCAGTCAGTCCTAGTATACGAAACAGGAGGGGGTCAATCGATGTAGCCGATAGTGTGATCCTGCGCAATGATAACTGATGCTGCTGATGCTCATGTCATATCCAATGTGTCCAACGTGGACGAGGATGATAATAAGTGGGTACGGCTATCGTGTCTGGGGATGGAGAAGGATGTGGATTTGACATGATAATGACGGGTAGGTATGGTAGATGACCGTTAAGCTACAGAAATTATTCATGTTCCAATCGTGCGCGATCTTGCATTACACTTTGGCATAATATACCAATACGGATGTTCATCTCGAACTTCCTAGGTACCCTCGGTATGTCTCTGGTGTTTTGATTTCCACTAAGCATAGTAGTGATTCATCGCATTTTCGGATATTCACACATGTGCGCGTCATATGAAAATCCCACCCGTTGATAATCAATCTTCTTCGCATGTCTATGCTGTCCGACGTAAATCGCCCGATCGTGTGCTCTTCACATCCACCCAAACAATCATGCGTTTATATTTCCGTGTATGCCGTACCAAGTGCTTATGCCGCGATGCTGCTGTCTATTTGGGACAGTTTGTTGTCTCTTCGCCCTGTTCTACACACAGATATGCCTCCCAACTGCAATGACCGACGGAGATACGCTTTTCAGCATCAGCGCTATGCGATTGTGGATTGTTGAAGGCTCAAGATGTAAATTATCGAGTCGAGAAGGTTGCTTCGGATCTTCACTGATGGAACTATAGCTTTGGGGGTGTGGTCTACGCGTCTGGGGTTCCGATTGTAGTGTATCTGATCGTGATTAGTGAGTGAACTGTGTGGAAATGGGGACTTACGCGAGGAAACACATGATCGCTCAACCTACAGCTCGTATTTGCACCTTAAACATCAAGGAGTTCCCGTCCTAAACCACGTGGAGGTTCGAGCATCTCAGGACTGATTTTTTAGACAGGTTGACTCCTGTGATTTGTTTTAGGTTAACTCCTGGTCATTTAGAGATCTATGACTGCTGTGCCATGATTTTCTCTCGCTCTTTCTGAGCGGCCCACTTCATGCCTCCCCACATGAGCTGGAAGACGCGAGGCAGTGCATCGATATCGCCCATGGGCTCGAGATCAGCCTCAGTGAACCGAGTCTGCGCATCATCTTGGTTCATGATCGACCTTTGGATCGTGCGACCGAGAACCATACCGAACCTAGTAGGGTGGTCGGCAGAGCTGGTGTCTTCGACGTTGGAGTGCTTGAGCATCTCCTCGTATGTAATCTTGTCCAGCGCAAATAGAGAGCCGGAAGAAAGATTACGCAGGGTGTCCAGTGCCGCTTTGACTCGCTGGGCAGCTGCATCACTGTTGATATGCTCTAAGTGCTTACACAATTCCATTGCTCCAGCAAGCTGTTCCTCCAGGCTGGAAATCTCGGCCGATGCATCTTCGCGCTGGCGTTTCTCCTGCTCGTCTACCGTTTTGACTCCACGTAGATATCCGGCTTGCTCTGCAGCGAGAAGCTGCGATGCTCCAGGCGAAGGATTGTCGAGGGTGCGTTGGACAGCCTCCAAATGCGAGCGCTGACCGGCGGCGAAGTCATCTTCTCGGGCTCGGAGTGCATTCATTTGTCGCTCGTGATCACGTTCCATACCAATCTTCTGTATTTGCATTTGCAGTGGCTGGACGCCAAGCTTCGATTCGAGGACCGCGAGCTTCTTGTTGGCTTCCTCCAGAGCTTTCTCGGCTGTCACGGCGCGCTCGAGCAGAATGGCATTCTGTTCGATAAGACGGAGGTCGGAGGGTGAGCTGGCAGCGGCCAGAGAGTCGTTGTTTGGAGATGCCATTGTGAAGTGTTAAAGACAGATTGGGGTGCACTGGATGAGTAGTGATTGGGAATGCGGAACAATCAAGCCATCGTGTGTTTGGAAACTAGAAACTTCTATCGGTGCCATATTTTTCCGGACCATCACGATTTTGAACTAAAGTCAGGCTAGCTTACCAGAATGAATAATCGAATTGCATTTAGCTGAGCGCCTTGCCGCTGTGATGTAACGTACATATACATTTCCATTACTTTTACAAACGATTTGGCTCTGGTACGTAGAATCTTCACCTAGTTTAAACAATCTTGTAGAGATTCTCGATCGAGTTTATTATCATCTCAGCTTACAATTTCTGTGTTTTGCCCGGTTCATATAATTTTGCGAAGTTGGCCGTCGTTGAAGTATTACTCGGGTGATGAGATAGCGTACTGTATTGCCCGGAAGAAGTCACGATCATCGCCGATGAAGTGGTATGATGGGGTCTAGGTTGTAATTGTGAATTGCGTTTGGATGTAGATTACGGCTGCGTCGAATGTTCGCTCTGAGAGTGATGCACACGACAAGCCGAATGTATCGAGCTAAATGAGCGACACTGGAGGCTCGCCGAAGTCCTTCTTCCAATCTGTACCTACATTAAGAAATTTATCCTTGTACAGAGCGCTTATATTTTGGGTAACTTGAGTTGGTAGAATAATATGCGCCTGTTGATCAAATCGGCTCCCACCCCAGCGGCACGTACAGTAGACTTCGCGAATAGCTGTTTGAGAACGCATGGTCAAAATTGGTATGGTCGTTAAGAGTGGCTAGTAATGCTCAGGTCTTGGTGAGAATCGTTCGCTGGGTACTTGCGGAGATGAAGTCGTGGTACTATGCGAAGTGTTTCGGTCGGAAGGCCGTGAAAATCGATTTTCGATAGCGTTGCGGACTTGAGTTGCGATATATGTCTTTTGTAGATCTATATGACCCAATCGGCGCAATGCTTGAGGTGGATGTACAAAATCGCAGCCAATATCAAACTAGTGAAGTTAATAGATGTAGCCCATATCAGCACCGTAAAGGAGTTCCCGTCCTGAACCACGCGGAGGTTTGAGCAATTCTCAGGACTGATTTTTGTACAGGTTGACTCCCGTGATTTTTGCTTTCAGGTTAACTCCTGGTCTGTAGGCAACAACACCTACTTCTCCCCATTGGGGTTCTTGTTCTTGGGATCTTGGGGATCGTAGCCAAAGGCATTGTTTCCCCGGTCACCCGCGCTGATGCCCTCATGCGTTGCCCGAGGAGCATCGACCAAACGGGTCGCGAGTTCTGCGATGAGGCGGCTGTATTCAACGGAACCCAGCTCGCCGTTCATCATCCTCTGGTTGACTACGGACATCTGCCGCGAGATGTCGGCGGCCGTCTCCACACGAGGTTGAAGAGTGAGTTGCATCATGGCATCAACCAAGTCTTCATAGTCCTCAGTGTTTCCACCAGAGCCTGTACCCTGGGCGTTTCCATCCGGAGTGACAGGGTTCTGGGTGTTTCCACCCGCAGAGTCTGGAACATCTTGAACGATGTCCACCTCCTCAGTCGAAGCTTCTTCATTGAGAAGCAGTCGATTCTGTGTATGCCCACGAATTGTGGACAAGCCAATACGCCTATGGCGCTGGCTACGAGCACGTCCGCCACCGAGGTGAGCGCCGCGTCGTCCGCCTGCATTGGCGGGTTCTAGGTAAGGCTGAAAGCCGTACTGAACGCTCAATTCTCCCGTACGGGAGAATGAGATTGTGTGGGTCACTCCGCGCATTGAGGAGCCAGAGGACTGACGGGCACTGCCCTGCCGTCCTCTACCAGCGTGGTGTCCCAAAGGGCGCTGTCGCTGGCGACCAGCACGTCCTGACATAGCATCATTCTTGCTCATGCCGGCGCGCGCGGACCAAAATTGGTCATTGGTAACGGCCGTGACCTTGTCACAAGCTTTACCACGGTGGGCATCGGCAGAACCGTGCCAGGGACACTCCTTGGTGCAATGGAGCCAGTTTTCCCTGTGCTCCGGTCCCCTCTCGAGAACACAACGGAGACAGAGCTTGTATCTGTCTCCGACGCCAGCATGCTTCAGCGCCCACATCATGTCACCATGAGACGCGTCCACATAGTGGCCTTTGGGTGGGGGACGGTTGGGACCGTCACCACCGTCACCACCTTGTCCGGAACCACCGGACTGAAAACTTGCCGCCGGAGCGAGAGCGAACTGCGGAGCAGGAGCAGGAGCAGGAGCGGGAGCAGAAGACATTTTCAATTTAAAAAAATTGAGTATGTAGCTGTGAAGTGGGCAAGTGGGTTGGTTAGGAGAGGGAGAGAGTTGGCGGCGAGAACAACAACACGAGAGAGTCGCGCCAAGACTTTCAGAACTTCATGGAATTAGAAAGAAACTGGGTGAAGAGGGAAGTAAACGCAATTCACTGCGTTGAATTGTAGAGTACTGCGTTGCTGATCAATCGCGTACAGAAAATCCCTCGGAACAAGCAGATAGAGGAATTTCCTGCTCAGTTTGAGGCATGACAGCGTGAATACTTGAAGAAGTAATCCTGATTTTTCAAGTTCAATCATAAATACTAGGGCATTTGAATGCTATGCTAAAACCTCGACGTGGGTTAGGATATGTGCTCAAAGCATTAACCCCGCTTCAAGGTGCCAGTACGAGCATATCGTCAATAGCTTCAGTTACAACCCAAACAATTGCGTAATCCTCTACTGGACATATACCAGTAAGGCATTCAACACCTTGTGCACATCATTTTACTCAATCACAGCCTAGTCATGTCGTCGCATAAACTCCCGGATATGTATCCAATCAATAAAAACTGCGCCTTTAGTCAACTACGCAAACCACATCTAACACGGGACGCACCAATACGTTGCTTAGCTGCATGCTCCAGTGCACAACGCTGTTTTGACATACCTAAGCTTTCCTAAGTCTTATATATTCGCTCACCTTTACGATTTCAAGTCCATTCTTTTTTTGTTGATAAGACGTTGTCAACAGCCTCAACTTCCCTGTGATGAGTACGTAGGTGAGTGCGGGTTGCTGCAGCTGCATATCATTCACGATTTACTCGTACTTCCTTATGCTCTGGTAATAACGTGTGTTGCGAGACCTCATATGCTGTTCTGCAGATGTTTGAAATTGAGGTTATCCTGATTAATGCTATCTCGTTTGGACAAGTATCAAAGCTGGCAATTTTTCCCCTCTTCGTAGAATGCCCATTCACCTTCATGTCCCTTCCGTGGGATTCTATCTGTGCCTGTGGCGTGGGTAGATAAGTCTTGGCGGCGGCGCTAGTTGGGCTGGCTGCTATCAAGGCTCCCTCGCTCCCTCGCTCCCCCACTCTCTTCCTCTACAACTTTGCCTCCGCGACCGCCAAAGCGACTGCCTCACAAGCAACCGCCCACAGCAACAGCCGACAGCAAAGCTTCCCCCCTCCTCTCCTCTCCTCTGCCTCCGCGACCGCTACGGGGACAGCCCACAGCAACAGCTTCAGCAAAACTTCCCCCCTCTCCTCTTCTTGTCTCCGCGACTGCTATAGGGCCAGCCTATTGCAACAGCTACAGAACAGATTTCCTTCCTTTCCTCTTATACTTTGCCTCCGCGACTGCTATGGGGACAGCCCACAGCAACAGCTACAACAAGCTTCCCCCCTCTTTTACTTTGCCTCCGCGACTGCTACGGGGACAGCCTACAGCAACAGCTATAGCAAAGCTTCCCCTCTATTCCTCTTCCCTTTTGCCCCCGCGAATGCTACGGGGACAGCCCAAGCAATAGCTACAGCAAAACGTTCTGCGTTCCTCACGATGTCAGCACGGCATGGCTCGTTTATCGAAGGTAAGTCCATCTTATTATTCGAAGACGTTTTGACTAACGCACATTTTGTAGCTTGCTCAAGGCTGGGATGAAGCCATTTCAAACCCAATGCCTGCGATACCTTCAAGGTCGCAATGCTGGTCATCGGAAGAACCGGCGCCAACACCAGGGAATTGGATCGAGACCCATGTGTCCCCGGCTAAAGACCATGCTTGGGGGGAATCTGGCTCCGTTCGGTGCACATATGCTGTTCGTGATTGGCGCGAGAATGCGACGTTAGGCGCTTTAAGCTTCAGCTTCTCGTACAACGCCCCTACTGGAACTATCTAGTTCGGCGTTGGTGCCGCTGCATGGAATGCAGCCACTGCGTAAGCAGACTCCCGGCGAAGCGACTCTATGCCTAGCTGTGGTAAGGCCCGGCGAAGCGACTCTATGCCTAGCTGTGGTAAGGCCCGGCGAAGCGACTTTATGCCTAGCCGTGGTAATGGCCCGACTCCCGTGGGTAACTCCCGGGGCCGTGAGCCCTCCCCGGCAGTGGTGGTTCTGGGGGTCAAGATCCTTCGGGTGGCAGGCCCACCTTTACTACCTCGCTGCCCCTCCGACCTGCCGGAGGTGAACAGGGTGGTTCACATACCACCACTGAAGCAGGTGCTGGTGGTTCACATACCACCGGCCAAGCAGGTGGTTCATATACCGCCGGCATAGCAGGTGGTTCACATACTGCCGGCCAACAAGGTGGTTCACATACCACCGGTCAACAAAGTGGTTCGCATGCCACAGACCAACAAGGTGGCTCTAATGCTGAGTTTGGTGGGCGTTGCCCGTTTATTCTATCAGCGGTAAGTTCATTCTGTCATTCGGTGATATTTTGACTGACGAACATGTTGTAGCCACCTCACGACTCATGTCTGCCCGGCAAAAGTCCATGCCTGGAAAGTTGGCTCCGTTCGGCGCACTTATGCTGTTCGTGATCGACACGAGAACGCGACATCAGGCCCTTCATGCCTCAGCTTCTTGTACAATGCCTCTACTGGAGATATTCCATGCGGCCCCCTGCGAAAGCAGATTATCGGCGAAAGCGACTCTAGGCCAAGCCGTGGGAAAGCTCCGGCTCCTGTGGGTAACTTCCGGAGCCGTGATGCCCCCTCCAGCAGTGGTGATTCCGGTGGCTAAGAACCTTCGGGTGACCAGCCTATCAGGAACGATACCTGCCCTCCGCCCTGCAGGAGGTACACAATGTGGTACTAGCCAGTAGTACCATCGATGGATCAGTGGCCAATGGCCTTGGTCGGTCCCAGCAGATGAATGTTGGTCAGCTTCAGTAGCTACTGAATCCTGGGCCCATTGAACCCTCGGAGATAACCGTAAATCACAGGAGTCAACCTGTCTAAACAATCAGTCACCAGGAGTTCACCTGAACGCAAAAATCACAGGAGTAAACCTGTCTAAAAAATCAGTCCTGGGAAGCTCGAACCTCCACGTGGTTCAGGATGGGAACTCCTTCAATCAAGGTGCCAATACGAGCAAGATCTTCTACGTGAGTTGTTCAAATAGTGAACGGGGTGAACAGGAATTCAGAACTCGGTAAGCGCCCGATGGAGCAAACAAAAAAGCAGACATTTCTCAGAAGTTCAGATCATCCTGAACTAGCTCGTGCTAACGCATACTTAGTCTTCTTCAAGCGATTGCTTCAATGCCACATGTCCGCCGATCACGATGTTTCTCCTATACGCGCCTGCGAAGCCCGCCACACCGATTCTGGTGGCCACTAGAAGATCTTGCATTTCCGCATTTGCAAACTCCGCCCGCGGATCAAACCCCATAAATGATACATACTTGGCATGTCTTGATTGCACATTGCTCGTTCGCGTCAAAATTGGAATGTTGGGGTTATCATACATGATACAAGGTCCTAGACATTCAGAGTTCACAAGATGAAAGACGCGAGGAAAATGTTGATTGGATAAGGCGAACGTTTGAGTCTATTTTGTATCAGATCTCTGGACAGTATGTGTAAAATCTATCGAAAAATTCGATTTAAACAAGCAGAGCGTGGTTATCGTTTGATTACCAGCCATTCAGCGCAACGGGATACATAATGATAGAATGTGCTTTCTGAATCGGAAACTCCAACTCATTCAAACAGCCGTGATATCCGGATATTCTTTCGTCTCCAATATTGCCGGAAACTCTCCCGCCGAAGCAGGCACCGTCTCTTTGTGGCTGAAGATGGAGATGTTGAAATTGGGTACTTGATCCGGTGAGATCTCCTTACCGTCCTGTATAGAATTTATGGTCAGCTAATACAACGAATGGCACTATATGTGCATGAAAGACGTACCGTTGTCTGTATCTTCCACTTCAAGTTAATCTTCAGGTATTCCACAACGGCCGTCTCATCGGCATCCTGCAGCATCCCGGCATCAAGCGCCCTGACAATCGAGGACGTGATGGGAACAACACCATTTACAGGATTTTTCTTGATCTCCTCGCGGTCTGGATCGGCGATGATGTTGAACTTCGTGGAAAAAGAGCCTGCGAAGACGGAGTCGGCGCGCCAAGTTTCCGGATCAGGGCCAGGCTCACCCAAAAACAGATACGTTGCGAAGCCGTCTGGCTGACTGACGCGCACATTGTAGTTGCGAGATGTCTTCTCTGCGGCATCGGTCTGGCGGCGTGTCAAAGTGCGCGTGCGCGTGTCTTCGTATAGCGCCTTGACACGCGCTTTGAGTGTATCATTGGAGGGGGTGTCTGCGAGCTCGGGATACGTGTAGCCAAGGGTGGAGATCTGACGCACATCATCCGATGTCCAGAAGTCGCCTTGACTATTCTTGTGAAATGGATGGAGTGGCGTGGTGGCGCCTACAGGATCCGCTGCGAACGCATCCAAGGTAAATGTGCTCTGTCGAATGGCTCGAACCGGTTCAACAAAGGTGTCAGGGTAGATGGCCTGCCAGATCGCGATTTGACGGTCCACATTGGCGTGGTGGAGATAGAAGATGGGATCAAAGGCTGCCGTGAGGGGAAACTGGAGATGGCCGTCCCGGAAGCTGTCGTGAATGGAGCCGTGTACGGTCTCGAGATTTCCAATGTTCACATCTGAGCCTGGGCCCTGGTTTGAGAAGCGATTGAAAGGTAGGTAATTGGTGAAGAGTTTGTAGATGCCATCGCGGGCGAAACCGAGGTTGTTGTTGAGTGTCTGGTGCAGCCCTGTCAGGTTGTCGTTGGGGTTAGTGCTCGACGGATCATCCGGATAGTGAATAATTTGCTCCCAATGGTCGTACGGCGCCTGGAAGTTCTCTGGCACAGGAAAGTCTTCGGGCTGCAGAGGGTGAAAGCGGTAGCCAGACAGTGGGTTGCTGACTGCAGCTACTGTTCCGTTCGGGAAAGTAATGTTAACCGTCGGATTGATGATTACGTCCGGCAGTATGTTCGCCTCACCAGCAGGTATTTTCTGAGCCCAGTCCCAGTAAGGAACTCGGAATTTCTTTGCGATTTCTTGGAAGCGTGCTTTGGTGGTTGCATCGGAAATTTCTCCAACAATAGCTTTGACATGCTCGTACAGTAGCTGCTCGTAAAGCATCACATAAGGCCGATGCCATGTCGCAAATAGGTTTCCATTGTGCGGGCAGTATCCCCAGTGAGGATCGTCCGTCCAAGAAGGTACGCCGTCCCAAGGAATCCAAGGTTGACCGTGGATGCCTGTGGTTGCCATTAGTCAATATGACAGGAATCTGACATTCATTTTCGAGCACATACCGGCAACTTGATAGTAGGAGAGCTTCTCCTTTTGGTCAACGGCTTGCAACCTCTTGATGGCAAGAATGTATAAAGCCCATAGTTCCTTGTTTTCAGACTTGCCGGCGAGGTCGCGAATGTTCAGACGCGGTTGCACGCCTCCGTCTTCGATGGGGTGTACCACAAAAAAGCCATTCTGTCGTTTAACAATACCGTTGGCAGCGGCTGACTCAGAGGTCAGTGGAGAAGCAAGCGACACAGAAGTGAATGTTGATGCTACCGCGGCAAGTGCGCCGAAAGAATGAATGCCAACCATATTGAGCAGAATGACTGCAACTGTCACGATGGTTGAGAAAGAACGAGTAACCCGCTGGTTGTAGTGCTACATTCAAACACGGCATACATGGAATTTTAAAGACCCGAGTGATCCTGATACGATAAGCAATTTCACCGAGTTCTAGTAGCAGATGAGCCGTGCGAAAGAAGCTCGTAAGAATGAGTAAGACCATGTTTCCATGCACGAGAAGGCTAGCCGCCCGGCATCTGCGAACGCTCGTGCTTGCTGATGGTCTGGCCCCCAACGCATCGGTAACTATCACTGGTCCACGACGTATAGGAAGCCCTACGAGCCCACAATAATATATATGTTCATCCTTCCAGATGTATACGAGATTAGATGAGATTATGGGATTGTTGCAAATATATCTGAGCGCAGTTATTTACCCGCTTTAATCTAACGTCAGCCAATCATCCTTTCAAGCCACTGAATTCTAGTATGCTGTTGGTGGCGTTAGCAGGATTACTATAACACAAACTAGAACAAGAACATTGTGTTCATGAACTTTATTCCTAGAACAGTACAGCTGGGTCTACTATAGCAATGAAGGTTGTAGCTGTCTGACTGGCTCGCTACAACTCCAACGATCCGGGAAATCGTCACAATCCCGCTTCCTTGGTCGCACCGATCATCCTACCAGAACCACAACATATTGAATCGGGACTTCCCACGAAGCATATACCGTTAGAAATTCTGAAGATTCAAATAGTGGAAGTAGTTGCAAAAACAGGGCGAAACGCCCCCATTTCATCCAGCATCTCTTGAGCATACTAACCAAAACACGTAGATGTAATGCTGCAGCGTGGCTAGGTGCAATAAGCTGAGCTTTCAGGCGTTGAGTGATGACACTAAATACGTAACGCCGCTCGTATCAAAACTGCTGGAGCGTACGAGAGGTTGCTCAAGAAGAGTTTAACCGAAAGTGTTGCAACGAGATACTAAACAGAGCTTCCTAAGCAAGGTATCATTGCGCAGAGCTTATGTTAACTAGTTCTAGTTTGCTCCATATTAAGTTGTGCATTGATAGAAAGCTCAACTAACTCGTGTAGCGAAGTAGAAGAAACTGCTGGAATATATATTCTGGTTGCTAAATCTCTCCTGCGTGCCAGATAATGGTACAATAAAGAGATAAAGTCTTGACTCTAAAAGATATATCCTAAAGTCCTATAGGATCCACTGTAAGTTGCCTAGGGTTGAAAATTAACGCGTAGCAAGAGCCCTTCGCGACAAGAATTCTTTCCCAGGTGTAGAATGGAGTAAACCCAAAGCGGTTGTTGTGGAAAAATAGATAGATAGAACAGCTAGAAAAATTAGGCACGCCTTGTATGTGTTTTGTACTAAGCGCTGAGCTCTATGCTCTATTTGGATGTTGAGCGTCTTACGCGTCTTACAAATATGAATCTAGCCACCTAAAGGAAGGTATATAACGCAAGGATCGAGCCAAGTGATATGGAATAATAACTTTAAAGCCTATCAAGGACTCGAAACGTCACAGAATAAACGACAAAACCTTTGAAATAGTTTTCAGATGCTCCGTTCCTGAATTCTTGGTCTCTAAATTCAGCACATGAAGTGGATGGCGTAAAGTCTTTTGCTGTTTGCTAGTATTGCTCTCCCCGCTTCAGCATTTTGAAAGCATCTAGATAACCCCCGAGAAAGATACCTGCTCATATTATGTTGGCAATAGTGGCGTCTCACCTAGACGATGAGTCAAACTGGCCTTGTTACGGCTATCCAAGGTCCAATGCTTTAGAAAGCAACCTGTAGGTTCTGCGAACTTTTCCCGCACTTGTTGTCGGTAACGGGTCACTTTTCGAGAGTTTTCTCTGTAAATTGTGGTTTCAAGTCCTCCAATTCTGAGAGAAGATCTGCACTTTTTTCGATAGCCACAACCAGGAAGAATTTCTCAGGCGGCATACATGCTCTTAATCCATACGAGACGCATAGTGTCCGAGTCTAAAAAGACACTATGAGATCGCTAGGGTCGGATCATGCTAGATAGCATATGCGTATGAGATGGTGATCAGCTCATTCCAGCCTAATGTCTTCAAACTTGTGGTGTAGCGGACCCCACAAGCCCCCTACGTTACCTTAGTTCTCGTCGTAGGTTGATATCAGGCTATAATGCTGGTAGGCAAAAGTCAACCTGCTACTGCTTTGAACACTTAGATTAAAATAATGAGTTAATTGATTAAAAGAGCAGCAATGAGTTTGGTGGCTCGTGAATACAGATTTTCAAATGTTCAATGTTATTCAAGATACTTGTCACGTGACCGAATCATATTCAACCTCAACCATACCTAAAAACTCAGGCATGTACGTGGCCACCTCTCCACTTAGCCAAAGAGGCTAGGCTTGAAATTTAATGTGCATGTGACCCTAAAAACGCGGTCTTATTACCCCACAAATAGAGTGGACATGAAATTATTAGGATATTATCAGTGGATGTAAGCTTACTTCGCATCCGATGAACGAACTCGCTGAGTTGTCATACATTTCTAGATTAGGAACGCGCATGTTAAAAGGTCCAGCCATCACTGAGATAGTTCCCGCGCTTACACCTCACGTCCTCAGACACTCATCTTTGTACGCGAATGATCAAGTTCCATTTACAATACATTCAAAATCATGATAAACCTCTCAAATCCTCCTATCCAAGTCGCGTTTGTCTGCGGGGGTCTTCTTGCAGCTGTTTACTTGCTGCGCAGAGCTGCATTGCCCCGCCCGCATGCCGATATACCGTACAACAAAGATGCCGCTGCCAAGGTATTTGGTGATGTGCCCGAGATGATGAGATATGTAATGCGCCACAAGCAGATTTTCGTATGTTGCGCAATCCCAATCGCCCCCATATGCATGCCGTACTGAGAAGTAATTGTAGTGTTGGCTCACATCTCTCACGAAACGTCACCGGAGTCCCATCGTGCAAGTGTTCATCAAACCAATGTCGCTACCCTGGGTGGTTGTAACGGACCCACATGAAAGTCAAGACATCCTACTCCGGCGTACTAGAGAGTTCGATCGCAGTGCGTTTTTCGGTGAACTTGTTGGGGGTATTTTGCCTGAGCAGCACATATCCTTTCTGTCGACTGATGCGCGCTTCAAGAATAACCGAGCCCTGATCAACCACCTGATGGCGCCCTCCTTTATTCGTGATATTAGCGGTCCAGCTATGTACAAATCAGTGTGTACTCTTATGAAGTTGTGGCGCGCCAAGTGTGCAGCTGCCGACGGTAGGCCGTTCTCGGCGCATCAAGACATCACTTTCTGGGCACTAGACAGCATCTTCGCATCTTCTTTTGGGCTGCAGGAATCTGATAGCAACACCGTGCGACGTCTCCACGCGGTAAAACAGAGTGAGAACGGCAAAATATTGACAGGAGTGGATGGGACCATCACATTTCCTGAAGGCGAAGTTCCTGACATCTTCCACGCGGTATTGACATTGTCAAATTCTGTGACTGATACACAGCTTTCACCTGCCCCAGCTTTAACATCATGGATACTGCGAAAGTTGCCGTACATGCGCAGGGCCACGGCTGTCAAAGATGCTTGGATACACGCGCGGACGGAGGAATCTATTGAGCTGCTCGAGAGAGACCCAGATACGGAAGTACGGAACGCATTACATTCAGTGCTGCTCCGCGAGCGTGATATAGCAGCCAAGAATAACAGACCTGCCGCGTACCGTAAGCGTGCCATTGCCGATGAGTTCTTCGGCTTCATGGTCGCGGGTCATGATACTACCGCCACTACTGTGGCGTGGGGTATGAAGTTTCTGGCCGATCATCCACACGCTCAACAACGATTGCGGAAAGATCTACGTGCTGCATTTCCTGCTGCACCCGCTGAGAAACGTGCGCCTGTATACTCTGAGCTAGTATCAGCACAACTACCGTACCTGGACGCTGTCGTAGACGAGATACTGCGGCACGCAAATACGATCGCTTTCGTTGTACGGACTGCTCAAGTCGACACCGTGGTTCTTGGCAAATGCATTCCTAAAGGCACAGATGTTTTCCTCATGGCAAATGGCGCTGGATATATAGAACCCGCTATAGCTATTGATGATGATGTACGAAGCCCCGGTGCGCGTCGGACCGAGACATCAAAGGGTCTGACTGGCGACTGGGACAACTCGGATCTTCATGAATTCAAGCCTGAGCGATGGTTAAATATTGACCCGGTTACAGGAGTGGAGACATTTGAACCCATGGCAGGTCCTAGCCTGGCATTTGGACTGGGGTCTCGCGCGTGTTTTGGGCGTCGTCTTGCTTTGCAGTCGTTGAGAGTTCACTTTGCTATGACAGTGTGGCATTTCAACCTTCTCAAGGTATCTTCCGAACTCAGCACATACAACGCGGTTCAGCGTTTTGCGAGAGAGCCTACGCATTGTTCTATTCGCTTGCGGCCTGCAGATCCATAGTTAGCGACTTTTTGTAAGTCATCCCGCCCTACAAATAGAGACACCTTCACAAAATAAGTTTCACAAATCATCAAACCTTGAAAGATTATGGGTGCATCAATCTGGCCGATACAATCCTAGTTTAATAGACTATGAAAAATACGTGATCTGCCCCAAAAACATGAGATCTAAACACAGTCTTCTTGATTACCGTATAGCGAATGTTTTTAACAATATTCATTAAACGATAGTGCCATGATTCTAATCGTGTGAATTGTCTTATCCACATCTAAGACTTTAAAATGGGCAGAGGATTTCAATACACAGTTCAACCACCTCAGCTGAGGCTCTGATGATCGTTCTGATAATCGTACTCCTGCAGAAGGTTGGCCCAATAGTCCCAGCCTAAATTATCAAACTGGGATGGATCAAATGCGGCGTCTAGGTCAGTAAAGTTATCCCCGGTACTGTCACTGAGGGTTTCATGGCGCTCTTTCGGATGGCTGAGAAAGCCTTTTTGGACTGTATTGGTTTTGTGGAGTTCATGATGAGGTACATTCTCTGGTTGCTGCTGCGAAGATCTCTTTGCTCGCAAGGTCGCGATGAAGTCCGGAACTTCAACGTGGCCGTGATTCTGCTGTGCGAAATGCGCCTCCCGCGCCTCCCACGCCTGTAATGTCAGATTACAGATAGCTATGTGTAGTGCATAGTCATCACTCGTCAGCTCGTGATGTGTATTGAAAGCCTCTTGAACGTGATGCCATGCGCGACTGGAGGCCTCGCCCTTGGGGCGACGACGTAACTCGCTGAGGAGGATGATGAACGCATCAAACTGGAAGTTGACTTGCACATGCCATAGATAGCGCTTCAATCCGGGTATGGAGTGTACCATGTTGTCGTTTTCAAGCATTCCTGAGCTGAGACTAAATAGTATGTCCCGCTCAGATTGTGGCATGTTGCTATGCTTGCTTTTCCAGTGACGAGGATGATGAGCCATTAGCCGCATGTTAGATGTGATGGACTTAGCCACCGCTATGCACAACGCATGAAGTGATATGGAACGATCACAGTACCGTAGAAACTTTGCATGTAACCTTGATTCGAGCTCGTCCATGATCTTGTCTTTGGCCGGTAATGGAGCAGCGAAGAGCTTCTGATATCCCGATTCTTTGACAACGAATTTTCCGATCTCGTACGTGATGAGACAAAAAATCATTTCTGTTTGATATTTGTGCTCCAGTGGCATTTCCCGCATATTCGGATCCAAATCCACATCATTGATGTTTGCTGGAAGATTCGTATCGAAAGAGCTGGGGGTGATGGAATCTCTTATGCCAGCCCGCTGTGCAGTGCGGTTGTCAAGCAGAATAATCTGCCACCAAACTCGCCTCCGTATTTCCGATTCAAATACGGGGAGTCCAAGAGTAGCGCCATCAGCATGAAGACCCATTCTCTGACCGATTCGAAAGGCAACCCCAGTGAGAATCCAGAGGGCATGTGGGGTTTGGTTTTGATGCATCGAAATCTGGAGTACTGGTCAGTGGAAGGAGCGGTTGGTTATCAGATCAATGAGCACCCACAAGAAGAAGCACCAAAGCTTGCAGAACCACTAGGTCAGAGCTTTCAATGAGCCCCACTGCTCCCAGTGCCTGTTTTGCAGCCGCTAGATACTTGGAATATAGGGAGTTTTTGGGTTCGCCCATCATAGTTTCGCATTCCCCATTACTCATAGAACAGATGGCTGAGGTATATATTGCGAATAGTAGTGCCTCGGTGGTTGCAGGTAAATTCCCCAAGTTACTACTCGCCTCTAGCACCTGGACCTGTGTAGTTGGAGCACGAACCACTCTAGAAAGCGGGTTGACGTTATCCAGGAAGGTCTGCCAGAGACGGAAAATTTGTACCGGCGGGGGATGGAGCATAGTTAGATTCTGGACAGAAATACCGTTCGATCCTAGAAGGAAATGACTGGCATCAACCGCTGCGCGTGGGGGCAGCGTCGATCTTCGCGAAGCTGATCCAGAGTGACGTTGAACTTCCATCTCTTTGAACTCATCAGTTAGTCCTGTCCATAGGGTGCTAGAAGATCGTTAAAATGCTACAATGCAGGATAAAAGGGTGATGCTTGTGTACTTATCCACGAATCGAGATTCTCCCTGATCCACGATCAATTTTCCTTTTCCCGGGGGAGACGCCTGATAGATAGATCCATCTTTCGGCATCAACTCTTCCATATCACTTTCTCGATCATCAGGGTTCGCCATACTCAAACCGTTCACTCGGATCAGCTCCTCACACCGCTTCAACCTAGACTGCAGTTCCGAGATAGAGGCTTTCCTTTTCCGCGGACGTGGAGGAGCTGGGATAGCTTCCACACATTCTGTGCCCGATTTTATACAGCCAGCACATGGTGAATTTCGGTCGCATTTGACTTTTCGTTTCTGACAAAGGACGCATGAATGTGCTCGCGGCGCTTTGGTCGGGGACGGACCCAATGGATAAGGGTTTGACATCGAGTCATTGACTCACCGATCGCCTGTCACTACCAAAAGGCCTGAGAAAAACGGCGTAGACGATCAGCCGTCCGTCTGGGGTTGTATTGATGGTGCTCGTTTGCACGTCTGTAATCACGGGTTGTTTCCGTCCGATCGGGTGAGATAAGCTCCGATCCCCGAGGTTCCGCTCCTCCTCGCTATCCGCACGACCATGATCGCCATCACCAGCTGTACGCAATAGATTATTTTTAATTTCTAGAACTTGCGGATTGGGTGGTCTTTCAAATCTGATTTTATCTCATAATCTTTGAGAGTGAAGAAATATGAGAGAGCGCCCAATGAGTCTGCTTGTATCACGTGACGTCCAGTCGATTTCAAATTCCAAGGTCAACTGGTCGCAGGACGTACAATCGTGTTCAACGCTGCGTCGTCGTTGAACCGAATCTTCGTAAATTTTGGTTAACACTCGCACTGTTAGCTAAGAACAGCGGAAGACCCGAGTGAGAGCTTCCTCAGTTTATCATAGCTTTGGCCGGTCGTTCATTGATTTCGTGATAACACTACATACATATGTAAACTTGGAGTATGATCCTACGATGTATGCTATTAGGTGTTGAAGCCGTAACACCAGAGTATGCGGAATATAACAAGGCCAGAGATCCCCGTGAAACGCGGACTGTCCTTGCGATCCGGTCTATCGCAATTAATGATAGTTGGCACAACACCAATGCAACGCTGCTATGAGAACCAGGATTACACCCCTCAATGCACGCAAGCACCAACACTGACTCATAATCCTTCCCTTAGACTCAACGATGAAGAAAGAAATTGTATCTTGGTTAATTAAGAAAAGACTAACAGAATTTTGGACTCGAAGATGAGACAGAGAAGGTTCCTAGGCGCTTCTACGAAACCAAAGTGGACTCGACTACGCAGATCCCAAATTCTTTATTCCAATAATGATATCTGGCTTCAACGCATATTTCAGGTTCACGAACTGTACCACCCAAACCACAATCTCTTATTACCTCAGTCCCGATTCCTAGAGCGCCTTTGTGTGCTTTCAGCCCCTTAAATTCCGTTGGCGTACCGGATGTAATAAAGTTTGGTCATCCGATATAAGCTTTGTAGCACCTGTTAATGCCAGCATGTTATTGGAGGAGATGTTACGGTACTGCATCCATCACAAAATTCTGGCAGGGGCTAGTCGATGGATTCACTGCAGACCTCTAGTAACATCGGTTATCTTCATTCTACAATTTTCGGTTACCTTCATTTTACAATTTTCGGTTACCTTCATCTCACAATCGTCTCCACGAAGACGACTCCAAAAAGGGGTTCAAGCGGTATCTGAACAGTTGGCGCACTATTAAAACCCTACGTCTTCACCAGATGCCACTCTCTTTCATTCACATTCCTTCATTCTTTTCTACCACTTTATATCTCCGCTTCTTGTATCACTCATTTACGCAATCATTGTCATCATTTGAGAAAATATCTCCAAAATGACGTCCATTCCTTATTTTCGCCTTTTTACGGCCTTGTACATCATTGTCGGCGCTATGGCATCTCCTCAACTGTTGCCGCCCGTCATAAGCTCCGGTCTAAGCTCTCTGCTGCGACCTACTTCGACATCTACAAGCCAGTCATCTAGCGGCGCTAGCTCTTCCCCGTCTATGTCGAGCAGCTCTACTTCGACGACACCCAGCACCATGGCCACCGTTGTTTCTGCCCGAGGAATACTACCTGTTCCACTCCCGCTTGTGGGCCAGCCGGCCTCCACATCTAGCCTTGCACACACAGAAGCGTCCAGCACTACATCCCCCAGTAGCACCACCGCTGCTCTCGCAGCTCGATTTCTAGGATTACCGTTGCCTCCTTTGCCAATTTTGGATCCTGCTACCCCTACGCAAGAGCCTGAAGACGATGAAGACGACGAAGACGCAGAGACTACTTCGAGCGCCTCGAGCGCCTCTACCACCGCGTCGTCTAGCAGTACACCAGATCTCGAAGAACGATTTTTGGGGTTGCCCTTACCTCCTCTGCCCATCCTAGACCCCGCTCCTACAAAGAAAACGGAAGTCTCCTCCTCGTCTTCATCAAGCGGCTCTGCGAAGGCATCATCTACTAGTGCAAGCTCTTCCGAAACATCCTCAATCTCGTCTGGAACCTCCATTGCAGCACGCCGATCAGTTACTTGATCTGACACGTTTGGGCATTCACAAGTCAGGCGCAAGTTGGTCTAATTCAGATCTACGGACTATTCTATCACCCCTGTTTTACTTGGTTTAAGGCATACGCTAGACAGGTTGGAAACTACAAGTGTTTTTCTATTGTCAAGTAGTGGGCGCACTTCGGCACTTGCTAGTCCATGAATTGTATTATATGTTTTAAAATCGCGGTCTCATACTTTTATCGTGATTCAACACCAAGTGTTTGTGCCGCATGGCAGTGTGATGATACAACGGACTTAATATCGCGGTCCTTGTCCATCATAATCACCGCGGTCCGATCGAGAATTATTACCCTGGTAGTAGCCTTGTGATTGCCCGTATCCTTGATGTGGTTGATGACCTTGACCCTGTTGGTTATCATGGGCCTGCTGGTAACTTTGCGGGGGAGGTTGCTGATAACCCTGGCTCTGCGGGTGACCCTGATTCGGAGCTTGGCCATACGATTGGTTCAATCCATACTGTGGTTGTTGCGAGTATTGATGGCTTTGGACCTGAGTTTGGTACTGCGGTTGGTGGTCTTGATACTGCGACGGAGGCGGTTGATTGTAATGCTGTTGTGAATTGTTTGGCTCTCCATACTGACCGTGGGACGGCTGGTGGTTGTTAAGGTCATGTCCTGCTCCCGGCACTGGGGCAGACGAAGCATTGATGTTTCCGCTTCCAAGATGTGCGCCCGCTGTGGGTGCCCCGACGCTTACACCTTCGTCCCCGATGTCGTCCGGTACTGAGATCTTGACGTTGGGCAAGTATCTCTGAACTTTCTTCTCTACAATGTCTTGTACAAAGACCCAGCTTTCACGCTCAAACTTACGATGGCCGCCATTGACGACCCCCAGGATGCTCTTTCGCAATGTCTCCTGCACTTTTCGAACAAGGTCACGCAGCTTACTGACAAGCTTAGTCTTGATATCATCGCCAAAACCACGGTCCCGTTGTGAGCCGGCATCGCGATCAAGCTGATCATCGAACGGATTGCCTCCCAAGAGTTTTTCCAAAGGGCGCTGAAACTGATCTGGGAGCAGCTCGAACAGTTGTTTCTCGATTGCTCCAAGGATCCTGCGAAACTCTAGACGCACCTCACGATGTACCTTGGCCAATCCAGTACTCAACTTGTCACTAATGACCCTAGAAAAACCTCCGCCTTCACTGCCTTGTCCATCAGCACGCTCTCCCATACCGCGCGACGATTCTTCGTTGGAGTGACTCTTTTTCCCAAACAAACCGCCAATGCCTTTCACAATATCCTTGACGTGTTCCTCCACCTCAGCCTTTGCGCCATCACCTAAATCCCGCGAGCTTGTGTTGCCACGTAACCAACGCTTGATATGCTCCAAGGCAATGCGAGTGAACTGCGCCGCGATAGACGAATGTTGTTCCCGCAGCTTCGCGCCCACCTTCTCCTTGATTTCTGGGCTGATCATTCGCGCCTTTTCCTCGGGGTTACGAGAGGCGTCTTTGACCGTGTTGCTGATGACGCCAAGAAGACCATCGAGCTGTATGCTTTGGCCGCCTGCTCCGCCGCTTTGACGTTCGTCCAGGTGATCTTGAACAACACCGAGCGCTTGGGTCAGGAATCCTCTGGCTCCTCCGCCGCCACCAGCTTCTCTTTTCGCTCCAAAGCCACGTGACTGTGTATCGCCCGTTCCACCACGACCGTCGGTGAGATCAAAGATATCGCGCAAATCATCGCTAGCCTCGTCTGACAGTTTGCTGAAGCTCTGCGTCAACTTGGCAATTTCGTCGGCGAACGGTAGGGACTGGCCACCGTAGGCATCTGGGGCCGAATTATTCATATCTCGTGGGCCATTTGGGCCATGGTCGTGGTCTTTGCTGAATAGGGAGCGGAATGCATCGACGACTTGCGCCTCGAGACTGTCGATTGTCTTCTGTTGAAACACGTCGATCTCGGACGCGATCCGGGGCTCGATCTGGGGCGCCAACGAATCCACGTAGTCGTCAACTTTTTTGTACACAACCTCCATGGTGTTTTCTCTGGAGCAAGGGAGGAGAGATAGTGGAACAAGCGGCGGCGATCTCATGTGGCGGTGTAAATATATCGTGGTGGGGTATCACACTAGATCCTTGGCCCACGTCATATATATGCTTCCGCCACAATTGAACTTCAACATCGAATACCACCACACGGTAGACATACCATAAATGAGTATTTTAATAGCATTGTTGAATCCTTGAAATCAAGGTTCATCTCTCAGATTTCTCTCTTCCAACGTTTTTCATATGCACAGCTTATTCCAGATCATGTGACTTGTCATCCCGTGATGAGCGTCCGATAAAACGTACATTTTTAGGTATCTACCTAGGTAGGTACATTGTACATGCCTACATGACTGCGCATTTGACGTAATTTCATGCCTAAATGCATAAACACCTAGGTACCTATGTACACCTGAACTTCCATATGTATGTAAAATCAGACCGATCAGAGTATTATCATACTACCACACATGGAACCTAAAATGCTACCTCATGCTTCCCCAGAACTGGGAGACCGCAATGCTTCTACAATAGCCTCTTTGCTTCCCGGTGGAAGCTCACCTGAAAATTCAAAGAGACCACTTGGGATGCCAATTGGATCTTCCAGGTCCGGAGCATCGCGTTTCTTCACGTCAGTGAAGCATTTCATCACCATGTTGATTCCCCTTGACAATATGCCCGTTACTATTTACAGTGGAACTGATGTCATTGAATCAGAAGTGAGCGTTCCTGGTACTGGCTATGGCACCTTTGGGTATGAGACACTTGTCCTTATTCAACAACAGTACAGGGCTGCGAAGAATCCGGACAGAGTACTTGCCGCACTAAATGTGAAATGTTATCCTAAAGAGATACACCTCGACGGCTTGCAACAACACACGGACTGCACCATCCAGAAATCGTCCAGGCTGATGTATTCTTAATCCTCTTGCAACAATTCTTCAATGCGGTATGTCCCCCATCACGATGTTCTTCCAATGCGCGCTTCCAAAGCCCACGGTGGAGATTCGATACAACTGCGCTGCAGAATCCGTGCGATGTTCTCAAAGTCGCGGCTGCAATCACAAAGGCCGAATAACAATTTGTGTCAAATGCTGCCAGAATACAGATGGTACAAGGGAAGATGGAGAATCATGTGAATTAGAAGGGCACATGCCGCGCCACGGGTCCATGAGCATTTCTAGTGTCGTCGAGTTTCGCTTTTTCATCATCACCGACAGTCGCAAAATGATCTAAAGCCGTGTCAGATATAGTAACTAGAACGCTCGCACATTATTAAGCATCTGGATACAACGCAACGTACACTCGCGGATGGTCTGCACGTTCCAATGTTGAGTCGATCGCAATGTGACGAAGAGGTAGTCAAGAACAGGGTCAAGTCTACGTGACTTCCATTGGGATGCATTGCCATTGAAAAACTTGAGGCTATAGAGATCAATGAGATTTGCCTTCCATCGACGCTGGCAACTGTGATAGGTTCGCCTCTATAGCTGCGAGCTTCATCCATGTTCAAATCCTTCGCTTCTTGTATCCTTCCATCGTCGTATCGAGAATCTGGTCGCGCCCATCTCTTCTTGCAGATCATACTGTCTCTTACGATTGTGGCCTCGATTTGTCGATGGGGTATGGGGCACGCGGATGAAGTGGTGGTTCTCAAGCAGCAATTTGATGCGAGGTTTCAGTAGGTATCAATGGTAAGGTAGATTCGGGAATGGGTACTTACTCGGGCAAGACGTGATGATAGAAGGAGACTTCATTAAAGATATAGCTCATATTAGCACCTTGCTTGAAGGAGTTCCCGTCTTGAACCACGTGGAGGTTTGAGATTCATCAAGACTGATTTTTGTACAGGTTGACTCCTGTGATTTGTTTTAGGTTTACTCCTGGTATCTGAAGGGGGTTTCTATAACCCGCACGCGACCTTCCACTGCGCATACTCGCGGTGGGCATCCCTCAATGCTCTCGCAACCTCGTACTCCTTGTTGATCCTTTCAACCAACTTCGGAGCCATTTCTGTATAGAGGTCGGGATCACCTATGAGTTTCTGGTACTTGGCGAAAATCTTAACGATGTGTTCGCGCTGTCTCGCCACTGTCTCATCAAGTTTGGCTGCTACTGGTGCAGCCGCAGTTGCGAGCTTTTGCTGCAGCAAAGACATTCTTCTGTGAAACTCAGAAAGACCATTGGCTTTCATCTGGGTGTGCTGGTTCACCCAATCACTCTTGTCTTTCCAGTACTCACTACGCTCTTTCGACGAGAGTTTTGTGAACCCGAGACTCGAGGTGCTGATGCCGGCCCAAGCAATGCTGAAGCCGCCATCAACATAATAAGCACGCATGAAGCGGCTTAGGAGGACTTCCATCCAGGGGCCAGTATACTCGCTGAAGATCATACATATAACCAAGAACTTGAACGCGTATTTCTGGGGCCATTTTACCTCGCAAACGGCGAGGAAGAGCTTACTCAACCAGCTTGTGGAAGAGCCACGACCACCGCCGTGCTGTTTCTCACGAGCTTTGGCATCGAGACAGTATCCAACATACTGTCCCAGAGCGAGCGAAGCGATTTTGGCACTGCCAGTCCGTTTGGCTTCGTCAATATGACTTTGAACGGCCTTGGCCCAGTGCCCGACAACGCTGGCTTTTTCCGACGACTTGGTGAAGGTAGTATCACCTTGAAGGTAGAATCGATACCCATCATCAGTCATTACTGAGTTCCACTCGTTGTCGTCGTCAAAGACGCGGTCAATTTGGTAGGCGATTGTTTTTTGACTCTGGTCAAACATCGCGTATGTCTTCATAATCGAGACAACGTCTTGGAGATCATTCAAAGGCATTGTGTTGCCTTGAATATCGGTCAATTGACGGAGATAGCAGCATGGATGGTTCTCGCCACGCTCCTTGAGGTTATCAAGATAGCGTGCGAGGCCAGAGCCATCACGAAGGCTTTCTATATAAGCCTTGTGTAGGTTGCCAGACACTGCTTCTGAAAGCAGCCGTTCCCCCATTTGGGAAAAGAACAAGGTGCCGCAATGGCGCCATGAGCTTGCAACATCATCTTCAATAAGATGCTTCCCGAGAGGTGAGTTTGACGATTTCTCGTCAGATAACCCAGCCTCAATGAGGAATAAGAAGCCATCCCGAGGGATATGGCCGACCATGTCGATGTATCTTGTACATTCGACGCCTTTCATATTAGGCAGCTGGTCTAAATCAACCGGTGTATGTGCCTGGTTGGCAGCAGTAGCTGCAATTGTATTCTGCCCAAAGGGCAGCGGCTTTTCAGATTGCCATTTTGTTTGAGATCCGAGGATTTGGGATTTAAGTCCAATAATCTCGTCAACGTCCCTTGTACGGGCCACGTTCTTGTGATATCTGGTGACCTCTTCGTCTTCCACCTCAGAAGCCGGAGGCGCATACTGAGTGTCATTGTCTGCATCGGTAATCGGAGAAGACGCAGACATTTTGTAAAGATTATGTCGCTGTTGCAGTGTGATAGTGGTGGAGTAGGTGGGGTATAGGTAATGGGTGAGAGAGTTGGGACCCGGGAGACAATACGCTGGAATGCCAAGACCGCTACAGACACAAGCTAACAACAACTGAAGACGGGAAGCAAAATAGACGTTAGCCAATAGCAGAGCGCGCTTTTATCGACTTCACCTTCACGTTCCAGCTCTTCTGCCCGTGTACTTGAATTACTAAAGAAAAGACTGCGCAATGAGTTCCGAATTTACCACGCAACAGCATTCGTTGAAGATTGCTTGCTGTCGGTTGGGATCATTGAATCCTAAATCCTATATCCCGAAGTATTTGGTGAGGAAAACGATGCGTGGCAGCCAGATCGTTCCCGCCGTCGTACGCGAGGCTGTCGTCGATACGCCTGTCCTACACACGTCTGGCTATTCTGCCGTGGACCATGCTTTATGGAACAGGCATTTCACTTCAATGTAACCTGACGATCTGAAACTTCGAAATAATTCAAAGAATCGGGAGAACGTAGTCATGTTGGTTCTTTGCGTTGCTGCCGATGATGTGGATATTATTCGATAAGACGAGGTTCCATCTTCCCACGATGTCATCCTGGCCGTCTCTTATATAGTTTATCATTTTCTCTACCGACGGAGGTAGTCGAAGGTGTTATCCTGTGTATTACTCCATAGGCCATATTGTCCTGGGTAGCGAACAAGAATCCTATTGTTTCACTCATCTCGGCTAAATCCTTCACACCTAATACCAGATTAGTCGCACAAAGGAGACAGGGCATTTAAAATGCTAGATCCATCTGCTGCAGTCCGACCTACAATACCAATCCGTTCGTCTCCTATATCATGAAGACTATAGTCTCCAAGAACCGGAGGAACACCTTCGCGATAGCGCTTGTAGACATTGTGAAAAACGACCCCACCCTTGAAAGTGCGGTACAGTAATACGCCATGGGCTGCTGCTCCATAGATCGGGTTGACACCATTATGACCTTTCGTATTGGGATCCGCACCAATCTTAATCAGGTGTTTAAGAATTTTACGATTGGCTGTTTTGATGTTGGCGCTCCATGGCGTAACGGACGAAGTAAAGCTTATGCTAAGCTGCGGCACCAATCCATCCATCACCACAAACTTTCACTGGGCTCCATTACACTGGGCATCGTACAATGGGCATATCGAATGCGTTGCGGAGCTGTTAAAAGCTGGTGCTAATGCGAACGCAGTGTCCGACCAGCGAAAGACCCCGCTAGACTTGGCTCACGATGCAACCCAGCTAGCCATTATACAAATGCTGCAGGAGTGGGGAGCGCAGAGATTCTACAATCTCTTTCCCAAGACAGATCCAACTGCAGATATTCAACTGATGCAGGCTCATCACCAGAACGCCAAAACTCACGATACCGTTCATTTGACCTTCGATGAGCCATTTCATCAAAAAACGACATTGGGACAGTTTGTATATGCCAATCAGTATCCCAAAGGCAGCACTTTCAGGCCGTTGATGCTGTCGCATCCTCTTGATGGCCAAGAAACGCTCAAAATCTGTCGTGTGCAGCAGAGGCTGCCGATGTCCCATTACCCTATTGCCTCTGGTCAGTTCAACACAGAGACACTGCTCTTTTGCATCGGCCCCTTAACAGCAGATTCTCAGGAAATGGTCATCCAACTTGCCGCTAGAGATTATGTCTTGATTACGATGCGGCGAGGGTGGAACGGCAGTTGGAGAGTGAGTAAGGGCAGTGAGGACACAAAGGTATCGCTGTTTCGAACGCGACCGGACTGGTCGCAAAAGCTGGGCCAGGCATCATGTTGCACACCTGACGAAGGGGAGGTGCTGGCGCGAACAAGGAATAGATATGAAGCTGATCTGATTGTCGAGAAGCAAGTTGAAGATGAACAATTTGAAACGCTTCTAGCTTGTTGGATTGCAAGAGTGTGGTATGACACATTGTATACATATGGTCCATCTGATCAAGGGATGACAACAGAGTAGAAACAACACGTCTACTGCGATATATATAACGCATTGCTTAGAATCAAGGCAAAGTAATCAAAGAGTAAAAAGCCATTCTTTCTTCTTGACAGTAGAAACACTCACTAGTACTCTCTAGCAATTTCAAATGCTAAAGATAATCTGCTTATGAGCACTATTTTCCCATGATATTTCATACCAAAAGCTAGTCTATAATAAAACATTATGTATACCATAGCGTTTAGGTCAAAAATAAGTAAATGAATATCATTTTACAGGCAATTGCGTTGTTCTACATGTTGATAGACGCTCTTATTCCCGGTTTCGCTTACGTACAAGAGCCACTTACCGTATGCAGAACTAGCTCACCTGAAACTCTTGGCAGCAACTCACTCCCTTGTCTGCCTTACACGACTGCAACTTCATACTTAGACGGCTACTAATGCCTCCTTGTCCCCAACTCTTCCATCCTGCCATGTGCGACGGACCTGTCCATTAGCAACTCGGTCGAACACGGAAAATGTCCTATTCTACCCAGTCCGGTCGGAAGATCGTGTGTATTCCGTGTCGGGCACGGAAGAAGCGATGCGATGTAGGTCTTGTTTCAATGTAGATAACCGCCAACCACGCGTCTCTGTTTCTCATCATCCTAGACTTTGTATTTTGGATATAGCGACTAACAGTGTAGGGTCGGCGGCCTGTCTGCTCTTCCTGCCGCGATCGATTCGTTGGCTGTCGATACCCAAGCGTCGCCTCGTCGCCTCAATCAATAGCAAACCCCCAATTCACCACTCTCGGAAATAGTCCCGTCACGGGCTCTTGGTCAACGGCATACGAACCGGTGAATCAGCCTCCGTTAGTAGCCTCGATAGCCTCGCCAACCGTTGATCTCAACAACTTATTCCAGACTTCGGAGAGTTTCCAGGACATGCCCATGACAACTGATATAGATGACCAAGGAATTTTTTCATGGATCCCCGCCGACGGAGACCAAAACAACTTTTTATGGCAGCCGGATATGCCTGGGAGCCTTTCGAATCAATTAATCAACGTGGACACGCCGCGAGACAAAAGTCCTACTCATCTTACGGGGCCTAATACCCTTAGTGTCGAAGCGACATCTCTACCGAATCTGGAGGAGCTGACGAAACTCGTCGATGTCTATTTCCGACGGGTTCATGACTTTCTACCGGTCCTGCACATGTCCACGTTCAAGGATTCCCTTGGCGCAACTAGTGACGAAAATCACGCTTCCGCTCTCCTCTATGCCGTTATCTCGCTCGCAACATGTGAGCGCCAGGAAAATTCGGTCATAACCTCAAGGGTTCGGTGGTATAAGAAAGCCAAAGAACAATATTCTTCTACCAGCCAGTTGCCTGACGAACCAATCCCTGCTTTACAAGCTGCTGTCTGTCTTATCTTCCAAGGTATGATGATCAACGATTGGAACTTTGCCTGGCTCACTCTTGGAAAAGCTTGGAGACAAGTGGTGGCTTTGGGATACCACCGGCTGGACAGCGAGCATGGCAAAGCTATGCCAGGTGCGCCGCCACTGCCTAGCAACTGGATTCAGCGAGAATCCATTCGGAGGATTGTGTGGACTCTTTATATTCTCGACCGCGGACTGTGCTCTCCTGTTGGTCTTGTGTGCAACATAGAAGACAAGTACATCCACACCAACCTGCCCATGGACGAGGAGCAGTTCCAGCAATCGATCCGTCCAGAGAGCGACACAGCTGTCAAATTCACCTGTTCATTCGACGTATTGCTCGATTCTGTCCGCCAAACAGCAATGCGGAAACAGTCTGACAATCGATTGCACTATCTTATACTAGCATATATGTTACTGGGCCGTGTCGTAGCTCATTACCAGCACTCGGATGACTTGGAGATTAGCGAAAAGGAGTCCGGCTTCGATAAACTCGAAGGATGGCTTGTGAATCTGAGGCTTTGCCTTCCCCATTCTGCCACGAGTCTATCAGCTGCGCCGTTGGAGCACCTAAGGTGGGTCGTGTGGTTGAATGTTGTCATGAGCATCAATACCATCTTCCTCTACCATGGTAAAGATGCACATGATGCTAGCCTCGGAGTTACACATTGGTATCACTGTCTCGCGGCTGCTCGAAAAACGGTTGCGATGATCCGAGAAGCTGCAGTAATCTCTGCAGATCTGCTACTCAATCCGCATACCGCGTCGCCGCTGTTCTGCAGCTCTCGCATTCTCATCATCGAATATCTGGTGCCAGCCACATTAGGTGATGGCTCAAACGGCACAGAAGGTGGACTTTCAACACCACCTTTCGACGCAAGGGCAGCGAATGGGCCGCAGGGTGCTCACTCGTCGGTGCAAGACCCAAGTCTGAAAAAAGACGTTGATCTCACCATTCTTGTTTTCGAGCGGCTAGCGGAAGCATTCGGCCCTATCGGGACAAAGTTCAAGAAAGGCATGATTTATCATCTGGCACAGGATATGGGTAATGCTGCTCAACTCAAGAGAAACGGTATCAAGGATATCATGTCCGGGTGCGCATCGTGGGGTGCAGCACCTCCGGGCTTCGGAGGCGTTTCTTCCTAATGGCGCAAACAGGTAGCCTACGATCAATGCGCATCATTGTCAAAATAACCAAGACAGGCTTCCAGCTAAGACACTGGCTCACCTCCATGCATACTATTACTGAAAGGCCCGCGATGGATTTCGTTGGCTTCGCAGCGTGTCTGTCAGCTTGCAGCTCTTGGTCAGCAGTGTCGGCGACGTTCGCCTCTCACCGATCCCTGCGTGTTCCCGTCCGCCCCCTGCAACGTCTGCGGGCCGCCGAACTAGTCTCCATGCTAGAACTTTGTGGAATATGAGCGAGATGATGGCAAGCCCAACCGCCTAGCTGACGGTAGAAATGGATGCAAGCCGTTACGACGGCCTGATGTTTTGGTTCGGCCACGACAACCACGACGAATGTAGACCTCATACCGCAGCCATTCCTCAAACACCCCCACCACAAGGCACAGGCTCAGGATCGCGACGACAGCGGCTAAGGGGGTCCCCGAAACCTTTGCAATGCCCAAACACGACGCCGCGACAAATGGATACGAAATCCCCGCGATTCCGACAAACCCCGTGTCCTTGTTCCGCTTCACCACAGCGCCGCAAACCAGCCCGTCTACAACACCCGCCACGATGCCCAGGAGAAGCAGGTTCCCGCCGAGGAAGCAGAGAAGTCGCCCACAGCTTGATAAGTTCAACGGCATAAGCGGATCAGCGACCTCAGATTCGGCGACGAGGAACACAGCCAGGAAAGTGACGGTGAGGCCTGACGTGTATGCGCAAAGGAATTACGGTCTATGGCATTTAGGATCTGAATAGGGCCTATGCACCCTCGGTCCGACAGTTTTTCTGAATCCTTTTCACCCCCTAAATTCCTTTATCGCCTTACCCGTAGAGAACTCCTTAAAAACTATATACACACCGCGATAGATTATAGTATACTCTGTAATAAGAGTAAGGTAAGCTACTAGTACTACGTGTAGCGTTTCCCCTTCTTGTAGGTTATGCCTTCTCCTTCGTTTCCACCGTCACTATCCACCCAAGCAAATTGTCTCTGGCAGCTGGTTGCGTACGTTGGTGAGCCCTACTGCTTCCTTGTCTGTAGAACATGTCGCATTGCCCTTCCCTTATCCCGCATTGCAAATCATTTCAGCAGCACAGGTGGCCATGCATATAATAGGGCGGACTGTGCTCGCCTGCGTATCGCCTGGGAGGCTATCGTCCTTCCCTCCTACCCCATTAAGCTTTGCAATGAGAACGACCTCGCGAACTAGAGCTACCCTCAAACGCCTACCGCACCTATCCCACAGCTTCCTCTCCACTACGGGCTTCACTGCAGCCACCAAGATCCAGCCACAGGTCAACAATGTCCTGCCCTTTACATTATCGAGAAGAACATGCAAGAGCACTGTCGTAAGCGGCACGGCTGGCAGAACACGAGAAAGCAAGAAAGGCAGAGAGGCTCGGCCGCACAAAAGCAAGAACACCACCAGCCCTAGGAAGCCAACGTGCCGTGCCAGCGCCTGATGGGAAAAAGTGCCTTGTGGCGCGTGAACCTATCTACTCCCCACGATCAGGACGGCGGGGAAGGCGAAGGGCGGGACAAAACCCAGGGAATCCGTGCTAAGGCCGCCACCGCTGCTGATCCCTGGGATGAGCTAGAGGCACAGCTCGACGGGCGAGTGGCCAGCCAGGCTGCGAGCGGCCCCAGCCTTCGTTATCCGGTGCATCTCTCTCCGTGGCTGGAGAAGACCGGTTGGACCACGCACCTTCGAGATCACAATCTCTGGACAGTGGCGGAACTACTTGCTCCTCCTACGCCTACCGAAACCAGCCTTATAGCGCTCCTTTCGTCCTTTGACGAGCTAATCAAAGACGCACGGGCGTCCGTTCTGTCGGAGAAGGTGAACGTCTTCGCCCTCCACCGTGTAAATAGTTTCGTACGCGGCCGACACTTTAAGAAACCACTCCACACAAAGCTCCTAAATGGGACCTATCAGAGATACCAAGCCGTTTGGCATAAACTACTCTGTTACATGTACAGGCTTACGATCGCGCACCAAGGGCCGGACCTCCACTACATCCTCACACCAGATCAGCTGGAAGCGATCAGCCAGATCCCAGCAAGCACTCTGCCCACTCGCTCTGAGTCTGTTGTAGGGCAGCCAAGCAGGTCCTCTCCTTCGTCTTCCTCTTTCGTCTGCGCCTATCCAACCTCCTCGCCTACATCACTTCGTACTGCTAGAAGCAGGGTTTTCACAAAAAGCCCTGCAATAACGTTACTAACCTCCCCACCGCTGCGCTCTTCTCCCCCTTACTGCTTCCAAAAACGCGCAGTTGTCACAGCTCCCGCTGACCATAGCTCTTCAGAAGAGGAGAGCACGGTCTCGGAATACGACTGCGTTACGCCGTCGACGCCTTCACGCTCACCCCAGCCAGCTCACTACCAAGAGGAGCACGACAACCACGAGCAAAGCGCCACAGAAGAGAACCCTGCAGGCAGCGATCTGCGAGATGCTTGCCTTGGGCTTTGCATCTCGCTACTCGATCATAAGCTGGAGGGAAGACTAACAGATAGTATCGTTGTTGGGTTCCTGGCTGCGCTCGGCATCAATAAGTCCTGTGATGGGTTTGATGATGCTGTTCTATTCCTACCTAAGCTATCAGCGCTAGTAAAGCTCTCCCAGCTCCTTCTTGTGCAGCACGCGGTTGTAGCGCACAAGACGGGCCATGCGAAATTCCCGAACGAGTTGGTGGCTGAGATGCAGGATCGGTTCATGGTCTATGGAAGCGAGACGCCCATGAACTAGATCCTGAACCTGCGGGCGTATGGTGCCAAAGTGCGAGACAACATGACCAGCTTAGGCTCCATCTCGTGGTCCGACGACGGACAACAGCTGTCCTACAAATCGCTCGAGTTTACCATGAACAGCCTCCAATGGTTCCTCCACGACCAGGTGCAGGAAGCGCAGGATCAGCTGCACGATCTATTGCTTCTCCCTAGTAGAGATGCCGATATGCAGAGTCAGCGTGTGCCGCAACTTCATCTTGCACGCCTCAGGGACGATCCAACTGTGTCGTTAGCCAACTACAGCTTCCTGGACAACAAGCGCAACGAAGGCATCCTCGGCGGCAAAGAGCGATATCTCCTCCATCGAGTGCGGCAGGAAGCACACGTCCGCCGCTATTTCTTCAAAAATCCTGAGACGCTGACCTGGAACACATCACACGTCCAACAGTACGTAGAACGCGCCCGGGCCTTCCTCCAACGTCTACTTCTCTTGATTCACATGACAGGAGGCCAGCCTGCTCGCGGAACCGAGCTGCTCACCCTCCGTTGGCGCAACTCCGCCCATAGCGAGGTCCGAAACATCTTTGTAGAGAGCGGGATAGTCTCGTTTGTAACGTCTTACCACAAGAAATACTCTGCAAGCAGCTCGGCCAAGCTAATCCATCGATACCTGCCGCCTGAGGTGGGCGAGCTTCTCGTGTACTACCTTTAACTCGTGGTTCCGTTCCTTAAGCAGCTCTCCATCCTCAGCCCTATACCTAGCTTGGGACCTCTGGGCTCCTTCCTCTAGCCTGCGGGTATCAGCGGGATCCTAAAGGCAAAGAAGGCGGTACTACCTGGGGAACGTTCTCAGGAGCGCAAAGAATCAGTCAAGGATGAGCCGTGGGGGAGCTGTACGCTTAGTATAGTTATAAAGGAAGAGATGAAGCGAGGCTTGAAAACTAATGGTAGCATTCTCCTCTGGAGACACGCTGCCATTGCCATCTCACGAAGGCATATGCCAGAAGGAAGCAAGTTCCAGCGCGACTATGGCCCCAAGGAGCGAAGCACCGCCATGGACTTACAGGCAGCGCACACGTCTAAATCAGCAGGTGTTTAGTATGCGCGGGATGTCCGCGAAGGCCTAGGGCAGACTGCTTCGCTACGCGCCAAATTTCGTGCTCTAAGCCGCCATTGGCACACTTGCCTTAGGTTTGGTGAACCGCTCCCACCGCGGGACAAGGTTGTGCAGCCTGAGAGCGGGGTTCACAAGGTATCAGGGGCGGCTCCAGGATCTAGGAGTCGGCAGGTAGGGCAGAAAGGGGCGAGAGAAGAGCTTAAGGCTGAGCTGAACGACTGGCTAGGAGCAGGGAACGTACTAAAGGTAAAGCGGAGTAGGAAGTGTAACAGTATCCAGTAGAGGGGAAAAAAAGCATAGTAAGCAGGACAACATGCATAGGCGAAATAAAAAGAAGGTAGCCTAGCTCCCTCAAAGCACACGATTCAACCTAAGCAAAATACAAGCGATTAGAAGTTGTCAGGTTTAAGGGTGTATGCTTGTAGATAGACAATATTTATATTACATATCGTACGGCGGGATAAGGCTCAAGTTTAGGCGTGTGGTAATCGCAGGACTCGCCGGAGTAACGTAGGATGTCGCTCGACGCCGGCGCCTAACCTAGGTAAAGCCCCGCCCTTACCCATGACTCAACATCAGGACCACAACTTGGCTTCGCTCTAAGTATTCTTACAAAGTGTCAGATTTTCACAAGCAGTACATAAGTATACAGTGCCTAGCGATTGCGGTTTTACCCTTGCATGTAGGTCCAGCACGTCTGTGCAAACAATGCTTACTACTTACCTTACTGTATAAGCAAAGCGTGACGTTTACAGAAAAGGCTGTCTTCTCTGTCTAGTAGCAGATAATTAAATGAGCTACACTTTACTGCATACAGTAAGTGGCCGTAAGCATTTTGCACATAGCCGTGTTGCAACTACATAGAGAGATGAAGCCGCAATCGCGAGGCACTGTTGCGCAGCAAGATATACCGGCTCCCCACCGCAGGTACATAGTAAAGTCGTCAGGCCTAAAGAGACTACGACATAACACATCATCATAAATACCATTACCTACAATAATCAGCAACTAAGGTTTCACCCTTCCGTGCAGCCGCAACACAACTGTGCTAAAAATGCTTACTATTTACTTTACAGAAAATGCTGCCTCTGCTTAACAGAGAATTATTCACTAAAACCCACTTTACTGCATAAAGCAAGTGTAAATGTAAGCATTCTCCACGTAGGGGTAGAGCCGCAATTACTACGCACGTTACATTATTTTTAATCTGTTTTTATTAAAATAATACAGTTAGACAGTTTCATTAAGCCCGCCTTATCATATCTGGTAGTAAACAGGTATTAAATATGGATTGATGCGCTTACGGTGGTGTAGCTAAGAACCCCATCTTAGTCCGGTTTTTCCCCCATTTTTCTAACACCCAAATCAACAATAAAATACTTTTGTAATCCCCTACGTCTAAAAAAATCTGAACTTTAATAGCATTAAAGAGCTCATTTCTCTCTTCCTTCCATGCTTGCCAATGATTTTTCTCAAATTTATGCGCATGATATTAATGTTGACAGTAAGAAATAAGCATCTCTTGCAGCCAAATCTGTCCAGCAGCCCTACAGGTTAGCGGGCTGCCCAGGAAGCTCAACATTCTTTAGTATGTTATTCAATAACAATCTGATTTTTTGTACCGTTAGAAAACCAATTCAAATGAGATGGAAATTTGCTTCTGTTTTTGTGGTGGTTGAATTCAAAGTAACCTAATCGCGTGTACGTGTTGATTCCCACCATCTTCAAAAGTATGCCCCATGAGCACTTGCCATTTGTGCTAATTTCCAAACACCATACCAAATTATTCATCTCTTCATAGTCCCACTTAACTTCCAAGTAAAATGCCCTCCCAAAAACTTCTTGCTAACCAGGTGTGACTCAGACGGATACCCTGGCGGTGCTATTCTGCCCGTCTTCGATGCAATTTACAATTCACCTCATTTGGACTTCATTCTCCCCCGCCATGAACAAGGTGCCGGTCACATGGCCGAGGGTTACGCCCGCGCTAGTGGCAAGCCTGGTGTTGTCATTGTCACCTCCGGCCCTGGTGCCACCAATGTCGTCACACCCATGCAGGATGCCCTCATGGATGGAACCCCCATGGTTATCTTCTGTGGTCAAGTCGTGACCAGCGCAATTGGCTCCGATGCCTTCCAAGAAGCCGACACCATTGGCATTACGCGGCCATGCTCCGAGTGGAACGTCATGGTCAAGGACATTGCTGAGTTGCCTAGAAGGATTAACGAGGCTTTCAATATCGCTATGAGTGGACGCCCTGGCCCGGTCCTCATCGACCTACCCAAAGACATCACTGGTGGTACCCTTCGTCGCCCGATTTACATGGCCAGTTCGATGCCCACACACCCCAGTGCCGCAACTGTTGACGCCAAGGAAGTGGGCAATATACATCTCGAAGCATCAATCAGTCGCTCAGCCAATTTGATCAACAAGGCGAAGAAGCCCATCATCTACGCTGGACAGGGTATCGTCAGCACACCCGAGGGCCCTATACTTCTGAAGGAATTCGCAGACAAAACCCATATCCCCGTCACCACCACCCTTCAAGGTCTGGGTGCATATGACGAGCTTGACAACAAGTCCCTCCACATGCTCGGTATGCACGGGTCGGCATATGCCAACATGGCAATGCAGGAGGCCGATCTCATCATTGCACTGGGTGCCCGTTTCGACGACCGCGCCACCTTGAATGTCGACAAGTTCGCTCCCGCCGCAAAAGCAACAGCGGCAGAGGGCCGAGGCGGTATCATCCACTTCGAAATCATGCCCAAGAACATCAACAAGGTCGTGCAAGTGACCGAGGCTGTGGAGGGTGATGTCGTCACTAATCTCGCCGCTCTCTTGCCTCAGGTCAATGATGTCAAGGAACGACCTGAGTGGTTTGCACAAATTGACGACTGGAAGGCCCGCTTTCCATGGAACTTCGAACGCGAGGGCGAAAATGGCCTCATCAAGCCGCAGACTGTGATTAAGAGGCTTTCTAAGCTTACAAAAAACATCAAGGACGAGACGGTCATTACTACCGGGGTTGGGCAGCATCAGATGTGGGCAGCGCAGAACTACCGATGGAGATACCCACGCGCTATGATCACCTCGGGTGGACTTGGTACTATGGGTTACGGTCTCCCTGCTGCCATTGGCGCTAAAGTTGCGCGTCCTAACGCTCTTGTCATCCATATTGACGGCGACTCGTTCTTCAGCATGACTCTGACCGAACTCTCCACTGCCGCCGAGTTTAATATTGGAGTCAAGGTCATCATTCTGAACAACGAAGAGCAGGTTATGGTCACCCAGTGGCAATCTATGTTCTACAATGATCGTTTCGCGCATACGCATCAGCGTAACGCAGACTTTGTCAAGCTCGGTGACGCCATGGGCGTTCGGGCCCAGCGTGCTGTGAAGCCAGCTGAACTCGAAGAGAAGCTCAAGTGGCTGATCAACACTGAAGGCCCAGCTCTTCTTGAAGTTGTGACAGACCAAAAGGTGCCCGTTCTGCCTATGGTGCCCGCAGGTAACGGCCTGCACGAATTCCTGGTGTACAACGAAGGTATGACTTCAGCTCTAGAGTTTGTCATTTTTGATCGTCTTGCTAACAAATAGACAGAAACCCAAAGGAAGAGGCGTGCCCAGACCAGAGAAAGGACAGGCCGGTAAATGTCGGTCTTCAGCACTGTAACTCATTCATTGTATATTGTTTGTTCTTCTTCCATTGTTGCACGGGCTATGCGCCTCATCGGATGCTATAGGGTGTTTATTTACCGGGAGCGTTTTACCCATGAAAAGTTTCATTCTTTGGTGGAAAAATTTAGCATACATTATGCGTGCTTGAGGTTTCCTACCTGGATCTGAAATTTGGAATAGAATCTGTAACGGCGGCATGTATTCAGGGCTCCGTTCTTTCCCCTTTTCTGATACTCTTTTTAATTTCGCGTGTCTCTTTCATTGCATATCAGAATGTAGTAGGGACATGTCGCCCCACTGGATGGCTGTTTGGAGTAGGGACGCGCATGTCTAGCTACAAGAGAATACGAATGGTGGCAACTATATAGTTTGAAGAAGTCTTTTGCTTATCATGCGAGGCCCAGAAAATTGACGTATCCCCTCTTCCTAAAGCTAGGGTGTGAGAAACGGTTTCAGAAGGAATTCACAAGTTAAAGAACCCGGACGTCTAGCGCCCCAGAAGCGTTGATGGAAGGAATCATAATACGGAAGCCTTTTAAGGAAACAAAAAGTTAATTATGGCTCTAGGTTCTAGTAAAGTGATAAGTTATGAGATAAAGCTTTAGTATCAGGGAATGACTATACCCATCCTTACTAATAAACGAATGATTAAACCATCAAATTATTTAAATATCCGAGGGCTTTCATATAGCCAAAATCAAAGCGAAACGAGGACATATATATGTCAGATTCACAATAGTACTTCATAGTTGCTGTGAATTAATGATTGTATCGATCGGTCTTTTTTTTTGTCACCCCATCGGGGGGAGGTGAGGGATATAATTCCCTCATGGGTAACTGGCTGCGCACAAACGCAGCTACAATCGAGTAGGAATCAATCAATCAATCAAACTGCATGCACAACGACCTTCCCTTTACAGATACAGCTAAAGTCCGTGCCTTGGTCACGAATAATTCAAAATATCAATATGGACCGATTACCTAGCCAAAATTTCAGACTCGTCAGCCAATCAATGAGACTGCATTTGATTGGTTTATAAAAAACGGACTATGATATGTTAGGTGAACGAACATGAACTAGGAGTCAACGTAATCAATAGACTTAGAAGGAATGCATCAAGCCATCCGCGTAGAAATAAATAAGAAGGGGACAAACAATAAAGGGATAAAAAACAGACAACCGCATTGTCCAAAAAGTTAGGTAAAGCACTATCGGCATATAACATGGCTCAGGTTAGCCCTCATTACATGATACTTTCCGGTGAATATAAGGCTGCAACTTACGTTTTGGTCTCAGAGATTCTTTATTTTCAGTAAAATAGCGCATCCAAATACCTGGATATTAATATGTTTAGTTAGAAGAGCTTTTCACTGAGATATCCTCATAGCTAGAATCACCTTCTGCAATACGATTTGCTGCTCTCTCTCCTCTTCATAGACATATCTCGCTTCTTCGGCAGAAGCAACCTCTTCTGGGGGAGTTTCTGATCGCTTCCTCTTCTTAATACCAACAGACATCAAAACCATAGCTTACCCAGAGCCCTACCCGCTCTCCCGGAATTGCCCTTAACAAATCCATGCATATACGACCATATTCTCATTTCAGTCGTGTAGCCCTAGAGATATCGCCTCTAATCTATCGAAGCATCTCTTGATTGCCATAGATGTCTCGGGGATGTTCTCAAATTTGAACATTTCGAAGTGATCGCCTGTCACCTCCAAAATATCCGTAAACATATCCTTTTCGTATCGATCCCAACCTAGCGCCCGTTCGTTTCTGTACACGTCTGGAATGTGAACCCGGTCACCCGTGGTTGGTACCGCATCTATACCGCGCACTAACGAGATCCTAGGTCGACGTTCATCGTGGGGGCTAGACCAGACCGGCGGCTTCCACTCATAGATGATCCTCAACGCCTCTTTCATGGCCTGTAGGGAGAGAAAGCTATTCTTAGATGTCCCAAAGTTCAATTTGTCTATCGCCTCAAGGCGGACTGACGAAGGATAGACCGTATACATACTGTCCACCAGGAGGACCCCGATGACCCTGACACGAGAGTCCCCAGTCAGGGTCTTGGCAATCTCAAGACTTAGCAGGCCACCCGTGCTCCAACCGCCGATGAGCACATCCACCATCCCGTCGGAATTTTGCCTGGCGAGGAATTTCGGCTCCCCGCAAGTCTTCCGGATCATCTCAGCATAAAGCTGACTCATACGGAGAATACCTCCCTCGAAACGTTCGCCACTTCTGAAATAAGGATTGAAGATGCCGTAGATCAATCGGCCCAAGGGTTCTAGGCAGTGATATGAGAATGTTGTGCCGCCCCCGTCATGAATAAGGAAGGCGGGTATCGCTAAAGTGTTGGTGCGACCATCGGCGGTGGTTCCATCCTGGATGACTTCTGGATTGCTTTCCATCGATGAATACTAGTGCGTGCTCGCTTTTGAACCGAATAAGATTTTGATATATCAAGTGATGAAGAGGTTCGCTGCATACAGCTATGTATTTTACAATGAAAATTTGAGCGCAGGTGGATTCACTAAAAAGTCAAACTCAGAATTGACCGAGAAGCCCTTTGACACTTAATGCTGGGATGATGCGGCTAGAAAACATATGTCATGGGACGAGATTTTGAACCAAAAGCAAAAATCTGCCGCAAAATTTTGACTGGATGATGTCGTTCGGGAATTACGACATACAGTTGAACATAGCTCTGCATGTGAAAGATTCAAAGAAGGCAAAGGACAAGTCGAATGCAGACACGGAATACATGCACGCAGGCACTTACTAAGCTTGGTTGAGGCAGGGTTAATCTCGGAATAATTGACGGTAAATCTTGAGAATAATGCATAATGCAATACGGCAATAGACCGAAGCATCGAGTGCGTGGGAATGGTCAACCCTAGCTTAATGTCTATAGACCAAAGCCACGTCGGCTGATAACAGGGGAGCGCTACAAATCTACGAATCAGAGACTCGGTTAATCGCATCCCCTTCTTTAAATTTGTGAGGCAACCTTAGATACGTTATTTTCCGAGCTGTCACCGCCTGACGTGGCTTTGCTCTCTGTGCTACGTTGTCTCGTTCACCAAGATTACGATTTGCCACAGAAGAGTGGTTGCGTCTCTGGCAGTGATGACTGATTGAAGAACCTGGTCATCATCGACTACAAAGACCACTGCTAGTTTAGTATGAAGCAGATAGTATTTTCAAGAAGGTAAATATCATCAGCCAGCTTCATCACTTTGAGCTGTGTTGCCGACTTACGGCTCTAAATCAATTTTCAGTATGAAAGTCCGAGCTCCAATCCAGCCCGTAAATCCCCCCTTCGTGCCTCCATACCTTTTCGATTGTTGACATTATCGTGGTCCTGGACCGTGACGGTTGTATCACGATGACTACTTACGTTATTAAAAAGGCCCTGGGTGATAACGAAGAAGAGATTCGATCTTGGATAAAAAAGGGTGAGGAATTAGATCTTGACTCAAGGTTTACCATGTATGGGAGAGTCGAGAGACGGGGGATTTTCTCATCCCCCCGCTTCTCATCCCCCCGCTTCTCAACCTGAGTGTCGCGTTCACAGAACATCTTCATATTTTCCCGATGACAGTGTGGACGAGCACATTTTGCAGTGTCCACCTTTCTTGTTAATTTTCAAACAAGTGTTCTTCTGGTTATTCACCGACACAACTTGACAAGATAGGATAATTATGTTCGGTGAAATGATAAGATCTGCATTTGCCTGGACACTGTCATTACGTGACAACCTCAAAAAGTGACGGACCTGTTGCTTATGGTAGTATATTGTGTCCGCTTTTCACATCTATCATCGCCAGATATCGATTTGGAAACGCTACCAACATAATTTCCTACATTCCATCGGAACAGAGGGCAAGCTACAGGATATACCGGATTCTCCACACATTTGACTTGGCTGATGTTATATCCTATCAAGGCATCTATCATTTCGCACTCAATTGCGCCAAAAAAAAAAAGCGCAGACCGCGTTGTTCACAAATAGCATGATCCTTTTCTTCTTTAGCCTTTCTAGAGACTTGACCAGCTTCTCCAAGAACCGAATGGAGTACATATCCATGTGGTAGAACTGAACCCGTTCAGACAACTAGAAGGCAGTAAGAGTGGCCACGGAGCGCCGTCTCCGAGCTACACTTGGGATCTCGTTTTCTGCTGCTCTGACGGCAATCTTCTCGATCTCGTGAAGCTGCGGAACCGCGTTTGGTACGAGGTGAGCACACTTTGGGGATTTGGCAACCGCAAGTATGGCAGATGCCCAAACTAGGGTGTTTTTATCTCTGTCTAGAAGCCTCTAACAAAAGCGCTGCAGGACCGCGGCGCAATCGGCGTTAGATACCGCGGCTGCGAGGTCGTGGTGGAACCGATTGACAAATTTGAGGTACTGACTTGAGAACTGCATTTTGGCAGCTGGCTCTGTCAATGCACCGCAAAGCTCTTCTCTTCGATTAGTCAAGCAGGATACTACCAGTTTTCTTCTCGGCTCTTTACGTACATGGCTCGGTCTCCGTCTGCTAGTGTACTAAGCTCTGTTGCTGGTAAGCGAAGTATGTAGTCTAGCCTGGACAGTCAGACCGTGCGCGGTGTCGACCGACACAGTCGCAACATACCCGCCTCTTGTTAGGAGTTACAATTTTATCCATGGGCGAGCCTTCCTTCTTAGGATCAAAAGCACAGACCATATAGTTCTAAGATGACCTGGTCTGTGCATAGTCCGTATCAAATGCAAATGTCGATTAAACGCTTGTCGGCATTAATGTTATTCGCGGTTGGTGACGCGAAATGTACGTTAAGTTTACCTTTAAAGAGTTATACTGTAACAGAACATAGCTCTTCGCAAACAATTAACACTTAAGGGACGGCTCTCTTTAGCCATTTAGGCATGTAAATCAGGTAAAATTCAATCTCTACGAGCAGCATCTCGCGCGTAGGACGTTCCTTCCTTGACTTTGAACGACCGCGTTAAGGGTGCCCTTCCACGACGCGAACTCGTTTAGCGTGATAGATGAATGGCCGCATCTCACAAGGATTGCAGTTCTTAGGAACGCGTTTCGAATGCGATGCTGTGCTCCTGAGCGGTTCTCGGGCCCAAGTATAGCTGCTGTGAGCAGCTTTTCGGCCACCGGCTACAATCGGCTACTGGCAACAATCGGCTACTTGCCTGATAGGCTGCAAAGGAGAAACCGTAGTACTGTGAAAGGCCTCTGAATATAACATGCAGAGCTCTCTCACCGAAAGAAAACACATGCAGATGATGCCGTATGGTAACGCAGCATCTTCTACGTCACGGCACACCATCTTCTGTGTCACCCAAACAGCGTTCTCTACGTAATCACTCGACTATTCAAAAAAGCGGTCTGGTGCTACAAAGTAGTATGATATATGTTTAAGCAGTCCCAAACAACGCAAAATTCGTTTGGTTTCATCACGCGGCCTTCATAGAACGACACTTCAACAACAAAACCCTCGATTACGATTAGAAGTACGATACCTGAATTCCAATCACAAGATCTGAGTTAACAAAAACTTCTTATTATTTGGATGTCGCTGACGGAGTAGCAATCTGACTTATCAACATGGGAGATGTTGAAGGACTAGCAAGGGCAGGTAGTGAGGACATGAAGAAGCTACGCACGCAGAGTGAAGGGCCTAAGGCGAAGTTCTTATGCGACAATGCTCGACCGGCCACCTTATCTGGCAAAGCAGGCGTGCATCAGCTCGCGATCGACGGCCAGCTGTATAACAGGCTACAGCTATTCTGTAAAGCACACGGAGTAACTCCCTTCGTCGTCCTCCTCGCGGCTTTTAGAGCCACACATTATCGTCTTACCAGCCAAGACGACGCGACAATTGGTGTTGCCAATGATAATCAAGAATGTTGGGAACTCAAAGATATGATTGGATACTTTGTCAATATACAGTGTATTCGAACGAAGATCAGAGGGGAGACCTTTGAACAGTTGGTGCACCAGGTTCACAAGGTAATGGTTGATTCGTTTGCCAACCAGGACGTTCCCTTTGAAAGCGCTGTCTCCAAGCTACAGAGGGACAGAGATCTCTCTCATCACTCCCCAGCGCAAGTAATGGTCAATTTTCATTCACAGAACCGCCTAGGGGAGCTTATCATGGAAGGGGTGGAGACCAAGGTCGCACATAGCCCACCAACCTCACGGTTCGAGCTTGAGCTCCATATTTATCAGGAGGAACATAGCCTGTGGGGCCATGTACTGTTTTCGACGGATCTCTACCGTGCAGAGACCGTTTCTTCCTTGGTTTCTATATTCCAGACCTTTCTTGAGAAGTGTCTCGACGAGCCGAAGACGAAAATAGTGTCCGCACCGCTTCTAACAAAGGAAGCCTACACCCAGCTCGATCAGATGGGCCTCCTTCATTCGAATGAAACGGAGTATCCCCGGGACTCGAGCGTTGTTGACCTTTTCCGCCAGCAAGCTACTGCTTACCCCTCCAGGATCGCTGTCAAGGACCCGTCGACAAAGATGTCCTATGCCCAGCTGGACGTGCTTTCCGATGGTCTGGCTCAATGGCTGTCCACTAAGTCGCTTGCGACCGAAGCACTGGTTGGTGTTATGGCGGATCGGAGCTGCCAGACAATTGTGGCTCTGCTGGGTATCCTCAAAGCTGGTTTGGCATATCTGCCGTTTGACATCAAAATCCCGGAAGCACGGATGAACACGATTCTCTCATCCATTAAAGGTGAGAGACTTGTTCTGGTAGGGGATGGTATTGAACCCCCCGAGCTCGGGATCGGTGGCGTACAGTTTGTGCAAATCGCAGAAGCCGTGGCAGAGAGTGTTATCGACCAGCCGATTGTCAAGCCGTCGAATGCACCTGTAAAACCTTCAGCTACCAGTCTTGCGTATGTTATGTTTACTTCAGGCTCCACCGGCCGACCGAAGGGAGTCATGGTGGAGCATCGCGGGATCGTACGGCTGGTGAAAGGCGGGAATCTTTCGCAGCTCTTGCCACCCTCTGGCGTCATGGCCCATATCGCGAACCTGGCCTTCGACGCCTCGACGTGGGAGATTTACGCCACGATTTTGAATGGTGGCACGTTGGTATGTGTTGACTACATGACAGTCCTGGATTACCACAGTTTGGGAAACATCTTTGCAACTGAAAGAGTCCAAACCGCTTTGCTTACCCCGGCTCTCCTAAAGCAGTGCTTGCTTACATCACTGTCTACAGTTGGTGATCTGGACACCCTCTTCGTAGGCGGAGATCGAGCTGATCAGAGGGATATGTCTACAGCGCGGAAGCTCGTCGCACACAACGTGATCAACGCGTATGGTCCTACTGAAAATACATTTTCAAGCACAATATTCCGCTTGGAGGAGGAAGAAACATTCACTAACGGTGTGCCTATTGGCCGCGCAATCAGTAACTCCGGCGCCTTTGTCATGGATTCAGAACAGCGACTTGTGCCGCTTGGGGTAATTGGAGAACTCGTCGTGACGGGAGACGGCCTAGCAAGAGGGTACACAGATCCTGAGCGGGACATCGATCATTTCATCACCGTCACGGTGGGAGATAAGATCATGAGAGCCTATCGGACGGGCGACTATGTCCGCTATCGCCCTACTGATGGCCAGCTGGAGTTTTTCGGTCGAATCGATGGACAAGTCAAGATCCGAGGTCACCGCGTAGAGCTAGGCGAGATTGAGCATGTGCTTCGCGCGCACAGATCCGTGTGCGATGCAGTGGTAGTGCCGAAACAGAGCAATGACGATGAAAAGCAACTCATGGGATTTGTCACACTCGAGGAAGATTTGGGAACGCCAGACGAACTGCCTAAAAACAATGACCAGTTGCAGCTCGTGGACGCGTGGGAAGATCGATATGATTCGGAGACGTACGCGCAGATTGAGAACTTTAGACCTGAAATGATTGGAAGAGACTTTGTCGGATGGACCTCGATGTACGATGGCAGCGAAATTGACAAGGCAGAGATGTGTGAGTGGCTCGACGACACAATGCACACAATATACAGCGTAGCCCATGGACAGCCAGGAAACGTTCTTGAGATCGGGACAGGTACCGGTATGATCCTCTTCAATCTGCTCGATGGCTTAAAAAGCTACATCGGACTTGATCCGTCTAAAAAAGCCGTCGAATTTGTTGTAAAGACAGCCAGGACCATCCCTTCGCTGAAAAACAAAGTACGTATGTACAAGGCCACAGCTGCAGAGATTTCCCAGATAGAGCGACTAGAATCGGTTGAATTTGCTGTGCTCAATTCTGTTGTACAGCACTTCCCCAGTCAGGAGTACCTTCTCGAGGTCGTTGAAGGCCTGCTTAATCTGAAGGGCATTAAGGCAATTTTCTTGGGCGACATTCGCTCGTACGCACTACACCGAGAGTTTCTAGCAACCAGAGCGCTACGGATGGCCGGCGATGGGGCGACCAAAGAAGGCATTCGACGCTTGGTGGAGGATATGGAGCAGATTGAGCGAGAGTTATTGGTCGACCCTGGCTTCTTTACAGCCCTGCCAAGCCGCCTTCCCGATTTAGTGGAGCACGTGGAGATTTTGCCGAAGAGAATGAAAGCAACCAACGAACTCAGTTGCTATCGCTACGGCGCCGTCGTTCATGTTAAATCACGAGGGTGGCCCGAGCAAGAGATTCGACAAATTGGTCACGACGAATGGGTGGATTTCGAAGAACATCAACTAAACCGCCAGTCTCTCCTGCAACAATTAGTGAGCCTTTCATGCTCATCTACTATGGCCATAAGCAACATCCCTCACAGCAAGAACACCTTCAGTAGAGGCCTTCTGAGTTATTTGTATGATGACGAGGCTAGAAAGGTAGACTCAAAGCCATGGATCTCTTCGATTCGCCAGGCAGCCGAGCAGACCCCGTCTCTTTCCGCGGTCGACCTGGTAGAGCTTGCGGAAGAAGCAGGCTACATTGTGGAGATCAGCTGGAACAGGCAGCATTCTCATAGCGGTGGTTTCGACGCTGTCTTTTATCGAAAGAGCAGTGGCAGCAGGGTGATGTTCAGGTTTCCTACCGACCATGCAGGTCGACCGCAGCACAGCCTCAGCAGCAAGCCGTTGCGACAACAGCATATCATAAAAGTTCAGAGCCAGCTGAATGAGATACTGCGAGTTCAACTGCCTGGATATATGGTTCCCCAATTTGTCCATATTCTCAATAAGTTCCCTATTAATGTGAACGGCAAGGTAGATCGGAAGGCGCTCGCGCAAATCACTCATACCCCAGAAGCTGCGGAGAGATCCCTGCGGCAGCCGTCGACGGAAAAGGAGAAGACACTGCAGCGGCTGTGGGCGCAGGTGCTCGACATTGAGGCGGACAGCATCGGCCTAGATGATAGCTTCTTCCGCCTGGGCGGCGACTCGATCGCGGCCATGAAACTGGTAGCGGAGGCGCGCAGAGAGTGTCTCCAAGTGACTGTAACCGATCTGTTTCGCAATCACTCTCTTGCAAATCTGGCATTATCTAGCAAGGCCAGCTCTTCAATCACGCATTAGAGATTTATATCCGCTCTCTCTTCTACCTATCTAAAGAACCGATCATCTCCACTCTGGCATCTCTACCTCTTACCTGGGCCCAGGCAGATACGTATGCGTAGTCGGACGAATGTTACACACACCGCTAGGATATTTTGTCATAATGGGGGTGAGTTCTCGCGCCAGGCTTTTGATTAGTTCTTTCTGGATGTCGGACCCCAGGTCAAAGTTTAGCGCTTGGAAAGCAGCTGTCACTTCTTCTATCACTTTCTTGTACTTCGCTCCGGGATCGCTCTCTTTGAGGATGAACTATGGCAGGTTGTCCTTCGCGACCCTGAAGTCCCTTTCACAGTACATAAATTTGAGGTACCGCTTGTGGAAGCATCGCACGCTGTATGCATACATGAAGACCTGGAGCACTCGTCACACATTAAACTTCTCTCAACCTTCATGCTTCTACAAGATGATTTTGGTGCGCATCGGCTGATACCCCGCCTCTCTCACGCTCAATATGACGATGTGTGTATCTCTACTGGTGCCAATTGCCTCAAGACTCCTCAATAACAAAAATTACGCCAAATCTCTGTCCGAGTGTCAGTTCGGTGGGAAAGATGTGGTCTGCATTCACGTAGTTGCTGGCCGTAACTCCGATATTTCAGGTATTGTAGAAATCGTTGAACCTTCGACATCATCTGAGATTGTACCAAATGTCCGACTGCATCTGAGTTTCAGTTTGCCGGTGCAGCCACCAAGCTCCAGTGGTTCGAAAATCACACAGCGATGTCTCCTCGCTTGGCCATCGTATCCTATCCACAAGACGGTGAGCTGAATTTTGTGCTTCACGAAAATATCTGCATCCTTACCGCAAGCCACGCAGAAAAGTTGATCTTGATGCTTTTCGAAAAGATTGAACAATTGACTATGGACCTTCATACGCAACTGGCACTACAGATGGCGTTTCTAGAGAGAAGAAACAGAGGTGTAAGAGCGAAGTCAGCTCCGAGTGGCGTCTGCTACTGCATGAGCCCACGGAAACAAGCTGCCCATGAACGTGCCTCGGCCAGTGCGCTACCGATCAAGAGACACACGCCTGGAAGCGCCCTGCGGACACGAGGCATCTATACCTAAATAGATTGCGCTGCAAGGTGATGTATTACTTTCTTTTTATAGAACACACACACACGCACGCACGCGTCAATGGCAACATTTCGAGGGATTGGTGAAGAAGCGAAGGACGGTTCGTGACAGAGAGAACTCACGCCTACACGTAAGGGTAGCGTTTGTTGGTAAGAGCTTGTACAGGCTCTCTGGCATGCGCTGGATCCGCACTAGGGAGCCACATCAGGACTCAGTCTGACCCGCTGCGGGAGCCAAAAGCGGTTCGTGGGGGTTAAAGTAAGCTCTAGACGGTCACGGCTGTTTCGTTGTTGCGCGATTATATCAGCAGGCTCAGCGCCTGCGGAAAGTTGTTGCGGAGTCAACTAGCATGTCCAGCCTATCGCCATCAATGCAACACCCTTGAGACGATACTTTTGTGGTGTTACACAGGAAATGCTGCATTATTTCAGAGAAACAACTCCGCAATGGGAAGTGGAAAATCGAAAATCAAGAATGGTTGCGAAATTGGAAAACGAAGAACGGTTTCGGAAAGTGAAAAATGGATGGTGGGAAATGGGAAATCTAATTCTGGATCATACAATAAGAATATCATTCATCGATAATCTGATTCATTCTCGATGCTTTAATTTAGGCGGACGTGAAAATCATCAGAACATTGCATGGCTGCAGATGCTCTGTCGTCATGACTAGATTCGAGCACTTCATCGCAACGTGGGCACGAGGAAATAGACTTCACAAAGACGGGGAAGAGAAGGGGTAGGAGTTACAGTGGCACCATTTGAACATCAACCATTGGAGGACCTTTAAAAGACATTATATGATAGGTAAACGTGAGTAGTTGAACTGACTGTACAGGGGGCATAGATCGGTTCACTCTTGTAAAATTTTGCGGTCCCGCAAAAGGGACATGCAACGTTCTGATCGTGCTCCTCTTGCATGGTGTATCATTTTCTAGTTGTAGAAGCGAAGGACCTAGCGGCTGGGTCGAATATGATGGGGCACAAAACCAAGCTGCTGTTGACGGCGCCTGTGCTCTTAACATTCTTTGCGGTCTGGAGCTGACTGCGGCTACTTCTACGCATCAATCTCTCAGAAGCCGACCCGAATTGAGGAAAATCCTCTTTTCAGTTGTGACAGAAGGCCCCATTCACGAACTCTGGGTGCACTTTCAAGTGGATGAGGCCTACCATATGACTGTGCTGCGAGTATGGCGGACGACAATTGTAAGAGAGGCACAAGAGTTCGTGCAGGCTTTAGGTAAGATAGTGGGATGGGGTATATCTGATTTTAGACACGCTGTTCTCGAATAACTCACTTTCCTTGAGACTGTGCTTCGAGAACGAAGAATGGAATAAGTCCGCTGTGCTCTCTCAAGCTATCTACCCGAGATTGTCAGTTCCTGTCTATGATTACCGTACATGGATTTCAACCTAAGCTTAGTTCATTAGGATTAAAATTTAGCCCTGTTACCAACCAGAAATAATCCATGGTTCTCGTTATAACCAGGTCGATCAGCAAAGGGAATATCGCCCAACAATGCACCTTTTCTACTGCAGCCTCATCTTAACTCACATCTACCGTCAAAAATTCAACGCGGTTACCACGAACGTGGACTTGATTGCGAAAATTTCAAATCTAATTAGATCGCACATCGATCCCTCTCGGCACTTGCCTCGTTTACACCCTTCGCAGGAGTATGTTTCGTGTGGGAAGCCTTCTTTTGGTCCGTAGTATGGCAACGGCATTTCGTCCACAGAGCGAGGGACTGTATGAGGGCGGAGAGATGCGACATGTGCGGGGAGGAAGGCTACCTGCAGTGCAAGACGGCAAACCTGCGTTGCGTAAACTGCCACGGCCCACACCGCTCATACCCTTGCAGTCTGACACTGCCCTCTCTTCTGCTACTTTTGTTATTTTTGGCATTTCGTTCTTGAGTGAGTTGTTTGGGGGAGGGTGGCCTAATATGGATTGATTGGCTACAGATACGGGGTCCAAAATCTACTGCTCTTTTATATGGCAATATGACTATAACCTGTATGGGGAGGAGAAAAACAGATGCATGATGCATGATGCACGGCTTATATTGCACAAAACAAGGCGGATCGACCATTCCTAACCCCAATGTAGCCAATCAATCCATATTAGACCACCCTCCCCTAAACAACTCACTCAAGAACGAAATGCCAAAAATAACAAAAGTAGCAGAAGAGAGGGCAAAAATCTATTAGGTGCAACATATCATATCGGGCGAACTGATAGCTTACATGTAAGCACATTTGCGAGGCATCCCCCATGTTTGTTGATAAAGAAGGGAATATATTCGGCAGTGTCAGACTGCAAGGATATAAACGGTACTCAGCGTCCACGTGCTGCACGGCCAAATTGGTGGTAGTGTATTGCATACAGTGGTAGTTGGGGAATCATTACGCTAAGAAGTGGTAAAGCGGTCTTTTGCCGCTGCAAAATACGTTCTTCCACAACTCTCCAATCAAATTACAGTATCGTTTGCTAGAAAACTGGGTCCCCCTGTAAAATCGGTTTCAAATCACCTTTTCCCTTAAACGATTGCACAATATTTGCCTGCTCGCTCAGCATAAGCCGACTCGTTTGATTTCCTATTCTCGCAAGTGTCCTCCATCTCTCGAAATCCTCACTGTTTCTCTTGTCTCCGCGTGCTTTATCTGCTTCCTTCCAGTGGCCCTCAGAAAATGCACCCAGGGTTGTTATCCTTTGTTCTTTGATATCGTAAACAATGGAGACAATCGTGCCTGTCTCTTCGAGCCAGTTGATTTGCCAAAGTTCTCCGGGACGGATGCATTGATACATGGCTCGTTGATAGTTATTTCGGCCCGCCATTGGACCTCCGTGAACAGCGTATACCACACGGGTGTCCGAGAAACACCATATCTCGTACCTCCATTTCTCAGGCTTGCCATCTGTGTCTTGCGCATCGTAGTCGTAAATTAGATGAGTATCGAGGATATCAGAATCAAACGATTGATGGAGAGGAGTATTTGTGAGGTAGTCGGGAAGACTGTCACCCACTGCCATTGTTTTGGCTTAGAAGAGAAGCAGTCGCTGTATTTCCTCGAGCATTACTCTGGTTTAAGCTATATATATATATATATATGTCTGCGAAGAGATCCCCTCAGACCCCGCTCGCTTGGCCCTTCGGGTATATTTATCCAGGCCATAGAGTCTAGCACGTTTCGCTTTATCCGACACCATAAGCTGCTCAGCATGCTTAGTGTCTTTGGGACCAACGGATACGATAGAGAGCAGTAATCAACGATTGGTGCTTCGGGTCAGTTCCTCGTATGGGTGTTGGCGCGCACTGTATTGCAACCCTAAGGTGGCATACTTGTTAACGAATACTACCCACCCTCACGGTTTGACCAGTGACGAAATCTGGCACAAGTTGATAACGAGTGATGGCTGCGAGTACCAGCATTTTAAAGGTTGCTTTCTACTTGGTTTGCGCTCAAATTGATGTGGCAATTATGGATGAGACCCCGTACAATATTGTGGGTGCTTGTGGTTCGATCCGCTCAATTGAACAACTCGAAGCGGTGGAACGAACCCAGTTAGAAGCACAGGCTATAACCCACGTAGAAGAGCTGGAAAAGTTGGCCATTTTGCCGGCATATGTCCAAAGCCAGTTCGCTTAGCAAATTTGGTATGCTGTCCTAACTAGTTCAAGTCTGATTGGAGTTGGGTTTTGTCATGAAGACTCATCCTACACATGAATGCCGGGATGGGGAAAAGGGTCGTGGGCATATAGTAGATATATATATAAGGAATATACTGTTAAGTTTTTAAAGTGTATTATGAAGGCGTTGTTACGATATCCTAATATAAAAATGCTGATTTTTGGTGTATTTTAGGGGTGGCCACTCGCTTAGTACTTACGTTGGTTGGTGTAGGCTGCAGAAGTTTTCATGTTTTGTATATTCTTTTTGTTAGTAAGCCGAATTGTCAGGCCAGGAAATCGAGTCCCCACACTATGGTTCTAATTATGAGACTTGTTCACTCTAATTAGACTGGAAGACTCCCCTTGATAGACTTTAGCGGAAAGACCGTCCCACCATATGCTATTCTGTCGCACAGATGAGGAAACTTGGGGATTGTCTTCGTAGATATAGCAAACGAGAGCTAAGGATTGGTCGTGGTAGTTCTGGATTAAAACGTGCTGCACTAATGAACGGAATGCTAGAGAGCTCTTGAAATTGATCAATTCCATGTTTCGTTGGTATAGGGATGCATGTAATTGCTAGGTGTTCCACCCAGACGGCTCGATACCTACAACAGCAGCGATGGACCGACGTCTCTATGGATATAGCCATATGTCATTATAGGTAAACATGCGAGATTGAGCGTTGAAGGAGCCCGGAATAGGTACGTTGAAATAAGCTATAAACAAATTAAATCTCTGCAGTAGCGGCATGCTGTAAAACTACACCTCGAATTTTTATGTTCCGCTTTCTATGTTCTCCACTTTAGCATTGCATGCTTTCTGAATAACAATTTTCTGGGCAGAGGGAATCTCACCTATTACGGCGTGCTACTATGAATATTCTGTAGGTCGTACCTGGGAACCTCAATAGGGTGCCTATGCCGAAGCCCGAGCGTTATGCCTGGGGAACCTCTCTAGTCGCTTAACTAGGCCTACTTTACGAAGTAAATAAGCAAGTGTGAAGGTAACGTCGAAAGCCCTAGGGGATTGAGATACGTGCCGTTGGCGCCCTTCTCGAGCAGTACCCTCACAATCGCCTTGTGGCCTGTAAGTGAAGCTATCTGGAGTTCCACCCTGCACATTGACATCGGCGCCCTTGTCGAGCAACAGCCTCACAATCGTCTCGTGGCCTCTGTATGAAGCCGCCAAGAGTGCGTTACTATAACCTTCATGCTGCGCGTACCGCCAACTCTGTGCGTTGACGTTGACGCCCTTGCTGAGCAGCAGCTTCACAGCTGCCTCGTGACCTCCTTCTGAAGCCGCTTGGAGCGCGTTGCCGTACTCTCCACCCCGCGCGTTAATGCCAGCGCTTAAGAACTTTCACACCGTCGTTTCCTGCCTGTGTTTACTCGCCCAGCTAAGTGCGGAGCCTCCAGAGTGACCCTTGTTGGAGTTTTTTATCTCCGATGGGATCCGTTGCCCCACATGCGCACCAACTACAGATATAATTGGTCAAGATTTCTTAGCACAGCATCTTTTGCAACCGCACCATGGCAAGGTCAAGGAAGGTGCGGGTCGGTCATACTCGCCATGAGCAGTGGCAAATCAAAGTCTATTTCGCGCAGGTTATCTTGTAGGATAATTTGTAAGTAAGTTAGTATGATCTGGACAAGACAAGCTAGCTTGCTATACTACGAGCCTGAGTGCATATCATGAACATTAGCAATCATTGCTGATATTTGACGTTATCTTCAAAGGGAGCCTTTTAGCGGATTTCACATGTTCGTGCCCCCCTTACGCCATTCCACGATTTGTTCACGACGAATTTATACCTTACTCACTCTTCTCATCGCATACTTGCTCTTTGGCGTGGCGGAGATGACTTAAACCTGGCATTGATCATCTATTTCCCTCCATGATCATGACTTCACCGTATGCTGGGTCTTCGGAGGTACATTACCACAACTTAGTTGATGAAGCCCATCCTTACCGATCGGGGTTACCAATGAGAGAGTTTTCCTCTAGAGAAATGTGTTACCACATGGTGTAGTGTATAGGACGAGCATACTTGCGTTTAACTATGTCATCATATACAAAAAGCATTCAACGCTATATCCCACAACACTCAATCTGCACGACAACGATTAAAAAGCTTGTAGTGCTTATACTATTGCATACATAACAAAGCTCATGGCTCCCTAGTCTTGAGAATGATTACTATCGTTTTTAGGTTTCTATGTCTGTACTCCTCGTAACATTCCTCCAAGTTTCTAGCGTCGCCAATGTCGCTTCGCACTTCTCCTTTACGTCCGTATAATAGTTAACACCTAATGAAAGACAGAATAACACTTCCATGTCCTGCGCGACACCCTCTCCTAGGACCAGGTCTAATACAATTTCAACAAGCTTCGCTGGATCGCCAGGTTGTTTTTAGTCTTCCCAGCCAGGTCTTCCATTTGCGCTCTCGAGCGCTCCGCATACTCCAAAATGTCTAATAGACAGGCTTTCATACTAGAGCTCGATAGGAGTTTTGTCCGAAATTGTCCCAGCTCAACAAGAAGAGTCTTAAGACCAAGATGTGCGGTTTCCGCATAGAGGCTTTCCACAATGCCCTCCAACGCAAATTTGGAATCCAGCATATGCGCTCCACCCAGCATGTCCGATCCATTCAGACAATAAGCTGATGAATACCGTTGTCCCCTTCTTTCCCTCTCTGAAGTGTGGCAAAAGTGCTTTAGTTACCTTCGTGTCAAATTGTGCAAGCCAATCTTCATACGAGAGATCTTCCCAAGTCCCGATAGCGATGTACGCAGCGTTATTGATCAGGACATCGATTCGACCATATTCAGCGAGAACCTTGGCGATGGTGGCTTTAATTAATGCTTGGCTGTCGGTAATATCGAGCTAAAACGTAGGCACTCCGAGTTGATTAAGGTGCTGTATCTTAGAAAGATCCCGCGCTGTTACAACCACTCTATCACCACGTGCGAGAATTCGATTGCCAAAGCCTGAGGAGCAATCTGTCACCAACCAGACGAGCGATGCCATTGTCGAATTTGCGACGCGTGGTCAGATTTCAGTATGGCGGTCGGTAATCTTTCCTGGGTTAATTCCTTACTAGAGAACACCGTCCATTATATACACAGCCAATAAGTTCCACTGCCTTTTAAAAGGTTCTGTGGGCATTAGAGAAGTTTAAAATTTAGAGTATGTCCTAAGTCTAAACTCTATTTCCGGAAAGAAGCATCTACATTCAACGTTAATTCATACGAGTGAGATGTGAAATACCCCGATCTCGTCCGTCAGATGAGGAAATGACACAACAGCCAGTTTTTCAGTATTGTATTACACTTGTAGCCATGTGAGGAGAAATCATATGTCGGTGCGAAAGGTGTGCAGCATCCTGCGCTTGCCGAAGCCTACACAGGGGGCACAAGTTGGTGGGGTAGCTGAGCAAAAGGCGCGAGCGAATTGGTGTACCAGTGCAAGGCTAAGCCTCTCCCAAAGGTTGCTATAAATCACGATACCAACTCAGCGCACTCTCGGGATACACCCATTCTCGGGGTCTTCGCATCCAGATTACGTGTTGCTAGGGTTAGGGTTAGGGTTAGGGTTAGGGTTAGGGTTAGGGTTAGGGTTAGGGTTAGGGTTAGGGTTAGGGTTAGGGTTAGGGTTAGGGTTAGGGTTAGGGTTAGGGTTAGGGTTAGGGTTAGGGTTAGGG